TTGGATTTACTCAACACCCACGAATACATGGTGAGTGCCGCCTTTGATTTTGAAAACGCCAACGAGGCGCCGAGTTCAGAAAGTGTCACATAAGATCTCGACAGCTTTGCTGTTTGAACACCAAAAAGGGCTGTGTTGTCTGCTTTCCACCGCTGTTGAGTGACGATGACTTGCTGCCTCATTCCTGCGTAGCGAGCTTTACTCACCCATATCTGCAAGGACAGTACTCCCTCGAATCGGCGTCGAACCCGTCCCTGCTGGCTCTCTGTTCCCCCGAATGTACCTCTTGAACGATGGCCGCGTGTTCTGCCACTGCAAATTCCCCAACATCAGCAAGTCCTTCACGGTGGGCACGGTAGGCAGCATAGTCGAAAAAATCTGCGGCCTTCCAGACCCGGCCTATCAAGGATTTGACTATCCGTCGGTGCTCTTACCACTACTCCCATCGGATCAATACATGATGCGACTCATGCTCTGCGGCACCACGCCCTGCCAGTTCGTGAACCTATCTTCGGCCGTTCAGGACCATTCTGCTTCGTGGGCCGCCGGCGGCAACGGCCCCGGTCAGCCCGTCGTGCTGTATCACCACCCATGCGTCCCACCTCATCGCATCATCCTCCCTCGTATCTTATCTCAAGCAAAAACTACAGCACTTCACCTCACCTGCATCCCCCGCGCAATTTCATCATCCGACAGATCCTCCTTGACCTGCTTCAGATACTTGTCAAACCGGTTCGACACATTAATCACATGCTCCAGCACCGAATAATCCATGGCTTTTCTCTTAAACATGGCCAGCTGCCGCGCCGTCGTCACCGCATTGCGGATCTGCCGCCCATTCATGTCAAACGACGCCAACTTGTCGATGTGACGGTGCAGGTCGGCTGTGTCGACCTTGTCCGCCACGGCGGTGTCGCCACCAACAGCAGCGCCACTACCACTACTACCACCAGCCGCCGCCGCTGCCGTCTCCCCAGTCGCCTTCCCTTTCCCTTTCCCCTCGAACGACTCGAGCCGGTGGATGAAATTCTGCCAGACTAGGCGACGCTGCGGCTTGCCCAGCGCCTCGTAGTGCAGCGCCAGCTGGATGCGCGACTTGAAGGCCTCGTCGAAGGTGGCCACGCGGTTGCTCGTCAGGATGAGGATCCCCTCATAGTACTCGAGCACGCGCAGAAATACCGACACCAGGGCGTTGCGGTGTAGATCCTCTAAGTCGCGCGTCTGCAGGAACACCTCGGCCTCGTCCAACAGCACCACGCAGTCCCACGTCTTGCCCAGGTGAAGCACGGTGGCCAGGTACTTCTCGACGTCTTCTGGGTTGGTGCCGATGTCGCCGCAGGTGATGCGGTAGAGCGGCTTTCTCGCGTACTCGGCCACGCTTTCGGCCGTCAGCGTCTTGCCCGTGCCGGGCCCGCCGTGCAGGAGGACAATGAGACCGTTGCCCTTGCCGCTGATAAGATCGGTCGACTTGGCGATCTCGATCTTGTTGGTGACCAGGGCCATGATCAGCTCCTTGGTCTCGTCGTCGACGACGAGGGTGTCGAAAGCCTCATTGTTCCACCTCACTTCCGATGTGTTGGCGACCAAGAGGTTCACTGTTAAGAGTTAGAAATTCGCGTCCACTCTCTCTTTCTCGTCAGACTTACTCCACTTCTTCTCTTGCATATTGAAACCGTAGATATTAGGTGGTAGGAGCAAGGAGAATGGATGGTTGGGTGGCTCGTCTCGAGCCATTACTTCCGGGCCAAGGTCATCTTTCGCGTTGTCGGCACGATCTTCCTTGCGGCCCTTTAGCGCCGACTCCAGGTGCATCTTTTTATAAGTCTGCATGTCCACCATGAATCTTGCGTCCACCTATGAAAACGTCAGCTCAAGTGATGGCCAGTCAACATCGCCCCAAATCCTTACAAAATATTGATCGTGACTGTAGTCCCACCCAGTGTAGGACACAAACTTCATCTTTCGGCATTGCCAAAATTTGTTACCCCTGTCTAGCAAGTTCGAGGAGACCGTATCATCTGCGTATACCAGGGGCAGAACCGACAAATCCCGGATTTGAAGTGTCTGTCCCTTAACAGCGTCAAAATGGACCTTGATGGTCCGGTTGGAACTCTGGAAGTAACCATTATAGTCCCAGAATTGACCAGAGAGTGACAAGGATAGGGTGAGTTTTTGATCTTTGGTCTTGCCGGTCTCATCGGTTTTGACAACTGTGGAGCTGAAGGTTGGCCATGCTGAAGAACGAAAGCGCGATCGTACAAATCGCCGGCTTCCTTGTCGCGTTGGAGAACGACTTCGTTTGGGAGCTTGCGGTGTTAGCATCAGTTCAATGCATTTTCCACGCTGTTGGAGTGGGGCCGTGTGTTCTTACAAAGATGTATGGCAGAAAGTTGCTGGAGACGACCTTCTCCGCTAACTGTGAATCGACCACAGCGTACTCCTCTCCTAAGTAGGTGCCAATATACTCCTCAGAGAAGCAGCGCAGTTGCTGCTGAGCTTTGGACGGAAGGCGAGCAACAATTGAATCGAAGAGTGGTCTATCGTGATAGAACCATACATAAGGGGCGTCAAACTCTGCACCACGGTTGAATCCTGGATAGAGATGGGCCTTTTTGGATTCCCTGGCAACTCTCTTGAGTGCAGAGGAAAAGTCGCGGGAAACGATGCTAACGCACTCAGCTCCCGGAGTTGGCTCACCATCAGCAGCTGCTTGTTTGCTTCCTTCACAACAGACGTAGGACTTGAAAACGATGAAGGACAATCCATGGTGCCGCTCTACGTAGAGCTCCATATTCGACACGGCGCCCCGCCCACGAAGGTGGTTGTCTGTACTACTTGCCGACAGGAAATAGGGGGTATGAGTGTATACATTTTTGGAGCCGTCCTTCTTGCATAAGACTCGATGAAGAATGGTAAAGTAGGCCTCTGGTCTGGATTTGCGTGTTTGGCTGGTCTCATGTTGCTGGATCTTTTTTAAAAGATCTGCGTCGGAAATTCCACGGTCTATGCCAAGGGTGCCGCAGAGATGGCGTTTCCAATCGATCTGGTCATCTGGGAGCGGAGCATCCTTAGTTCTGCGACGAGATTTGAGAGGATGCTTTTTTGAAGCAGATGCACCGGGGACAGGCACTTTCTTGTCGGCGGCCTGCAATGTTCCATGAGAGTCCGGGCGAACTTCTGGTGATGTAACTTTGACATTGGATCTGCCATCACTGACAAGTAGCTGCTCCAGCTGCATCTAATACCAGTATGTCAGGATACTGCAGTGTTAAATCCGAATGTACGTTAACTTACAGGGCTTACCCCAAGGTTCTGTATCAACAACGGGAGCAATTCTTTCGGGAGATCGTTGGGATCAGATGCCGCATTCGCGGTCCAGTGATTTGAAGTGATTGGCCCGCTCTTCATAGGAGCCCGAGGTGCTAGCTGACTCGAGGAGCCTACTTCAGGATTACCATCTTCCGATGACCACTGGTCCGAATCCATATCGCTGTGCGCGGACATAGCCTCGAGCGGAACGGTTCGAGAATCCACTCGATCTTCTTCTGGCAGAAACGTACGGGACTCGATATGCTTTACGCCTCTCTTGAACTCTTGCTGAAGTACTCGCGGCGTAGTAACCGAGCGGTCTCTGCTAGCTGACAGCCGCTCGTCCGTTGCCTGTCGTGCCTGCGATATCTAGATATCAAGCCGTTAGACGGTACAAATGAGAAATTCAAGGAGTCTTGCCTTGTTGATTTGTAGCTTCTGCGCTAGTAGGGCAAGATTTTGATTGGCTTCGTCCTTGTTCCCAGCAGTCTTGTCCTGGGAAATGGTCGAGCTAACGTTGAAGGATGCCGAGTTCAACCAATCAAGGACGTTATATGGCTGATGTTCGTCCCTTCTAGTTTCTATGCGACTATCTGTTGACGCTGTATAATCACTGTAGTAAGAAGATGATAACGACCTTATTCGGGTTCTCGGCGTGGCTACGATCTCGGATCGAACAGAGAGAGTTCGATCTGAGTTGGAGCTCTGTGACGCGGCTAAAGACGGCTAAACAAGTCAGCCTCCAAAGGGGTTCTTGTGCGTACGAAGTCGTGACTTGCCCCAACCGCATCAACCACCTCTGTATACTGTTCAAACCCACCTACACCTTCTGCTCCTGCCTCAGAGGGCGACTCTTCGTCTGTATCCTCAAAGTCTTCAAAATCCGACTGCGAGTCCTCTGGTTTTGTGGACCAGTGCTGATCATGTGTGCCAAAGGGATCGTCACTGCCAAAAAGCAAGGACATTGCAAAAGCTCATCGTGAGAACGAAGAAGTGTAAGAGCGATGAAAAAGGGCCCTCGAAAGGCTGAAATGTCGTGCGGCTGGGAGAAGCCACGGCAGCCCAGATGTGCCCGAAGACATGTCGCTCGCGCCTCATGCTCGCCTGTTATTCAGGAGCACACTGATAAGTGGATACTGCGCTACGGAGTATCGCACCGCACGATGCTTGACACGTGTTAGGCGGAAGGTGGCTAACGCGGGCGGGGTGACAAGCCACGCACGAACCACCAAAGTTCCTTCTAGCCTTCGTCCATGATGCAAGCGACAGGAAGAGCGAGTGTTAGTATGGTATGTACACCTGGTGCTCCTGGAGCTGAGCTAGTGTTCCGCAGACGCCCAAGTTCCCAAAGCTCCAAGGCGAATGGCGACTTTCAGCGCATCAGGCTAAGCCATCAGCAGCAGACAGGACTGCAGCCCTGCATAAGCTGCGCCTCCTTGCGGACTAACACCTGTAGTCTGAGAGCTTGGTGAGGGTGGCAGTCGCACGGTGCGCAGGTCGCAAAAGTTATGCTGGAACACCAATGATAAGTCGTGCCCTGCAGCTGCTTATCAACATAGAGTGCCCGTCGGAAACGCGTTAGCACATGGGTGCGTTCAGATTCATGCTGCTGTGCACGCCTTGTGAGGGCCGAGACAACCAAAATACTCCCACTTAGGATTCGCAGACTGTCCGTTTCTTGAACGAAAGCCATGGCTGTCGCAAAGTCATCCCCGCTCGTTCGTGAGTTCTTCGAGGCAGACCCGAATGATCAGTATTTAGACATGTGCTGAAATACAGTTCTGTCCGCGTACTGACTAACACAGATCTGTTGATCCTGCACACGACGCCTTTCGAGAAGGGGTCTTGAAGTTCAAGGACAGCCTGACCCAAGACCCAAAGAAGGCGGGTAGAGCCCAGCAAGCGACAAGCCTCGAGGCGGTATCAGATGCGGTAGAGGCAGCACAGCTCGCATATGACACAAAGCATGGCCAATCCAAGACGCGAGAACGGCTACGCAGATTCAACGCCACGCTCCACTACTACGGCAATATCATGGACGTGCTGGTGCAGCATCATCCCGAGTATGTCTCTCTGGCCTGGGGTGCCATGAAATTCGTGTTCACGGTAAGCCACAAGTTGTCGAGCATAACGATGCTCTCTCTGACGCAAGACAGACGTGCTTGAACCACGAAGCCACAATCTCAGCTTTAGCAAAGGGACTTTGCAAGGTTGGAAATACTCTGCCGCGCGTTCGCCTGGCCATAGGCCTGTACCCAACAAGGCGCATGAAGAATGCAATTTCCGAGCTGTACGCCTATATCATCCGCTTCCTCATCAGGGCTCATGACTGGTACCAGGAGAACTGGCTGCAACATATCTGGCACTCGGTTACCAGACTGGTGGAGCTTCGATACAATGACATTCTTGATGAGATCGCCATCCGGACTCAGATCGTTCACGACTTGGCGGTAGCTGGAGGCCTGGCGGAGCAGCGTGTGATGCATGAAAAGCTCGATGCCGAAAGCAGCAGAGTCATCGCCTTGGAGGCTAAACTCCAAGAGATGACCGCGCTTCTCGTTGGTGAGACCACTTCCTGACCATAGCAAGAATCTTGCTGACCACCTGAACTAGCCTTCAAGACCATGGCATCGGGGGCATTCCTGGATACAAATCACCTCTTGACTGACCTTCAGATATCCAACGTACTCGACTATGTTGCCCACGTACCGCTCCCGGACCCTGCGAAAGCTCTTCGCTTTGGTATGTTCATGCGCGAGCATCGACGAAGCAAGCACACCACAAGGAATCCGAACTACGCATGGGTATCTCCCAGGCTGCAGACCTGGTCGGACCAAAAGAATTCATCGCTGGTGACGGTGAGGGGCGCCTTCCAGTCCAGAAACGAAATGAAGGACTTGTCTGTTGAACTGGTCGAGCTCCTTCAAAAGTCCGGAATCCCTGTGCTCTGGGCCCTCAAGTCGACGAGCCAGGATGGTATAGACGCTCAGCAGCCGTCAGCAATAGACGTGCTGAAGTACCTGACCTCTCAAGCTCTTCGACTGAGCTCAACTGCACCCACCGAGGCTTCCATGAGCTCCGTTTGCATGCGATTCAAGACTGCCAGCACAGCGGACGAATGGAATGCGATCTTGGCCTCGACAATCCCAGTTGTGACAACGATCTACCTCGTCATCGACGTTGAGGTCCTCAACTACGCATACGCAGACGTTCCAGGGTCATTTTGGCCAGCTGTTTTCTTCAAGCTCTCTGCCGAGCTTGAAGCCAGGGGATCAAAGACATCGGTCAAAGTTGCGCTCATTAGCTATGGGACGACGAATCAGGTGACATCCAGTGCGTTGCCTCAGGGGTCAAAGTACTGGGTTGCAAACACCAGGGAACCGCTGCGTCAGTTGAAGGTAGGGTCAAGGGGGAATGTTTCGGGGGGATCCAGTGGGAAGTCGTCCTTCAGGGCTGGTGGGCAGCGGAGCAAGGCTTCTCTCATTCGTCTCAACCGATAAATTTCGAAGGCGAGATCGCGGTGTGAATGCGACAGATGGTATAAATGATAGTAACGGCAAAGGGGGGTTTGGAAAAAGGACTTATATACCAAGCTGAGGACAATCCGCCCTAACGCGCCACTACTTGGGACTATATTCTGAATTGCCTGCTTGCAGAGTGAGGGAACGTCCACAAGGTCGCCTTGACTATCGATCGTGCAGAGGCATCAGAAATAGGATTGATGGTTCTCAATCGCTCCAGCGCCCTGGAAATCTTCGTCCAGCTGCTTTCTGGTCTCGATAGACTCTCTCAGATAAGTCTCATTCACAACCTTGCCATCATACTCTGCCATCGAACGGGCAATAAACACAGTGTTTCTGATCTATTCAGAGTCAGATTCTATTCACAGTTACATGTTTGCTTCTTACCTAGCGGCCGTTCAGTTTCTTCTCCGCTAGGTCACTAATGACATCGCCATTATAAGCTGCATGACCCGCTATTGTTCTGACTTGCTTTATAAAAAAATGCTACACCCCCTCACGAGCCTCTTTCTTTAGAGGCTCGTATTTCAGTGAGAGATGGATTCGACTAAGGATCGCAGAATCGAACGTATTCATGCTGTTAGTCGTAAGAAACAAGATACCTTCGTAATGCTCTAATTCGCGTAAGAATACAGATACGAGAGCATTAGTGTGTGGATCGAGCGCCCGTTCGGCCAAAAATACATCTACTTTATCTAGAAGTAGGATCGCCCCCCAGCGACTTGTAATCCTAAAGATATTCTTAAAGATCTTTTCTACTCGAACGTGGTCCACCCTAATTTAGCCCATAGCTACCTAGATAGTAAGTAAGGATTAGTAAGTGAATCGTCGATTATAGTACCTATAGTATATAGCGGGACCTTGAACGTCTCAGCTAATATCTCGGCCGTTAAGGTCTTGCCGACGCTCGGGGGGCCACTGTAAGCCCGTCAGCAAGAGGCTCTTAAAAGTCAGATAAGGAAACAAACTAGAGTAAGAAGTTAATTCTACGACCTTTGCCTTGTACAAGATCATGGAAGGCGTCGTCGGCTCCTCTATTAAGGTAAGTCTTAGTAAGCGCGTAGATGGCCTTTTTCTACCCCTCTAGGATATTAATATCCTAAAATGAACATTCGCTCCATTAAACATTAGTAATATATTGAACGATAAACTTAACTAAAAGTAGGTCAGTAGTTACACTTTAGAACACAAACCTACTTACGAAATCTTTTCATCTCTAGGCTAAATCCTAAGATAGTCGGACTATAGATAAGGAAGTCCTCTAGCTTAAGCTGTTCTAGGTCGATATCGACTAGCTTCACTACCTTACAACGCCCCAGAACGCTCCATTAAGGTCGCACTTTTTGAGGGCGAAGGCATAGATAGTTCGGTATATTCTCCTAGAAGCACTCGAAGTCTACCATAATATTACCTTCGACGTAGTAAGCGACTATATTGCCATCTTTATTATAATTAAAGGCTCTTCCCTTATATTATTAATAATAAATACCGAGAAGAGATATAAACCGGCGGCCGCATTCCTCTAGTTAACTCCGAATCTCGTCTTTCTCAGAGTGGTACTCGAGAGGATATACTGGGAGAAGGTCGATCCGTGTTGCGCCACGAAAGGTGGGAATTAAGCTACTAGAAGTAATCTCACCTAACGCTTTTCCATCTAAACCTGGGTATCGAGTTTCAATATGCATATACTGGGAGCCTACCATATCTATTCTCTTCTCTATTTGACTATACAGGAGACATCTCGATACTTACGTGCCTTTACAGGTAGTATATACCTCTATATTAGGTTTAAATAGTGCTCAGAGTAAATCGTACGTAATCTCTTTGTTCTTCGTTAGCTTAGACAGTCGCTCGTTGGTAGGCTTAAAGCAGCCTCGACGTAGCACAGGAAAACTTCTAGGTGCTTTTCTACTATGCTCCCCGTAGAGCTGCGTAAAATAACCTCCATATGCCGCTAGAGGTCTAAGCGGACATAAAAGATGGCATTTAGTTCGATCTACACGCATTAGCCTGCTCAGAATAATAACATCCGTAATCCGTACCGATAGCTTGCTATCGGCCAGGGAGACGCCGCGAATATTTCCGCAAATCTCTCTCAAAATATCCCGTATCCAGGGAGACTTAATATCGATGTAAGACGTTTTCTCTAGGGTATTCTTATCTATAAGTCGGTTAGTTAGGTTAAATATTGAATAACGAGGGCTTACCAGTTCTCTCGCGGACGACAAACAAGAATTCGTCAAGTTTATCAAGATCTAAACCAACCCACTCGACAATCTTAAATTTACCTTCCTTTTCGTTCCATCTACGAACTGTTAGTCTAATTACTGTTATAGGATTCCGTATATATATTTCGTCAACGCGCTTGTACTCGAGCTTCGATGCCTAAATAGTTCCGCTGGCCTTATTAATTTGCTCTTCCCCAGCCTCAGATGTACTGCTTGACGGAGGAGTCATTGCATCGAGGGAGCGCTTCGCCAAGGTATCTTCAAGCCCACGGAGGCATAGTTCTTCTAGTTGGACTAGCTCGGAAGCTCGGTCTATCTTCTAGGTATACTTTTCCAAAGGCTTAATGCTCCTAGTAGTGGCTGCCGAAAAGTCCCAAGTCGACGGTAGCTCTTCGAAATCTCCGTTGCCGCCGGCGTCATCTTCCTTGGGGGTATTTAGGGGGGTTTTAGTTTGGTAATTGGAGATGTCGAGGCCCTGGGTCTCCATGCCCCTACTAGTCGATGGTGACGTCGACACAGCGTTATATGGAGAAGGTGACTTCCTGGAATTTTCCTTCTCAGAGAAGCGGTTCGCAGCAAGAAAATTGTGAACAAATTGCCACAAGTATTCGTACGCATATCTGCCCAAGAACATGAAAATCCCATAGATGCATAGGAAGCTAGCATCACTGTTTAAGTTCCTAGCTCGAAGCTGTTAGATGGTAGGAGCTAGGCTGGTAAAGCCAGATAGAAAGAAGTCCAAAATGGAAATTTGAGGAGATAGGGTAGATAGAAATGGTAGAGAGCTAGCGTTATTGAACGCGGTCATCGTGGGAAGGTTGAGGATGGAAAAGTCGAAAAGGAATGGGAAGTACTGGGGTGGAAGCGAACGAATGGGCCGTGCTAAGAGGTAAGCTGGTTCGACTCCGGAGGGAAGTCTGACCAGCTTTATACCCATCAATGCGACAAGTATCGTACCTCTGTCACGATCCATTGCAATCCTTTTTCCACCCCACGTCCTTCCTGCCATGCCGGCATATGTTGGATGAATATACGCTGGCATATAGACATGCATGGCTTGCATCAACACGAGCTTTGATCGTAATTATTCCATAAATATCCGCTGCCACGCTCCTCGGCCTTGTGTTAGCATTGAGAGAGGCAAGTCCTTGTCAGTTCATCTCCATTTTACAGAAGAGCTTGATGGCTGCGTAGGCGACGGAGTTTGTGGCGAAGTGATTGCAGGTCGGGCTGGCGCCAGTAGTGTTTGAACGATGGTTATCTCCGACGCAGGAGATGGGGGCGACGAGAGCTCTAAGTCCTGCTGGAGTCAAATCGCTGGATACTTGAGGCTGCTAAGAGCACCTACCACGTCGTCCTCTGCCGTGAGATCGATGACTTCAGGATTTCGTTTCCACTTCCGTCCCAAGATATTACGAAGCGAAGGAAGGTCATCGTCGTCATCGTTAAGACAGTCGGCCTTGCTGGGATTTTGTTCTGATTTAAAAATAAGCCGAAGGTCTCAAATGGAGGGGGGATATAAGCACACCGTTAGTAGTAGTCGCACTGGATGTCTCACCAATCTCGCAAACATTAATACCTTCTAGCTCAAAAGAACTAAAACCAGATCTAATGATCGGTGGCATTGAACCATAGCTGTATATAGTTTCCGACATAGCTTTTCGGTCAAAGTTTCTAAGGGATAATATCAATTTTGAGGGAAACAGACACCTCACACTATACTCCAAGGTATAGAAGAGTCGTAAAGCAGCTAAACGCGATAGTACTGCAAAGAACGAAGACTGGGGGCTCCAACACCCTCTGACATACAGGGAAGAGAAGAGGTAGATTTCGACTGAAGAAGGAGCCTGGGAGGCTCGATTCTTAAATGCCTATGACCACCGTTCTGAGGACTTCACATCCTGGTCTTGACACCATTCTCAGCTGTGCGTTGCGGCGCGTCCACCACAGACGAATTCGGCATCCACAACACTTTTGCCCTATTCTTCGCCTCGTTGACACGCTTATGTGGTCAGGAGGCTTACCATCTCTGGGCCTAGCTGATTTGGCACGTAGCCGGGTGGCTGTACGCCGCTCGGTGCCTGAAATCCGACTGTATGTTCGTAACGTTTCCTCCCTTTCATCTCGCCAGCCCATAATCACCGTGGAGTCTCCCCTTCTTCGTCCAGTGTACACAGATGTGTCTGTCTCCCTGCTTTTCAAGATTTACATGATCTCAACCCTCTGTTAAGTCCAGTCTGGATGTGCTTTAACATTTCCGCTCGAAGGCCGATTGAGACGTTATTCGCGAGTCTGGCATTCTCACTGTACTTGAAGAAAGTCGTTGCCACCGCTTCGATGCCTATTGCGCACGCACCTCTCCTCTTTCTACTGCCTTTCTAATTCAACTCTGGTGGGAGAAAGCCCGCCCATTTCCCCACTCGCGCCCAGTTTTAATCTTGTTGCGCAAACCCAAGCCGGTGTGATCGTCCGATGGCAAGGCAGAATTTGAGTTTGGCGATAAATTCACAGCCAATGCTACCAGGGGATACTGGGTCGTTCCTCGGAGTTCGTGCAGTGCATATGCAGCCGCGGCGGGTCAATAGTTGTGCGACTCAGCCACCCCACTGTCTCGTCTGCACGCCATCCGCTGAGGTATTTCTGCCATTGGGTCGCACCAAAGATCAGGTGTCCTCTCGACCCGCGGTAGGTTTTAGTGGAAGTACAACCATACAGCGTGTCGAAACTGCGATTTTGAGTCTGCTGTCGATTCTTAGGGTAAATCAGGAGTTGGAAACGTCCCACGGGCTGAAATTGGCTATATGGGAAGGACATATGATAGTGATAAGTATAGAGGCCAGGACATTAAAGTAGTCTGGCGCGAAAAGATCGGAGGGTAGCAAGCAGAGGCGGTGGAAGGCATATCGCCAGCAGGAATTCGTTGGAAGGGGTCGATCGAACTCGCGCAGGTTTGGATCGTTCTCTCCAACGAGTGGTGATCACACGAGTGCCAGCTTTGTTTAAACGGTAAGTCAAAACTGGAGAGGGACGCGGCGACGGTGGGATATCTTGGGGACGTGGACTCTGGTGAAAGCAGCGAGGAGGTAATCTCCTCTATTTATCCTACACCTAAGCGTGAGAAAGCCCGGCAGAATTGGCCGCTTGAGTGTAAGTGGTAGGCGGTCGACAGCAAAGATGGCCGCTCCTTACCACTCTAAGCAAAGCAAGCCGGCGGAAGCCAGCCCAGAAGTGTGCGTGCACAGACGCCGCTTTTGAGAACGATCGTGGTTCTATTGGACGAGCCCTGCGCCATGGCGAGCGACACAGCGATGGATCAAGAAAGCCAATCACGGCCGTCCGCAAGGGTATCCACGAGGGTGAGCAGGGAGATTGCCGCAACCATTGGCGCCAAGGCGCCATAGCTTTTCGCCCCCACGACCAGTGAGACACGGGTGATCACTCACCCGGCTCACCCTGACTCACGCGCGACCGGGGTGAGCACAGGGCGGCATCACCCTCGTCCTAAAGAGGGGTGAGTCGCGAGCAGTTTCCCCAAACCTTGGCATCCAATGTTCGATTCTTCATGTGAATGATTCGGATCTTGTCCTCAGCCTCGACTCAGTCTTATGCTCATGGCTAACACGCACATATCAAATTACAATCATCAATAGACCGGTCATATTTCTTTAATATGCGTGACGAGGCCTTAGCAATCTCCACCAGCTGCGAACCACCTCAAGCGCCTTGACATATCTTGAATGAAATGTTTATCCTAGTAGGTCACAAGTCACTCTACCCTCGATTTGGCTGTCAAAGTAAAACCAGCGCTCACGTCTTGATCTAGACTACAATTTCTGATCTGGTTCAAATCCCGCCTCACGGATTCCGGAACAACCAGATCACGCGGAACGATCTGGAAGACAGAATCAACGAGAAATACTCGAACAAAGTACGTCTTGGAGACATCGACATCTAGGACTTGATTCGTTTTCTGCTTGCTTACTTACCTTTTCTTTCGCAACGACTAGGTCGTCCAGAATGTCGGACTTTGTATCTGCATGTACGATCTCCTGAAAGCATCGGATGGCTTGATCGGAAACGGGACTGGAAATGCCAATGTCAACGGTAGGTTCTGAACTCGACCCTCCTTCCATCCACAGATGGCGAGGTCCACATTTCCACAGAGTCTGGAAACAGTTTCGAAAATCAAATCTAACACGTCCTCGTGTCGTCTTAGTGGAATTCCGCATGATTGTCTTCCGACCATTCAAAGGCGAGATCGTCACGGGAACAGTTCAGCAATGTGTCCCGAACGGTATTCAGAGTAAGTCAAGTCCGTGAAGAAGCGCATGCCGACAACGAATGGAGTGATTCTCAAGTCCCATACAACGAGACCTGCAAAGAAGTAGCACTGACTTTCCAATCCCAACACAGTCACGACACAATTCTTCGAAGACATCTTCGTCCCCCAGACCATGCTCTTCGAGGGCTGTGAATAGTGAGTCTCTTCCCTTCCCTTCCCATCCCATCCCATCCCATTCCATGCGCACATCAGTACCATCTCCCACCCTCACCACCTCTCCACCATCATCGCATCATCGCATCTAATCTCCAACCAGCGACTCCACCGAGAAAACCTGGGTCTGGAGAACCGAAGAATCCGAACTATGGTTCGACATCGGCACGGTGGTGAATCTGCGCATCGAAGCGGAGAAATGGGTCGATCAGGCGCCCAAAGCACCCATCAAGAGTGGCGGTGCTGCGGGCGCGGCTGGCGAAGCTGTGCTCGAGCGTGCAGTGCCGTACTCTATCGAGGTATGCTCATCTTGATGTCCTTTCCGATGAAGCCACGAATGATGGCGGACAAGTGGGACATGCTGATTTTGTCTCTTGATAGGCGTCAATGGCGGAGGCCGGGCTTGGTGGTGTGGAGTGGTGGTAGGATGGAAAAAAAGAATTTGGTCGTGATGATCGTGATTTATCAAGGGGCGAAACTGTTAGGGTTCACCGTTGAGGACGATGAGGCTCGTTCTCAGGTAACTTGCAGAGTCTATGATGGCTCTATGCCTGACTCCGTTTTCAGTGGACCTCGTCCGTAATAATGGTCTTGGAGCAAATAATTACGGTGATCCAACTCGACTCTAGGATATCACTGCTCGACTTGGACGGAGCAGCCAACAAGCCAGCTCCATAATCGGTCATTCGAGACAGCAAGCTTGGCCTCCTCAAGCATACACATTACAAAATCTCATTCAGGAACTGGATTGGAAATGAAGGCTTTGGAGGCCATGGATTCGACATACACCTACATCGAGGACGCCAGGCTTGTGGTGTATATATGCTGTACATGATAATGTGATACATTGAATGATCTGTTTCGATCCCCTCACTTCTTACCACCTGTATCTTTCCTGGTGGATTCCTGTGGTGGATTTTGTCTACCAAAGGAATTGATCAGATCCAATAGATTCATATCATCCTCCTCAAATTCGTTCTTTTCGTCTTCAAACTGAATTTCTTTCTTCTTCTGCCTCGTTTGTAGTTGTTGCGTCGATTGAGGCGAAGGTCCCTTGGCGTCGACTTTCCCTTCGACCGCTGCTTGCACAGGATCTGCCTCCACCTGATCTTGGACGGGTTCCTCAGGGATGGTGTCAGCGACTGTCGGGTTGGCTGAGGCAGCATCGAAGAAGCGACCGAATCTAGCTCTGAAACCCGCCAATCGGCCTGCTTCATCGTCTTCCACAGACATTAGATCCTTGGAGCTCGGGTTCCACATCGGGGCATTTCGAGTATCTCTGTTGGACCGGTAGACTGGGACGGGAGAGGTGGTGCGCATAGTGAAAGCGCTACCGTCGGAGAGAGTAACTAGTTGAGTGAATGTATAGGGTCTCTTTGGACGGCGTAGAAGACGGGCATGACGGCATGATTGACAAACATATGTAGTTGAGGTTGATGTTGAGGATGGGAGACTGGGGAGGTGTTGAGGTCGGAGGACGGGTCGGAGGGCGGTTGACATGATGTCTGTAGCCCTCTGTTTAGAGGCTTAGAGAGCGAGGGTGAGGGCTGATAGATTTGAGGTGTTGATTGACGTGGTGGTAGATAGAGTGAAGTTCGGGGTGAGGAACGCAGAGTCAAGCCTGAGCCTGCATCGCGGAAATCGCGACTGCCAAGACTTTTTTATTTATCGGAGGCAGGTGCGGCTGGACATGGAATGTTGATCCTCAACTCCCATCCCCATCGCGCCTTCCCCCATCCTTTGGTCACTTCCAACCGACTCTCCAACTTTGCGGACCTCGTCGTCGCTGAAAATTTGGAACCTTCTATCATCTAGTCCTTGCGTCCCATTCAAGCTCATGTTTTAAACCTTGCTCTCTTTCTACAACAACCATGGCGAGAGTGAATACGGCTGTCAGTTTTGACGACATCATTCAAGCTGGTGAGTTGTTGTTCTCCATGACAGCATCAGCAACCTCCGTATCCGTGTCGCTGACAACACCATCCAGATCGAAACAAGAAGAGGAATGAAGCTCTCGCCTCTCAAATATTTGGCAAGAAGAAAGACAAGAACCTTCCCACTAGACCAAATTCCCGCCCCTCGGATCTAGCCAGCAGAATCACAAAGGTATGACGCGCCTACAAGCAAATCTGGCCAGAGTTAGAGTTCCGAATATTGATCTCTCTCTAGCGATCCTCCTCGGTCAACAGCACCGGCTCACCGAGGAGCAACTCATTCAATCCGCCTTCAAGACCTTCCTCTACAAAACCACAGAATGCTCGCTCCAACCGCATTGCATCCGCCATCACTTCCGGTCAAGCAAATGTGCTCCCTTCACAGTCAAGAACGAAAGGCCCAGGTCTAAGCATCAAGGGCAAAGCTGGTCCTTTTGTGGTGGAAGCCCGTAACTTTGCTCCGGGTACTACTGCCGCCGACATTGAATCAGCCCTGGCAGACCAAATCTTGGATAGTACAGGTTCCAATGGATTGTTATCATGTCGCCTGGTTTCTGTGACTCCCACCGTCGTTGCAGAAATGATCTTCACCGAAAAAGATATCGCCGATAGAGTCATCTCCATGTACGACAAACAAAAAGCCGACGGCAGGATTCTGCGCCTGTCCCTAAAGCCTGCCAGTGCTTCCACAACCTTCGTTTCACAGGCTAAGCATACTGATCTAATCGATGCCGTGGAACCGACTCTATCAGACACGCTACCCGAATCCGTGCACGATAATGTGATGGACGACGTTGAGATGGGTCAAGATACATCTTCTGCAGTTTACCATGATCAACAGGGGCATGATGCAAGACGTGCCGAGCCTGAGGTGCAAGATGGCCGCTATGGATTCGATGATTCACAAGTCGAGCAAAAGGACGAAAGACGGGATGACTCACACCGTGACAGAGATCGGGATCGAGAGTATGAGCGAGAACGAGAACGAGATCGCGAAAGGGAACGCCCACGTGAAAGTGAGCGCGAACGTGAACGGGATCGGGACCGGGATCGAGCTAGAGATCGTGATCAAGGTCGTTACGAACGTCGTCCAGACCGAGGCTCATATCGTCGAGATGAGCGACCACCAGCTTATAACTCACGCACCTCGCATTACGGAAACGGTGTCGGTGCAGGCGCTGCCCCTGGCCCACTGTCCGGTAGAGGCTCCTTTATTGGCGGACAGGGAGGCTTTCGAGGTGGTGGCCCTGGCCGCATGTACAGTGACGATGTGATGCGTGGCGGTTGGCGTGGTGGCCCTCAAGGTGGATTCGGCGGCAATTATAGAGGAAGGGGTGGGTACTAGCTGTTACTGGTACCGAGTGCCTGCCTACTCTTTTCAATGTGCTCCGTGGTGTTTCCTGGTGAGCAATGAGCCAGGGATTCGACTACTGGCCAGAAAACCACTACTGTGATCTATGTCAAATGGAAACAATGGAGCCAGGCACACAAAACTAGCGAAGCAGTGAAAGCAAGCTGGACCAAGGGCGATCACAAACGTGTCGCCTGCTGGGTCACTCAATTAAGCCTATCCATGGTTTATCCGCGGGAGGCAGTTCACACACTTGATATGTACAATGAGAGATGCGCCATGAACGACTTCAACTTACTCGTCCCTTCCTTATTCGTGCCGTTTCACATGCACTTGCCAGTTACTACTGATTCCGTCCTGGGATCTGCCTTTGCACTTTCACCATTCTTTCTCTTTCTCGCTGATAGGAGAACCTCAGGGAGTACAGCCAACGCCACTACAGTCCATCATTTCGATTCAACGAGGCCTGCGTATTGTTGCTGCATTTAGGACGCTTATATTACACCGATCACTCCAATGAAGAAATTCAGTGATCTCATCCGCCTGGGGGCATATTGCCACTCAGCCCTCCACTTACGAAAACCACAAGAACTGCCGCATACGCTGCACACGCCCCGAAAATCTCAGCCCTCCGAGCGTTCGTCAAGAAGCCCACGCAGATTGCAAATGCTATGGTGTACCCGGCAATGAAGCCAAGCCGCTTTGTGTTGCTCTCCACGAAGTACAGATTGAACATTGCACCGAAGAGCAAGCATGATGCTAATGCTATGTAGATGAACACGACAAAAGCATGGAGACGTCGCTCGGAATAGTATAGTAATTGGCTGTCGAGGTTGCTACCAATCCCTCGCTTCTGTGCTTCAACGTCAGATTCCGGCGCCCTCTTCTGTTACCCAAGGGTTTAGCACTCAACCACGGTCAGCTGGGGCCTTGGAGGGACTTACTGCGAAGAACACTGGAAATGTATTCTGCAGGAACCGGGTAAGCCGATCGTCGTCCGTTGCAATCTTAAGCGAAATCAGATCATCGGCATTATCAAAAATGCTTGTATTGAGGCCATCAAGTGCTGGAACACCAGGACTGAGCGAGCTTTTGACATTGTTAAAGCAGTTTCGTACAGCCTCGAGAGTTCTCTGACTGGGCCTTTCGATCGCTCTGATCTGGTGTTCTAGCAGCAGCATCTCCCCTGTACAAACATGTCAGTCTCAACATCTGTGCGCACTGAATTTCGCATCCATACGGTAATCTCTCATCGCCATCTTCAGCTTCTGAACTAATTGTGCGCGCTCCTCAATCTGACACCGGATTGACTCATCGGCTTCTTCGACTTTCATAGTGTTCCAGTCTCTCAAGCATGCCTTCACATCCATCGACGCTCGAATATCTGCATGATCCAGGGCTTCCAGACGATGCTCAATACTTAAGAGCTCACTCTGCAGGTAAAGGAGGTTGCGAACTGCCAGGCGGTCAAATGTGCGAAATATGCATGGACTTCGATCTTTGTCGCGGACCATGAATCGCGCAAGGCCTTGATAACCAGATATATACTCCATCTTGAAGCAATTGTAATCTACAGATTGGACTCTGGTAAGGATAACAATGGTGGCTACTCTCTCTCTCAGCTGCCAACACATCTCGTTGTCTGCCAAGGATGAGGCTGCCTGTCAATGAGGCAGATGAAACGTACAATATCACTAATTGGCTGCTGCCATGAACCCCGCCATCATAAGGCAACAAGGCAGACTGCCCACTGGCATCTTCCAGAGATGTTTGTGAATTGTACTGCCCCAGCTGAGATCTTGCACAATCTTAGAAGACAGACCTGTGCTTCACTGTCATCGACAAATACTTGGACATAGAAATGGCAGACGACTCTCAGAGAGCTGATGGTGAATTGCACAACTTTTCATCGCACCGCTATTCAGTATCTCTCGCTACTAACGAGGCTGTCGACGAACAAATTTTCAAGCAAAGAAGAGGAGTTCATCGCTCCAGTCACTCAACCCGGACTTTTATCGATGTCAGTGGGCATTCCGAACACAACCGATCGCACCTCTTGTGGTGGCGGCAGCAACGAAAGTACTACGATCCAACTCAATGGTCGAACGAGCAAATACAGCTGTTCAACCGGGTAATTAGGAGGAAATCATCTGACGTCAGTCGGTGGAGAAACGAGCCTGCAGTTTTTCTTCGCAAAGTTTGGAACATGCAGAATTTGATGGAAAGTCAAGAAAGGCCGTCGTCTGATTTTGCTACTCTTGCTCAACCATCAGACGGAGAGTTGAAACCACACCTTCGACGATCAAAACTCAAATGGGATGCGCCGATAAATCTAAGAGGGAGCGAGATCCTTGCTTGCCCAGACACAGGATCTGAACAAAACATTCTCTCAAACGACATTGCGGGTGAGCTTGGGGTCCTGGATCAGATTGATCCAAGTCGATCATGCAAATTCATCCTCGCCAACGGCAAGGCGAGCTGGTCGTTAGGCACTATCGAGCTAGAAATGTGCTTCTCCAAACAGCCAGAGATATTGTTTACGTGCATATTCCACGTCTTTGAGAGTCTCATCCGCCCCGTCATATTGGGCGGAGTTTTTCTCAGAAATTCCGATACTCTCACCAAACACAGGCATAGTCGCCTCCGTCGAAGATTTGAGCCGATATCTGGGTATCCCACAGTCTTACATATCGGATACGCCAGGGAGAGGTTCAGATGCTATGTGGATTCTGTTATGGTGGATACACATGCTGACACGGGGTCGGAGATGGATCTAGTATCGAGCAAGTTTGTTCAAAAGTCTACACAGAGAGCTAAAGCTCTTGAAACACCAATGGCTGTCCAATTTGCTGACGGAACTTTTGGTGAGATATCCCATCATATCTTCACAAGATTCTCTGCCGATCTTGAGCGTCCCAAGTCTGAGTGGGAAGGTAAATGGTTCTACGTCCTGGACGATCTTCCTTGTGAGGTTCTCCTTGGAGATGATACATTGGACATGCTAGACGCTTTCAATCGGGAAACTTCCTTCGTAATGGAAGTCCTTGATCCGGAAGGGATCCAGCTGTGTACAATATTCTGGGCACATCACCTGGACCAGAAGGCTTCGAAGCTATGGAATAAATTTTCAGTCTTGGACCTGGAAAAACATAAGAGGAGTGCTGATGGTAAACTTTGAGTCCCATTCTAATGAAACCATGCTAATAATTTGGCATAGATTCAGTTCATCAGGATCAAGAACCATCCGTCGCCTTCGATGATCCATTACTGGCCAATGTGGACGCAGAATTTCGCAACTGGGTAAACGACATGATCTCCGGGGGGAAAGGTCTGACAAGCGCATTGCAGCGTAAGTGCCAGGCTATTTGACGACGAGGCTCACAAGTCACATACTCATCTGCTCAATAGCGAAAGACCGCATTGATATGCAGCTTCTTGATGCCCTGGACAGTTGGGAATCGAACCGACGGAGCAAGCTCGCAAGCACGCCAAGCTACTCGGAAGACTCCATAGAAACAGATCGTCGAAAAAGCTACGATGCGTCTCGGGGAATAGTCCTCCATGCACTTAGTCGCATTCAAGCGAGACCTGTGGCCGCGGACAGCATCAGATGTACAAACACAGACCGTAGCGCAGCGCCAGTTGCGACTCAAGAATTGCTAGCTAACCAGATCGATCTATCTCACTCCAACCCTAGAAGAAAGCGACGCTTTTTGCCACTGGACATGCTGCCCTGGGCTACGCCTCGGAGGATAGGGAACTACAATGACGTTTAGGATTGTTGTGTCAAGTCCCTAGGTACGTTGATTGGGCGCTCACGGAAGGTGGTTACCCTTGCCCATATGGACCCTCGCAAGTTACAGGCACCGGCACGCTTCATTTCTGTCGCACGCTACAGCAATACGGCCGCTAGCGGGTACTGGTCAACCAGGAAAGCCATAAGGAACGCAAAACCCACGGACAGGGATATAAATCGAACAGTTCAGTCAGGCGGATTTCCCAAGTGTTTTTGCGTGGCGTCTTCGGAAAGGATATTGGAGTAATCGCGGCAGTGTACAGGACATGTCATTGCGGACCATGCGAAGGAATACCCAAGAACGCGACTCATGTGTGAGTAGCGAGCGAGCTCAATGCGCAATGAGCTTGGCTACTGCTGATTAGCAATTTTCAATCTGAGTTCACCCCTTGGTTAAACTCCCAAGCTCAACATGCTCACTACCTAACAAGGTACAGTTTCGCTGGTAGAACCACGCGTAGAGTCCCTGCCCGCAGACAACGGTTGGTTCAACTTGCACTTGCAATTGTTGAACATCTCGCAGAGAAACGTGTGGTTTCGGAGAGAAAAGTAAAGGGGGAAAGGGACATGTGCTCGTGGTTTCGTACTTGGGTAGCATTCAAGTTCGTGATTCCAAGCTGAGTTGAAATTCAGCCTCACTCTGTTCTGCTTGGCACCCAAACCCTGTCACGGCCAGGTTAGGCACAGTACAGAGTACTACCCAAGTACCTCGGTACTCGAGGCTTTCGGGTTTGAACCCCAGCATTATTCATACACGTAAATACACATAGAAGAAGACGGAACGCCATTGCCATTTCCATTATCGCCATGAGCATCGGTCATAACCTTTCCTTCCCCAGGTCCGTAAAATCACCCCCGGACCGCGGCTCAAAACCAAGGGGCATCATGTTTCCGTGGAGGGACTTTCTCTGAATGCAGAAAATCATCCCGACCCCTCGACATTCCTCTTTATTCTGATCCAAACACCACCCGCTCTAGCGTGCATATTGAATTTGAATTTGAACTTCACATGCGTTTTGACCAGTCACCACTCACTCACTCTTCAACATGCTATCGACCAAGTCACCGAGTGGACCCCAGTAATCCTTGCCGCCGCCTTTGGCCAAGTCGTGCTCGTCGATGAACAGAACGTAGTGCTTGAAGCTAGTGTTCAAGTGTGGTTCCAGGCCCAAATGGCCGATGACCTGGTAGTGGTGGCAGTAGATGTGGGCGTAGACTCGGTAGAGGCGCTTGAAGAGTTGGCGGACGGTGGATGGGAAGTGCTTCGGGAAGGGGACCCCGATGCGGGATGGGAAAGTGGATTCGTTGTCGATGTTGGATTGCACCCATGTCATCAGGTGCTCAATGTACTCTGGAGCGGGCATCTTGGTCGGTTTAGAATAGCCGGACGCTGCGTCTTGCCAGAGATATTCGAATCTGGTCGGATTAGTCAATTAGGGTGGGCAGAGAACAGAACGGGGCTTCTACTTACTCGTCAGTGGCTTTCATCTCGGGACATGTTTGTGGAGAGCAGAATTCTGTGATGGATCCATAGAGGAGGTTTATCTGGTTGTAGAAGTCGACCACTGCAAAGAAACAACAATCGAACTGTCAGCCTGACCATGTCTCGGAACATCCTCTTTTTTCATCTATCCCCTTACCATTCACGGCTAGCCACTCATTCAGATCTTCGCCTTCGGGTAACTTGACCGCCTGTCTCAGACTGCCACTTCCTAGAGTTGCCTCTGCGAATTGTCTCAGTTGGTAGCTAGTGGTCCCTTTGGTGGCATTTCGCGGTTTGAATTGACCCCGGGTGCGGGCATTGCTAAAGGGTGAAGATGGGTCAATACTTGAGGATTGTGACTTCTGGGGCTTTGTAGGTGAAGGAGATGGAGAACCGAATGCGGAGGACCGCAGCAGCTGTTCAGCACGAGACGTGGGGGAATATGAGCTGATCAAAGAAGGTTCAGGGCTGTCAAGAAAAGTGTAGGAATTGATGGTGACACAGGAAGATGATTGTTTGAGGGTACAATGAGGCGGCAAGGCCTGTGCAACGGGAGAAGAAGTCAACGGTACGAACATTGTGGTTAACAACGAGGTCATGGTGAGATCTCGTTTGTGGAAGAAGAGTAGGAAGAAGTAGGTGTTGTAGGTGGTCGTCGCAGGCAGTCAGAGTGAATGTCGCGCGGAAGTGTGTGTATGTGTGTGCCCGTCTCCGTGTCTATGTGAATGAATACATTCCAATAATCAGTGGATGGTCAAAGTGCGCGCAACAGTGCACCACTTGATGTGATGGACGCGGTGGCTTGACACTCACATTGTCGGTCGTTTCAAAGTGCACCGTTGATGGTCTTTTCTTAAAGAACTCGGTTTGCAACGAAGGGTGGTAGGTTGTAAAAGATTCACTGCGGACCAAAGTAGAGAGTCTGATGAGAGAATGTAGTCAAGAAATCAGTTGCATGGATGGCCGCAGTCTGCAAGAATTTCACATGCCGTGGATGATTCAGTGTCGGTGCGATGAAACTGGATCCAAGGGCACCAAGTGCGGTGAGGGGACTGACCAGCGGCAGTGACACATGTTGTCATGGGCAACCACCAAACGCACTCGGTGACATGTTTTTCCGCTCACTTCGGATAAACCAAGGGCAGTCGACGTCCGTGAGGGTTTCTACTTTAGCCATACAATTGACAATGTCTTGTCAGGTGTCAAACTCTTTAAATCATGGAAAAGTGAAATTGCTGAAAATCTAGCTCACAAGAGCTCTCTGCATTCTCCAAGCACAGGGTATCTCACAGCGCTACTTCATACATCAGTTACAGGTATGTTTTTCGGGCTCCAGCGCATCATTGCGCGAGCATCTCCAAGCCCAGCCAGTCCCATTCTTCCCCCATACCACCATGTGGCTAGAGATAGGTATACGCCGATTTGCTCATCCATAATTCCATGCCAAAAAGCCATATAGTTGTCCGCAATGAAAAAGCTCCACGATTGCTGGTCACTCCTCAGCCAATCTTTCACAATCTGGGTGAGCTGACGCTCAAATCTTGGACAATATCACGAAGTTCGTTCTCCAGTTCTGCTGTCTCGTTGTGAGGGTCGTACATTTTCTCCTTGATCCATGCCTCCAAGGCGTCATCGTCCATGTCTCGAAGAGAATGAAGACGGTCTACATTGTCCTTCTGTGCCGCACGAATCACATAGAGCGCCACTCGGGCGCTAACATCCCGAATGCGAGTAATTCCAGGGTACAGAAGAGCAAGGTCTTTCTCTTCCTCGGTAATCATGGTTGGCAAAGCTTCGCCCGAAGCATAAATCATGTTGCTAGTGACTTGCACAGCCTTGCAAAGAATCGTTCCAAGTCCAATACCGGGGAAAACGTACATGTTGTTCCCTTGACCCGGGTGGTATTGCTTGCCGTTATAAGTGACCGGGTGGAAGGGTGAGCCGGAAGCAAATAGAGCACGACCGTCGGTGTTGGAGATGGCTTCTTCAAATGTGCATTCCGACTTGGAGGATGGGTTGGAAAGCGGGAAGATGATTGGTCGGTCATTCCATTTACCCATCTTCTGTAAAATCTCCGGGGTAAATGCCCCACCAATGGTACTGAGACCCATGATAATGGTGGGCTTGACGTACTCAATCACATCATCCAGAGTTTTGTACTGTTCGCCCTTGTTGTCGGTACGTGAGAAATAGATCTTGTGATCTGCAAGCTTGTCTCCGCGATCCGAGGTGACGAGGCCTTTGCTGTCGACAAGCCAGAAGCAGTTCTTGGCCTCTTCTTCGGTCAATCCCTCCTTGACGAAGTAATCAACGATCTGTTTGGCCACGCCGACACCAGCGGACCCGGAGCCCAAGAAGACGGCGCGGTGATCTTTGGGAGCAACACCAGATTGCTTGACGGCACCAATAATGCCACCCATGATGACAGCTCCGGTTCCCTGGATGTCATCGTTGAACATGGCATAGTCATGGCGATATCGTTCCAACGAGGGGAATGGATTCTTCCAGTCCTCAAACTGGATCACGATATCTGGCCAACGATCCTTCAATGCGGCCATGAGTTCGTCTAGAAACTCTTTCTCCTCTTCCGCAGTCACTTTCTCTCGACGGCTGCCCATGTAGAGAGGATCTTCCAAGAGTGCTTTGTTGCCAGTTCCCAGATCCACGGTCAAAGGGAGAGTGCCTTCGGGTCGAATGCCGGCACAACCCGTGTATAGAGCCAACTTGCCAATTGGGATACCCATGCCTCCAACACCGAGATCACCAAGACCCAGAATTCTGGAGCCATCGGTCACCACAGTAATTTCGACGTGTGCTTGAGGCCAGTTCTGAATGATATTCGAGAGATGGCCTCGGTCTTCAAAGCTGAGATACATGCCTTCTGGCTGTTGGTAGATTTCTGACCATCTCTGACAGGCTTCTCCAACGGTGGGGGTGTAGACCAAAGGAGTCAACTCGGTGAAGTGGTCGGTTAAGAGTCTGTAGAACAAATGGACATTGTTGTAGCGGAGAGTGCTTAGATACAGAAACCTCTCAATGTCGGTGCTCTTGAGAGCCAGTTGGGCGAGGCATCTCTTCTTTTGGATCTCGTAGCTCTCGGCACGAGGTGGGGTCAGACCATATGTCTGGAGGTACTTCCGTACTGGGATGGAGAGAGAAGTGTCGTAGTGGGCAGAGCGGTTGGGAACATGGGCCGTCGGCAGGGTATGCTTTTGACGGTGAGCCAAGGGAGATTGAGGGCCGTGAGAAGAAATAGAGCCTAGATTGGCAGTATGTTTGGCAATGGGAGCCTGAGTAGCAGAAGTGGTGGCCATGGTGGTGGACTGGATTTTGATGAGGTGAGTGAGGTTGGTGAGGTTGGGCCTCAGGATGGGAAGGCGAGTGGTTTTGTAGAGCATATGGAAGGGTGGAGGAGCCGGGTGACAATACAAATCAACAGAAGGAAGTCAGGCTGGCCAAGTGCAATTGCCGACGGTCTGAGGAAGCTACGAGGGGCCGTATCCGTGGAGAGCGAGAGCGAGAACAGTAGGGGAGCGGGAAGGTGGCACTGGCTCCAAGTTCTGGGACGACTGCAAGAATGGGGAGACGAGCAGAGAGGTGGACTTATGGTATCAGGCTAAGAGCAGCGGAGTGGTATTGAAATGGGTCAAACGATGGTGGAACGATAATGATCCGGGTGAGAAGAATCAAGGTGGTCAAGACAAGAGAGGTGACACATGGACACAGTGCAGGTTGCAGATGCAAGACCAGGAGACAGGAGACAGGAACCAGGATCAAGAATGGCAGAAGAGGAGGTTGCACGAATAGACAACGAGACAGGCGATGAAGATGGAACTGGAAGGGAAGTGAGAACACGGTGAGCAGAAAGAAAGACGTTGGATTGCACTGTTACTGGCTTGAAAGCTATAGCTGGCTCACGCGGTGTGCATTTGCGTGTTTGTTGAACTCACCTTTTGACAATCATGGCCTTTCAACTTTTTTTTTTTCTACGGATGCACGATGAATCATAATTGACCGGGACCAATGATAAGCATGTTGAGACGGGCATTGGGAGCTGCTGAGGTGCGGAGAATGCAAGGGACCTTTGGCTTGGGAAACACGAGCTAAGCTCTAAAATAGGTGCATGCTCGAGAGTACAATGGGGCTACGGGGGGCTACGAAGCCTAGAGCGATCGGCTTCTTTTCTTACCCGTCCGCCACCATGCCCTTTTGGTTATGGGCTGAGGGCTCTGACCTGTGCTCCGGAACACTGGCACCGGCAGCCAGGGCCACGAGAGAGCCCTACGGAGTTGACGGACAATTATGATTGTACTGAACGGCGTCCGAAGACAGGGGCCAAAAAGGATCTCGTGGCAGGTGACCGATATCTTATATCCAGGGCTGATATTCAGCAAGCTTGCGGTCTCCGTCCATACCATGGAAGATGCGCTGGTAAAATGATTTCCCCGATGGGTCGTCGAAGTGGGTACCTGAGGAAGGAAGTCCTTCTCGCTGTACGTTCCAGATTGTTTACTCGGTACAGTTGAAGTTGAAGTTGGAGTCGATCAGGGAGTCAGGGACCGGTGTCTATTCCCATGGGTCGGTCGGTCGCCGTAGCGGTTACTCTTAGGCCCTGACCACCCGTAATCTCCAAGCGAGCCAGGCGGCGGAGGCAAGGCTGAGTTTCCCCCCCGAATCGAGGCCCAAGGGACCCATCACAGCTGGTGCTTAGGCTGAAGCGGTGTGCTCATTCATCTGTCTCGTTGCTCAAGCTTCCGGATAGTCATCGTAACAAGTCGTGTGACCCGCCTTTTGACAAAGACTTCCGGCGAAGGCTTCCCCCGGACCCAAAACTGCACTGTAAACACAGGTCTCTATTTTCGTGAGCCATGCGCCTTCATGCAGGAACTCCTGCACCTCAAGCTTCAATCAACCGAAAGTGCGGAGTAAGATGATGCATTTTCTTCATTTTCTTCATCCTCGAGCTTGGACTCACATACTTCGTATACCGTGTTTTTCTTTGGCCAGCTATCTATGCGCATCGTATCTCGTGTCCGGTAACTTACGACCAATGGCCTGTAATAATGGACTTCAACCGACAATTACTCATGGTGAGCCCTTGATTAACGAACAAAAATGCCTCGGTTTCACATGTGGCGTTGGATACCAAACCTACGTTTCAGCATGCCTGAAGACCATTCCAACGAGGCTGCAACGACCTGGAACATTGTCGCAGATATTACCGAAATTTGTTCACCCGCGGTTAACAATGACCCGAAACAGCCCACATCGTAGCACTTGAATTATCGGAGTCACGAAAACAAATGGAAGCAACAGCAGAGAAATTGGTCAGCATATCGGTATGTAGCAGGCACCCAGCAGGTACCCAGCAGGAGTAGAAGATGGAAACCGCTTTGCTCTCATGTCAAATAGCAGCACAATCTGGCAGACCTATTCCTCTTCTTCTTGGCCTTTGACCATGAGTCCAATGACTTTTTTATTCGAAAACGCGGATCTCGAGTCGTGCTTGTAAATATCCATCCTAAGAACTTAAGTCACCTCATTGGGATTGACCATGGCCTGCCGGAGCCTTGTGACCTCAAGAGCAGGAACACTGCTCTCCCACTTTCAGCCTCGGGCTTTGAAAGCATCGCTCCATAAGAATCCGCCCATGAGTTTTCCCCCTCAAGCCTAAAGTCACAATCTACCTGGGCACCGAGATGGTTCATACAGGATTCACTTATAGCCCATACTCGACCCTTCAAGACCAAGTTGAGAGCCTATCATCGTGAACACATGCATGAGAACCCCGCCATCCATGTTGATCAGTCATCATTATAATGTAGGTAAGTCAGGCTGTTCTCCGCCCTGCTCACCGTCACCGTAAACATTCTTTATTCTGTAATCCGTCACCCAAATCAGCTGGATCTCGGCAACTCCGTGCTGGGGATGCGCTGATCCCCGACCTGCTCATCTGTGACCCATTTTCGACTTTTTACAATCGTAGACATCTTTTGACCACTCGCACACAGACCGCGGCGCCCCAATCCCAAAATGCTGAACCCCTCATCCATCATATCATGGCGGACGCTCGCTCTGATCTTCGCGCTGCTCAACCTCAAAGCCCTGCCCCTATCATGGCATTTTCGATTATTCTATCGCATGTTCACAAATTGGTCGTCGCGGGCACGTGTGGCAGCGCGTCTCAAGGACCATGAACGTGCCTCATCCGCCTCATCCACCACCCCCTCGTCCATCAACAACACCCACCCCGTCTTCCAACCAGTCTCAATTTTCTCGAGATCTCCTTTGCTCGAAACAGACTACAACTTGCACAAGAGTAACAGCACCTATTTCGCCGACCTCGACGAAAGCAGGACTGCGCTCGTGACCAAACTCTTGGTAGCCGGGTTCAAGCAAGGTGCAGAGAATTTACAAAAAGAAGGACACAAGGGTCGCCTGAGCATCATCCTCGGGAGTGTACATACTTCCTTCCACCACGAAGTCAAGCCCTACGAGCGGTACGAAGTCCGGTCGCGTGTCCTAGGTTGGGATAAGAAATGGCTAGTCATCGCCTCCTTCTTCATTCGCCCTGCTACCAAGGGCAAGGATGAAGTCCTACTGGCTTCTGCATTGAGTAAATACGTCGTTAAGAAAGGCAGATTCACGGTGTCGCCCACGCGTTGTCTGGCCGCAGCTGGCTGGCTGCCACCAGCTCCGGAGAACAGCAATTCAAGCCCACCCCAAGCGGCTTCAAGTTCTTCTGGCACACCACTTCCATCCAGCATCGCAGAACTGTTACACCTCGAAGGAACATCCGATACCGCGACTCCAGATGGCATTGCAGCACCAATCCCCGAGTCCGTCGCCGAAGTAACCGCAGCTGTCGTGGAGAAGCTCGAGAGCGCAGCAGAAGCAGCGTCTTCAGCATCTGCCCAACCCGCTCTCACAGAGCCTTTGCTACCCCTGACGAAACTCGACAAATCTGGCGCCTGGGACTGGCACCGGATCGAAATGGAGAGGCTTCGTGGCTTGCAAATTGCTGCCAACTGGCTGGATCTGGACAAGGACCTAAAGGAAGAATTTAAACGTGGCTAGTCACCCGCAAGAATTCGTGCTGAAATCAAGGCAAAATTACTGTCCGGCTGAACACAATGTTCTGTTTATGTCTGAGCCCTGTATTAATATCGCCTGCGTTACATCACATTTACCAGAAGCGCAAAGCTTACATCTATTGTGTTATGCAAGGGCACCACTCCACCAGCAACGAACACAGCATTAGTGATAGAGCGAGAGTTCACAATTCTTGATTAGACTTGGCCTTTCAAGGTATGGCTTCCACCTTGTGGAAATATGTATTATATGTGCTCATTTATCCAGCACAAGGAAGGCACTACGTTAGACCATTCGCCTCACATTCTTAGAGAGGATTCATGACAAGTATACCCCAATTCGTTGGAGATTCAGCACAGCATCAAGGTATCACCTCCACACTTGAATTACAGCCCCACTCCCTGCTCCCTCATGTGAAACCCCTTGGTCCTAGGGAAACTCTTCCAATATTCTGAATGGATTTCGGAACTGAAGCTACCTCTTGTTCACAACAATAGCCTTGAATTTCATGGGTTTCGATCCCTCTGGATACGAGTACGTCGCAACGACGAATAGGAGGCTTCTACGCCATGTTTGCGAAGATGCCGAGGTCCAAAGGCTACGAGAAGAAATGCTTCACGACCAACCCCACGAGGAGCCCAAATCACCATCACATCTACTCGACCTACAACTAACTATCTTCCTCATTCAAAAAGAGCAGCAAACCAATGTCGACATTCAACATTATTACGCATGAAATCCCATGCCAGCATATTCGGGAGTATCCACGTGCGTTGGCCAATGGGCAAGACGACATCCTCTACCTCAAGGTCAAACAATACATCCCACTCGAGAATCCTAACCCCCAACCGGGAGATGTGACCATCATCGGTGCTCATGCTAATGCCATTCCAAAAGAGCTGTACGAGCCACTTTGGGCAGATCTCCTGGACGAGGCAAAGCATCATGGCTTTGGCGTCCGAGCGATCTGGATAGCAGATCTTGCGCACCAAGGAGAGAGCGGGCGGCTCAACCAGCATTCCTTAGGCAATGATCCTTCCTGGTCAGATCACGCACGAGACCTCCTTCATCTCATCAATCTCAAACGAGAAGACATGCCTCGCCCGATTGTCGGTATCGGACACAGCGTTGGCGGAGCACAGCTTGTCGATCTTGCATACATCCACCCCAGACTTTTGACAACCGTTGTTCTACTTGACCCGGTCATTCAGATTCGTTCATCCGAAGTAACACCGGAGAAAAAGAGCAATCCAGCAAGGGCTTCTACCTTCCGAAGAAATGTATGGCCCAGTCGTCAGGAGGCTGAAGTATCCTTTCGAAAAAGTCCATTCTACCAGGCATGGGATCCTCGAGTCATGCCTCTTTGGCTTGAGTATGGTCTTTCACAAATCACCGATTGCGACACCAATGAGTCTCATCCGTCAAGCATGGTCAGCGGAAAGGTGACACTTACAACACCTCCTGCCCAGGAAGCATTCCTGTTTCTACGGCCGAATTACTCCGGCTTCGGACACGACGGGAAACGAATTGACCGCACGACTCACGCCGACGTCAATCCAGCATCACCGATCAACCACCCTTTCTATCGTTCAGAACCCGCTCGAATATTTCACGCTTTGCCCACCCTTCGACCCAGTGCGCTATACATCTTCGCCGAGCACAGTTACGTCTCTGGTGTAGGTAAGACATTCAACGACTCGAAGGTCTCCACGACAGGGACAGGAGTGGGAGGCAGTGGAGGCATTCAAGAAGGGCGTGTCAAAAGTGTCATGCTCGATGGTCTGGGCCATATGATTCCTCTGGAGTCACCACAGCGAACAGCACGAGAGGCGGCCCTTTGGATTGGCGCTGAGATCAAGAAGTGGAGGGCCGATGAGGCGGAACATGCGAGATTGTGGAAGAGCAAATCGCTCACGGAGAAACAGACTATCGATGAACGGTGGAAGCGAGCAATTGGTGGCCCGCCTCGCGAGAGAAAATCGAGCGGAAAGGGGGGCCGCGAGAAACTGTGAAGAAAAGTAAGTGCAACCTTCACTCGACCGATCGTGAAGTCTGCGAGCACTGCAAGCCCCGTCCTTTGGCTGGAGTATTCGCCCTGCGCAGCAACGGCCTCTCTGCCGGCTAAAAGTCAGATGTAAGATTCGAACATAGACCCTTGAGTCTTGCTATCAGTATGACCAAAGCGTTCGAGAGCAACGCCAAATCTTGAAAAATGAGGAAGGAAAAAATATGAATGAAAGAGAAAGTCCTCCATCAATTGTCAAAGGTTTAAACTTCTACAAATGGCGTCTCCTGAAATTCGTTCTCTAAGTCGATTTCACTATCACCTAATCTAAAATAGACTCCACTAGACGAAGGCGCTAAGTAGAGGTTAGGAGTGTACTTGCGGATCCAGTAGAATGAGGTTGATGAAGGTGCTGAAGGGGGAAAGACCCTTGGAATGATAGCGAGCGGAGGTCCGTAGAGAGAAGGCCAGGACGCTTGCGAAGGTTGGCTACTTGGATCGCACTCGCCCGTTCAAGCGCTTTAGCCTCCTGGAGCGCATTGGCTTGTTTTATCGCGCGCTCATAAACGTCCACGTACTTCTTCGCCATGATGGAGGAGGTAAACCTCTCTTCGAACCGTTGTCTGATACGTGTTCGGTCAAGCCTTTTGATCTGTCGTAGAGCATCTATAGCCTCTTCCTCGGTGTCAACAACAAATCCTGTCACACCGTGGTCAACGATTTCAGAAACCGATCCCACTCTGAAGGCTACGACTGGACAACCGCATGCCATTGCTTCGATCATGACAAGTCCAAAGGGCTCCAGCCAACAAATGGGAAAGACAAGGGCGATAGCGGCGCTCAGGAATGGACTTTTCTCTGCTTCCGAGATCTCGCCGATGAAATCCACCTCGGATGTGGCAAAGAGAGGTTTCACCTCCTTCTCATAGAAGGCTTGATTGATATTGTCAAGTTTGGCTGCAACTTTGAGTTTAAGGCCTACCCCTTGCGAAATCCTGACTGCAGACGTGATACCCTTTTCGGGAGCAATGCGCCCCAGGAATGCGAGATAGGTAGGAGCGACTCTCATCGGAGTCAACATGTTTGCAGGAAGACCATGGTGGATTGTTGCCAACCAGTTTGCGTCTGGGACGGTGCTTCTATGCGATTCTGATAGAGCAGTCAGTCCAATGTCGAGCCTAGCCAGTGACTTGAAAATCACGGGCTTGTTGTCATTGTGTACGGCGTTGTGATCGGTCCACACGATCGGAATAGTCTTGATAGATTCAAGAACTGCGGGATGATAAGCATGGGTGTTATGGTGAATATGGACGATATCATGAGGAGTCTTTCCCGACATGACTAGCTTCAGCTGTGCTGTATATGGATCCCTGGTTTCCTCGGCGTCATCTCCTATCCCGTGTTCTCGAAATGTCCCATTCCAGCACTCAATCAATTGACCGGAGGTCTTGCTTCCACGTGCGGCGTACAAGGTAACTGTATGGCCAAGGCGGACTAGTTCTTCGGCAATGAAGTGGACGACTCTTTCTGTTCCTCCATATTGGCATGGTGGGACGCATTCAAAAAGAGGTGCCACAATAGCGATGCGCATGGCAGCTTTGATGTTTCTGGGAAACGAAGCACTCTTTCTAGTTGAGTATAGGTGATAAAGATAGAGAGTTTCTTAAATAACGAGATGGTGATGCAGAGATATAGCCCATTAGATGTATCCTTTGAGGATGAAGTTCCTCCTTAGATGATGAAGAACGATTAAGCGAACCTGGACGTATCGCGAAGAAGTGGAAGACATGATCTGTGGTGCCTTCCCTCGGAATTCGCAACCCTTGACCATGAGATCCCTCGGAAAACTATCAAAGCCAGCTTGATAGCCGCACTCGGAGGCACTTAAAGAGGCCCGAGGAGTCCACAGTAATCCAGAGCGATATCACGCTGATGTCTGACGCAAAGCGCAGCATGGCCTGTCAAGGGAGAGATTAGCATTCATACAGGTCAATGACCGAACAATCAGATTAACTCACGAGTCTGACAAGCTGATACGATTTCTCTCATCGGGATTCCGAACCACCAGTCTGATCTGCCCAACAGCTGGCCCACGGGCTGCTAATTTGCCAGAAGTATCATTTCGTGTTGTTATTGAGGCCGGTCCAAAATTGCCCCCTATTTACCGCATTGCTCGCTGACAATAGCCCCAACCAGCTTTAGAGGTAGTTCGCTTCCATTGAATTCATCGCTCCCAGGAAGTATCATGTCCAAGAAGCCCAACTACGTAGGTAGCAAGAGACGTGGCTTCAAGGTGGCCACTTCTCGGCTTATTGTGCCGCCATCATCCAAAACATCACTCGGCCGAATGACCCGAGTGAACCATCAAATGTAAACTCCTGTAATCGTCGGAGGATTTGGACTTAGACATTGCTTGCCATCACGACCCATGTCTTCGTTTTTAAAGGTTCGTACAAGGACTCTGTATGGTTGTCCTAGAATTACTGCGGAGAGAAACCCAAGAAGTTTTACTTAGCGTCTTTAATATTTCTGACGATGGATAGCTCAAATCTCCAATGCTTGGAAACGATACAAACCTTTCGAATTGTGACTAATCCATACTGCATACGTAAATCTCGATCGCCTGGCGCTGCTATAGAGACCCAACTTATCCTAGTATTCACGTTTGACATTATGGCGTAATGCAAGAGGGACAGGGATAGATATGCGAGATCGTAATCATTCGGAAGCACCAATCCCGAACAATTCAGCGCGTTACGAGAGTACGAAACCTTAACAACAGCTATATCAAAATACGTAAACGGCAGTCGAAGACAATCTGAAAATGGAGTCCCTCCGACGGCAATTCGATCCGCGGGTCTATGCGCAATTATAGAAGACGTAGGAAAACAATCGAGGTACAACTCGTTCAGCATGAAAAAGAACTTGAACGTCATCATCTTTTCATTGCAGGTATTCTTGGTCTCAACTTCCGTTGACCATGATTAAAGATAGCAGTTTCAGGTCAAAGAATCCCTCTTCGAGCCTATTCCGCCGACTCTATCTACATATACTATTTCTATTTCTCAGATATCACTTCACCAAAAGGTACACTCAAGCCAGATGTTTAGGTTTTTGCACTTTGCATTGGCGATCTCGACGATCTTGGTCGCCATCGTCGGCATCCAGTTGCTGTTGCGAGAATTTGGACTGGCTAATGTGAGTCTTCACCTCGCGGCGGAAAACCCAGGCGCGCAAGATACTCAGCACACCGAGTCTCATGCGGATGATGTTCTATGCTCTTTCAACGATAGTGAAACGACAGTCAAACATGGGACAGACTGCTACGGGTTTGAAATGTTTAAGTGAGTATCATCTCCTGCCTGTTGACAACACTGCTGATTGTTGTAGTTGCACCAATGACAACCGAGTCCAACCTGCTTGCCGGAATGGCACCTGCATGCAAGAGACAGGCATGAAGGTGAATGCGACCACGCTTCACCTTAGTAGTCAACCTTACGAAAATTACTTCTATTCAGATTGTAATGTTGCCGCCCAGGTCTTGGTTACTACCCCTTTACCGGATAGTGATCATAAAGTCATCGGACCACGAGTCATTGTCACCTGGCCAGCAGGTAATAGTGGGGCTTGCATATTCTTTGAACCCGAGAATGCGAAAAATGGGACTCTTGCGATCAAATTCATCAATTCAACAATCGGGTCACCTCTTGCTCCTATTTACATTGCAAGAGAAGACCATCCCAGTGTGGGAGTCAAGGGAGTTCTTCATTTGAACTCAACAGCTGTTTTGTCGCTGTCGATTTTGGGGTCGGTTCGAGCTATTCGCGATTTCACCGAAGGGCCAAGTCTTCTTCATCCCATGCTTCAGGAAGGGATCCATGTCAAGGAGTTTGGGACCAACGGTGCTTCAATATCGAGGCTCTGGCTTGACAACGTCACTACAACAACTCTGACTTTGGAACCAAGGCAATCTGGGAACGTGCAGATCAAAGGTCAAAAAGCCATACTTCAAGCAGGAGAGTACCTTTTCTCGGCCCACTACAATTATCCCCAACTTCGTCAATTGAGCCTAGATGCCGTGTTGAAAGACAAGAGCCTAATTGATCAGCAACAGTACGAAACCAAAGCTTTATCTTTCCTGTCATACTCCGAGAAGGTCTTGGGAGGTGCATGGCGGTTTCTCACCTACTTTGGTCGAGATGACATGATTTCAACGCTGGTACTGCTACCTGTCCTGACCGAAAATGTTGTTGAGGCAGTCATCGGCTCTGTACTGGAGAGAATCAATCGCACCGACGGTAGTGCTTGTCATGAAGAGACCATCGGTGACTACGCCACGTTCATGAATCTACAGGAAGGCGTTGGCTCTACATCCTACCGATGTGACTACAGCATGGTTGACACGGACTACTTTGTTCCAATCTTGATGCAATCATATTTCGGAGAATATGGAGCGGGCTCAAAGCGCCTAGAAGGCTTGCTTTCCACACCCGCAGGTAAGGTTGACGAAAGTAACAAGGGTCTAACCTGGGGCGATCTACTTATTACTCTTGCAAGAAAAATAATGAACGAAACTGCTGACTTCGCCGCCCCTGGTGGCCAAACACGAGAAAACCTTATACATCTCAGAGAAGGCCATGAGACTGGTGTATGGCGCGATTCAACGTACGGTATTGGTGGAGGTCGCATTCCTTTCGACGTCAACGTTGCCTTAGCTCCCGCTGCTCTTCGTTCCATCTCTTCACTAGCAAGGGAGTTCAACACCAGTGTCTTTGGTGAGTATGCGCGAGACTGGGCCGTGCGTGCCAGCCAGTATGCTCAGGTGTGGGAGGATCATACATTGGAATTCTTTAAAGTAGTCCTTCCGGCAGTTACTGCTCGTGAGAGACTAGAAACTTTTGTTCAAACCAGTACTTTCTATAACGGACCGTCGCATGCCGACCTCATCGACTCGGACGTATCATATCACGCTCTAGCTCTGGAAGGGCACAATGGCCTCGACATCGTTCCGGTAATGAATACCGACGCATGTTGTCGTATTTTCTTTCTTAACGGGACGAACCAAGCACGACTGACCAGCTACCTCAACGGGACTGCGCTTTCTATATTACGACCATTTCCAGCAGGCTTAATGACGCCGGTAGGCATCGTTGTCGCCAACCCGGCTTTCTCAGAGAATGAAATTGTGAGGCAGAACTTCACCAACTCCGCTTACCATGGAGCAGTTGTCTGGAGTTGGCAACTAGTGGCGATGGTGATGGGACTAGAGAAGCAATTGGGTCGATGCTCTTTGGTTGACTCTCGCAGCCACCCAGACTTTTGCTACGATACAGTGGTCTACAACAACGTCAGGAATGCCTACAACGCTTTGTGGGATGTCCTCGAGGCGAGCAAGGACTTTCTGTCGGATGAAGTTTGGAGCTGGGTGTACAAAGACGGAAAGTTTAGACAAACACCGCTGGGGAGTATGGAACCTCCACCAGGGGTAGAGGGGGTTGCAGAAAGTGATATTATACAGTTGTGGAGTCTGACGAACCTAGCACTAAGGAGGAATAAACAGCTCAGGTAATGATGAAAACCCAGAAGATGCAAAGGGTCTCACTGAAAATGATCAAGTGGTTAGCAGCATTAGATTCGATGTTACGCAAAGACAACATCCTTGTTGACCCTCTGTCCGGCCCTCATAGGTTATCGTGAGCCTAGCGCAACATGCATGGCTCGTTATGATAGCTTTCCGTAAACACCGTAACAACTCGTAAAAGTGATGTATTGAATCTACAATTCAAACACTTCGTTAGACTGATGCAGAAACTCAGTAGGCCTAGTGGGTCCACGGGCAGCCTTTGGATAATTCCGGGAAGACGTCACAATGATAAAGTCCCGGTATTTGTTCCCGGTTCGGAGTTTCTAGACAATGTTAAGGTGCCTACTACCTGTCGTACTAGGTCATATCCATTGTAGGTCCTACTTACTCGTGTCGTGTTGGACATGCAATGATTGCTGTTGGCGGCTGAGTGGATAGATCCATAGGCAAAAGAGAACGTTGGCCACGAGAAAGGCCGACGATGTCTTCAAATATAGGCTTGAATATCTGGTTTGTCCGTGCCCCTAGACTTGCCTATAATTGAGTCACCATCGCAACCAAATGGTATTTACTAAAGGAAGGCATAGGCAGGAACATTCGCCGGATTCAGTGTTAATTTGCTCTTCTTCCCTCTTGACACATTAAAAACACGACTACAATCACCCCTATATCAGCAGACGTACAAAAGCTCGACGGCCATCGCTAACCGTGCTCTCTACCGCGGTCTGTATCAGGGCATCAGCGCGGTAATTCTCGTCGCTATACCCTCTTCCGGCGTCTTCTTCACAACTTATGAAGGCCTCAAATATGCTCTCGGCTCCTCCTGGATTCCTCAACCCGCAGTACACTCAATCAGCAGCTCTATAGCCCAACTTTTGAATTGTGCTGTCGTGGCACCAGCCGAAGTACTCAAACAGAACGCGCAGGTCCTTATGCAAGATAACCGGCGGAAAAAGAAAACTTCTCCGACAATGGAAGTGATGAGACTGCTAAGAAAGCATCCTGCAAAGCTATGGAGAGGATACACTGCGCTTGTCGTACGAGATCTCCCATTCACAGCACTTCAATTCCCGGCGTTCGAATACCTCAAGAGAATCTTGATTAACTGGCGTTCGACACAGAAAGATGGTGAATCTTTTAAAGAGGTCTTTGAGCATGCAAAGATTTCGGCAGCGAGTGCCAGCATCGCAGGTAGTGCTGCCGCGTGGATTACGACTCCGTTTGACGTGGTCAAGACGAGAGTGATGCTTGAGGTTGGTGCAAAGCACCAAAATGAGCATCCTGTAGGAGTTTTGGCGCCTACCCAAGGCAGAGATGCTGCCCGCAGAAGCGGGCTTCAAATCTTTGTGGAGGTCTTTCAGAATGAAGGCATGAGAGGGCTGTTCCGAGGTGGGGGGATACGTACTATGTGGACGTTTATTGGAAATGGCCTGTATATGGGTTCCTATGAAGGCGCTAGATTCTACTTAGAACATCGACGAAAGGCCACCGAGGAGGACTAGCTTAGATCTAAGCCACAGGGAGCATCAGATCGCTTTCCCACAGTCTTGGTTCTTTCCAGCGTCTGATTCCTATCGTTCTAACATTGCGGAAAATTTCTTATATACGAATTGAGCGATAAGCAAGTCTGACTAATTAGGTAATTCTAAATACCATCTAGGGGTACACATCGGTAACATCGAATACAAGAGTCACTGATATGTCGTTGGGATACAGGCCGATTTCATATGGATAAAGACGTTAGAGGACGATGGAGCGTATGTAACAGTTTCATAAAATTCACGTTGATTTCTACCGGACCTATTCAATGAGGATGCTATTCACGTGCTGGGATATGGCTGTCACCTCCCGAATCGAGTCATTTTCGTAAGGTTTGTACAGCAACCCATGAGGTTGGTCCGGCCTGCTTCGCGAACGGAGCCTTGGGAGGGGTGACATTATGAGTCAATATCGAGATATGCTCACTAGCTTCTTGAGCCACTTCTGTAAAGCCTACACCGAATGGGATGTTGATAAAATCTCCAGGTTCGAGACTCACAATGCCACGCTGGCTAACAACCGTTCGCTTGCCGCTGACCTGGTACTGGATCTCTTCAGCCTGTCGATGTCGCTTGTATACAGTGTCAGCCGAGTCCCCACCACTCTGTTTCGTATACCCAATCCACACGTGTTTCGATTTATACAGCCACTCCGTCTTTCCTTCTGCACGCTCTGGCTGAAGGACTTGGATTCGTTTCGTCTTATCAATGGTGTCTGCATGTTGCAGAAGTAGCTTCTCGTCCACCAGACCCACCGCAATATCACACTCAGGTCCGCCTATACAAGCAGTCATGACTTCTGGGATCGCTTTGGCCTCCCACCCTTCAAATGGCGGGATGCGCAGTTCTCCAGTGAATTTCGCCTGTGCACATTCGTGTACGGGAGCAGGAACGTAAAAAAGAATGTGGATCTCTCCCCTGCCAAAATTGTCGTGTGCTACTCCCACGGGTATGCGCGAGAAATCTCCAGGGCGAAGCTCTACGGTGCCGTACTCCGTCATCAGCGTCCGAGGCCCAGAGACTTGGAATGATAGCTCATCGGCATCTGCGTTGCGGTGATAGAATGGTTGACGCCCGTTCATCTGTTGCCACTCAACGCGGAGATGATCGCTCTCGTAGACACTCCTAGGACGCGAAAATGGCTGCGGAATGAATTCGGTCGGAAAGTGAATTACTCCGAGGGCCTCATGCTCGCGCTTCTTGAAGTTCTTCATGTCCGGGTTGGTCAGGAGTAATTCCTCATTGCGCTGGATTTTGAGGACTGTGTCATCGAGAGGATGGGCGTCCAGAAACTCGGTGACAATGGACATGTTGACAACGATGGAGGAGTTATGATAGTGAAGTCGAGTGATTGGAACGTTGAAGGGCACCGTAATTTGTAAGTACGCAACTGATTGAGCTTATCGTTTCAGAAGGACAGTGTCCTTAATGATCTTCTATCAGCCTTGAAAGCCGTTCTGGTACTAAATATATGCTTGTAGAACGCGTACGTTCAAGAAGAGTCTAGATGACGCTCGGCAAATGGCGGGGCGGGACTGTCAGGAGGACGGATCCAAAATGGCCCGGTCCGAGTCTGGTGACCGGCGGGGCAACATCGGGTCCACGATAGACTCAGGGAAAGCCTCAGGAGGTCCAAGGTTATAGAGACATATTTCAAAATTGTTAAGACTTGAAGATATAAATAAATCTGCTAGCATGTCTTGAAGCAACAGATGTCAAACTCACAATGTCGTCATCTCCTGAACATGGCCTTCTCACCATCGACAACAAGGGTCAACCACGTTTGTCTCGGTCGTACACTCTTAACTTCATCGGCGACTGGGGCCAGGCGAACTTCCACAGAATATGCGGATGGCTCACCCAAGAGTTCTGCGACAGAAGTGGGGCCCAGAGCAGAGTGGCTATATGGAGCATCCGAGGTGGTGGCATTGAGGCTTTGCCACTGGTCCATGAAGGAGAAGCTCAGTTAGCCATCGTAACGCCAGCAGCCTTCATGAACAAGGCTCTCAAAGGGGAAGAAGTATTCCAATCGCCCATGCCAAATCTACGAGCATTGGCAGTCCTGCCTCAGAACGATAAGCTTGTTCTTGCCATCAATCCTAAGTTTCACATTAGCACCTTTGAGCAGCTACGTGCTACGAAACCGGCATTGCGAATTGCAGCTTCGATTGATGACGGCACGAACTTCATAGGATACGTAAGCCGCAAGTATATGGAGGCACACGGTATCTCCGAAGGTGAATTGAAATCTTGGGGTGGTCGGTATGTCACTTTTCACCGGCCAGATGGCTGCTTGAGATTGATGGAAGACGGAGAGGTAGATGCAGTCATTCAAGAAGCTATTATGACTCCCCAATGGTCAAGGATTGTCGAAGGCAACAAGGCTCAGCCTTTACCTGCGGAACCAACAGCCTTAGAAAAGCTTGAGAGGGGGTTGGGACTGGGGATGAACTCACTCCCTAAAGGCTTCTGGAGCAACCTTGGGAAAGATCTTCCTACGTTAGACTTCTCGGATTTTGTGATCGTAGTCCGCGATGACTTACCAGACGAGGTGGCGTATCTGCTCACCTGGTGCTTGGTGGAAACTCGCGCACGGATCGAAGCACAGTACAAACATCTCCCTCCCGAGAAGAGTCCTCTGAGCTACCCGTTGGATCCGAGGAAGATGGCGAAGACTTCTCTGCCACTACATCCTGGATCGCGCCAGTATTATGTAGAACATGAACTAATTTAGAATATCCTGGCTCTGGAAGAAAAGCAAATGCGTTATATGGAACCCAACAAAAGCCAGTTGAACTCTTTCCCCACGTCGCTTGAGATTCTAGTCCTTCATTGAACAATTTTGGGCTATCAAAGTCACTACTTCAGACATTGGAGCATTACTGCAGTTGGGTACTATAACGGTGGTCATGCAAGTAAACGCATTATAGGCTATTTGGAAGACACTTCGCTAAAATTAAATCATGGAGCTCAGGAGCTGCATTTTTCTTCTGGACTAACAGCACACTAGTTCCCAATCCTAGGAGATGGTTATTCCAGACCATCTCGGCTGATAGGTAGATTATTTGAACATTGTACAACGTATCAGCGTATGGAAGTAACAAGCTAGAGGTTCACGCTTCCAAAATAGCTTCGTGTACAATATCTCCTTGGGAGCTCCCTTGTCTAGCGAAATAGTCGACTACGCTGCTCACTCATGCATATCCTTAGCCTTTGTCTCAATCACTGGTGCGTCGATGCTAAAAGTGAATTCGTCTTGGCGGTCCTGTAAAAACAGTGATGCTGCTTATTGTTAGTTAAGCACAGATTCATGAGAGGATGTCAGTCTCACCGAGTAGAGCCACAGAGGCAGCAGCGAGTGATGTAATGTAAACATTGCGGAAGCCCACATTGAAAGCTTCTTTCAATGCAATGACAGAAGCTCGGATGATTTCCGGTGTAACTCCAGGGGTGCTCTGAACGGCTGCATAATCTTCGTGTGCCAGGCTCTCTATCAAATGAGGCAAGCTTGCTCGAGGTAACCCGTGGGACAATGCAGCTTGGCTGATTTTCGATCCAAGATTGTCGCTCAAAGCTGCATTAAAGACAGCATTGTAGATCGCGAGACCAACTGTTCCACCTGCCGCGCGGATGGCAAGCATCAATGATGTACCTGTTGCGATAAGCTCTGGCGGTATTGATAACTGGGCAACAACGACCAAAGCATTGAGCGACACTCCCAACCCAATGCCTAAAAAGACACCATAGCCCCAAACTTCAGTTCCTGAAGCCAGCCTAACGGAGATCATCAGGCCGAAAAACAGTACAAAAGCCGCAAAGGCAAGGATCACCGGAACCTTCAACGTTGCTGTTCGAGAACAATACCATCCTGCAATCGAGGTCGCTATCATGTAGCTAATCCAAGTAATACTGTAAGTTGCCCCACTAAGGAGAAGATCTCTGTCGAAAAGCAAGCCAACCTGAAAACCAAAATAGTTGTTGGCGGCAAAAAAGGAGACACCCTCTGCGAAAAGGCAGACTAGAGCAATAGGAAAGTTTCGTGAGCCACGAAACAACCCACGATTCACTATACCGTCTTTCTTGAACGAGATATAATATGTTACCAGGACGACCAAACCTATTATGCCGATGATGAATGGCACGAGGATATGAGCATTTCCCCAACCGTACGGATTCTGCGACCAACCCAGACCGAGGCAGATCCCAAGCATTGAAGTAATCAAAAGAAAGACGCCAGGCAAATCGAAACGTCGAACTTTCTCTCTTAGCGTAAGATGTTGTAGTTCTCTGGCAGGAGGGTTGTAGAGCAAGGTGAGGATGCAGCCAACTGCGAAAAATATGCCTGCGGTAAGATACCAGTAGCTTCGAAACCCTTCAGGAGAAGTTCTGCACAAAGCCCCTCCACCATAGAGACCAATGAGGGCCCCAAAACCAGACGCTACATGGATTCCAGCTTGAGCCCATGGTCTGTATCTCCGTGGCAATATTTCAGAAACAATTGCATGGGTCAATCCCTGTGCTGATTGATTGAATCCCGCAATTGCCTGCCCTGCTATAGCGACACCAATGGTGTTTGCTCGGGAGACTATCAAACAGCCGATAGTCCCTGCGAACATGGCGGCGACAATGAACCACTTGCGACCCCAAAGATCAGCCGCTTGAGCAACTGGTGGGCCAAGCAGTATTGGGTGTAGGGTGACCACGATAGTGAGCCATGCTATCTTGTCGCTGCCGCCAATGCTTGCAACAATCGAACGAGACAACAGACCAGATCCGACAATGTGAACGATTATGGCAAGATATGCTGTGGTTACTGCCTTGATAGAGATCCAGTGTTAGTTCTTGGCTATAGCAATTGGTAACATTTGTGGTAACACTTCATACGTACAGCTGTGATTATGATGAGCCTAAGTGGAACATGACGATCGTCAAGTTCTTCAGAGGCTGTGGCTACTGTTGTGGTCTTTGGATCCACAGTCTCAACACAGTCAGCCGCCTTCTCGTCGATTGCCATTGTGAATTTCTTTTAGGGTCGAAGAGGATCAAGACTGAAGGAGTCTCCGGGCTACAATGTTCCCGTTTTCCAGCTAAAGAGATTTGGGTGCTTGGACGGCGATATATATGGTTTACTCATCGTCCTATCTCCCATGTAGCTCCCCACCGCGCAGCCCTAAAGTACCCCAGAATCGGGCGGTACCAAGCCCAGCCAATTGAATAGTTCCAAATGTCCTCTACGGGTACACATCGGGAACAGTGAGTACCAAGAATCACTGATTTGTCGTTGGGGATGGGGGTCGGGCATATATGAACCAAGATGCTGATGGACGGAGCGGAGCGTATTCGTGAATTTACAAATCTACGGATCATGATCCGATAGGACGATGAAGCGGGGGTAACTCAAAGCTACCCCAGACTGTTTCCCCAGAGGTCCTAACTTCTCGACTTCCTTCATTCCTGGGAGCTTCTCTTCCGTGGTGCGAAAGGTAGACACGTAAATGCCCACCACGTGCATCAACATCGGTGGCCGCAGATATCGCCATTCATAGGTCAGTCAAGTCCCGGGACCAGCTTCGTCCACGTCCTGTCAGTTCGGGATGCCCCGACGCACGAAATAACCGAACACGCAGCTGACTCTGCCAAACCATTGTCTAGCTACATCACGACCGAGTACATAGACTGGTTAGTATTCTTTCTTTTGTAGTCCTCCGATAATACCCCTCGCGACCCGATTGCTTTCAATTGATTGAGGCGTTGTGTACAAGCGCAATGGCTCGTTGAGGTAAGCGTTGGTTGCTGGCAAGCCCACTGTTGACTCATCCACCGACATATCAAAGTATACGATGGTCGGATGATGATCCTTTTGATTCCGATGGATTTGTGAGATCACTGATCAGAATCAAATGACAGGAAGTGATGGCTCTTCGTTCCGATTGTTACGCGCCTACGATATTATGACTCTATTCTAGCTCATGGCTAACTATAGTGAAGGACTAATATCGATTGACTGTGTCTCAGGCTTGCAATCCTGCAATTCCTCTGAGACGAAATCTCCAACAGTCCTAACGATGGCATCACAAACCGCTCGCACCATGCAAGCTCTCCGCATGCAACGTGGAGCATCACAGGAGAACCTTGAGACTGTGCCCATCCCAGTTGTGGGTCCACTCGATGTTCTCGTCAAGGTTAAAGCGGCCGGCTTGGCCCCAGGAGTCTTGAGCCTGGGAAGAGCGGGTCTGCTTCAGATGTTGCCTGCCACACTTGGTCACGAAATTGCTGGAGTGGTTGAGGCTGTAGGGGCGGAGGTTAAAACTGTCCAGCTAGGCAGTCGCGTGCGCATTCACAGCAATGTGAGCTGCCGTTGTTGCGAGTTCTGTCTCACAGATAGGGATCAGATGTGCTCCGAGGCGGGTTTGATGGGATTTCAGGGATTTACAAAGAAAAAAGGAACCCTGTTCGAGAGGTATCGAGATGGCGGCCTTGCTGAATTTATTCGTGCGCCATTTTGGCTTGTTGATGAATTACCCGAAAATGTCAGCTTTGAGGTTGGTGCCAAACTACATGAAGTGGCCACTGCTTTGTGCACGTTGAAAAAAGCAAATCTGAAGCTAGGGTCGACCATTATTGTCACAGCTGCTACTGGAGCGGTCGGAACATGCTTGCTGAAGCTCGCAGAGTTCTTTGGAATCTCTCGCATTATTATCATCGGACGTTCTACGGAAAGGCTTGAGGCTGTGAAAAAGCTTACGAGCGTCAAAGTCGATATAGTTGCCTTGGACACGCTCTCTCAGAACTGGCGCGGTGAAAGAGGACTTGCGCGCGAAATTGCAAGGGTGGTACCTGAAGGAGCAAACGCATTTATTGACCTCACGCCAGAAGGCACGGAACTGTGGCAGGCGCTTTCTGGTCTCGGGACGAATGGTACCCTGGTCCATCTGGGAGCAAATAGCTCAGTGCTACCTTTGCCAATGGTCGCGATTATGACTAATTGCTGGACAATAGTGGGGACTCGCAATCATTCACGAAATGATGCTCTAACGGTAATCTCGTGGCTCAGAACGGGCAGACTCAACATGAACGATCTCATTACGCACAAGTGGGCTTTTGCTGAGGTGGAAACAGCAATCCAAAAGATTAGAGATCGTTCATTTCCGATATGGATGTGCGTAATTACTTTTTAGAAAACTGAAAATTCTCACCATTAACTGTTGTACTTGAGGCCGATGTAGTAATAGTAGTATTGTTCTTCTCAGCACGCTATCCAGGGATCTGCGATTATCAGAGGTTGGCACCCGGGTGTTCTCGATACCCCAAGGTCATACTCAACAAGCACCCGAATCGCATGGTCGAAACCCAACCCAGGGTTCACCGTTCTGCTCGTCATTCGTATTGTGTTCCACCAACAGCAGAAGATAATCATTGTGTGGATGGCTTACACAGCGAGATCTTGAAGCGTGTACGGGAACTCGCAGACTTATCGTGATGAGAAGAAATCACATCCACAAGGACTAAGATCACTCAGTGGTAGAATATTCTCCAAGTAGATGGCAGAAAGTCACCGTTAGTGAGATTACAGGAATGTCGAATTATCGCATTTCTCCTTTCAAGTTCTAGCTTTTCAAATAAAGAGCCACAGATGGAATTTGTTGCCTTAGCAACGCATCGTCACGCAAGGCTGACAACCCCTGACTCGACTCGACTCACGTAGACATTCGCGGCTGCGTCTGAAGCCAGACCACATCTGAACCCAAGCCAGAATTTCACTCACTCTCTTCGGAACTCTCTAACCACTGGAGTGACGTCTCAGTGGACTTGTGAGGTTTGAAGTTATCCTTGTAACCAGAAGGCTGGAAATGCGCATCACTGCCAAACAACAAGGGGGTCCGACCTTGTGGCTTCCATTCGGCATGTTCCTGTATCGGAGCAGCTGTAGAACTCAAAGGCATGCGCATTGAGATGTCACTCACAAAAGGATACTGCTGAGGTACTTGTGTCGATTGGTTCATCGTCTTGTGTGTTGACAGGTTTGATGAAGGGCGGGGAGGGGCGAGCGTGTAATCAAAATGAGATGGAGCAAGGAAGGGTAGAGCCTTTACTTCAGAATTGTCATGCCCGTCGAGCATCAGCTCACTGGGAGAAATGGACCGGGTGAACCTGGGAGGTGGTCGACGCTCTCGAGGCGACAGAATAAATGGTGAATTTTGCCTAAATGGAGATTTCTCGCGAGGGTCAGAAGTTGAAGCATCAGGACGAAGATGATCTTGATGTAGTGTGTGGACTTCGGCGGCCACTGATTTCTGCCTGAGAAGTTCGGAACTCTGTTGCATTATCTTCTCGGCGCCTGATGGTTGAAAGTGCACTTCCTCGTAGTGCATCATCAAGTCATGAAGAGTAGGTAACGTGGTTCCACAGCATGAGAAATCCTTCATAAATTCATCCTCGACCATTGGCACATCGGCGGTGAGTGTTGCCGTCAATGAAGCACCACCACTTTGACGGAGTTCTTTCGATATGTCTGTATTATAGACACTCGGTACAGCTGAGTTCCCACCTTCACTACTCCGGTCAGCTGCCATCGCTATCTCACTAAGCGCGGGCGATTGATCCTTAGGGAAATTCCCAGTAGCTCTACCGAGCAGATGTTGAAACCCGGGTATAAAATCCCAGGATTCCCCCTCAGACATCTCGTGTATCTCTTGACTTGATACCATAACTTCATCTACCAGTCCAGACATAGTACCTGGAGATCCAGCCGACTCCCTGACTTCACTCAAGATCGTCCCATCTTTTGCTGTCAGGGGCCGTCGTGTCTCTGTGTTCGTTGAGTCGCCGTTGCCACAGTCTGACGGATTTTCAGGGTTGTCACTACTTTCGTTCTCAGAGGGCAGGAGTCGGAAACACGTGTGGGACAATGCTTTGATGTGAGAAGCGATATGCTTTGCAAGTATTGCACGGGACTGTCCATTATTCTGATGGGTGTCGATGGAGGACAGCTGCGCGGGGACTGTCTCGCAGAGGGGACAGACAAATTGATCTCGAATAACCCTAGTTTTGCTCCGCTTCGTTCGTGCAATTGTCTGCGTGTTCGTTAGATTTCCATGGCAGTCTCGAATGTGCAGCTCAAAGTCTCCTTTCTCTTCTATAGGTTCTCGCTTCTCACGACACATTTGGCAGACCCACATGGTCGTGTGGATATGTTGACTCCATTCGGGGGTATGAGAAGTGTTCATATGCTCCAGCCACTCCTCAACACGGCTGAACAATCTCGGTAGCTCTCTGCAGTCTTCTGAGATACAGAAATATGGTTCAAGATCCCGGTTGATATGTTCTCTGAGAATTCGTCAGCGACCCCATCTTTACAAGGGTTGACTGCATACACCAACCTCCAGAACCTGCGGCCCAGCCCTCCTCCAGAGCCCAGCTTCAACGTCGGCAAAGGCTCCGCGCAATATGGGCATGGGTGAAATTTTGCATTTTTGGGAAACAATGGCAGATCTGGATGGTAGACTGTTTCACCAAGACTGACTGACCAAACGCTTGGTGTAGAAGTCACTGTCTTTGTAGCTTTAACGAGTCTACGGCGTAGCTGTTGAGAGTTGGGAATCGAGGCATCAGTCCGGGATAATGTGGCAGTAACAGCGAGTTCTGTAGCTATAGTGGGGGACGGCTGAATTTTTGGTGAATACGCGCGATGAACCAGACGTGAGAGTGGTTCACCCTGGTAAGCCAGTGGTCGTCTTATGAGTCGCTGCCTGTCAGCTAACTTTTTGTTGTGTCGGGGAAGATAAATCAGGCGTTTTCGGTAGAAGCACAAGACGGTTGCCACCTGCTTCAACAGGCTGGTTCGTGCAGCAGGAAAACGGTCTCGAGCCAGGCGAAAAAGGCTTACTTGAAGCTGAGCATCAATTTCAGACGCCTGAGTATTGTTATGAAGTTTGTCCTTCTGGCTTTCCAGTGATGAGCGTCGGATAGCAGTTGCAAGTCTATGTAGACGATCAAGAGCAGCTGAGACAGCATCAAGACCACAGAACAACCCCGCTGCTGGAATCATCTCCGGTTGACTGGCGGCAGTGGCTCCGTTCGTTGTTAGTTCGTCACAATCCTTGTGATTTAGAACTTCTAGAACTTATGAATTAGAAAAGCACAGGAGCAACATCATGCCGCAATAACAAACCACGTTGGATGTTTCTGTGGACCATGGATAGTAGCTTAGTCACCATCTGCTTTACGTCGTCCTGAAATTCCAATCGGTCGTCTAAAGATGCTCCGACAGAGGCGAAAACTCCAGTATAAGCGGCCCACAAGTTAAACCGACTCCGCAGAATGTCGACCTCATCTTTTTTGGTCGAACCTGAAGCATTCGAGTAGTCAAGGAAAGCTTGAGAGCATAGGCTCGCGGCTGTGAAGACGTTGAGCTCAGTCGTGGCTTCGGCCATGATTGCCAAGGACTGTTAACACATTATTGGCATCTCCACAGTTCAGGTCGATATACGAGAGCCGAATACATGATGGCAGATGAGGGAAGATAATCATCGACTGTGAGAGTTGTAGGTGGGATTGTTTGTCCATATCGACGCTTTCGTGTGGCTAAGAAGTCTGAGTTCTGACTGCAATCAATATCTGCTACGAAGTCAATGAGGCGGAGCAATACCGGCCGACCTATCATATGACCTCGCCTTACCTGCCACATTCATCCCAAGGCAGACATGATATCTCGGCCTCATGGCTTCCACAATTTCTTTTAATGGCCTGAAGAAGAGAGTAGGCATTTGTTCTTTCCAGTTCGGGTTACGATTGTCATTGAAATGATATTACATCCAAAACGCCTATTGATCCACCCTGAGATAGAATGATCGCATGGAGTTTCCTGATGATGCACCCGAGGAGTGGCGACTCCTAGGATGTGTTCATCCATTTTTTGCCTGTAAATTATTCTCGGTTGACAATGTTGATAGCAACGAATGGACAAGGGAGACTATACTCAATCTTCAGACCTTGTTTGACTTTGAAATATGGCTGGTACCTGATGCACTCCAAGAGGCTCTCATCTTACAGCGGACGAAGAATGTTTGCCCCGAAGGAATTGCTGCCTTAGTGAGCCTCCTCCAACTGTTTGAAGACAGCCTCGGTGATGGAATACTGAAACATCATCCAGGGCTTGAGAAGGTGAGAGATACAAATATATCACCACTGCTTCATTCCCAACTTGTGCTCACCTGAGTGTAGCAAAGACTTCCCAAGCTTAGGGCGCTCCAGCACAAGCTAAACCGAGGGCTTCTTAGCTCGAGCAGTGCCTTCGTTGATCATTGTCATGGAAATTCCAGCACTTTGCTCGCCCCGCCCACTCTAGAAAGACTCATCAATATAGTTACTGCTCTGGAAAACTTCAATCAGACCGTCAACCGTGTATCATCCAGTACAAAGGAGGATGATTCCGCCCCCGAAATTTCCCATTCATGGAAATTGGAAGAGATAATGGCGGTGCGGAAGTCAGGAAAAGTGCGCAATATCATGAACGCTGTACTCCACGGATTTGTCAAGGAGTTGAAGCACTGTGGCTTGCCGCATATCGCCATGGTTCATCTCAGTGATCCATGCAACCTGAAGATGCTTTTATCTTCGTGTACGAACCAGCGTGTTTGGCGTCAGGTCATGTGCCGATCCACTGATGATCAAGTGTGGGTAACCCTATTGTGTTCGGTGGTGGTCTTACTAATTCAAAGGACTTAGTCGTGCCCACGGTCCCGAGCTGGCGCTAAGTATGAGAGAACAAAGTGACTTGTGTGCAGCCATACGAGGACCCCCACACAAGCTGCTGCAGATCTCCTTTAATGACTCCATGATCTGGCATAACTCAAACGAGACCGTCCCCATTGTCAAAGATGCGGCGAGAATACCACTTCTTCAGCTTCTCGAAGGACGAACTTACACAAAATCCTCCTTTCCCACTGTACCTCATCTTTCAAAAAAGAAGAAGAAGGTGGTTGTGGTCATCCTCGCGAATTTTCTGATGATACTCCTGGGTAGCGGTTGGTTACAAAGACACTGGACTTCAGAAAATATATTCTTCGTGCCTGACCTCAAGCCTAGTGAGACAGATTTTCTCGAAATACCCTACATTCTATCTCTTTTGGGCAGCCCTGTGGAGGGAGACACGGCCATAGACATTGAGTCGAACTACTCTTATATCTACGCATTCGGTATATTGATTCTAGAGCTTGAACTAGATCAAAGCATTCCAATAACAGCGGAGGATGAAGACGGGGCCGATGAGGAGTATCCAGCGGTTTACATGGCTCTTGTCCGGGTGTTCCAACTTCGCAAAGAAGATCTGGACGACCCATATGTCCTACAAGTCATCAACTCGTGCCTTGATTTTGTGAACAAAGTGGACTCAATCAAACACCCTTCATTTAATAACGAGGTCAAGTTCGATGCGGCGGTGCTGCGATTTATTCTTGAGCCTCTGATTCAAAGACTCCAAGCTGCCCATCCAGAGGTATCGCTGAATCTGCTGGGTGCACCAATTAGCACTATTGCACATGCTTTGTCGTCGAGAGAAAGCCGAGTAGCTTCATCCAGGCCGTCTGGCCAGGACACAGCATCCGTCAACAATCATGTGATTGCCTTTCCTACCTCCATGGCAACGGATAGATCTCGCAAGAGACTTTCTTCTTCTCTCGTTTCTGCAGTCGATCCGACCCAGCCACGACACCGGCGGGACTTCAAAATTGCTATCATTTGCGCCTTACCGCTGGAGGCTGATGCGGTACTAGCAATGTTCGATAAGCGGTGGGATGAGCATTCAAACCCATTCGGTAAGGCACCGGGAGACCCTAATGCGTACTCGACCGGTCGAATAGGGCAGCACAATGTTGTTTTGGTCCACATGCCAGGGATTGGCAAAGAAAACGCCGCAAGCGCAGCAGCAAATTGCCGTTCCAGTTTTGGGGCCATCGAGCTCGCCGTTGTTGTTGGTATCTGTGGAGGCGTACCTTTCCTCCAAAATGGCGAAGAGGTCTTACTTGGAGATGTTGTGATCAGTGAGGGTATCATCTCTTACGACTTTGGACGACAATATCCCGACAAGTTTGTTAGGAAAAGGACCGTCCTGGACAGCTATGGTAGACCAAACCCAGAGATCCGGGCCTTTTTAGCACGATCAAAAACTTACCAGAATCGCAAGATTCTTCAACACAATATAGTGGAATCTCTCCGCAATCTTCCGAAAGAGCCTGGGAACACAAAAGCTTACCCCGGACGAGATTGGGATATGCTATTTCAGTCGACTTATCGTCACAAGCATCAAACTGGTTCGCATTGTGCAATGTGTGAGGCCTGCAGCCGCAAAAGTGACCCTGTCTGCGAAGCAACACTAAACTCTACATGTAAAGAGCTTGGTTGTGATAGCACCTGGCTGGTTCCTCGGCAACGACTGAGTCAAAGCACAGAAAATGACCAATCTACGCATCAGCCACTGGTCCATTTCGGCCTTTTCGCAACAGGTAATGTCGTCATGAAGTCTGGTGAAGATCGTGATGAGATCGCTGCGACAGAGAACGTGATCGCATTCGAAATGGAAGGATCCGGTGTATGGGAGACCTTCCCATGCATTATTATTAAAGGCGTTTGCGACTATGCAGACAGCCACAAGAGCAAGAGCTGGCAGGCTTTTGCTGCTGCAATAGCGGCAGCTTGCACCAAAGAGTTATTACAGAGTTGGGGATCAAGTAGCCTCGTGTCTTGACAGTCAGTGGAAATTTTGGTCTTTTGATGCCATTCTTTCATCTCTAGCTAGGGAGAACGCCGCATGGTCGTCAATTCTCACAGTTGAGTTCACCCGCGACAGCGCTCACGACCGCGAGCAACTTCAACCGCTCACCAGTTCCGGGTCGCCACCACTAAAATCCCACCACCTCTCCTTCAACTCCAGCGCCTCCTCGCCCTTGTCCCAGATGTCATCTAATCGCCTATTCGTATAGTCAATAGCCTCATGGCCAACCACATATGGCATGCCTAGATGTCTTTGCTTCGCGCTTGGTGGTTCATCAATATGTTTGCCGTCCCAGGCTGGAGCTCCCATCATGGGATTCTTCTTGAACATCTCATCACGGGCCTGTTGAGCGGGTCCATCAGGGAGATGGAACATTTTGGACCGGTTTCGTCCTTCACTTTGGATGTATGCAAGGCGTGGCCGACGTATTGCGGCGAAGGCACGAAGGGATCGTGGGATTTGGGCAACTGACGTCGCACGGGACAGACATTCAGCGAGCGAGGCGCCATCTTCGATCGCTGTTGTTGCTCCCTTCATCAAAATTTAGTCGCTTGAGTTCTGGGCATGGCCGATATCGGGAACTCGTTTTGACTCACCGCCATAGCGTGTGGGAGCATCGCATGAGCCGCATCCCCGATCAATACCACTTTCCCACTCTGACTCACCCAATCCAACCCCATCTGCGTGTAAGCGAGATGCCAGATCTTCGCGCTCTCCACGTGCCCGAGCAGCGCTTGAAGCGTCGGGTCCCAGTCTGCAAATGCTGTCCGCAGTTCAGCTATATCAGCTTCTTGCGACCATTGGCCTTGTACACCGGTGTTGCCGTTAATGTTGCAGAACTCAGCATAGTATCGTTCTTCGGAGCCTACGCCCGCTATCCCAGCTATCACGCAGCCGGTAGGGCCCCACCAGAGGTTTGCGGATGTGAGTAGTGGCTGCAGCGCTGGGTCCGCTTCAAGGACAGAGCATGGTATGGATGTCATGTAATCGTCAATCCCGCTGAATGTCTGGAATGAAACTGGGTCGAGTGTTCGGCGTGTTGCAGAATTGATGCCTGAGGATCGCATTAGCTAGATAGCGTGTCACTTGCTGGATTTTGTCCAAGCGAATGAGATGTCCCACCGTCCGCTGCTATGATCAGGTCTGCTGTTATGACCTCTCCAGTTTTCAGTGTTACTGTGGGTACGGTCTCATCCACGTCTGCAACATATTGGTTGAATCGGACTGCGATGCCTCGTTTAACAGCCGCGTCGTAGAGAAGCTTCTGAAAGTCTGCTCGCTTTCCAGTAGCTGCCCTGAATGGTGAGGATTGATAGCATCAGCGGCAGTATCTTGAGGTCTTACCCCGCTGACCGTACAGAATGGACACGGTGAGGATGAAGGGGCTATGTGCCGTACCTAATGCCGAACATCTCCTCCCTTTCTGGCGGAGTTTGAGTCATAAGCACGCTCCCATCTTTCCACCGCCTCCAGTTCACCACAGGTTTTCTGTCGCCGCAAACACGCCAGACATCGTCGAGGAGTCCCAAGTGTCGCAACACTTTGGTCCCAGAAGGCATGATCCCAATGACAGAGCCAAGAGCTTGTAGGGTGTCATGCCTTTCCAGGACCGTGATGGTCCACCGATCACATTTCTGATGCAGTGATAAGGCTGTGGAAAGACCAGCAATTCCTGTATTGTGGATGACGTAATATCAGAAAGCATTCCACCGCAATGATAAAGGCTCTAACGAGGTGATAGTACAGAGCTGTCAGCACCCACCTGCTCCAATAATGATAATGTCCATGGCTGTTGCTACAGAAGAGGCGTCAACAGATCCCATTATTATGGTTCACACCCCCTGAAGTCAGGTTGGAATGGAGATTTGGATTGTAGTTCCTCGAATGCCTCAACTTTGTCCTCGGTGTACGCCGATATAGGCGTCAGAGTAAACAAGTTGCTGCCTATCAATCAGTGATTGTCAGCACCCCCAGATTCTTGGTTATTAACCCCGCGAGAGACGTAAAATGGCGAAAACAACACACTCAGCACATGTAGGTTTTCAGGTGCGTACCGAACTGTCTATGTCTGGACTTGGCTATCTTTGTTCGATAACCTCCGAGGAAGGAGCCAAGTATCTCACACGTGATAGGGGCTTTGTTGCCGTTGCCACGTCCCAGAACATTTGCCGTCACTTTCCAGGGTTACTTTGTGTTGGACTCGTATCGTTTCAGCGCAGTAATGAATCGTTGTAAAGTTTGTTGGTATGGTTCAGTACTGAATGGCATATCTGTGTGACTTTCCTATCTGGTATGTAGTTCCCCGCCTCCCACCCCAGAGAAAATCCCCGAAGTCATGCCTTTATTTACTCCGGACTGCATATGTGTCGTGTACATCTGAGAAGGATTCTCCGAACTGCATATGTGTCGTGTACATCTGAGAAGGATTCTGCGCGCGACACCATGTGGATACATCGGTTGGCAGCTGTTTAGAGCATTGATGAAATCATAAATCCTGTTTTTGTGGCAGGTCAAAATGGATGTCAATTTCTCGGACAGGATTGGACAGATGGATAGTTCAAGCACGTTAAGCTTTTAGTGCCGATGGCTCGGGCTGTAACCTAGGGGCCTAAGGTACCGTAAGGTTGCTAGCTAACCCAAGAACTCTGAAGTTTGTTTCCACACGTATGTGGTGTCATTGCATGATCTACGCGGAAAAGCGGAGTGGCTGAGGAGCCTGTTGCGCGAAGGATTCTGGGGGATGTCTGATCAGTAAGCGATTTGCTTTAGCCTTTGACGGTCATGCCGAATATCAAAAAGCTTCGGAATAATACTGGAGTAGGCAAATGGACCACTTGTGAAGTGGGCAGAGGCAATGATGGTGCTCTTACGAATTGTGCGCATATGGTAGTTGATTAGGTCCTTCAGGCCTAGCTAAGAAGGTACGTACATAACTTAGGTAGTATGTTTACTGACTAGACCGTCGCCCTCGTCTGCACCTCCAAGCATTTCATTCTCTGCTCTACCTAGGTACCTAGTTTAGGTAGTTCATTGGCTATCTCGGTACCTCCATAGCTAGTTACTCTGACGAACTACCCCATTCAAACGGCCCGAAGCCGTCTAGGCTTACCTTCACAGCCTAACCGCTTACGTGCGTCTTCTCTTCCCCACCAACGACATCGGAAGTTACAAGCTTTTGAACATGATGGACAACCCTGTTACCGGTGATGGTGACTAATAGCCTGCAGGCCTGGCGTTGTAGCTGTGCTTGTCCGTGTAAGCATCTGAACCTTTTCCATAAGTCTGCGATCGGTCATAGCTTGAGGCCTTGTCATATCTTGGGGCTTCATCATAAGTCGAAGGCCTGTCGTAGCTAGAGGGATTGTCGTAGCCTGATACCTTGTCATAGCTGGAGGGCTTAACATAGCTAGAAGGCTGCTTGTAGCTGGAAGGTGCATCATAGCTTGAGGCCTGCTCATAGCTTGACGCTTTGTCGTAGCTGGAAGGCCGGTCGTAGCTAGAGGGACGGTCGTAGCTTGATACCTTGTCGTAGCTGGAGGGCTTATCATAGCTGGTAGGCCGCTTGTAGCTGGAAGGAGCATCATAGCTTGAGGCCTGCTCATAGCTGGACGCCTTGTCGTAGCTGGGTGGCCGGTCGTATCTTGTTGCTTTGTCGTAGCTCACAGGGACATCATAGGAACTCGGTCCATCATAAGTTGAAGGCGCATTGTAATTAGATGGCCCACGTTCATACTCATGGACTCCATGAGCAGCCGGTCGATCGTAGGTTTCAGCCCTGGACTCGGGGCTTGCGTCCACTTCATGTCGTCTTTGAAGCCATGTTGCGGGATTTGGGATTGCTAGGGCAGCACCAACATTTGCAAGAGCCAGAGCCACTCCCACGACGGCAAGTGACTTCATGTTTGTAGCTACAGGAGGATGAATGGACAACCCAGTGATCCCGGGTGACTGAAAAGAATATGGCTAGAGTGGCTTCCGATCGCATACATATACTGCTTGTCATGATATGATGCTGTCAATGCAACACTGTGACCACAGAGGACGAGGGACTGGCTGCTGCAGCTGCGTTCAAGTGACAGGTAAGAACGCAATACCGGTTCTGATCAGTTCAGTAGTAAAATCTGAGCATTTTGCAAGTTCGTACCTTAGAGTACTCCACTTCCCTCATTAAACCCTGGCAGTGATGAAGCCTACGCGCAACCCAACACCCCAGTAGCTTTGTGCTAGACGAATTGTCTTGTGTTGGAATAGTGCTAGACACAAAAAGAGGCAGGTGCTCATTGGTCCAGATGATGATCCTTTGGCAAATTGTTGATGAGGTATCATTCACTTGACCACAGGAAGCCTAGGACGGATTGTGGCACTGAAGCGCCGAATCAGACCACAGAGACACTACATACGAGCCCTTTCATCTGCTGCGATTCACCATCAAGCGTTAGGACACGGGCGTGGGACAAATTCGAAGAGAGCGCTGGACTGAAAGGTGTGGGGAACCCATCCAAGAACTTCATCATTGTGATTGAGTTTGGGAGGCCAAATACCACATAAAGCTGAGAGGTAAGGTAAGTTTTAGCGAGATGGCATCTGGTAAATCCAAAGACTCGGTAAAATCCTGGCGAGACGTCGGTTCTGTTTCCCACATGTGTGGAACCAACCAGTGAAGTTTCAGAATGCCAACTTGCACACGCATACTTGAGAAGAGTGTTGCACTGCAGCTGGCGTACAGTCTGCGCTAGTGTCTAGCGGAGGCATGTGTCTTGCGTTGGGCACCGATTCTGACCTGGTACAGGCATGCGCTGAAACGATCAATCAGGCGTAAGCCAGCGGGACGAAAAGTGACGCTCTTGAAGCATATGCTGGTGCGGATCGAATTTCGAAATACTCGAAGTCTATGATCACATCGAGAATCCCAGTGCTTCATTTTGTCAGTCACTTCAACACTCTCCTCGATTTTTCGTCTTCAAGCTCCGAGAGTTGACAAGCTTGCTTCAATATGTGGTGGTCAAAACGAGCATCTGGGAAATATTCTGCTCTCAACAGATATGACACCGAAGAATGTGAGCTTGGAGAGACGAACTCATCTCTCCAGAAAACCGAAAATCTAAGGAGACATACCTGCTGCTTTTCAAGTGTCTGTTTATTTCTTCTCTGCGTTTTGGTTGGCCTCAACACGTTCAGTATAACGCAGAAATACTGGCCAGAGCTGAATCGTTATACTTCCAAAAAGCAAATGCAGACAGCCTGCAAGAATCCAGCGATACGCCGTGAATGGCGAAGCTTGAGCATGAAAGAGAAACACGAGTACCTTGAAGCAGTTCAGTGCCTGGCGCACACGCCCTCGAAGTTCACACCCAACATGACACTCTATGACGATTTCCCACATGTACATGATACAACCGGAGCATTCTGTATGTTCCAGTCTCCAAGTGAAGTTTCCGGTGCTAATATACACATAGCGCATGATGCAGCACCGTTTTTGCCATGGCACCGGTATTTTATTCACCTCTATGAAACTGCACTCCGTGAAAGCTGTGGTTATGAAGGCGTCATGACGTGAGTGCCAGCATTACATTCATGCACACAGTTCTCTGACTTGTGAAATAGTTATTGGGACTGGACATTGGATTGGGAAAATCCCACAGCGGCCCCAGTGTGGGATCCGGCTCACGGATTTGGGGGAGACAGCAGACCCCATAGCCGGCCCAGCCAAGAAGTCATTGTTGGCCAGGATAGATGCGTTGTGGATGGTCCATTCGCAGGTCTTCAGGTCCATTGGTTTGGAGAGCATGACAATCCGCACTGCCTTTCCCGGGGCTTTCTGGACAAGGCGGATTTCGATAGCATTGGGTATCAATTTAGTCCCAGTGCCGTTGAGCAGGTCATGAGCCGCAACGACTATCACGATTTCTTCCAAGAACTTGAAGATGGTCCCCATCTTGCTATTCCACATGGTGTTGGAGGGGACTTCTTCTTCACAGTGGCACCATACGATCCGGTGTTTATTCTTCATCACACACAACTCGACCGCCTCTGGTGGCGATGGCAACAAGCCCACCCATCAAGACAGACGGCATATAATGGTCCTGCGAGCCATGGTTCCGAGGACGCAGCATCACTTGATGATATGCTACCGATGAGTAATTTGGCAAAGAGTATCAAAGTTCGAGAAGTGATGAACACAGAGTCCGATTTATTGTGTTATCGATACTGATAAATCGGCAAATTTTGGGGCGGATAGTCGGCTGAAGGATGAAAATCATCAGACTAGACATTGATATTCTTGAAATTCATACTTTTCCTCCTCCCCTCAATACGTTCTGATCATCTCACCAAAAAAGCTCGCGGTTCCAAAATCGACACATGATAGAAGAAAGAGACAATGCCAAGACCGGATCGGAATATCTTCACCGGACGCATGTTCAACATCTTCGAAATTGGGGAACACGGTCACTTCCAGGCACCTCAAACTTCACAGTCCCCAAGCTTCAAAAAACAAGTCTACAATAATGGCTCGCTTGCCTGTACCTTTCTTGAAGCATGTTGGGCACTATGATCGTCCAACATCAGTGCCTGTACCTCCTTGGAAAAAATTCCCTAGCATGAATTCCGATGTGACCTGGCAAACTGATCAGCTGGCAGACGATGCCTTCTGAGGAGCGGCGATATTCCTTTTCCACGGGTCAGACTCCAGGCCAGCCACTCTCACTTCTCCTAACGGCATTTCTGCAGTAGCGTGGCGGATTGCAGGTTGAAGTACAGCCCTTCCTTGATTGGCCTGGCCGAAGTTCCTTCATGAGAACTTTATCTGATCATCACGAAGATGGTCAAATTGCACTGTTACATTGACTGCGGAGTTATGGGCACTGTAGGTGGAATGTACCAGGAACAATTACTACTAATCTGGCTTGCCTGAACACATGTCTACATTCTGTGCTACGAGACTGGAAGTCGGGTCGGTGACACAAAGGCTGACTAGTTACTGACGAACCACAGACCCACATATCCGCCTGCAGAATAATGCATCACTTCTCGGCAAGCACCAACTTCGAGCGTCTGTACCCTGCTAGTGTCAGGTTGACCACTAGGAAAGGCCCTGTCATCATCTCAAACGAGTACTCAAACCTCTCTTGATCTTGGATTCCCCAACATTGCATTTGCGGGGCACGAGTACTCGATGTGACATTCCTTTCATTCGGGGGACTAGAATCTTAGTGGACACTCATGTTAGCGAAGGTGTGGAGGTCAATGAGAATTCGGTCACGCTTCGATCCCCAACGTAAACACACCCTACAGCTCGTGCACGCTGACCACGGGAAGCTATCATTCCCGCCGCAACCATCGGCACGATAACACCTTGATCCACCATGCCTATGCTGAGGTATTAGGCTGCGTACAACAATCGCCTCATCGAACTTCGAAGATGCCAGTGTGCATTGGATAGTGTTACCGAGTATCGTCAGATACCGTCCGAATACAGGTGGTGTTTTGTAACATCCGTATCTTATGAGTCTACAGCAATGATGTATGTTCACAAGGTGTTTGAAGCATGCCCATCCGGTTGTCCTACCTGCTCCGCTTCTCGGCAGGAGCTGGCAAAGCGAGGGAGGTTTGGTCAGAGCCGACATCCACACTACTAGCGCTTCCCAACTGCTCTTGCCAGTCGAGGGCTATCAGCATTAGAAATGGTTGGAGCTCTGGCGATTTGTGCCTTGGATGATGTTTGTTGATATGTCGAAACGATCTCCATAAGCTATCGAAAACTTTCGCAGAGCAACAGGAGGATGTCTAGCTCGAGCAGAACGAAACAAAGAATACATAGGTTTCAGAACCGCTAGGAGACTTCATCTTGTCGAAGACAGCACTGAGGATCTTGTGCCATCGTACACGCTTTCTTTGTACAATTGCGCATTCCGCGGTGACAATTCTGCTTACTCGCCGGACTTGAGACATGGCAGAGAAGCGCACTCCTATCCGTGCCCTAGCTGTGGCTGGCATTTCAACCAATGGGGATTATTCCAAAGCTGATGGCCAGATGGACGCCCGAGACTGGCAAGGAGAGGCAAACCACCATTCCAGCCGTTGCATCAACGAGGCTGTTACAAGTCGCTGCAGACAAACCCCTAAGAACGAAGCTGTCTGTGCCTGGGATGCAACATGGTCCTATGAAGAGCTTGAAGAGCTATCATCTGCAGTGGCCAATAGATTGGTCGCACTAGGCGTTGGACCAGAGTCGCTAATAGCATTCTGCTTCGAGAAATCAGCCTGGGCGATTGTTGCAATTCTCGCCATTCTGAAGGCAGGTGGTGCCTTCATACCATTGGATCCTACGTACCCAATTGATCGTTTGCGAAAAATCATCAACCAATCTAAGGCACAGATCGCAATATCATCTGTTCAAAATGAGTCGCTATGTCTTGAGCTCGTTCAACATGTAGTGGTTATCGACAGCTCTCTTGTCTCCGAGCTCTCTTGCAAACCGCATGCTCAATCAAGGGCAACGCCAGACAATGCTGCGTATGTGATTTTTACTTCTGGCAGCACTGGCGAGCCTAAGGGCTGCATTGTCGAGCATCAAGCATTTTATTCATGTGCACTTGCTCATGGCCCGGCTCATAGAATCAGTGCATCTTCTCGAGTGCTGCAATTTGCATCATACAGTTTCGATGCAAGTCTTGTCGAAATACTTACTACCTTGATCTTTGGGGGCGTGGTATGCATCCCAAGCGCAGAAGCAAGGTTGAATGACTTGGCAAAGTTTATGAATGAATCACAAGTCAACCTGGCAATTTTAACTCCTAGCGTTGCTTCGCTGCTCCGACCAGAAGATTTGCCACTCTTGAAAACGCTGGTTCTGGTGGGAGAACCGATCAAGAAGAGTCATGTGTCTTTGTGGTCCACGATTCCTCATCTACTCTGCGCCTACGGACCTACTGAGACCGCCGTTTCGGCTACAGTGAATCGTGAACTTCAATTGGATGCTCCTGCGAATATAGGGACACCTGTCGGATGTCGAGTACAAGTTGTTGACATCGAAAACCACAACAATCTCGTCATCTCAGGGGATGTCGGCGAATTACTTATACTCGGAAGTAATCTTGCTCGAGGTTATCTCAATGACTCGGTGAAGACCATATCCTCATTTGTGGAAATACGTGGGGAACGAGCCTACAAAACTGGAGATTTAGTACGTCAACTTTCTGATGGAAGTCTTGAGTTTGTTGCTCGCAAAGACACTCAGATCAAGATCAATGGCCAGCGAGTTGAGCTAGGCGAGATTGAGGAGTGCATTCATAGTTCAGGGCTAAAGGTCGCTGCGACTGTGCACTCACCCACGGGTGGTTTACTTACAAGACGTTTGGTCGCCGTTGTTCGCTTCGAGACACTCTCAAAACCGACGCCAACCGACAAAGCCAAACCAGATACATTAAGAGGTCCTGCACTTTCAGGGGTCCAACCAGCCCTTGCAACAATAAAAGAACATCTTGCTCGCAGTCTCCCATCTTTCATGATCCCGTCTCTCATCGTTCCGGTCTGGGTGATCCCATTACTGGCATCCGGGAAGACCGATCGAAATGGAGTTACCAGATGGATCGAGAGTCTCAGCGAGATAGAGATAACTGAGCTTGACCCTTCAATGCATTTGGGAGACAAACAATCGAGGAGACGGAGCGACATAGAGATACTCATGGTTGAAGTTTGGTCTGAGATTCTCAACATTGATCCCGAAAGCATCGATCTCGATCAGACCTTCATCTCCCTTGGTGGGGATTCAATATCAGCTATGCAGATCAGAGCACTGTGCAGGGAGAAGGGACTTAAGACTAATGTCCATGATATTCTGAGGTTCAGTTCCATCGCGAAGATCGCCCCTCACGTTAGACGATCTACATCGAATGAGGTGTCTCTTGAGCCAGATAATGGGGAAGGATTCAATCTGTCACCCATCCAGCAGATGTTCTTCGGCACCGCACCGTACGGGGAGAATCATTTCAATCAGAGCTTTTTATTGGAGTCTTTTGAGATTATAGATCCTGACCGGATAAGAGCAGCTCTGCAAATCATTGTAAAGAGGCATGATATGCTACGCGCGAGATTTCTCTTCAACGAAGTTGGCCATTGGATGCAGTACATATCGCCTGATATCCAAGAATCTTTCCACTTTTCCTACTGTCCAGCGCCGACCCGAGAAGTAATTGATGCTATTGTTGGACAATCGCAAAGAATGCTTGACATCCGCAAAGGGCCAGTCGTGGCCTTCCAACTTTTTCACTCCCAGCAGAAGTCATTCTTATCCATAACGGCTCATCATGCTGTCTTTGACCTTGTGTCGTTTCGAATCATTCTCAGAGAGCTAGAAAATCTCGTCAAAATGCCCAACTACCCTTTGCAACAACCGACGTTGTCATTTCGCCGATGGCTACAGCTACAAAACACTTTTTGTGAAGCACGCTCTGAGTCACACATTTCCTGCAATCTCAGTAGTGCAGCATCGAATGTTTCATTCTGGTCAATGTGTGGTCACGCAAACATACACGCTGACAAGATCGAAAAGAAATTCATCCTAGACGATTTATCAAGTGCCTTCCTCCTTAAAGACGGTCCAAGACTTGCCAAAACGGACACGAGTGACTTGCTTCTGGCAAGCTTGGTCTATACCTTTGCGAAGACCTTTCATGATCGAGACACTCCGGCTGTCTATCTCGAAGGGCACGGTCGTGAGGCTTGGGACACCGATATCGACATCACCGAAACAGTTGGCTGGTTCACTACTTTATACCCCGTCTTGGTAAACATTGAAGCAGACCAGGACATCATTGATACAATCCGATACACGAAAGATGCTCGTCGATCAAGTTTTCACAATGGTTCGAGAGATCTCACTTCACGCTTTCTAGGGGTTGGGGGTAGAAACGACCCCAGGCTTGAAGAACCCATGGAAATCGTGTTCAATTTTTCGGGTTCCTATCAACAACTCGAACGGCACGATGCACTTTTCCAACAGGTAGCATGGTCCACTTATGAGTCCGTTGCAGTTAGTATGAAACGATTTAGTCTTTTCGAAATTTTTGTGGACGTTTCTCACAATCAATTGGCATGCACTTTTACCTGGAATTCTAGAATGGCCCATCAATCTCGAATCTCTGAGTGGTTAGACTCGTTCCAACAATGCCTAGTGAAACTCTCATCAGAGATTTATGGTACCCGAAAGCATATCTATTCACCAAGCGATTTTCCCCACGTGACATTGAGTTATCATTCAGTGGATGACTTGATTACCAGGTCCCTTACAGAGCTGAGTATTGACTTTGAGCAAGATGTTGACGATCTTTATCCTTGCACGCCTCTACAAAATGGCATACTTCTGAGCCAGGCTAAAAAGCCAGAATTATACGTCACCGAAACTGTATGGATGATAGAGACAGCTTCGGGTACCCATACGATCGACCTTAACCGGATTGCTGCCTCATGGAAAGCGGTGGTAAAACGGCACTCAAGCCTAAGAACAATTTTCATCGAGCAGAGCGGATCGGAAGACACGTTCTTACAAGCCGTCCTAAAAACCCCTCACATCCATGTCGCGTACGACAGTTGGGAGGGTCCTAGACCTCCTCTGGGTGGAGCCAAGAAAAATATTGATTATCTGCCAGGGGCCCCAACCCATACTTTTACGCTCTATCAAGGCCGCGAGGGTCAAGTTTTTTGCTCTCTGAGAATTAGCCATACGATGATGGACGGGCTTTCAATTGACAATATCGTCCATGACATACTACAGGCATATGATGATAGTCTTCCAACCCAACCTCCTATGATGTTCGAAGATTATGTCAAATTCGTACATTCTCAACCAAAGACTCCATCACTGCAGTACTGGAAGGTGCGGCTGTATGGAGCTCAGCCATGTTATCTTCCAATGCTCAGTCGTAGTGAACTATATCCTCAACATTCGGAGCCTCAAGCACTGCGCTCTGTGATCGCTGACAAGGGAGCAGCTTCCCTGTGGAAATTTTGTGAAAGCTATGGTGTTACGATGTCAACCCTCGTTCATCTCAGTTGGTCAATAGTCCTGCAAGCTTTTACAAGCAGCAATGACGTCCTATTTGGCTATCCAGTGTCTGGCCGTGACCTCCCCATCCATGGTATCGAAGCTGCAGTCGGTGCCTTTGCAAATCTTCTCGTATGCAGAGTCAAGCTTGATCAAGATTCCACAGTTATTGATATCCTGAACTCGCTTCAGGATCAAATGGCAATCGACCGCGAACATCATTTTCTGTCTTTGGGAGATATTCAGCACGCACTCGAAATGCCCCAGCCACTATTCAATTCTATTCTGTCATATCAGAAACACGAACTTTCCAGAGTAGCATCAAAGTCAAGCATCGAATTCGAAAAGATGGGAGAGTGGGACCCCAGTGAGTACGACTTAGCCCTCGGGATACATGAATTTGACAAACGATTGTTCATGAAATTGGAGTATTTGCCCACGTTGTGGTCAGCCGAACATGTGTCGCATATCTTTGAGAGCTTCAAATCGATAATTCAGTCTATCGCAACTTCTCCAACACAACCACTATCTGCCGTGGATTTGTTGAGTTCAGAAGCCCGTGGGGCAATTCTCGATTTCGCTGGTCCTGAAGTGCTTCACGTGGAAGACACCATTCATTCTGCATTCAAAGCAAGTAGCAGTTCCCATGCAGATAATCCTGCTATTGACGCCTGGGATGCGCAGTGGACCTATGGTCATTTGTTCGGTTTATGTTACGCGCTGGCACAAGATCTGAAAAGAATTGGAGTATCTGCTGGCACCGTGGTACCACTATGCTTTGAGAGATCTGCCTGGACAGTTGTGGCCATGCTAGGAATGCTAATGGCGGGTGGTACTTTCGTTCTTTTAGATACATCCCAGCCGACTACTAGACTAAAGACAATCATCGATCAGGTCTCTTCGAGCCTGGTCGTCTCGTCCCAATGCCAGGAGGTACTCGCGAAGGACATCTCGGAAAACGTTTATGTGCTCGACCCCATCCAATTACTACAAATCAATGCCAAGAACATTTATGCATCAGATTTGGAAGATTCTTCCGCCTCAGATCCTGCCTTTATCATATTCACTTCTGGATCTACTGGCAAACCAAAAGGGGTTGTTTTGTCTCATGCTGCATTCGTCTCGGCAGCGCAATCCCACGCCGGCCCTCTGAAGCTTTCCAGCACCTCTAGAGTTCTTCAATTTGCCTCGTATAGCTTTGATGCCTGCCTTCTAGAGATGATCACAACTCTCATCGTTGGAGGTGTTGTTTGCATTCCCACGGAGTCTGACCGTTCGAGCAATTTACTGCAAGTTGTCAGAGAAATGAAGATAACATGGGCGAATCTGACTCCTCTTGTTGCCGACATGCTTCTAGAGTCTGACATGCCATTCCTTCAGACGATAGTCGTTGCTGGCGAACCAATGTCAAGAGAGTCAATTCGACGTTGGAAAGAAAGCCCAATCCGGGTAATCAACGGGTACGGCCCAACCGAAGCGTGCATTGCTGCCACATTGAACCACAGGTTTCTTGAGCTCCAAGATGTTTCAAATTTGGGGCGGCCTGTCGGTTGTAGATCATGGATCGTGAACGATTACCAGCAACCAGTCCCCATTGGTGCAGTGGGGGAGTTACTTCTCGAAGGGCCAACACTTGCTACCGGTTATCTTGGAGACAAAGTGCTCACGAACGCTGCGTTTATCAAGCCACCAGTTTGGCTTCCGGCGCTCTCTAGTAAAATCTACAAAACTGGGGATCTCGTCAGATATGAACTTGACGGTTCAATTATTTTCCTGGGCAGAAAAGACGGATCGCAAGTCAAGATTCGCGGTCAACGGGTAGAGCTCGATGCTGTGCAACAACAAGTTAACAAGCTTCTCGGTCCACAATTTCAATGTCTCGTTGACTTCACATCAGTGGCAAAGTTAAAGAAACAGGTCCTCATTGCCTTTATAGCAAAAAATCATCAATGTAACAACTATGGTGTCTGTGAATTTGGCGATGACGATGGCCAACTCAAAAGTTTTGAAAATCTCAGGGACACCATTCGAACATTGATGCCTGTTTATATGGTACCGGAATTGTATATCCCCTTGACCGATATTCCTTTGATGCCATCTGGAAAGCTCGATAGAAAACTCTTACGAAAGATGGCGAATGGACTGACGTCTTTACAATTGATGTCGTACTTCCTCACTAGCAACTCGGAAATTTTTGATGCCCCTGCATCTTTATTAGAAACTAAGTTAGCCAATATGTGGGCACAAATTCTGGGAATTGACGAAGAAGAGATTTCAAGAAAGAGCAATTTCTTTCATGTTGGTGCAGACTCTGTCGCTGCCATGAGGTTGACAAGCCTTGCACAACATGACGGCTTATATTTGACTGTGGCTCAAGTCTTTGCCAATCCTCTACTATTTCAATTGGCTGATATTCTTGAGGTCCGTCACAGGGGCCAAATGGCATTTCAAGAGGATGTCACTCCTTTCTCACTTTTGGGCAATGTCAACGACCTTGACGGTACCAGTACTATTGCTCGCTCAACTGCCGCCGAACAGTGTCATGTCGCCTATTCACAGATACAGGATATATACCCGTGTACCTCACAACAAGAAAGCCTATTCGCAACCTCCATTCGATACCCAGGTACTTATATCACAAAGCACATCATTTGCCTTCCACAGGACACCGATATTGCACTGTTCGAAAAATCATGCGAAGCTGTTTACACTCATGTCGATATCCTGAGGACAAGAATGATCTTATACCAAAATAAGATCCTGCAGGCAGTCATTACGGAGCAGCTACCGTGGTTCATTGACGAAGGAACCTGCGTTAAATCCTCGCTATCAGATTATGGAGTCAGTTTAAACACTTTTGGTTTACAGAAGCATGATGGCGATCGATGTACGTTCACTCTGGCGATCAACCACGCGGTCTATGATGGTTGGTTTCTACAAAGGATGTTTCGGGAAATTGAACGATTTTATCACAGCCACATGCAGCCATCTCTCAGACAGTACAAAACCTTCATTGCTTACACCACAAGATCAGAGAAACCGGACGAAGAGAGATATTGGCGTTCGACCCTAAGGGATATCTCGCCAAATAAATTCCCAAGGACTACTGTGAGTGCTCCGTACGATCTACAGGCTATGCACACAGTTCAAGTCGAAATACCTGACCAGCTTGACATCACGACCTCGGTCATGATACGAGCAGCGTGGGTTCTCACTCTGGCTCATTTGACAGATTCCGATGATGTTGTGTTCGGCGCGGTTCTGAGTGGTCGTAATGCTCCAATCATCTCGGCAATGGAGATTGCTGGGCCCATGGTAACGACTGTACCAATCTGTGTACGTCTGAATCGAAAGAGTCTCTTGCACGAGTGGCTCGGTGACATGCAAATACAAGCGACAGAAATGATAGTACACGAACACACTGGACTTCAGAGGATTCGGCAGTTGTCCGTGAATGTTGCGGCGACAAATTTCTCGACCCTTATAGTTGTGCAATCTCCGGACTCAGAAATCGAAAAAATCAAGCTTTTAGGTGCGCAAATTCTACCAGACAATAAGGCCAACCTTGATGTCTATCCGCTCGTTCTAGAATTTGCACCACGTGGCGCAGCCAGTATGGATATCGCGGCCCGTTATGATCCCGCAGTCATAACAAGATCCGAGATGGGAACGATTCTGTTGATCTTGCAGGATGTCGTCCTACAAATTTGTGAGAGAAGAACCGAGAAATCTGTAGGCGAAATCATGTCTTATCTGGGGATGTATCACAAGCTTAAGGAGAATGAACTTCATTGGAGTGACCTCGATCAAGATGTCGAAGCTCCAAGCAGTAACTCCGTTAAACACTCCTTGGCAACCCTCTCATCTCGCGAAGAGCAGCTGCAAGAGCTTTGGACGACTGTCCTTGAACTGCCATTGCATCGTATCGGACGGCGCAGCGACTTCTTTCATTTGGGGGGCGACTCGATTATGGCCATTAAATTGACTATGGCAGCTCGATCCAGGAAACTCAACTTACCCGTTGCTACCATTTTTAGCAATCCTGTGCTTGTTGATATGGCTGCACTTGCTCAGCCTCTGTTTGAGAGCCAACAGGAAACGACTGGACCGCCTGCTTTCTCTCTTCTCGCAATGTCGCACGGCGAACCTCTGAGTTTAATCTTACAATCATGTGCGACTCAGTGTAAGATCAAACCCAGCGAGATTGAGGACATATATCCCACTACGCCTCTACAAGAAGGCCTTTTAGCCCTTTCTCAGAAACAGCCTGGAGCATATGTTGCACAACACATCTGGCGATTACCTGATAGTCTTGACCGTACTGCATTCGCGAAGGCGTGGGAGAGTGCTAGTCTACATCGTGGTATTTTGCGGACGCGCATAGTTGTCCACGAATCCAAGATGTTACAAGTTTTAGTGGAGTCAGTCATCCAAGTCGAGCATTCTACCGTCCAAGATCCACTTGACGCACTGAGGAGAGTTACCTTCTCGCCGGATTTTGGCGAACCTTTAGCTCAATTCCTGTTGCTGGACGGTGGCAAGAACAACACTTACTTCATCTTCCTCGCTCATCACGCCATCTTTGATGCATGGTCCCTGCCACTACTATTCAAAGACGTTGAAAGAACATATATGAATCAAAGAGCCATTGCACTAAGACCTTTCACATCGTTTGCAAAGCATGTTCTGATGAGCCATACAGAATCGAGTCAAGAGTTTTGGCGTGGCTACTTTAATGCACTCGAAGTGGTACACTTTCCTAATCCTGCTTCTGGAGCTAGCTCTTCAGGAACCGCTACCCAGAAAGTGACATTGCAAATGAGGCTCTGGAATGGTCTCAAAGCTCATGTAACTATTGCAACTCTCTTGCGGGCTGCTTGGGCGTTGACCCTTAGTCACTACGCAAACACCGAAGATGTGGTTTTTTGGTCCACACTAAGTGGTCGAGATACAGATATGCCCGGGATTACAGAGGTCGATGGGCCAACTCTAGCTACTGTGCCAACACGTCTGAGAGTCGGACGGAACCAGTCGATATCTCAATTTCTTACATACACTCAAGACGATTTGAAGTCCGTTATACCTTTTCAGCACTATGGCATTCAAAATATCCGGCAGGCAAGCGAAGACGCTGCCAGAGCTTGTGAAGCGACTACCCATCTCATGATCCGGGTGTTTGACGATACTGTCGCGAGCTGGCTTGGTCTTGAGCAAGTAGAGACACATTCATCAAACTACACCTCGTACCCCCTTGCGCTGGACTGCAGGATCGATGGTAATGACATAGCGATCGCGGTATACGCCAATCCTGAAGTGATGTCGAAGACAGAAACCGAAAAAATCGTCGAGCATTTTTCCTACGCCGTTGAACAACTCAACCAAACCACGCTTAACTCACTTCTTGGGCATATACGAAAAATTAGTTCAGGGGAAGCAAAGACGCTAAGTCTATGGAATGCACATGTGCCCACGATGGTACGACGGACGATACATCAAATCACTCACGATCGTGCACAAGAAATTGCGGATCGACCAGCAGTTTGTGCCTGGGATGCCGAATGGACGCATGGACAGCTTGACCAGATTTCTTCCCGCTTGGCATTGCAGCTGAGGAAAGCAGGTGTGAAGCCTGAAAGTGTTGTGCCACTATGTTTCGAAAGGTCTGCTTGGATGGTCGTCGCAATATTGGCAGTACTCAAAGCCGGAGGAGCATTTCTTCCGTGGGATCCAGCGCACCCAGAGGAGCGTCGGAAGGAGATGGTGAGACAAACCAACTGCTCTATCATCTTGACTTCGTGTGCCAATGCAGAACTTTGCTCTGGGCTTTCCGATACACTAGCCATCGTCGATCCCATTGCACTCGAGTCCACAAATGGTCCTAGTATGGAACCGATTGATTTCCATCACGACTGCACATCTGCTGCTTATCTCATTTACACGAGCGGCAGTACAGGGCAGCCAAAAGGCGTCGTGATCACACATGAGGCGTATTCTACTTCCGGCCTAGAGCATGGACCCGTGCATAATATTGGACCAACGTCAAGAGTCCTTCAGTTCGCGTCTTATAGTGTCGATGCTATTTGCCTGGAGATAATCACTACTTTGATGATGGGAGGGTGCACTTGTATCCCTAGCTCCGATGACCGAGATAATCACTTACAACAAGCATTGCAAAAGATGGAGGTCACGACACTCGCACTCACACCCTCAGTACTCTCAGTACTTGCCCCTGAGCAGCTTCCAAGTTTGAAGACTTGTATAATGGTGGGTGAGCCGGCCCCAACAGCACTTGTGGAGCGATGGTCCACTTGTGCAAGTCTCATCAATGGTTACGGGCCCACGGAGACATCACTCGCAGCTGTGATGAATCAAGAGATGACAGTCAAGACTGGTGCGAATATTGGCCGAGCTGTTGGATGTGCTACATGGATTGCTGATCCAGAAAATCACGAAAACCTTGTGCCTATTGGTGCGGTTGGCGAGTTATTGATTGAGGGACCAACCTTGGCGCGTGGCTACTTGCATGACCAAGCGAAGACCGAGGCTGCTTTCATTCTCAGCCCTTCCTGGCTTGAAAAACCAGGAACGAGGCTGTACAAGACCGGCGACCTTGTCAAATATGCAGATGATGGAACAATCATCTTCGTCGGCAGAAAGGATAGTCAAATTAAAGTCAACGGACAACGCGTGGAGCTTCGCGAAACCGAGCATCATATCAAGAAAGCTATGGCTGCGATCGATCAAGTCGTCGTTGAGGCATCTCGAAGTGACGACGGACGTGCCCGTGCTTTAGTGGCATTTCTGACCATTAAGCCCGAGTTCCGGGCTGAACTTGGGCTGGTCATTGAGATTCATGAGTCCTATGCTCCCACCAGTTCTGAGCTTGAGATAGAATTGAAACAACTCACCACGGCCCTGCTACCTGTTCTTCCCGTCTACATGATGCCAAAAATGTGGGTACCACTAAGCACGATTCCAGTGGCAACGTCGGGCAAAGTGGATCGCAAAAGCCTCAGTCATCTGGCGAACATGGTTGTTAAGGAGTCTCGCAGTGAGCATTTTCTCACATCCTCAGCGAGCAAGCGTGCACCTGAAACTCCAATGGGTCTCTTATTACAGGATTTATGGGCACAGGTGTTGCGTATCCCATCTCAGGATATAAGTGCTGATGACAGTTTCTTCAGAGTTGGCGGGGATTCAATATCCGCTATGAAACTTGCTGGTCTTGCGCATAGTCGAAATTTACGACTGAGCGTACAATTAATCTTCGAGTATCCGCTTTTGAAGGATATGGCGGAACAATTAAGGACAACGAGTGGTCAGAACAACATTTTTCCAGACACTGAGGCACCTTTGCCGTTCTCCATGGTTGATAGAGATGAGAGCTGTGTGAAAAAACAACTCCAGCACCAGCTCAGCAATGAGATCCTCGAGATTGAAGACGCGATGCCGGTCAGCGATTTCCAAGCCTGGGCAGTGGGCTTCAGCATCTTGCAACCGAAAGGCTTTGTCACATATATGACTCTGACACCCAAAGAGCCATTCGAGCGAACTCGCCTATCAGAAGCAACTCAACTCACCGTTGCCACGATACCCATATTGCGAACAGGTTTTTCGATTGCAGAAGGTGAACTGCTCCAGGTCATCTTCCGTGACTTCTCACCTAAGCTTGCGTACCACAGAAGTGACTGCGAAGACCTCGAGTCAGCGCGAACAAACTGGCTCTTGAAGGACTCACGACAAGATATGCCCATGCCATACCCACTGACACAGTTTACCCTACTAAGTGATGCCGCTGAGAATAATCAGTGCCTTATCTTACGGCTGTCTCATGCTCAGTATGACGGAGTATCATTCCATAAAGTCTGGAAAACTTTGCACCAAGCATATTCGAGGATCGAGCTATCCCCACAGCCGACTTGCTCCACGTTTGTTGAGGCTTCTCGTGATATCTCTCGCTCTCCAGCTGCAGTGAAATACTGGAGCAATGTCTTAGAAGGCTCTTCAATGACACCATTCACCTCTTCAACGAAACCATTTTACAAGCATCCGCTCAACAAGACTTCTACGTACAAAATAGCCTGGAATATGGGAGGTCAATCTCCAGGCTTTACACAAGCAACAACTGTGAAAGCAGCTTGGGCACTAATTCTTTCACATCTCAATGCCATGGGGCCAGCATTTCCGTCAAGCATTGACCTCACTTTCGGTAGTCTTGTATCTGGTCGAGCTGCTGATTCGATCACGAACAAAGACACCATTGGTCCACTCCTCAATATCATTCCGGTCCGAATAAAACTGGAATTCAATGCAACACTCCACGACCTGGTCTTGCTCGTCCAAAAGCAGCAAAACGCATCCCTGCAGTACGAAAACCTAGGCTTTCGATCCATCATACGCGAATGTACAAATTGGCCAGGCTTTACGCGTTTCAGTTCGGTGCTGCAACATCAAAACCTCCCCGATATCACAAACGAAGTCCAAATCGGCGACATAGGCTGCAGTAGCGAAGCATGGAGAGACCATGTTGATAGTAGCGACATCGTTGTGCTGTCGACTCCAGTGCAGCGGGTCGACCGTGAGAAAGGTGACAACGACCTTCAATTAGAAATCGGATATTCTGAAGACATTTTAAGTGCCGCACAAGCACATGCTCTCGTGCAGAATCTGGGTCAACTGGTCGAGGTCATCATCTCTAACGATTCGGGTCACATGGAAATCGGCGAAGTTTTGAACAGGGCGGATCTATTCATGGGCATTCCAACTCAACCCTATCGCGTGCCAGAGAACGAGACGAGCAAGAATCATACCAACGGTCATGTTATCACTCCCGGAGAAGCAGAGACCATGGAGGGGAATATTAATCGCATCGAGGACGAACTATGTGTGTTGTGGCAACAAGTTCTTCATCTTGAATATGAGCAGATTCGAAATGATGTCCCCTTCTCATCATATCCTGGCGGTGATTTCATCGCGACTTGTATACTTACAGAGTCGCTGAGACAACGAGGCTATATCGGACTATCAGTGGAGAGAATGCTCGTGAAAGAAACCATTGGTGAACAGGCGAGAGTTCTGGCTAGTTTACCGTCTCAAAATGGCAATGGAGTTCACAGGTAGAGAAGTAGTATAAGTCTGAGAAATTTATGTCGTTGGCATTGGGATTATGACACTTATAGTCTGGACCTAGTTGACTTGATAGAAATTGAACATGATATTAAATTACAGCAACTATTTATAAGGACATTTCTATATGGGTATTGAATCATTGACGGTCAGCACCAGCGTGTATAGCGCTCTCGTGATGACTCGATTCAGTTATCTGTAACTATTGTCGCATGTATAAATGCTGGCTAAATTGACGTCGCCATGACCATCTTAGGTCCACGTTATCCGTGCCAATAACTCCGTATATAGATGCCATTATTTTATATAGGTCTGTCATCTGCCGTCTATTTGTGATTTGGGTGGAAAAATCACAGTTTGGATTTTTTTTCTAATCTGAGATCCAAGAATCCGCCAATGTTTTAGGCAAATTCACTATGGTGACGTTAGCTAGAGCTTCCGTAGGAACCACCCCCGAGTAGGTAATGCCATAGTCGTAGCCGTTGACTGAGCTCCTTCGCGAATTTTCTTCACAGCTTCTGACCGAATTAACTAAAGAGGGAACGGGGCTTTTCCGAAACCTCTGTTTACTAAATCTGGCTCGAACGTCGCGGACGTAACGACTATTCACAGGAATTCGATTTTTAGGTATCTAGGTAATCTTGAAAATTTGTTTTTCAGAGTTGAACCGCGGCCAAGCGCGAATTTTTCTGAATTTCTAGCTAAGTGAATGCTAGTGGTAAATAAATCTAAGAGGTAAAAATTTCATGTGCGGTCGTTTTGTGCGTATGCAAGCAAATGTGTAGATTCGAGCCAGCGATTATGGAGAGTCCACTCTTGTGAGCTTTCCTCCTGTGTTCTCAGCTTAGCTGACCGACTCTCATGAATGGAAAGAATCGAAAATGTGGCGGAAGTGAGAGTGAGCATGACGCTTGTTCTTGACCGCGGCCTGTTGGAAATTTGCTGAGATCCCTGGAGTGCAATGCATACCCGAACTCATAGGAATTGAGACGCTCCAGGTGCCACCAGCGGTGCATCGCTTGAAGCTCAAGCCATCTGTAGCACACTCCCAGTCTCCTGCCGTACAAGATCCGCCGCTGGAAGTTTGGGGTTCCGAGGAGGCAGGCGAAGACGTTTGTAGAGGCGTCCCATCTGAGGCTACGGGTGTTACAACGCCGTTCGCTGAAGCTGATGACATGGACGAGGCTCCCTCAGCAAATCCAGCTGGTGAGGCGGTGTATCCACCGTTGCCGCCGTTGCCCCCATTCCCACCGTTTCCACCGTTGCCATTGTTTCCGCCGTTCCCACCATTTCCACCGTTGCCACCTCCATACGCCGTCATAGTTGGGGCAGCGGTAGCAGCTTGGGTTGCTGGTGTTTGAGTCTGTTGAGGCGGCGACCCTCCAGAGCCTCCATTGCCCCCCGGCATTTGCGTGAAGGGACCATTACCAGCAGTCTGGACATCGGCTCCCGGGTTGGGAAAAATGATCTCTTGCCCCTCAGGAGTAGTGATCCCATTTCCAATATTAGCAACAAATATATCAGGAAAAGCGCTCGTATCTCGCTTCGATTGCTTTGGAAGTGGTGCGTATCGACGTTTTTTCGCCCCGGTCACTTTAACAGGAGAACAATTTTGATATAGCTCGCGATTTCCAACTTTGTTATACCATGTCCAGGATAGAGCATATTCTCCGGGCTCAATACCCTCGGGAATTGAGAACTGAAAGGTGGAAGCACCACTGCCGTTCGCGTCCTCAGGCAGATTCCCAGGAACATTAGCAGGGCAGCCGCCGATGATAGACTTGATCACCATCCATTTGGAGTCCTTGGTTGGTTGAGTATCTTTGCTCAAAGCGATTTGACAAGAGCCACCGCCATGAACAGCGCTTCCAGTAAAGCTGAGGGTCTGTTGTTCACCTTGAGCCATGATATTACTTCCACCGGGGGGCATGGCATATACACCGCTGCGTTGCTTGCAAGGAAAATCCGCACCGGTGGGGTCTAAGGGTGAGTTGTCCAAAGATTCCGCGCCATACGGGACTGGTGTTTTCATTTTCATATGACCTTGGGCCGAGGTGAACAGCAAGGCTGCCGAAAAGAGACATACTTTCGTCGAGAAACCCATATTTGATACTGTGGAGTTGCTATTCTTATTGGCAGTATAAGAAGGTGTAGTCGATTTGGATGGTAGATATTGTGGAGTTGCTATTCTTGTTGGTAGTGCAAGAAGGTGTAGTTGATGTCGATGCTTGAACGTTGCTAGAAGACTTGTCAGTCTGTCGAATTGGATTCAAATAATTTAAGCGTTGAACGTGAGTTTGAGTGGTGATAAGAAAGTGGTAAAAATTATGGACGACGTCCAAGTTCCCTCCGGCGGCTCAAACGTATATGAACCTCGTTGGCGAGGCTAGAAACAAAGGCCGCTTGTGATGAGTGGATATAGGTGACAAGAGAACAATAAGATTCCAACAGAGGAGTTTGTTCGCACAAGGGCAGTGGGTATACAAACAGACCAGAACCTCTGGCAGCATATGGTACGGAATGGAGTCACGGGATGTCACTCACCTCGTGATTGATCCGAAAAGGAATGTCGTGAATGCGTTGATCGTGAGAAGGTTCGTCAATGAGTGTAAATGTCTGTGCACAGCACGAGACGTGGAAAAAATGAATGACTTTTCTGCGAAAGAGAGATACAGAATAACTTGATGAACTTCGATAAAAAAAGTGCAGCATAGCGAGAGGTGGTATATACATGAGTTTTTGGAGTATCCCCCTCAAGGCTAGTCGTTAGTATAGGGGGATGGATTCATGAAACATGGCACATTCTATTGGTTCAAGGGATAACCCTTGAACGTGGAGTTAGCGTAGAGATCCAGGCGGCGTGGAGTGACCTATAAGCGGTCCAGGCTTCATCGTGTTCGGTAGTGTGGCATGATGCTTTGACCAATGAAATATTCAGCAGCTTCCATGTCACAGCTGATGTACATCCGTGCTTGACAGAAAGCTCGAAAACCGTCAATGGAGCTCGCGAAAAGGGAGGTCGAAGTGAGGTCAAAATGCCCCTGGGAGGAGGCTGAAGCAAGATCGGCTTCGCGCCTCGCGCCAAAGATCAGGGGTCACCGTCGTTGATTGTAGACCAATAGGTAGGCGCAGCGCTGGGAGCACCAGTCCCAAACAAGTTAGGTCCGGGTTGGGGAAAAGTAGTGTTCCGAAGACACGGCCATTCAGGGCCTATAATTGGCTGGGAATTCTCCCAGACTGGCTTTCTGAAACACCGCTCCATGATGCTCCCCTGACCTAAAATTGGGAGCTAAACTGTTATCGATTGCCACCCGGTGGTAGCTTGAAGAACACGCTGAACTTTGAGTGACCCGGAAGTATTGTTGCACATTTAGTTAGTTCTTGATCATCCAGTTGTAGGACCAGAAAGACAAGTCCTTGGGGTGTTGAGATGTCTAGACCGAGACCATTCTTCGTCAGCTTCATTGTAGAAGAGCAGTATCCGCAGTGGACCATGCTTGCCATGAGTCCAATTGTTCAGCTGAGATGAACAAGTGAATCCTTTCTCCGCTGGGGTCCGACCACTTGTCTGTTTAGAGCAGGCTCCAATAGAAACTTCACGCCACGATCACACGCAGACCTTCCCCGACTCGTCCAAGTAGTGAGAGGCGCCAGTGCCTTCTCTAATGTGGGTCGCCTGTTTCCCAGCCACATTCATGACGTCTGGCGGCGGTCAGAAGCACTCTTCCAGATATTGTTCCGAGGGAAAAAAGACCTCGTACGAAACCTATCGTGAATAGTTATGACCAATGCGTACTTAGTACGATATACTCGGTACCTTGTACGTCAAAGCGATGTGTGGACTAGGCCAAATTTTGGCAAGTTGACAGGGTCAAGTGGACGCACGGCTGCTGGTCCTCTGAAAGTTAACCAGCATGATTCGGAAATGCTGGGCAGGCGACGAGAGAGGGGGCCCAAAACATGGACTGCTATGGCCACTGATTCCGTGACTCGTATCCAAGTTCCTTCTCAAATGACTACCTTGTGAATCACTATCCTACCGGTCTTGTGCTCACTCATTTCGCTCCTGCTTGGGAACAAAGAATTAACGGCGCCTTGTCCAAACCAAGTCCATCACAAGCGTTACGAAGTATGGGAGCGTGAAAGGACAGGCCCACGTATCATGAGAGAGTTCGACATGTCGGATGCACATTGATCAAGTTTTTATGATTTTAGTTAGACTGAGTTCAGACTTCAATCAGGCCCAGTCACCATTGGAACAATGCCTATTGGTGGCTCTGTCGAGGACGTACATCAATTGCAGAATTGTGTGAATTTGTCGTAATACGACTAGAGCTTGAGTCTAGGTTCTTCACCTATGCCCCAGCCGTGGACCGAGCGCTCAGGAGTTGACATTTCTGTCATAGCCTCGAGCCCATGCAGCAACCTATGGGATAGGTAGAGTCCTGGCTGATGTGTGATGGGGCGGTTTGGGCTCTCAGTCGCAATTTCGATGAAATTTTCGATTGAGAGATTGCGGTGCCTCATCCAGAGACAACGTTCATGGTAGCAGGGTGACATGGATAGGACAGTGCTACCCAGGGTCATTACTAGCATCATAATATGACTTTGATGGATCTTCGTAGACAAAGATCGTGGTACAACTTGAGACGCTACCAGCAGATTCGGGGGAGGAGCCAGATGCATTGGAGTCATCGCTTGCCCCTCCCTTCCACCGATGAATGCGTACATCTTTATCAGCCGAAAGATCGGATAAATCTTGCACGATATTCTCGACATGCACACCTCTTGCCTTTACATCTTCAAATGCTTTAACGAGCCATCTTACAACTGACCGATGGCCAGCTCGTTGATAAAATGCATAGGCCAGGTTGGCGGGAAAGTTAATGATGTTTGCACCTAAAGCACTCATTTCTGGCTGGATGCAATAGGGAACTGAACGGCAAATATTGGCAGCGTGTTTTTCGGCAGTAAACAGCTCCAGGAGAGGATTTGGCTCAGCAGTATCTGGTAAATGGTGGTCTCTCAGGTCGAGAGCGCGTACAATACCCGTGGCAGCCTCCGCCAAAGCCAGGGAACAGGTATAATAGAAGACACGAGCTTGGACGAATAGATGATTCTCAAACCATAGGTCAGTCTCGAACGGGTAGCCACTTGGATCTGAAGAATCGTGCTTTTGAACACGTGGGACAGCGCTTCCTTTGGTCCCATCTTTCCACCGGTTCATTCGAATTTGTAGGTCTTTACATTCTTCTAGCACTTGTAAAAGATCAAACTCAATATCTTGGTCCTTGTCCAGGATGAGATCGAACTTCTCAAGGAGACCAGGCACCTGAACGGCCATGTCAATCAACCGATCGAAATAGGTTCGGGACTGCTTCTCCCAAGGCACAGAAAGCCAATCTTCACTAGCAAGGTAGGTGGCCTGCCTTGATAAAATGGAGGCATATATGGTCGGAATTCGAGCGGCAAGAAAAGGATGATGAGCATCCCATTCTTGGTGACGAGCAGGGCCTCGCAATTCGATGAGGCGAGCAGCTCCTTGGGCGTGAGCTATCCAACTTTTTGAATGAAAGGCGGGGCCCTCAAACAATTCATACAACCCGAGCAGCATGCAGGCCATGAGGACGTGGTTCGAATGCATCCGCTGTGGATCGTATAGGGCGAGCTGAAGCTCTTTGAGGGCTCGGCCGTAGAGTCTGGTGCTTTCGTGTACGAGCCGGAAATCTTTATGGCCCTGACCGACTCTAGATATACTCAAAGCTGAGAAAGCATCTTTCAGGGAAGAGTCCTCCTCGGCTACACTGTGAATGACTTCGGTCCAGTTCATTGGATGGCCACATTTCACGATATATGGATCGCGACATACACAGTCTCCCGTAGGATTGTATAGGTCCCAGAAGAGGCTCCGACATTGGGATAGGACGACATGTCGGTTCAGGGAGCCTGGAAGGACAAGGGCGGAGGGTTTGGATCGTGGAAGGAAGATGGCGCGCTGAACAGCTTTTGTGGCAGGATGGAGGATGAAGGTTCTGTCACGATTATATCCGCCGCACTCGTAGCCACTGGAAGCACACTGGCCACAGATAGGGCGTTTCTGATCGCACTGCACAACGAGTCAGCTTGGGATGCACTTGCAGATGAACCAGTGCTTTGGACTTACACCTTTCTTCCTGCGACGACAGGTACTGCAGCCTTTGCTCTTACCAGGCACGCCCACCTGCGAACTTGTAAGCCACTCTTTCTAAATGTTCTAGAAATTCTTACCATGACGATCACTCATTTCCACGGAGGGGAAGCAGATGCAATAAGTTCATGTGAATAATTATATTTTGTGTTCGAGACGTGGGGATATGCGAGGACATATTAGTGAGTGCAAGAGAGGATGAAGTGGAAGGCTCGTATAGGACATAATGTGGTAGTTTAGTAGATACCTGGGTGGTCCGGTACCTACTTGGATTCTAGACTATGATATGGGGGAAGGAATTAACGGAGAGAAGCTCTTAACTGTGCATGTTCTTGAGTACGTAAGGTAACTATTGATTTCTTGAATTGCTAAACTGCTAGTTGTACTTGGCTGACGCAGGGAGAGGTCGCCTTAGGTTCCGTGGCTGGCGCCCGTGGACGCCTACGAGTAAAGCGCCGTGGATTGGCGGGACTGGGCGTGACTTGGAGTGACTTGGAAGTTCTGGGCACGTGACTCACCTGACCTAGGGACACAAAGCCAACTGTGAAACCTCGACAGCGACGGGGCTACCTAGGTATCTAACTGAACAGGTGGTCATGACTCAACCATGGAGAACTACATGAGAAGATTCTTAGCTTATGGTCGATAGTACGGTACGAACAGACGATAAGTTAAGCGTTTCCCGAGAATTTGACAGTTGCACAGACAATAACAATATCAATGAACTTCAAAATAGTTACTTATTACCTTATGTGGGGCGTGGGTGATTATGTCTTCAATCATTATGCCAGCTCCATTTGGATATTGTGGGCAGACTTGTGACTCTGAGGAATCGAGTGGTCCAGAGAGCAACCAGAGACTGCAATTCGACTCCAAACCCAGTAGGAAGGGTCCCACCAGAGAGACGTGGGAGTCTGGGACTTCAATACCCGGGTACCCTCGGGCGTCTTCAACCACTCGGAGGAGCTTAACTGACACCTAAAATCGAGCGAGAAGATCTTCTGGAGATAACGCCATCACAACGGGCATGATTACTTAAGGGATTAGCGCCTAACAGATGACTTGCAGCTGCCAAGTGCCCCACGACGAAGCCTAAAGAGTGCGTCATGGTTCAATTGTAAACAGCCTGCCGGCACCGACTGGGCACCGACTGGTAATTACTGCAATGCGGGCGCCCTCCGCCAATTTCGTCAATGCACCACCTGCATGACCACAATGTAAACAATCATTCTCACGTCCCTTACCTCTTCTTCCGTACTCTTAACTCTCATAATCATGACTCCAAGTGAATGACTTTTAATGTTAATGGAATACCTAATATCCTCTATTCATCATGAATCGACACGAATTCGCCAATCTGATCGCCCAGACACAACCCACCATGAAGGCGACAGGTACCAACAACCGCTCCGCTTCCGCAAAAGCCACCAGCAGTTTGTGTAACCAGTTGCAGTCTTTGTCTCCACGACAGAAGTTCCAGTCTCATATCCGAACTTTGAGTCAAGAAAGCACTGCTTACTCCAAAGACGCGTCTGTGGCTCCATACTCTCCTTCACCTTCCTCGTCTCCGTCCCCTTCTCCCTCGCCCACCAGCAACACCTACCGATACAGTGAAACTGCTCTACGCGGTGGGAGATACACACAACATGAGCCGCAGTTCATTACGGAGGAGCGAGAGGCCTGGGCTCGACCATCCCCGACAGAGACAAGACGCGGACGGAATCCGACTTCAGAAGATACCTTTGTTCTTCAACCTCCTCGAGATCAAAGTCCTGTTCAACAACCACGTAAACATCTTCGAGAGCTAAGGGCTTTTGCTCCGTCTTCACAATCGGCCGATATAAATGAGAGACCAAAGACCAGCCGTGGCTCCAAGGTCGACTTTGGCAAGACCGCAGCTGAGGAGGACCAGGACCTTCAATTGAGAAATTCCAAGTTTGCTGAGGGTAGCATGACCGCTCGGTCCGCCGGGCTATCTTCAACCTGGCTTGAAAGTGGTTCAATTTCCACAATGTCAGGAGATGACTCAGACGATCAATCTACTCCGAGAGCCTCTCCTCAACGCTCGACCGTTGATTTCGATAACTTGAAGCCTACTGCGATCACCCCAGGCACCTTCAAACAACGCCTCGCGAGGATCGGGTCGGCTTTCAAGGCGGCCCACCACTCAAACAAGCCCGAGGTAGACACGCAGGATGCAAAAAAGAGAAAGGGCTTGAGAAAGAGCATGTCATTGTGGAATTTGAACAATATCTCTGGGAAAACAAAGACTGTTGGCGCTCAGTCTATCTTGGACCTCAATTCAGTTGCAGCCGACCCACAGAAGACCACTGCAGATCATGATTTGGAGGTGCTTAATGATCGCAAACGAAGAGCCGAGGTGGCCTACGCTCAACAATTTGGTACCAAGAAGAGAAAGTCCAATGTCGGTATCCCCGAACCCATTGCTGAACCACAACAAGAACAACCACCACAGCTCAGAGATGACCGGACAGTCACACGACGCAGCATGAGATCATCAGTGTCGACCAGAAGACTCAGCCATTCCTCTTCCACCATGGGTATAGCTGATATTTCTGACAGTCAACGCGACATAGATTCTCATAAACGTCCTTCCCGTCGAGAACTGGAAAAGGAGAATCAACAGCTACGAGCCATGCTTCGCCAACAGGAGGATGCAAATCACAAGACTCCCAAACCCGCAGTCGCGAGAAATCGATCGTCGTCCACCACGAAAATTGCAGCTTTCACTGAACCATCCCCAACAAAGCAAGAGACAAAATCAGCATCAAAGAAGAAGACCACCAAATCAAAGACCAAGGATATCCCACCTGTGCCATCCGTGCCCGACCGTGTCGCCCTCCAACCACTAAGCAATGCAAGAAACCAGTCTCGCAGCACCAGCATCTCCAATAATGCTAATATCAATAATAATGCCTTTGTCGATCTCAAACTCACGGCCAGCGCTAATACTAATAACACCAATACCGGCACGTCCAACAATAATCCAACAAAGAGAACCTCAACAAACAGCAGCAGTGGCAATGGCAATGGGCCCCTCACACGGCCTGTATCGATGATTCTCGAGGAAGACGAGGAGAGCATTGAAAATCGAACTCCGAGCGGCAAATCGTCTCTGAAGATTGATGACATCGCCAAACTCAAGCAGCTCACCCCTTCGCCTGTCCGTTTGTATCCTGCAAAGCGTGAGCAGTGGGAGTGGCCGGACGATATCTTCTGAAGTGTGGAGTCGTGGCTATCAAAAGAAGGAGCGGATCGTCTACTGTGGAAGAGAGTGGTGAAATGGCGTGGATGAAGGATGTGTTTTACGAAGAGCAATTCAAAGCGTGTGTTAGTTTTTTCTCAACGGATGACGATTCAAAGATTCAAGAAAATGATGATTATTGGTTCTTGATTGACGGGTTTGATGGGCAGATGGATGATTCAAGCATGACTTTAAGTCGGGAGTTGGAATGAGCGGGCGGTTTGGAGACTTCGACTCTTCCCCTTTTCTTCCTTTTCTTATTCTTGGCTTCATTGAATGGCGATGGCGATGGGGATGACTGGTTCGACGAGGAGCGCGCACGCCTGGTCAAGGACTCTCGAGGTTAACGGTCCGACGTCTCCTCCCCATCCTTTTCTTTTCTTTCTTTCTCTTTTTCATCCTTCATGTTCCTTCTCTTTTCATAGCGAGCAAGCGAGCAAGCGAGCGCATCATCGTCCAAATCAACCGGTTTTCAACCGAGCTTTTCTTTCCTGTCCCTTCGACTTCGCGAAGCAGAGTGCGTCAAAGCATAGCGTAGCAGAGCGTTGCGTTGGCGTTCAAGAATCGAATCAATTCAATTCAGTTTTTCAAGTCAACTCGAAGTGGTGCTTTCCATTCTGATTCGATTGATTGATTTATCGTTCGAAGGATAAATGCCCGGGTAGAGTATGCTTCGAACTGGAGTAGCATAGAGCTGAGGTAGAACTCAAGCTCAAAGGGGCAAAAAGCAAAAAGTGAGAATGTGTGGAGAGTCAATAGATCGGAGATGGGAGAGAGCGAGTGAGCGGAAGAGGAGTATATAGCGAGAAGTTGGGATCAAGAATGATATGGATTGGTACATACTTAGTAGATCAGTGGCCTTCAAATGTTCATTTACACATCCCCTAATCGACCAGTACCTTGAAGTGTCCATGTCTTGGGGATTTGTCATTCAGCATCATTTGGTTTCTCATTCTGGTGTCAGAAGTTATGTAGGTGAATAGTGAAGGTATGTATATGTGTGGTGGAGCGGAGATCATGCAGTCAAAAAAATATGCTATGGTCATTGCCTGGTGAAGAATATAAGATGAAAGTGGTCGTATAGTCATGGAGCGAGGGGAGGGTATCGATTTGATTTTGAAAATGAAGAGTGTTCAGCGTGTCCAGAACCAGCCACCACCACGCCAGCGTTGAGCATCTTCGGTCTTTGCATTCGATGACAACTGGACTTCGTCCTTGTCTCGCTGAAATGCTTCTGCTCCATATGTCTGGCGTATCCTGTCTACGTTGTCTTGACTACGCTGTGTGGGTCGATATGGCATACTATGCGCTGAGGAACTCCCATCGGGAAGTTGAGTCTGCGTTTCTTTGTCCAGCACTTGAGTAGTGATTGGAGATGATCGGGAGGGAATGCTTTTCACTTCGGTACTTTCGTCACTTTCTTCTGTACCATCGGCGAACCGCTTCTTGAAGACACGTTTGGTTTCGACAGATCCATCTGGTAGAGTACGTGTTACTGTAGTCGTTAAGGTTGAGATGATAGAGCTGGGCTCTTGATCGGATGAGGCAGAGTAGCTCGACGAGCTATTGCTGGAGTAGGAGTATGATGAGCTCGATGAGTCCACCAGAGACGTATATGGCGTGGGATCCGACTCGTCAGACTCAATTGTGGATGCTGATTGGGCAGATTCATCACCGGTAAATCCCTCATGCTGAGTCTGCTTCAAGACATCTTCGATGCCCTGCTCAACAGCTGAAACGATAGAGTCGGCTGCAGACAAGAGCCCACCGAACACGGGTGAGCGAGCAATAGATTCTGGAAGTTCATCAACCAGTTTGTCGATGGAATCCTCATGTGTTTCAGTTTCATCCTGTTCAGTTTGTTTCTGAATATTCTCAGTACGCCTCCAAGACCCCCATCGCCGCTCTCTTCTTCGTTGGCAGCGATCTTTCATGGTAGATTCACGTACAGTAATGGCAGTACCACTAGAGCGTTTGATGAGCATGCCATCTTCATTGAAGCCCCATCGATCACCAAGACTTCCACGACGCACCATATCATGAATCCATGTAGGAGGGGTTCGAAGAGTGGAGAAATTCCTATCCACCATTGAACCAGTCTGCTGCAAGCTCACAAGATCCTCAAAGGCATCGGCCCACGAGAGTTGTCTTGCCAACTTGTCATCCACCTCGGTATACCACCTCTCGAAGTACTTTGGTCTTGATATTTGCAAGGGAACTTCCTCCGAATCTTGGATTCTGACTCGAAACATCCTCGATTGGCCTGGGTTGGAAAGATATATAGGAGAATAAGGGCTCAACATCAACCACGGAATGGTGTGATCAGGATTTTCAAATGGATTCATATGTCTGGCCTTGAATAAGCTGTATCGAGTAGCTTGTGGTGTTGGGTAGTCTTCCGAAGCCATCTGTACATCTTTGGTCGTATTCTCTCTCGACTTGACATCTCCTGGAGTGAGCCAATCAAGCCAAGGGACACCTGTTGATGAAACAACTCGGGAGCCTGTGGATTGGGGATTGGACGAAATGTCCGCCTCGTACATATCCAACTCTGTTTTTGGTTGCCCAGTCTCATTATAGAGAGCCGGACATTTACGTGCATTCTGCTGTGACTGTTGGCCATTTAACGCAGGACATTTGGAAGCATTGCCTTGAGTCCACCATGGGGGTTGCTCAGTCGATGCTAAAGGCTTGGAAGTGGTTCCCTTGGTAGAGCGAGACCATGAATCTTCCATGGCCTTAAGGGTGGCAACGTGGGACTTTTCGATCTCGTGTCTCATCTCTTCCATTTCCTGTTCGAATTGCTTCCTCCATCCTTCCTCCATTTCATGCCTGCGACGCATTAGATCGTCGACTTCTTTGTTATGCACCCCAAAGAGACTGGGAATGCCTTGGAAGAATGAGGAGAACTGGTCGTCAGCAAAACGACGAAATTGAATGAATGGGTTTTCGTGCTGGTTTTTGTCGGATCGAGAGTATGGTGTCTGGTAGGTGGGGAATGGGTCGAGCGGAGGTGGGACGGATTTATCTTTAGGGGATCTGTCCTCGGGCATGATGGATGGTATTTGGGATATAGATGGAATGAAACAGCAGGGAGATTAAAGGAATGGAAGACATGCAGCGGTTTGATGAAGACTAGATGGGATGATAGGTGCCTGGAGTGGCTTTGGAGGTGGTTGTCATGAACTTGCAGGAAGTGGTGGTGACGCACGTGAGGCGGCAAGCGGGACAATCGACAACCAACCGCGACGCGTTGGCGTGTCGGTCCCGAGGTGCCCCTCAGGCACCAATATACGATGTTCCAGGCGGAGGCTGAGTTTAGGCGTGTCAGAGCGAAAAGATCTCTGACGAGCACCCACCTGTTATTCTTCTGTTTAGAGGTGTATTATGATTTGAGAGGTGATGCTATATAGACCCTAAGACATACATACAATTGAGGGACTTAGTCGTCACATAATGCTACAAAGACCAAGTCATAATTTCGCTCTTTCAGGCACATCGTCCCAAGCCTGATCGAACCCAGCACTTCGAACCCAGTTATCCTCTTGGTTATTTTCAACCGAGTCGATAGCCATATGTCCCAACAATTCCCACATATCTCCCTTGAGAGGGAACACATCATCCGGTAAGTTTTCGTAGGGTTTACATGCCTGCTGGCCGTGAGCTATGGCTCGAACCAACTTGCTTGCATGCCCGTCGTCAGGGAGTTGATCGACTCTCCGGGTAATGCCTGCCCAACCACTATCTTTCTGTTTTGGTTGATAATTTTTGATCTCATCGAGCAGCGGTTCAGGACATGCACGGGAGACATACAAGGCAAGATCAGTCCGCCCTTTCCATTCCAATATTCGACACTTGTTTTCCTTGCTGAGCCAGGGTTCCTTGACCAAGGTTGAGAAGAAGATCGAACTGTTCACGCAATGCATGAAGTAGAAATCAAACTTGATCTTCTTGGTTGGGCGTTGAGCCGCTCCAGTGAAATAGATTGACGCCCCGATCATCTCAGCTGTTTTCTGCTCGAGTTCGTCAGGTTTCACTTTCCATTGAGCAGCGAGATCGAACATCTCTTCCGGTGCACGTTGGAGTACACCGTCTCGGACTTTATTCCCATCTTCCCAGTGGGGTGATGATCGAAGTTTGTCATTCTGCCGTGCTTCGTGGATCAATTGAACCAAACTCTTTGACTCGGTGCCACTTTTGGCCTTCTCCTCAGCCCCAATCAGGAATTGACCCATCCAGCCATCATGGGTGGCCGCCTGAGCAAGTGCCTCAACGATGATCGCAGGCTGTTTGAACTCAATTCCAAACCCTAGGTGAATGATGGGATGAAGAAACCCTGGTGAATCATTAGCCTCTACCTCTGGTGCAAAATCAGAGCTCACTCACCAGCATACATGCGCGTAAGCAGTGCTTCAGCATGCTCGTCTCCAGCAAACAAATGCTCATTCAAAACAGCCTCCCACCCTTTGTGGTCGATTTCCTTGCGGAAATAAGTCTCATAGTCATGGAAATACCGCTCCTTTCCGAGATATTGTTTGAACTTCTCCCGATCGGTCATATCCTCGACCACTCGATCTTGAACCTTGGGAAGAGGTCTCTGATATCCTTTATTATGATCAAAGGCTCGCTTTAATTCATCAGGAGTGGCACCCAACGAATACAGCGTCAATAAATGATGGGCAATATGGTTGTGAAAGCCACTTGGGTTGAAATACATATGAAACTTATCATGGTTGTCTTGGAGCAGTTGACTTGCAACTTTGCCCGACTGGGTCGTGATATCTGGTGCATGATATACGCCAGCAGATGCCGGATCCAATTCGATGTGACTGGCGGTAGCCATATTGCGTCTACTGTTTGATAATTTATATCGTTGTAAAACACGAGGAGGCGGAGATGGAATGTTTTTCAATGAAGCAATCGACGACTTTGAGACGACCAAAGATCTTGCGAACATTTGTTACAGTCAACATTCTAACACGACCATGAAGCAGGCCTGAAAAGTGGTATTTATGTTTCTAAAAGAATACAAGAGAATGAGGTCAGCAGCAGCAGGATGAGACCAATGGGATATCTTCCAGAGAGCGATCCCAATGAGAAAAGGTGTCGTTGGAGAATAAAGTCCGGGGTCATGGACAAGCATCATGGGCTGTTGATGTCTAGGCCAAGGGTGCCTACCCTGATGCCATAAGCAAAGAAGACCCCCTGACTTTCTATTTCGTTGTTCTATCAATGGCTTTATTAAGCAACTGACAACCAGAAACAAGTCATTCGCTCGTTTGCTAATCGACACCACCCCCCTCCCCCTCCCCTCCCGTTCCCGGATACTACCTCCAGGTCTGAGACCTAGATCTCGGACTGCTCTCTAGCTCTTGGTCACTTGACTCGATATCGGCGACCCGGAGATTATTGGTTAGTAGGGTGGGCTAGGCTTTGCTCACGGCATCAATTGCCGTTTAAAGCGATGCTCGCTGCCTCTAACCACGTCTGGGAACGCAAACAAACGTCGTATCAGTCCTTCTTAGCTACTGAGCCCTCACAAACACGTATCCAAGATCAAAATTGAACAAGATCATCCAAGAGACCTCAGTACCAGAGATCTGGCCATCTTGATGCTTTGTAATGGCATCTTAGACCCCCAATTGAGATCTCTGGGGCTTTGTGAACTTTAACAAGGGGCCGTCGTCGTATTCGTACTACCAAAACTCCACAGAAATGGGCTTCTAGACGTCATTGACATTTCAGCCTCGTGCTTCCAAACAACCAGCAAACCAAACTGATCACATCGTAAGCAGGTTTTGTTTACTTGAGAACAATGTTCCTTCCCCCAGTTAAAACGACCAAACCTTTTCGCTCGTGACTAACACAGCTCAATGCCTCGCATAGCACCCAGAACGACACTACGCTCGATATCATTATTCTCCAGCGTCTTCGCCACCAGCAGCGGCAATACCACGAACCCCAAAATGGACCCAATAATACGAAATTACACACCCAAGAACCCAAACGGAGCATTTCCATACTCCAAAGCCGACCTGACACCCACGGAAGCCGGGCACGATGCTTCATTCTACACGATCCCGCGCTTCGTGACGCACATCGACGACAACGCGATCGTCAATTTACGGAAATACTACGACCAAGTCCTGCCGCGAAAAGGCCGCATCCTGGATTTCTGCTCAAGTTGGATATCACACTACCCTCCCGATCTCGCCAAAGCGACTGAGAGCGGCGATCTCGAAGTCCTCGGCACAGGCATGAACAAGTCCGAACTGAGCCAGAATCCCATCTTGAAAGCATGGTCTGTCCAGGATCTGAACGAAGATCCCAAGCTGCGACTCCCAGGCGACAGCAGCACCACCAGCGGCGAAGACGAACCCAAACTCATCGACGCCGCCACATGCGTTGTCTCGATCGACTACCTGACCCAACCCGTCGAGGTTCTGGGCAGCATCCGCCAGCAGACGACCACAGGGGGCAAAGTGCACCTAATCATTTCGAACCGGTGCTTCCCGACGAAAGTCGTGGGGCGATGGCTGAAAGTCGACGAGGCACAGCGGCTGGATATGGTGGGCGACTACTTGTGGTGGAGCGGGTGGCGAAACATCGAGATCCAGACGCTGGTGGAGGCGTCGTGGACAAAGGATCCTTTGTGGGTGGTGAGGGCGGAGAATACTGTCGGTGCACAGTGATGACACATCGGCGTCATTGTGATTCTCTTCTTTCTTTGCTCGGAAGGAATATCACGCCCTTCTGCTGATAATGAATTCCTCTTTGTCGTCGCGGCATTGGTGTGGCTCCAGCGGGCCTGCACAGGGCGGCTTGCCCTAGTTACATACCTACCGAAGTAGACTTCAGGCGGTGAGGAGATAGCGAGGTGATAGCAAGCCCGCAGTTGCCACCACATCGTTGTTCACTCATTGTCCACTGCGATGCGGAGAGTGTTGAACAGTCAACTTTGGCAATGTCCTGCCTGAAAAGGACGTCATACTCGCGAGGGAAACATCACCTCAACTCACTTTCGTGGACACCTCGGCGGCGCCTGTACCGGCGTGCGGACGTTTATCCTCTTCTCGCTTTCGTGGATGCGTGGTTGATCGCGTCACTGCTTGATTTACTGCGCCTGGCCTGTGCGGAAGGACGCTGTTTGATCTTGAACGCACATCCTTGATAGAGTGGCGGGACACACAGACTCGGGCTGAACAATGAAAGAATATCATTCGGCCCACTCATCTTGTGCAAAAGTGGTAGTCACAAGGCATGCTTCATGGGTCTAGTCATCTAGGTAACTCAAGAAGGACTACCAAAATCACTGATTGTTGCACTCTTGGCTTTCCTACTCATTGCCCCATTAGTCCCATTACCAGCACCCGTGCCAGCCTCTCTGCGTCCTCGAACCTCTCTGACCAAGGCTTTTGCTTCTTCAACTTCGTAGCCATCCATGCAAAGTTCCTCTGCCAGATGTTCTGCGCGATCCAAGTCGCCCGTCTTGACACTCCATCTTGCGAGCCAAAGCCGAGCTTTCGATGTCGTTGCTGTAGTGCCCGTACCGAAACCTTGACCTTCGCCCTCTTCACCACCCAGTGCACTGGTCTCAGCATCTGCACCACCACCACCATGGTCGTCATCTTCCGCATCCGTGGGCGATGATAGTATTTCGGTATCATCGTCTCCGTCGCCGAGGGTGGCAGCTTCGAGTTCCAAGTCGGGGGCATCGAATTGATTACCTCCACTTTCAGCTCGCATCGCAGCTAGACGCTCTCGTCTCTCTGTAGCAATTGCAGTCTTACGTGCCTCTCTGCGGGCGTGCTTCCTTCTGGCTTTCTCAACGCTCGTGGCACTGCCACCCGTTTCTTGCGCGACACATAACTCCATATAACGTGCTGCTTCGGCTTCATTATTGGTGCGCTCGTGGAGCAGAGCAATTTGGAAGAGAGTTTCAGGGTCAAGGAGTTTCCGCGATTTGGTTGTGTTCGTTGACTTTGATCTGGTTGTTGTGCTACTGCTGGCATTGAAAGAGGGCTGAGGAGATTCTTCATTCTCAAAGTAAGCACCAGCAGCGAGTGCACGCTTGAGCGCTTTAATAGCCTGCTCTAGTCGATCCATCTTCGTGTAGCATGAGCCTACGGCTTGCCACATCTTGGGATCATAAGGTCTCAATCCTGCCGCCCGTTGATAATAGAAGAGTGCATAGAAGCTCATGTCAAGGACTTCGTAGGCTTGACCCAATCCATACCACGCTCGATAATCTTTGCGATTGACATCAACAGCACGTCGATAAGATTCTATAGCTGCGTGGGTATTCTTCAGTTCGATATACTCGTGGCCCATTAATGTCCACGCAGAGAGGAAATTCCGATCCAGAGTCAATGCCCGGCGAAAGTACATTACTGCTTTTTCGTGCTGAGAGCATAGGGAGTAATAATTGCCGACTACACAGCAGGTCTCAGGGCGAAACTTGTCCACCGAAGTGGCCAGGTGAGCGAGAAATGCCAATTTGGGTCTGTCGGCCATGACATAGAGGATATTGGAGTAGTGATCGAGCCCATCGAGGCGATGTGGGTGAGCGGTAAGTAATTCTTGAAAAATGGACGCAGATGTTTCGTAATCCTTGCTGTGGTAGTATGAAAGCGCAAGTTCGGTAAGGAGGAACGTCGAGTTGGGAAAGTAGTTCAACAAGACCTTCAGATGCTCAAAAGTCATGGCCTGATCAGATGTTGAGAATAGGTCAACGCTGGCATGCGTGTGATACATGATAGCCATGATATGCTGTGGCAAGGCTTGTGCATTAAGATCATCAATCGAGCTGAGGAGTGAAGAAAGCTCTTCCCATGCTCCCCAGTGGTAGGGATTGAGACGAACAGAACGAAGCAACCACTGCTGAGCCAGTACCTCCTGACGTGACTTGGCTAAGACCACACCATAGAGATACTCCAACCATCCTTGGGAATTCTTGAGCTTGGGATCTTGGGCATCCCGGGACTGGAAATATGATTCTAATCCACGTGCCAGTGCTGCCAATTCACGATTCGACGTCTGTCCACCATCAGAAGGGCCCAACACCATTTCAGTCTCCTCCTCTTTCCTCTTTTCTCCTGCGAGGTATCGTGCATACAGAGATAAGAACAGTGATTTCTGACTGAGACGTGGGAATGGATTCAGAACGTTTGCCTCGTTCTGTTTTGATTTTCCCTTTGGTCGTGATGGTGTTGATGTCGGCGTTCGCCCTTTAGGTTTTTCAAATATTGCCAGGCCTCCAGCTGGGATGGCGGGAGGAAGGAATACCGCGGCACATCTGTCAAACTCTTTGGTGTCAAAGAATGCCTTTGCTAGAAGATATTTGGGTGCTTCTTTGGCCTCCAGGGCCGCCTCTTCGGGATCGTCATGACTCGTTGTGAATATTCGGTAGGAGGGTTGGACATTACTCGTATCATGCATTTGAGAGTCATCATCGTCAGGGTCATTTTCTTCAGGGAGGGAGGTCAATAACTCGGCTGCCCTTATATGTCAGTCAGTTTGAGATCGCTCCATATTATTTGTTCCACTCACCATTTTGCGGATTGATATAAGCAGCGTTCTGAACATTTTATAGCAGCCTCTGTCAGTTTGTTCCGCAACTCTTCGGTCAGTTCTGCATTATGTTCGCCAGCAGAGCCGAAACTATCGGCTTGTCTGTGTGAGACCATATTGCTTGTGTGATGGTACGACCACGAGATTTAAGAGAGTGGCCAACTCCCCATGGTGAGCAACGAGTATTAGAAGCTCGGTGTTGGCATGTTTTGAGGCTGCGACTGGAGTCTTGACATGGATTCAACGGAGAAAACGCGTCGCGGGGAAGCCAGCGCCATTGCCTTTATGGCGCGCACTAGTGGACGGGCAAGGCTCCACTACAGCCTTGTCGGTCCCCTCAAGTTTCCCGTCACAGGGCGGGGTTCCATATGAGTTATGAAGCCGCAAGGATATGATAAGATTGATTTGCCTTTCTTCTAGAGCGATGACCGGAACCAACAAGTATTGCAATAATCAACATCATGGATATTGCAAGATGTCTGGTAACGCCAGAGCATCGACCGATATCATGCATCGAGATGCAAACAACAGGTGAACCGACGCGAATAGTTTTCGAGGGTTACCCAGAACTATCAGGCACACTGCTCGAACAGCGTGCTGAAGCCAAAAGGAAATACGATCACATACGGAGACGGCTCATGTTGGAGCCTCGTGGACATTTCGACATGTACGGAGCGGTTCTTCGAAAAGAGACAGAGCTTACTAAATCTGGTGAAGCTCACATCGGAGTGATGTTCATGACGAACGACGGTTATTCTACCATGTGTGGGCATGCAACCATCGCTTTAGGCCGATTCCTTCTCGATACTCACGATCTCAACACTTTTCCTCGTAGAAATGAAGTTAAGCACGATCCCATGGCCAAAACTGCCCTTGTCAATCTTCACTGTCCCTCTGGTTTGCTGAAGGTTACCGTTCCCGTCAATGATGACGGCTCTGCTTCAGATCCAAGTAGGCCTGTATCATTCCTATCTGTACCTTCATTCGCAACTGGGATTGATGTGACAATTTTGGTGCCACCTGAATACCAATGGACTGAGCTTCAAGGCAAAAGCAAAGAAATTCACGTGGACTTTTCGTACGGTGGAGCCTTTTACTGCATGGTCTCTGCGACAGAGCTTGGATTTCCTGCTAGGCTGGAAAATGACAAAGTTGATCAGCTGGACAAGGCCACGGCCTTGTTGAAAAAGTACATAAATTCAACTCCGGACTTATACAAGTACTTCCGGCATCCAGGACATGATGACCTTGGTTTCCTCTACTCCATCATGGTGGTTGATGATACCGCCAAAGCACGCGGTTCTGAAGTTGGACTATGCTTCTTCGCAAACCAACAGATTGACCGGTCTCCCACCGGTGGTGCCGTTGCTGCAAGGGTCGCCCTAGCATATGCAAAAGGGAATAGACAGTTGGGCGAAGCATGGGCATATCATTCCTTGGTCTCGGCTAGCGGGCATGGGCCACCATTCCTGGGCACCGTGGTCGAAGAACTACCAGAACGATATCCAGAGATTCCATATCCCCTGGTACGAGTCATGGGAGAAGGCCAAGCATTCTATACTGGATTTAGCACATTTGCAGTGGAGGAAGAGGATCCTTTAGGTGATGGTGGATTTGTGTTTAAGGACTGCAAGCCAGCGAGATAAGCTGAGGTCAAGGACAAAGAGAGGGAACTACGGCAGTGTAGAAGACACGATAGTGCACTTATTCCGGTCATGTGTACGCGCCGCTTGCGTCACTCATATTTCCTGAATTCTCTCAATCTCTTAAGTCCGGAGACCACCAACACCATCAACGTCCTTGACATTGCCTTTGTTCGCAACTATTGTGCGCCTCAGGTATTGAGCCACGACAACGTTGTACAGGCCACAGTTGCACAGTCTCGCCACCAAATGTCCATCAACTATAGCCTGCCTGTCGCCCTCTGACCTACACCTACCTCGAGAATTCGTTTTTACAGGAGACCCTCACCAGAACGCCTGTCACAATGTCAAAGCACGTCCCTTGCACCTTTACTTCGCCTGAGACATCTGCTAACAACCATGTATAGTAATCGCTACTCGGCACTCAACCGTCGCGCCGCACCCTCCTCTTCCCTATTTCAAGACTACCCTGGTTCGCGACCTTCCAGTTCGTCGTCCACCAACCGGCCCGGAGGCTATGGAGGTTATGCATCCCAACCAGACGGCCGGAATACATCGTCACCCTATTCCAATTCCTATACAGGCGCAAATGGATCCAGTAACCCTTCGTCTTTCCGGCCTGCTACACCCAATTCTAAAGGGCAATATTCGACGTCAGTTCTGGAAGAATTAGAATCCCAAAACGAAATCACCGCGACGACATTACTCTCACAGAAAGTGTCACAACTGAAGACACTAACCGTCGCCATTGGTGATGAGATCCGCGACTCTAGCACTTTAGCCGCACAGATTAATGACTCCTTTGAAAACACAGGAGTTCGTCTGCGGGGAACCATGAGGAGGATGCTAAGAATGGCCGAAAAGACTGGTGTTGGCTGGAAGGTCTGGGTACTTTTCTTCTTTGCTGTCTGGGCTATCTTCGCCTATGTCTGGCTGTTCTGATCTGTCGGAATGTGGAACCACGCCTGTGCGTGGAAGAAGCAACCATCTCGTGGGCAACATGAGCCAGTGAACTGCGGCCTCCTGGGCCATACCCAACAGCTTGAGCCACAAACTCGGCCTGCATCCTCACGGTGTAATCCAGACGGGACGGTGACGCCAGGAAGCCGAAGCCGAATCGTGAGAAAGGTCTTCCGCAATAAATACACGACACAGAGCTCTTCACCTATGTGGTTGGACGGAAGTCAGATCCACTCCTGCAACCACCGGTGGATAAATCCTGGCGAAAACGACTTGTACATACCATATCTGCGCTCTCAATTTTTGTTTCAGGAGATTCCAGCAAGGCGCCCTGGCGTTTGGGTTCTGCATTTTGTTTTCAAGTAATGAGAGGAGAGGAAGAAGAGCACGAGGAGAAATCATTTCACGGCAGATAGCCGCCATGAGAGGTCATCGGTCATCGATGTGCCGCAGCGCGGTGTGGAGGATTGGCATATCAACAGCACAGCAATTCACATGGCCTGGCATGGCATGTAAGCGGAAATGCATAGCGTGCGAGGTCATCGCATATCAGCATGGATCTGTATACACATGTAGCGTGGTCATTCATCACACGGAACGAAGAACACCAAGCCGTGTACCCAGACATCCTGGCATTCAGATTCAGTCGCGGGAACAGCATACTACCACTCGTAACTCCATGCTTCATTTCATTTCCTAGTGTATAGGCGTACGAACGTACAAAGTCTCGAGTCGACGGGTTCAAAGCCATCAAACCAAGTTAGTACACAGTCCGTCCGAGTTTCTTGCTTGAACGACACGAGAGGAATCAACTCCCTCTCCTCCTGCCAGCCAAGAACCTCCCACTCCTCCGCCGCTGATGCTGGCGCGTCTGCTGCTGTTCCTCTCCCTGAGTCACAGGCGTATCGTCCCAGCCTGACGCTCCGACCATCTCACCGCCCACAGCGCCCCTACCAGCACCACCGCTGCCGGATCCGCCGGTAGCGGGCTCGGGCGTGAACAATCCACCGCTCGACGCGCCTGCACTTCCGCTATGGCCACGAGAACCACCCGCGTCGACGGCATCAGTACCAGCGCCAGCGCCAACACCGCCCTCATGCCCACGTCTTGCAGCACGGCCGAAAAGCGTCCTACGAGCTCCGCCGCCCACGACAGCTGCAGCGGCGCCGTCGAGCCACGAGCGCGCGACATTGCGCGCTGGGCTGGTGCTGCTGGTTCTGTCGGTCGGGTTCTCGCTGCTTTGGCCTTCGAGGGGTTCAGAGGGGGCTGCGAGCTGGTGAGCGCCGGTCGCGGCCGTGGGCAGGTGGTGTGAGGCGTGATATGGGCGTTGAGGACGCTGGTGGGCGTATTGCCGGCTTCGAGGCGCGTCGGAGGAGTTGAAGGGGTCGACGAGGTCTTCGTCGTCTTCCGACTCGTCATGTGCGCCGTCGCTGCCGTGCGACATTGGAGAAAAGTCTGGCGTGTCGGGTGTGTGCAGGTAGTGGCGTCGGTTGCCGCTGACCATTCTGGCGCGTGGTGCCGTGGCCTGTTGGATTTGGAGTTGCTGGTGTTGGATCTGCCGCTGGTCGAATGTCGGTCCGGGTCGACTGCTTGAACTCATGGCCGGGTGAGGGATTGCTGGTGACGGCTCTGCGATCCACGGCCCGGTACTGCGGCGCTGCTGTGCATTACCGCTCGACTGTCTGATGTCGCTTCTCCGGGGTCCTGCTCCGCCCATACGGGCCTGGGGTGGTTGTATGCTCGAGATATGACCCGTACCAGCAACCGAAGGAGCTAACATAGAGATGTCCATCTCACTGTCCTCGAGTTCTGTGTCGGTGTGTTCCCAGGCTTGCTCGGACTCTGCTGCTTCAGGGACGTCGTCGTCGAGGTCTCGTTCTGCCATTTCGTCTTCATCCTCGTGGTCGAATATCTCGTCTTCATCGAGCATGGCATTCGCTAGATCTTCGGCCTCGCGCTCGTCGTAATCATACTCGCTGCCGGGGACTGGGACCCGTACGCCAGCCACGATGGCCGTGCCGTGTCTGAAACGTCCAGAATGTTGGGTTCTATTGCCTGGGGATGAAGTATGGGCTTGTTGCAACTCGTCGTCGGTATCTGGCTCGCGGCGTGAGTCATAGCGCCAATTCGAGTCGATTCCGTCAGGGTCGGGCGACATAACTTCTTCGTCGTCGTCGTTTTCTTCTTCATCTGCGTCGGGAATATCATCATCAAGATCACCTCCCATACCGTCGTCATCACCGTCCATATCCGGAATTTCACCATCAAGATCGACCTCGTCATCATCGTCATCACCCTCATCCTCCATCCCTTCAGCATCCATGTCGGGGATATCCTCATCCAAATCTCTCCCCTCTTCCGGCTCACCCGTCTCACCCAGTCTCGCCTGCCGTTCTTGCTCTTCGGCCTCCTGGGCGGCACGTTCCTGCATCTCCACATCCCTCAGCTGTCGCTCAACCTCTTCCCTCTCAACCTCCTCCTCTCTCCTACCCAACATCGTCTTCGCACAACCTGCTGGTTTCAGCCAGCCGTAGCCATACATCGCAATAGCCATCTTGCGCTGGGAGAGCATGCGCTCGTCCGCGCTGAGTACTGCAAGCGTGCTATTTCGTAGTGCCGAGGCATGCTGTTTAGAACGTCGAGAACTTTGTTGTTGGGGGTGTTGTAGTTGTGCTGCACTTGTGGCTTCCGTCGACGAGCTATTGTGTGATGGGAGAAGTGATGCCGGTGGTGGCGCAAAGAGTGGGAGTGACGTTGTAAGAAACATTGTTTCAATATATTATGTGCCAGTTTTGTGGGTGAATGACTGGCCTGGAGGCTTCGAAAGTTTGTCCTGAGCCTCCTATCCTTGAATATTGCAAGAAGGTTGGTTTGGGACAGTTTGTGCGATTTTAGACTATGCAGAATGCCCTTGACTATCAGTACTTCGTGAAGCGCGTGATTTCACTTTCTCAGAGTGATGGTGTGTTAGGTATGCGTTTGCCAGAGAACAGATTCCCTTTCCAGTCGGTAAATGACCGTGGCCTTCAAGTTTGATAAAACAGATGCGCAACTACTGCAAATGAGACGCGCTGAATAATGGCAGACGCAACTTCTGAGACAATCTCGGAGACTTGGGTAACAGACACAAAGATGACCTGATCGAACAGGTTATTTCGTGACTGTTATGGAACGGCGATAGAGCCACCGCGTGTCGTGATCAGCCTCTCACCCTGCATCCGAGGTGTAGGTCTTGGGTGTCGCGACGCGCCTGCAAGGATAGATGCTTTGGGTCTTATGGCACAGTGAATGATGAAGGCGTCAAGTGAGACTGAGCTCTAGGATGGCGAGCGTATTTTACAATTTCTAACTGCCTCAGGTCTGTGATGCGTGTTGTTCAAGTTTCGTGGAGCCGTTGTCGTTCGAGTCGGCGGAAGTGGATGCCAAGAAATCTCCCCAGCGTGGAAGTCGGTCACAACAAATGATTCCACCTCTTTGAAGCCCTTGGCCTCCTCTACCATTACCATTACTGTTCAAGCTCTTGACAACCGCAAATTACACCAAAGGAGGCACTTCATTATGCACTGAAACAAAGGCACTTTCATAATAAGAAAATAATTTCCTGCTAAATATCTACCACTAGTTGATTTCTCTATTGGTACAGTCCCATTTGGCAGTCTGCAGTGTCTCGAGAATTCCAGAAGCATGAATCATAAAGCGGACAATCCAACAGTATCAAACTCTTTGCTGGTCCTTCTCTCAGTCCCAAACCAAAAAAGTCGAACATTTCCATCGTCTCTACAGACACTCTTCCGCTTGTGAAACGATCGTGAGGACTGTCGAAAACCAACAACCAAAGAAAACACATGCACAAACCATGGCCCCATCGATATCCGTTCCTCGTGCTGCTGGTTTAATTTTCGTTTCAATTTTCAACATAATTCTTTGCATTTTCGTTTCGCCCATAACTCAACTCAGTACGCTGCACAGGGGTATCAGCATCCAAACCGACTGCGCGCGTTTTCATCAATTCACGCCTTTGTTCTTTTGTTGCTTTGCGTTGAAACACTGAAATCATCTGAAATGCCGCCTGATGTTAACATTTTCATACCCAGATCCGCATTAGTGTTGTTTATCTCCAAAGTATGGGGTTCTTTAAGCAGAGACTTTGATGTCAGTACCACGCTTGAATTCCTCAGAAGCGTGTGCCATGTCTCCTTGCTTGTGGGCCTTTGATTGTCTGGGAGTAGGAACGGTATCATGCTGATGACGTCGAACAATACCACCAGTGACTGGTAGAGCAGAACCTGTACCCATGAGGAAGGTGTCTACTTGACGAGCGCACTGTCGACCTTCGTTGATGCCCCAAACGATGAGGGATTGTCCACGACGGCAATCACCAGCGGCAAACACACCATCTAGACTGGTGTTGTATTGATTCTTTGGTGTCTTGATGTTCTTGCGTGGATCCAACTCCACCTCTGCATTGAACAGATGCTCGTCTGGTCCGAGGAAACCCATGGAGAGGAGAACGAGGTCAGCAGGGAAGTATTCCTCACTGCCTTCTCTAGGCTTCATGTCCCACCCGCCAGTCGAGTTCTTGGTCCAGTCAACACGAGTTGTGTTGATGCCGACAACACGGCCATCCTTAACCTCGAAGTCTTTGGTCATGACGCAGTATTCACGGGGATCTTTACCGTAGTGTTGCTTGACCTCGGTATGACCATAATCAACACGGTAAATTCTGGGCCACTGAGGCCAGGGGTTATCTCGAGCCCGCTCCGGTGGTGGCTGTGGCAACAGCTCAAAGTTGGTGATGGACTTAGCACCGTGTCTGAGTGAGGTACCAATGCAATCGTTGCCAGTGTCTCCACCACCAATGACAATGACATGCTTGTCTTTGGCAGAGATATACTTGCCGTCTCCGAGCTCAGAGTCCAGGAGGGACTTGGTATTTGCATGCAAAAACTCCATGGCAAAGTGAATACCCTCATTTTCTCGGTTCTTGATCTTCAAATCGCGGGGAACTTGAGCACCGGTAGAAATAACGACAGCATCGTGGCTTGCACGTAGAGAGGCAAGACTGGTTTCTTCATTGGGGCCAACAAGAATGCCGGTCTTGAAGACAACACCCTCAGCAGCCATCAGATCCACTCGGCGTTGGACAATGCGCTTGTCGAGCTTCATGTTGGGGATACCGTACATGAGGAGGCCTCCGGCGCGATCGGACTTCTCATAGACCGTGACGTTGTGTCCGGCACGATTGAGCTGATCAGCAGTGGCGAGACCCGCAGGACCAGATCCAATGACCGCCACCGTCTTACCAGTGCGCTCGGTAGGGGGGGTGGGCACCATCCATCCCATCTCGAACCCTTTGTCGATGATGGCACACTCGATACTCTTGATCCCTACAGGGTCTTCGTTGATGCCCAGAACACAGGCACCTTCGCAAGGAGCTGGACACACCCGACCCGTGAACTCAGGGAAATTGTTGGTCATCAGAAGTCGATTCAGAGCATCCTTCCATTGATTTTGAAACACGAGTTCATTCCATTTGGGAATAATGTTGGAGATTGGGCAGCCAGTGTCAGATTGACAGAAGGGAACGCCGCAGTCCATGCATCGTGCTGACTGATATTTGAGCTCGTCCTCATTGAGACGCGAAGACAATTCGGCCCAATCCTTTGTACGGGTCTTGACGTTGCGATATTTCTCGCTGCGGCGTGTATATTTCATGAAACCACGAGTCTTGTCAAGGACCAAGGCTGCCTTCTGTTTCGCCTTTTGAGCATCGCCATTGACACCCTCCTCAATGTCAAGCATGTCTGCCTTCTTCTGTTGAGCCTCTTTGTCTTGCGCGGCGTCACGTTGCTGTTGGTGAAGGGCTCGAACGGCATTTCCTGGAAGCAGAGGCAGTGGATACTCTGCTTTCTTCGCTTCTTCGGCCTTGGCTGCACGTTCGGCAAGGACACGCTTGTAGTCGGTTGGGAGAACCTTGACAAAGCGAGGAAGGGCACGGTTGAATTCTAATAGGATCCGAGCCGCAAGGTCGGATCCCGTATAATGATGATGATCTTCAATCATACCTCGAAGGAAAGCAATCTCAGTTGGGTCCTCGACACCAGAGACTTCAACCATCTCCATATTGATCTTGGAATGGAAATCTTGGTTCATGTCAAGAACATAGGCGATACCACCAGACATACCAGCCGCAAAGTTGCGACCAGCACTTCCAAGGATAACCACACGGCCACCGGTCATGTACTCACAACCGTGATCACCAACACCTTCAACGACAGCATTGGCGCCAGAGTTTCGAACAGCGAAACGTTCTGCAGCAACACCACGGAAGTAACATGTGCCTTGGGTTGCACCATACAAGCAGACGTTGCCAATCAGAATGTTCTCCTCTGCCTTGAAGACTGCACTTCGTGGAGGGTAGATGATCAAACGACCTCCTGAGAGACCTTTGCCGACATAGTCATTGGCATCACCCTCAAGTTCCAAGGTAACACCTGGTGCTAAGTATGCACCAAATGATTGACCTGCAGATCCTCTGATATTGACATGGATGGTGTCTTGAGGTAAGCCCGCTTCACCATATCGCTTGCTGATTTGGTAAGATAGGGTGGCACCTAGAGTACGATCAGTGTTGACAATATCAGTCTCAATCCGGCAGGGAAGACCCTTCTCGAGTGCGAGCTCAGATTCGGAGATAAGTTTGTTATCGAGACGAGTGTGCAGCTTGTGGTCCTGTTTCCGAACGTTGTAGGTTGCAACACCTGGACGGATGGAGTGCGCGGGTGTAAGGATCAAAGAGAGATCGATGTTCTCGGTCTTCGGTGTGCGAATCTCCTCACGCACCTTCAACAACTCGGCATGACCAACCATTTCATTCACAGTTCTCACACCTAAGCGCGCCATGATTGCTCGAAGCTCATTAGCAATATAATAAAAGAAATTGATGACGTGTTCAGGTGTGCCCTGGAATTTCTGCCGTAGTACAGGATCCTGGGTCGCAATGCCGACTGGGCATGTATTCAAGTGGCACTGGGATTCCGTTAGTCATGATCAATAATAGTAAAGTGTCGGTAGATCTTACCTTTCTCATCATAATACAACCCATGGCAATGAGAGGAGTTGTCGCAAAGCCCCATTCCTCAGCACCAAGCAAACAAGCAATGGCAACATCACGACCAGTACGAAGCTGGCCATCGGTTTGGACAATCACACGTCCTCGCAGATCGTTCAACACAAGGGTCTGATGGGTTTCAGCGAGACCGAGTTCCCATGGCAGACCAGCGTATTTGATGCCGGTCCAACGTGAAGCACCTGTACCACCATCATGGCCAGAGATCAAGATGTGATCAGCCTTGGCTTTGGCCACACCTGCAGCAACAATACCGACACCAACCTCAGAAACAAGCTTGACTGATACTCGCGCACGAGGGTTTGAGCATTTGAGATCATAGATAAGTTGTTTGAGATCCTCGATAGAGTAAATATCGTGATGCGGCGGAGGAGAGATGAGACCGACACCAGGCGTTGAATGTCTGGTGCGTGCGATAGATTCGGATACTTTATGACCAGGAAGTTCACCACCCTCACCAGGCTTAGCACCTTGAGCCATCTTGATCTGAAGCTCATCTGCATCGGCAAGGTAATTGGAAGTGACACCAAAGCGGCCGGAAGCGATCTGCTTGATAGCTGAGCGCATAGAGTCTCCATTCTCCATCTTCAAGCTTCGCTCAGGATCCTCACCACCTTCACCGGTGTTGGACTTTCCGCCAAGACGATTCATTGCAACAGCCAATGTCGAGTGAGATTCCATGGAGATCGAGCCATAAGACATAGCACCTGTCACAAATCTTCGTACAATCTCTGTCCAAGGCTCAACTTGATCGATAGGCACTGGATTTCGCTGCTCAAAGTCGAAATCAAGCATGCCGCGTAGCGTACAGTTCTTGATCTGCTCGTACTCGGACAGAGAATAGGCTTCGTAGGACTTGTCATTCTTCGTTCGGACGGCGTCCTGAATATTGGCAATGCTGACAGGGTCGTTGATATGAGGCTCTCCACCATCACGCCAATGATATTCTCCGGACTCCGCTAATCCAGGGATTTCGCGAATGTGCCGTGAAGGATACCCTTTCTCATGGAAAGCAAAAGCATCTTCTGCAATGAGCTCAAATGTCATACCTCGAACACGGGTAGCAGTACCAGCGAAGCAACGGTCGACGACAGAGTCATCAATACCCAGAGCTTCGAAGATCTGAGCACCCTTGTAGGATTGAAGAGTAGAGATACCCATCTTGCTCATGACTTTCAGAATACCTCCGTCGCATGAAGCCTTGTAATTTGCAATGATTTGCTCATTTGACAACTTCTTTCTAAAAAGGCCCTCACGGTTCATCTTCAAGATGCACTCCATTGCCAGGTAAGGATTGATAGCATCAGCACCATAACCAACGAGAACGCACATATGATGAACCTCTCTCGCTTCTGCAGTTTCAACAACGAGTGCTGCCCGAGATCTCCATTTGTTGCGGACCAGATGATGGTGAACCATACCAGTGGCCAGGAGTGAGGAAACAGGAACTCTATCGGCTGATGTTGCCCGATCAGAGAGAATGATGATCTTGTCACCTGCCTCAATGGCCTCAGTGGCTGCTTCACAGATAGCATCCAGTGCTTGCTTGTATCCCTCAACGCCCGACCACTTATCAAAGGTGATGTCAATGGTCTTGACCGTCCACTCCTTTTGATATTTGGCCATATTCTTCAGAGCATTGAAAGTCTCAATCTCGAGGATTGGGGAAGGAAGCAAGAGTCTGCCAGTTTGTGATTCTTCCATTTCCAGCAGATTGCCTTGAGGCCCAATGTAACACTCTAGGGACATGACAATGGCTTCTCGGATGGGATCAATAGGTGGGTTGGTGACTTGAGCGAAGAGTTGTCTGAAATACTCAAACAGCAATCGAGGCTGCTGTGCGAGGCATGCAAGTGGTGCATCGTTACCCATAGAACCAAGTGCTTCTTTCGAATCCGCTGCCATGGGTCCGAGCAGAAGACTGACCTGTTCAAAGGAATATCCAAAAGCGCGAAATCTGACATCTTCCTGAATAGATTCGTCATTGAGTTTGTATTGCAGATCGAGCTTTTGGCCCAGAGATTCGGTGACAACAGGCATCTTCATGAGATGCTTGTCCAGCCATTGTTGAAAAGGTTGTCTTTTGGCGACAGTCGCTTTCAACTCAGCATCGTCGATGATACGGCCTGCCTCGGTGTCGACGAGAAGCATTTTTCCGGGTTGAAGGCGACCCTTCAGAATGACTCGTTCCGGTTCAATGGCAATGGTGCCGACTTCTGAAGCGCAGACAATTCTATCGTCGTCCGTGACATAGTAACGGCAGGGTCTGAGTCCATTTCGATCGAGGTTGGCACCGCAGTATCGGCCATCAGAGAATGTGAAGAGAGCAGGACCATCCCATGGCTCCATCAAGCAGGCCGAGTACTCGTAGAAAGCGGCTTTAGCAGGATCCATGGCCTGATTGCCTTGCCAGGCCTCAGGAACCATCATCATCACAGCCTCTGGCAGAGAAAGAACACGGTTCATGACCAACAGTTCCATCACATTGTCGAAGGCTGCGGAATCAGAACCTCCGTCTTCGACGATGGGGAAAAGCTTCTCAAGATCGTCTCCAAAGAGGTCGGAGTTCAGAACACCTTCGCGTGCTCTCATCCAGTTCTTGTTCCCCCGTAGGGTATTTATTTCACCGTTATGAGCAAGCCATCGTAGAGGCTGCGATCGATCCCACGAGGGGAAGGTGTTTGTTGAGAATCTGGAGTGAACGAGGGCGAAATGCCCTTCATAGTCCACCGAGACCAAATCATGGTAGTATTGATAGACCTGTACGGGGGCCAATTGTCCCTTGTAGACAATGTTCCGGTTGGACAAGCTACAAACATAAAACCAAGGTTTCCACCGAGAATCATGAGAGACAGTCTTTCGCAGAATATAGAGCTTTCGCTCGAATTCAACATCATCAAATTGTTCTTTATCTGTGGTTGTGGGCTTGTCGGTGCCATACGCAGAGGCAAGAACAACGAACGGCTGCAAAATGATGGGTTCGCGAGAAAGCGCGGCTGGACCGAGTAAGGTCGAATCCCGGGGAACTTCACGCCAGCCTAGGGTACGAAGACCCAGTGATTCTGCAGCTTCCTCAAAGCTAACAGTTGCCAGCTTGAGCATCTCAGTATCTGGTTTGAAAAACAAGTTACCGACTGCATACTGTCCGAGGGGTGGCAATTCGACGCCAACCTCGCGGGCGAAGTTCTTGACGAAGAATTTGTGTGGGATAGAGGTCATCACACCCGCACCATCGCCGTCTCGAGCATCTGAACCGACCGCACCACGATGGGTCATGTTACAGAGGAGATTACGGGCTGAGTAGCATTAGCCATCCAAACGTCTGCCATGCCTGGAGCAAGGAACTCACCATCGCTAATGATTTTGTGGCTCGCCTTGCCCTTGATGTGGCTGGATGATGGTCAGCGAAAAACTTTTTGCCACCGAGAATGTGAAGTCGGGAGGTTTCTTACGCTGCAAAGCCTACACCACAAGCATCCTTCTCGAGGCTAGGGTCATACAGACCTTGCTTCTCGGGCAAAGCCTCACCCCAGCCATAGCCCTTTGCGGGCTTGTAGGGTGTGTACTCTTCTTGTACCTCAGATGTTTCAATCTCTTGATTTTTGGTTTTTTCCGCTTCCAAGCCCATCCTAGAGTCGACTAGCGACAAAGTTACAGTTGACGATCGGTAGAAGGAGGGTAGTTGACAGTAGTCTCTGACAATGGACGACTGTGGTAGAGCAAGAAAAGACCCTTGGCAATACCAAGATCTGTTTGGAGCAGCAAGGAGGCTGCCTTCTCTGTCAAGTTCGAACGAGCTCGTAGGTGTCGTCTATGAGGGCGTAAGAAGGATGGAGGAGACCAAGTGATGGAGTGACAGAGTGCTGGATGAGATGCAAAAAAAAGATGGACGGGTGGGTGGACAAGAGGAAGAAAGAAATTGGGTTCTGGGATGTGGGGTTTAGAGACTAGAGCGTGAGGATGGAGGTCCTCTCTGAGCGATCAAGTTTGTCTGCCTCTACCTCGCTGCTTGCTTCAAAAGAATCATCCACTAGCGTGCTAGGAACTGACCACTTGCGATGAATATTGACTCCCAATTCGGAGCTCTGAGATGCTGGTGTTTGGCTTTACTCATACAGAAACTGGGCAAGTGTAGCGGCGGCGGCGAATTGCTGGACTCCGTAGCGTTTTCTTTGGTACAATCCTTTCTCGCGATGGAGGCACCTCCAGTCTCCAGAGTCCCGTATCCCGTTGGTCACGGTTGGTGGGCTGCCAGTGTCGGTATTCAAGGTGGATGATGGGAAAAAAAGACGTGTTGTCATAGGTGACAGGGATTCATGGTGGGGAGAACATGGGTGCTCCATTCTGTTCGTGACCTGGAATAAGGCTGGTGTTTAAGCAGTCCTTTAGGGTGCCTTTAGCTGGAGTTACAGGCCCAGTGCTGTCCATTAGCCGGCCGAATAATGCAAAAGCAAGCCCGTGTAACGCCTGGGACACCTTAGGCATGCCCTTGACCGTGCCCCAAAACCCAAGGTGGGGGATTGCAGTGGAGGGACCAGACCATACTAGTAGATGGACATCCTTGTCGATTCTTCCATCATGGCGTCGGTTGAATGTCGCCAGTCTCCGGTCTCCATCATGCATCATGCAATGCTCCATTCTAAAGCATAATCTGAGCCATTGTGCATGTGCTGATAAGGACCTGTTGATCCAATCATGCGCGTCCTTTTTACAACCATTACCTTTAGGAATCTCACCAGGCAAGCTCAGCTCTCCGATCCCGGCCTTTCATGCCTCGAAAATCACTATTCTCTGGGAGCTTCCCTTGCTTGTTACCCTTTTGAGCCCTGCCCATGCCTAACTCTCGGGCATAGTGCATGGAAAAACTGTGTGTCATAATGCACTCCACCTGCACGTCGAGATGCTTGGAAATCTCATCGTCTGGGCTACTGCTACTTCAATCTCTTCTCAGAGTGCTCGCGCAAGTGGGAGGTGGGCTACTTCGTCCGTCTCAACTCGCTTAGAGACAAACGAGGGAGGAATCAGCGTGGAACACCATTTCGGCCTTTGAATGGTGATTTGACCGAGGTCGATGTTCCTATCTTGGCTATGAACCACCGTCAGGCTGTTCGCGGACAGGAGCAGCACATTGTGTGGTCAGACTTATGTCACATTGCTATTAGGGAGCCTCGCATTCACCCGGATCCCACACATAGACTGAAAGGCATTTTGAGGATGGCTCCCAACTCCTACCCGGTGTTGCCCGACTGGAATGGCCAACACAAGAAAATTTTTATTGATTGCTTCTTCTGCTTACCGAACCATAAAACAGATGCGGAGGGGAAATTTTGATGCGCTGTACTATATGTCGGGTTTGCTAGATCAGGGTTCCTCCCTCAGACTTCTGGTCCAAACAAAAGACCATTTTTGATTGGATCAAATCATCACGAGCTCAAATACTCCTTACCGTTTATATATTATATCGTATGACCCAACGATGGCCAGGTGTTTTTTATGTTTGAGTGGTACTCTCCCAAGAGAGTACCCAAACAAGTATCCTGCAAATGCAAGACGCACCCCACGCACCTCATGAGGGAGGGCCTTCGCTAGATCTGCACAGGAATACTGTTAATCTGAAGTCCCTAATGCATGGTCCAGACTTCAGAAGAGCTCTAAACTCCTTGCGAAAGACCGAATGATCATGCTGCAGCAAAAACGTTTTTTTCTCCTTCACCCGAAGCGAACCACTGACATGTGCGTGGGAATGCACACGTCAGACTACAGTCGCTAAGAACCAGTCACACCACGGCTATTATGCCGACGTGAGAAGCGCTCGCACTGTCCTGCGAACCATTGCCTCTGGCCGCATTAATAAGATGCAAAGAGATACAAGTACCGAATGACCAGCTTTCTCTTCCGCGGGAACTAAATTCGCTGCCGAAGTCGGAGAAGGTGAGAGATCGCTGTTTACGAATCCTTTGCAGACCCTTGTGCCTGATCCGAACGCCCTGCATGCATGACATCCACCAAAAAGCTCGAGCCGCATTTCAATCCGAGTCTGCTTATTGGTCACTTATTCTTTTTGATTGTTGATGACCCTGACACATTCTCCTCGGCATTGGGGTTTGTCAGGCCAGGGAAAACAATAACGAACCAAACAGAGCAGGTCAGTAACGGGAACAGATGGAAAAATCAACAGAGTCTATCAACAATCATGTAGGAGCGACAGGCATGTATGCACCATGTTGTGCAACACTAGGACTGGTGTCTGCAATCATCATTACTATTAAGTCAGAAATATGGCCTTGCCCTCTTGACTTCTTGTGGGTTGGCTTTCATAATTCCCCCTGCTCCCTCCAGTTTCCATCCATTCCTGGTGCGGAACCCATGCGAACGGCTTGAATTACTATGTGTCGTCAAAACACCATAGCCATGGACGAAGTCACACAAACGGAACTTACGGTGAAGAGTTCAATCACGTACTCAGCACGTTCAGACACAGTAGAATCAATGCCAAAGTTTTGTCAAAAGTGTATTCTCGAGGATCGTCCCCCTCAGCCGGTCCACAGTTTTCTTCTTCCTTGCAGATATCTGACGGATCAGGGTCAACAACTAACATTCAACGGCCATTGACCACAGCCAGGTCAACCCCGCGCCCAGGAAGATCCATCATGATTCATCAAACATAGCCCTATTTTCACCTCTCAAAAAGATGTCACTCCCAATCGCCTTATACTTTGGTCGAATACAAAAGTACGGTGCAGACACAAAACAAGAGACTCGGACATTTCACTGGAACAAGGTGAGGAAAACAAAATTACTGAGTGGAGGAAACATGGGAGGGCGGGCAAAGTCGCTTTGAAATTTGCTCCGCAACCCGAGAACGAAACACTTTGCATTGGCAGCCACTGGCAGTGCAAAGGACGGCTGCGTGCGTTGGATTCTTTTCCCACTCACAGATTCAAGCGGGCATATGCAGTATAGCTCTTCATCACCAGCCGCCTGGCCTGGACTGGAAGCCTTGGACACTGTCCAAGTGACTATCACAGTGAATACAATTGCTCTTTCCAAGGTCAATCTCGTCCGAGCAAGGAAGAGTATTACTATTTGAGGGTCCCAACAAACGGAGTTCCGTGTGATGTTTACCTCGTACCACAAACGCCATGCTTTGATGAAGACTACCTTTTCCCATCCATCCGAGCTTCGATCTTTGGATGCCTGTGTCTCCAGATCAACCACAGTTCAGGTAGGTCCAATAAAACTCTGACGACCCGGTACTCACTCAGTCATGGTCACACCACGCCACATTGGACCTTGAACCTTGAACTTCCTGTTGCATGCAGTGTTCGCGTCAATCTGGGCCGCAAAGATCAAGCTGTTGGCGATCCAGCAAAACCATACTTTAGGTGTTCGCTGCCCTGTGTGGCAATCAAACTCAAAATTTCCCGTTTCGAGCTCGGCACTCCCAGATCAGGTAAGACGAGTAAGTTTTTCATCGCCCAGCAAAAGATTTTCCATGTGTTTTTGTTCCGGTTCCGATTCCGAGACACCCCTTGCCTTTTCTGATCGATCGATTGATCTATGTTTCTGACCCGACAAGAAATTCTCATGTGTTTTTTAAGTTACTCTCCTCCTGGCAGTTAAAGAGTGTGCATGAATACTGCGTTACAAGTCTACTTCTTGTCGGCTTCTGGTTGTAGTGGCAACAATACCATTCACCGACCCTACCCATTCACTCCCACACACTCAAAAGACAGGAGTCTTATGAGCGTGTGTTCGGAATTCCGAGACAGGACGCATGACTGCGACGTGAAAAAAGGAGAACAATTTACATTGCGGTTAAGGTGTTGTTCAAGTCACCTTGGCAATCGCCCGCGATTTCGCTCGGTCTGCCCATTTTCTCGCTGGGCGATGTCAACTTTGCCTGTCTCGCTTAACGCGCAGGCTCACGGACGCCCAAAGCATAGCTACCTTGAATGCGGAGGATAGGACAAATGAAGGATGAGCGACAGTATAGTTACCGGCGAGTACCGCGTAGGCGAGATAGCACAAGTGAGTCGCACTCTGCCCATTCAGCTCGCCAGGATCTGATTCTGCTCTGATGGCGACTTGGCGATCAAAACGCAGAGTCATGGTGGGAGTTGGCAGGGTAAAGCGAGACAGGTTTACGACTGAAATTGCCAGGTTTCTCCAACATGATCAGGGATAGAGAACTCCAGTACGTGGTGAGTCTAATTAGGCCCAAAGCGCGCCAAGGGTTCGGCCTTGGGCAGATACGGATACTATACCTGTGAGGCTGTGACCTAACTCCCTTGGTGGCTATAGAGCACGGATACTCGCCATACCGAAGCATCGAGTCGATTAGTCGTATCGAAATCTAATTTGTCTTTCCAAACTCCCCCTTCGATCCTATACTACCCTGTAGCAGAGTGTCCATTCCCGACTGTCAGCCTTCGCTCAACGAGCTGGAGTCGGCCTTAAAACTACCGATATCATCCAGATACTCAGGATCTGTGCATATCGTCATTCAGTAGTCTCTATACCATAATTCACAATGCGAAGGGAGGCAATCATACCGGTCTTTTTCTCGACTATGAATTTTTGAGTACTTTTGATCAACCCATTGAGCTCACTCACGAGCTCATGCAAATGTAGCCTTACACGGTCATTTCTGCGAGCAGCACCTTTGACGGCCTGGATGGCTACATCGTAACGACTGGTTCCGTTGAGTAGCATCATGTTGAAAGGTGTAGTTGTCGACCCTTCCTCGTTGTAGCTCGCGATGGAGACGCGGTGCATGTTTGGACGTCCAAAGAGCAGGCCTTTCAGTTCGTTCGCATATCCGTGGTAGTTGAAATGAATGGGCACATCCGATGTGAAGAGTGCGTCGAATGCTTCATCAGTCAGGGCGTGAGGGTGGCTGCTGGATGCTCCTAAAATCATCAGATCCGTCACGTTAACCACGCGCACTCGTAACTCTGGGCTCTTTTTGCGCAAAAGCTCCGCTGCGGCAATAACTTCCAGTGTCAATTCTGCACCAATTCCTACAAGTACGACGTCTGGGTTTATGCCTTCCTCTGTTGATGCAAATTTCCAGACTGAGGCTCCTGCCCGACAATGGTTCTCTGCTTCGTCTGGAGAGAGGAAAACAGCAGATGGTTGCTTGCTACCGACCATCAAATTGACATAATTCTTCGACTGCAGGCAATGTGCCATGGTAGACAGAAATGTATTAGCATCAGGTGGGAAGTAAACCCTCGCAGCATCGGGCTTGAGGTTCAAGACGGCTCCTATGAAGCTTGGATTCTGGTGTGAAAACCCGTTGTGCTCCTGGCGCGTCCATGTCGAAGTCTCCAGATAGTTGATGCTTCCGATAGGCTTACGCCAGCTGGCTTCACCTGCCATCTTGCCGAACTTCGCATACTGGACCATCATCGTGTGGATGATACCGAGGAATGCTTCGTAGCTAGGGAACAGCCCCACGCGGCCAGTCAAAGTGTAGCCTTGCAACCACCCTTGACATTGATGCTCTGAGAGCGTCTCGGTCACTCGCCCGCCACGAGCGTTGGAGAATTGATCCCATTGAAAGTTGCGATTCGTCGAGTTCAATACAGCGTCCAATTTGTTAGACTCGAATTCGTCGGGTGAGAAGATTCGGAAGGTCTTGGGATTGTCTTTGACCACCTGTTCGAGCAGTTTTCCCACCGCCTTCATGCAACTCTCTGAAGTGCCCTTCTTCGCAACGAACTTGCGCCAATCGATGGGATTGAGGCCCTCATACGTATCATAGATTTTCTTGTTTTGGCCAAGCCGTCGTTCTGGTTCGGTGGGAATGATGGACTTGATATCATCCACGACATCACCATTCTCCTTGAACAGCTCCTTGGGTCTGTAGGATTCCAGCCATGCTTGGAGCATTTTAAGCTCTTCAGGATCCGTCTTTGCTGCAGCTAATGGTACTTGATGTGCTTTGAATGATCCTTCAACGAACTGCCCGTGAACTTTCTTCGGGCCGGACCAACCTTTTGGCGTGCGCAATATTAAAACAGGCCATCGAGGTTTCATGATGGGTTTCCCACTTCTTGCAGCGGCTTGGATTCTCTTGATTTCAGAAAGCGCCCACTCCATTGAGTTGGAGAGATCGGCATCAATGTCCTCCAGATCATCAACCACCCTGGGCTGATACCCATATCCTGAAAACAATGCTGCCATTTCCTTGTCATCCATGCAACCATAAATTGTTCTTTCACTGATCTTGAAACCATTGACATGGATGATCGGTAGTACTGCTCCACTTTCCGCAGGGTCAATAAATTTGTAGCCGTGCCATGCAGTGGCTGTAGGGCCAGTCTCTGACTCTCCGTCTCCCACAATGCAAGTGACGATAAGGTCAGGGTTGTCCATGACGGCCCCAAAGCTGACACTCAGAGCATAGCCTAATTCGCCTCCTGTCTTGATGTTAGGTTTGTTTACATTTATTTTCAGAGGGACAGCACCAACCTTCATGGATGGCACCTGGGGTCTCTGCATTGATATGGCTTGGAAAGCCTCCAGTGGTGCTAAAGCCAGTGATGAGATTGTGCAAACCCTTGGCATCCTGAGAGCATTGAGGGTAGAACTTTGCAAGTGAGCCTTCGAGCCATAGATTAGCTAGGATTGATGGCGCGCCATGCCCAGGTCCCACAACATAAATCATATCAAGATCATGCTTCTTGATCAGAAGGTTGAGATGAGAGTATACCAGGGTCAGACCAGGGCAAGTTCCCCAGTGACCTAGTAGCCTAGGTTTAATGTCCTCGAATTTGAGGTCACGCTGCAGCAATGCATTATCTTGTAAGAAAATCATGGCGGCAGCGATGTAATTAGCTGCTCGTCGGTACTTGGCGATAACATCGTTGGTCTTATCGGCCAAGGTTGGCTTGTCAAGCCTGACCAGTAAATCGGAAACATATTCTGGGAGGTTTGATGGTGGTGGTTGAGGATTTGGACGATCTATCACTTCGCCCGGCATATTGGATGGCTACCTAGGTATTTAGTATGGTATTCTGTGATCAGCTTGAAACTGCAAATAGATGACAAAGAAGGAAATCAATGCAAGTTGCGAATGTCAGAAGACAGTCAGCGATGTCGTGCAGGGGAAGAGCAATTGAGGGTGTTTGTGTGGCTTGATAGCAAGTCTCCGGGAAGCCGGCAAACAGCATTCCCATACGCATCTTCGATGTCACTAATGTGTTGAGAAAGTGATGTAATCGAGATTGCACAGCGTCACCGAGTAACAACTCAAAAAGTCTCCAGTTCATCGTAATGGTCGTGCAAATAGATGCTCGAAAACTTGACGTCGAATGCCCACGTCATCTGGTCAGTGAGAGTCTTTTGCACATGCCCCAGGCTGTCCCTGTGATATGCAGTGTCACCCTTAACCTGATGGACGTGCATGCCTTTGAAGCTTGCCCGTGCTTGACTAAGACGCGTTAAAAACGTGCAGTGGTCTGACATCACTTCACCCATTCCTGGATTCTCATAAAGAGGCCGCACATCTTCGGAGTCCAAGGTGTTGTGAGCGAGAATCAGAACATTAGCTTTATCATGGCAAATATCATTCTTTCAATCAATGCCGGGTCGTCTTCCTTAAAGACAACGGTGTTCAAAGAAGTACAGGATGGAGAAGAGAAGCAGCTACAGCGGCTAGCTTCCGCCCAAATCGTAAGCGAAGCCGAGGAACCTGGCATAGTACCACCCCAATCAATACCAGAGCAGCCATCTCTAACTCCTCCTTCCATCAAATAGTCGGCCATCAACCAGCCACCAGCACAGTTCAAATACGTTCGCGGTGACCACAAGAAGTCATCTGAGGCAGGCTCTATTCATGACCACAAAGAGGCATTCGAATATGTCCTCAATGCCTTCCTCTCGGACCCAGACATCCCAGAGGTGGCCAGTAAGGACGATTTTCATTATGCATGCCACCGAACTGTACAAGGAGGTGATTTCGAGGACGATCAATTGATCGACAAGAGCACATTTGAAAAGATCGAAAAGTTGTCGGATCTAGCGCCCTTGTGATGCAACCCATGCCATTAAGACGTAGCCCAGACTGACTTCATCGCAGGCACAATGCTTCCGCCGTTAGTCTAATGACTGCATGTCATGAAGATCTTCCTAAAGTCGTCAATGTCGCATGCTTCGACTCTGGCTTCCATCATACCATGCCCGACTATGTCAAGACCTATGCTATTGACCAGAAAATTGCGAAAGAGAAAGGCCTGCGCAAGTACGGGTTCCACGGTCTTAGTTATAAGTACATCACTCGAAGGGTGGCTGAAGACCTTGGCAAACCACAGTCTGAGATCAATCTCATTGCGCTCCACCTTGGAAGCGGAGCATCAGCTTGTGCAATCAAGAATGGGCAATCCATAGACACCACGATGGGATTGACCCCGGTCTCCGGCTTGCCCGGTGGCAGTCGGTCGGGCGACATTGACCCCAGTCTAGTCTTTCATTACACCTCGGACGCCAGTGCTTTGAGTCCTAGCAGCACAAAAGATTTGCATATATCGACGGCCGAAGATATTTTGAACCGCCGAAGTGGGTGGCTCGCTTTGACCGGCACAAGCGACTTCTCAAAAATTGCGGACCCGAAAGCGCCGGACACCCACCAACTTGCATTCAACATCTTTGTCGATCGAGTAATTGGTTACATCGGTAACTACTACGTCAAGCTCGAAGGCCGAGTAGATGCTCTGGTGTTTGCTGGAGGTATAGGCGAAAGAAGCGCCTATTTACGAAAGGTCGTAACCCAAAAAGTGGCGTGTCTGGGTTTTACTCTGGATGACGAAAAGAACGAAGGTGCCGCCGATGGAAACGATGTTGTGGATATTGGTTCAGACGGCAAAACGCCGCGGACTCTTGTGTGCGAGACAGATGAGGATGTAAGTATTTCAAATCTACAACCAGAAACAATGACTAACCGACTTCCTTAGTTTGAAATGGTTAGTATCGACTTTTCGACATGCGGCCGGATAAGCTTTGTTAATACTGACATGAATGAAACAGGCGTATAATTGCATGCTTCATCCGAAATGATGAATCCGGCGACTGTATCCGAAGCAGAGCTTGCTTCTTGCATTACTCTGATTTGACAGGAACTAACGACAATGCCTTTTCGTGCGCAGACGGATGTATATCGGGAGCTTTGGAATATCATGTCGCATCGAGACTCGCAACATCTACATTGGAAGCCAAGTTGTTATTTCAAACAATATGGATAGATTTCATACGACGTACATGGCTTGGTTCCTCCCTCCCCATGCCAGGAATCCTACGGCCGCGACGAGGCGCTAACGACTTTGTAGATCCAAACCCCAATCCTTCCGTGGGCCTGATTAACCCGCAAGCAGGGCAAGTTTTGGCGAATGGCCACTTTATTCCGCAGTATGGCCGTTCCATTACGTCCGCATCTCCATCCCGTGATAGGAAAGCTCATGGACCAGCCTCGTCGCCGGCCAACATCCGTATTTAACCTTCTTCCAAATCTTTGACAGGGACGCCTACGGTTCTTCTTTCGATTGTGGTGGCCCTGATGTCGGTGTCCGGACTCCGGGGTACCAGTACTGATTACTCGTACGCTATTTGTCACGGGAGCTGCCTTGCTTACTGAACCCTGTTAGTAGAGTTGACTAAGCGACGCAGCTATCACAGCTCTAACATCGACAATGCATCAGTTGACCAATGGGACCGCTTCAACTTCGCTTGCCCATCGAAGCCTCTTGACTTCCCGAAGCTTTCTGAATATTCCTAATATGGTACAGGGCCGCATCTGGCAGTTGCTGCGACGAACCTCAACTAAGGAACATCACCGTGAACATGCAACTTCAAGCATTTCCTGAGTTAAACACCAGCCTTTGACGTATCGCCTGATTATGTGTTGGCGGTCTAAGTTACTGACAGACGCTTCATCCTGCCGCTAGCCGTACAGTGCTGGAGTGACAGTCGATGTCCAACCATATAAGATGCGGGTGGTTCCCTGGTGTAAGTACAAGACATCCCAAGCTCTGCCCCTTCATCAACCAAACTTGGTCCATCATGCAACTACTCTCGTCGCTTCTGTTGTCCTTTCTGCTGGTCGGTGCAGAGGCTGCTGTGCCCAAGAATAAATACAACTGTACCAGCTTTATAGTCCGCGTACCCATCGACAATGTGACGCTCATTGATCTTCCGTTTCCTCCCTTCGCGGACCAATATGCTGCGACCGCTTTCGCCAATCAGGTCACAATTCGTACTCCATCGGTCCCTAAAGTGAACCTTTCTTCCTTGACCACGACTTTCAACATATCCGCGGAATATTGCACCCCAGCAGTCCTAGGTCCGAATTCTTCGACTCTTCATGTTCTCACGCACGGCCTAGGCTTCAACCGGTCCTATTGGGACTTCTACCTGCCAAATGCAACGAATGATGCAGAATACTCATATGTCAATAGAATCACAGGAGCAGGATACTCCACGCTCTCATGGAATCGCTTGGGTATCGAACCGTCCACTATTGCAGATCCGTACAAGCATATTCAAACTCCGGTTGAATTGGCCACTCTGATATCCCTGACCGTGCTCGCTCGGGCTGGGAATATTTCGCAGGTGCCGGTTCCAAAGAAGGTCGTACATGTTGGCCACTCTTGGGGCAGTGTCCTGAGTCTAGGTCTTGCCGCTCTCGCTCCGCAAGTGACCGATGGTATCGTTTTGACCGGCTTCTCGGGTGTCAGCGACTATCAGAACCTGTTCATTGCCGGAACTAGCTTTCACCTCGCCTCTGAGAATGCTCCAGCACGATTCCCAGCGAAACAGTACAGCACAGGTTTCCTCACATGGGCAGATAAATCCGCCAATCAGTACGCATTCTTCAATTATCCACACTTTGATCCGGCTGTTCTCGCCCAAGCAGAAGCCACCAAGTATCCTTTCACTTTCGGCGAGTTCTTCTCGGCCACAGCTATCCCGTCCAAGGCACCTAACTACAAGGGACCTGTGCTGTTCTTGGCTGGAGAGGCAGATCTGATCTTCTGCGGCTCCAACTGTACAGGACTGTATGGCGCGGACAGTGCTACTGTCAAGGCTTTCAATGGTAGCAGCAGCGTTGAAACTTACATTCAACCCAACGTCGGACACGGCATTAACTTGCACAAGAACGCCACCGGCGCCTACGATGTCGTTCTTGACTGGGCTTCGCGACATGGACTCTGAAGCGTGATCGGAATTGGAGACTCCAGTTTCGGAAGGCAACAATAAAACGGAAAAGCACTGCTTGATCATGTTTTGCCAGCGAAGAAATCGATATATAGAGAGACAATACAAGCTCATCTTGCTCGACAGTGCGTTTCCATGGACCTGGCCCCCAATAAGTAATAATGCATCAACCCTCTGGCAATAGGTTAATTGTTATATCTCTAGTGATAAAGGTCTTAGAATTCAATCACAAACCATCATGCATGTACACAACCACATAAAGTCGTAAGATACCAACTTCACACCAAGTAATAGCAAAGAGCTGAATCAGTTGCTCATAAATGTAATGTTCAGGTCAATCGGCGGAAAGCCGATGTCCGGATCACGTGTGTGCTGAAACATGCGCTACGTTTCCGCTGCTTCAAACTGTACAACTTCTGTTCGCCAATGCAGTTTCCTTCAACCTCAAGAAACAGGTCTGTCCAGATTTCTCGTTAGCCGCTCGATCGTATGGCACTCGCTCAGAGTTATCCCTTCTCATGCAGGAGTTGGGCATGGAATGGTCAGATCGAGGGGGTGGCTGCATACGCGCCTTCCACGCTGGTCAAGGCGCGTAATATTCGCCTCCCGATTCGTGGCGAATACCCATCCAAGACCGTCTACAGGGTTGTTTCGCTGTTTCTAGTAAGTTCGTATAGGGAATTGACTGTGATATACACTTCACCATGCACTCTATTATGCACCATTTACGTCGTGCAAAAGCAAGTAGTGCAGACTCAACATCTTCGCCAGAGTACTAGTCAATCATAACAACTGCGGTATTTGACCGCGGACGACACGTCGACTTGAACCAGCTTCGAATTTCTCTTGTTGAATCTGTGCTTCTGCAGCAAGCGTTGTTCTTTACCCAAAGAATGCCTTGACAGCTAAGGCATCATCAGAACCGCCGTCAGTCTATCATGGGTACCGTTTTCCGTCTGCCTGATTCCGGGGTGCCCCAACAGATCGACTTGCGTCTGCCGATTTCTATGCTGGTCTGTTACATCACAGCCGTACTTTGCGCTGTTGGACATCACATCCTAAATCTTTGTCTGCATGGGAAGCCGGTGGAAGAGCTCTCGATCAATCAGCAATGGGTGGCTCGAAGCGGAAATGCATTAGCTTACATGGTCAAAGTGCTGCTGGTCCTGGCCACAGGTACCGCTTATTGCCAATGCATCTGGCAGAAGGTGAAAGAGAGACCTATCAGGATCGGACATTTCGATACCTTGTTTGGAGTTCTGGATAATGTCTTCGAACTACGGCGGTTGCGATTCTGGGTGCAGAGGCCTACATTGGCTCTGACTGTGCTTATTCTCTGGTATGGTAGATTTCTCATTCCATTCATTTTCATCCCCCGTTGCCCTGCTCAAGCTCGTTTGACAGCTTCCGATCAAAGCTAAGATGATGCAGGTCACTGCCTCTAGTAGCCATCATTACCCCCGGCACACTATCGGTGGTGGACAAACCTACCACCCAACCAGCTGTCATCTCTGTACAGCAACGTGAATACGGACGTGGTTTATATGCTGCGTCAGTGCTTGCGGACAACGGCACCGTCATCTATGGGGGTGCTAGATCATACTTGAAAGGCCCAACGATGGCTAGTCTGGTCGAAACAGAAATACTATCTGTCGGACATTCTGCAACTAACCTGACCTACAGTCTCGACTTTTATGGCCCGGCGGTCAAATGTACAAAAGCTGGAGATCAATTGACAGAAAATTTGGCAAGTATCATCACTCAATATGAAAGCACCAACAAGAGCACAGTTGTGTTCGATACGTGGGTGCCGAAACCCAACAGCAATTCGAGTCAGGCGATCGTCGATGGGGCGATTATCCTCGACTCGGACAAAAACCGAGATCTACGGATCCTCGACCAAACCTCGACTGATGCCACTACAATATACTATACCCTCGCCCCTCCACCATCCTCTGACACATCAGCAGATGCTCCAATATATGTCATCCAATGTTCTCTGTACAATGCTTCATGGCATCTCAATTTTGATGTCCGAAGCACCGGAGAGCAAACCCTGACCCCATCCATCACATTTGAAAATTGGATGCCTGGCTGGAGTAGCATAAACCCACCCCTCAAGAACGGTACAGAAACTGACACCATTTTCGACTATGCTGGACTGATGGAGACCTTCGGTGCCGTCACCACCGGAAGACTGGAGGTACCTGGTGACCCAAACTTACCATTCGTACAAACTTCGATTGCCTTGGAGACAAGCCCAGTCCTCTTCGCAGACGCAACACCTGCACCCTTCACGGACGGGGCAATGATAACACTTCAACGTACACTGGAACAGACATTCACGAATATGACATTGTCCGCTAGATATGGTGTACTTCCCCGACAAGATCTTAGAGGCGACACTCCCTTGTTGAGCTTGGTCGATGTCGATGCCAATTCCACATTCACGCGCAATGTATACGACTATAAGTCTCGCGACCTGATTATTTCCTATACCCTGGCCGTCGTCTGGAGCACTGTTTGCATACTACTCGCCGTTCGCGCCATACGAGACATGGGCGCCGTCTACTCCAACAATTTTTCAACTGTAGTACGTGTCACCAGAGGACAGACGCGTCTGGATCATTTGATCGTCGATGAAAATGATAGAAGCGGAGCGGAGCCATTACCCAAACGCGTTGCTGATGCTTATATTTGGGTCGGGAAGGAGCAAAAGATGGGCATGGGCATAGGACGAGGGAGAGTTGGGACGGAGAACTCGGTGCGCTCTGAAAAGTCTACAAGAAGATGGTGGGGTAGGCAAAAGGTAATGGACCTGGAAACTCCGCCTGAGAAAGACAGCACCAATGTGTTGGCAAAGGAGATAAGAGGTGCTCCTGTTGGTAATTGGATATGAGCAATGACATCGGAGCGGCAGCCAGCGGATAATGGATGAGTGTCGCCAGAGGCATACAATTGTACATTAAGATAGGTATAGAATATACCGTCTATCCGAGGGCTTTAGCAGTCCATTCGTGACTTGTTATCTGGAAGATACTATGTTACAAAAACCGCTGAACTTTTGAATATGGTTTGAAAAAGCCTTATCCCCGACTTGTCTCCCGGCTAGCGAGGCTGCAAACCTACAAAGCCGCCAAAGTCATGTCTCCTAATCCCATGGATAAATGTCTTCCTTATTACGAATCCCGACATTGCAGACAACCACACGACTGAGCATGCTACCATATTCTTCCCTGCCTTGATTTCCGATAGCACCACGACTACTGGACCCTGAAGTCGAGCTGTTCGAAATCATCAGCGAGTCCTCAACATCATCGTCAGCCTGCTGAGACCACCACCACTGGCTACCGCTCAACATTCCATCCTCGTCATCAACATCGTCATCAATTTCTCTCTCAGAGTACGAGCCACTATCGATTTCCTCGATCGTCAGCCGTGCCAGCCAGCCCCACTTCCGCCAGAACCACGGTCTGGCTTCCCAACTCCGTTTGCTCCAAGCGACGCCATCGCGCATGCTACGCCTATGTCTGCCATTTGCACGTGCTCGGCCCCAGCATACTAACCCGTCGTGCATCAAGTCCAGGAAAAGACTGCAGTGGTCCAGTTTCTTCAAGCTGGAGAGGTATATCGCGATGTTCCGAAAGTGCGGGAATGGGATGCAGTCTAGATAGCATGGGTGAGGGAGCAGGAGTTGGACACCGGAAGGCCGTAGGTCCGGCGGTATCAAGCTGATGGTGCTATTGGATGCGGTCGTGAATGGCGATGGGTGATCGTTGATGTATGATGCTCTCGAGATTGCAAGGCATTGTGCAATTGATAGAGTCGCGGCGAAGCAGCTTTCGCCGACTAGTTGAAGATGGTTGAGGTACAGCGACGGGAGCAAACCGTCGTTACTGGATCGAGGTGTTGGTGCGATATCTGTTGAGAAGGGGTCAATGGGATATGAAGCTGATTCGGAATGATCTCTGGAAAATGAGGACGATGTAGTGGGCTGGATCGAACTTCCTGCTGGTCTAAATGCGGGTGGCTTGGTGTACATCTTCTGCCATATATTCCCGTCTACAGGCCACGCGAACCGCATATCCTCCATTGTGGGATCGGGAGGTACATAGTAGTATATTGCCATGGGTAAAGGCATATCCGGGTCAGGCAGACTTGGTAGCGCCTCAGGGCTGATAGTTGTATGCTCCGGAGTAAACTGCATGATGACCGGGTCATTCATGTCGACTGGGGCGAAGTCCAGAGCGACAGTACTCTCCAGGGGCAAAGTATTAGGACAAACACGGCCATTCGTGCTCTGAACAACTTCGGCAGACCAGGCACTGTCATTCTGTACCTCATCATGCGCCTCCGTATCCAGTTCAGTCAGTTGCTGGAGGACTTTAGATTTCACGTCCTCATCTCGTTGTTTCTTCTGCCTCTCGCGCCATAGCTTTTGTGCGCGCCGGTTCTGTTCCCGTCGAGCATCGGTCAGCTTTCGCTTGTACCTTGTGGCGGGCTGGTTTGGAAGTTCCTCTACGTTTGCCATATCGTTATGCTATTCGCTGCTCAGTAGCAAGGGCTTTCTTTCGAGATGTTTGCTAGACCTTGACAGTTGCGATGACTTTGTGAGCATCGTTCCTGATGACTGAGGACTGCTTTTCATTTCTTGGTCGAGAGAACTGGACGCTTTACGGGCGTAATGCAGGGCGGGCTAGGCACCACGCGCTAACCAAGAGCCTCCGGAGGGTCCCATGGGAAGTCTCTAATTGAAGTAACTGAATTGGCTGCGGGGTTTGAGTGTGCCCCATATCCACTGTACTCTGGTTAGGCAGTTCGTGGTAGACTCTGACAAGGCTGTAGCACGAGGGGCATCCTGAGCAGCCAGGATGAAAAGGAATGCTCCATGCCCAGTTACTCCTTGCTCTTGGAGCTAGCAATGTCTAGATGTAATTATGAGGCATGCGCTCAGGCTCTGGATTGTCTCAAATTTCTGTTCTCAACCACGCCATAGCGTTGATCGCTTGTGGCAAGCTATTCAAACTTGCGACAACTGACTCCATCTCGCAGTGTTCTGCGGATTCCTTCGCCATCACAAAGGGCGGTTCAGACAAGTTTCACCCTATTCCACGTTATCCTGATGCGAGCCGCTACGTACCCAGAAATCGGAATCGGTGCGAAGAGCGGGTTCCAAAAAATATCCGGCTTCTCTTTCAGGAACGAGTCAGCCAGGCAAAGTCTGCTCTCTGAATATCCAGCATCAACTCCTAGACTAAAGCTCTCACCGAGCGAGTCGCGGCTGCAAAAAACGAAGGGTGCTAGAAGTGTCATCGGGGTTAGATGGCTGTGGGCCTTGAGATGGAAATCGTATTGATATTGCTGCACGAACAAAGGGAGCTCTTGTCTTGAATGAGATCCTCTATAGTCATCTCGAGCATCGAGATTTAGGTGCCGAAGTATGACCTTTAGTTGAGCGGCTGAAGACTGTAGGAAATTAGGTAAAGACTCATCCAAATCGGGTGCAGTTGTTCCAAGAAACCAACTGGTGGGCTTTCTTTGGTCTCGTTTCCGGTTACCACTGATACCTCGCGTCCCAGACAGAATTCACAGCCCTAGGAATTTTGTAGAGTTTAAGAGCAAAGCCTTCGTTGTGGCACTCCTCTGCATTTGGCCGGAAGAGGCAAGAACACACGGATCGTGATTCTTGTTGGCTGTCCAAAGCCAATCAGCGACGACTGGCTTACTCCCCCATGTCAAGCCACCACGAGAGGGTGTACTTCCATGCGAGATGATTTCCGACTGATGAGTATATTCTAGCTGCGATTGCATCAATAACTAGAGCAAGGAATACGAGGCTTAAAACGATGCAACGACATATAAAGAGAGTGCTTGCCAAAAATCATATGAGATACCAACAAGATCTTGCAGGAGAAGAGAACTTTGACGTCGACAACAACAACAACAACCAGCACAAGAAAAGAACGACGCCGCCAAACCTGTCCAAAAAATCACAGAGACCACTCAACAGTGCTGCTTGCATTTGTAATGTCTTCATCATCAGCAATCCAGAAGATCTTCGCACAAGTCCATTCCGCGAGCGGGTTGACCTTCCCCAACACCGTCTCCGCTCTCATAGCGCTCGGCGTCACTCGGTATCATATCGACTACTCTTCGGGCATCGCCACGACCTACAAGAACACGACCAAGGACGAAGGAATCGAAATCGAGCAAGTCAAAATCACTTCACCGCCACTGTCATCACGAACACCATGGTCCAAATCCGGACTTGTCAAGGCAATAAGGCGTGTGCAAGCCGGAGAGACAAAGTATAAGGAGTTCGCCCAAGAGTGTGTCGACTCGGGCGTGACGGGATATTTGGCATTCTTGTTAGGAAAGAATGTTCTGTATTATGGTGCGGATGGAGATGTTCATGTCGAGTGGTTTCCTGGGGCGGAGCCAAAAGCTGAGTGAGAAGGTTTGCGACTCGGTTTTGGATCAAGGAGGCAGCTTATGTAGCTTCAGTGCCATGTAACTGCTACCGAACGTTTCAGAGTGGGTAAGGCTCTGGACCATATATGGGAAGAGGTACTCGTCACTGAGGTCTGTGGTTTGCATGTTGAATTGAATAGTCAGTGGAATTAGACTAGTATTATTTTATTTCTGTTGTTCCGTTCACATTCATTATAGTATATATTCATACGTTCTCCATCGTATCAACATCAGTCATCTACGGTGCCTTGGTCTGACTCAAACCAAGACAGTCGGCGAGACCGTAGAAGATATCGATGTTACCGTAAACACCGCCGAACTTCTCCTGGCACGGGCCACGGGTAAAGACCGGAACGTCAGTCAGCGAGTGTACACCTTGGTCGGCCTGTGAGATAATGGGTCAGCACAATGGACGATGAGTACGCAGAAAAGAGAGTGACTTACGTCCACAGGGAGCGTTCCGTTGATCAAGAAACCAGTGACGGCATCAATGTAGTTGACATAGAAGTCGTCGCTGTCGAAGCCGGTGACGTTCAACGCAGGGATTCTGGGTCCGGACTTGTGGACCTGGTAGTTCTCCCGGTGGTCGGGGTTGGCACCGAGGCCCTGGAACAACGTGTAGCGGGGATCCCAATTGGCGGGGAAGTGGACACCAGGAGCATAGATGAGGTTCTGATCGCTGCCAACTGGGGCGGAGCTGTTAGCGACCAGGTACTGGCTGAGACCAGACTTCTCATATGTGCCGATGGCACCACGCTTTTCACGGTCGCCCTTTTGAGCGTTGAGGAATTTGGTGTCCACGCTACCCATAACGTCGAATCCGTGACCGTGATCAGCAGTCACGAGCACAAGGGTATCGTTCAGTTCACCGATTGATTCGAGATAGCTGAGGGTAGCCTTGACTGTGTCGTCGAGCTCGAGGAGCTCGCCAAGAGCGCGGTCGTAGTCCAAAACGTGCATCATTTTGTCAATGCTGGCAGCCTCGGACATCAAGAAGAACCCGTCATCAGCGTGACGAGTGTGGAGGATCTCAAGGGCTTTGAGTGTCATCTCCTTGAGACCAGGCTGGTCGGTGGAGCTGGCATTAGTACCATCAGGAGCGGTCTTGGGCTTGTCGAGGTTCTTTGGATAGACGTTGCGGTCAAGCCACTTGGCCATATTGGAAACTGAGAAAATACCCAGAGTCTTGGACGAGTTGGAAGCTGCTTTCAAAGCAGTGTTGTTCAGAACAACGGAGTAGTTCTTCTTGGCAAACTCAGCATAGTAATCCTTGCCTTGGAAAGACTTGCTGTTAGGGTAGAACTGTTCCGCACCACCACCGAACAAAACATCAGGGCCGGTCCAGTTGGTCCATGTGAAATTGGTAATTCCGTTAAGGAAGGAGTCGACAACCGCGCCATATTGGCCTCGATCACGGGTATGGGCGGTCAAAGCTGCCGGCGTGGCATCTGCGATGAATGCAGTCGAAACGATACCGACGCCGCCTCCGCGAATACGGTGGAAGATCTCAGCAATGGTCTCGACCTTGGGGTCGTCAAATACGTTCTTTGAGCTGTCAACGTAGACTCCCAGAGCATTCACCGTCGATTTGTGACCGGTGTACAGTGCCGTTGCCGAGTTGGCGCTGTCAGTGATGAAAGTGTCCAAAGAGTGTGTCATTTGGTGGCCCAACACTGGGAACTTGTCTAGAGCCAAGTTGGATTGATATTTGCCGTTGATGGTCTTATGACCAAGTAGACGAGCAGCTACATTATTTATTAGCACAGATTTGCACCATTTTAATGCTTTAGCATACCTGTAATCATGTTGGTTGTCATTCCGTCTCCAATGAACATAACGACGTTCTTGGCTCTCTTTAGAGGAGCAATGTCCCGCACAGTCCAGTTGGCGTAAGTCGTCGAGCCATTCTGATACGTCAAAGTAGCAGTATATTGACCTGGTTCGTAGAGAGCCACTTTTCTATAGGCCTTGGCAGCAACTTTGACGAATGATGGGGTCTTTGCGGTTTCCGCGAATAGATCCTCATACCAGGTGAAGTTCCACTGTTCAAGTTTGGGCTCGGATTGTTTGAAGAAAGCCGCAGCAGGGCTTGCCGAACCACCTTCCTTCTCGATGGTCAGGGTGAAGTTGGTATCTGGGTTGGCATACGGAACGCGTTCACTGCCATTTTGTGGCGCATGAACCTCAACCCGAATGTCAAAAAACTGGCCAGGGAGAAAGTCTGCTTGGTCCGGCGGTAGGATGCAGCCTAGAGTGGGACAAGAATCAAGACGGCGGAATGTCTGGGCAGCACAGTGACTGCAAATGGCGCTGAGTGCCAAAGCAGCCTTGAGACCAAATTGAGCCTTCATGATCGTTTACAGCAATGACGACAGGGTCGAATATATCGAGGATAAGCCTGAGGAGGTGCGAAACAGAATCGGGGTTCGATTTGGGTTTTTGTAGCTCTGACCCATGTCACCTCATGGAGGTTTTCGCAATACTTTGGGAAGCATCTCCATCCAAGACTTGGCCAGAATCGATGAGGTCGGTGGTATCTGCCAGGTCCGCCTCGTGGTCACACAAGGTTTACCAGATTTCACACCCATGCTTAAAGCTATGGTCGTTTTTGGCAGGAGATGCAGAACGAGGTCCCCATCATAGCAGGTGCCAAGGCCACTTCAGCCATGCCAAGACTGGAGGAGGCTTGAACAAGCCTTCCTAGCCAATCGTGCTACCCACGTTCCGAGAAGAACTGCGGGAGATACTCCATTGACTTGCGCTTTCTCGAGCTATCTACTTGGTAGTCTAAGGCTCTTGCAGGAAATAGGCCGAACAGACTACCCACCGCTGGCTCATGCGTGCAGTCATCTAGGTGTATAATTGGAGAGGACGACTGAAAAGTCAACGGTAATGCTACCAGGATAGACTGTATACCTAGTATGTCCAGGAAGGCGAGCTCCATGGTAGCATAAAAAGAAATCCCAGCCGATACTGCACTTGGACTGTTCCTTCGGCCGGTCAAGGCGACGGCAAACTCGGCAGAGTGTGAATTTGTGATCGGGTCTTTATTTCATTTTGAGCAGCATGTGTTCTGCAGCGTGCTCGATTGGACGAATACTTGTGGTTGTCGGTCAAAGCCGGTAGGATTGGTGTACCTGACGGATCGTCCTTGTGGTCTACAGTAGCCTCAAGTTGCCCTGTCTAAAGTTTTTGATCGGCCTGCCACACCACATCGTGAGTGAGAAAGTTTGGATTCGTTTGAAGCAGAAAGCATGGTGATGGATCAGAGCAGAAGCAAGCAAGGGGCCAGCCAGCTTTACTCCAGTACCAGCACCGATGACGAGAACCGCCCAAGGCCAATTTCCACAGGTGGTAGAGAAAGTGCTCCTCTCGAAAACGTCCTGCCTACCTCGAGCTTGAATAGCATAAACGTCATATGCCTCAAATCCCTGGTCTCCACCAGATCATACTCAACTCACCTTGTACGAGGTACCTAGATCTGACCAAGGCTAGAGCATCCTGCAAGGCTCAGTGAGAATGGCCGATAGCTAGGGCAATGCACCAACAGGAGGCAGTCTTGGTATCAACAAGACTCCGCAAGTTCGCTAGGAGACCCTGCCGCATCCGAGTACTGTACCCTTCAGTACCATCGAATCGGGTAGAGGTGCCAGGTAAACCAGAGGAGCTCGTTGCGCACCTTCTGAGATTGTACCTGCCTACTCCGTCACTCCACTCCAGAGAGGTCAGAACAGCTGCTGAAGCGCTTATCCAGTCAAAAGCCCCAAGTGGCATTTGCGCCAATCAACAGAGAGGTACTCCATAGTCCTTCTCTTGCCCCTCCTGTAGTACGTAGCTGCAAGCTTGAGCTGTTATCGTGTCTCGTAGCCGTTCGGAATGAATTTGGACACGTTCTGAAAACGATGGGTTTCCATAGAACTCTCCGCATAGCAAGAGGCTACCAAAGTAACTAAGCATGCCTAGTTGATTTTGAATCTGGGCGTGCTCCGGTGGGTGCTCGGGCCGACGAACAGTTTAGGCATTATTACCTCGTATTAACAAGATTCCAAGAGTATTGGCACGCCTCGATCTCTTCAAAGGTCACCAACCTGGAAACTCGTCTAGATTGGTTGCCAGCCTCATAGAGCATCCGTTCGAGATGCTATTTCGAGATCTGGCCTCAGTTCGATGTTCCACCAGCTGAGGATGTGTGGCGTTCCATGATGCCAGTTGCATGCATGCATAGCATGATGAGACACACCCTATCACACAACCGCTTTTTGACGTGTTCAGGCGTTCGAATTGTGTTGGCTCACTGACAACCTTCGACTAAGCTTACCGTGTATTGTTCCCAGCTTGAACGGGTCCGCCCTTCAGTTAAAATCATGATAATGGGGTTGATCAATGGGCTTCTGGAATCTCAGGCACGGGGTATTGTCCACAGCGTCACAATGCATCTGCTTCAAGAATGAATCCTGCAACCTTTAATAACGAAGCCACCATCCTCATTCTCAGCCGTGGTCCGTGACTCTGCGTGGTAGGTTTGTCAATGTTGCTCAGCCCCTTCCTTTTCCTTGCAGGGGGCCTTCAACTGGTACTGGCATTCCCCCAAAGGTCGCGCCAGGCCACGGGTCCTGTCATCGGGTCCAATTTCCAGGATCCTTCAGTCGTGCACACAGGTGATGGAGCTTGGGTAGCCTATGCAGGCGTCAATGGAAATCCAGAAAATGTTCATATACTGATCGCCACTTCTTCGGATTTTTCAACATGGACTGTACATTCTGGCTATGATGCTCTCCCAACATTACCTTCATGGGCTGCCAATCCTCCACGCGTTTGGGCCCCCGACGTGACGCAGCTGGTATGTGCTTGCAATACTCGTTGGTCGTCATACGCCTTGAGAAAGCTTGGAGTAACATCGATTTCTAGGACAATGGAAATTTCGTCCTTTATTACTCTGTTGCCATGGCTGAGAGTCCTGCAAAGCACTGTGTCGCAGCTGCGTTTGCGCCCAATCCAGAGGGTCCATTCAGTCCAGTCGAGACGCCTCTTTTTTGTGATTTAGCTGCTGGTGGTGCTATTGATGCTGACGGCTTTCGCGACCCGAGCACTAATAGGCAGTATGTCATTTACAAAGTGGACGGTAATTCGGTGGGCACAGGAGGAGAGTGTGCGAACAGCAACCAGCCTGTGGCGCCAACTCCACTAGTCCTCCAAGAGGTCAATCCGGATGACGGTTATTCCTTTATTGGAGGACCTCTAACAGTCTTGCTCAATGGACCAGAAGATGGACCCAACATCGAGGCGCCAACACTACTTTACGATTCTTCGTCACACACATATATTCTCTTCTACAACTCGAGATGTTTTGCCAGTGCGCCATATCAGATCCGCTACGCCACCAGCCAGAGCATATATGGGCCTTACACTAAGCAGTCAACACCATTTCTACAAACTGGAGATACTTCTGCCAATCTGTTCGCCCCGGGTGCTATCGATATTACTAGAGATGGGAAATTGGCTGTTCTTCACGGTGATACAAACCTGGGTTGGTTCAATGGGGATGGAAGTAAGCGAGTGCGAGCAATGTATGCGATAACCTTGGACGTATCAAATGGGATCATTGCTCTAGGTAGGTTCCATTGAGAGAAGGAATCAGGAACAAATCGGCTTGGAAAGATCAAAGTCGAGGTCGATGTCCACAGATGGGTCAAAAAACGGCGTGTTGCCGCAAACACTAAGCTGTGGTACGTAAGTCCATATGAACGCACTTGACAATGTGTTTCCCACAATTTTGGTATTGGCGGTACCCGGTGATTCAATTGGTTGGAACCTGCTCCAACCATCGTCATCCGAGCGTATCCTTCGTCTCAGGGCCTTCTGGCTCGGCAGGAGATGATATCCGTTGTTGACCTTTCTCTCGTCATCTCCACCCGATGATCTACTTGCTAAGCCTTCGCCTAATCAGCCTCCGAAAGCCGGTAGACATATATTCTCCATTTCTTCACAGGAGTTCTCAAGAGTAAGTTCAAGCCTCGAAAGTCATCCTATATGTTCGCCGAGATTCGCTTCATGCCTTCATGATCGGTTCTTGACCTCCGTTCACAAAGTCGCGAATACACCCAATGTCAGATATATGCCAGCAACGTGTCTCTCATTTGTCTGGTCACCGAACCAATTCTAGCACCAGCCATGGACACGGAGGCCACACTCTAGCAGGCCAATACTCTACGTTCACAGTACCATCAAGCAATACGGGCGATCAACAATCGAGGCTGAGGAGTCAAAGCGCACGAAGCGATGTGGAAAGCCCTGGAAAGTCCACAAGTCAACCCATCTGGAGTCTAGCAGCGCCTTTACCACATGTTCATCGTTCTCTACAGAAACCTCCTGACGAAAGTATACAAGACAATGATGTCTTGCCAGAGCCACAAACGCCCACCGGTGAATCTATGTTATCTCACCGTGAGCAAGGGTCAATGACACAGCCTGCAGCTCCTACGGGCTTTGGTCGGGTGCCACAAATTGATGTCACACCCTCCAGGCACGATGGTGAGCGACAAGAACGCCAATCTCGTACAAGTGCAGACTCTAGGTCCTCTTTGCGATCCAGTGATTTACTCCGACGTGCTACAACTGCAGGAACGTGGACCTACCACTCAGGGGCCACAACGAGACAGGGTTCACTTCTGCCCAATCATACTTCCAGTACGACGGCCCGACGAGCACGACGTCAACTTCACAGAGAGAATGTCAGTGCCCATGATCAGGCAATACTTCCAGCCTCGTCTTCCCACTCTCAAGCTAGAGCGACTCAAATACCGAGGAACAGTCGCCGATCAGAAAATCAACAATCCGGCCACGCTAGTCACGATGTTGCGCTTGTTGGAAACACGGATCTTGACGGAGGCCATGGAGAACAGACCAGTGGAAGCGATTCCGAGGTTGAAGAAGGACGACGTCGAATGCAAGCCTTTGCCGATACTGCGCACACGGATAGTGTGATGCAACAACTCCCCGCCAATATTGATTGGGAGGAGTACCAGCGTGAACAGCCAGAACTGGACACACAGGGGACGACTAGAAGGTTAGTGAATCAACCAGGCTTCTACAACGCTTGGGGGGCCTTCCGCCATCGCTTCCGTCAGCCATTGGCCGAGTGGTTGGGTACGGTTGTGTTCATGACAATTGGTCTGTCCGCTAGTGTCGTGCATACGACTTCACAAAATGCATACGAGAACATTCTTGCCGCGTACCTAGCATGGGGTTTCGGCGTGATGGTCGGAATATACATAGCTGGAGGTGTTTCAGGGGCCCATCTGAACCCAGCCTTATCGATCGTCTTGTCCGTCTACCGAGGCTTTCCTTGGTCCCTGTGTTGGCAATATATCGTCGCACAACTTCTGGGCACCATCACGGCATCTGGGATTGTATATGGGCTTTACAAGGATGCGATCATGGAGTTTGCAGCAGCTGATGTTGCTCGGGCCGGCCCAGCGTTCTACACTCAACCGCGCGATGGGTTGAGTGACACGGCCGCCTTCTTCACCGAGTTCGTCGCTACAGCTATCGCAGCTGGTTCCGTGCTCGCCTTGGGTGACGATGGAAACGCACCACCTGGTGCAGGTATGCACGCCTTCATCATTGGCCTCCTGATAACTTCACTTTGCATGGCGTTCTCGTATAACACTGGTACCTGCCTCAACCCGGCACGAGATTTGGGACCGAGACTGATCGTATGGGCAGCCGGCTTTGGCGATGAGGTCATGACCCTTCGATCATATTGGTTCATCTGGGGTCCATGGTGTGGAACCATCTCTGGTGGTATATTCGGGGCGGCTGTCTACGATACCATGATCTTCATTGGTGGTGAGAGCCCTGTCAATTATCCAACAGGGACGCTCCGCCACCATCTGCCCTGGAGAGAAGCACGAGGTAAATCGAAGATGGGCAGAGGAAAGGACAGAGAAAAAGATATCACTGATGTGATTGATGGCATTGCATAGAATTGGTCGTTTGACTAAGCAGTCTTGTGATAGTCAATCATATGAGCGCTACGTCCTTCCAGATCCAGCTGAAATTACGAACGCGGATATGTATACGAGTCATAAGAGACCGACTATATCTAAACTAGGCATTGGATACGACTGTGGCTCGACTCCTCTCTGTCAAGAAGACAGGCTCAGTGCCCAATATGACAAATCTACCTCGGTATGGTTTTCAGGTACAGTTGAATGCTTTGAAATCGCTTCACGAGGAACAATTATTGTTCCACTCCCGTCCAGTCTTAAGTCAATACACGATTCTTATTGCATGATTGCATGATCGGATATATCATTGTCCCTTTGCCCGTATGATGATTGGCTCGTTTGGCACCCTAGTGTGTGCTTCGTGTAAGGGGCGGGGACTACATGAACTGGTCCTATTCTATCTACTCGGGGTGGAGAAACTTTCAGGGAAGCTGCATCGCCCTCGAGCAGTAATCAAGGTTTATAATGGCCCTAAAAGCGATAAAAGTCGTAGCACCAGGAGAAGCGGGCGTCGTGTCCAATGCAATAGTACCACGAGTTCGTGATGACTATCTGATTGCGAGAACAAAAGCAGTAGCTTTGAACCCGACAGATTATCACCATGCCAAATATTACAGTGTCCCGGGGGCTATCCTGGGCTGTGACTGGGCCGGAGTCGTCCAGGAGGTTGGCAAGAACGTAACGAGGTTCAAGCCTGGAGATGAGGTATCTGGGGTTTGCCATGGCGGTGAGCCGGTCCTTTCCCATTGACCCGAGCTTTAAGTTCAAGATAGGATGTGAGAACTGATTAAGGCTGATATGGCTGTCAGGGAATAACCTTGAGCTTGAAGATGGCGCGTTCGCAGAGGTGATCACTGCAAAGGAGCTTGCAGTGATCCACAAGCCCAAGGACTTGTCATTTGAGGATGCCGCTGCTCTAGGGGTCGGGATCGCGACGACCGGTCAGATTCTGTATGCAGTGTTTCAGTTGCCACTACCATCAATCACTGAGGTGGTTCGAGAGGATAGGGGAGCGATGCTCGTGTATGGTGGCAGTTCCGCAACTGGCACCATATTGATCCAGCTGGCCAAATTGTAGGTGACGACGACTGCACACATGCTGAAACAGCGAATAGCAGCTGAACTCCAGTGTCAGGTCCGGTTTCACCGTATATACGACGTGTTCTGTACCGAATTTCGACCTGGTCAAATCTCGTGGTGCCGACCACGTATTCGATTACAACGTCCCGAACTTTGAGCACGAAATCCTAAACACTGCGCATGGTAAGCACCATTCCTTCCAATATGTCGTCGATTGCTTTGGAAGCGATGATACAGCTGAGGTATGCGCTCGGTTGATCTCAAAAGAGAACAGCTTCTATCACTCTGTGAAAGCACCACTGCCAGAGGCATTCAAGAAGATCAGAACTGAGGACAGTGTGCAAGCAACCACGGCCCTGGGATATCTCTTACTTGGGGAGCCCCTCAGTATTGGAGGCATGGATTTCCCAGCCGACCCATCGCTTGAGGAATTCAGCAAGAAATGGACGCCTGTCATAGAGGAATTAGTCAAGCAGGGCAAGGTGAAGCCCCATCCTCATGGGGTCATTGCTGGAGGATTGGATGCGATACCAGGAATTCTCGAGAGTATTTCACAAGGTGGCACTCGAGGGAAGAAAAGCGTTGTCACCGTCGCTTAAAAGGTATGTCTAATTCACCAGGGAGCTCAATGATCAAGACCATTGGCAGTAGACGTGAGTCCCTGGAATAAATATCATAATTGAAACCGCCAAAGCCATCACATGCCGAATTCCTGAGCTACTGCAAGCTGTTGGCCATCGCTGGGCTTTATTGATATCCGGTCAGGATACTCATCCCGTGACTCCAGTCTAAACCAAGATCTATGTGATCGATAGACTCCAAAGCTGTGGAAATCGAATGAGAGAGTTGACGTATCAGAGCATAGTGCTGCATTAGAGAATGATTATGGTCGAGCGTGAAGAAGCGATGAGGTTGGGTCTTCAAGGCCGGGGATGATGGGTGTCCAAATCTTAGGGGCCCTTACGTGCCTAGTATCTTTCAACTAGGGACAATCCCAGTGGTTAACTGCGCCGGGTTAGGTGCCCACCGGGCGCCTAAGACGCCCCGAAAAAGTCTTATGGATTATCGCACGATGGCCGTCGTGGCCCGAAGCGCCCAGTTTGCACGTGGGAGAACCCCAAGAGTTTAAATACGAATACGCCTTCTAAGCGAGACAGTGGACGCGCATCACTAATGGGACCAATTTCTTGGTGCCGAGGTGCGCCCAGGTGTCGAACGGGGCCCTATTGGTGTCGCTAAATCCTCCATCTTCACCACTCTTCTCGGTGTCATAGACTGCGACATCGTCTGAATCTCTCCCAAGAGCAGGCATCCATGTTTTCGATCCTTGTCGCCAATATTGCCAGAGGTGGGTGGTTTCATTTAATGATGTCTTTGATGCAATCCCTAAACACATAGTGGCTGAGCACGCTTTCTCGCACATAAATCGTGCGATAGAATAAGGTACAGCCCATGGACTTTGATTGAGCTCTTCATCTCCTTCGTGGGCTCTCTCCACCATGGCTCTCTTCGCTCGTCAAGTTACAACACTGACGCTGAAGAACATTTATATTGCCTTCATTCGCCATTGGTTCTCCACCACCATTCGAGCATTTCTCCTCCCAGTCATCTTCGTGGGATTCCTGTCATATGCTCGATATCTCTTCATCCCGCCTTCGGTCTTTGGCATAGGGGAGCCGACCGATGTTCGAAGCCTTCCCTCCGCCCTCGAGCTTGTATCTGGAGGCAGAGATAAGCTTGTGTTCGTGGATAGTGGTTTCTCCGATGGACCTATCGACGCGGTCATCAATCGAGTTATCGCAGGCATAGGTCCTTTCGGAGGTCGCGTGGAAAGACTGTCACAAGAGGAAGACCTTTTAACAACATGCCGAAACTCCATTCGTGGAACGTCAACATGTATAGCAGGCGCTGTGTTCTTCTCGTCGCCGGCTGAAGGAGATGGCGGTCGTTGGAATTATTCGATAAGAGCTGATGGAGGCCTGGCCACAAAAATTGTGACCGATTCGTCCAAGAATGACGTGGAGGTTTACTTACTTCCTTTACAACATGCAATTGACCATGCGATATCTAAAGAAGAGAGCGGCAGTAATGGTGCTTCAACGCTACCTGATATTGTCCAGGAATTTCCATACACGTCGCAGACGAAGGAGCAACGTCAAGCACGCATTCGTACACGATATATGGGCGGTATCATCGATATCCTGGCCGTTGCTTTCTTCATCGGCGTCGTCGGTGTGACATACCAATTGACCGGTATCATAGCGACAGAAAGAGAGATCGGAATGGCTCAGCTGCTGGACTGTATGATGCCAAATTCCAAGAGGTGGCAACCGCAAATGGCAAGAATTATAGGAAACCATCTTGCCCTGGACATCCTCTATGGTCCAGGTTGGATCATCATGGCAATCATCCTTTCTGTTGGCGTTTTTTCTAATACGTCCGCGGCAATCGTCATAATTTTTAACATCTTATCAGGTCTCGCTATGTCGTCCTTGTCGATTTTGGGAGCAGCATTTTTCAAAAAGGCTCAGCTCAGCGGCATCACTTCAGTCATCATCAGTCTCCTACTGGCCATCGTAGCTCAAGTCGCGTCAAAAGCCGGAACTGCCTCGGTTGCTATTCTTTCCTTGCTCTTTCCTCCCATGAACTATGTTTACTTCACAATATTCATGGCTCGTTGGGAGAGACAGGATCTCGCAACAAATATGGTCAAACGAGCGCCAGAGAATACATCTGCCTTGCCTGGCATTGCATTCTGGATTTTTTCGATATTTCAGATCATTGTATTCCCAATAATTGGTGCTTATGTGGAAAGGGCGTTTTATGGTACGGCATCAAAGAGCCGCAAAACCAATTATTCGGACTCGCTCACAGCAGTGTCGCTCGTTGGCTTTACCAAAGAGTATATGCCTTCACTACTTGCACGATTACGTTCATTGATAAGCCGACGTCGTCCAAAGAGTGTTCTGGCGGTTGACAACTTGACTTTAAATGCAGTGAAAGGACAGATAATGGTTCTGCTAGGCGCGAATGGGAGTGGCAAATCTACAACACTGGATGCAATTGCAGGACTGAATTCCATTACTTCTGGAGAGATTGATATCAATTACCCCGATGCCAATACTGGACTAGGATTGTGCCCTCAAAAGAATGTCCTCTGGGATGACCTGACCGTCGAAGAGCACGTCCGCATTTTCAACCGACTCAAGAGCAAGAAGCCTTCCACCAAGGGAGAAAATCTCACTCTTCTCGAGCAGTGTGATATCTCTCCGAAGGCACGCGCCCAATCAAAAACTCTCTCTGGTGGTCAGAAACGCAAACTCCAACTCGCAATGATGTTCACGGGTGGTTCGCGGGTGTGCTGTATCGACGAAGTTTCATCCGGACTTGACCCTCTCTCAAGACGGAAGATATGGGATATTTTACTTGCGGAGCGTGGTGATCGATCCATTATTCTTACCACGCATTTCCTTGATGAAGCCGAGCTACTGGCTGATCATATTGCAATCTTATCCAAGGGTTCGTTGAAAGCATCTGGAACTTCTGTAGAGCTGAAACACAAATTGGGATCCGGATATCGGGTTCATGTTTACAAGACACACGGTGGGGTTGACTTACCGGACTATGATGACATCGATCATATCTCGCAGCGTGATCAAACTGTTTATCAACTCACCAATTCCGAGCAAACTGCAAGTTTTCTTGGCCGGATCGAAGCGGCTGGAGTTTTTGAATACCAGGTTAATGGTCCGACCATTGAGGACGTCTTTCTCAAAGTCGCTGAAGAAGTAAAGAGTCCCGAAGTGGAATCTACAGCAATCACGAAGGCAATGACAGATGATAAGTTGCCTAAGGACGGCAGCCGGAGCAGTGGTGGTGATGAGCCGGCGAACAACGACCAGAAGAATACCTCCAAGCTCGTGATTCAAGATCATACACTCGCGAATGTCCCTAAATTGCTCGACGGTCGACGAATCAGTATGCCACGACAAGCCGTGGTCTTGTTCTCGAAGAGGTTGGTCGTGCTTCGGCGCAATACTCTGCCATACCTTGCTGCTTTCTTCATACCAATCATTGCAGCAGGTCTTGTGTCGCTATTCTTGAAAAATTTCCAAAAGGCAGGCTGTAGTCCGGAGGCGACAGTCGATATTTCAGATATCATCTCGCTGTCAACACAAATCGATTACCAACTAGTCGCTGGACCAAGGGATCGTTTGGGACAAGCCTCAATTCAAACATTCGCCACGTCTTTGGCTGGTAGCTCTGGAGTCGCCAGTGTTGCAGAGAACATGACGCAGCTTCTGGAGTCACTGCATCTTGTGGACACTCTAGACGAATTCAACGACTACATTGCAAACAACTTCGCCAATGTTATGCCAGGAGGTTTCTTTCTTGGAGATGAATCTGCGCCTCCAACATTTGCCTGGCGCGGGAATGGTAACATTGCCTTCTCAGTCATCATACAGAACGCACTCGACACACTCCTGACCAATGTGTCCATCTCTAATCAGTACCAGGCGTTTGATACTCCGTGGCCAGAGGATGTTGGAAAAGCACTTCAATTGATTACTTACTTTGGGCTGGCTATGGCCGTGTATCCTTCGTTCTTCGCTCTGTACCCAACTGTGGAGCGGCTGCGCAATGTCAGAGGTCTACACTACAGCAACGGAGTTCGTTCAGCACCACTGTGGCTCGCGTACACGGCCTTCGACTTTGTTATTGTCCTCGTCAACAGCTCAATCGCCATCATCATTTTCCGAGCCGTCAGCAGCGAATGGTATAACATTGGATATCTGTTCGTTGTCTTCTTCCTCTATGGCCTAGCGTCCACTTTGTTGTCATACGTGATCTCGCTTTTCTCAAGATCACAGCTGGCGGCTTTTGCATTTGCCGCTGGAGGACAGGCTGTGATGTTTCTACTTTACTTCATTGCATATATGAGTGTACTGACATATTCCCCAATCGACAAAATCGACAGCTACGTCAACATCAGCCACTTCACGATCGCATCTATATCACCAGTGGCCAACTTGACAAGAGCGCTCTTCATCGCCCTGAATATCTTCTCTCTAACGTGTCGAGGTCGCGAATATGCGTCCTACCCTGGAGCAATGACAGTCTTTGGCGGTCCAATCTTGTATCTGATATTACAATCATTTGCATTGTTTGGTTTACTTCTTTGGTGGGACTCCGGTCCATTGTTGCGCAAATTGCGCGGTAGGCAACAAGAAGAGGAAGTTGAGGAGAAAGATACCGTTGAAGCAGAAGTCTCAAACGAACTTACTCGTGTCAACACCTCCGAGGATGGCCTACGAGTCATGAATCTTTCGAAGCGCTTTGGTAAAAATCTGGCAGTCAACAATGTCACATTTGGAGTTCCGAGGAGCGAGGTGTTTGCCTTGCTTGGACCGAACGGGGCTGGCAAATCAACTACGATATCCCTCATTCGAGGCGACATTCAGCCTTCTCGCCGAGGTGGTGACATTCTGGTTGACGGACATTCAGTCATCCGCCACCGTGCTCAAGCTCGATCAAGGCTCGGAGTGTGTCCTCAGTTCGACGCTATGGACACTATGACCGTGGCAGAACATCTCAACTTCTATGCCAAAGTACGCGGTGTCACTGACCCGGCACATAACGTGGAGGCTGTGATGAAGGCGGTTGGCTTGGAGCCTTACGCTGATCGCATGGCCGCAAAGTTATCTGGAGGCAACAAGCGGAAGTTGTCACTTGGTATTGCATTGATGGGTAATCCTAGTGTGCTCCTCCTTGACGAGCCTTCATCTGGAATGGACGCAGCAAGCAAACGAGTGATGTGGCGGACACTCGAGTCTGTCATACCAGGACGATCACTTGTTCTCACCACACATTCGATGGAAGAGGCTGATGCCCTTGCTACGCGTGCTGGCATCATGGCAGGCAAAATGCTCGCTCTTGGGACGACTGAGAATCTGCGACGAAAGCACGGAGATGCGTATTACGTGCACCTGGTCCATAAGCACGCCCCGCATGCATCGGATGACGAGATGCAGCGTATCCGTGACTGGATTATCGAAAATTTCCCGGACGCAGACGTTGAGAGCAAGATATACGCTGGCCAGATCCGATTCGCGGTCCCCACAGCCTCGCTGCGCTCTAAAAGTGAAGAGGGTGGTAGCGGATCTGGTATCGCGTTATTGTTCACCGCACTGGAGAAGAGCAAGGCTGAACTGCAAATTGAATATTACAGTGTTAGCCGAGCCACATTGGATCAGGTTTTCTTGAATATTGTGGGCAAACATAATGTCGAAGAGGAAGGCGCGGAAGATCAGCGATCCACTGCTCAATCCAGTAAGAAGACGTCGGCCATTTTTTCGAGCATTCGAGGACGAATGAAGAAAGGCCAGAATGAGTGAAAGATATTCACGCCTGGGAGCTCTCGACATGCATCCTCCCACGTTCGAATAGATGTACGGCAAGCCGTTTTTGCGTAGCTACTAAGTTTGATTTGTTTTGATGTTCATCCCTGTGTACATAGTATTTTGGTCCCGAACTGTTGTAGTACTCGAAGGATTTGAAGACCTGAAATCCCATTACATTATCCGCTCCTTGTTAGAACCATCGACCACCAGTAAATCAATCACGAATGGAGCCAAACAGTCCAATAATGGGATGCCACGCGCGTTCAGAGATACCGTCGTGATGCCTGAGACTGCATAACAACCCGGGGTTGGCACACGAGGCTGTGTGACGGAGATATTGGTAAGGCAAGTGCAAGTTGTGCGGCAGTGTTTGAGATCAATGTACTCAAGGAGCCACATGCCTGCCTACCTAGTCAGATGGTTAGGTAGGGATCGTCCATCTCCGTTTCCGGCGTATTAGGCAAGTGGAAACCTGGCCAACAGCTTGAAAAAAAACAGTCAGGCCGGACTTTGGAGATACTAAGTAGCTGAACGCCTGCTGTGCAACTGTGATAAGCAGTCTGATTCGGCGAGCTTGTACTTTGTACATAGCTACGGAGTCATAGCTATCCGCTTCTAGCATAATATGCCTGTCAGGCAACATTCGGCTAGCAGGAAGTATACGAATAACAACCAGAGCTCATATGTCCTCCGGAGGCACTGAGTCATTTTGATTTTCCTGGGGGTGCTGGGTGGTAAATAAGAAATCGGGATGACATCAAAGTGCAGCACCGCATGAAATCTCGGGCGAAACACGCCCTGAGTCGGTTCGGATTGTGTCAGACTTGACATACTCGACTGTTTCACAATAGAAATTGACGAGTACGACGGCATTCCAATTGTCAATCCTTAGCCACGCAAATTCTTATGAAGCTTGGTGTGCATCATAGGGTAGAGTGAAACGAGTATGGATACCGAGTAATCAGTGTCTGTCTGCTAAATAGTAGCGTTGCGCTAACTCACGCAAAGATGTTCCTTTGCTATTAATTACTACGAGTAGGTATGGAGTCTCCGTACTCGATACAGATAAATAACAATCCCTCAGTAAGTAGTGTAGCCCTAGATCAGTCCGAGATGCCTAGAATACGGGTTCTTCTCCACGACGAAAACTCGTCCACAACTTTGAAGTAGCACATTAGAAACCAAGGGTCAGTCCAGCTCGGTGACTTCTGTTGACCCATTATCATGATCTTCCGATGAGCTCAGGCTTCTGGGCATTCTTTCACAAGGGATTTCAGTAGTAGACACCATCCACCTGTGTATCAATTACCAACGGTCCAGACTCGGAACGCAATTGCTACTCGGCCGGTACCGCCTGACTTGTTTTAATTGCACATGTGGGGTGCCCCACAGGAATTTCAAAGCACGTTATTTAACTTTCGCATTTTGATGACGGCTCGCGGCTCTTGTACTCGGTATTCTGTTGAACCTCCGTCTTCACAGACAGAAACCCGACCTGTCACTTACTCCGTAGGTGTGTAGCTTGTAGCCTCGTGAATTCAGAGCCAAAATGAGCATCAATGGCACGGCCTTATGCTCACAGCAGCTGCGACTTATTCCCTAGGTTGACGGTGCCGGCAGACCAATACGCCTGGTGGCGATCGCGGCACAGTGCCGCTCGACCCAGATACGTATCTGGAAGGTGGGACATTACTATTATCTCCAGATTTCGTATGGTCATTGATAATATTTTGTCGTGGGGGAATGCCGTCGCAGTCGGACGGATCGCTCGCTCCCACAAGATCTTTGTCTTTACAATTCGACTCCGTCCGCAAGACTGGATTGGGTTGGGCTTACTATAATCGCACGAAGCGAGATCGGAAAACTCTCCAATAACGCCAGGCACACAAGTGACAAGAGACGATCTTTTTGCCGCTTGTTGACTCATGGCTCCACAAGGATTGCCCGAGACCCTCGACAAGCCCACCGACTAATGAAATCAGTTCTAACCTCCTCTCCAGAAAAAGATTCAATGATGTTTTCTATGCTCTTTCTAACGTCGGGCTTCGACCAACTCCAAGCTCTCCCTTTCCTTCTTTCACATTGAGGTTTTGGGTCAACTCCATCTACGTGCTAATTGAGTCCTGGTCTCCTACAGAGCTCTTTCGAACGGTGCACGACTGTGGGGTCGGTCGCAATTGCATTCCGCCAAGGATTTGTCAACAATGGCCGATGCTTTCTCTAAAGAAGTTGGGCAGGAATTGCCGCCCAACTCTCAAAGACCAGGAACACAACACGACATAGAAAAAGAGCATGAGATTCGTCCAGATTTATCAGAAAAGGATGCACTAAGTTCCCTCGGATTTTCTGGTCATGGGCGACCCCCGGACAGGAGGAGGACCTCTACTGACTCACATGGCCTCCACCGAACACAGTCAGGTGTTGATGTTGAGCGTGCTGAGAAGGATTTCGCAGAACTAAGTCGAGAGTTAAGTTCGATAAGCCGGCGGATTTCGCGCACGCAATCCAGAGCCTCAGGCGTCCGAGCGAAGGATCTCGAAAAGGCTGTCAGCTCATCCGACGACACGCTCGACGGCACTTTTGACCTGGAACAGACTCTCCGTGGTGCTCGCGAAGCAGATAATGAAGCCGGTATAAAGCCAAAGTATATCGGTGTGATATGGGAAAATCTCACTGTTCGTGGTATTGGTGGTGTGAAGAACTTTGTCAAGGTATTTCCTGATGCCTTCGTCGATTTCTTCAATGTTCCCGGTACTATAATGAGCATCCTGGGACTCGGCAAGAAAGGCAAGGAGTTCGATATTCTGAACAACTTTCGAGGTGTCGCTAGACCAGGGGAAATGGTTCTTGTCCTTGGACGGCCGGGCAGTGGCTGCACGACTTTTCTGAAGGTCATTGCAAATCAACGTTATGGCTACACTGGCATTGATGGGGAAGTTTTGTACGGTCCCTTTGACGCTGCTACATTCGAGAAGCGATATCGTGGAGAAGCTGTCTATAATCAAGAAGACGACGTCCATCATCCGACGTTGACCGTGGGGCAAACTCTGGGTTTCGCACTTGACACAAAAACACCAGGAAAGCGTCCAGCTGGCCTCAGCAAATCCGAGTTTAAAAGCAAGGTCGTCCAACTGCTGCTCAAAATGTTCAATATTGAGCATACTATCAATACTATTGTCGGTAACCCGTTTATGAGAGGAGTTTCTGGTGGCGAAAGAAAGCGGGTATCAATTGCAGAAATGATGGTTACGGGAGCTACGGTCTGCGCTTGGGACAATAGTACACGAGGGCTTGATGCGTCAACGGCACTCGACTATGCAAAATCTCTGCGCATCATGACCAATATCTACAAGACTACGACATTCGTGTCGTTATATCAAGCATCAGAGAACATCTACCATCAGTTCGATAAAGTCATGGTCATTCACGAAGGACGGCAAGTCTTCTTCGGCCCAGCTGGAGAGGCACGGTCCTATTTTGAAAGCCTGGGATTCTTGGAAAAACCACGACAAACTACTCCAGATTATCTGACTGGCTGTACCGATGAGTTCGAAAGGGAATACAAAACTGGCAGATCGCCAGATAACGCGCCTTCGACCGCTGATTCTTTGGTTGAAGCGTTCAACAAATCCAAGTATGCCGAGGCGCTGTCAACAGAAATGACCCAGTATCGAGAGACAATCAAGGAAGAAAAACAAATTTACGATGATTTCAAAGCTGCTCATCAGGAAGCAAAACGAAAACATACGCCGAAGAGCTCAGTCTACTCAGTTCCCTTTCATACACAGATGTGGGCCCTAATGCAACGACAATTTCTGATCAAGTGGCAGGACAAGTTCTCCCTGGTAGTATCCTGGATTACTTCAATTGTCATTGCCATTGTCGTCGGTACGGTTTGGCTCAATCAACCTCAGACATCTGCAGGTGCATTCACTCGAGGTGGTGATATCTTCATCGCCTTACTGTTTAACGCCTTCCAAGCATTTTCTGAACTTGCTTCCACTATGCTCGGACGGCCTATTGTGAACAAGCATCGTGCCTATACATTTCATCGACCTGGTGCTTTGTGGCTCGCGCAAATCCTGGTAGATCTCGCTTTTGCAAGTGTGCAGATTTTCGTCTTCAGCGTGATCGTCTACTTCATGACAGGGTTGGCACGAACACCCGGCGCATTCTTCACATTCACACTTATCATTATCACCGGTTATCTGTCAATGACACTGTTTTTCCGAACCATAGGATGCCTGTGTCCAGACTTCGATTACGCTATCAAATTTGCCGCTGTTATCATTACGCTGTACGTCATAACGTCAGGCTATATCATACAGTATCAAAGCCAGCAAGTTTGGCTGAGGTGGATATTTTACATCAATGCTTTAGGTTTGGGTTTCGCAGCCATGATGATGAACGAATTCAAACGACTCACAATGCGCTGCACGAATGAAAGTCTCATACCTTCAGGCCCCGGATATGATAGCATCAACAACCAAGTGTGCACCTTGCCGGGTTCCGTTGCGGGTTCCGTGGAAGTCTCGGGCACTGCTTATGTGAAGACCGCATTCTCATACGATCCTGCAGATCTTTGGCGCAACTTTGGCATAATCCTCGTTCTGATCGCTGTCTTCCTGTTTACTAATGTTGTCCTTGGTGAGACTGTCAAATACGGTGCTGGAGGGCGGACCGTCACATATTTCGCCAAGGAGAACAAGGAGCGAGAAGAACTAAATCGAAAGCTTCAAGAGAGAAAACGACGAAGGCAAACCAAACAAGACGCCGGAGACAGCTCGGAGCTAAAGATTACTTCCAAGGCTATATTAACATGGGAGAACCTTACCTACGATGTTCCTACTCCTGCGGGACAATTGCGCTTACTGAAAGATATTTTTGGATATGTTCAACCGGGAGAACTAACAGCATTGATGGGCGCTAGTGGCGCAGGCAAGACAACTCTACTAGACGTACTTGCTTCGCGAAAGAACATCGGAGTTATCGGTGGAGATGTGCTCGTCGACGGACAGAAACCAGGGGTCGCTTTCCAAAGAGGCACTTCTTATGCTGAACAGTTGGACGTACACGAGGGTACTCAGACCGTGCGAGAGGCCTTACGCTTTAGTGCCGACCTTCGTCAACCTTACGAGGTGCCACGCGAGGAAAAATATGCATATGTGGAAGAAGTCTTATGTCTACTTGAGCTCGAAAACCTCGCCGATGCGATTATTGGGAGTGCAGAGAGTGGTCTCTCTGTTGAAGAACGGAAACGAGTAACCATCGGGGTCGAGCTCGCCGCCAAGCCTCAGTTGCTTTTGTTTCTCGATGAACCAACGTCCGGATTGGATTCGCAGTCAGCCTTCAATATCGTGCGATTCCTCCGCAAATTGGCCGCTGCTGGCCAGGCCATTCTCTGCACAATTCACCAACCGAATAGTGCCCTGTTCGAAAACTTTGATCGACTTCTTCTACTTCAAAAGGGAGGTGAGACAGTATACTTTGGTGACATCGGAAAGGATGCGCATGTCCTACTTTCCTATTTCCGCAAATATGGTGCCAACTGTCCTCCAGACGCTAATCCGGCAGAATGGATGCTCGACGCTATCGGCGCTGGGATTGCTCCACGAATTGGAGATCGTGACTGGGGCGAGATCTGGCGGGCGAGTGAAGAACTCGCCTCGACGAAAGCTGAAATTGTCGCAATGAAAACAAGACGTCAACAGGAGGTCGCCAGTGAATCTAGTCTGGATGAAAAGGAATATGCATCACCCCTGTGGCACCAAATCAAAATTGTATCGTCGCGAACCCATTTGGCGTTCTGGCGCTCACCAAACTACGGGTTTACACGACTTTTCAATCACGTTGCCATCGCATTGCTTTCTGGTCTCGCTTTCCTCCAACTGGATGACAGTCGTTCGAGTCTCCAATATCGCATCTTCGTTATTTTCCAGGTTACAATCATCCCAGCATTGATTCTTGCTCAAGTCGAGCCCATGTACGACCTCTCACGATTGATCTTCTACCGTGAATCTGCCGCAAAAGCATACAAGCAATTCCCATTCGCCTTCGCCATGGTTTGTGCTGAGATGCCCTACAGCCTTCTCTGCGCCGTTGGATTTTTCATTCCAATCTACTACTTGCCAGGCTTCAACAACTCGTCGTCTCGTGCTGGCTACCAATTCTTCATGGTATTGATCACTGAGCTGTTCTCCGTGACTCTCGGTCAGATGATCGCAGCCGTTACACCGTCAAGTTTCATCTCGAGTCTGATCAACCCATTCATTGTCATCACCTTCGCTCTATTCTGTGGCGTTGCAATTCCGAAACCACAAATCCCAGGCTTCTGGCGCGCATGGCTATATCAACTCGATCCGTTCACGCGTCTTGTCTCAGGAATGGTCACCACCGAACTTCACGGCCTTCCTGTCGTTTGCCGTCCGAAAGAACTCAATTCTTTCCCGGCACCTTCCGGACAAGACTGTGGTTCCTATATGGCCGAATTCTTCGACAATGGGGGCTCCGGATATATCGTCAACAATGCAACAGATTTGTGCCAGTACTGTGCGTTCAAGGTCGGCGATCAGTTCTACCGTCCTTTTGAACTGAACTTCGACGACCGGTGGCGTGACCTCGGCATCTTCACCGCTTTCATCGCCAGTAATCTGTTCTTGTTATTCTTGGGGAGCAGATATTTAAATTTCAATCGTCGCTGATTTCGTTTGATTTGAATGGGTCATAGGAGCCATACCAGCGCATGGTCCATACTTGATTAGAAGGCGGATCTCAGGAACCAGCGCTGACGTTAGCAACTTGAAAGACATGCATTAGTTCAAAGCATTTTCGAAACTTTAGCGAGCTGCTACTGGTGAGCAGTAATGGCATCAAGAGATATTTCTTTCTTCTTCATGGGCAAACATAGGACCATATTTGTATCCACCAGATGGCAGAATTCGTCACGACATACACCCGCAGAGATGGGTCCCGGCCTTAATCTTGGGTGTCTTACTTTGTGGTTCAATATCTGATGGATGGGAAAACATCTGAACCTGGGTTGCAGAGGCAAGGAGGATTCCTAAACCTTGGGGGACATTAACGACGGGATAGGGCACCGCATCTCCCTGTTTGTCGGGGTAATTGTTTACCGATGTACTCGGTGTATACTTACCAATGGAGTGCCGCGCACCTATCTTCCGGGGTACGAAATACCTAGCTAACTAACTGGCTAGCTAGTTAGATCGCCGAGCTAATTAGGATGGTCACAAGTTATCTTAGTTGAACGAGAGTATGCGATCACCTTTCCTTCTTAACCCAGCATAACTTTAGCCTCCCTACATCGCAGATGAACACGAACTTCGAAAAAGCGCCAGAAATGACAAAACACCTCAGTCACAGGCTCTGTACCTCTCTTCCAGAAGCCCTCGGGCGTTCTTCCCTGAACTGGTCAATGCATTGATTGCATAGCAGGTACTAGTTAAGCATCTCTTTCTGCGCCAAACATAAACCACCAACCCCGGGCTTGGTATCTCCCGGTGCTAAGCACCCAATGCTACTCTGCAGATTGACCGGAATGGGCAATACTCGAGGAAGTGAGTTTGCTGATGCATTATTTTGCATCCGGGTTCTAGAACACGGCCGAAGCACCCCCTGTCCTTTTGAGAAAGCTATGCCAGATTCCCCAGACTTTGTCTCACTCCCTACCCCATAGGCTGTGGCCCGTTTGACGACCACATGTCGTGATCCTTGGCCTATTCTTGTCAACGGACGGTACATATCAATCTCCGCAATGCTTCAGGCCACCTCGGTCAGAACACATCTCAGACGACCACCACACATGCAGCTCCTCTCTGGTCACTGCCGCTGAGATGGCCTGCCTAACTTTCCGGGGGCATCCGCCCGCACCTCGGTCCATCCGCCAACTCTTGTTCGGGTCACCCTATCGATGCCAGACTTCTTAGCCTCGTTAGTGGCTGGATATCTTCAGGCTCAGATGCTCATCCCCGGACAAACAGGGTTGCAGTAAAGAGAAATCCCACGAGACATTGAGCACATGGCCCAGTTGACGATGGGAGATTCAAGAGCTTTTCAAACGCTGGCGTGCCCTCAGGCCATCTGACCTCGCTAAAGCTCTCATCCCGAAGAAGGCTGTACTCGAGCATGGACCCAACCTTCGATACGAGCTTATCAGGGGTGTCAACGGTACAGGGACGCCGAAGATTCGTTCGCTAATGGCGAGACTGCATTCACCTGGTGCAAAATTCTTCCCGAGCAGCTTGTCGGCAATTCAATTTCGGAATCGTTCCTCACCTTGGCCGTGCTATAGCTGTCTATGGTTATTCTGGAAAGCATGGACTTCTTGGAAGACAGGCCTCTTCGGATCCGAGAAGGACTGCCTCACGATCTATAAGAGCTTCCAAGGATACGCCATGGGAGGATCACATCACCTCACATCCACCCACCTTCGGCGTGTTCAAATATTAGCAATCTTCAAAATGGACAACAACAACCAGGCATCAGAAAAAGATCTCGAGCAAATTGCTAGTAAGGAAGAAGCAATCGGAACAGAGATCACAATCGGAAGTGATAGCGATGGACCTTCAGGACGATTCACTGCAGAGCAGACCAAGGCTCTCCTTCGGAAGATCGACCTCCACATGATACCGTACCTTTCTCTCCTATATCTTCTCTCATTCTTGGAGTAAGCAGCCCATCCCATGGACATCATATTCTTCTCGGACTACAGTCGCTAACCACTCACCGTCCAACTGTAGTCGCACGAATATCGGCAATGCGAAATTGTTTGGACTGGAGAAGTCGCTGGGTCTGAAAGGCAATCAGTACAATACAGCACTATGTAAGTTGAACGAACAGTGTCTTTTGGCTCTTAAAACTGACGCTTTGGTATAGGTGTATTCTGTATGTCAGATAATATAAATACGTCACTTCGTCAACTTATGTGTCCTTAGTTGTTACCTATGTTCTCTTTGAGGTTCCATCAAACATGTAAGCCATTTGCTTGCGCTTATTGGGCAGATAATAACCCTGGGCAGGATCTTGAAGAGATGGCGAGCATCCATGTGGTTCCCTATCATGATGATAGGTGAGAGAGCCCCTTGCAAAAGAGCCACTCAGCAGCTAATTCTCCCTCCGTAGCATGGGGAGTTGTGATGACATTGATGGGGTGAGTGCTAGATATTGATGCGATCGGCCATATCTCTAACACCTTTTATTAGTCTGGTCCAAAGCTTCGAGGGTCTCGTTATAGCCCGTGTCTTTCTTGGACTGGCGGAAGCAGGCCTTTTCCCCGTAAGCTATGATCAACGATGTCAACACGGCAGGACCAAGTCTAACTAATTAACCTTGAACTAGGGAGTCACGTTCTACATCACATTGTGGTATCGTCGCCGTGAATGCGCATTTCGAGCTGCGATATTCTTCTCCGCAGCGACGATTGCAGGAGCCTTTGGCGGTCTCCTAGCCCGAGGAATAAACGAAATGAACGGCACAGCTGGAAAGCCAGGCTGGGCTTGGATTTTCATTCTCGAAGGGATAATAACGGTGGTTGTGGCTTTCAGTGCATTCTGGTTCATCTACGACAGCCCTTCAACCGCCAGATTTCTGACCAAGGAGGAGAAAGAAGAAGTCACGTACAGACTGGCACATGACACTGACGGACTTGCCGATTACTACGATATCAAGTTCTTGTATGCTGCCTTCAAAGATTGGAAGATCTGGCTGCAATGCTTGTGAGTGCTACATTTTGCCTGGATGCCGGAAAAGGGGCTAATCTCAACCCATCATAGCACATACCTTGGCATGGTGACACCTGTATACTCCTTTTCCCTATTCTTGCCATCCATCATTGCGGCAATGGGATATTCAGCTGCTCGATCACAGCTTCTCACGGTGGTTAGTATTTCTTTTTCTTGTTCAGAAGCGATACTCACAAGTTGATCCTTAGCCACCTTATGTCTTCGGCTGCTTAGCCACGATCGCTGCAGGATATTTCAGCGACAAATACAACAAGAGAGCCCCGTATGTTTTTGCTCACTGGTGGTGGTATACGTTCTTGAATGCGTACTGACGGCAACAGTTTCCTCCTCTTTCACGGCAGCATCGCTCTTATCGGCTACATCCTGCTTATCGCCACTCACGTCCCAGGGGCACAATATACCGGCACGTTCTTGGCTGCTTCAGGGGTGTACGTACAATTCGGCCTCGACCATACCATTCTGCTAATGCGGTCTCAGGTACCCGATGATCCCTATCTTGGTCATGTGGAACGGCAACAATGTTGGCGGCAGTGTCAAGAGAGGTGTTGCCATTGCCATGCAGGTCGGCACTGGCAATTGTGGTGGTATTGTTGCTTCGTTCATGTTCGTCGCTGAGCCAACCTCCCCTTCACGTAGATCTGCTAACACGACATTAGCTACCGGAACCAAGATAAACCACGCTATCTAGTCGGCCACGGCGTCATTATTGGGTAAGTAAAACATCTCCATAATGATGGGAGATGGGAGGCACCGAGCCTTGCTATATCTTCTAATTTCTCTCCTCATGCTAATGCTAAGATGCTGCGTATAGATTCATCTCTATGACCCTTATCCTCACAGTGTTCCAATATTTCGTCCTCTCGGCCATTAATCGCAGACGCGATCGAGACAACCCAAAGCCAGAGGAATACACCCAGGAAATGAAGGACCAGGAGAGAGATCTCGGTGACGATGCAAGCTTTTTCCGCTTCACCGTCTAGACATTGAAGCCAGAGCAAATGAAGTGTCATTGGCCAGTATATTGTAATAGGACAAATGAATCGTGATATCTGGCATTTATGAGGCACGTGATATGGCGGGCAAGGCAGAACAGGAGCACGAGACTCATAGCGGGGATGGCGGAGATTGTGTGTGCAGAGTAGCACCTTCGTGAATCCATCATTGATAATCAATATTCACAAGTAAACACGCATGAGTTGATCATTCCACTCGCAAGCATAGAGCAGTAAGGATAATAATTAGTGCATGTAAATATTTGTTGTTTATCACTATCAGCCACCCATCAGGCATTATGATAGTGTGCGGTTGGGGCCGAGGGCGGATGAACAGAGTACTCTAGCTAGGACCACCGCTACCTAGTTTCCTTCCACGTATGGTGATGGCACCTTTGTTTTAGTATATATGTTTAGCTATATTTCCTCAGACTGCTAAGTTCAACGTCAACAGCTAACTAGCTAGTTTATATTGGTATTCTGTGTCCCCTATCTATGGACCAGACGGAGTTATTGTGTTCTTGGGGAGGTATGAGGTGGTTAACAGAAAAGAAGTTACCCCGCTATGCCCGCTTTCTGCTGGCTACATTGACAGATACAGAACTACTAAGTACGGTTTGGACATTATTCACTTTCATATTGTGCAGCAGTCGAATCATGAGCCATGAAAACCCCCAAGAGCTCCATAACGCACACTGGACTTACGGTGCTTTATCATCCTGACGGAACCGAGCCTAATGTAGAGTAAGTATCGAATCTTGGTATTGCTGCACAAGGCTGACTCGACCCCTCGCAAGTATTGTCTTCGTGCACGGTCTCAAAGGCCACCCGCGTAAGACATGGGAAGTTGCGAATCAAAGCCTATCGCCGCAGTCCGCAGACAGAAGTAAACACAGCGGCTTTTCAATCTTTCAACGCAGGCGAAGCAGGTCGCAAGATGTTCGAGCTGGGGGTGAAAGTGGCCCTGCCACTTCTGAAGAATCATCGGACACAACAGTATTCTGGCCTTTGGATCTATTGCCGTCAGATTGCCCTACCGCTCGAATACTGACTTTCGGATATGATACCCAAATCACTAAGGGATATGCTGCCACAGATAAGAGCAGTATCTTTTCCCACGGCAGGGATTTCCTCCTCGAACTGTCCAGAGAGAGAGGTGGCTCAGGCCGGCCTTTGATAATGGTTACGCACTCCCTTGGCGGGATAGTTGTGAAGGAGGTAAGTGACAAGTATATCCCATAATCCATTTATGCCCCTTGTCGAAAAGGCAGATGAACGCGTGTCTAATGGAGCTTGAGACGATGATCTGATCCACTTCCGCAGGCTCTTAGAGAATCTGAGATTTCAGACAAACCTGACCAACAAGACATTCTCAATTCGACCGCAGCTGTGGTTTTCTTTGGGACGCCACATCGAGGTAGCGGGATGGCCGGAATTGGACATGACATTGCTAAAGCTGCAGGCTTTTTATTGAGGATAGACATTAACGACCAGGTCTTACGCGCACTCGACCTAGACAGCCCTCAAATCGAGCTATGCAATCGGTCTTTCATACATCAATGGAATAAGTGGGCGTTCCAAGTCAAAACGTTCCAAGAATCCAACGCTCTGACAGGGATTAATTTCGGCCGCCTTAATGAAAAGGTACGTTCTGATAATTCCGTTGCTTATATGAACGCTCAATTGTTATCCGACATACAATCACATAGTACTGAGACGCTTTAGGTCGTGTTGGATATCTCATCATCATTCGGCGATCCTCGAGAAGACACTGAGAAAATCCAGGGAAATCATCGGGAAATGTGCAGGTTTGTGGGAAGCCAAGATCCAGGCTATCGTAAAGCTGGCCCTGAAATAAAACGACTGGTCAAGGATGCATTGACAAGGCAGTCTAGCAGAACCTCAACTCAAACGGAGGTACTCATATGATTGTCGATGAATGTTCAGCTCAATTTCGACTAATGATATCAAGGCATCAGAGTTTGCTCTCCTCTCCAGAAGTCCACACTTGGCTCGTATGCGCCTCTCCCCTACTCAGCAGCACTTTAATGACAGATCATAATAGGAGAAAACCCAGTAACCGGATCACCCACGGAAACCCTAATCGAGTTGGAGCAGAGGAAAAAGGAAGAAGAAGAGTTGAAACGTAAGGAGCGGGAAGAGCTCATCGAAAAGCAGAACGGTGTGTCCCATAGCCTAACTTCAGATCCCCAATATCTGACTTCGAACAGCATGTCTCCGTTCCTTAGCATTTCCGGAGCTATGGGACCGTGAAAGGGATGTAGAGACGGCACTTGCTGACACCTGTGAGTGGCTGTTCCGTGAACCTTTTTTTCGCTCTTGGATGCACACCGAGAGTGATGGAGTTAGCCCGCGTCCAAACTTGTTATGGATCAAAGGGAAACCTGGCGCTGGAAAATCAACGTTGATGAAAGCAGCTTTTCATCGTGCAAAGAAGGAGATGAATCCGGCCTCGACTAATGTCGCAGGATTTTTCTTCTCCTCCAGACGCAACATTGAATTGGAACGAACACTCCTCGGCCTGTTGCGCACACTGCTACATCAGCTTCTCCAGGCAGATGAGAATCTCATGGCCAATTTCTTAGAGATCTACACAAGGCATAGCGACAACATCGGCTCTGGCTGGCAGTGGCACATTTCCGAGTTACTCGACTTTTTTAGCGACAATTTCAAACTGGGCGAATCCAGGACTAAAGAAACCTACGTATTCATTGACGCCTTAGATGAGTGCGAGCCCAATGAGATTCAGCGGGCGGCATATTTCTTCCGAGATCTCTCAGCCAAACCCAATTTTCATGTCTGCCTTTCCAGTCGCCACTTCCCTCATATCAAACTAGAGAATGCTCTTGAAATTGTGGTTGAAGAGGGCAACTCAGATGACATTGCTGTGTTTATCAGAAAATCCCTTGCGCAAGCCGACTTTCCTCAACAGGATCTGGAAGAACGAATCATTAAGAAGGCTTCCGGAGTCTTCCTTTGGGTAGCACTTGTTGTGGACATATTGAACAAAAACATCAATAATGGTGAACCTGAAGAGGACATCTTGATGGTTTTGAACAGCGTACCAGACAAACTCGATGATCTGTTCAAGGAGCTGTTTACAAGCTTCACAACGAATGACAAAAGTCGACAAAAGATCGAATGCGCCAGAGCCGCAAATCTTATTCAATGGATGCTTCTCGCTGCACGACCTTTGAGGTTAAAGGAACTTCATCAAGCTCTGGCTTTCTCTTCCGATCCACCGATGACTTCCTTCTCTGAATTCTTTTCTGCGCCTGGCTATTTTGGAAATTACAGAGCATTCCAAAAATACATCAGGACCTATTCCAGAGGCCTTGTCGAAGTGTCCAGGGGCGGATTTGTGGATTTCTGGCTGTGGCTTAGTGATCGGAGGTTGGTTGGAGATGAACCTTGGGAAGCGCCTGGTTATACCATTGTTGATGGCGTTGCCAGCAGTTCAGAAACTGCCCCACTCATCAACGTACAAAATACGCCTTGCGGTGTTCCCAAGAATGTGTTGAAGTGTGCAGGAATCCTTCTTAGATCGTCTAGCAACTACCCTGATATAACAGGAGTAGAACGGGATCTCCTCTACCAGTTGGAGGAACAACTAAAAAAGCCCCAAGGTGAAACACAAATATCTGGTCCTGCAGATTGGAGTTCAGTACCGCACAGAGAACGTCAGAGACTCGCATCTCACTTCCAATCGCTCTCCCTCGACAACGCCGAGAGTTTACACTCGAGATACACAGCTCTCAATAGAATCAGACAGCGTTATCCCTCTTTTCAGCCTATTCTCGACCAGTACTTCGACATGGAATACGACCGTCAAATTGTGCAAGTTATTCACGAATCTGTCAGAGAATTCTTTCTCTATGGACAGGGCTTTACAATCCTCGATAGATCTGCGATGGGTGCGAACATCATACGGCGACAGGCTATACTTACTGCCGCTTGTGTGAATTGTGTGGGTGTGACCGAACTGCAACCTCTCGAAGATAACAACAACTGCGATTTGTCAGTATTGGCTTCCCCTGCCGCAAGCCTCTATCGCACACGCCACGAAGCCATACGTGAGACTGGATCCCAAAAGCAACTGTCGGGGAAAACACTATCCGTCTGGATCAATCGAAACGCATATGCCTTCGTGAACTATTCAGTATGGAACGTTTTCCATCACAGTGATAGGGTTGAGTTGTCTGATATCGAGGGCAGTACTCTACTCCATGCGCTACAGAGGCGAGATACCTTCTGGTTGAGGTATATGGCACTTCAATTCCCAAACAACGTTGATGAACGCATGACACCGTTGTATCTAATGTGTGAGAAGCGCTCCATGATATTTGTTCGCGAGCTACTACAAGCAGGTGTGGATCCAAATGAGAAGGGTGGAAGATTTCGCTATCCCATTATTGCTGCCATGGCTACGACGTCCTCCAGAGCGCAAAGAGATTATTTCAAGGGCGACAAGGCAAGCCTATTAGAAGGCCTGATTCGCACGCTATTGGAGTACAGGGCAGATCCAAATCTGAAAAGCAATTCCGGAGAGTCTGTGTTGCATTATGCTGTCGCGACGGGCAACGCAAAAGTCGTGGAGCTGCTCGTTGAAGCCGGGGCACTCGTGGATGCTTCTGACAGCGAAGGCCGCACGCCACTCCACGAGGCTGCTTGCTTTCCCGCTGTTGCCATCACCAATTGCTTATTGTCGCATGGTGCGCAGCTTCAAGTCGTCGACGCGGATGGTAATAGCCCCCTCCACCTTGCAGCGAAGAAATCCAGTCTCGAAGTCGTACAGAGTCTACTGAAAGCAGGTTCACACCTCACTCTGCGCAATAGACAAGGCGCCCGTCCCCTTGATCTGGCTGCGGAGAGTGGACGACCTGAGATTTTGGAATACCTCTGCTCCCTTCCGGAAGAGCAAGGATCGGAGGAAATGCAATCAGACAATCCCACTCTGCTACATCTGGCGGCCGAAAATGGAAATTTGACCGCGATCAGAGCCCTGCTCACAAGCGGAGCAGATAGAGACGCACGCGACCGAGATGGGCGGACAGCTTTACACGTTGCAGCATTTTGGGCTCAAGTCGACGCAGTTGGCCTTCTTTCTGGATGCGGGAATACCGACGCCAAAGACGTAAACGGGCAAACGGCTTTGCACTTGGCGGCCAAATCAAGCGAGGAAACTTTGGCGGCATTGCTCTCTGCTGGCGCAGATGTTGACGCCATCGACAACGATGGTCGTAGCCCTTTACACGTTGCGGCCAAAGATGGGACGCTAGGCACGTTCGGTAGATTACTCGATATCGGCGCGAATACAAAGATCCGGGATAAGAATGGACGATCAGCACGGTACTATGCACAAAACCGTAGGAGTATATGGCTTCTTTTACCTGATAGTTACAAATTAATGCTCTGAAGAGGAACGACGTGGCCAATACACAAGCCGAACCCTTTCTTAACATATATTCATAATCTAACCGAATCAGAATATCAAAGAGAATTAGAATAATTTATATCTGCTAGACATGTATAGGTCTATGTCGAAAACGTCAGGACTTGGCTGAGGATATCTCTCTCCTCGAGAGTCAACTTAACCTCTCTGTTTCACTATTCGACTTCGGGGGTTTCGCCAGTAGGTGGCCATCATTATGCACCAATGGCTTGACGCCTGTAGTGATGACACTTCCCTGCTCTTTCTGACCGACCAGGCTCGAGGTTTTACGATGCCAGGACAGTTTATCACGAGGTGAATGAAGATAATTAGGGTATAACAAGGAAATACGTATTGCTAGCTAGATAGAAACTCTAGAGTACAGTGCCAACAATCTCCCCAGAACGCCTTTGCACAAAATCAAAAGATCCCAACCTACATACTGTGGAATTATGATCTCCTTCCCCACTGCTTTGAGGTAAGCTTTTACTTCGCCGCATGAGCTGGTCACGTCGTAGCTGGGGAATTTCCGAGCTTGAAACTGACCTGAACTCCGTGCTGAGTCCGTAGATGTCTCTGGACAGCGTCCGCCCTGGTGGATGAGTACTTGCAGAAGCGGCACTTGACTGCATCCTTGGATTTTGCCGATGGACTGTGGCGGGATTTCATGTGACGATCACAGCCTCGCTTTTCTGCAAATGAAGCATCGCAGCCCGGGATGGAGCACGAGTACGGCTTGGTATGTTTGAGCATATGACGGTTCAGTTCGTGTCTCTTTTCGAATGCTGCCGAGCAGAAACCGCACTGGTGGCCAGCCTTTGAGGATGATAGGCTTGATGTAGTTGACAGGTAGTTGTCGAGTTCTGGGAAGAACTGCGTGGTGTCGTAGTCCATGATGGGGGCGTCAACTGGAAAGAGAGTGAAGTCATGATTGAAGTCGTATTCGTCGAGGTAGGATGGATTGTTCAGGATTTCCCAGTCGAGCTCAACCCTGGGAGAGGTAGAGCTTTGGAACGCCATGTCTAGCGAGGCGTTGGAATAGGTCGTGGAGAATGGAGAGGTTTGAGGGATCTGATGATGGGTTGCTGCTAGGCAGCCCATCTGATTTTGTGAAGCCATAGTGTTTGTAGTGGGGGTCCAACAGAGGTCAACCGACGTGTTTTCTGGACCCTAGCGCTGAGGAGTATGGTGTGGATTCGAGGTCTGGGTATTCGCTGTCCCAGGAAAAGAAGTTGTTCACGGAAGAGATGTATGCCACTGTGCTGCGCGTAGGCGTGCCCGGTGGCGGATTCGAAAGCAGAGTACTGAAGGTTTAGTACTCTTATGGGTTGTCATGCTGACAGCGCTGTCGTTGACTGATTCGACTTCGTGGGTGATGGTCTTTTCCATTTCATGGGTGTTGTGATTTTGATGACGGATGGTCTGAGCTGAAACGCTTCCTGCTGAGTCTTCCTGACGGAGTTTGTGCAGGTGCAAAAGCTCCATGATACGGGGCAGATAGAAGGAAAGATGTTCCCTCTTATCCTCTTTCGTCTGCCACCAGGATTGCTCTATGGTCGAACATGAAGGCCTTATCCATGAAGGGGAGCTGGCCATATCTTTCCTAACGGTCAATCTATCTGTTCTCGTGATAAATATATCCGAGTGGGGATTTTCGGGTGGGGAAATAGATTGGTGAACGTCCAAGCCCTTCCACAACAGCTGCCAGAACGAATCATTGTCAGCAGCATGAGGTTTTCTGCCAACAAAGCCAACAATAGCAATATTGGGCTCGCGCTTCGACTGCTGTAGAATCTGTTGACTCTCTCCATCTGACATCGTAGACTTCACATCTAAGACCGGTACTTGATTTGGCAAAGGGACATGCTGATACTCGGATGAGGATCTAGATATCTTAAACAGCCATGTTCGCCAATTGTCGACACGGCCACCAGATGTCTATACTCCGGTTAGTTCCATTAACAGGAAACGACGAAGCCTTAAGTGATTTAGTAGCCCTCACCTCATACCCCAGATCTGCCTTGAAAATAGTACTGAGGACTGCAATGTTCATCTCCCTGGAAATCATTCCACCTGATGATTCAGCCATTTGCCTTGGGCAATGGCGTGGTTAGTTGTGGGATCAAAATCGGAAAACTGAAAGGGCAACAAAATGGAACACGTTGTAAGCAAAAACACACTAGAGAAAGAAAGGTGAGAGAAGAGAATCCAAGGCAACAAGGCTGGGAGGGAGTGTTGGGCTTTTTCAAGGGACGTGAGTCAGGCGGGGTGTCGATGATACCGATTAGAAGCGGGGGCGCAGCAACTCTCAGCCCCTTCGTTAAGCCCATTTATTGGTTGTAGACAGGCGCCCCTAGGATCCACGTTGTCGGCCACAAAATAGTGGAGTCTTCTGACGCTCAGACTGTCAGTCCATCCCCTCATCTTCTTCGTGTGGTCTCGATTCTAACTACTTCACTCTTTGATTTAAAGTCAGACGCACCAAGATACACTCAAGTCCATTGGACTATTGATGCAGGCCAAGGGCTGTGTGTGTATGCTCTACCTGCATCGAACACCCAATTGATAATATGCCTAACTAGGTGTCTACCACAAACATTGAGCCAGGCATACTGGGGTGAAACTCCTCCTTGAATAAATTCGGCACGACGCAGCACATTGTGCGAGCTAGTACAGGTACCAAGTTACTTGGTGTCCTGCCTTCGAGAATGCCTTCTCACCTCAGGTTTCTCATTCCGGCGAGGTGTTGGAGCAGGAGCACGACACCTGTACATTCCTGTCACGCCCGGAGTTGGCGCGCTTTACGCGTTCAGCCCCATTCTATGCGCCATGTCATCGTCCACCACTGTGAGCCGACCCTTATTGCCAGTAGGAATTCCAAGATTCCACAGCGTTGCTTCTGCGCTGCCCAATATTGAAGTGAGAGCAAAGTTCCATGGACTCGTTGCTGTTAAGGTATTGAATCCTCATGCGACTTCCGGCGAAACTTAGGTAGAGTATTTCTCTCGTCGCTCGCAATCCTGCAGTATGAAACGCAATGCAACCTGCTCGAGGTTTTGGTGTGCCGAGTACTGCTACTTAGACAACGTTTTCAGTATGTCTTTGGGTGGACAAAGCAGTCGTCCGAAAACGGCCATTAAGAGGACAGGCTTCAACAGACCCAAATTTGTACAAAGAGCTTCTCCCAAACGTACAATATGCTAGCTTCAAATCATTCCCTTTTCAATTGTCACCTATCTATCTCTCAAGTAGAGCGTTCCTATCTGATCTTACAGCTATGAAAACCGGCCCTATAGCCTGGTTGTGCGCTTTGGTGCTATTGCCACATTCCAAGGCTGAATCTAGCACTACTGCAGCAACCTCAAAGAATGTCCCACTAACAACATGGACTGCTGAGCTTCAATTCCCAACAGCAGCCTTTGACTCTTATTACCGAGAGCCATCTCTGGAGCAGCAAGTAAGTTTTGTCTTGAGTCTTGCTTCTTCAAGATAGTAGTAGCTGATTGTTGGAGCCACAACCAATCGTACACAATGTACTCAACAACAAATCCTTTTCCAATGACATCGCAGACCCAGCACATGTTAACGACATTGTGCCAAATCAAGTGAATTTTCCTGATCCATATCCCCTTCCGGAGAACAAGGATGCAACAGCATTGTTTTATCAGTCAATCGATACTGCAGCCGGCATCATCAATGGATCCGCTGGTGTTGAGGGAGGATGTACGAGATGTCTCGCAGCCATCACTGCCGCTCAAGTTCTGGCTCGTGCTGCGCCCAACAATTTCTCCGATGCAGCCATTCGGCTGTGCAAACTAGTCAAGTTCAAGCCTGATGATGATTGCGAGCGTGACTATGCAAGACATTTACCCGAAGTTACAGTGTGGGCCCAAGTTCTGCAGGCTGCAAATTTGTTCGAGAATGACGGTCAGTTTATCTGCAACAGTATGTTCGGACAAAGTTGGTGTGACAAACCTGAGGCGAGGGAGATGAAACTCAATTTTAGCACTGAGAAGCCTGCAAATGCAACCGCTCCACCTCCAAGTGGACAGCGTGTAAAGGTTTTGCACCTCTCAGACCTCCATCTTGATCCCCGCTATACGGTCGGCGCTGAAGCAGTAGACTGTCCTTCCGTTGGTTGCTGCCGGCCAGACCCAGACAACAAAATCGAGATTCAGCACCCAGCCCCTCTAAATGGTCACCCAAATTGTTATACTCCACTCTCCCTGCTCACATCGGCATTATCGTCAGTCGCGCCACTTATTGGGAAGGATTCGACGGCTCCAGGCACTATTGAGTGGACTCTGTTCACTGGAGATGTATTGCCTCGTGAAAAGGCGAAATTTCGAAATGATGAATACCTTGGGTTCGTTCAATCCACTGTTTTCAAGACCCTGAAATATTTCCTTCCCCAGAGTCCGGTGTTCCCAGTATTGGGTGCTCTAGACGCGTTCAATGAGGAACCATCGATACGACACCCTCTGACTGGGGCGATGAAGGATTTGCAGTCCCAAAACTACGACCGTATGAAGGCCATCATTGATGCTAATCAATGGCTTGGTAAGGATGAAAGCGCTGCAATAGGACCTCATCATATGGGCTACACAGCGTTGCACCCCAAGTATCCGAAATTACGAATTATCGCTTTGAATACTAATTTCTGGTGGCTACAACACTATTATAACTATGTCAACACTACGACTCCCCAGGACTCGATAATCCTGTCAGATTTGATCGGCTGGCTTCTGCTGGCTGAGAAGGCTCAAGAGCGAGTTTGGATTGTGGGTCATATACCTCCTTTCGCCGAACAATCCCTTCCAGATCATTCAGGGGCATTCTATCAAGTTGTGGAACGATTCACACCCCATGTCATTGCCGGTATCTTCTTTGGCCATCAACATACAGATTCTGTGACCATTTTCTACAAGGCTGGAGGTACTGATGTGACCAAAGAGGGCAAGGTGGCCATTGCTGCTTGGCTTGCACCTTCCCTGTCTCCAAAAAATGGAAACCCGTCATATAAAGTGTACGATGTTGACACCGGTGATTTCGGAATTTATGAATCGCGGACATTTTTCACGAATGCTTCGACCCTAGCGACTGCATCTGCGACAGAACCGAATGCAGGTACCGATTCAGAAGACAGCCAAGGGCCTGATTCGTCTGGCTTAATATGGGAACTTGGTTGTGATGCTAGGCAAGTATATGCAAAAGCAAGCAATTGGCCTTCGACAAGCGCTCTCAATGGGGCATTCTGGCACAGAGTGGGAAATGCGATGTTGAAAGATACAGCTTCCCCCAACAACAATCTGGCAGCAATTTACCATATGTACAGATCCACACGTGTCGATGGCAAAGATGTGACAGGAAATTGCGATGAAGCATGTGTGCAAGCTACTGTTTGTCGGATGAGAGCAGCGAAAGAAGCTCTCTGGAACAAGTGCGGTAGTGACGAAGTCACAAAGAATGAAACAGGAAGCAATGGATCCACCTCTAAACGAAGTGAGGGCTCGGCAATCGATCTTGAGATCGATATATTTATTGACCCCAATGATCCCGACATTGCTTCCAGTGGCAATCAGCCTCACGCGGAAAAGAGATGGAGGTTAGGCTTTTGGTCAAAGACGGGCGCCATGGCTGCCGGATTCGCTGGTTCTGCTTCACGCCGCGCAGCCACTCAGAAATCTCAAACCCAGGGACAGTCTCTACTATCTACTGCATCCGACTATAGCACTCAAATAACAACCGTTACAGGGACCTTGACGAGCACCGTTACTATTGGATCAGAGAACGGTGAATCTAGTTCCATTGCCAAGCGAGCTGAGGATACAGATACTGAACATGATGTGCCGCTGGAGGCTCGTGGTGATTCTAGTAATTATGGTAATTTTGGAGACTACAAATTTACGAGTGCAATTTTGGGAGCATCGACAGAAGCAATGACAGGCCTGTGGGGTGCTGAACAGCATTCGGATTTGCAGACCGAGGTTGAAGGACACCAGTCCACAGGTTATCAGATACTCAACCAAGTTACATCTGCATTGAAGGGACAGTCTACTTGGACGGTAATCAGTGGGAGTGGGGCCACTACTATGGCGCCTAAAGCCAAAAAAAAGCCTAAGCGTGCAGAGGAAACATGGTCGCAGGACAGGAGTCCAACGGACGAGACTTCCACAGAGTCTGGAGACAGTGATTGGGAAGACAGATCGGTACCTGAGCAACCTGAAGGCCATGGTGAAGAAGCTCAAATGCTCACGGACGGCGCGGGGATTGCAGACCGGCCACAGTCTAAGAGATCCCAGGCTCCTGCAGATGCCCCGGACACTACAAAAACGTCTTCACCAAACGTACCTACTAATGAGGCTTCGGATGAAGGGCCAGAGCCGTCTCGAGATTTCCCTATTTATAGGCCGGATGAATCCCTGAATGGCCAGATACTGCGAAGGCGACCTGCCTCAGACAGTGATCCTGGGACACCCAACACAGCAACCCAGGCAAACTCTCTCACTGAGTATCAGGCGATTCCCGACATTACACCAACCCCTTTCCCAGATATAGATGACTACAATGACCTTGAAACTCTGTCAACCGGTATTGACATGATTAACCGAAGAGATGCAAACCGCAAACCAGGATGTGTGTCTATGAAATCGTCATCAATCTGTTCTGGGACCAAGACTTATGTGGAATACACGCCTGAGCAGAGGCAACAGATTCTCAAGGCTTATCAGGAGGCCTTTACTGGTGGTAAATCGGTTTACAACAACCTCATGAAGACGATGTCACGAAAGACAACATCGCGATGGTCGACCTGGACGGAAAACTTTTCTGCACCAGCCTCGAAACGAGACTATGACATCCCTGGATGCACAAGTAACGACAATGGTCTAGTCTGTACGCGTGTCACGGAAGTGGCCGACGATTTTGTCGACAAGAGAAGTGCGATGCCTGAACCAACTGCTGAGCCTGAGCCTGATCCTGAACCGGGTAATAAAATGCTCAGTATATGGATGTCTGTGTTGTCAAGCGTTTCCAGAGAACAGGATAGGACTCACGTAGCCCATTTCACTACCTCAAACCCCAAAAAGAGAAATGCTGAGCCTGAACCGACTGCCCAGCCACAGCCTGAACCTGAACCTGAAGGTGACTCAAAGGAACAAATGTGGAGTAAATTGAAAGCCATGGTGAAAAGCAAGAATGAAGGAGCCACCATGCGCGTATCTCTATCTAAGAGAAATGCTGAGCCTGAACCGACTGCTCAGCCACAACCTGAACCTGAACCTGAACCAGGAGTAATGAATAAATACGTGAGCCTTATGATTTCCAAAATGTTAGCTCTCAGCGTTTCAGAAACCTGGACTCCTTGGTCAACAGGCAACACCAACAACCTCCATGACCCCACATGGATAGGGCCCCCCAGCAAGAGGACTGCCCAGCCTGCGCCGACTACGGAGCCTGAGTCTTTGTCGACAACAGTTTTCGAAGATTCCCACACATTACCAACGCCTTAGTTAGTGGGACGCTCTGGTTTCGATGTCAAGCCATCAAATTCGGCTCCGAGACTATGGAAACCCCCAAAGCCCTGAAATTGTGTCCACCACTCCCTCGTGGAACAGCCCTTCTTCGCCCTCCGCAAATCCGGTAACCCACAGACGGGTGTTCTGCTATGCGACTGAGGCGCTCAGCCAGCCTTGAATACCAGGCGTTATGATAAAGTTCAACCAGGGATGATTTCGCTGCCTGGCTTACGTCGCTGGTGTTGCATGATCTTGCGGGCATGGGGCGAGATCTAGTAGGACGGCCGGATCGATGGTGCCAAGGCCAAGGTTGAGATGGGAAAGGGGCATGGCGATCTGGACACCTCATTTAGATGAGGCGGAAGTAAGGCAATATTTGGGATTCGAGAATAGCAGGCGGATCTAGTGGTCTGGGATGTTTATTGCGATAGTATTTCCTTTACGGAGCATTTAGGAGCAATAATTCTGTTTTCACTTTAGTTGTTGGTGGAATATAATTTTCATTTAAGCCGCAGGTCCCCCGCTTTGACTTTGCTGCTTCCGAACTCTGACCTGCAAGTACTTTAGCTACTATATCTTCTGAGTAGGAAAAATGCTCCACCAATGATTGGAACTATAGTGGAAGAATTCATGTATTTCCAAGGAGTGGTGTTGTAAATCACCGAGCTACTAGCACATCAAGCCGAGAGGCTGGAATTTTTCTGCCCCACGAGGCTGCCGTTTCTGTTGATTAGAAATAACAAGGGCAATGATTGTCGCGAGCCCGAATCGTTTGACTAATTCTGAATGGAGAGCAACGATCGAGTCATCGCGAGAACGCGGCTTGACTAATTGCATCCCTTTGCTGGAGACATACTTATATCAGGCCATACCAGCTGTAGGAACCATATGAGCCTACATACGGGACCAAACTTTGACGAGTTTTCAACACTTACACTCGGATATTCAGATCCTCATCTACAATCCTCATCATGCCTGGCGCATCTCCGGTCATCCTCATCCTCGGAGCAGGACCAAATATCGGCCAAGCAGTCGCTCGGACATTTGCCTCAAGGGGTTTTAAAGTCGCGCTCGCTGCACGATCACTAAAGGAGGAAGAGAGCACCGAAACCCAACTGAACATCACAACCGACTTCGCCAACTCCGATGATGTCGTCAGCGCGTTCGAAAAGGTGAAGAAAGTGTTTGGCATCCCGAGCGTCGTGGTTTACAATGGTAAGACTCATTATCTCGGTTCGGCGTAGAACTTCCCACTGAAAGGTTGATCGCAGTCAGCGCCTCGACGCTCACACCACCTCAAGACCCATTCGCTCTCCCACTGGCGGCATTTAACCGCGACGTGGCAATCAATGTCACTAGTGCTTTCGTCGCCGCACAACAGGCTGTTCTCGGCTTCGCGCAGCTTCCAGCGTCGGCGTCAAAGACATTCATCTACACCGGAAACATCCTGAATGTCGCCATCATCCCAGGGTTTCTCGACCAGGGCATCGGAAAGTCCGCTGGCGCACACTTGATCTGGGCTGCTTCGGCGGCGTACAGAGACCGTGGATTCAAGTAAGTTATCCTAGCCCCCATTGCTCGCATACTGGTTCAAAAAGACCAACCTGTCTCAGGTTCTACTACGGGGACGAACGCAAGGCGGATGGGACGGCGAAATACAGGGTCGACGGAGAGGCACACGCGCAGCTCTACTGGGAACTTGCAGAGGGCAAGACACAAGGCCCGTGGATGCAGACGTTTGTCAAGGACGCGGGATACAAGGATTTTGGGAATCAGTATGCGTCTGCCAGCTAGGAGGTCGGATGTTGCTTCGTTCTTAGGCGTGATGCTGAGTGAATGAAGTTCTATTTACCCTGCCTCTAAAGTAGATGACACTAGTCCTATGATGTCAGTGGGGTGTTTGCTTACACAATCCTCCCGCACCAGGACGGACAGGCTCGCCGTCAGCCATTGACGGCTCTTGCGTTGTACTTGTCCAGACGTACGGACTGAGAACTCGAATTGGCTTACCCTCTGGATATTTGTTAGGACTGATATCCACGTGCGATGCGCGTGGGTATGTGGCCTTCACTTTGGCCTACTATCGCGATCGTCCACTTGCCAATTGGAAGCCCGAAATTACGACAAGGCTGTGATGACTAAGGGGCGACAGCCTCGTCGGTCTTTCCCAGATAAGTATGTCGTGAGAAGTCTTCTTGATGCTGAGTCGAATATCTTTATTAGTCACCGATATATATTATTGACTGATGACTTGGGCTTCATCCGACGCCTCGAGCTCTTCATGACGAGAACGTATAAAGATCGGGTTGAGTGTTACTTAGGAAGCAGAATGAGGCAGGAATTGACAAAATGGCGAATCGCCGGCTAAAATCTTCTCCGACGACATCTCCTCCTTGTCCCCGCACTCGTCCTCCCTAGCAGGCCGCTCCTCTAGGTGATTAAGACTAAAGTCCGAACGATTCACGTTTTCAAATCTCGATCACATAACCAACACAAACTACCAAGGACTCAGTGAATCAGACATCCAAATCAAGCATGCCGATAACCGGTCTCGCGCACATCAACCTCACCGTCCCGCCGGGCACGCTACCACTCGCCGTAGAATTCTACAGCGGGACACTGGGTCTCAAGCCACGAGAAGTGCCACACTTGCAAAAGGACTCGCTGGCGTGGTTCGATATCGCCGACTCGGGCCAACAAGTGCATGTAGCATTCGAGAAGGAGTCGGATCTCGTCAGCGCAAAGTCTAGTCGTCACCCGTGTTTTAAACTCAGTGATGGCCAGGCGCTACTGGAGTTGAGACGGAAGGTGTACGAGCACTTTGAGCGCGGCGGTGAGAGTGCACCGGTCGCGGCCGATAAGCCTGGCGCGGAGGATTCTGGTGAGTTTCTGGGGTTCTGTTTTTGGGTGGTTCGTAATGCTGATGGTGGACAGGGGCGAAGGGCGTTGAATATCCGCAGCGCTTCTTTGCTCGGGACTATGCGGGGAATAGATTGGAGTTCAGTCTGTGATGGGCGAGTATGAATGAATTCAAGTCATTTTGGGAGTGATCGGTGAGAGCTGTAACTCCAGGACATTGGATTGCGAGGCAGAGATGTCACGAGGGTAGAAACTGCAAAGGAGAATGGATCTAAATGTGCGTTGATTAGATTTAGTACCGATGCTGCCACCCAGCAAGAATAAGACTCAGCTCTATCTACCCCTTCATTAAAGCTTTAGTAGAAGATAATGATTAATGTTACAACTTGTGGAACTCCAGATATGCTCTCGATGGTCGTAAGGTGTGCTCAAAAAATATCAACTGCCAGCGCGGTACAATCATGGATGCCTTCCATTTCCGAAGGCTTAGGTCGACGAATGACAATTGCGGCCCTGATGAGAGCAACTTGCCAAATTTGATGCAAGGTCCTAGGTTGGGGTCATGGCCTGAGTTGCCTCCACGACAGAACGTGTTTCACGAACTTCTTCCCATGTTGTAGCTTGAGCGCAAATGACTCTAATTTCGAATTTGTCCCTGAGGGTCGTTCCAATGTATTCAGGCAAAGCAGTATCTGCGTTGAGAGTCTTCGGCCAGGCTCTTATATTTGTCCGAACCATGTTTGTTGAACTTTCTCTGCTTTTATAGGGGAGGGCATTATCTGTAGGTCGTGAAGTGCTTGTAGGAGGTCCTTTGTAAAGGCGTTGCACCTGTGTCGGATCGACATCGAGTCTGAGGCTTGGAGGGAGGTGTGGAAAGAACAAATCTGCGACTTCGATGGCTGGATTCGTCGTCTCGCTTGTTTTATCATGCATGGGAGGGCGAGAGACGCCGAATAGTTCAAATGTTAATGTCTGAGACGGGTCGGCACATTTCAGCAGTCTGATGGCTTCTGCGATTCGAAAACAAGTCAGAGTTCGCCTCAAGGTAGAAAGACCGGTAATGGTAGAGGCCTTGGCCATTCTCGTAGCTGGTGGTTGAGGCTGAAAGTTCGTTCGCATGAACGGGGTCATGGGTAAGCCGTTCGCTTGTCCTTCCGATTGTAGATCTAAATTTGATTTCAGGGGGCTTGATGGGTTATCTGATCGAGGAGTTACCGTCAGGGTTTGGGCAGTTGTTCCTGTCAAGAGCTGTTCGGCTTCCAAAAATTCCTCCAAGTCATCAGAACTATACATAAACAAATCGTTCGAGTTCTCATCCATCTCCTTCAATGTTGTGGTGTGGTGATCGAAATGCTCATTTGTCTGCCGCATATCTGTCCCGTTTGCCGTTACACTTGGAGATTTTGATACTTCATGAGGAGCTGTCGTAGTAAGCGAACGTTTCTTGCTGATAGCGTTTTGTGCGCTCGAACTTCGAGGTAACAGAATTTGATCTGGTGAGACCATCTTGTGCTCGGAGTGTGCCAAAGGCATTGAATCGGGCTTTGAGAAAGTCTTTCCCAGATCTGGAAACTTCACGACTCTGCCGGAGATCTCAGACTTTGTGGTAGAAACACGAGTCTTTTTGCGGGGACGTTTTGGTGATTGAGATGGCGATTTCTTTCGCTTTCGATAACCAGGTGGCCATTTCAAACGCTCTGTCGAAGCTAGAATATGTGAGCGGAATTTGCTCGCTTGCTGCGATTGTGGTTCAGCGACATCATGAGGAGAAGCTGGTGGTGGCGTGTTGAGAGAGGAATTGATGTTGCTTGGGTCATTGATGGTAGTCCAGCCATGTTGCCTAGTTTTGTCAGGATTCATGCGAGAAGATACTGGTCGAATGACTGACTGATAATACCCATACGGAGTAAGATTGACAGCCACAGCTGCAGTTTCAGGCTCCTTCTGGGGCGAGAAGGACATTTCTGATTCCGTTAAGATAGCAAAAGGAGCACGAGTGGGATAGGTCATAGATTGGCGTGGACGTCAGGATAGGTTGAGAGCTCAGCATCCGAGTTTCGTGTCCAGAGAGGGGCATGGGAGGAGAGAAAGAAAGATACTAAGACTGAGTGCAGTGGAGGCGCATGAAGTTTGTGACAATGAGTTGGACGAGAATAGGTGCTGGGAGACAATGAAACTGGGGCAAGGTGAAGGCTGGCCTGCTTCGACCACCAGCAGGACCAGGAGCGCATTCAGACATAATACGGACTGGGAAGATTCACAATTCTTCAGGCTAGATGAAAACACAGGCAGCCAGATCAAGATAAATTCCCAGTGAACTCGACCAGCCAGAGCAAAATGACATTGTGAATATCTACCTACCATTGAGGTTTTTCGACCTGACCCTACCTAGTCGATGCTCAAGATTTTGGTTGTTATAGTATCGGTGAAACCTAGAGATTGGAGACCTACCATCCTACCTAGATACCTACCTACCTGGCCGTATGTTCATGGGGTCGTATACTGTGAGTATGTGAGTGTCTGCTTCATATGAACAACGCGGTATAACTCAGGATGTCTGGTCGAAGGAGGTGGCATGATAAAGCTGAGTTGTGTTGCACCGTACAAATTACTAGAGCGGAGTATTCGGCTTCCAATGACGGGTGTGTTTACTTGCAGCCACATCAGGCAATGATCATGCAAATACCTGCAAGCAATTGTGAGTCGCCGCCTGCGACCTTTATCTTCATATGGACTCCAGTACATATTCTTCAAATCCAGCATACTGATGACCCCGACTCTCCAGCATGTCTTATGCTATTGAAACAAAGAAGCGCAAGTTTGACCGCACCCTCGAAGCCCTGACGAGTGCAGCCGCCAATTCTCCGTCTCGAACATCCCTTAATTTACGCAACAATCCTTCTACAACCTCTTTGACCGCGGATGATGCCTCAGACGGTTCTAAGAGACGTCGCATAGCCCCTACATCGAGACCAACTGTCACTACTAGTGCGTCAACCACCTCTCTGGTCGGTCATTATCTACCCACGAGTCGATCGGCCTTTCTCGAACGCCTCGAGACATTTCGACATGTCACTCAATGGCATGTGCCTTCCACAGATCCTATAAATGCTGCAGCGTGGGCCAAACGGGGTTGGGTGTGCGTCGATACCGACACCGTGTTCTGTGGCTCGTGTAGAGAGCGGGTACATATTGATCTGTCCATAGACAGTGAATTACTCAAAACTAGTGGAAACGAAGTCGGAAACGATGAAGACGACTTTGAGATGGCTGCGGAAGTATATCATGGTGTTGTCAGAAGATATCAGGAGAACATCATCCTTGCTCACAGTGAGAGTTGTCTGTGGCGCAAACGGGGTTCTGATTCTTCCATACAGCGCATTGAGGGCCTGTTGAATACAAACACTGCCCTTTCAGCACTGAGGACACGCTACGAGAGCCTTGTGACACGTGCAGATGAGATACCAAATGTCGCGCCACTTCCCTCAAACGACTTCTCCGCCAATGGACGAGAATTACGGCTGTTTCAGACCGAACCGAGTGACGAAATCAACATTAACGCTCTAACACTGGCAGTCTGTGGCTGGCATCGAAAATCCGACGACGTCATTGAATGTCGGCATTGTTTCCGGTCACTTGGACTGTGGTTATACCGTGGTTCGACACCAACAATTGAGCAACTGGACGGTGTGGATAATCATCTTGAGTATTGTCCATGGAAATCAGTTGAGGCACAAGATACAGAAATCGCAATTCCCAAACACAAGAATGAGCAAGAGTCAGATCAGATCAAGAGACGTGTGTCGGGATGGATGCTCGTGTACCTCGCCATTGTGCGGGAGAATACTCGGAAGCGAGCACACGAAGCGACGATCCCCTCAGTCTTGAGCGAGACCGATGCGAGCACGGCAAGCGGTGGTTCTGATGCGACTCCGGAGCAACGAGAGAAGAAAATGAGGGATTTATTGAAGAGGATCAAAGAGATTAAGAAACCTTTCAACGTCAAGGCGCTACTAAGACGGAAAGAGAAAGGGCAAGCCTGACGGAGCATCAATTTTAGACCTGGAATGGTCAAATGCAAAGTCGAGATCATCAGTAGTGTGTCAGGTCAGCAGCTCCCCACCAATGGTCGGTTCCGGAAGGGGGTCATGCAAACATGGCAAGGCTGTCGTGGACAGATGCATCTACTAGACTGCTTGAATCGGATAACATCCGCGGGACGGCAGAGGCCTGGGGCATTTGAAGACACAAACGGGACTGTTGTGTGGACGTGAACATTCCGGATCGTGGTCTGTGGGGGTGTCCGTGGCTGTGTCGCACGGAAGACGAACAAGCATGAATCAGAATCCACGGTGTTGCGGCGAACAGTGATCGTACCCGGGGGGGGAAGGGGTTCTTCGGAAAGTTGAGCGACACCGAGGCTGCTGAATTTTGCGGGAAGGCGGGCTAGTCCCAACACAGTCTAGGACGTTCAATGTAACAACATTAATGATAACCACGAGAATGAACGCCGATGAAGTACGGACATGTCTTCGCCTATCAAATTGAAAGCTGAGCTAGGTAGGGAGATCTTTGGTCCCGCCCAAGTAGAGGTCGAGGTGAGGGAATTAAGTTCTACACCATGAACGAGTAGTCTTGGTGTGGAATTCATTGCATCTGGCGGCCATGCAACTAGGTGGTACAATATTCATAGCATTCTTCCGGGGTATTTCCAGGGCACTTCTGGCTTGGGATCGAATGACCAAGGAGCAATTATGGCCTCCGGACACAGAAGAGGTCGCCGAATCAAGAATCATGATATCAGCCCGTTAGACTGTACAGTCTACGCCTGCAGTGCCCAACACCCGATATTTAGCAAGACTAACTAGGTATCTAGATATCCTTACAAGGCTCCGTGAACCATCCATTGCGGTCCGGGATCCGTTGATCTCGATCGTACTCGTACATCGAGGGACGTATCTGGCGCGTTTGAGTGATTTAAAGTGACCATCGCCATGAACCACAGGCAATTCACAGACCCCATAGGCATTGGTTTAGCCGTGGTGGGGGCTAGGGCGAGCTCCATCTCGTACTCCTCTATTCCACCACTAGTCGACCCAACAATCCTGTCGGTCACAGCCTCGATCAGCCTTGAGGCTCGACCACCCAGTCATGATCGAGGGGAGTAGATCCGGAGACCGACTTGGTAAACATCAACGGAGTCGTAGGCGCTGAGTGCTCCGCTGCAGTGATTGAATCGTTTCGTGAGTTCCCGACTCTATCCGCACATATGGCCTCTCCCCTTTCCGATGCTGCGCCGTTTTCGATAGGGCCCGGAAAGCGTCCGAGCTGCAGTGCCTTGGCTCTAGGGTTGTTTGTCTCGATGCCCTCAGGGAAATCCCTAAACAAAATGCATGCAAACACTACTGATGACTGGCATGTGACAATGGATTGATGGTATGTACGAAGAATAATGGATCCCTGTCCATCAGACCTCCCGGATTTCTACGAGTACGAGTACAGTTACAGTATCGGGCAATTTATTGACCTCAGAGTTTAATCAACAAATTTCGGAGGGGCTCAGCAACCCCCAATCGCGCTCTCACTTGCAGGTACCTGGCACGTGTTGGGCTACCTACCCAAATACCAACTGGGGGGTGATAATTTGGTGACCCGGGGAGTGGAAAGACTTGGTCCGGGAGGCCCTAACCATTCCAGTTCAAGGCCAAGTTCAAGTTTCTCAAAGGTGCAACGACGTCAGAGTTCTTGACGGCCAGTGCAGTGCTGATGCTGATGCTGATGCTTCCGTAACTGCCAACACTCCCAAACTTCAACCCCGCATCCTAAGCTGGTGCCAGTGGCCTCTATCCAATCCACCGTCTTTCATTTGCCTCACAAGTCATTCGCCTCCACACCAATATACCTCCCGTTAGTAGGAGAAGCCTGTCTTTCCCGCACCTTGTACAGGTTTCAATCCATACAGATCCCTTCAATCTTCCGACCAAGACCAGGGTGCTTGTCCATCACCAAACCCTCCAACGCCTTCACCACCACCACCATCACCACACGCACCATACAGACGCCTTCCAAGCTGGAGTGCGGAGTTGCATCTGTCTGTGCCTCGTGCTCCTCAACCTTCGTCCCACCGACTCTTTACATTTCTTTTGCTCTCTCTTAACTCTTCGTCCTTGATATTCTTCACATTGAGCTTCCTCTCTGACTCTCCACTCTGTCGGTGTTGTTGGTAGCCATCATCTGTTTGCACATCTGCGTACTCTTCCCAGCAAACCAACCACCGTCGTCATACCTTTACCAGAGCTCGCGGACACCGCTGATCGTTGCTGCCGTTGTTCGCACCAGTGGAACGGCATCCCCTCACACTCCACATTTATATAATCCACCGCCCTTGCTCCAGGTTATTGTCATATCTGTATTTGCAAATGTAAGTCTGCCATTGCCCTCGTGTATTCTGGTCATTCGACCTTCGGTGCTGGAGTTATACCCCACAAATCCCCAACCAATGCACAACGGCACTAATTGATTGTGTGTAGAACCCGCTCCGTGGTACACTTACTTCCTCGGCACATCCCAACCCACCCAAGCAATGTCCGGTAGCACTGCGAACCGTATCAAGGAGGGTGCAAGAAGCGCCGCTACCAAAGTCGAGAGTGCGACGACAGAAGCAGTAAACAACCCGGTACAGGCCAAGAATGACTTCCTTCATTTACCGCTCACGCGAGCTGCCCTACCTTTTGTCAATGGAGGTCTTGCGGGCATGTTCGCAACGGGTTGTATTCAACCCATAGACATGGTCAAAGTGCGCCTGCAATTGGCAGGCGAAGGCATAAAGACGGGACCGAAACCTTCGGCCATCGGTATCACAAAGGATATCATTGCTCAAGGTAAAGTTCTAGACTTGTACACTGGCCTTTCAGCAGGCCTCTTAAGACAGGCAGTCTATACCACTGCAAGACTAGGATTCTTCGACACTTTCCAGAACATGCTGCAAGCCAGAGCCGAAAAGAATGGCACAAGCATCGGCTTCTTGGAACGTGGTGCTGCCGGTCTCACCGCCGGTGGTCTTGCCGCGATGGTGGGCAATCCTGCAGATCTGGCTCTCATTCGCATGCAATCCGATGGCCTCAAGCCCAAGGAAGCTCGAGCAAATTATCGATCCGTCTTCGACGCGCTCACGAGAATCGCCAAAGCTGAAGGAGTTACTGCTCTTTGGGCGGGTGCATATCCCACCGTTGTGCGTGCTATGGCTCTCAACTTCGGTCAGCTTACCTTTTTCGCCGAGTCCAAGGCTCAGCTGAAAACTCGTGCGCCCCAACTGTCTGAGAGTGCCAATCGATTTGGTGCATCTGCAATTGCTGGGTTCTTCGCTTCATTCTTCAGCTTGCCATTTGATTTCGTCAAGACGAGACTGCAAAAGCAGCAGAAGGGTCCCGATGGAAAACTCCCTTATGCTGGCTTCCTTGATTGCGCCAAGAAGGTCGTTCGTGATGAAGGCTGGCTGAGATTCTATCGTGGATTCGGAACCTACTATGTCAGAATTGCACCCCATGCGTAAGTTCACCTTGATTGCATCTCAAGCGGACCCTGCTAATGTGAGGTAGTATGATCACCTTGATCGTCGCCGATTACCTCAAATTGATCACGGCTTAAGCCATCCTATCCCTAATCACACAAAGCCCAGAGCTATCAAGACCAAAGACGAGAACCCGCGCCGAGTCGCGGAATCCAACAATCAATAGAGTGAGCAAATGGAGAAATCCATTTGCGAGCATGAATTTGAACACCATCGCAGCACGGGGAAACCCGTTCTGACCCACCCGATGGAAAGACATATACATATATCTATGGCGCAGTAGCGGTCAGAAATGATCTCGAAACGGGAAATGCATTCACGTCTGGTTGGAAAATTATCCAGGGCGTTCCCCTCGATATGGCTGGTAATAGACCTTGAAAGGGACTGCATGAGAACAAGAGCCAACGCCGCATCCGCAGGTGTTTCTTTTTGAATGGATTTATCGAGTCGATAGAAATATGAGCAGAGATGTTTGTATCTGTATCTTGAAGAGGATGAAAAAGATGGAAAAGATGGAAAAAAAGTGCAGTGGGCTACCCACATACTACTAAGTTAGAACGGAAGCAATACCACGTGATCTAATTCCGTTTCCCCATTTGGTCTTCCGTTCGAGCACGATGCCCTCGGTAGAGAACACTTTGATTTATCACCGATAACCATGCGGAGCTCCTGTAAATCAAGATTTGGTTGAAAACTCATTATCTAACTAGCTTTGTATAGAGCCGCCCAGGATGATAGAGTGACCGAGGTCTTTCTCGTGACCCGCAGGAGAACTGCGCTTTCTATCCTTATGTCGCTCCGTATTCCTACGGTCGTTCAATCTCCGCAACTGCGGCCCTGGTTTGGAAATCCGTCACTTTATTGAATTATTTTACTTTGAATTAGTGATTCAAAGATTCCTCAATGCCTATGCCTATTCATGCAGTGTAGATCACTTGAGTATGAATCATCGATCATACCAGTATGAGTGCTTCTCTACTACTGCAGCTTGTGTTGACAGGCACACAAACGCACTATGAGAACCGGGGGCTAATCGACGACAAGAGACTCGACCATTTACTGGTGGCCGGCAAACAGATCCTCTACAAGTCCCACCAAGAAAGCGACGTTAGATCTGCCCTCGGTTTCAACCCTCGAGTCTGGGAGGGCCTCACCAAAGTCCTCTCAGTCGCAATTCCCGCTCTCGAGCAGCAGTCCTTCGCGTGGAAGAACCCGCCCGCCGCGAGTTTCAATGGCAGCAGTTCAGACCTCATTGCCTCACATTACCTCTCTCTCATCAAGGACATTGAGCGACTAAACGATCTTTGTACCATTGCGCGAAACCTCCTCGCTACGACCAAGAAGGCACAGAACTTGGCATCCGAGAAGGGATTTGATCAACAGATTCTGAAACTCATTGATGTTTGTGTTAGAGTGACGGCTCGAGGATTTGATGGAGAGTCGAATCCTAGGAATGAGGAGCGATGGCAAAAGGTCGTCAACCTCTACAAGCGGCTGTTGATTACCTGCCTCCAATTCCTACACAATTTTATCATGCACAACGAACAGAGGAAGTTGGTACTGTGGTTGGATCTCTTTGGACAATCTCAGACCACCGAGAATGATGAGCTGGCACCCGCGGACGAGCAGGAGCCAGAGATCGACGAGAGACTCCATGCGGCGAAGGAAGATAGGATCAAAGCTACCGTCGAGAAGTTACCAGAAGGAAACCTCCCTGCACCCAACGGAGAATTGGGCTACAGTATCGATGATGTTCATGCTCTGTTTGACTTGATGAGCACCAACAAGGACCCTGATGCACAAACGCAAGAGGCTGCAAAGATACTCATGGACAAAATCAGAAGTGATCTCGAGGCTACATCCGGTCTTACCTCAAATCAACTTGATAACAACCCGGATGCACTTGTCAAAGTGGGTGCGGAACTGCGTGCTCGAATTCTCGCCAAGGACACCAGTACACCCTCCGCGCCGTCCGACCACGCGAACCAGCCTCTTCCAATTGAGAATGGGGCAAACAATGGTCAAGCCCGCCCTACACTCTGGAGTAACTTGCCAGATATCTCCGCGTATGGTGATTTCAACGGAACAAACCAAACCATGACCGACGACGACTTGACAATGCCTAGGACGGCCGAATCTGCAGCCGCAACTCTACAGGAGGCGAAGGACGAGCTCATGGCGAGATTGCATGAGGCTGCACCGGTCATAGACGAGAATGGAATGATATCTTATGATGGTGAAATTGATCAGGAAGAAGATCTAGAGGAGGATATCATCGATAGCGCCGAGGATAGTATGGAGGAAGATGAAGAAGAAGATGACGATGATGATTATGGCCGGACCGGTGATCAAGAAAGGGGACTTTTGACCGATGTTCCGCTGGTTCTGGGACCTACGGAGATCGAAGCACTCCCAATGATTATCCAAGCCGGCATTGTCGACAATTTTGGTTCAAAAGATGCTGCACGACAAGGGATAAAGAACATGCAAGCCGTGCGTTGTCACATCCTACTTGCTCAAGAAGCCGGTCGCAATGTCTTGCGAGAGCTGCTCATATTCATTGCCGCGTGGGATTTACCGGATGACGAGTTCTATTTCAAGATGATGGTCCAAATCATGGAAGCCATTCTCAAAAACGGTCTCATGTCTCACGCATATGCCGACTTTGGACAGCCGAAGGACATCATCTCCCCCGCCCAAGCTGTTGTTATCAAGATCCTCACCCATATATTCCGCGCCAAATACAGTCCCGCCACCGTGGTGCAGGAAAATAACCAGCCTGTACAAAAGGCACGAATTCCTTCACCGTTGAGCAGAGTCGATGTCTTGACCGTTCGATACATCTTTATCGTCTTCCGTGGCAACATCATTCCTGAGACCTGCGCTCTGATATACCTTCAAGGTCAAATCCGCGCTGGTCATGCTTTGGCAGAAGACTTTCCTCTCAATCTGTGGGATATGGAGCGCGTGTATGAGGGAGTCTACCAGTTTCTGGAGTTCTTCGCCGTTCTCACTGAGAACAACGACTGGAAACGTCTCTTGGTGCAGTGGGAGATTGTCTATGATCTTGTCACACTGATCAAAGAGCTCGACACAAGTATCGCCAAGGTGGCACTCACAAAGTCGATGCCTCCCCCAGTCGCCACTACCAATGGTTCAAGCTCCAAGTCCGAGCCACAACAACGATCTCCACCCGCGCCTGTTGCCGTGGAACGTCCTTACGAGGCGACCACGGCCGACAAAGACCTACCAGCTGATCAACCTTCATCCCCACCAATGTCGCCCCCTCCACCCGCCGTGACCGAAGAGCCTGCCGATTTCGAGTGGCGGAACCTAAAGAAGCTTATAGTCCTGGTCCTGTCAAGTCTAGTGTGGAAGTCTCCCACGGTGCAGAATCAAATACGCGAGTATGGCGGTGTGGAGACGATTCTCAGTTGTACACAATATGATGGTATGTAACGAAACAGTCTTTTATTTTCAACTCTGCTCTATTCGGTCCCCTCGGACGAGTCTCTATTAAAAATGCAAAATGAGTCTCAAAGCCAAGACTAACCACTCCTGTTCATTCTCCAGCATGCAACCCCTACATCAAAGAACACGCCGTCATGTGCTTGAAATTCCTCCTCGAGAGCAACCCGGTGAACCAGAAGCTCGTGTCGAGTCTCGAAGCACGCGAGGTCGTCCCACCTCCGTCCGGCGACGATACGCTCAGTCGCATGGGCGTCGATGTCCGCGTCGGCGACGACGGCAAGGTCAAGGTCACCAGCAACGGCGCGAAACAGAGTCGTGTCCAGAATGGGGAGGCCGGACCTCCTCCTGCTACTGCTGCTGCTACTGGTGCGAAAGGACAGAAGGGGACAGGGGCGGTGGTGGAGCATGAGGCGAGAGGGAAGCTCGAGGAGCTTGATTTGAATGGCGAGGGCAATGCGAAGGGGAAAGAAAAGGGCAAGGGCAAAGGCGCGGTTGGAGGTGACGGTGCCAACAGTGGCTCGACTGGTGGCGGCGGTGGTGGTGACAACAACAGTGACGTCGACTTTATGTAGTACAACTTCCTGCACTTGTGGAGGCGGTGGTCGAAGTTACATCTTGGCCGGAAGTGAGGGATGATCACCGTACCCTGGCTCTTTTGGTTTGGTGATCTGAGACTACCTAGCTAGCTAGCTGGTTTGAATGGTTGGATAGTTGGATAGATTGATTGGGCTGGCTTGGGATAGTTGATCAGAAGAGAGTCAGTGACAGCGATGATGTATGGAGTAGCTATCAGCTTCTCTTACCTAGGTATGTTTGGTTGAAAATGAATAAACATACTATGAGTCTGCTGAGAAGGATGGGCCAACTCATGTACCTACCTACCTATCTAGTTAGCTGTCGACTTGAGAAGATACCTACCTAGCTTCGCTTCGACGCGTCTTCATGTCCTGTGAGCGATTGGGAAGTGCTATTATTGAGTTGTGAACTCCTTGGATGCACATAGTATGATGCAGAATGTCATGCGTCAGTGCTGTGATGTCAATCATGGATCGTTCGTTCACTACTGGCTCCAAACATCTCTCGTATTTGTATTCGAAGGTAGGTATTTTCTGCTTCTTGAGCATTGTGCAACGATAGAAACGCGGAGAAGGACTTTGCATGGTAGGGAGACTGGAAGACTTTTTCTCTGCTGAGGACGTACGGTCAGGAAGGTTTACGTCTTGGTAATCTTTTGGTTTATATACAGGTTTTTACTTTGATGTCAGGCTTGGTGTTTATAGTGAACACAGAGTCCCCCTCCAGGCTTCTTCCCACTCTTTCGGCAGGAACTTTGAAGCTCTCCAAGCAACGCCAGATAAAGGGTCATTTGCTCTACTTCTTCTCTTCCTTCTTCTCCTCAGGGGGCGGGGTAGGAAGTTTGAACTGCTCTGGTTTCCTGTCCACACCAGTGCCGACCTGCTCCCAGGCACTGGTGCCACCTTCAAAGTTTCGGTACGCCTGGGTCATCTCGAGGGGTTCGACGACAATTCGCTTCTTCTCCTCGTCATATCGGATTTCTGTGTATCCGGTCAAAGGGAAATCCTTCCGCAATGGGTGCCCGTCGAATCCGTAGTCGGTCATGATTCGGCGTAGATCCGGGTGGCCAGTGAAGAAGACGCCGAACATGTCGTAGACTTCACGCTCGTACCAGTTTGCTCCATCGTAAAGAGATGTGATGGATGGGACGGGTGTGGCTTCGTCCGCGTATGTCTTGACCCTTATCCGTGAGTTGTGTCGGACACTGAGAAGATTATAAACGACTTCGAAGCGGTAGTTCTTGGTGGGGAAGTCGACCGCGGTTATGTCTGCGACCATGGTGTATTCGGCGGCCGTGTGGTATTTTAAGAAAGTGAAAACGGGGATCACTCCTGTAGGTGTGATGTAGATGCACAGCTCGTCTTTCCAGACGGAGAACTGTTGGACGTGCTTGGGCAGCGCGGACATCAGGTATTGGCCGTATTGATGAAGGGGGAGAGCATGTTCGGAGTACTTGTCGGCGTCATTAACCACGGGCGCGGAGAGTTTTCCTTGGGCTACATCAAACACACGTTAGAGACCCAGAAGATTCAAGTTTTGAAGCACTTGCTACTCACGAGGTCGAGGGGCCTTTCGAAGCTCTGACAGAAGATCTGGAGGTGCAGTTCTGTAATCGATGGGCTTTTCCTGCTTGGCTCCTTGAGCAGGTGTTGTGTGAAATAGTGCGGTACTCTGGATACGTGTGGCGGCTTTGGAAGCTGTAGTGAGTGGCCGCCGACTTGCCAGACGCAGTATTGACTTTGTCGACGCCATGATGAAGCGCGAATGTGGTAGACAGGACTATGGCATTGAAATTCGAGATGGCCAGTCGAGACTCTAGTGAGGTAATCCAAGTTGGATGCGCCTCAATTGGGAGCTCGCTGCCGCCAAGAAAACTACTTTCCTCTCTTAGGCCTAGACCCAAAACACGGTTTAAGTGGCAAGTGTTTTGGCTGCTTTTGTCACCTTGATCCTGCCACTTTTGCTCTCGGACTAAAAGTCAAGGAAGGTTACCACCTCTGCATTCAAACTTCTGCCAGACTGCCACGCATCTCGTTTTGTCTTTGGTCTCTCCAAAAGTTCCATCTCGATCCTTCCAATTCGCAGGTCTAGACTAGTCCTGGTCACTCATCTGCATCATTCTCATCTTCATCTTCGCTGTCTTCTCTGTTGTACACGTATATTGACCACACACTCCCCCATCAATCAAACCGCCACTCCGAACTAGCGACAGCAAACTCGCTTTTATCCCAGATTCTTCCATCCTCCGTCCTGTCGCCCCCGTCCTATCTCGCCTTCAATTGACAAGCAGTGCATGGAGTTTTCCTTCCCTTCTTCTAGTCTGGTGAAGGTGTCGATAGAGGTGGAAAGCAGACAAGTCTCCATCATAATACCACATCGCGCATCATGAATCGCTCCCAAGATAATGTCATCGAGGATGACGAGGAAACTTGGTATGGCGAATCTTTCCAGGTCGCGCAAACTCCGCTAACCACATCTCCAGCCCTTTGTGTATCGAAGAATTTGACCTATCTGATAAAAACTTCCGCCCTTGTCCCTGCGGCTATCAAGTAGGTCTACATTTCACTCTGCATCCTTTCCGCTTTGTTGACTAAACACTCCTCCCTAGATTTGTCAGTTCTGCTTCAACAGTCTCAAGAACACCTATGAGAAGAGCACTTGCCCCAATTGCCGAAGGCCCTACGACGAAAAAACGATTCAATATAAAATCCCTACCGCTGAAGAATTCAAGCTAGACCAGTTAAACAAGAACAAAAAGCAAGCTGCCGCTAAGCGAAAAGAAACTGAGAAGCGAGAAGTCGAAAACTCTTCGCGTCGAAACCTTGCTGGCGTGCGCGTCAAACAACAGAACTTGGTCTACGTCATCGGCCTCATCCCATCCCTCAAAGATGAACAAGCCCTACTGAATACCCTCCGTGGTCCCGAGTTCTTTGGTCAATATGGCGATATCGAAAAGATTGTGGTCAGTAAGGCCAAGCCAGGTGCTGCCAATCAAGGCATCGGTGTCTATGTGACCTACGCAAGAAAGGAAGATGCGGCATTGTGTATCAGTACGGTGGATGGTTCCTTGAATGGCGATAGAGTTTTGCGGGCTCAGTTTGGCACCACCAAATATTGCTCTGCTTACCTACGAAATGAAGTCTGTAACAACAAAAGCTGCAGCTTCCTTCATGAAAGTGGAGAAGATGGACAAAGCAGTTCCCTTCAGAACGAGCCCCATGCTATCAAGGCACCTACGAAACCTCTCACATCGACACAGACTGCAGCTATCGCTGTACCCCCTCGCCCACTATCTGGTGCATCTCTAACGCAACCTATGGCCAGATCCAACAGCAGGGATGAAGGTCTAAGCAGGAAAAACAGTCACGATGCTTCTGCTCTGCCGTCGACTGCAAGTTGGGCCAATATGAATGCTCCTGTTGCCAGAACTCGGAGGGCCAGCCAAGCAAACAGCCGTGCCACGCCTAGTCCGCAATTGACTCATGCTTTATTGGCTGGGCACAAGACTGAAGAGCCAACACCCAAGGAACCAGTCACTGCGCCTCAGTCCTCAATAATCAACGTCCCGAAAAAAGCCTCGCCAATTTCCGAATCCCATCTACCAAAACTAACTCCCAAGCGCGTTGATCCCATTCAAGAGCAATACGACTATGTCCTTCGAACCGTCTCACAGAATTATGCATTTGTTTACGACGACTCATGTCTCACAGAGGAAGTTCGAGCACAAGTCGAAAGCATGCCATCTTTCATTGATCCGTTTGGAGGTGCTAAACGACGTGCTATGCGCGAGAAGGAAGAAGCGGAGAGAGCGAGAATCGAGGCTGACACAAGAGCCAAGCTTGAAGCACAAGCAATTTCATCAGCCGAAGAGATGCTCGATGAGGCTGATATGGCTGCCGGTAGCTTAGCTCTTGGAGGTGAACCTGAGGATGACCCCAGGAGTCTATCTGCTCGAGGTGCTATTGGTCGTCCTTCTCAACCTCTGCCCGACCAATTCGCCAATGTTAACCCTAGTTCACGAAGCCTCACTCCCCAACAACGTCAACAACTGTCCCAACAGTCATCTGGGCTTACACAAACCGTCTCCCGCAACACCGCATTCGACATGTCCGAATTTAATAGAGGCGAACCACAGTACAGCCAAGCTCAATTCGAACAGATCAACAATCACCAACGTCATGGATCTAGATATTTCAACAACGACTCAAAAAGCTCTTCTGTTAATCGATTTCAAGGTCAACAACAATCATTCTACTCCAGCGGCGTTCAAGGGCCACCACCAGGTTTACCAACAGCTGGAACACCTCCAGTGAGTGGTGGTGGAATGTTTGCTCATGGACAGAACTTCACCAACCCTGGCTTTGGATCATCCAAAGAGAACAACGCGGAGATTTATTCCATTAGGAATCGAAGCGGGACAAATCAGGGCCATGATATCGCTAAGCGTGAGTTGCTCCTTTCCTTGCAAAATAACCCCCTTCGGTCACCTCCATTATCAGCCCCTGCCCCTAGTGGTCTCAATACCCTCTATGGTCAACTCCAAGGGGCTTATCAAGATCCTGGACTCGTTAAACAAAGGAAAAAGGGGAAGAAGCACAGACATGCTAACACTTCCTCTTCAGGAGGTGGTGTAGAGCATCTTGCAGACCCGAGCATTGTTCAAGCGAGAACACAACCGGGCAATTCCACTGGGCAGGGGCTTTTTGGTGGTAACCAAGGTGGGTACTCGCAGTCCAACTTGATGTACGGCAGTGGCGGCGGATACAATCGGTGGTCATGACGATTCAAGTTTCTCATGCTCGTTTGTCCTTTTCTTCCTTTTTCACCTATTGCTGGGTTTTCATGTTAGGCGTTGGTCGGTTCAAAAAATTCCCCTATATTGCAGAGCACCCGAGCAATGCATAAGCGACTAGCTATATGGCAGAAGCTTTAGGGAGTTACGGCACGGTCACGCTCAGTATACCCTGACGAGTGGGAATCAACTCTGCACGACTCTTGTCGGCATCAGGCTTTTTTCTCTTCAGCGGCATCATCGGTCCCAGTTCACAGCTATGATTTTCATGTATGTTAGTCACCCTTACCTGACCTCTTTACCAAATGTCAGGAAGATTCAAAACAACTTCTTACATATCACCCAGGAGCTTGTTCCAATTCTTGTAAAATCTGATGCTGAGTGGGACTGATGGTGCAAAAAGCCTGATCGTCTCTGCCCTTTCATGTATAGTCAAGCTGTTGATCATGTACCCGCCACATCGTGCCGCCATTGCTGTTTTACACAAATGTCTTGAATTGTCCTACTGAATGCTAATCAATGGATTTGTAGTAGACGAGGACAACTTTCCACCATTACCGGCACGCGTAGAGACTATGGTCTCAGCGTTACATTCTCGAGTTTCGTCCTTCCACAGCCTACACAGTTCCGGCCTACGATCATCAACCCCCAAAATCCCTCCTGGATTTGAGTTGACTCATGCCCATCCAACCCCGGGCTCAGGACAAGCATCGCCTGTGACAAATCCAAGTTCAACACAACGAAATGCATCACCGCAAAGAGCTACATCAACCACAGCTGCAACGATCGCTCCAGCAGTGCCTTTGATTCCTGTGGTACCGCGAACATCGACGCCGAAACCAAAGATCACAGAAACACCTAAAGCACTTCAAAAGGATATTGCGTCGGTTGATGCATCTGTGACACCATCGGAAGCCAAAGAACCAAGAAATGAAGCGAGTAAGATCAGTTTTGGGTCACCGAAACCTCGGTCTTCAAAATCAAGGGCCAATGACAATTCAAAACTGGGAGTGGGTGGGCAAACCTCGAGTGTAGATGTTCAACCCTCAATCGTACCCCACAGAGATGAAGGGAAAGGCAAACAAAACACAGTTGTGCCCAAGCCTGATCGAATTGAAATCCCTCCTGTGCATCCTATACCATCAGACATTCAAGGTTCACATTCAGGCACAGAAAAAACTGGAACCCCAGTATCGGGATCAGCCATTGTTGAGGCATCAGATGCCCAGAGCTCACGCCCAGTAACACCTGCGACATACACTCCATCTGAGTCATCAAAAGCTTCGCTGCCTCGACCAAGGACATTGCGTCTGACCACTGGGATGATTGCTAAAGCTTCGGAACCCAATCCATTGTCAGCGACTACGGAGAAGTCGATTATCATGCCGCCAACGCCAGCAACCAAGAGAAGCTCACGACGACCTTCTATCTCTTCTGTTCAGCATAGTCGACCATCCACACCGGCTCTATCTGAGCTTCTCTCACATGACGTCTCTAGAGCTAACTCGCCTCCACCAAGTATTGTTGGCAGCGCATATGAACGAGGGAAGAGTAAAAGCCAGCAAAAGAAAGAACGTCGCGAAAAAGCGAAAAAGGGCACTGAGCAAGGAGAGGCAGTCACTCCCACATTAGCTTCGGGTGCAGCACAACCGTCACTGGAAGAAGTCGCACCTGTCATCGCACGTCAGAAGAAACAGAAGCGTCGTGTAGAAAGCAGTACAGCAGCAACTTCCGTGGAAATGACCAAAGCAAGCTCCAAAACTTCCAACGATACATCCAATACTCAAGCTTCACCTTCAAAGCCACATCAACCTTCAGTCGAGAAGGAATCAGGTCCTACTATTTCGTCAAAGAAACATGGCCCTGCAAAGGTTGAAGAGAAGATGAAACCGGTGGCAGCGAATGCAAAGACTGGCAAAGCAACTCCTCCGGCGCAGAAACCAGCTAGCCCACAAGTTCCACTAACCCCGGAAGAGTCAATTCTTCCGGCAGTTGTTAAGGTTGAAGACGGTGTGAAGAGCTCATTTACCCTTCGTGACCTGTATTCCGATGTTGGCAAGATGGTTGGTGCTAATGGCACGCCTACGGAAACATCAGCGGCTATTCAGAAACTTCTCAATGAGCACGTTTCCCCCATGTCTAAGCTCATCAGTTCGATGATCCAAAGTGGTGATCTTTCTAAAGATCATCCTTGGCTAAATTCACCCAATTTCAATTCTGCAGCATACAAGCTACCACCAGATTCACGACGTGGACAGGATTATCTTGATGGGAATGGTTACAGTGCTACGGATGCTTTTGGTCACGTTTACCTACCACTGAAAGAGAAACACGCACTGAAAGAAGGTCATTGTGTCAGCATCGCGGATGGTGGTGATAAAAAGGATGATCTTCTCAAGAAATGCTTGATAACCTCAAATGGTTGGGTCTTGAGACATCTCTCAGGAGATGAAACTCAGAAAATCATTGAACTTAATGAACGAAGACCCATGTACCTCGACGAATTTGGTGAGGTGGGAATCATGGATGGGCTTGGCGCATTGGAGCATGACGACTACTCAAACCTCGCTGGAGGCATGGAGCGACTGAGCAGGCATGGTGAGCATCATGGTGTTGTCTGGGTGGCAGGTGAAGGTGATCAGGGCGATCTTTCTCAGGAAGACGACGATGAATTTGAAATTTTCGATGACGAGGACGCGGAGATTGATGGTGAAATCGGCATTCCTAGTGAGGATGAAGAGTTCGAAGTCTTGCATGACGACGATATGGAACCAATTCCCACCTCTGTACGTGAAGGTCTCGGTGGTCTTAATGCACCTGGTGGCGCCTGGGACCTTCCACCACCTTCTATGTCGCAATATCCACACTTGGCAAGACAATCTCGTCAAAGTCTGCCTGGTTTGGGATTCCATTCCAAGACGAATGCATTCGCCAGAGCAAAGAACCTAGGAACGAGCCCAACGAGCACATCAGCGACCAACGCCACGACGACAACGAATCATTCTGGAGGTAAGAATGGGCACAAGCATCACGCACATGGTACCCAATCTTCCGGAGCATCAGCTTCCACAGGTGGTGCCCCTGCTGCTACCAATGCATCTCGCGAATCATCCTCGGTTGGTGCTAGTGCATTCGTCCCGGGTACACATGCCAATCATGCGCCAATCAACTTGCGGGCACTCGATAGTGACGCACTAATCAGACGTGTCGTGGAAAAGCAGAAGGAGCTAGAGGTGTCACGAAAGGAGATGGAGAAAATGGAGAAACTGTGGAACAAGAAATCGAAGGATATCGGCCGATGGAGAGAAGGACTCAATAAGGCATGATCGATTGGTCGATTGGATCGCATTGGGCTATTGAATTGGATGGAAGTGCTCCTTCCGTGAGGCCATTCTATCTTCGGGGCAGTGAGCACAATCAGGGCTAGGGCCTGGCCCGTATTCAGTATGATGTTGGCGTATTCTGGAATCATCCGTCTCTAGCTTACTATTGCACTGTAATGTGTAACAACACAATTGTACAACCACCAAGACCCTATTATATGAGTCCCGTTCATCTTGTGCATCTTGATATCTGTCTTCAGTGGCCTTTCTTGACTATTTCTATCCGCCGAATCTCAATCACGAATAGGCATCTCAACTTATGTCGGGAGAGTTCTCCATATTCATTATCGGGTTGGGCTATTGGTTGGACCCAATTTCGAGAAACTCCAGGCTTGAGTCAAGTCCAACTTCTGGAGCATGAATGAGCCTTACTGTACCTCTGTCCGCCCGGACTTTTGGTCATTGGGGGAGCAGAACCACCAAGAGGCAGCGATAAGGCCTTCCCACTCGCCTGTAGAATTGATTTTGATGGGAATAGACAGTCATAGAGCTATGTAGGATAACATACTGCGTAACGAGGAGTGGGCGTGGCGTGCCAAGTGGTTTCGACTAGTGCCCGGTACTCCGGCAAATACCCCGCTCACACAAATCAACTTTATATTTTAAATCATCCGAATTTCCCTCAACAATCCTGTTCCAACAGGATCAACGTTTGCAGCAACAAACATGCCGTAAGTTACAATTTAAGTACTCACAGCAGTAGTTGCATACTAATAAATCATCACAGTGGCTGGCTCAATCGGGTATGCTCCGTCGCCTCACTTCATCACGACTAGTATCACTGACAACCACAAAGTAGAGCGGTTAGTACACTCTATCTCTGTCAATCAACGTGTGACTAATTCCCAAATCAGTGTGGCTCTTAACCTCAAGGTTGTGGGTTCGAGTCCCACGTCAGGCTCAATTCCAGACGTTAAATCTTTTTTTGGAGATTTTGGGAGCTTTGCGCTGTAGTTATTTTGCTTATATCGATACTATAGTATGCATTATCACTAAATAAACAAATCTAAAGAACTTCCTTTTTATCTTTCTTCGTCTATCTTACTATTTCACTACTTATAATATATTTATTCTTATATAATACTTAGGAATCCTTTTCCCGATCGTCGCTTCCTATGTCTACGAATAGTAGTAGCCGCAGGTTACTAATAAATATTCCTCGATGTACGGGGATCATCGCGTGAAAATGTGTGGCAAATAGCTCTTCATTATCTTTAACAATCTCGCAACAGCTACTTAATATTGCAGCCAGTCCACCACCAGGAACTGGCAAGACTGCCGTCCCATTTCCCCTTCTCCCCCCTTCCTCTGTCGCCACTAGCTGTTCACGGTGGGAATACACCAATGCCGACCTTATCCTTCGTGATATTCAGTTGATTCTCATTTACACTTAACTCCACCTGGGCAGTCTCTCCTGATAATGGATTTGAATCTCACCCGCGCATCACTCGTATCAGGACTACTCCAACCCCCTCGCACCTCGATTTATTGTCTCTCCGCCGCATCCATCGTAGTGCCAAGAACTATTCATTGCGTAGACGGTGTATGCTCGCAGGTCCAATTTCAGTTACCTGGGCTTTGCATCCCATCACCTTGCCCCAAAGCACAATGATCTGCTCCATGGATGCAGCAACTGGTTCAGGAATGTCGACCAAACTATAGCGAAATCTTTCGTAGTCCCGCCACTGAAAGCGAACTTTGCCAGGTGCAATTGTGGTTTTGGGAGGGTTCAAAAGCTCCCATCGAACAGGTCCGCCCATCCAGTCTTCACAATAGAGCTTGATCCGATCAATTATTGAGGGCGAATGGAATCTCGTGAATGTTGCAGTTTCGGCCATGAATTCGATATTGGTTGGAAAGCTTGCTCTCGTGTGCTCAATCCAAAGTCGCATGGTCCATTGAAGAGTGGCCATGTACTTCGAGAACCAATAAAGATACTCGCTAAAATCATCATCTTCATATGCACTGGAGGAGGCACAAGGACCACTCCCCTGCGATTGGGTGGAACCAGAATTATTAGGCATTGCAATATGAAGAAGCGTACAGCTGGTGAGATCCAGCGATGCACCACACCCCACACATGATTCAGGATTCTGAATTGGATTGATGTGTGCACATACGCATTCCCATGCGTTAGGTTGCATGGTGTTCGTGGTACGATCCATCACGGGACCAGTAGCATCAGTTGCCATGATGACACCAGACTGCACTTTCAGATTTACTACACTGAGAAATAGAAATTATGATTGAACACTATGTAACCTCCACCGTTGACAATTCAGAACTGTTGGTTCAGATGGCCACACAGAAAGGATGGTAAAAACGACTGAGGGAAATCAGAAGTTCAGATGGCTGATCCAGAATATGAGAGTGTGAGCGAGATGAAAACACTTGATAGATGTGAGAAGTTGGAGGAGTTGAGGAGGGCGTCACCCAGGCTGATAGCGAGGGCAATGAGATAAGAACAACTGATAGATATCGAACTTGAAGTAGGAGGGATAGGAGGAGTGGGAAGAGAAAGAAATGAGTGCAAAAGTTTTGCGGGAGAAGAGACTTAAATAGGCAGACAAGGCATGAGCCTCAGGCGCCCACCAGTCCCAACAATATTGAAGGTGCAGCGATGAGTCAACCTCGTGCTCAACCTCGCACAAAGAGTCCCTCCTGCTCCACAGCTCATTTTGTTCCTCCTTGTAATATTCTCAGGTGCGACTCCCACAACACAGCTATGTTCGTCCTTGCCACGTTGCCCAATTCATGGATGAAGAGCGAGGTGGCTATCAAAGATGTATGACGAAATTGCCTCTGATGTTGCCGAGTAGTGGCATAAACTTGGCCAGTGTATGCTCGATGGCAAATCCGAAAAGTTTTCGTTCCAGTATCGGATAAATCCACTCTATTTCAGTAGGCAATAGCATCGTCATACAAGCTCATGCCACAAGTGGCCACCTCTCACACCGATCTCCTCAATACTGTACGCTTTCGCACCGATGGGGCCCTCGCTCTCAAGGATGTAGCCCTTCTCGCACTTGGAGAAACTCACTCTCTCTTGCTGTAGCTCGTAAAAGTCGTCAAAGCGCGAGTCCAGCGCATCGTACAAGTTCTGCACATTACCGCTCGGGTGCAAGACTTCCCAGGGATGCGTACACTCTCTGGCTTTGCAGGTCTTCAAGACCAGAAGAAGGGAGTCGAGGCGTGATATCAATGTCCCGAGTTTCGCTGAGGCCGACTTTCCGGAGTTTACTTGCTCGAAGGTGAATATTGCCGAGTGATTTGTAGGATAGAGGTTGTTTATTTCATAAGGATCATTCTGTATCTTTTGGTCAGTGGTCAAGGTTTGTTTCAAGATTACACATTCTCACAATGAGATCATACAGCTGGTGCTCACCACTGCACCAAACGCTGTAGTACAAGCTGTAACCCCTACCGATTACCCTCAGTGCTTTGTATGTGTTGTTGTCAAACCATCGTTGGCCATAATCCCCCTCAGACAGAGCAAAGCCCCAGTATTCGACATTCACATGTTCGTGACGAGTAACTTGGGCCTCGTCAAGACCCGGCGCATCCAGAGGAATAACAGCTCCATCAAAATCGGCTCGCAGTTTCCCGTGAACCAGTGAAAGGAATGTTGGTGCCAGATCTGTGTGAGTGGTGACAATGTCACTGACCTTACCCTTAGGAACACCAGGACCGCGAACGATCAACGGAATATTAATATCTTCTTCAAAGCCGCATTCTTTGCCGGGCTGAAGTCTGTGTTGTCCAATGTGGTATCCGTTGTCGCTGGAATAAAAGATATACGTATTGTCGAGGATTCCGTATTCGTCAAGGCGCTTGATCACCCCATCGATGATCTCATCAACAGCCTGGAGTGCTCGAAGGCGATTCCGGTAGAAGTGGTCGTTGAAGTCGACATTGTTTTGAGACTGTTTTGGAAGACCGGCAATCCATGAAACTCCACTTGCCTATATTGCACTTTAGCGATGTCAGAAGATTCAATGACCAGTCGGTTGCCCACTTTATCTGGATTGAAGTTAGGAGTTCTCGGCACAATTTCATCCTTGAACAAATCCTTATGTCTTTCTGCGGGGATTGGTGGAGAAGTAATGATGGTATCTCCAGAAGCATTTCCACCAAACCAATCCTGCTTGAATGCGACATTTGAGTGGGGTGCATTACTGGCGATGGTGAGGAAAAAGGGTTTCTTCTCGGACACGGCATCCTCCAGAAAGTCATACGCTTTGCTCGCAAGTACATCGGTAGAATAATTGCCTTCGTAGCTGACAGGGGCGTCTTTGTCGGTCTGAAACGTACTGTTTAGATATTGATAGGTAAAGGGATCTAGCAAAAATGAAGACCTGGTGAAACCCTTGGGGAACGGCGCGTCATAATTCTCAACTGTATGGGCATTGAAGAGCTTCCCGGTATAGTACGTGTTGTATCCAGCTTCCTGCAGCCATACCGGTAGCCATGCCTCATTTAGGCCTTGACTGACGAACTTGGGGTAACCACCTGATCAGAGATTAATTTTTCAGACGCACAAAGTTTTGCCCTGGTTGATGCGTACCATATGGTGGATTGACATCAGTCACATTGGTGTTGTGCGCTGCTTTCCCAGTCCAGAGACTTACCCGCGATGGACAGCAGAGTGCGATGGTACAATAATGTCGACGGAAGAAAGTTCCTTGATCAAGTAGATGCTGTTTGAGATATGGCATATATGAAAGAGAGTCCAGATGTAGATCTTGGTCATCTGTTAGAATGAACACAACGTTAGGCCTATCATGAGCTTCAGTCGTAATGAGAGTGTTAGCTATGATTTGCTGGTTGTCCTGGGCAGCATTGCCCATCGCCTGGGCGTTGAGGACAAGACCGAGCAGTAGTAATAGCTTCTGCAAGCGAGCCATACTTATCGAACGATCCAAAGACAGCAGATATCTCTACCTCTGGCAAGAACTGATGGCCGCTGCTAGAGTTGATAACGATGTTGATATTAGCATGTGGATTGCCAGAACCCTGATTGCGTGACCAGGACTCCAGTTGACGCGACGACTCTGCGACCAGGTCTTTCGATCGCATTTCAACGGTGTGTCCAGTCATACTCGTAGGTATTTCTCTTTTTTTTTAAGCATCAATTCCAAGTGTCATTCTCAGACTAATCCGCTATGGTTGGATTAGACGAGAGAAGCCCGCTTCTCGTGGTAGACGAGGCGGTAAATAGCTCCTCAAGTGATTCAAGTGTCAGTGATGGAGAGGAGCCCGCCATCACCAAGCCCACCCCAGAATACGGCGCAACACTTCGCCGATATTCATCGCCTGGCTCTCTTCCCCCTTTCCATCAAGATCATCCTCCAGGACAAGAACCATCACCGAGTTTGGCAATCTGGACCGTGATTCCTATTCTTTTGATTGGTAGGCCTGCATGCGTTCTGTGTTGATATGTGTTACTGACTCCCCAGGGGTACTTATTGGTAATGCGGACGGCACCTTAGTGATCGCTTCCAGTCAGCATATCGCTTCGGAGTTTCATGCGTTATCGAAGGCGTCATGGCTCGTGACGAGCTTTATGCTCGCAGCATGTGCGAGTCAAAGTCTAGTAATGATATCGTTGCCCTTCGCCTAGCTGATGGCTGACTGATCATTGCAGTATGGAAAGTTCAGTGACATTTTTGGTCGCAAGAGTAATCTTGCGTTTGCCTACACATTCTTTGGGGTCGGCCTTGTTATCTGGTAAGTATAAGGAAATCATACCTGATGAGCCAAGGGTGACTACTGAAATGGCGGACAGTGGTGTTAGCAAGACCTTCTGGCAAGTCCTCAGCGGTCGGGCGCTGAGTGGCATTGGAGGTGCTGGCATGACAGCATTGGTATCGATCATTATCGCTGGTGAGTAGTAGCCTTCTCCACTTCTCGCGGTCTTCTTCCTCATCTTCATAGATATGGTACCAGTACGCGATGTTGCGAAATGGAGAAGCTATGTCAACGTCGCAGCAACACTCGGGCGGTCGATAGGAGGTCCTCTCGGAGGCGCACTTACTGATTCAATAGGCTGGCGATGGAGCTTCAATGGCCAAGTGGTACCAACTATTCTAGGCTTGGTATTGATCATCTGGAAGATCCCATCTCACACGGACAAAGATGAACGAGGTGCGGATCAATCGCTCCTACAGAAAGTAGGAAGGATAGACTTCCTCGGCGCATTTCTCCTGGCCACATCGATCAGTGCACTGCTCTTAACCCTTGATTTTGCTAGTAACGACTCTCCCTGGGCCCATATCTCAATAACGGCAGTCTCTTGCATTGTCTCTCTTGTTCTCTTCTATTTGGTCGAACGCCATTGGGCGAAGGAGCCAATCTTGCCGATCGAGTTAATCACGAAGCGAGATGTCTTCACCCCTTACCTCATTTCTGGATTTCAGATGGCAGCCCAATTTGGGATTATGTACTCTGTGCCAGTATACTTCCAGATTGCCACAGGCGCGTCAGTGACGGTGGCGGGTGCTCATCTTGTTCCTGCTGTGGTTGGGAATGCAACTGCTGGACTTCTCTCCGGGTACCTCATCACCAAGACAGGTCGATACAAGATCTTAACAACAGTTGGAAGTGCTCTCGCATCGATTGGCTACCTACTATTGATCATCCGCTGGAAGGGACAGACAGGCTGGGTCGAAGGTCTCTACATCTTCTTCGGGGGCTTTGGAGCTGGCACACTTCAGTCAACGACATTCGTCCACCTAGCCGCTGCTCTCGACCACAGCGATATAGCCATTGCGGGGACGGCTCATTATCTAGCTGGAAGCATCTTCATGCTCACTGGAGTGCAATTATCACAGACAGTGGTGCATACACGGTTGAGAATTGTCCTCAATTCGAGTCTTGAAGGTTTCAATCACAAGAAACAGGTATGTATTCTTCACAATCTTGTCTGAGTTGTGACATTGCTAAGCGTGAACTGTAGCTGATAAATGATGCAATATCAAGTGTCGAGCTGATATGGGAGATGCCAGAAAATGTGAAGAAAATTGTGGTTGGTGCTTACATCGATAGCCTTACATACACCTACGGTTTGCTTGTATCACTCCTACCTCGCGGCGCATACTGACAATCTCTGATAGCCCTTTCCTTAATTTTCGCCTTTCTTGGCTTGCTTGCCGGACTTACTCTTCGAGAGCGCAGGCTCTGAAAGATATCGGTTCATTAATTTAAGATGGAATTTACAGAATGGAAATAGAAAATAGAATTCTCGGCAGATATAGTAGTCTGCCAGGCGGCCACCCGAATTCAAACCTTATACCTAATAGATCCGAGCTTCCTCGAATGATATGGCAGAAAGGGTAGTATTTTGAGCGATCTTCAACATCTTACGGATCTGTTGCTGGTAGTGGTGGACTTTTCAGTCCAAATCGCTTGGTCGTGGTGGCCCACTGCTATGATATCGAGTATTGAGAGGCTACAATGACATATTTAGACTTCTAACTTCAGAGTTATGAGCCGAGCTTTTTGATTTCATCAAATACATTTCCATACATGGCCAGGGGAATCGAGAACAGGTCCTAAAAAATGTATGTCCATGTTCATCCTCGTGATGTAAATGACGCCATCAAGCACAATTCACAGCCTCGTGGCTTCTCCGCACCACGCTAAGCACAAGTAGTTAGCTCCGCATTCTGGAGTTCACAGCTTCTCCAAAATGTCACAGGTACATCTTATTGTTCGTAGATTTCTTGAAACCAACACACCACGATGCCACATTACCATTCCGTTAACACCCGAGCCGTCAGAATCCCAGGTAAATGCAGAGACTATGCGCAGGAGCTTCAGCACATCTGCGCGAGTCTTGAGCCATGAGAATCCTTTAGTAAGTCACCTACGCTTTTGAAGCAGTTCCTCCGCCCTATCATGAGCTGAGCAGGTATTGCTTTGGCCGCCGGGCTTGTAGCACTTGTGAATGAACTGTCCTAACCAGAACAACAGGGTCTCCCACGCAGATCCGAGGCGTCAACAGGACGCCCTCGTCCCAGCGCTGGTGGCCCACCACCAACCCTCCCACGCGCACAACGCGGACTACCACAGAAACGCCGGATCCCCAATGTCGCGCACGTCATCGCCGTCTCGAGTGCCAAAGGCGGCGTCGGCAAGTCCACACTGGCGGTGAACCTGGCGTTGTCATTCTCCCGACATGGCCTGCGCACAGGACTGCTGGACACCGATATCTTTGGCCCGTCGGTGCCGACACTGCTAGGCCTCAGCGATGCCGGAGAGCCGAAAGTGACAGAGCGCAACATGCTGGTCCCATTGACGAGCTACGGCGTCAAGAGCATGAGTATGGGATATTTACTGCCGAGCGAGGCGGCACCCGTCGCGTGGCGCGGCCTCATGGTCATGAAGGCGCTGCAGCAGCTGTTGCACGAGGTCGATTGGGGGCTGCCGGCGGGGTTGGATGTCCTGGTTCTGGACTTGCCACCCGGTACGGGTGACGTGCAATTGACGATCGGGCAGCAGGTGGAGCTGGACGGCGCAGTCGTCGTCTCGACGCCGCAGGACATCGCACTGAAAGATGCCGTCAAAGGTGTCGCGATGTTCCGCAAGATGGACATCAACGTCCTCGGCATGGTGCAGAATATGAGCGTCTTCGTCTGTCCGCATTGCCATGCCGAGACACGGATCTTCGCACAGCCTGGTAGACATGGACATGAACATGGGCATGGCGGCTTGGTAGGGGCGGAGGCGAAAGCCAATGAACTGGGAGTCGAGTTCCTCGGCGATGTCCCTCTCGATCCTAATATTTGCGCAGATGCTGATCGAGGTATGCCCACTGTTGTTGCCGAAGAAGCCAGCGGGCAAAAGATTAACACGCATTATTACGAAACTATTGCAGCAAAGGTTGCAAAGAAGATCGGCATGAATTGGACTTGAAGATTGTTAGCGGTTTGGTCTCAGATTTGTACAAATATGTATTATTATATCAAGGGTATAAGGATGGTGTTACATTTTGTCATCGCCTCTATGAAACTGTACCAGACATTCACCGAACCAGATCATCCTCACTGCGAGTCGGGTTTGTTGTTCTACAATTTTATTGCTAGATGGATATCTCGTTTGCTGCATGTCTTCCTGCTGTAACTCTTCAGAGCTTTTCCAGGGCAGTTTCAAATTTGGTGTCTACACGGTCATATAGCTTCGGTCGATCAGACACGCCTTGTTTTGCCGCCACTGTTAGAGAATCAGCTTCGGAGAATGTAGTGTCTTTGACTGAAGTCTCGCTGTCTGTGGTAGATTGTTGTTCTCCGTTTCTGGCATCGTTTGCCCTGTCACTGAGGTGAACATTCTCACTGAGACCATCACGCTCCATAGACTCGCTATTCTTGTTCTCAGGAACGCCCTCGACAAGATCGGAGATACCTTCCACCCTTACCACGGCAATGGCACTCGGACTTCTCAACGGATCCATTCGTCCCATTCCCTCATCTTGCTGATGACTTCGCAATCTCTCGAGACTCCTTTGGCTGCGCGGTGTGTCGGAGCCTGTGATGCCAAGACGTGAGGTTGTTGTGGGAGAAGGGACGGTATCGAAATTGTCTGATGTTGGACCATCCAAGTCCGAGAACACACTTCTAGTCTCGTTCACCAATGGACTTGTTGGTCTTGTCGTGGGTGCGAGTGATCTGTCATCCGTACCGTCTGTCAGGTTTCGATCTTTGGAAGAAAGAACACCTGGAACGGCAAAAACTGCACGAGTGGAAGCGTCATCCGCCATCACACCACTTCGGCTAGTCATGATACTTGCCACCTCGGAAGCCGGCCCTGAACCAGCAGAATCATCGCGTAGATGAGAAGCGGTCTTGAACTTGGGTATGAAGCCTGCTGAAAGTAACTCTGTCTCCGGCGATTCTATGGTAGATTCGAGTGGTGTGTTCGAAGTAAATGTGAAGGATGGGATTGGCGTCGGATCAGTGGTAGCCCCGATGGACTTTGATTTTGACTGTTGAGAACTTAAATCATCTGGTACGACAGTAGAAACCGGCAGTGCAGGAAGATCCATCGCCTCTGTCTGACCTGCATCGGTGACCGTGACTGTTCGTCGGCGACCACCCTGCGATCCAGAATCATATGTCTTCCTCCGCCGGCCACTCGAGCTGCGATGGCGGGAACTACTTTGATGCCGAGTTGTAGAGGGATGCGGAATGTTGGCGACGGGGTTGATTTCCGCCCGTCCATCGTGCACATTGGTTTGTGTATCTTGAGAAGTGACCTCGATCGGTTGTGATCTTTCTTCCTTTTCCATCTCTACTGCCTCCTCCTCGCGCTTGAGCGTCGCTTCATCGTGCTTGCTGCCCCATCCACTCCACATAGCAAGACCATAACTCTTCCGTGGCTTCTTGGAAATAGGACCTTTGTCTGTTCTTCTCGAAGCAAGTGCACTGGGAGGAGGGTTTTCCCCAATCTCATTTGGTCTTATCTCACCACTTGCCAGAACTCTGATACGTTCTTTTTGAACTTTCCTTCTCGTGCTTGCATACTTTTCGTCCCAGCTTTTCTTGGCTTGAAGCCACTTCTGTACTGGTCCAGGTTTCACGATGCCCACTTGATTCGGGCCTAGCTGTAAAGCAGGAAGGTCTGATACATCTGCCAGGCGATATATCCTGCCAGACCGATCGACTCTTTCGCGAATCATGTTGTTAACAAATGTTGGAATCGCATCTCCAGCCCTGCCAACGCTACCTGTGATAGTATTGAGATCCAGTTTATGCTTGGTTAAGCTGTCCGTTGAAGAATCAATTTCTTCTGAGTCGCTGCCACTTCTTGAAGAGATTATCGAGATGTTATCATCATCTACAATCTCAATAGCTCGCCTTTGTGCTCTAGCTAAAGCCCATGCTCCAAATTGGGCTATCGATCTGTACATGAATTTTGCTGGTCGAGTGAACGATAAAGTCGGTGCAACGTGGCAGAGGTCCTCCCAAACTTGTAGATGCACTGGAGTGGGTTTGTACTTGTTGAGTAAAGTGTTATCTGGGTCATATATAGATCTGTATGCGTCTCCCAACGGATATTTCGAAGGGTTGGCTGCTTTGTGTGCGAGGTAAATTTGTTCATCACGAAGGACCTCCCCTCCACCTGTGAGGATCAGAAGTGGAGGGAGACCACCAAGGGATGGTTGTAAGACTGGAGATACCAATGGATGTTTCAACAGCTGGTTGGTCGTGTACATTTGGATTTGTTCCTTTAGTGTGACCTGCTTGCCGTCGAGTTGCACGGACAAATAAAGACTATGTGTAGTTTTCACACCATTGGTATCATCGATTGGAGCCTGAAGTGCCGGAAAAGGTTCTTTGTCCTGTTCCTGTACCTCCCCAGATGCTTTCTGCTCAGAGAAAGCAGGCTTTAATTGGGATTTTGGCGACTGCTTGGTCTTCTTGTTGCTCTCAGCGGCTTCCTGGATGTAGCACTTCTCGTCATCGGTGGGTGGAGGCCACGACAGAGACGGCTTGTGCATAAATCCATGCGGAGGAATATAGTCGAAGTCATTGGATCCCACCAAGCTCGGAAATGAATGTGTCAGATCCACCCAAGGAGAAATAAGGATTGCACCAGCTGGAAGAGGTACGCCTCGATCTCGAAGTATGCACAAAATCGAAACCACCATTCCTCCGCCAGCTGAATCACCAGCGAGGATAATTTCGCTTGGGTCATGGATACTCAAGAGATAGAGATATGCTGCAAGGCAGTCCTGCAAGGCACATGGAAAAGGAAATTGTGGTGCAAGTCGATATCTTGGGGCAAAGACGCGAGCTTTCAGCTTCCGAGCGTGTCTTTGCATCTGGTATCTGTGCTCGTCGACGCTGCCAAAGAAGTAGGCGCCTCCATGAATGTAGAGCATGATCCGTCGACTCCTCCCACCCTTCTTCTTCTGCTCGTTGTAATGCGCCCTCATTTCGATCCATTCTGCTTTCAGGTCATCATCCTTGGGCCGCCACTGCCACCACTTCTTCCCTCCAACCTCGTGTATTCCTTGAGGACCTAATTGCGCAATGATCGCTTCGGCGGCTTTCTTAATGTGGATGGTGGGGATAACGACGTTCTCAGTCCTCACCCAAGATGGATTGGGCACCCACTGAGATGTGAAAGCCTGTAGATCTTCCACGGTGTGGTGAGAGGCATAGTTTAGGAATGATCGGATGAGATGAAGTCCCTCATCGTAAGAAATGTGAGCGGTGGGTTTTTCTCGTCGCGACTTTCGGTTCGTGTACTGGAGAGGAATATCAGTAACGGGGTTTGGACAGGGGCTTTGACCCTCCATACGTGTGATATATATGTCTTGACGACCGTAGGAGTGACTGCAGCCCCAACACCGACTGTTGTTATGGGCATATTTATTTAACTTAGAAGTACGCGTTGCGCGAGCATCACTTGTGTAGAAAACAGGAGGGTTCAGAAAGCAAAGCATGAGGTGTTTTGATCGTCTTAAAGCGACATGATGAGCTGTGACCACACAGGGTCCCCTTGACGATGAGGGCTAGGGGTTTCATTCCTTGGGGCCAGCCCAAAGCCTTTGTTTGGGTCTCCGTGAGAACTCGGGGCTCCGCGTTTCCGCAAAACTACGTCATGAAATCAGCACGTGTTAGGTAAGCACCCAGCCTTGTCAGGTGACTAGACCACCAGCCTGAGGTGAAGCCTTGTTCAAGGCAGTATTTTTCAAGGTTGGCCTATTGTACTGTCGTCTGTTCTGACCATCTTAGAGCTGTATGGGATTGTCAAATTGGCAAATACTAAGTATGCTATATGTCGTGCGTCTTCATATACAAGAATTTGCGAACTGCTGAGTAACCTAATTTCACGACCATCGTCCCCTCCATGCTTGATCAAGATCTTCATCGCCTTGTCCCTTTTGCTTCTTGCGTGCAATCCCTTCCTTGACACATTCTGCAACGTCTTCAGCCGTTGTACCTCTCTTTCGCTTCTCAACTCTTTCTTCGCCAAGCACGGTTTCCTCGGTTACGAACTTATATATATCGGCAATTCCATCGTAGATCTGGCCACCACCACTTCCATGGCCAAAGCCTCCATCTTCTGCAAACGTCTCTCCAATCTGTCGCATCTCATCAACCCAACGATAGGCCTTTGGTGGCATTGCTGTCAGACCGTTAGTCGCAAGTGCAAGAGTATTTGGACTATATTCCTTGAGATGTTCTTGCAAATGGGGCAGGACCCCAGCTGTTTGAGCGGTGGTGAAGGAGAGTATGGATAGCGCTGTCAGGCCTTTCGTAAGGGATGCGAAACATGCTTTAAGTGCCGATCCGGGGCCAATGGTATTGCCCACTACCTTAATATTCAGAAGTGTTATCAAAGACTCAGGTAGCAAGTCCTTGATCCCGGGGCCGGAGATCACCACCGATGGACGCTTCCAACTCTGGTCCTGTTTCAGCGACGGTGGACCACCAATGATGCCGCCATCGAGGAATTTGATTGGTATTGGTTCTGGTTCGGGCTCTGAATTCTTGCGAAATGAGAACGTCCTCGATATGGATAGCCTCCGGGGCAAAGACGGCGATAGTTCAGCGGTGAAAATCCCCGCAATCGTCTTCGCGCTGCGGGGTGATATAGCATTCAGGTCGATATAGGTCAAGCTCGGTGCTTGACCAAGTGCCGCGGTTCCTTTCCTTTCGCTTCGTCTTTTGATCGCGTCGTTGGATCTGCTTGCTTCCAGAGCCCGTCTTGCTGTAGCAATGGCATCCCGAGGTGGCACGATACTTAAGATGATATCAGACTCTGCCACGAGTTCTTCATCAGAGTCAAGTGTAGTGATCTTAGCGGACTGGATCCTCTCCACTGTGTGTTTGCTGATCTCAACTCAATGACTGCCACTACTGCCTCGGGTTAAGCGGGACGTACCTTCTGCCTTTTGCGACGGTGTAGACTGTGTGACCATGCTGTCGTAGCAGGCGAGCAATGCCCAATCCCATGTCTCCGATCGACAGGATTCCCACCGCGAGCTTGACTTGCGACGATGATGCCATTTTAACGAGTCTTTCGTTGGGTGGCCGGTGAATGCAAGGTATTTGGGTAGTAGTTGTTGGAGAGAAATGGTTCATGTTACTTTGGTAAGAAGGTCGATGTTGATCACGCGGGCGTACAAGCTAAACCAATCGGTCATTTTCTCACCCATCCGATGTCCAATCCGACTCACACCGCTGGGACTTCCATGGGCTAAGGCCGAGTACTTGGTAACCTCAAGTCAGCGAACCTGGATAGAAATGGATTGAAAACTACTAGTACTAGTACTACAGGTTCCATTCAACGAAAATCGTATTGTTTTCTATAAGAGTTCGATAAATGCTACTGTATCACTGGTCGTGTTGCGCGTCCTTCGACAATTAATTCCCCGGAATGCACAACTGGGGCCACCCCTCTTGGCTAATGCTTAGGTGGGCTTATAGGCACTACAGAAACGTCCCAGGTGTGAAGTGGTACTTGCACTGTATCTTGCATACCTGCCTAGGTAGGTACCCCAGGTCATAACCAGGCAGTTTATCAGTTGGTGAGACTACCCCGGACACTATTCACAAGCCTGTTGATGTCGTCATTCGGTTGATTTATCACGATCCTGTGATCAAAATCGGCTCAGATTTCTAAGGGGTCCCAGTGATCGACACCGGGGCTCACTTCGTATTATGGGCGCCCGGGCTCCCCTAAATTAGCTGTATTTTACAGCCCGTAGGCCGCCGATTGGGTTTCAACTCTACCCCCAATTACCGACTTAACTAGTAGTAGCGTTCCAGCTTAATAGAGCCCCCTTGGCTACCACTAATTAAATCCCCTGCCTTCGCGTACGAGTAGGTAACAGATCTACTTCGTAAGTCCCGCACCTAAGCTAAGTGCCCTAGGCTTGTCTGGATTCCCACGCCCAAAATCAACGTCAACGCAATTACTACTAAGGACTTAGGTACACATCTTTCATTCCACTACAATAAGCCGGTATAAGTTGACAGGTAAGTATTCTCTGGCCGACAATGAGCCCCAAAAGAGACCTCCACACATGGCGAACCATGATGGCTCTTGGGGCGGACGACAACCCAATTCTAATATGGGGCAATCACGATCTCGTGGCATCAAGTTACACGATGGTCAGAAATTGTTACCAATATTATTTTTCTAGCAGTAATTGCTCACCATTAGCCTTAAACAGATTGAAAACCAATCTGGCCGGCCGGTTTTCACCATAGTACTGTACATTTACAGCTCGACGTAATGGCTGTGTTCATGGGTGCCCATGGCCTTCATCTGAGGAGCAGCGAGCTGTCGACGTGGCCGCCCTACTCCCACGGGTACTTTCTTCGTACTCAACTGTCCAAGTTTGCGTCTTGGATATGATCATCTGCTGAGAATCCCTGCTTCCGCTCGAAATCCCATGTCCTACAACTGCACTTTGATGCATTCCATATGAATCTGGGATGAAGACCCTGGGGGGCGGCGCTGGATTGGCCTTGGTGTTGCTCGGCCGGTCTTCCACAAAGGCATGCATCGCTGGCTTATTGCCGGCCCCGGCACTGTCTTTGATGGCACTCAACATGAGATACTCGCTTCCCTTGCGCCCACGAACGCCGGTTTTGTATCCAGAAGTATTGGTGTCGACGGTAGTGATGAGAAATCCAGAGTGGAAAGGGCGCAAGATCGATCTCAAACAGGTCAGGGTGCCCAGAATAAACGCAATCTGCATGCACGCTTCAGTAAAGAGACTGACCATCACCCTGGGTTCATCTTGATCGATATTCCTGGCAGGAGAGAGGTGCAACAGCCTCAGTGCGACGAACGGAGTAAGGCTAGCATTCTGATCAGTCGCCATTCGCAAGTCAGTCTTTGAAATACTCACAGCAATCGGATAAGAAATACTATCGAGACCGACAACCGTTTTGACACCGGCATGTGAAGACTCCACACCAAAACAGACGAGGTCACACAAAGGCAGAGATCGATAAGAAGGCCGGCCACTTCAACACCCAACCAACGCCGATACTGTCATGGGTCAGTACCTGCAGGCTAATTTAATGGGGATCTATCAATATACCAAGGCTTCGCCCCCTTCCAATGTTGCCCACGGTTGAGATATATCTCCTCTCAACGCGACAATCAGCGCCGATGCGACTATGATGACTATGGTGGTCGCAGTCCAGATGTGAGCAAGAATTTTGTGACTTCGATGACGGCTGAGTCGAGTGGTGAAGAAACAGGTAGACAATCTCGTGCAACCAATGGAGCAGATATACAGAATCTGACTTGCATAGAGCGATTTTTCGACACCGTTCCGCGCTGATCCTGTGAGCTGAGACCAACGATTGCCGTAGCCATGGGTAACGGCATTGCAGGTAGTCGCAAATTGCACGATAGAGATTATCTGCGCAGAAACATCGTCAGTAAATACTATGTACTCTGACTCGGTCTGGTGAGCGGTGGGTCTGATGGTCAAACGTACAAAAGCCAGGGAAACAAAGGTATCATCAAAGCCCCAGAAATCCACGGCTCGCAACCTGGTCTTGACCCATATACGAACAGCGAAGATCAAAGTGGCCCAAATCATCAGAATGCCACCAACCGAAGTCAGGGCGGAAGCATTGTTGCCAGCCATAGCAAAGGGTGAACCGCATGCGCTACGAAAAATGAGTCGTCGTGCAAGGGATATTGTGAACATATCGGGAGCCTTACAACCTACATATACGAACGAGAGCTATATGTGGCTTCCTTTTCGCTCACCCAGGTCCAGCCCGCAGGTTGCGACACATCGTGTTGAATCCCTATCTCGTCGAACCACTCCTCCTGTTTGGACCATGAGTAGCACGCATTCGGACAGTGAACAAGAAAAAAGTTATGCTAGGCTTCCTGGTCGCGCCAGTAGCGAGGGTAGCTTTCAGATGCATTAATGGGTCTTGGAAGCTGCCGCGTTTAGCCATCAACAGTAAGTATTCAACCATAGGATTCGTGGAGGTTTGTGACTTGATGCGAAGGCCTGCACGGGGAAGATGAGACATACGCCTGCCGAGACTAGGGTACCCACCTAGCTCATATCTGCCGAGCATGATTCAGGAAGGAGACCATGCGCTAGACGACCCCCTGGACGGGCCGCGCCACAGGAGACATTGATCGACACCACTAAACTCGAAGAAAGCTATGTATAACGAACTATCACGTACCTTTCCCACATATCTGCAAAGGACTCAGATTCTCTTTTGTAGGTGTCCACGAAGGGGAAATGGTGACCGACGACCCTTCGAACAAGCTCTGCGTCGCATAGCATAGGAAAGATCATTGCAATCCACTACCGGAACCCTGGCTTTTCGTGTTCCTGGCAGACGATTCCGGCTAAATGATGGAACCCTCGAGGGTATGGTAGATACGCGCATGCTTGTGCTGCAACTCTGTGACTTGCAAAGCACCATGGCCTACATGCACCCATGTGGAGATTGCTCAGTTCTGTGATTCAGTTACCAGGACGGAACATTCGCAATCTACGCTTGCTCAGAGCTAGTGTTCATTGTAGTTGGCCGGAGCTGCAAATCAGGCCACGAACCCCCTTCGCGTGGACGCAAGCCGCATCTGGAATGTCATCTCTAGCGAAGCCACAGTTAGAGTAGGGGACCTTAACATTTCTTCTCTCCTCTCTCACAGCGGCACCTTGCACCTTCTTCTCTCCTCAGCTAAGAGAAGAGACAGCACTCGCATTTCAGCTATCATGCAGAATCAAAGATATCTTGGAGAACACGGTGAGGCGGTCGAAATGTCCCCTCAGTCACACTCGAATACTTCTGGTGTTGCTCTGACCGGCAATAAGGAAATCCTTTCGGTCGAAGCAAGCTCACTGGAAGATGCAAACAAGCACGTGTCAGTCACCCATTCAACCCCAGACGATGAAGCCGGCATGCGCCGCATGGGAAAGGAACAACAGCTTGTCCGACATTTTCGTCAGCTATCTGTAACCAGCTTCACTGCTCTTTCTGTTGCTGCTTGGGAACTGGGACTGTTCCTCGTGAGCCCTGCTCTCATCAATGGAGGTCGAGCTGGACTTATCTGGGGCAGTCTTTGGATATCCATTGGCTTTGCTCCAGTGTACATCAGCATGGCCGAGATGGCATCAATGGCTAGCACCGCTGGCGCCCAATATCACTGGGTATCCGAATTCGCTCCTGAGGGCTGTCAACGTATTCTCAGCTACTTTACTGGGTTCGTATCTTCCCGCCTTCAGGATCGTTGAGAATAGCTAACGCATGGCAGATGGACCTCGACAATCGCCTGGCAGGCAGGAAACGCCATCGGCGCCTTCCTTGCAGGTAGTTTGATCCAAACCATGATTCTCATCAATGATGAGAACTACGCGTTTCCGAACTGGCACGGCACCCTTTTGGCCTTCGCTGCCATCCTTGTCGCATACATTGGTGCCATCTGGGGCTCGAGGATTCTACCATACTGGCAGAATGCTATCTTTGTTGTTCATGTCCTTGCCTACTTTATTTGGTTTGTGCCCATTTGGATCAACGCCCCCAAAGCCTCGCACAGTCAGGTATGGACAGAATTCAGCAATACTGGCGGGTTCGGTAGCATGGGTCTGGCAATAATGATCGGCCAGCTCACCGGAATCTCTTGCAACCTCGGTGTTGATACGGCTGCGCACATGTCAGAAGAAACCAAGGACGCCGCAAAAGCAGTACCCAAAGCCATGATCGCCATCTATATCATCAACTTTGTAATTCTCTTCCCGGCCATCATCACGATCTGCTATGCTATGCCCGACTTGGATGCGGCTCTCAATGATTCGACCACATACCCTTTCATCTATGTCCTACGCCAGTCAATGTCTATCACGTGGGTGACGGTTGTTCTTGCAGTCACCACATTCATCCTGATCTGTTGCAATATTGTCTACCTCGCTGCAGTGGCACGCGATATGTGGGCATTCGCTCGCGACAGGGGAATGCCGTATTCAAACTGGTTGGGGGCCGTGCATCCGAAGCGCCACATACCCGTGAACGCCAGCATCCTTACCTCGTTTCTCAGTGGAGCGCTGGCTCTGATCTATATCGGTAGCCCGCTGGCTTTCTACGCTATCACATCGCTGTACACGGTTGCCTTATTACAATGCTACTGCTTCAGCATTGGCTGCCTCTTGTGGCGTAGAATCTACAAGCCCGAGACCCTACCGCCAGCGGCATTTTCACTGGGCAAGTGGGGCATACCGATCAATGCATTTGCCGTCATCTTCTCCATCTGGTGCTTCTTCTGGTCGTTCTGGCCTCAAGAGTACCCCGTCATGGCTGCTAGCTTCAATTGGGCATCGCCAGTCTTTGTTGCAGTGTTAATTGGCGCGACCATCTTCTTCGTCCTTCAAGGCAAGAATCAGTACTTCGGCCCCGTCACCGAGGTCGAGGGCAGGAAGACTGCGCGCAGTTAAAGGACAGGTAGGCTGACCGACATCGTCCATGAAGGAGTTGCATCCTCGGCGGACGCCTGGTGTGATGTGATTTCGGCACTTATTTCTTTGGGAGGCTGCATGTTTTTCGAGGGACAGAAAAGTTACCACCGGATACAAGATTTGCTTACACCAGTTATTGCTTTCTGCTTAGAAAGACTCGCGAAGTTGGGATGTGTGGAAATTCCGCCAACAAGCCACACGCAAAGAATCGATATTGAGGCTCAAAAAAGTGAGACCAGGTATCTTGGAGACTTGGTATCTCTGCGCAATTCAGGGACATCCATAGATAGCACATACAGGTTCATCCAGCCCATGATCAATGTTCAATGATTACCACTATTTTCAGGATTCAGGACAGCGGCCTGCGGGCTACAGATTGATCTAGGAACTTACTACTAAGTGTATTGTAGGATGGTCGATCTGCGAGGAAACAATTCCAGCTGTTGGGCAAGAGTTGTTTAGTACCTGGCTAGACACATATCAAGAGGGTCTGAACGACAGAATCAGCACCCATATTTTTATGCCGTAATAGCTTGAAGTCTGTACAAGCTCCGAGGGCGGCCTAAAGGCCATAGATGTGGATAGTATTTGTCGCTTAGACGTGGATTTACATCTTTCCGTTACGGAGTGCTTGAAACGTGTATTATTGAGATGAACGGGCTCAGGAGACACCGGGTCGAAGCGAGGATCGACCACGCCCAGAGTGGAAAATGGTGGAACAAGGTTTCATCCGGCAGACCGATCTGAAACCTGCCACATCGGAGTCTGAATTGGATGTTGACTGGATGCTAGACTAGTGTTCAAGACAACGATCTGAAAAAGAGAGGTGGATGATATCGCCGTTTGAATAGCTGACTCGTGATTATGGATTTGTAGACGTTCCCATGTGTCATGGTTTTGGGGCATGGGGAAGACGGAACATGATGATTCAGATCGTTCAAAAGACTTCTCCATTGCTTCCACCCTGTGGTGCTAAAAGGGCGTAGGAAGCAACATGAAGAGCATCCAGGGCCAAGAATTACTCAGTGCATAGTACTTCAAGTCCTTTTGTTCCGCGTCCATCAAGTGATCGACTCATGGTTGCTTCATGGAATTGGTGAGCGTCCACTATCGGCACTCCCAGGTCAGAACAGACACATGTGACAAATTACTTACCATAAGGTTTCCCGACCTGTCTCAAACCCTTCTAAATACCTACCCAGGTATGTATCTACGAGGTACGGATATCTATGTGGCTAACATGCTTCGTTAGAGACTGAGGATAGGTGACTTAGATAAGCCGTTCGGAGTCGATAGTATAGAAGAGGAATAGCGTCCTTCGCCCGTATATTGCCTGTTTTGGAGAAATTTGTTGCTGGTTGAACAAGTAGTGGATTACTTTATGATCTCAAGCGGCGATAGTGTAATCGCGAACAGCATGACGGCAGAAGGCGACCGTTGGAATTGTCTGACCAAATAAATCTTGCTGGAGTATGCAGCAAATCTCGAGCAGTGACCAATTTGCTAGCTGTCTTACGCAAAAGAGCGAGCAATATCTTTTGGTTGTGACACTCGGTTTCCATAAGAAAGGTGTTGTGGCAGTGGAAGATCCTTGGATGACGCCCGCCCTGTCGCTGAGTCTCCATATCATGGTCTCCCCTCTTTTCACCAGATATTTAGATGAACGGCTCCCACGTTGACAAATTCGCTCATCTCAACCGTCAACTACTAACACTAGGAAGTACTTAGTATTACTGTTTCCATCAATCGCAGTGTCACCAACAATCATCACGCATAGACACCACCGTCACTGAGGCGACACCTAACATTTCACCATATTGCAGAAGATCAAGACAAACAACGTACGGTGCTGCAAATTTCATCACATACACAGGAAGTGATACTATATAACACTATTGGTTCTTGAGCATTCATTCTGACCGGACTGCCTCAATAAAGCTGCGTTTCGCAGAAGTCACCGGTTACTACCCAACTACGGCTTCTCTTCGCGATGGCACATCTCGTATCTGAGATCACCGGCTTACGGATATATCCCATTAAATCATGTCGAGGCATATCGTTACCATCAGCAAAACTGACAAGGCAGGGCCTGGAGCTTGATAGACGCTGGATGGTAAGTATATTCGAGAGCCATAGCTTGCCAAAGACGCAACTCCGCTGACGTGATTGACATTAGTTCGTTGATGCAAAGAACAAATTCGTCACTATTCGCTCCAACCCGCAAATGACGCTGATTAATACTGCTATTGACCACGATGCGGGGGAACTCGTCATCACAGTTCGGGACGATGTCAGCAAACAGGTCCGGGTACCACTATGGCCATCTCAGACATGGTTGAAGGAGCACACCGACATCCTTGATGTGGACGTTTGGGAGTATATCACCGATGCATATTCATATAAAGACCCCAAGATCAAGGCGACTTTCACTGAGTTTTTTGGTGAGGATGTTAGCTTGGTGATGAAAGGACCTACCCAAAGGGTTACGACTGGAAACGGATCACCTGAGAGACTGGGAAGGACTGAAAGTGTCAATTTCCCTGATGTTCTGCCAGTGCAGATTGCTTCTGACTCGTCCCTCGCAGAGCTGAATTCTCGATTGAAGGAGCGAGGGCACAATGAAATCACCATTGAACGGTTTCGTCCAAACATTATTATCAAAGGGGGCGAGCCCTGGTCCGAGGATGATTGGAAAACCGTTCGTATCAATGGGGATTCTTCCCTATTCACCACCTTGACTGGTGGAAACCGAAATGCGATGGATATAGACGTTGTTGCTCGATGCGCACGTTGTCAGGTTCCCAATGTGAATCCAGACACGGCTGAGAAGAATCCTAAGCAGCCATGGGATCTGCTTGTTAGCTATCGAAGAGTTGATGAGGGGATCAAATTCAAGCCCTGTTTCGGGATGCTATGCTGTCCAAGGAATGAAGGCCATTTAGAGGTTGGGATGCGCTTTGAAGTTACAGCAACCACTCAAGCCCATAAATATGTCAAAGGTTTTTGATAGAGACTGAGAGAGACTGAAGTCGACTGAACGTTGCTTTTCGTCTCTTTTGTGATCAGTTTCTTGTTCATGGGATTAGGCTTACATCTGAGGAGTTTTGGGCTGAAAAAAGAGCACCCCGTGGGTCACCACGTGATGCTGTTTGAGATTCCCTATAGGAAGGCCATGATGGAGCACCGTACAATAGCTTTCAAGTGGTGCACAATATACATCTGCACCTCCTTCGCGTACTCAATTGGAGCTGGGAGCTCCCCAGCTTCGATTGTCACTTTGCACTCAAGAAGGCATGTCGCCTAATGGCAAAGCAACAGATATGATGTAACTATGCACGCTAGTTGTTAGATGACACAAAACTTCGTTACATCAGATTGCATTAGCCAACATGTGAAGAGGAGGATAACCGAGTATTCCGGCGTAGTTGCAGAATCCACAAACAGCTGATTGACGTTTAAACGTTCTGTAGGTAATGGGAGCACAACCAGCTCTGACCATGTCCAACATTCGACAGCTCTCAAACAGCTCTTGTGGGGCACAGAGCTGAAGCTGTTCTTGTACCACACTTCGGAAGTGTAGACTGAGAGCATGATCAACATGGAGAATCAAAGTCAAATTGACGAGCTGTCACAACGCACATGCCAGCTGGCGGGTCAAAGCTCCTTGGTATTGCTGAAGCTCCAACCTTGAGCTGTCGATGATCGTGTTCCACAGCTGTTGGCGAAGGAGGCAAGTGCAAGAAAAGCAGGGCTTTCCGAGCAAATGATCCTGAGGTGAGGGTGGATCGCTAGAAAGTTGGTGGTGAAATGATTGGCAAGAGAACCTCACAGTCCAGCTCAAGTCACCAGTAAGAACCATGACAAAGAGCGGCCCATGCTTGTCGATCGAATAAAAGGCTTTTGAAAAGAGAAGAAGGACATCTGTTTGGTTGCTGATTAACGCTAGCCGTGGGAGGGGATGCAGGTGTTGGATGATTCTTCTCAGTTAAGAATCAAAGAAGGTTAAGGGCGCCGGGATGCCTTTGGGGCCCTGGGGGTACCTAGCTTCTCTGTTAAACGCTTTACCAATAGGTAGCTGTCACCACCGCCAGGCCCAAAGTTTGTGCTTCGCGTCTGCAGCACAGTGATTCAAGCTATTTTCCAACTGCAGTTTAGCTGCCCGCCAGCTAACCCCAGCCCATAAGCTCCCCCTGCTCACTGCAAGCTGGAGGCTCGGGTGGTTGTGCCTGCCCCTCATGCAATGGTCCTGGTTTAGGTCCTTCAAGCTCTTTTCCAGTATTATTCTTTCACCGAGCCATCCAACACACACACTGCATCATCACCATTCACCCATCACCGCTACACAGGGACACACACTTACCATCATTCCCTCCACCCACCCAACACTCTCCCCTCTACCCATTAATTGTTGTTTTTGTTACACTTGAGCGTTCTTCAACATTTCTATACTCAATTAAAGTCGAATCATGTGAAAGGGCTGTGACCTCGCCGGGATTTTCCTTTCTCTCAAGCCAACTCAGCCAAGCTTGTGCGGACTGTCCGATCGATGCCGTCGACCTTCGTTCCTTTCTCCTAATTCCCTCGCTGCGGTCAGCGCAGTAGGCCATGCCGCCCAAACCCGCCCTTACCAGCTCTTTTCTCGTGTCTACTGATGCAGAAAATGAGGTTGTGTGCCCTCTTACCAACCAAGATGGCTCCCAGTGCCGAAAGAGGTGCCTTGGGGTGAGTTTTTGTGACTCCAAATCCCATCAGTCACGTCCAAGTCTTCAACCACTGACGCAACAACAACAACAGGAGAAGCGGTATCGGTCTATGCAAGAACACATTCGACGTGCACATCCCAACTACTATATACCCAAATTACCTGCCACCGAGGAGAGTTTCCAATTGATGATTTCAACACCTCCATCACAAAGACCGCAGCCTCCTCCTGGCGCGACTCCCCCTGCGAGGAAATGTATGTTTTTGACTGCGTCATTGAGGTAATACTTGAGGCTAAAACGCAGTAGCGGACGCGAGTGACCACGCTCGTTATCCTGCAATTGCTGGAAATCCTGAACAACCAAGTGGACTTCCCTCCCAGGTGCCAGGCCCTGCCAACGCTGCAGTCGCCCTTGCGCAATTGCACAATTGGGATTCAGATTTTGTAAGTATTCAATGGGCAAGATATACGGCCAGCATAAGGGCTACGCTCATTCACGTCTCAGGATGTGTTCCCAGACCCAGATTACAAACGCGACTCTGGTCTTGAACTACCATCACTTCGTGCCGCCTTCCATGAAGATACCTTGCCGCCATTTCAACCGTCACGCACCCGAGAATTACTACCATCTATTCTACAGTCCCCCAGCAGTCGATACTCATCATTACCACCCATACAACGACGAGAAAAGTTGCAGCGGCCTAGAAAGCCTTCGATGGGTCAGCAAGCACGGAAAGGAAAGCACGAACGCGGAAAATCTAGGGAATTCTCGGCCAAGGATTTTACCCGACGGCTAAGCGTCGAAGGTCGCAAAGCCATGTCTGCCGAACCACCAACGGCCGCCTGGGTCCAAGGAAAACGATGGGAAGATCTGATCGAGGCTGCCACGAGCGCAACAGACGCTGATGACGATCGTGATCTCACTCCCGTAAGTCAGACGACATTTTTCGATTGTCCTCTGTTTACTTGTTGCTGTCAAGAGATCGAGATTTTGTAGATGTACTCCCCGGAGGAGAAGCCACCCCAGAGGGAATACTGTCTTGTACTACTTTTACCTGTCACTACTACTTCTGTTATTACCAAAAACAACCAAGCGACAACGACCGTTATGTCCTGGGCTGCCGCACGAAAGGAAAAAAGGCCAAGAGCAACCTCGGTCCGGGCAAGGGGAATTTTCTCCTTGGTGTGTTGCCACCACGGTCAAAACTCGAACGTCCTGTCCCGGTCGAATCACGATCGCGGGTTTCTTTGCAAACCTGCTGACTCTTGAGGACTACGACGACGAACGACGACGGACCGTGGGCAGTGGACTGGAGAAAACGGCTCTTGCCCGGCGGGAATTGCAAAAAAAAGCCATTTTTGATTTTCCTCAGGTCAGACCACATAACCCGTCGCAATCAGATCTGGGGCGGCCGGGTCAGACCAGGGGGGTCTGTCACGAAAAAAAGTTTATGCACCCTCCAAGTTAATTAATGTGTACACCAACCTCCTCAATTTTTGTCGTTTTGCGTTAGACCATGATAATCAACCTTGCTAACATGCCCTTGGCGCTCGACCACAGATGCCGCAATCTCCAAATTTTCCGCCCTCCACCATGAGCGCTGCCAACGCTGCAGCCGCTCTCACTGGCACTGGGGCCCTAGCAGCTCCCCATCCCACCACGCGACGGCTGTCCGCGGCGGACAGCACTGCAGCAGGTGGAGGGGCAAGCAAGCGATCATCCCTACCACCAGGCTTCCGTCCTCTCGGCTCCTACCTAGGACAGCACCAAGGAGGCCATTACAATGCCTCTCCGCTGCAGCGCGCATTGACGCCACCGCCACCCGACTCGATGGGTCCGAACGATCCCGAACCTTTTCCTTCGGTCGAGTCACTGGAGAGCGCGGGATCAGGGCAGAATTTCCACATCTCAGGATCTGGCCTACCGTCTGTATCGTCCAACGATAACACTAGCCCGCTGCAGCATCACTCACACCCCTATCAGCATTCGCAGTCATCCTCGTTTGGCAGCAAATCGGAAGTTTTGGAAATCTACTGTGCATCCTGTGGTCGGCCATGGCTGCTCAGAAATGCCTTTGCATGCACCGAGTGTATCTGTGGCGTCTGCAGCGACTGTGTTGGACAGATCATCAGTAGTCCTGTCGTCACCGTCCAACCAGGATTCGCTCCGATGCGCCGCGGCTGCCCCCGCTGCGGAGTTATGTAGGTGTCCCATTCCTTGAAACCTGACTCTGCCGCTCACTCTGCTACTAGGGGCGGGAAGTGGAAGCGATTCCAGCTGGATTTTCGATAACGTCCAACTAGGTTACGCAATGTAAGGTCACTAGAGCGAGGGGGGGAACCCTAGGGTCCCTCTCTCTAATCCCACGGCTTCGCGGAAGTCCTAGAATGGTCAAAGGACTTCCCGAAACCAACGTATGACTGAGACATTATTGTGTCAGCCGTAAAATTACCGCAGGCTCCGCCCACGCGCCGAGCCAACCGGACGCGACTACGCAGCACGAAAATTAAATAAATTCACGCGGAGCAATCCGGCAAGGGAAATGCAGGAGACTCGAAAGAGTAGTAACAGAAAGAAATATCATCGGCGCACAGACACAGGGTAGACCATAACACCATGTAGGGGCAGTAAACAGAACCGGGCGAGTTCAATTATTGCGAGTACGAGGGAACCCAATTCTTGTCTCTCGTGCCGGGCACCCATATCCTGGTCAGAGTGGAAGACAAGGTTTGGACCAATCGCTTCGACATACAGGAAAAACGTGTGCGAGGAGAAAGGGTCTGCCGAAGGAATTGCATTGAGATTGGACGGGAAAACGAACACCTCCTCTCTCTCCAACTCGAACTTCCCTGGGTTCCGAGGGGTTTTTCCCTCACCCAGACTGCTTTGGATCAAATCTTCCAAGGTTCCATTACGCTAGAGCACTAGTCACAACGAGCGGGGCTTGTATCCGCGGCATGACCTCCATCAATAACGCCACAATTGGCTTGTCACTGACCTCATTGACTTGTCGTAAAGTGGTGACTAGTCAGATCAAATGAGCTGAGAGGCAAGACGCGTACGAGGGTGGAGGTATGTGGTCACGATCAGCGATGCAAAGACACGCGATGTCTCTTAGAGAGCTCATGGCAATGTTAAGGATCGCTGATGGGGTCCTGATGATCCCCAAAAGAGCAAGACAAGCCATGCACCATGATGATCACAACCATGCAGTACAGTCGCATCGCATGCCAGTTGGCGGCTTGGCCAGATGTGGTCTTCGTCCGGGTCTGAGTCCAACATTATTGTACATTCAGCTTTGCTGACTGAGAGATAAAACAAAAAGAGGAAAAAGCAACACGGCAAAAGCCAAAAAGCAGGATTTGACGAGTTGCCCTCCTGCAGGAAAGAAGATCCCGTCAACTCAAAAGAAAAACCAAAGTAAGTTGCCGACGCGCATCTGCCACCACGGGCTCATTCATGCCGCGCAAAAGGTGGGAGGAGAACAGGAAAAAGCAAGCGCAACCTGACACCTCGAGATTCAAAGGTAATAATGCTCGAGCCCCGGCACTCGCTGGGTAATTTACCCTTTTTCTTAGACGTTGCCACATGTTTAGATAGTTCGGTGATTTCTTTATTGGCGCTTTCCTTTCACTTGCTGGTTTGGTCAAATTGCTTTGCGGTTGTGACAACACTCCCGAATTTCGTGTAAATGAGTCTAGATCCTGTCGCCATGGACTATGACTCTCTGGTGACGCCTTGCACGGTCATATCACGACTCGTACATGCATTTTTGATCTCCGAATTTCGAAGTAAACAACCACCACTTTCAGCCGCTAAATAGTTACTCCGGCTAGTACTGAAATTGCACTTAGTCTTCCTACCTAGGGATCCTCTTAGTAGTCCCTGGGATATCTAGGCACTACTATAGATACTATAGATATTTGCGGAGGCCCGATACAGTAGGTCAAGTAGATAATAAAAGCCATCTCAAAAGCAAAGCTGAATATGTCTCTACAATACCTTTTGACCGTGCATCTGGACGCCTTTTCGTGAGTAGCAGGCGATGTAAGGGGAGTGGTAGAGGCGGGGAGGACGGGTGAGAACATCCCATGTTTGAGTTTCAGCAAGCCCGCTCCCCTCAAAACGCAAGAGCTCTCCCCAGGTTTCAATTCCGAGGTAAAAGATTCAGAAGCTTACAACCTCCAATGCGGCGAATGGAATTGGCAGAAACCGATTGAAGCTGGCAACCAGAACCGCGAAACCCGGATCAACTGTCAGTTTTGCTAGCGACATGTGGTGTTTTTAGTTGTGAATAACTCCTCATGTGAGTGGTCACAGTAGGAGTGTCTAGAGGGGAACTAGACCGCTAGCGCAAACTCCAATCTCTTGGCTGCCGGCCTTCGGCGATACATTTCACTGACGTGTAACTCACTCCTCCTTCCTTGTCTGACCTGCAACTCGTATCATCGTCGAGGCCTCCTTTCGCGACCTTGATCTTTCGGAATCACGGTTGCGACGACCTTCCCTTCTACCGCTTTCGGTTCATCATGGATCGTTCTCTGAGCAGCCGCGACCAATCCACAGACCGTCCGAATGACACCTTCCCTTCCACCACTTCCTCACAATTCACCCATTCTCAGTACCCATTGTACCCACCTCCAATTGACGCGGAGCTGACAATGTCCTCCAACTACCCTGCCATGCCTCAGTCCTACACACAACAACTACACGACGCCAGCAATGATGATAAGATGGATGCCAGCCCGTCTCAGAACACTTTTGCAGTCAACACCAATGGCGCAGGCAACGGCGTCGCGACAGACCCAGCTATGGCTCCTCCGCAGACTCCCAATGCGCAAGCCCTTGTAACCACGGCGTCGCGCTCTATGGTCGAAGATCCGTCGGACACACCCATGACCGGTGACAAGAGAAAGCGCTCAAAGGTTTCGCGTGCCTGTGATGAGTGTCGACGGAAGAAGGTAATACTGCTCATCCAATTCTCACTTCACCATCGAGGACCATCTCACTCATCCTCTGCAGGTCCGCTGTATCAATCCACCCTCCGAGGACGACGAAAACGATGGCGGTGTTCCCAAGACCTGCACCAACTGTGAGAAGGCTGGTACTGTTTGTGGTTTTGAAAGAAAGCCTATGAAGCGAGGCCCGTCGAAAGGGTAAGCCCTATTTCTACCATGTGCTTCCCCAGCCGGTTCACCTACTGACTGATTCTCGATCCATGCAGCTACATCAAAGATCTTGCCGATCGTGTCCATAGCGTGGAACAGTTACAGGCTGCCCATCTTCGACAATCTCTCGACATTGGCTCTACCTCCGTTCCATTCGACCAGGTAGCATTCTCGCCCGAGGAAACACCCACAAGTCGCACAAGATATTCCTTTTCCAACGCTCAGACTCCATTTGCGCAATCAGAGTTCCAGCGAGATAGGATCCCTAGCACTGGTGCCTGGGGTAGCAACCTTCCTGACCTTCGCTCTCGTGACCGTGGCAGCCTTGCAATTGCCCCTGATCAAACCCTTCCTCCTTCGGGCAACGCACCTGACTCAGACCTTGGTAAGAATAACGCTGTCTACACTGACAAATCCTTTTGGTCCGATCTTGATGAAGCTCGTCCCGCAAAACGCCAGAAAACCGACGATTCACCTGATAACATGGAATCCTTCGACCTCAACGAGGCTCATTTGAGCCAGTACTATAATCACATCCATCCACTTGTTGGCTTGCTTCCTGAAGCCAAGACTGTCATTCGAGTGATCGAGAATGCAACTGTCAAAGTCTCTCACGCTTTTGTCACTGCTCTCGAATTGTTGCCTGGTGTTCCTTCAGGACCGACTGTGAACGGCGATCATAACCAAGACTCTACTACTCTATCTCAGACCTCAGTCACAACAACCAAAACCTCTTTCAAATCCAGTGCGTTCTCCAGCTTTGACGAGTTTTCAAAGTGGCTTTCGGCCAAGCTCAAGGACCATCCTGCCGATCGTTCTGATGACGACAATTTGGCGCTCGTGTGGACTTGTCTTTTGGTGGGACTTGCGCTTGAAAACGATTTCAATGGAATGATTTCTGATCCTCTTCTGACTGCGGATTTTCTCAGCCAAACCTTTGAGGTCGTCAGCTATCTTGTCGCAGATACTAGGACCCCAGCAGAGTCATCCATCACTGACAACGAAGACTTCTTGGGAGTGGTCCAAACTGCTTACAACGTCAATTTCTTGCTCGCCACCACACACGCCCTTGGCAGTGGTTTGAAACCCTATCTCAAGGCTGACCGCAAGCTTTCTTCTGTCAACAAGACCACCTACGTCAGCCCTGAAGCTGCCTATGTCACCTTGTTTTCAAACACTGTGGAAATGATCTTGCCATTCATGGAGATTTCACATGAATCATTGGGCTTCTATCCTTTCAAATGGCTCAAGGGTGCCGTACTGTATGGCCTGGCCCATTATCCGACCCTCGATGAAAAGAGCGCCATCGTCCGTCAGATCAATGCCTTTCTCGCAGTGGTAGTTCTTCGCAACAAGAAGGATATTGCTACAGAGGAACTCTTTATGACGACTAATTTCTTGGGTAATTTCATGGCTCAGAAAGGCAGGGATACGTCAGAATCCTCTCCTTATAATCCTATCGATGTTCACTGTTATGCATTGGCCACTATCACTCTCCTTGAGATCACCTTGACCAGTGGTAACCCCTTTTCTCGCACCGGCAGCAAGGAAACGATCGAAGAGCTTGAGCCTATTCTTCAAGGTATCTCCGCTACATATCATAAGCACCACGCTGGAATTGAATGGTTCTATGCACCTGAGAACGGAGCCAATGATGGTTACACTACGACTCATTGGTCTGATTGCCTCTTGGGAGCAATCAAACATGCGAGAGCAAATGAGCCCTCCGAGTATGAGTGGAGCCCAGATGATCGTATTGTCCCTGCATTTGATCGTCTGCTGCGTCGTGGATACTTGAACGTACTTTCCTTGTTCCCTGCTCAGTCGGACTGAGCGTTTCTCAGGCTCGTCTATGTCCTCGACTTATTATGTCATTGGGCAGAAGAGCATGGTAGCTTTTCCAGAATTGCAAGCGGGTAGCGAGGCGCTTTGTGGAGCGTTGTAATGATGTCGAACGAGCATGATGAAGGGTTGACTGGACAAAGTGAGATTAATCAGATGGTTTCTGATGAGACTTGAATGCCCACCCACCACCAAGCCTTACTGTACAACAAAGAGCTTTTTCCAAAATCCCGAAGAGTGAATACCGGGCGTCCCAAACGGACATTGGTTGACTGTACATTAAAAGATAGGATCAAAGCATAATGTACTTACGTACGCGTGAGTTTGCCGTTGAGCAGCCAATGATCAAATGTAGCTATAATTCAAGCCCTTGTCTTTCCTCTAGCCATGTGAAAAGTTGTATCACAGGCCTCATGTTGCCAAACATACGCCAAAGTACTTGCAATAATCATAGCTGTGCACGTTGCGTGCAGACTCCGTGTTCATAATACACACATCTTGACTACTGGTACTTGAACCTACCTATGAATCTGTGATTTATGCTACGATAGCAGGCCAAGTACTGGTGCCATGAGTGAGTTTAAGGCTCTTTGCAGTTCACTATCCATACCCTACCAATTACTAAGTACTAGGTACTAACTAAGTACAAGATCTAATGATCGTACCACCTGGTACTTACCTAGTACTAAGTGCTAAGTAGTACTTGAGCAGATTGACTAAGTCCGTCACAACCTCCAATTGTGTGCAAAGTACTTTCTCACGGCTTCTCCAAGTTACGCAAATTATCACCACGGCTCAGTGGTACGACAAGGAGAATCTCTTCCCTCTCAAGTACTGAGTAGTACTCCGTCATTCAGGCCTTCGATTGAGCCCCCTTGCGAGAGATTCTGCCTTGAAAGACTTTGCGTAAGCAGTGTCAGTTCGCGAAGCAAGGTTGGCTTCAAGTTCTCAAGATGTCTCCCCCCCCAAAGATCAAGGTCACGCTACAGCAAATAGCGAAAATGATCGACCATTCTCTCCTCCACCCAACCATGACTGATGAGGAAGTACAGGCTGGACTCGACATTGCGCGAAAATACCAGACCGCAACTGCCTGTGTCAAGCCATATTCGATTCCCCAAGCAAAAGCAGCACTTGAAGGGTCTGGTGTTCTCGTCTGCCCAGTCATTGGATTTCCAGCCGGAAACAGCACGGTGGAAGTCAAAGTATTCGAAGCCGAGAAAGCAGTCGAGGCCGGGGGCAATGAGATCGACATGGTGGTCAACATCGGGAAAGTCTTGAGCAAAGACTGGGAGTATGTGGAGAAGGAGATCCGTGCGGTGAACACGGCGGTGACGAGCAAAGGCGCGATCTTGAAGGTCATCTTCGAGAACGATTTCCTGCAAGATGAGCACATCGTCAAATTGTGCGAGATCTGCTCGTCTCTGGACGTGGCATTTGTCAAGACCTCGACCGGCTACGGGTTTGTCAAACAGCCCGGTGGACTCTACTCGTACAAAGGCGCTACAGTGCCGCATCTGAGGCTCATGAGGAAGCATTCCAAGGAGGGTGTGCAGATCAAAGCAGCCGGTGGAGTGAGGACGTTGGATGATCTGCTCTATGTCATGTCCCTTGGTGTTACGAGGATAGGGGCTACTGCTACGGTGGCTATCATTGAGGAAGCGCGGGCAAGGGGTATCGGTGACACTCCAATGGAGGTGGATGTGAAGCCCATGGCTGGAGAAGATGATGGCCCAGCATATTGAAGTGGCCTCACGCTATGAATCGAAGTCTTGTCATAAGACTCGTTTGGAAAAACTGTATTCCTCAAGGTTCGATCCAGTACTCATGAGGTACCACCGTTCCAGTCTGTCTGCCTTGGTTACAGGTCGTCGAACTTGGAAACGCTGGAGAAAATTTATGTAATCGTGATGACTAAGAATATGCGATGTCTTTTCTGCCATGATCTACCGTACAGTAGGGTGGAGGATGTGGGTGCAGAACGTCAGCCTATTTTTGTGAGGGGGAAACATCCTGGGAACGACTTGAAATTCAGTTGGAGAAACCACGATCTGGAAAATTGCAGAGTCCTAAAAGTCGACTGACCGCCCTCACTACCTCGATTACATTCTCCCCGTGCCTCGAAGCTCGAGTCACTACATGCTTCGCCCCTTCTCCAATCGACCCTTACCTCTGCTCCAGAAACGATCATTCAAATCTCGAGGATGGAAGGTCAAGCAGAAGCCGGAAGTCAAGAGCGTTCCGCCGGTTCCATGGCTGACTCGGGCCCAAAAGATCGCGATATTGGACGATCAAACTCGGCTCGCTTTTCGCGCGGAAACTCCAGAGGTGGTCGAGGCAATCGTCCGGGTAAGAAAAGAGATATGGGTCGAAAGGAATGGGCGTAAGTCTCACACATCTCATCTCATCTCATCCCAGCGCAGATGTCTTGCTGTTTTAGAAAGACAACGTGCCAGAGGCTGACCTTTTGCTAAGCAAAAATAAAGTAGACAAGAGACAGCGGAACGATGACGAACAAGCGACCAAGAGGCAGCGGATCGACAAAGGAGAAGCCCCGCTACCGATCCATGCTACCAAGTTCAGTGATGAGGTCCTCGCAGCGGAAGAGAGAAGACCCAAGAAGAAAGTTGCAGTCCTCATTGGATACGCAGGCACAGGGTACAGAGGCATGCAATTGTGAGTTTCTAGCGAGACATCGATGAGGGTAAGAGAGAATTACAAGCTAACAAATTATAAGCACTCACGACCACAAAACAATCGAGGGCGACTTATTCCAAGCATTTGTTGCAGCTGGTGCTGTTTCCAAAGCCAACGCGGACGACCCAAAAAAGTCATCTTTCGTCAGATGTGCTCGGACCGACAAGGGTGTACACGCAGCTGGCAATGTCATCTCCCTCAAGCTGATCGTCGAGGACGAAGATGTCGTTCAGAAAATCAACGAGAATCTTGTACCACAGATCCGAGTCTGGGGTTTTGAAAGAACAAACAACAGCTTTAGCGCATATCAGACGGTCGACTCGAGAATATACGAATACCTCATTCCCACGCACAGCTTCCTCCCTCCTCATCCAACCACATTTCTCGGAAAACAGCTCGAAGAGTGGGCCGCGAAAAAGGATGATGTTGAAGCATACAAGAAAAGACAGAAGGAAGTCGAAGGCTATTGGGAGAAGGTCGACGAAGAGGTCATCAAACCAATACTAGAGGAATACGACCCAGCGATCAGGGATATCCTAGAAAAGGCTTTATGGCTAAAAGGAGAACAGTCGCAAGATGTGAACAAGGGAAGTCTTGAAGCAGACACACCTCCTCCTGACGTCGAAGGGGAGCAATCGACAGGGTTGGGAAAGGATAATCTTGGAGCAGAGAGTGCTGCTGACAATAAGACGTCGCAATCCGTACAGGATGTGCCAATTGTCGATGGAGATACTACCGATGTCCAACAGCCTATCGAAGACGAAGGTGAGAAACCCTCACCAGAGACGATTATCCTCAACAATGCCACAAAACGTCTCCGTCAAGCGTATGTCACCGCAAGACGCACATATCGTATTCCAGAGGCACGGCTCAAGCGCATTCAAGAAACATTGAATTTATTCATCGGAACTCGAAACTACCACAACTTCACCATTCAGAAGAGTCATAGTGACCCATCTGCCATGCGAGTGATCAAGTCTTTCAAACTCAATACGGAACCGATCCTAATTGACGGTACGGAATGGTTAAGCATGAAAGTCCACGGGCAGAGTTTTATGATGCACCAGATTCGAAAGATGGTTGGTATGGTGGCACTGATCGTACGATGTGGGTGTGATCCAAAACGACTAACAGAAAGCCTGGGTTCGGAAAGCATATCAATACCCAAAGCACCAAGTCTGGGCCTGCTTTTAGAACGGCCAGTCTTCGACTCATACAACAAACGGGCCAAGAACGAATTGAGTAGGACACAGATTGACTTCGACAATTACAAGAAGGAAATGGATGCATTCAAGCAAGAACAAATATATGAACGGATGTACAGGGATGAAGAAAAGGATAATATCTTTGGGAATTTCTTCAACCATGTGGACAACTTTCCCAGTCCGACTTTCCTGTTCGTTACCAGTGGAGGCATCGAAGCTACCAAGATTCCCATCAAAGCAGGTGGGAACAAGGACGTTAATGATCTGAGCACTGCATTGGTCGATGGAGATGAAGATGCTGATGGCAGCGACGCCGATGAGGGCGTCAAGGACGCTCATGGCCATGAGGGCTAGGGTTTGAAATTCTTTTCATGATTGTGGTGATAGCTAAGAAACTCATCTGATGCATAGAGATAGATGATCAATTAGGGCATGTCTGTCTGTCCTCTCAAATAGCTTAGAACTTTCAGACTAGTGGTCCGCCGTCCCTTCACCTTTTGGACATCGAAGTATTAAGACATGCCCTCCTCCTCTGTCTACTCAAGGAACCTCGACAACAATGCTCGCTTCCACGATCGACTATCAAAATAATCAGCTCCATGCTTCCATCTGGACCGAGAAAGAGAACTCTTGACTCACTGGTACTCCTTTCTTCGATTTCGTGTCGTGACTAACACTCTCATACTTGACATGCCCCTCCCCACCCTGTCCGCCAGCCTTGACATAGGCCAGATACTGTGGCGCCCCAGGATAATCCGTATTGTCAGCAAGCACGACCGAACCCTTGCGAAACAGGGCCAGCTCCTCACAAAGCTGTAGATCCGGCAAGTATGCCTCCTCCCAGTGATCGAGGAACAAGACATCGACCTGCGCAATGGCCGACTCCTCTTGAAGTTTCCGGATCAAGTCCGTCGATTTACCTTGCATGACGGTCACGATATCCTGAAGGCCCGCCAATTGCACAAGGTCACGGGCGATCTTGACAAAGTTTTCGTCGAGCTCGAAGGTGTAGACCTTGACGCCCTCGGCGCTGCCGCCGTTGAGAGAACGCAGGATGTCGCCCCACGCGATCGCCGAGTTGCCGATGTACGTACCAGCCTCGAGGAGGGTTTTCGGCGGCGATGGCATCGACGCGAGGAGACTTCGTGATTTCTCGATCTTGACCGCCGAGTAAATGATCATGCGCTGTTTTTGGGTGAATTCTTCGATGGCTTGGATGATCGCCTGCGGGCTGTTGCGGAGCTTACTCTCGACATCGGGTCTTGCGAAGATATAGGAGTGCAGGGCTTCTTCGCGTCCATCGTTGAACTGTGGTTGTGCTATTGTGAGTAGGACCGCCGCCGGCCGATGAGGGGCAGCAAAGAAAGCATGCCGACTTACAAATCCGGCTGAAGACGCCCTCGGCGTCGAACCTGGTGCCATTTGGATACTTGGTCTCAAATCCTCTGTAATTGCAGAGATTACTTAGGTACTAAGTACTCACTTAGTGTCTATGCATTTGTAGTGTCGATGAGCTTATACCAAACACTAGGAATGAAGTGATGAGGGGATTTTTGAGCAATGCTTCCTCAGGGGTACTTAGTAGCGATAAAAATTCGAAAGTGTACTTACAATACCAGAATTCCTCAATTGTTACTCAGGAATCAGTTTCCAGTTACCTACAAGTATAGCTTACTTTCTAAGTTCTCTGCTCCGCTATATGAGTCACCCGTTTACAGCGTAAGATTCGGCCGATTTGGCTCGGTCTAAATTTATTAAAAGCGAGTATAATATCAATATTAGATAACTAGTACTAAGTAGTAATTACGTATAGTGGTATAGACAGCGTCTTACGTACTTAAATTTATTACTAATCTTATAGGTACTAGATTATAATATAGCTTACCAGAATATATAAGATTAATTACTAGTAGTTGTTAGTGATTAATCCTAGATAATATACTACTAACTAAAATTATATTTTCGTAATTTCTTTAGTAAATATTTACTTAAGGCGAAGTTTACCTCGTACGAAACGTAATAGTTAAGTATCGAATCTATAAAGATGCTAAGTTATATTTAAAGCTTTAACGAGACTAGGTTTCTAATGACCTAGATCTCGTTTATACTAGTAGTAATAAATTCAAGGAACATTAGAAATAAGTTATAGTAATTTAAGTTAGTTATTAATTTATAGCTAAGCTATATTGCCTTTTATAATAGTTACTAGTAAAGTATTACCTCGGATTATAGCCTCCTTCTATTCGACTAAGTTATCGTATGTATAGTGAAAATACTACCTCTAAAAGGAGGTAAGATCAATAAAAGAGACTCAAAGAGCTAAAGTATTGAAAGTATACAGACTCGAAGCCTTAGAGGAAGGCAAGACTCTATACTTCGGGCCGATATGCTTTACCTACGAATATCGCTTAGGAGGTAAGCTATCGCCCCTTTATCCATTGCTATCTTATCCTGAGGATGCATGGCCTGTTCGCGCGCGCAGCGTGTGCCGATTAGGTGATTTGGCAGTCCTTGGTACTTGTGCCCTAAATCATAGCGATTTGAATAGATAAATAACGACTACGGCTAGTCTTAAATTAAGTAACTTGAAGTTAAATACTTTAAAGATATAGCCAGTACTCATGGTCGTATAAAGGGTACTACTTATCGTCTATTAGTACAAGACGGCTACGAAAGTCCACTATTTAGTAGATGTCTGATTCAACAGAATTGTTACATCGGGAAGCAGACATTTGAAAGAAGGAGTCAGCCGGTGCTATAACGCAAGAAGCACACGGGTGAGCGACTGTTGAGCTCGTGTGAAAACTTTCAATTGATCGTGGCTTGGAAGAGAAAGCTCAAAGATGAACGGACCGGACCATATGTTTAACCCCTCAACGCAGCACGAATTGCATTCCTGATAAGGCTAGTGTGCACGACGCGTGTTCCGAAACTTTGGTTCTTTCAGAGCTTAGTAAGCTCTTGTAGGGCACCGCAGTCCTAAAGCCTCCTTAACACGCCCCGCGTCAAAAGTGAAGTGAAGGAACGCCCTGTGCGAGCTTAAAAAGCTTCAGTTGAATTGAATTTCTACACTTTCACCGGAGCTTTTCCGAGATAGTGGAGCTCAACATCCCGATTATTTACAGACAGATTTGAAGTACTTATATTTCTCTCAATTTTATATGTTAGGAATTAATATAAAGCCTTACAAGAGTACTCTTTCAGCTGCTATTTCCCTACCCATCATCATCTAACATTACCATTCACCTTGTCATGGTCTATTGTGGTAAGCCTTCGCAGGCTTGCGAACGCTGCCGGAAGCGGCGCATCAAGGTTGGTTCTCGCCTATACCGGAAGCTCTGCCTCGCTCATGTTTCCCAACAGTGTGATAAAGTGCCAGATGGATGCAGCCAGTGTAGCAGAAATTCTAAGCCATGTCTAGGCTATCGTGATCAACAAGACATTTTGTTTCGAGACCAAAGCGAAGAGGTCATGCGGAAAGCTAGGATGAATGACCAGTCGTGTGGACAGCAAAATCGCGAAAGACTGCAGGAACGGCATACTTCCGGGCCCAAACTACATTTGAATGTGCTCGACCTTAGGTCGATTGTCGATGAGAATCCAGAGAGAGATAGAAATGATAGAGAGCCTTCAGCTGAGCACGGCAAGGCAAATGTCATTTCACGAGGTCGCCAGGTAGGATCGACTGCGCAGGCATTCAGCATCTGTGCGCAATTCTGCACCCCGAGCGTTAGCCATGTTGAATCATACTCTGCCATGGATAGAGCGCGAGTGATTCAGTGTCTCAACTATTGTCAGTTCTCTTCACTTATCCTTTGATAGTAGTGCATGTAACTAACAAACGTCAAGATGTCAAGTTTTGTGGACCAAATTATATCTGGCGGAAGGAAGTGATCACGACCGGTACAGTTCAGGCTTTCGCAAAGGACTTTTTCCAAATGTCAGTGGCCGAGCCTGTCTTCCTCGAGAGCATCCTCGCGATATGCCAAGCGGATTTTGACCTCCGTTCTCAAACGAGTTGCCAACCGTCCAGAGCTACGCTGCAACATCGTTCCAAGGCCTTGAGACTGCTAAGGCAGAAGCTGTCATCTAAAATCGCACTTGACGATGGTGTGGCACTCGCGACAGTGGTGGCGATGCTGGTCTATGAGATGGCGACCGAGGACTGGACATCATATGCGATTCACTTAAAGTATTTGAGGTTGGCTATGCGCTCTCATACAGATGCTGAAGCCCTAAGATGGCAAGGTTGGTTTGCATATTCATATTCGTGGGCTGAACTCCGTTGGGCGACTCACGAAGCCCGTGAAACGAAAGAGAATAGGGCCGAAATGGGCATCAACTCAGAGCTCTATTGCAAGACCATCCCAATTCCAGTGGACAACAACTTATATTTCTCAGAACTGCCGGAAGGTTTTCAGAAGATCGCCATGTCAGGCCTCCTAGGCCCAGAAGTCAGACAGTTTCTTGGAGAAATGACAAATTGGACGAAGCATTGCCAAGCTCTCGGCCCAAGCTCTAGCGGCATTGGGGAACTTAACTTACGTGGCTTTAGACTTGCAGAGAAATGTGTTAGCATCATCAGCATACGTAGCCTGAGGCAAGCGGAACGTCTTATATGTATTGCAGCGACAGCATATATTCTCTCCCTTCTTGAGGGACCTGCAGGCCATTCCCGAGGGCTAGAGGATCTAACCGCCAGTCTTGATTTATACAGTATTGAGGTCCTTGATGCAGATTGTCGCCTCTGGGTTGCCATGTCGGTGGCAACTGCCAATGACACTTTCCCTGTGAGACTACCTAACCGATGGATCCTCTTGGATCAAGTCTTGGAGCTGGAGAACACACGGCGTCAATGGTCCCACGTGGTTCCGGTATTTCGACTTTTCTGCTGGTATGAATGCCACGCAAACCGGTGGAGACAGTGTTGGGATACAGCTCTACAGCGGAGATTCATCAGATCGTAATGATATGGCTTATAGATCGTAACGCCTGTTTCGTAACTTCAAGCGTCAAGTGTTCATCTTAACAACCTCATCACAACTAATTTAGGGTGGGCCAACGCCAGTCTTGAACTACTTAAGCATATCGGGAGTATCATCCGTGTCAAGTGCGTTCCAAGAAAAACGTCATGGATCACATCACCAGTGCCTGTTTTACTTAGTGCTCAGGCTGCAAAATACCTCGACAACAGCCATCCAGTTTTAAGAGTTTTAGATCTTGTAGCAAGTGCCACCGCGCTTTCGTAGTCATAGGAGATAAAAGCATTACTGACCCAACTGATATAACTTCACTCGCTCAAGAAGTGGACATTCAGCTCTTGAATATGCTATGGCTTTGCCTTCATCGTGGCTAGACGATATTGGCAACCATACTGAGTCTGTCTTGAGATGGAAATGCTATACTTGGAAATATCATCATGTCTCGCAGCTATGGAATAAAATTCGAATGATTGAAGGAACCTTTGCTTATGTTCCTCAATTTCTTCCCAATCTCTTCAAGGCAAGTACTAAGTATTTTGAGAGTGCAACGGTCGCGCCAGGTTGCCTCCCCGTGTGTGACTACTCACTGTGACTGGTGGAACAAATTTACCGTCTCCAGAAATCAGAGAACATAGTTCGACAGACTATAACGTGTTGGAGGGCAATTTAGAATGCCACACCTCAGATCCGATCTGGACTAGCATTCAGCATACTGAATATCAACAATTTCCCAAGTTTTTGTTCGTGACCATTAGACTATCGAGGATGAAGCAAAACCAAGACGAGGGGATAGTTGTTGTGATTCCTTTATATCATCAGATTTGGACTGGCCACCATTACAGCTCTTTGGTACAAGTGCATTGGCAAGTTTCAATGGCTGCAACAGAGAGTATTGTGATGTGAAATGATGTCAGAGTATGAAGGATCGTTGAAATATATCACTAGAGCGCATCATACATGGTGTGCAAGACTATCACCTTGACAATTTGGTTTAGAATGTTGAATTAAGCAATCCAAATGCCTTCACTTGGACTATGCAGCAAGACGCGTATTTGGCTACATTGCTAGTTAGCGGAGTCTATCGGGGCTCGGCAAAATTGCTGACAACCTCGGAACTTCCCTAGCCGCTCCCCACACAGCGGTAATTCGATGACCATGAGCATGACGACTGCCCACTAAATTGAGTATGCACTGCGACCTACTGATGGGTGCCTATCAAGCATCATTATGCGCCATGTCCTATTTTCAACATGCCCGACATGAGAAATGATGACGCTGGCACGCGCCGAAGAGGGTATGCGGCTCGGCGGTATTTTCAACAGAAACATGAGACCCCGCAAGGTTCTGCACGATTTGTATACCCAGGGAGGACGATATGCTATGAAGTTTTGGGGTGTATTTCCCCTGTACTTCTAGGATATTTGGTGGTTCCCCTTTCCGAGGGTCAGGTGCCTATGGATAAGATGCTCATTTCTCTTGATCCGTGCCCGGTATGGCAAAGTGCGAGAAAATATGTTTAGTTTTAGACATATTTGCCTCGATTTGCCTCGATTTGCTGAAGCTCAGGTCTTCAGATTGCCACTACCGATTGGCTCCCATGGCCACCTTGACCCATCACGTAAGAGGAGTGTTGTTCTCATTCCTTTGAGATCCATCATGCGCGATTTGAGAGCCGGGTATATAATAAGAGCGATTCCGAAAGGATTGTCTACGAGGTAATCCAAATTAGCATCCCAGGTTGGGTTCTCTGATGAAGAATACGAAGCCCACGAGATTGACGACTCTGGCAGGCCTGCTTTATCTAGCAAGATCGCTGATCGACTTATGCATAGCAGTATCACCTGAAGAACAGGGAATCTGCTCGCTTTCCTCCAATCTTACCTACCAACTTTCATCCTTTAGCGGAAACGTCTCACGTTCTTTTTTGCAGACCGGCTCTTTAACGAATTTATTGGCACGTTGCGAGAAAGCAACTCTGATCTCCTACGATCCAGAGTTTGAATCGATATTTGCTCCCAACGCCTCACTTGACTTGATCTATACCAGCAAAAACGGCACTCCCATTGCAGATGAAATGGGTATCTGGCTTTGGGACCATAATCAAGTCTGGATGGCTTCAGCTACGGAAAATGGGACCAATTTTGTCAGCATCCTTGACCTGACCCGCAACTCAATAACACGACTTAAGTCTTCCAATCGTATTGAAGTTCTCAACCCCAATGGAGGAGGCTACCACAACGGAAAAGTCTATATCGCAGGGGATGGTAATGAGACAACTGCTCCTTGCATTTATGCTGTGGATCCGGTCTCATATCAGACGCAGATCGTCATCAACAGCTATTTCGGGTTGAGATTCGGAGGACCCAATGATCTTACATGGGCCTCGCGTGGAGGGAAAAGTTGGCTTTTCTTTACCGACGACCCTCTTAGCGAAATCTATAATAACGGACGAAGCTCACAGGTTCCTGACGCCACCTGGCGCTGGGATCCAATTGGAAATACTTTGCTTCCAGTGATCGATCGCACCGATGTCCTCGTACCAAACGGCATTCGCGTGAACAAGAACAGTACCAAACTCTATGTGACCGACACACCAAATCCTCTAGTCTACGGTGGAGGAGTGGTGCAAACATCTTCTGGCCAGGAATTATTTGATGGAAGCTCCAGCTCGGCAATATATTCATTTGACTTGGATGTTGACGGCTTTCCATCAAACCGACGTCTTTTTGGTATTGCTGAACGAGGGATTGCCGACGGTCTACATCTGGACGATGCAGGGCGTGTGTGGACGGGTGAGCAAGACGGAATCGTGGTACGAAGTCCAACTGGGAAAATACTTGGAGTCGTCAATGCGCTTGCTATCCAAGGCGTGCAAACAACGGATTCAGACCGGAGTCCGCTGCAGAATTTTGCGCTAGCAGGGGATATGCTCGTTATCTTGGCTTTTGATAAAATTTACACTATCAAGTTAAGTTCACAGATAGTTTCGGGGATGACATAAGAAAGAGAGAGCAGGAGAAAAGTTTTGCCCTGCTTTTTACGTTTGAGGAGCTTGGGTAGCTGCTCAATGGCTATAAACGAGAACACTATGGCTCATGGATTTGACATTGGTCAGGAAGTCTTGATTATGTGAAGTATAGAGAGATTCGTTGGAGACTATTCATGGTCTCGTTCTGAAATTAGACATTTGATTATTTGAGAGCTCGTTTGAAACGCAGAAATGCCATGCTATAACTGACAGGCATTCGTCAGGTGTCCTGAGAGGTAGTAGCGGACATTAGAACTCCACTATTCCGCCGACTTCGCCTGCCGAAATAACACTCTTGTTTGCGCGCCGACACTTACCTCTTTTGGTTTGTAGTTTGGCCACGGGAAAAGTGAACCCAAAACAGGTCTTATTGACTATCACGAAGTGCGACTGGCACTACAACAAAGTTCATGTAATTCCTGCAGCCATTTACCTCAGCTGTCAGTTACCCTAGATTTTACATCCACCGGTCGATCAAAGGAAGATGACACGAAACAATACCTTCATATTCGAATCCACCTCTTGTCCAGGATTACCACGGACCAAGGAAATCTCGTTGTCGAAGAACGATGGTTTGACCTCAGGGCTTAACCACATGATGGAGGCTTTAAAACCGCTAACATGTTCTTCTCACCTGGCACAGGCCTTCTCGACTGCATCGTCTAGGCTCGGTCCGTCATTATCCGAACTACCGGAAGAGTTCCTCTGGTGATCTCCGTTGGAGAGTATCATTCGCCGCTGTGTTTCAGCACATGGCAGATAATACAGACGTCTTAGACCTCTATTCGCATGCGACGTTGAAGCACCCAAATAAGTATATCTTGGACGACTACTGAGGACGTAATCTCATTCTTAGAGCAGTAAATTGGCAATTAGACATCTGTCCACGAGTAGTTCTTCATTTTTGTTTCTGGAATACTCTAAATTACTGAGAGTACCTCTAGATCTCCTTCATACCAGACATTGTCAACAATAGTGCGCTGAATAACCCATCCACTGCCCTGCCGTACCAAATCAACTTTGTAATGGTTCTTCATAAGATAGTGGCGGGAGGTGCCATCCCGAGGAATATGCTGTGCCTCCACTAGTGCCTCTAAAAGTGCCTTATCGCCGTCCACGGTTACCCGCGGATTGCTTACCGAATGCGTGGTATCGAGTTTTCTGAGCGACGTAGACAGGGCATCAACGATGGCCTCCTTGCCTTGTATGACGGGGTACTCGAATCCAGCTTTTGCAGCCGCAGGTCTAAAGTCGGACATCGCGTTTACAGCAAGCGTGGATGCAAGGAGGGCTCGGTCGTTAAGGTCAATGCCAGCGGCAAAGCGGTATAGGGTGTCGACGACAGCCAATTTATCAGCAACTTGTTGGGCGAGTGACATCGCGTTTGTTATATTGTCTGTTGCTTGCAGAATTCGACAATTATTATAAATAAGAAGGGGATGGTAGGGTTTTCGGAAATATGCTTGGAGAAGAAGAACTTTTTGAAATAAAGATCTATAGCGAACCATATAAGGAAGAGTATGGGTTCCGAATGTTGTATCTATTTTATATTGCGGCTTCTATTGCGAACTCCTTTGTCTCTATATACCTAATACTTTGAATTAGCGTTGGTAATCATCATCGCTTCAACCAGCTTCTTCTGATTGCTAAGGATTGGTAACACGGTGTCAGAAATACGGAATTTATTGTGCCACAGGGAGGGTGGTGGATGGACAGCCTCGCGAGTTTGAATGGACGCTCGCTGACCGCCGGATGGACTCAGGCTAATACAATGCTCTTGGCAACAGGAGCACCCGGAACTCCGTGTTCACGTTCCTTCCCTATCAATTGTGTACTAATTGAGGCTTACAAATCTTGATTATTTGAAGATTTAATCAAATAACCCTGCAAATCATTCTTAACATGATTGTGGTTGTGATTGCCGTTGTCGTTGCCGGAGGGACAGGTGATGTTGGTAGAGCCGTTATTCTCAGTATCGTTGCGAATGCAACCCACAACGTTATTATTCTGGCAAGAAAATGGGTTTATAACACCCTGCTTCGACCAATGCTGCCATCATAGACTGATTGGAACTACTCCGACCGGATGAAGCGTTGACTCTGAAGATAAGAGCGCCCATCATTGCGATTGACTCCAACAACATCCCAGAACTGGGGGAGCACCTCGAGCGCCACAATGTCCACATGCGAATGTATCTAGCGGAGCCGCCGTGATAAACATGGCTGGTGGTTTATCCGCGTACAGTGCAAGCAAGGTGGCGACGATGAAAATGCTGGACTATGTGCACCGTGAAGAAGCCGCGCGTGGGTTGAGGATCTTCAACATTCACCCTGGAGTAGTCCCTACCGCTATGGCGGCAGCCGGTGAACAGAACATGTAGGATACAGATACATCTTTAGTCCATCAACTTCGAGTACATCATCACTGTGTACTTTGTCGCTAATGAAGTGGCGTAGCTGAACTTTCGGGCAGTTACGCAGTCTGGCTTGCGACACCAGAAGCCGATTTCTCACCAACCCCAGTGTAAGGTATCAGTAAGATAATGCAGAGGCAAAGAAGCCTTAGGCTGCATTCCCGTGGACTGAGAGATGCTCTCAAGCTCTCATATTATATTCAAGTGCTTGGTCAACCCACCCCAAGCGCTTGCAAACTGCTTCCCTGCTGGCGAACTTCAACCCACACGCTTCAGGTCGGTTCGCGGTTTTTGTCAGCCGCAATGATGGTAACAAGCGAGAGCCATTGAAGACTTTGATCGCGACCCAGATCGCGGGTCAGGAGAATCATGCCGTTAGACACAGTGAGGGTAAATCATTGCTAACAGCTTTGCAAATTTATTCTCTCCCAAAAGTTAAGGCATGAAGTGGAAGTGCAACATGCTCAAATGAAGACCTGACTACTGATTACCGGAAGGAATAGTCAAGCCTCTACGCTCACCAGAGTGAGCCGGCATATACGCAGTAGTGTGGTCTCTGATACTAACAGTATACTATAGCTTTGAAGGTCTTGATAAGTATAGTTCCCATAATGAATTTTTGCTTGGTATAAGCCAGACCATAATAAAACGTGCGTCGTCTATCTCGTGTCAATCATCAAAGTCGACTCTCGAACCAGTCACTCAAGTCTATAGGGCCGAAAGATAGCGCTAGTCTCAAGTTATCTGATTAAAACTAGCTGATGATGAACAGCACATTCTATCGCAAACCCGAAGGTGCGCAACGTCAATCCAGTGCATTGTAGCGAGTGCTCTATACAGTGTGGTGCAGACAACAGCCGTCGTGCCTCGACAGGCGGGGCATTTACAAAGCCTTTAGCAAAGTCTTCAACGTCTTGATCTGATTTGTTCCACAGTTCGTCCAGTTCTCCGAGCGTGTAGAGTACAGGCACCTTGACACTTGCTGCGAACGTTCGCCAGTAGCTTCTCCATAAGACATTGATGTCGTACAGTTCTTCCAAACTCACATCGTGCTGTAGCCTCTCTGTTTGTTTGAGAATAGAAGGACTGTGCAGTTTTGCTGCTCCCAGCATGAGTATGTCTTTTTGATCGCTCGGGATCCTGATAGAGATACCAATCAATTCTCGCGGGTCTTTGTGGAATTCTTCCATAGGCAAAGTTTTGACGTTTGAGCCAACACCAGATATAGACATTCCAGAAAGAGGATACGGCGGCAGGTCACCGTCACGGGCGTGCAAGGACGACGTAATGACCGCCACAGCTGCCCCGATTGAGTGTCCGTACAAGACGATGGAAGAAACACCTAGATTCGACGCATGTGTCTTCCACAAAAACGGTAAGATGTATTTGTGCAAGTAGATGCCTTGTTCTTGTATAAAACTTGACTCTGTCGGGATTGGTGGTAGTGGAGAGGTGCCACCATACCCCGGGCGATCAATAGCGACGACAGGGACGGCCAGCGCCTGGGACATATAGCGGAGAGTATGGTCGGCATCTGCATCAAAGTAGTCACTGGTGTAAGTTCCTCCATGCACGGCAACTATGAGAGGCAATGCTGCAACGCGGGAAGGTGGAGGCCTCATAGGGAAGTGATTGCTCCCAGTAAGGCACTTTCCATTCGCCAGAATCATCGAGAAAGAAGCCATTCTATCCTTTTCACGGTCTAGAATGTGATCAGGGTGAGTTGGAAATGGGGGGCGCTCATGAAGTTTTCAACACCTCCTGTCCTGGGAATGCTCATTTAGAGAAGTTAAACGACGAGCTCCTCCACAACAATATAATGTAAGGATGTATCAGCTCGGCATAATCAAAGGCTTAGCTCCGAGGTCCGAATGAGCAAACTGGGCCATGGCGCTCAACGCCGATGAGTAACTCGTTTACGGGTAGTTTTAATTCTAAGCCCACTGAACAATGTAGGTACCATCTCATTGCCTCCGAGGTAGAATCTTCCCCGGACATCTTGGAATGCTCATCCTATGAAGCGGTCGAAGGACCGAGATACCATCGAAAACGAATCATTACTTAAGTATATAAGCGTAGGTGGTGACCTGCCCTGCAATATCTTGAGAATATAGATCGTCGACAGACCCATAGTCCATAAGGTAGCACTACTCTAATACAATTTCCTGTCCATCGACTAAGCAGAAGCATCGCCTAATGTATATGTACGAGCTCGAGCCGTTGCCTTATTCTTTGAGTATGAAGTCTTTGGAGCTGGTGTACGAGACAAGAAGATGTCGTCCACTTCCTCAAGAGTCAATTTACCGGTCTCCGGGACGAAGAAGTAGCAAAATGTCCCTACTGCTATACTTAAGCCTAATTATACTCATTAGTAGATAGCTCTCCCAAAGTATAGAAAAGTAGAGCCTTACCGAGGAAGAAATAGCCAACGTTTGTACCCATATTGCCATATTTCGTGCTGAGCATATAAGGTGTTGAGAAGGAAGCTGCGAAGCTGAAGATTTCATAGACAGTTGTGGCGAATGCGTGACCATATGTCCTTAAACCCACAGCATGCATTTCTGGGGCTGTGACAGGAACCGAGGTTGCAATGAAACCTCCGTATGTGAAGCCCCACAAGCACAAAAATCCGGTCAAACTACCCTGAACAGCAGTCTTCGTATGATCCGTGGTTGAGCCAATGGTAGCGATGATCATCATCGCAAGTCCTAGCAATGTGTAGCCGGAAAGAAGGCTATAACGCCTTCCGAGAGTCTCAAGGATGATCGGGCTGCAAATACCACCTGCAGCAATGCAGCCGGCCACGACAAGGGTAATATGATATGGGTTACGAAAACCAACACCAGCTAGAAAGATTGCGGCATATGTCTGAATAAACTTTGATCCAACGACAGCTGATCCAACCAAGATGCCGGTGCTCGTGAGTGTGCGCCGTCGGTCGATACCGTGAAAGATCTCGGTCCAATTCGTAGTTGCTCCCGACTGTTTCTCAAGTCGTAGATATCTTTGAACCACCTCCAATTGTCTTGTGACTTCAGGTGAGTTAGAATCTCTTTGTAAAAAGGTAGCAAATGATTTCCGGGCTTCATCGTGCCGATCTCTGGTAAGTAGCCAACGTGGCGACTCGGGGAAACATAAGGTGCCGACGCCCATTAGGAGAGATAGTGGAAGCTGGCATGCGATGGGAATCCGCCAGCTAGCATCGCTGTGTATATGGGATGTGCCTAAACACACTGCCGCTGCACTCGCGTTTCCTATGCCGAGGCCCACATTGAACAGCGCCATCAGCAAACCACGCCGGCTAGCTGAGATACACTCAACTCCATACTGAGGTACTGCACCAATGATGTGGCCTAGACCGACAGATTGGATAGACTTGCAAGCTAGGTACGCAGTGTAGTTTCCTTTAGTACCTAGCATACCTGCAGCTCCAATGGCCGTCACCAATGCCCCCACCTGAATGGTTCCTCGACGACCGAGGTAGTTGCCAATGAAGCCTCCGATAGTGGCACCAAGGCCAATAAAAAGGATCGACAAAGATGTTAGGCCTTGTTCAAGAGCCGTCAAGGTACATTTGGTTATGGTCGCTCCGTCAGCTGTCTGTGTTGGTCGACATGTTGCGAAGGCGGCATTAAAAGGCTGCATGAGCAACACGATTCCGCTATATCCTAAGGCATTGTTTAGCAATTGTGTAGCAATATATCTTCTTCAGAGGCGATTACCTAGATCGAAATTGTAAATCATTGCTGAAATACTAATGTAGCATGCGAACAGTATCATACACTTGGTTGGCTTCTCCAGAGGAGCATGCGACGATATTCTATTATCTTCCGGTTGGTCTCCATCGAAAGACTCAATATGTTTGGCCGAACTTTCTTTAGGTGGTAGGGTATTCATTGTGCTAGTAGACGGACTTGAGTCAAACTGCTTGAAGAGAGAGTAGACGAACTCTCGCTCTCTCACAAAGGAAGACAGATCTACCCCTTTTACATAACTTGGTTGCCCGAGTCAATCCACCAGGGATGAAAGCGTTGTGGATTAATCCTATTATCCCCGCATCACGGCATACGGGGCTGCTGTACTTAGCGAAATAATCGATGGAGTTGATCTATAGCGCTACTAGTTCCATGATCGTGAATGATGCACGACGTTCCTACGTTGTGTAGCCTTCACCTCGGGCCGACGTGTTGGATGGCCAGGCCAGGCCTTTCGTCAAATTTCTCCGAACCCCGAGACGAACCCGGGGGTGACTGAGGCGACAGGGTTAGCGAAACTTGTTCATCACCAACATTAGCGAACTAGTGGGTTTTCATGGAGCCCGGCGCCATTAATCGTTATAAACCTAATGAGACCTTGGTGCCATTAATACATTGCTCGGTTGATTGTGATCTCTACGCGTTAACGCTTGCATTACACTGAGATATCAGTCAGGCATTCGTCGAGTCGACTCTAAGCGAAATTCAAAGCTAGGCGAGAGGCCTCTGAAATATGTGCAAGGTATCTTCAGTTGTCCGATCTACTTCGTCCACTCCATCTCCCAATTGGAGCCGACTATAAAGTGAGCAACCGGAGTTCCAGTTAGCGCTGTCTGAATACTTGTCCCCTTCTGTGACATTGCTTTCCACACGTTTTGGTGGCTTTGTCATTGCTAGTGTGGATTGGAAGCTGTCATTTCCTCTCTAGCAATTTTGTGCTGTTGTACGGCCATATTTAGTGGGAGCATTGGGAAACAGCTCAAGAAAGATTTGTACATTCCTTAGCATAAAAGCGGAATTTTAGATCAATCAAAATTTGGGGGTCTGGCCTCGATGTCACTTGAAGCTACCCCGCTCCCAAGCAATCGGCCTAGAGCCAATCCATGTTAGCGCAAAGGGATAACATTACTTACTAAACTGTAGTTCAGAGAAGCACCACTTCTAATGAGAATCACAAACCGAAGTCAAGACTCGAGTGTAGCTTTCCTTTCTCTGCTTCCTCTCTTTCACCGTCGATCAGTCCGTTGAAACACGGGTACGGGGATCAGAACGCTCGGAGGACGTCATTACCATCCAGATGTCCGGTCTCCGGGAGGCTCCAAAGAGAGTCAGCGCCTGTAGTGAATGCCGGGCGCGAAAAGTGAAATGTAAGTCTAAGTTAGTAGCTTGGTTACCTTGAAAGTGTCAGGCTTACATCCATTATACGGAAAGGCAACGGGGAGAAACCTTGTAGTAAATGTTTGGTAAGTGCTCATGATTCGCTGAAAGATATGCACTGAATTATACCAAAGAGCCACAATGCCGAATGCATCTATCCAGAATCTCGAAGAGGCAGGAAGAAGGACCTCAGAGGTGCAAGTGCATCACTGGAGGATCGCCTAGCGCGTATGGAAACCATGATGCAGGCCCGAAACAACATCCAGTTTCCGCCATCCGAAAGCTCCCCCCCCGATAATGTTGTCGACGACAACACCCTTTGGGCGCCTACGCAGGGCAACAACCATAGCCTTGGTGACAGTGTCGTTTGGAACTCGATACAGAGAGAAGCGCATAGTGGATCGGTTGCGCCACCCAATGAACGTCCAACAGAGATTCCCCTGGAAAATCTCGAGGGTTCGATCGCGACTTCCCCCCCGATCGCCTCTTTGATACCTGTTGAGGCTCGGAATTCGCATCATGGAATTTCAACATTGGCAACACATCGCAGCCACGACGATACGCATCAGTCGCCTCTTTCGAATCGCTCGGACATGCAGCATGGGACATTAGATACAGAGGCAAGCGTTCTTGCCCCACAGATGGTACGGAAGTCTTCTATTCGCTTTGTTATGAATTCACTAACCATGATCAAGGTAAATTGGGAACACCATGGTAGATTTCGTCTTTGCAATTGACCATCGCACAGTAATTGACTCCAGTATTACAGGGCCCGGATCATGGTTGTCGGTCTGCTCCAAGCCGGGACTAGCATGGGTAGCCCAGAGAACCGGTGTCAACGACTTTACAGATAGCGCAAGAGAGCTGGTATCCACGTGGACGAGACGTCTATCCTTGACGCGTAAAAGGCTTCTGCATCCTCAGGATCATGACCCTGACCCGGAAGTTGCTTGGAAATACTCCGATGGTATGTTACATCTGTCGCCATTTTATCTGCCTAGAGGTTAATATCAGGGATCAAAGCATTTTTCGAAGATTCTCTTGCGTCGACCCACGGCGTTGTTTACCGTCCAGAATTCGAAAGCGCTTTACGCGCTCATCTTCAAGGTGATACAACACTATGCGCCGACCCAGCATGGTACGCTCTCCGGAAGACAGTGTATGCATCTGGTTGTCGCATCTACAAGTCCAAACATACAACAGCGAGCTTTGCCGAAATTCAAACCGAGGCTTGGAGTTTCTTCCAATGCGCAGTGTCTGTACTTCCAGAGCTACTATTTACGCCTACAGGCCTACTGGCAGTTCGTGCCCTGACTACCATGGTGCAATCACCTCCCCCGCCATTTCGTCATACTAGGCCCTGCTAATTCGCACAATCAGACGTTCTTCTCAGAAGGGCTTGGAAACCCTGCCCTGGAGTACATGCTCTGCACCAATGCGGCGCGCGTAGCGCAGGCGAAAGGCCTACATCGCCGACCTGCTGATACGTGGAACCTTTCAAAGCATGATGAACTACATTTTGGTTGGCTGTTCTGGGCTATATACTGTTGCGACAAACATATTGCTCATCGTTCGGGTCGACCGTCGGTCAGTATTCTGCATCATAATCACTGGTATACATTAATTGCATCTGTATCTAACACGGATTAACAAGGCAATTGATGACGATGATATCAGCTGCGAGATTCCCAATGAGACATGCCCGGGCAGTACAATCGATATCCAAGCTTGCACAGCGCTCATCACCCATGCAAAGTTATCTTCGCGAATCTCCAAAAGCCTGACATCTGTCAAGGCATTCCGGCAGAGTCCTAGCGAGTTCCTCCAGACAGCGACATCATTGGATGCAGAACTGCGAGAATGGAGGCAATCTCTCCCTATCACTATGCGGCCTGTTGATAAACTCACGGCGTTTCGGATCCCGTCCAACAGCATAACATTCTCAACAACCTACATCCACTATGCTTATTACGGTACTCTGATGGCTATTCATACAATGATCGCCTATCCTTGGATTCGCAGTACCGTGTTTGACCACGATAGAGATATGGTTGATCACGATCAGATAATAGCAAGCTCTAACATAGTCGCAGATGCTGCAAGGAACATCATTGTTATTGCGAGGAGTCTTGGGATTGATGCGGCCTCCATTCAATGGTTCAAACCTCTTCTCTACACATATGTGCTATAAATATAAATGCTGACGAACTTAGGTCCACCTTCTACTACCCGATGACAGGCATCATCAATTTGTTTATACACATTCTGAGATTCCCAACACTTTTCACAGCACGGTCCGACATTGCGCTACTTGACATTATGGCGGGGCACTTTGCTCACATGGAATTTGTCACTGGTTCCGAGCTGAACTTTCCTTTTGCTCGCAATGTCGCAAGACTAGCAAGACAGACCGTGGAGAAAGCTTCGCAGAGTGGAACTCATACTCCAATACCTCATATTATTGAAGAGGCCTCCAATATGCAACAGCAAGTAGACACGCCTTCACAGGTAAGAATACTCCTGTTCTCGATTTTCAGTGTAGACGAGACTAATTACGTAAAAGGGTCTTTTTGACCACGGAAATGATGATTTTAGTATGGATGACTGGGGATTTTTCTCTTCGACATTGATGGGTGATGGCCCCTTCAATTCATATACGGGCTTCAATGTCAGCTGACAGGACAACTTTGACTTAAAGAAAAGCCTTGTATCTATGTCCACGAAAGCTTACCTTTACGAGTGGGCTGAGCAGGATGCTGAGCTTAGCTCCAGGAAAATGAATTTCACATCACTCACTACTTGAGGCCGTGTGTCTAGTTCCCCACTTCTGAGATGAGCGTAATTACTTGAAAAATATAGAGATTACACAAGGGCGAGACCACGAGAGTGACATAGGCCCTGGGTATTGTTGCAATCTCACTTTGTACTTCATTGACCTGTCATGTGCGGAGTGGAATTCGTTGCACATCAATATGCCTCACAGTCCAACTTCTGTTTGCTAGCTTTTCCATTACTTGGATGTCGAAGTGTAATTAGAAGGAGACTAAGCAATATCAAGGGCGCCTAGACCCTAAGAATCATACAGAAAACAATGATATCCGATCTACTCCCAGATTTTAAACCTCATCATTCACAGGGCAGTTTAGTGTGTTCTAATATTTCAAGGGGACCTTCCATCACCAGGGCCGCTTCCTACGTCAAATATTGACTTTCAAAATGTTGCGTGCCAGTATCTCAGCTAGGGGTAAGAGAAACCCTTGGCGGAGACCTTGCAAGAAAGTAGGAACAACTCAAGGGCTTGCTTTGCTTTCCAGAGATTACGCTCAACATTGTTCGGCGCCGAGTTTATTCGGGCTTCGCTGTCTTGGCACTGAGCTCTGCCGAGGAGCAAGAGCATTGGGTAGCCGGAGAAAAGAGCCCGCGAAGAAGCTAACTGCTAATGTATCCGGCTACATCAGTGGTAGTGTCACTGTAGGATGATGATAGAGCGGGGTGATCACCTAGGTCCAGCTTTATGTACGGACTGTGATCGACCTTCGCTCCAGAGTCATCATGTTCTCTATGTCCTTCTCGATCTGAGGAAAAGATCTCCTTACGGAGGGCATTCTGAGCTTTTTGGCACCCTTCGGTTGACATCCATTGTTTGATTATAAGACAGGATCCTATTCTCGACAAGAGAACTAACAAGTAGCTGTGCACGTCCCGCAGATCAACTTTCTTCAATGAACTTTCCCGTCAGTAAAGCTTGCCGATTAAAGAGGCTTTTCCATAAACAGTTTTCGAGATACGAGCCTGTCTCAATCCAGGAGTTTTTGAACCAAGTGACATGCTCATGGTTTCCTGTTAGCTGTACATAAATGTCCTTCCAAGCAAGTAATCCGCTGCAAAACTAATCCACCCAACAGTTGATGGCCGATCAGTCTTCGTATTTCCGGAAAAATGCCTTGACGCTCTCGAACTCTCTATCGATCACTTCTCGATGTTGTGAAGATCGCACTTGAAAGGAGGCTGAAAATGGTTTCGGCCCAAGCACGAAACCATCTGAATATCCTGTGCACACTTCTACATCCAATGGTGGAGAGTTAGGATCAGCAGTAATGGAGAAGGCCCAAGCAATCTTCGCCATATTTATCATCTGTTATATGCACGATATTGTTAGAAGACCATGTCGATCCTGCTTACCCGTCATGCTCGAATGTTTTGTGAAATTGCTCACCAATGAATTTTCAGCCAAACGCTGACCTGGGCATACCCTTCTTCCTGCCCCGAAGCCATAGGTCACTCTGCGTTGATCATTGTCGGCCGAATCCTCCTGTGTGTTCTTACTGCCGTACTTATTCTCCAGAAATCTCTCCGGTATGAACTCTTCGGGATTTTCATACTCTGCTGCATCCTGATGAATTGACCACGTGTTGGCAAAAACGATAGTTCCCTTTGGGAGAAGATAGCCGTCATAGGTATCGTCCTGGATTAGCATGTGAGGAACACCCCCCGGTGCAACTGGGCGCCATCTCAAAGTCTTTTAATTCAATCAGATTCGGATATCGCACAGCAGTTCTGGTACTCTACTCACCTCGGTCATGATAGCTTGTACATATGTAGCTTTTCCGATATCGGAAGCACCTGGCGATCTGGAGGTACCGCAAATCTCGTCGAGTTCTTTCTGAGCCTTTTGCAAAACAAGTGGATATTTTATCATGGCGAGGATGAATGAGTGCAAAGTGGCAGAGGTTGTATCAGAGCCAGCTTCCATCTAATCGCGAGATGACTGAATCAGCCTAGTTTCAGACGAATGTCTCAGTTCTCTTACCAGGATGCCGCCGGTATAGATAAGTTGGTCCGAATTCAACCCACTTTTTTCCTTGTTTTCCAGTAACTTGTTCATAAAGCAAGGAATTATGTCCAGTCTGTCTCTTCTTGCTTGCGTCTCGTCCAATAAACTTGAGTAGAGAGTCCTTTGCTCGCGTCGAATTCGAGCGGCTCGAGATTTGTATCCTGCGAGGAAGGCGGGAATATATCTCAATACTGGGAATGCGTCAACGGGTGGTGTAGCACCGGGTGCCAGGATCTCCGTAAACTGCTCCTGTGCATGGTAAAGTGCCTGTACTTTTGGCGTTGCATAACTGGTTGCCCTTTGGCCAAAGACGGAAGCAAGGATAACTGATGTGGAATAGCGTCGAATGGAGTTGAAGCTAGATGCTGGGCTCTCCATAATTTTATGCAGATTTTGCAGCGCCTCTGCCTCTTGCACAGGAAGAAGTGCATCAACTGTTGTAACGCTCAAGAGAGCTTGGACTGCCTTCCTAAGTGCTCTCCATCCTTGTCCATACGGGACAAGAAGGATATGTGCCTCATTTGGACATAACAGTTCGTTACCGACATAGCTGTCTGGCCGACTGGAATAGATGGCCCCTCGCTTGTCAAAGAGCCTAAAAGACTGCTGAGAAAATGTGGACACTAGTATCTTGGTAGTAATACGAACTCCTTGACAGCTTGATGAGAATTCAAGACTACAACATTTTGAGGCCCGAACTTCAACCCCACGATCGGCCCATACTGCTCCGCCCACTCGTGGAATCTAGATAATGTCAGCTTTAGCTCTGGATCATAAATTATCCATGGTGAATGGGGAAACCAACTTTATGAATGGTTTTCTTAGGGGCAACTGATGGAGATTTCCTAAAATTGGGACAATAGGCGGACCAGGAGGGAAGTCTCGGGGTCGTCGACTGTTCAAGGAATACAGCACAATGAGGTAAAAAGAAAAGGTCGTTGCGGCTAATGCCAGTAGGCTGATATACTTGTACATTATTAAGAGTTCAGCGAAAGTGGAATGTTTACAATGCGCCTATCAAGGAGTTGACCACAAGAGACTCTTTTACTCGTGAACTTGAGCTTTCTGACGCCTTTAGTCGCCCCAAGCTGCCGCCAGCGTTCGGCGTTCGGATTCTAACGAGCTACCATTAGAGGTTGAGGCTCGGGTGCCCGGATTCTTGGCAACCAAATTCCTTGTTCTGAGAACTCGTTAGTTACAGGTAGAAGGGTTCTCGGTAGTTTCCCGAGCCCGAGAGTAATGGTTAAATTTATATTACACTATCGAGGAGTAATTGTTGAGCAGTTCGCTTTCGTCCACGAGCCTAGAGCACTAGTATTCCCGAACAAGCGAATCAATTTTCCAAACACGACCTGAGGAAAGGAGTCATGCATAAAGATCTAGACTTCCAAGTCATAATTGTTGGTGGTGGTGGATGTGGTCTTTCCATGTCTTCTTTTTTGTCCGACTATGGTGTGCACCATGCCTTGTTCGACAGAAAGAGTGACGCTTCAGCGCTCCCAAAAGCACACTATCTCAATCAAAGGACTATGGAAACGCTCAGAGTCCATGATTTGCACACTGAGATTAAGGAGCGGAGTTGCCCAATGCGCTTCATGAGCCAAGTTGCTTGGGCAACTTCTCTAGGGGGTTATGACTCGTTGGACCGAAAAGTAATTCATAAAGTTCCGTGTTTCGGAAACGACAATAACTCGGAAAAGGCCCGTTGTTATCAGACTGACGGTGCAGAAAGATCTACGAATCTTCCTCTATGTAGAATGGAGCCAATTCTGAGACGGCTGGCAGAAGAAAGAAACCCGGGAGGCATTCGTTTTGGCCATTCAGTCACCGACTTCCATGACCATGGTGATTATGTGGAGGTCACGACTAAAGCTCCTGATGGAACAACTTCAACCTACTGCACACGCTACCTTGTTGGGGCCGATGGTGGCCGCCTCGTTGGTCCACAACTTGGCATTGAAATGGAAGGCCGCACTGGCATCACCGATATGGTCTCTGTGCATATGGGGGCCGACTTGTCGCAGTACTGGGATGAGAGGTTCTTTGCGTGTCATTTTATAAACGGTGAGTGTGGGACGATTTTTGAAAGTGGAGCCATCGTGCCTATGGGACCGACCTGGGGGAAACGATCTGAAGAATGGGTGTTTCATTTTGGCTTCGCCCTAGATGATGAGGCACGGTTCCAAGAAGACAAACTAGTTCCTCGAATCCGCGATCTACTCAAGATACCGGACCTAGAGATTCAAATTCACCGGGTTAGCCACTGGATCATTGAACGTGTCTTGGCGAGTAAATATCGGGTTGGGAATGTCTTCCTTGCTGGAGACGCGGCGCACAGACGACCCCCTACCACCGGGCTTGGATTGAATACCGCTATCGAGGATGCATTGAACCTCTCGTGGAAGTTAGCTATGGTTCTCAATCATGATGTCGATGCAAAAATCCTCGATACTTATGAACTTGAAAGGAGGCCAGTCGGTAAACGCAATTGTGACTGGGGGTTGTTCACTTTTGAGAATTCGGCAGTCATAAATGCGGCTATTGGACTCGTCGCTGGCAAGAAGCAAGACAACAAAGCTAGATTTGAAGCCATGTACGAAGACTCGTTGACTGGTCAGAGCATTCAAGCCCAGGTGAAAAAGATGATCGAGTCACAGTGCATCGAGTTCGGGGCTCATGGTATTGAGCTTGGCTTCACTTATGACAATGGACTGAATATATCAGATGGTACAGAATCACCAGAAGTCGACCCGCTTGGGCAAGATTATTGTGCCACGACTCGACCGGGACACCGTCTTCCTCACGCTTGGCTGGAATCCAAAACCGACCACCAGATTATTTCTACGCACGATCTTGTAGGACCGAAAGGTTCATTCTTGCTCCTCACTGATCACATTGGGCTAGAATGGGTTACCGCTGCCAAAAGACTCTCTCAAAAATACAAGATCCCGATAAAGACTGCTCAAATGGGCCAGCATTTCTGGGATATGGAAGATCAATGGGAAAAGGTCAGTGGGATCCCCAAGGGTGGTGCCATCCTAGTGCGACCTGACAACTTCGTGGCGTGGAGATCGAAGAAACCCTCGAGATCACGAGGACAAGAACTAGAGGAGTCCTTTGCCGCGTTGCTTGGATTGCCCTTGCCAGTCGAGATGAATGGTATCACTCATTAGGATTCGGTAATGGCGTATATTGTCGAAGGAAGGATGATTGCATTATGAGACTTGATATTTTCACCTTACAATGACTCCTTCTTCCGCAATGAAAGGCGGTGGCTTGCTGACATATCATCACTGTTGAGTGAAAATCAATATAAGCTTCGTGTTTGCTCTAAAAATGGTTCATGTCAACGTACAGGTTTTCCGATTTGTGCCTTTACCTCTCTTCCAGCAGGACACGTTCAACAGCTGCAAAACGAGGTTGAAATTTCCTCACTCATCAATGACAATCGCAATGGTTCGACCAAGGCATGGACTAGGCTCAAATAGATCTATCGTGTCTAATACACAAGGTCAACACATCAAGCTCAACACATCGTTGGGGGTTTCATCACCCATACATTGGATCTGCGGCGCCCCTTAGGAGCTCGCATCACCAATGAACTATCTTTCTCGGTATTCGGCATACACTTGCCGGCCGCGACTGATGGCCGTCGGGCTTCTTGGGGTGGTCCCGGCACCTTGAAGCTTCTTTCGCCCGAATTTATGAGCCAAAGCACAACGGCTGCAAGTTGCGACTTCCTTTAACTTGCGTCAGAGTGCCTGGCCTGAGCGACTGTGAACATCCATACAAGGACAACTCCATAGCCGCTTTGGTCACCAAATTTTGTTGTTACTTTCTATCCTCTCCCAAGCTGATCACGCTACATTTTACAACTACAACCTTGATATCCCATAATGACTGTTAACGTAAATGTTTTCGGCAATTCGACGAACTCCAATGGTTCTATGCACAACATCAAAGTGAAGTCGCCATCTTCTCTTGCACATGTGGTATTTCGCACATCCAACTACGATGCTATGGTCGACTATTGGCAAGCCTTCCTGGGAGCAGATATAACTTTCAAAGACTCCAATCTGGCTTTTCTACGATATGATCACGAACACCACCGGATCGCTATTATCAGAGTGCCCGGGGTAGGGCCCAAAGTTGCGAACGCAGCTGGTCTTGAGCATGTTGCTTTCAGCTACGACGGACTACGCGACTTAGTAGACTCTTACCAGCAACGCAAAGCATTGGGAATGCATCCCTTCTGGTGCACCAACCACGGGCCAACAACGAGCATATACTACAACGACCCAGACGGTAATCGAATAGAAACACAGGTCGATAATTTTGACACTGTTGAAGCCGCAAATGCTTTTATGACGTCGGAAATGTTTAAACAAAACCCAATAGGCACAGATTTTGATCCAGAAACCCTGGTACAGCAGGTCGAGGCTGGCGAAGATGATAAGCTGATCAAAACAAGGAGGGAGATCGGAGTGCGGGGCTTGCCAGAAGGATTTTGATGTGTCGGCTGTCCTAAAGCGAATGAGCAACAGCATTTTAAGCTCATCTCATTTGTACCATCGTTATCATGGCTCCGAGTGTGATCCGCACCCGCGCAGTGTTACGAAGGAATGAGTTGTCATTCGAAGTCCCACGGAGAAAATCGTAACTATATATACTAGGCAGTACAGGCCTTGGCGGTTTTGGGTACCGCCAAGGTATTTAGTCGTAATCGGAGCGCGTCGAAGCCTCGCGTCATTAGAAATGAAAAGACAAAAGAAATCACACGAGCATATTGCGCGCCTCACGTGACACTCATTATTGGGTTTTATCTAAATACAAAGCGATTTTAAGTCCTTCCCTACACTGCGATCTGAACAACAGGAATGATAAGTCTAACTCAGAGATCAGTCGATGATGTTCCCAAACTTTGTCCAGACCTAAGCTTCATTGCACCGAGCTCGGCTCAAAATTGGTCTTTTTGAATTTTCCAGTTTTGAACTACGCGTTTTGTCCCGGCGATGCATCTTCCAAAGTCTCGTGGTAAAGTTTGAATTCTAACCATTACGGGCAGACTTAGTTTCCAATTCTTTGAAAGCTTTCAGCAGCGCAGTGCCATATTCCTGCGGATTCGTCGCAAATGCCAGGTGAGCCCCTGGGAAGATCAACTTATCACAACCAATGATTTCCGCTTGCCTGTCAACAGTCCTGGCATAAAATGCTTCTCCACTTCCTTCACCCTTGGCCACAGCAATCGACCCATTGTTTCTTTTGATTCGATCAAGATCTGGAGTATAAAGGCCAAATATCAGATACTCGTATTGGAAGAAATAATCCCCTGTTTCATGTGGAATATCTCGTCCGTCAAAGGAAAACCCAACCATCTCTGTGGAGAACGCTTTCCATGCAGCATCAGAACCGTACTGCCGCCACGTATCATAGACTGAGGCATTAAAGTCAAGTTTCTGTGGCGCATCCGGGAGAATTGCAGTGGTTGGCGACTCATGAGCGATGACATGCTCGACAAAATCCGAGTATGTCGATGCAAGCTGTAAAGCAATGAGACCACCACCACTGTTGCCATGGATATGTGCCTTCTTGAAACCCATGGCACGGATGATAGCAACAACATCGCGCGCCTGCTGAGGAATATTCAATGGCTGGCACTTTTCTTTTGGTAGACGACTTCGCAAGTTTCCTCGTCGATCAAAAGATGCTACAGTATAGTGACGAGCCAAAAGCGGCACTATACCATTCCAAATCTCTCCATTGCCTCCGCCACCAGCAACGAGGATCAGAAGAGGCCCACTACCCTGGTACCAGTAGTGTAATGTACATCCTTCGTTGTCAACCGTATCGAATTTTGCATCAAGAGCCATTACGCATGGGCAAGAACTGATTAGGACGTCGTTTCTATCTTCAATTGAATGCTTTTTTCTGTCTCCTAGCGAGTATTCGAGCCACAGAAATACCTAGTCCGGGCCACAAGCCCCTGCCGCGTAGGGATTTTGGCTCGGGGTCTTGGCGACCCAGGAGCACCGAGTCTGGAGAACAGCCAGCAAACCTCTGCTACTCGGTAGATTCAGCTCAGAACTGTTCCAGACCCCGGGTTTAAGGAATCGGAAATTGGTACAGAACTCCGGGGTAGTATTTTCACCCACTGCGGTGTCTGACTGAGTTATTTAATTCGCAATGAGTCGATTCGAGGAGGTTCTTGTGGATCGGCTTCGTTTGCTGAAGTGACATTATTGCTACCACACATTAGTAGAATAAAGAACCGCTTTTCTTTTACTCCCACCTGCTCAAAAGCAACTCGCTGACACGATGGTTACGAAGGCGAACTCGGATCGAATTGAGGATTCTGGTGCCATAGAGCAAGGCGAGCACGATCATGTCCCGCAGAAGAACACAGATATCTATCACGGGGATGCTGAGATAGTGGTGGATATTGGCTCGAACGCTGCAAAGTCAGAGGTCGCGTCAAACCTGAAACTGGCATCAGATAGCCATGTAAGTTTCAAGTGACGCGTGTGTGAGCTCAATTGATGACAATTGTTAGACGATCTTGATTCCACAGCCCTCGGATGACCCTCACGACCCCCTCAACTGGTCTCACGCTAAAAAGCACCTGTTACTGGCCACAATTGGTCTTGCTGCGTTTGTTGCTGACTTCCAAGCTGGTGCTGCGGTGCCGTGTATCATCATCCAAGGAGCAGAATGGCACTTATCACCAACACACGTGAATTATGCCAACAACTTGAATGTCTTACTCGTGTAAGTCAAGCGTGATACCTAACGATATACTTGATTTAACGCGTGGGAAGTGGAATCGGAGGAGTTACTGCCATGCCATTCATCTTCTTCTGGGGACGAGCCCCTCTTATGTTCTGGTCTGTTGTAGCCGGGACAATTTTTACACTTGGCTGTACGCTGAGTTCAACTTTCGATACTTATTATGCAATGAAGGCGCTTCAGGGTTTCACTTTCACAGCAGGTCAGACCTCAGGCTTGGCCTTTATTCAGGACACTTTCTTTTTCCACGAACAAGCCAGAAAAATCGGTATCTGGACTACTTTCTTCTTAGCTTCACCGTACCTTGGGCCATTATTTGCGAATTTTATCATATCTGGAACTGGTTCCTGGAGAGCGGTCTTTTGGCTCACCTTTGCGATAGGATGTCTGACTGTCATGTTGATGATTCTCTTTCTGGATGAGACCTGGTACCGCCGTGACATCCCAAGATCGAGACAACCGCCCAGGGGAGGACGGCTCTTACGCCTAATCGGTGTTTGGCAAGTGAGAAATCACACTGGTTATTTCGGCACAGTATCTGAAGGAGTACGTCGCATATTTGCGGTGTTTTTGAAACCTATTCTGCCTTTGATTATGCTTTATTAGTAAGTGATGAGGCTGCGAATAAACTGTGTAACATTGACATTCCTTACCAGCCTCATGAACTTGATGTGGGCAGTTGGAATCAACCAAACATCATCGATACTATTTTCTTTACCAGTTACAGAAGGGGGTTACGGCTTTAGTCAAAGCGTGGTAGGCTATATCTTCTTCGCCCCTGTTACCGGCGTTGTGCTTGGAGAGCTTTTTGGGCATTTCTTCAACGACTTCCTTGCCTCCCGCCATATCCGACGACATAAAGGCATCTTTATCCCGGAAGCACGTCTGTTCCCAATTTATCTCTCGACAATCTTCATGGTGCCAGGGTTAGTGTTGGTTGGACAGTCACTTTTTCACCATCTCCACTGGGCTGCTATCATCATGGGCTGGGGTATGTTCGTCTTTGGCTATATGGTTGCAACGGTTGCCGTTACTGCGTATGCATTAGACTCCTATCCCACTGCCGCTGGTGAAGTTTCTGCCCTCATCAACCTGGCTCGCCTTCTTGGAGGATTCTCTGTAGGGTAAGTCAGCAGTCTCAGTTTTCTAGGCGAGGTTCATCCTAACATTTTATAGATATTTCCAGCTTGTGAGACTAACAGTACCCCTTCTTCCCAAGTCCAACAGCCGCTGACATTTTCCTTAGCAATGGGGTGAGAAAAGCGGATACAATGTGACATTCGGAGTACAGGCAGCTATAGTTGCAGCTGGAATTATGATTATCCCGCTCCTTCATATGTATGGACCTCGATTGAGACATTGGGCTGGACCACTAGATTGCTGAGCTGCATACGGCAGCTTCGCTCTCGAGTTCCCAGACGGCTAGCTGTCTAAGAGTACCCAAAGTTCTACAAAACCCTGCTTCGACATGACAGGAACGGAGTGGCGGCTTTTCACCAATTCGAGTTTTGTAATTGTGCATGTAACTGCTAATGAGCCTCATCGAGCTTGGTTCTCAAATACCATCGTTACGACTAGTAGCAGCCGATTTCCATCTACAAGTATCGGTGAAATAGAATGCTGCTTTGTTTCCAGCAGGGTAGGAGTCTTCTAAACGTTTCCGAATTAACCTTAAGCAATGCCAAGGCTGAGATATGGTAAATGCAAGGAAGTTATCTCTGAGGAAGACATGGAGTGCTCCCAGAATCTGATCTACTCTACCAGCTTCTTGGTACTTTTAAGAAAATTCAGAGAACTAGTCCATCAGCCTTTATGACACCATCCCCTCCAGTGAGCCAGTGGTTGGCGGAATTCATGAGATTAGTGATCGACTCTGGCCAATCGGTCCCAGGCAAACTTTGCTTGATTTGGAATCCTCGTTCGGATAAAACCCATGACACACATCTGTAGCTCTTCCGTCGTCCAAGATCATTGAGCTTGATCACACTCCCTTGAGTGGGCACCACTGAAGTGAGGGTGTCTCGGTCATAGATAACATCTAGTGTCAGAAGCTTCCAGCCATGTGGTGTTCTCGCTAACCGTGAAATGAACCTGGTCCAGGAGACGAGGTCATACTCCTGGCCTTCATGTTGAGTGCGTATCTGAATATTCCCGGTTGATTCTGATAGTGCTTTGTTGCCATGTATGGTAACCTCGACAGGATTGATTGTATGTATGGCACCCACACCACCCTGTGACATGGCTCGAGAGCCTGTCACAAACCCATCAATGTCACCGGTAAACCTAGATTTTGAGAGAAGTATGTTAAATTGTGGGTCGCTGGCAACAGATTGCCTATCTTTAACGTAGAATCTGGACCTACCAGGAGATATCAATAAATGTTTTGGAAGCATCAGGATGATAACAACTCCTCAACTTGTCCCATTGGCAAGTGTCGCGATAGTAGCGCTCACGGATAAGTAGTGACTTGATTTCGAGGTCGTCCAGCACATGCTCCAATCTCTGAGAGTCCATTTTTGCACGAATTCTAGGGGGAATCAATGCCGTGGAACTCGAGGAACGATTGAAATATCTTGCGGAGAGAATCCGACTCCGCAGGCTCCTTCGTGGAACCCTACTGAGCGCCAGCAACATCTCACAAACATCGCTTTCTGAGCTCGGGCTTCGGTTGTAGACTGCCGAACGCCGCGACAGGCGCGCTCTCAATCCGGGCTTCAGTACTTCGCGGTCAAGTTCGGCTTTATTGCCGCCCAAGACGCCGCCAGAGCCGATGCTTGTGTTATAGTGTTCGCTCGCTAGTAGACAAGCCATCATGATTTCCGTCGCTGAAGAAGGTTGACCACCAAGAGCTAATTATTCCTGGGGTGCTGCGTTTCAAAATTGTTGTTTGAAATTTGGTGATACTATCCTTACCATCTCAGGGTAAATTGTTGTGCCGAATAGCAAGCATGGACTTGGACTACGGAAAAATGAGGAAACTACCAGAATTTGAGCAACTGCCCTCTAGCAGCGAGTTGCTTTCATTCAATGCCATTGCTGCAATATGCCTTGTTATTGCTCTTCCGCTTCTATGTCTTTTCTACTATCGATTTCTGTCACCATTGGCAGGGGTTCCAGGGCCATTCGTGGCAAGTTTTACTCGATTATGGTTGGTGCAGCAAAGTCGCGCAGGTAAAATACACCGCACAATGATTGAACTCCACAAGAGATATGGGCAGATCGTTCGAATAGCACCCAATGAGGTTTCTGTAACGGATCCAGCAACTATCAAGAAAATCTACGGTCTGTCGCTCGTTGGACCCCTGTGATGCATCTGGTCAAAGAGCTGAAAATTAAATACAGGGCCAGGAACAAAATTTCGCAAAAGCAGTTGGTACAGTGTATTTCAGGGCCAACGCAAATTCGACTTGTTTGCCGAGTCGAATGAATCTATCCATGGCCAGCAGCGACGACTCGTGAGTCGTATCTATTCAGCCGATTCATTGAAAGAACTTGAACCATACGTCGCCAACGCAGTCTCCCATTTTATGGTAAAGATGGAAGAATTGCAAGGCACAGAAGTCGACATGGGAAGATGGTTGCAGTTATTTGCATTCGGTCCGTTTCAACCCGTCTTTTCCCCTAGAGTCAATGCTGACATAGGCTAGACGTGATAGGTGAAGTAACATTCTCACGACGCTTTGGTTTCATGGATGCTCAAAACGACGATGGCATATTTGAGCAGATTAAGTCGGTTTTGCACTCAGGATGCTGGCTCGGGCAGGTACCTTGGGTATACCAGATGTGTAAGTTCTTCGAGCCTGTAACAGGTAACTTGCTTGGCGTCAATGCTCGACACGGGAAGATTCGTGACTATACTTTGCATGAAGTCCATAACAGAAAAAACGCGGGCGGAAATTGCCACGATATTCTGAGTAAGTTGTTCGAGGTACAGGAAAACAAACAATCTGAAATGGACATAAGCGACGTTATCTCCATGGCCTCGAGCAATATCAATGCTGGGAGTGATACAACGGCCATCTCCCTAAGAGCGGTCATCTACTATCTTCTTAAAAATAGTCGATGCAAAGAGAAGCTGCTGGAGGAGATCGATACAGTAATGTCAGGGGAAGATTCTTTCGCCGTCGTTACAGTCTGGCAGTCAAAGAACATGCCATACTTGCAAGCTTGTATGTATGAGGCACTGCGACTCCATCCTGCAGTTGGCATGAGCTTGCCTAGAACCACACCCGCTGGTGGTATCAGTATCGATTCACATTTCATTCCAGAGAAGGTAAAGTTGATCCAAATGGTTAGAGGTATCACAAACTCGGCTAAATCAATGCAGACTATCATCGGAGCCAATCCCTGGGCTGTGCACTATAGTGAGGACGTATATGGTCGGGATGCTGACCAATTCCGCCCCGAGAGGTGGCTGGAAGATGAGACAGGTGATTTGCGTAGGTCGATTGAGACTTTCGAGTTGCCTTGAGGAAGCTAATTGCCTATCCCGCAGACCGATTTTTCTTCGCATTCGGCTCCGGCGCGAGAATGTGCCTTGGCAGGAGTAAGATCCTAATATTTGCTTTGCCTTGATAGGATCTCGCTTATCTTGAATAGACATTAGTTGGATGGAAATGTCCAAGGTCAGTGTCACGGGCAGGCAGCCCAACTCTTTCCCAATTGAAGCGACTACTCTAACCTACAATTCATCTTGACAGCTTATCCCCACATTATTTCGTCGATATAATCTTCAGCTGACGAATCCAAATGCTGTTCTACATGAGTCTTGCAAGTATGTTTCGTTCTGTCAGCAGGTATCGTTGAGCCATGTTAACCTATTTCGTTCCAGTTTCTTCGTCATGCAATCTGGATTGAACCTCACGCTCTCGCGGAGAATCTTAGACGGGCTGCGAGACTGAGTAGTTAAGACACCCTCGGTACCTTATCTCGGTAATGACCGCTCTGCTATGAGGCGGCCCACCTAGTCCTGTTTTTCTGTAAACTTTCAGTGGCTTGATTGAGTTCTCCAGGACCTGCTCCTCAGTTGCTGGAACATCAACTCGAGGCCAACACCATTCGGTAGTCGCTAAAAGTAGCCACCTTTCAAGTAATTCCAGTATCATGACAGATAGATATCTCATTTGACTGCAAATCAATGAGTGATGTATGTTGATATGAGAGGGTTTTTCACTAGGAAGAGAGCGCCTCCCATCATCCTTCCATTAATTTTCGTCGTCCGTCGTCACTCGGCTTTGATCCAACCTTGGTGGTTTCTCACCATGATTTAAGTATAAAAGTAAGCATTTTCTCTGCCGCATTGTATCCTCAGGTCATGGCAGGCCCGAGATTTTCTTCACTTGAATCTCGCCGAACGACCCGATTTAAGATCATCAAGGTCCGAAAAACTTCGAAACGCCCAAATCTGGGCACGATTCGTCCAAAGATAGCATTGTACGCAAAGGCTCAGGGGACTTATCTTATGTATTCGGTCGGCAGAAATCTGTCTAGTAGACATTCCGCCCTGGTGACATACCCTACTTGGTGGAATATGCAGATGATACTTTGATGGCCACGGTGGCTGGCACACCATCTACTCCTGCGTTCGGCTACCGATGCGTATTGTTGTAGTCCATACAAGTTTTGGTCTATAGACATCGAGTACGTACAAGTGTACACTCCGAACCGTGTGCTCCATTTGAGTCCCATTCTTCATCCTTGCATTCTGTAGAACTGCAGCTCCAGTTCCGTCCACAATCATGCCCACTGTTGTGTGGACGCTCGCCCTCTCGCAACATCTTGTTGTGGGGCATGCTTATCTCTGCTAGACTTAGATTTCTTGATTCCTCCAGAAATCACAGCGGCACCGAGGGAAAGTAATCCCAGTTTGCCTCCAGTGAAGTCTCCTCGTCCAAATCTGTATGCCAGTTTTTCACCCGTTGCAGCATCCGCTATCGGTACCGCAGGAAGTTTCAGTCCAACTGCAAGATATAGGAGTACCACTGCACATTCCTCCAGCACTTCCATGAATAGGGAAATCGTGATCGCTGCTGTAGACCCATATCCAGGTTGAAAGTCGATATTGTGGCTGAATGCTGCGATAAGAGAATATATAACACGAACTAACAGAAATGGTAACGCGAAAGCCACGGCAATAATAATTGACCGTTCCCCACGCTTGGTCCTGCGGGCCACAATAGAGGCGAAGGCGCACAAGAGGCATAGTAAAGCGTACGCCACGGTGAACAATATGACGCCAACCTTGACAGAGCCCTCATCGTCGATTTCGGCCGGAGAATTTGCGCTCGTAGCTCCGACAATGCAGAGTATGAGCCCTACACCAGCAGGTATTTGGACAAGTCTCAGAACTAGTAGAGAGAATATTGTGCTCCATGGTTGCCGAAGTATAGAATAATAGCTAAAATCACTATAAGCACTACCTTCTGCAGAACACAATCGTGAACTCACCTGCGAGCCAAGAGGCCGAGCGAAGCCAGCAGTAATGGTGATAGCCCCAGTACAGAGCATATCAGTGCCGTCGTGCTTGCTCCATTGGAATTCGGGCTCGATATCAGGACCATCTGACCCACTGAACCTGCAATTCGAACCGCACAAAATATCGTAAGATAGATCCAGCCCGAGCTCTTTGTGAAACCATGTCTGTAAACCACAACCATGCTGGCTAGAAGTGACGGTATATAGTATATCAGTTTCCAAACAGCGACCCCATCAGCGTAGGTGAACTTGACCATGATTTGAGAGAGTAGCAGAAATAATCTGAAAAGTTGGAACGAAAGTTGCCAAAATGTAATAATTGGTTGGTTCGGTAATAGGACTAAGAATTTATCATTGTGTCCATTTGCTTCGAGGAGCGACAAGCCACAGCTTTATAGTCTTTGATCGATCGCTTGGTCCTGGGACTGCTTCGAAGACCCTACGAGACCAAACATAACCCGAACAGGATTTTGACCACACGTGCTAAGTAGAATCCAGCACTATCTCAGCTGTGGCTCTCAGACCTTAGTGTGCAGGTCATGCAGGGCATCGTGAATACGTAAGCACTATCACTTCCCCGTCGGGTTGGTACCTGGCGAGTATCATACCCGATCCGGTAGGTATCGACTGAACGAGGTGCATACCAAATTAGGGATTTCGCGCAATACCCAGCACTCGGAGATGCACTGCCTTGAAATTTTAAATGACAGCGAGCTGCATTGAACTCCACTACCGCGTCAATACGCTCGGAGGGACTTTTATGTTGCCCAATGACTAGTGAAGCCTTCGGTGTTGCGGCAGATGACAGAGTACCATAATCCCAATAAGTCAAACGATAGCCATTGGATGTGTCTGTCGATCGTGGCAGGCTTGTCGAGAAATAGAGCCTTTGCTCCGGCATCTTCTTACCTGGTGGACAATGAAAATGTTGTGGAAAGGAATGCACATCATTCCGGCGACTTTCCTGTTTTGTCAAACTCACATGAACTATTCGAGATTTCGAATGATTAACCTGAGTTTCTCGCCGTCCCGGTTCATCCTGAGGTTTAGAAACTTCTGCAGAGAATTTTCGCGAACCTATCTCTTACTCGTGCTCTGTACTGCTGAATTGGTGCGGAAGACAGATTTCCCCAACGAGTACTAGTAGCTATGGCCATCTGTGTACACCAGGTACCGTATACCGCAAGTTAATTTCAGACACATCGTTATCAGCTGCCTAGGGAGATCCAGAGTGGAACGACTGATAGATACGAGAAGCCACGGCTGTAGCCATTAGATGAGGTAATCGTCCTCCGTAGCTCTAGCACTAGTCTTTACATTACTCTTCCCGATTGTCACAATCACCCACCTCTGCCAAGCTCAATGCTTTCAAGCCACGAATAGTGAGATTTCCGACAATGCGAGTTCGATGTTTTCAAGCCCTACAGTATGTCAGACTAGCCATGCGATGGTTTTCAATGGCGTTTGCATTAAAGTTCGATCCCTGAGCATGCACAGAAGAGCGTTTGGATTGGGAGTTTGATGTCGTCAGATACCATGGTTTTACGTCCAGGCCTATGTTCGGATGATGTCGAGGAGTAGTCCAATCTTGTGGAATCAAGATTTTGTGATACAGACGTTGTTTGTCTAAGTGACGCAACGCTGTGACTAATCTCAAGGTTCCCACAGCACACCATCGTCAAGATGGTGTTGCGATCCTGAGGTCGTTTGCGTTGCACACTGCCTTCCCTGAGCGGCCTCAAAGGTCAAATTTTATCGGGTGTGCTGCAATCACCCAAATATTCCTGTAACATGATCACCCTCGTAATCACAAGGCTGCCAGAGGATCCATCAAAAAGTGTTGAGTAGGGCAGAGCTTCTGGAAGGTCTACTTGTGGCCAAGGCAGCCACGAAAGCTTCGACATGAACTCTAAATCTCGTATAACCGGAGGATCTCTGACATCTTGGAATATAACGCCTTACTGAAGAGCAGTAGATTCGGCAGAGAATAACAGTCAGTATGACTTCGGAGGAATATTCAGCAGGCGTCAGAAGCTTTCCGCTCATTAGACTCAAAGAGGAACGCAACTCGGCGCTAGTGCAGGGAGACTTACGCCGTCCAACCTTAACCGGCTAACCATGGTTTCCCTGCTTGTGAGGCTTTGACTGAATGTCAGAGCGCAGGGTGAATCCACGAATCCGAAGGACAGCTAGTACTCGGTAAGTTTTCGGATCGAGTCTAAACACGCGTCCTGTCAAGTCGGAACAACGATGTAATTGCGCGGGCCCAAGCAGATGGCCGCTTTTCTGACATGCTAAAAAATACCATCGTTGCGCTCCCTACATAGCAGGAGGCTCATATTGACGTAAGGAAAAAGGCGCAGATTTAATCTGACGAGTTTGAGGTTGAAGCTCAACGCTGAAACTGAAGAGCAACATAAGAACACATAAATACTGAGGGACGCTACACCTTTTGTCAATGTACGTTCAAACCACTCCTCATACTTCATCACTCGCCATTCTTCATACCGTTAACACAACCCAATAACATCCCGAAATCCAACCACACTAAAAAATGGGAATACTCAAGACAGCTATGATGAGCGGCGCTGCCATGTATGGCATCAAGCAGGTCGCCAAAGCTGCAGAGTCCCACGGCAGCAACAACAAGAATAGCATGAGCTCACGTCGCGACTACTCAGACCGAGACTATGACCAGTACTACTCTCGACCCGATGAAAATAGCAATCGCCAGATGAATCATAGATATCTTCCTCAAGCTCGTGATATGCAGGACCGAACACAATACAACCCAGCTTACTCCAATAATGAGTCTCGACAGAGAATATATCTGGAAGATCAAGCTTACAACACCGGACTACAATATTCTGACCAAGAATGGACTGAAAATCGGCCGCAGTATGCATATGCCACGAATATGCGCTCGGCATCTGCGCCTCCACCTCAATATACCCGACAGAATCAAAACAGACAGCAGGGTTTTGTGGAGCCAGAAGAGATGATGGACGATCCGAGAGACTTACAAGGTGGAAATAGGGCTGATATGATGAACATGTTGGCTCAACAAGCTATGAGTATGGGGCTTATGGGAGGCAAATCGGGTCAAAAGGATAAGAAGGGAAAGGGTAATTTGATCAGAGATCTCATGAGTAAGTAGATATAAGAAGGGGTTGTGTTTAGAATCTTTTATTTTACACAATAGTGGCGCTTCGGCAGAATAGATATTATGGGCTTACGATAATTTAGTCAAATCAAGCATTGATTCAGCCAGCGCATGTCTATAGACCTCTTGAGTAAAGCGGAGCATTAGGACCCTGGCAGTAGAAGTAATGCTACGTAAATTAAGCAGTCGTGGCACTTGACTTGACATGCAAGCTGAAAAGAGCTTTTCTTCTCTTCTCGCAGGATGTTAATACTAGCGGGAGTCAGATGTTATACTCCAGGTGCTCTAATTCGCGCAATCACTTGTCAAAAGGAACGCTTGAAAGATTCTCTTCAGTCTTTGCACACTCGTCAAAACATGGTCGATTGTGAAAATCACTGACGCAATTCCCCAATCAGCTGGTACTGCTCGTATCAAGCAAAATAGATAGCATCACCCTGAGGGTCCTGCTCTCTTGACAAGATCATCCGAAAGTCCATGTCCGGCCAACGAATTGACGGATCTGGCAACTCCGGGTGTCGATCGGAGTTTGGAAATTTAGCGACTGAGCGCGCAGACCCTCTAGCTCCCCTCACATTGAAATTTACTTCGACCTTGCTTTTAAGTTTAGCTTGGTTCCATTTCGGTGTGAGCCAGGCCGCCATGATACTCTGACTCAGCGAGTGAAAGTTCTTCCCTACGTCACTGACGATTTATATACCCACTTGGGGTCGGGTCAGCCGAAACGTATTCAGTTGTATTTTTGTGGTTCAGTATCGGTACTCGGCAAAGTCCACGTCTTGCCGATTAGTAACATCGGTTCAAATTTAAGGGTATGACAGGGGAATCTCCAGCAAAAAATGCGAGACACGAGTATGCCCGCATTGGGTACAGTATCCAGAAACGCACTTAGTGCCCTGTTTCATAACATGCCTGAGATTGATCTTCGCGCATGCAATTATAGATCTGCAGCTGAGCCAAAGTCTCAGCCACGACAGCAGCTGTATTGTCTTGAAAAGTAATGCTAGTTTTCCCCACTCGTCGAGGACACGTACGCTTGTTCCGTAGCTGGTATGCTTCTCGCCGCGACAGGTCTATAGCAAACAATGACGGTAGTCTGGTTGACACAAAATGGCACAGCAGGGCGTTATGACTCGGATGAAGCAGTATATAGACTGCTCTTTCCGTATAGATCTGTCTACTGCAGTACTTAGCATTCATTATCATCTCGAATAGAAGAACAGTACACCATATACACCTTTTCTCGTATTGATCTCCACAAAGTACGACCGTGCTCGACAATCACTGTGAAAGGTATCAGAATGTTTTCTGCCGTCTGTCTATGTATGTTTCAAGCGCAATGTAAGGAAACGGCTCGCGATTGACATCACTTAGCATCTTCGGACCCGAAGAACCAATGGAGCTATTGCCCATCTGTTCCGACAGCAGCAGTATTTGCCATAATATTCTTCCTTACGACTTTGGTCCACATCGCACAAGCCTTTCGAAGTCGTCTATGGTTCTGCATGGTCGTCTTCGTCGGCGCGCTCTGGGAAACGGCTGCCTACATCTTGCGCATTCACTCAGCTAGGAATCCCACGCAAAAAGGATCTTACGACGCATCCTTTCTGCTGATTCTGATCGCTCCTATCTGTATCAACGCGTTCGATTATATGGTCATATCACGAATCGTCAAAGCCTTCCTTCCACATGGACGAGTTTTTGGCTTGAAGGGAACGATTCTGGGTAAACTGTTTTTTTTTTTGATATAATGTGAGAGTCCTCAGTTCTTGGAGTGACTAGCGTAAACAATTTCTAATGCGCACGGCAGTTCATTTCTTGTCCAGATTGGTGGCGGTTTACTCTCACTCTCGAAGGCGCCAAAAACAGCAAAACGAGGTCTCCACATTGTCACAGCAGGTGTTCTCTTCCAAGAAGCGTTAATTATCTACTTTTTCTGCCTGACGATGCGCTTGATCTCCAAACTCAAGAAACGTTTACCCCCAACGACGACGTACTATCGAGCAAGGCTACAAGTGAACTCTGTTCAGCTGTCTTTGTTGCTCATCTCGGTATGCTCCAATTCTGTCCATTCACGTCGCTCTCGAACATTAATATGAACATGATATAGTACAGAATCATCTACCGGCTTGTCGAATTCACCGCTCCTGAAGGTGATTCTCGAAGCAAATACTTTGATGATCACGAGTGGCTAGTTTATGTTTTTGACGCCACTCCCATGTTTCTTGCTTTGTTGCTGATGAACTTCATCCACCCTGGGAAACTTCTCGGTCTGTCATCTAAGTGATACGATTTCTTTCTCAACACCAGAGAAGACGGCCAGTAGCGGACTTTTGTCAACTGAAAAAACACTCGTCAAACCGTTGGCTCGAAGTCTTCAAAAGAATCAAACCGCTCTTCGACCGATTGAGCTACTCCACTGGCTCGGATAATTTATTTATATGGCATATACAAAGTCGCTGAAAACCTTGGAGACTATACCAGCTTCTTCAGAAAGCATTGCAGTGGGAGTGATGAACAGTCCCAAACCATCGGAGGCCAAACCACAACCCCCCCACCTGGGAGAAAAAACAACCACGAATGATCTCGATGAGCGCCTGCAGGTCGCAAAGTCCACAAAGATCAACAGGCGTGACTGCAGAGGGACAGTTGACAGAAAAATCCACGAGTGACGCAAAGGGTAGGTTCGGTCCATCATCATCATGATGTCGGTACCAAGACAAGAGGTCTGCTGTGCCTGGGTTGAAACACAGGAATCGAATTTGAGAGTGCCTGGTTACTGACCAGTATTCTACATGTTATTACTGTCACACTGGCAAGAATGAGACTCAACCATCGATGGTAGTGGGCTGGAAATCTTGTTTCGTGATGATAAAGCATCCACCCTCAGAGTTTTTTCTTTTGATCACTCGTGTAATTGAACCAAGCTTTTTCCATAATCGTCTTAGATTACTAGTCGCCAGAAACGTAACAAGGCCCCACTCAAGTTTCGACCACTGACCACTGCGTATTGAGGTAGTGAAATTGTCTGAAAGACCATACACTGAACCGTAGGTAGCCATATCCCTAGGCTCTGAACTGAGAAGAATTTCAGCCATAGCTGAACGGTAGGGTGAGAAGGTATTGTCCTTTCCGGCCTATCCCCATCAAGGAGCGTGACAGCACCAATACTTGGGTACGGAAGAATGTCTCATTCACCACCAGTTTGAGACGTGCTTTGGAGTCCGTCCACAGGACAAGCTGGCCCTTTGTAATTTGATCTAACCTGAGTATTCGGAGCGAATTACCCTGCTAAGCCATCAGTCACAGTCCAGACATGCAACCTCTTTATCCGCTTGAACGCGAGGTGGCCTTAAGACAAAGTCATGTTAGCGCCGACACCGGGTCCATTACGCTTTAGTTGTGCTGAAGTAGCATCAAAAGAGCTGTTCCAGCCATCGCTTCCAAGGCAAGTCCGCCGCTATGCCATTGGATAAATTGGTCGACAACAAAGAACCATCTACCGAAGGCACTCATAAAGGGGTCCGCAATAGTATTGTAAGAATTCTCTCATCATACCATGGATTGCTCCATATGGCCTCCGCACCAGTCAGCCTTCCCTTCGCGCTGTGGGAGTATCGACCTCTAGCAATCCCAGGATTTTTACTCCTCGAAGGATGCCTCATGTGCGTCACTATCTGGTATAATGGCTGTCGCATTGAGCAGTTGGCATCCATGGCGGAGAAGGAGAGGCGGGAAATATGTCTCTAATCCAAAACCTCTAGCTGGCCCTTTAAGATCGATAAGCTGGGAAATTTAATACATTCTCAGATTTCCTTATTATCCATATCTAAAGCTTATAATTACTGTCATGAGGCATCTTGGCGAGCAATACTACTAGTAACCTACGCTTCGAAACTTACATAAGATAGTCGCGGAGAACCATTACGTGGGTTGACCTAGGGTGGGAAACTTCCCTCTCCGATCACTGCCAACAACACAGGGACAAAAGTATTAGCTGAATAATGAATCTTTCATGGTCGGAACCACAATTAACGAGTAGAGAAATACTAAGTAGTTGAATTCGATTGTCTATCCACATAGGTCATTAGGTCATCACCAGTGACACATTACGTGAGATAAGGGAAAAGACCCTACTCGAAGCGTGGTAGCCGATAATTTTGAGATGCTGCCGCTGAACTCTGGTTAGCTACATAAGATGCTCACCTAGACAAGATTCTTGACTGATTAAGAGCGCTAGCCAGCTAGATCTTTTCGAAAGCTAAACAGACCTATTTTAGTTGGTGAGGTGCATACAATTTTGGATCTCTAAACTCTTCACTTTCAGATCTCTGTTGTCCAACGAGTCTGATACGACGCAGGGAACAGTTCCTAATTTTCCGCCGTCCGCAAGTAGGATTTCTCCGTTTATGTATCCTCCAGCGCGGCTAGCGAGGAAGAGGATCGCCCCAGCCATATCCAGCTCATCACCAAACCTTCCACCGGGATACTCCTCTGGCAAAATAATTTTCTTCTCAACCCAGTGGTTTGTCATTTCCTCTGGACACACTAACATATTATTTAACGTTGGACGGGATATGAAATCAACCAGGATGGCGATGGAGCGAGTGAGTGGTGACTTACTTCCAGGGGCGATCGCGTTAGCCCTGATATTATATGGCACCAGTGTCGAAGCCAATTGCTTCGTCATGTGCGTCACGGCGGCCTTGCTCTGCGCATAGGTGAAGGCTCCAGGCGAGACCCGCATGAACCCGGCCACACTGGCGAGGTTGATAACCTGGCTACTCCAGCCCACATCCTGGGCTTTGTTCCCTGCGTCAAGCATCTCGAGGAAGCTAGCGATTAAACTCCATATTGCAGCGACATTGGTCCTAAAACACTCGGCCTGGTTGACGAGGCTGACCGCCACCAGTGATTTGGCAAACTCGGCAATGCTGGCCCCTGTCTGGGGTAAGACCTGAGTCGTCGGCCCCTCGATCGCGGCATTGCATACGAGTAAGTTGATCTTTTGTCCTGCCTCGTTCGAGATTCGCGAGACTGCCGCCGATACATATTCCAAGGATGTGATGTCACATCGGACGGGGATGATATTCTTCGTCGACACCGAGGCCTCGCAATCGTCCAGCGACGACTGAGTGCGGCCGAGGATGAACACCTTTGCAGCACCATTAAGCGCCAGTGCCCGTGCTATGAATCGACCAAGCCCTGCTTGACTCAATGAAGATAAATCAGTTTTCTCAAAGTTCCTAGTAGAAAAATTGAATTTCAATTCATTCAAAAGCTGGAATCCTTGGTTACGAGCCTGGTGGTGGTAGTCGTACACCTCCCTCCTCCAGTGACCACGGCGATGAGGCCGTCAGTTCTAAACAAGGACCGCAGGTCCTTCTCCTGCAGAGGGTCTCCTTTGGCCATATCTAGACAGAATTGAGAAAGTTCAATGATAAGTAGTTTGGGGGTTAGCCGGGTAATGGTTGCAAGGAAGTTGATCGATAATGAGGAGTTCGGACTTTAAGAAATGGAAATATCGCTTGATTATATACCAACCCAGCTCTCTAAGCTCGGTCGACATGCTCAGGTACCAGCTAGTTGTTCGATATTAAACCCCCAGAACCTGTTCCATTCGTGCATGTTATTTGCCTACTCAGATTATTGGCCCACCCAAGACCCACATTAGCTACTAGTACTTTTGATAGCCCTAACTTAGTATACTGCCACTGGCTTTTAATATACAAGTCGTATATGTTACTAAAAGCGCAAACGTTACAAATTGCCAAGATCCCCCACAGGAGGTCTAGCTGCTCGCTTGAAATGTTTCCGCTCCGTCAAGGCTCTCAGAGTCCGCAAGAAAGTGGCTCTCCCAAAACATGCCTTTAAAATCTAGTACTTCGGTTTGATCTCCACTCATGCTTTGGGCGAACATCGAACTATATTCGCCCTTCTAAGAATTATTACGAAAACTTCACCCACGGTCGTTAGGAGAGACCGGGGCTGAGGTGCCAAGATGTTTTATCATTAAGCTCCTTATCTGGATTTAACTAACTGTTTGCTCGCTGACAACCAGGATATTGTCCATGATCGAGCGGTGCAGTTAGTGCAAGTTGGTTCTCTTCCTACCGGCCTATTGTAGTCTGGTCCGTTATATTTTCCTGGTTTGCCCACAATTTTCTCGATGGAGAATGGCAGAAGCATCAAGGAACAAGATGGTGATCGCAATGTGTCCGACTATGCTGCTAAAAGGTGCCTCTTACTTCTCTATTTTTCTTTGCGCCGCATACCGCCAGTAGCGCACACGGCTCTGTTGTCGAAAATCCTTGCCCCAGACCATCATGATGATGAAGAGTAGACCGCAAGCAAAGGCCAAGCCTGCCGCAGACAAGAAGTAGTTTTGGACCCCGAGATTGGTGAACCAAGGGCTGATTGCAAAACTAATCGCAAAAACCAGTGTGTTGCGAACTAGAATGAGACTGACTAGAGCCTCGCTCGAGACCTGTGAGTAGGTGTCGACAGCGTAGATGATTGGGAGGAGGATTGCGGTCGTGAGGCAAAGGCCCAGGAAGAACGAAGCGAAGGCTAAACCGAACCCTGCAGTATCTTCTCGTCAGTACTTCTGTAGAAGTAGAGCCGATCTACACTCGCAGTTGGATCGATCGACTTACAGTGCACGTGATGAGTAGCTCCTACCCCAAAGAGGATCAAGGCAAAAGGGACACCGATAGCCGGGAAGATGCAGAGCCACAGGCGGAACTCGGCTTGGGCGATACCGTTCCTCTTGCGGGCCATGCTAATCATGAGTTTGTCACTTGCGATACCGGTGACTAAGCAGCTATATTTCCATCCCAGGTTGGGGTGTCAGCTCCTCTGATACAGATACCGCTCTTACAAGGATGGCTGTTGCGAGAGGGAAAGGAGATCGAATACTTACGCCACGATGATCCCCAGAAGAGATGCTATGTTGAGGAGACCATTATTCGTCGCCGAGAAATTGTAGGGCGGCGAAGACAAGATAACGGACGAGACACCAAGGGCTACTGTTGACCAGACCACCGCAATACCGTTGGCGAAGCCGCAGTAGACTATGATTGGGAGAGATAAAAGCTGGAAAGGTCGTATACACATTACCCACAGCTTGTTAGGGCGTGATTTGTCGAGTAACGAGAGTCGCTTCCAGTAAGGCTTCTTGTTGTACTCGACAACCAAAGCAGGTTCAACTTCCGGTTCAAAGGTGGTTGTGGCTCCGGCGCTCTTTTCGGCGTTGTCACCAGCCACGTCAACGGACTTCTGTGTGGAATGAATCTGAATTTGGGTGTGCGGCTCGCTGGTCGGTGCTTGCTTACGGTCGTAGTTGGTCTCTTCCAAAATAAGGAAGACTACAACGGCGCCGAATGCGAGGCTTATCGCCGGCCACCAGAGGACCCATTTCCACCCCATGCCGTCCGCAATGAAGCCAGCCAGGATCTGATGATTCTTCGTCAGGCGGAGCCCCCGATAGCACAGAAGACGAGAGACTCACAGGAGCAATGGAGGCAGAGCTATTGGCAAACAGGACGTACATGCCAAGATATCGGCCACGTTCATGGGCAAAAAACTACAAACAGCTTGGTCAGTGGATATTGATTGATAGCAGTGGTTTCCAGTGCACTTCGGCTCCTTACTATGTCCGTGATTGAGATCTCGCACAGTGACTCGAACGGGGCACCGAAAAAGCCCTGAATACAGTTCTTTGCAATCCACTGGCCACTCGTTGTGGCGTATGGGGCCCAGAATTGGACGGCCTGGACAGATCATAAAGTGTCAGCGTGACAGACCGGTCTTCATTCGACGCACACTGGGGCCCGATGCTAAGGCGGATAATTTACACATGAGCCCAAGAGAGAGAGTAGATAAATGGGTCTTTTGCCAAATTGTAAGGCCATTGGCTGCCAGAAAATGCAGCCCCAGCCGAAGCAGAGGAACAGGTACCCCGTGCCATTATTCAGCTCGTTGAGCGTCAGGTCGGTGGACTCGAGAAGCTGAGGGAGCACAGAATTGATGGCCGCAAAGGCAGTTCCGATGAAGAGGCAGTAACTGGAAATTTGGTTAGCGAGAACAAGGCGCTGCGTCTCAGCTATCAAGTCATAGGAATGGGTTTCTTTGCCTCTGGAGACTTACGTTGCCAAGCCAACCATGTGAAGTGCCTTTCGGCGAGGAGACCAGTTCAAGGGATCTTCTGGATCGGCAGACGGCGTTGGCAAGAGGACGATGTCTTTGGTCTTCTTGTCATGCTTGGTGTGCATCGTTCCATCTAAGTCGACAAGGTGCTCGGTGCCAGGGACAGCCGTCGTGTCGATGCCGAGGGCATGGTAATCGTGCTCCGTCAGAGTAATCATCGTTAGCAGGCTTGATACGTCTAGAAATACTTCCACGCCACTCTTCACCTGCTTTCTTGTTCAGAAACGGGAATCTGGTTTTCCCATTTTCGTGGGCGTCGTCTGATCTTTATCAACTTTCTGGTCTGAGGGGACCAAATGCTGTACAAGGTTGTCCAACCACAGTGCGCGATGCTAAGCTAGCAAGCGAGTCAGCCAGTTCCCGGATTTGGACTTGAGCAGGAGTCGAAGACAGGAAAGCTGTCTTGCTGGTGTAGGAGGGGAGATAAAGGCGCCTAGATAAAGGCGCCTAGACAAAGGAATCTAGATAACGGCGGCTCGATATTTGTTATCGTCATCAAACTACAGGTACTATCACCCTACTGGGGATAGCTAAACGTTTAGCTTCAACTCCCAACAAGCTGCCCAGCCGAACAAGAACATGTCGACAAGCGTTACCATTAGCCAAAATACTCGCAGGCCCTTCGCAAACACCGTCCAGAGTATGAGACCGCCACGTATGGGACTCAATATTCCCAAAAATCCCGCGTCGCCTAAGATGAACGGTGAGAAGTGCAGCCTGAGAAACTGGTAGATAAAGCTTGAAAAGGCATGCGTCATGTGCTTTCGAGAGCGACGGATGTGTTGTGTCGATTTCCAGCCCCGCGCCCCCGCATCAGATCAATCGTGGACTGAACGTTGCTAAGAATAAAACAGCTCAGCGGGTCGGTCCTCTCCTCAAGATATTTGCAAGACTACGCTATACGAGTTTCAAGTTCTCTCTCTGTGATCAGATAACACTGTTGGAGGGTATTAAGCATGGCGGCGAGCGAACACTGGACGGTCAAGGCGGCTAGGGGAAAGAAGATCTTGGAAGATTCAATCCCGCGACAGTGGCTGCTCCCAAACCCTCCTGTGGTCGAAAGGCTTAATGTCCTCGATGTGCCTAAGGAAAGCATGCCGGCCGAGCAGTACGAGATCACTGAGCTCAGTGCTGGCGCGCTGGTCAAGCGAATGGCGGCTGGCGGACTGAAAGCCGAAGTAGTGACGACGGCATTTCTAAAGCGGGCCACTATCGGTCAGCAGCTCGTAGGTTGGTTCATGTCAGTCTTGACTTTGCTTACCGCGATGGCAGATCAACTTTGCCACTGAATTCATGTGGGAGGAAGCTCTGGAACAGGCTAAGGGGCTCGACCGATATTTTGAAGAGTATGGGAAGATTAAGGGGCCTCTTCACGGCGTCCCGGTCTCAGTCAAGGTAACAGGCTCACCCTCCCTTGTGTCATCCTGCTGGCGTAGTGCAATATATATCTAAGCCTTACTTTCCATGTAGGAAATGGTTTCATTTAAAGGCCGAACTCACAATGCCGCCGTTGTCGAATGGGTCGATCACATTGCCGCCGACGACGCCCACATCGTCAAGATCCTTCGTGATGCCGGAGCAGTCTTCCATGTCCGGACAAACCAGCCCCAGACAGTCATGGTGTGTGCAGGGTAGATAGGAGAGCCACGGTCAGCCACGGTCAGCCACTGACGGAGTTTCCAGCACCTCGACAGCGGTAACAACATTACCGGTCTCACGGTTAACCCGAGTAACCGCAACCTGAGCGCGGGGGGTTCATCTGGCGGAGAAGGCGCATCGATCGGGTTCAAATGCGCCCCAATCGGAGTAGCAGCAGACATTGGAGGCTCTATTCGCTGTCCTGCAGCCTTTAATGGCGTCTATGGATTCAAGCCCAGCGCATTGAGGACCACACTCATCGGCATGACGGCTCCAAAGGTCGGTAACGACGCAATCACAACGGCTTTAGGACCAATTGCCAGCTGCATAGACGACTTGGAGCTCTTCCTCCAGGTGGCGTCGGACGCTAAGCCATGGGACTACAATGCGATGATGATACCCCTGCCATGGGTTATGAAGCCACTGCCTGAAAACTATACTATCGCAGTGATGATGGATGACGGGTTAGTGTTCGGGCCTCCCGAGATGAGAAGCACACTCGCTGACCTTCTGTCGTGATAGGAATGTCCACCCACACCCCCCCATGACTCGGGCTTTGAACTTCGCGAAAGAAAAGCTGCAGAAAGCCGGTATCAATATAGTTGGCTGGGAACCGTACAAGTGGAAGGAGATCGGCGACCTAGTAGTAAGTAGAGCGTGGTTTCATTTTTGACGATGAGACCACTCGACTGACGACATCGGCAGCATTCTCTGTATTTCCCGGACGGCGCTGCCTGTGAGCGCGAAGTGATTGAGGCAAGTGGTGAGCCCGTCCTTCCTCTCACCGAGTGGTCCTTCTCCTGGGCAAAGGAACTCACTCTCCGGGAGTTGTTTGCCAAAGCCCTGCAACGTGATAAATTCCGCATCGAACACCAAGCCGTCATGAACATGCGAAATGTGGATTTTATCTTGTGCCCGTCGGCACCAGGAACCGCGCCGCTCGCCGGGGACGTCCATTACTGGTTCTATACCTCAGTCTGGAATCTACTAGACATGCCTGGTGCGATTTTTCCTAGCGGTTTACGGGTTGACCAGGAGCTTGACAAGGTGGAGGTGGATTACACACCCAGGAATACAGACGATGCGCGTGAATATGAAAAATGTAAGCATCAATATGCGTCAAACATGTGCAGTGCTGACCTGACTGCATGCAGATGCGCCAGAGAGATTTGTCGATGCCCCTGTCAGCCTACAACTTGTTGGTAAGCGATACCACGACGAGGCCGTTCTCGCCGCGGCCAGAGTCGTGGATGACGTTCTTCAAGATGCTCATCTAGGCCGAGAGCCGAGAATTGGAGAGGTTCGGAACCAGGACGGAGTTCCCATGAAGATTTCGGGAAAGTTGTGAAGTATTCGTTACCTGCTGATCGTTCAAATACAAGGCACGAGTGCTCACGAATCTGTCGAAGATGGTGAGGAGGACACTCTGATATCTTGGCTTCCACCAAAACTACCAGGTAGATACTTGGAACGACTGTCCGGTTGAGATGTAGTCGATGATGGGATCATATATCATCACGCCCTGGATAATTTCCGCCCACTCTTGCGGCCATAAGTGCACTGTGAGCCTGCCTCCTTGCTGGACAATCTTGAAAAAAATAATAATTTCCTTCCAGGCGAACATGTGTATCATTTATGAAGTCCCAAGAATTGCCACCAACTCCAATATAGCGTTGTCGTTGACATAGACTACTCCTTCCAGCTACTTCAGTGCTGCGATGACTTCTACTGCATTACGTCGCCCGATCGCACCGCACCTTCCATGTACCCCTGCCATACTAACAACTTCTCGGTGCCTACAAAATGTAAGATATCGCATGGCTCTCATCGCACTCGGGACGCTGCCTCAGGGAACAGACCCAGCGCCAGTATCGTGCTAGGGGCGCCCTGGCATCACTCATCCTTGGTCCACTCATGCTCGCTGGTACGAATCGGCTGGGGAACTACGGACTTGCTCAACTTTTTCGTACGGACTTCGAAAAGCGTGTCAACATGAATGAGAAACTGCTTCCTGCGCGCTTCGATTGATGGCAGCCTGGACCATTCTCTTCCTAGGTCGCCAACAAGGAAGCAAGTCAGGGAAAATTGAGTGTCTGCGCCGCAGCTTGTGTCCCGAGAAAAGGCAGGCGGTCCTTACCTGAGCTCAGGACTCCAGAGAGTTCCCAGTCGCGCCACCAGTGAGTGTTATAGATTAGGATCATCTTCGAGGTGCAGCCCATGTGTGATCCCTAGACAATCTTGTGTTCATGGCGGGCAGGGAAGGTGAGAGTTCGATCCTGCTGTACATCGGCGTCGGACATGATAGAATGACCTTTTTGGAATGGTAGGTCGTTGCCGTGGAGATAGAGGTGACGGTGCACCTTTCTGATCCGGCGTAGGAGATCTTGGAGCCAGGTGTCGACAGTCGCACCGCACCAGGCTTCAGCCCGGTCGCGAGTGACTTGGAGATCGTCTGCCATCCTGGTAGATAATATCTCGCCAGCGCCATATAAAGCTGGAGTATATATCTGGAATCTCACCTTGTCTGGCCCGGAGAGACTGCCCACCTCCCCTCCCATCCGACGTGAGGGAATGCAGCCCGCAACCGCTCCAGCAGTATCCGACAAAGAACAGGACACTAAGCTCGCTGGACTCTGTCCCTAGTGGCGCCCGAGTGAGTGCATTCGCCGTTACCGCGGCAATCGAGTCGCGGCCAAAAGTCTTGTTGCAGTACTCTCCCTGTGTCAGTGTGTCCAATTCTGCTGGATTTGTAAGAGCTGATGGATCGGCCAGGTCGAGTTCACGACCGATGTCGTCGATGTGATTATAGAAAACGCCGATTTCTTTCACGTCAGCGTCGGTAAACTAGACTTCCTGTAAGTAAGAGACTTTTAGCTGAGATGATATACCAACTCCATATGTGGCGTATTCATGCACCCCAAGTCCATCCGGTGGCATGTTCAACCAGATCCAGCCCGGTGCACCTTTGCAATATCAACTCGATGCCGAACTTCTGAGCCAGTGCATATATCTTGCTCTATGTCGTCTCGTTGATCTAAGCTGCACCAATCTCAACAGTACCGGTGCCTCCGTTCGATACACTGCAAGTCTTCCCGCCAACCCGATAATGGCTTCCAGCACCAGCACCCGAGAGGCCGCTCAATCCGGCGCCTTCAACGATCACATCCACTGATTCGGGCATCGCTGCCACTATCTTCGCAATATTAGGCTTTAAGGTCATTTGTCCAGACGTGCTGGCCTCACGCATAAGCTGCTGGTTGGGGAACATTCCGTTAAATTAGTCGCTCATTCCTGATGTCTCGGAAGACGAGCGGTGACAGAAGCGCTGAGATTGCGTGGTAACAAGTGGGGAGGATTCGCAGTAAGTGGTATGAGTTTATGATGGCAGCAAAGGTGACTGAGCTCTGAAGTTCCTCCTTAATTCAGCGGCGAGGTACTCACGTAGATCGTCTCTCAAGGGTATCGCTTTGTGGTAGAAATGGAATCTCGCTATTCTCGATCAAGCAAATCGATTGCTGCTATAAGGAAAGATCCTCCAGCGAAATTACTATGGGCGGCCGATGCCAGGACCGGATCGTACTGGCACCCTGATTGGCCCTGATTGGTCTGCCTCCACACTCACACCCATAGAGCGGCTACAGCCCCTGCCCTTAATGCGTAATCTTTCAACTTTCGAGCCGCGGCAGTCGCAGACCAACACGCATCTGGCCCCACAGTCCACACCCGAGTCGACACCACGTGCACCCAAGCGCCCTTATCTCTCAAGAAGCTTCTCGCTGACGGGGGCAGCACGTTGCCAATCTCTTCATTTGCAGTCACTTCCACCGTTTTCAGGAACCCCAGGGCAATCAGCGACCAACACGCGGCATCTCCCACAATGCGAACATCTCCTAGTGGGTTTTTCTCTATCGTTGCTGATTCCTAGCCTCGTAGCCGCTTCGTACAATACTGGTCCATGCAATGTCGCTTCCGAGACAGAGACTACGCCCATACCGGCCTCGCACAAGGACTGGGTGCCTCTGTTGCCGACTACGGCGCAAGAAGTGTGACGAGACCCGCCCGGTCTGTGCTGGATGTCAACGGGTTGACTTGGTATGCTCGTGGCCACGGGGAAAAGACTCCAGCGGCACGACAAACCATTTTGCATGGAAACGACAGCTTCTCTCATCGTGGGGGTATGCCTCAGCTGACAAGGCTGTTGCAGCCCATTTAGCAGACCCAAATACCTTGTTGGGAAACCACCACCTACGCAATCGCTCCCGGAACCACTCCAGCGAGCTCGACAGAAATCTGATCTCCACCAATGTTGTACCTCCGAAGTCAGAAGATGAGTGTCCGTCCCTGCTCATCAATCCTAGCATAGCATCACTCATCATCCAGAATGAGCATGTTGGAATCCTTTACGAGCACTTCCTGCATGAGACAGTCCACCGAATCCCAGCGGCCACGTTCATTCGCAACCCGTTTTTGACACATGTGGTGCCCCTGGCGCACTCCGACAACCTAGTTATGTACTCCCTACTGGCCTTAAGCGGAGCCCATTTGTGCTGTGCGGGCACGACTGCAAGCAACTCTACCGCAACGTGGAGCTCATTTGCCCTAGCCTTACGCTCCGTCAAGCGCCTGATCACGCAGAAGGTGCATGGAGACGTGGTCGACACGACTTCTTTGCTATTGGCCATTACACTGCTTTGTCTAGCCGAGGTGAGTGACCTGAAAGACTTGATTGACTGCGTATATCATCTATCTATGCCAGGTCCATGAACTAAAGCTGTTGGACAGCGTGTGTGGGGAAGCCGCCATTGGGCCACGTTCCATCACCTGCGCGCCTGCCAAGCTATGATCATCCCAGAGTTAGTTTCGAGCACTATATCACACAACCGCGAGATATTTGGAATCACGTTGGAAATGTATGCATATCTGGAGCTCGTCAGCAGAGGCACTTTCAACTCCCTCCCAGGTAGCGATGGCTTCCTTCCTTCGTCCATTTCTCGTGTGCTCGACCTGGTTGGCAACTTCGACACCTGCGGTTTCTTGTTTGGCATCGGGTTCGATCTGTTCAACCTATTCCCACGTGTATGCGACCTGCGCCAAAACCGACTGATGCAGCGCACAGAAGTAGAATGTTCTGACCAGACGGTCGTCCAGTATTACCAAGAGCTCGAGCAAACGATCCGCAGCTGGCAACCACCGAGGGACCCTCTCGTAGACAAGGATCCAGAAGACCAAAGCATGGATCTCGTAATGGTTGCGCAGATGTATCAACAAGCAATGTTGATCTTCCTCCACGCCTCCTTCCACACGGCCACCTCAGAACTCGACGTCCTACAAGCCAAAATCGCGGGCATAATTCCAGAAATGTTTTGCGTGTTGCGGATCTTGTCCTCCACAGTCTCCACCACGATGATCTGGCCCTTGATGATGGTCGGCTCCTTTTTACGCGACAGTGCAATACAGGAGGAGTTGCGCATCATGTTCCGGAAGGACCCATCACGTTCCAGGATCTCGAGGTTGGCAGTTCAACTCCTGGAGTGGGTTTGGGATGATGAGTCAGCTTTTGGACTGTCAGGGCTCGATGCTATGGTCAAACATCATGCCGTCGACTTCTGCTTTACCTAGAACCGACGATGCAGTGTGCACACACTCTGTGATCGGCTACGTTCTCTTTAGAACGATACGGCCACTACGACCAGCTTCTTGTGGCACAAGGCCTACATATAAAGTGAGATTCAATAGACTCGGTGTGCCTGCCTGTTGGATTGTGAGTTCCCTAATCGCAATCAAGGATAGCCTCAGCTGGGGCTCTACTAGTTTCACCCGTTACTCGAAATCGTACCCATAATCGAACTATCTGCCAGGTCCCAGCTCCCAGAAACGCATCGAAGCATGATTGCATCAAAATTCTGAGCCCTCGCCTAATAGATGTTCCACGTCCTGTTAAACGGGGTTCAAGGATACTCCACGGAGCCGTGCTTATAAAACAGCCCTGCGGCTTTCCCACCGTGCATACCAGGATACTACCCAATTTAGCTAGAATGAAACCGGTTTATGATGAATAGATGACCCTATCTAAGCGCTGTTATCTGCATGGTTTAAACTCGTGCACTATATCAACATCTCAATCCGTAGACGGAGGTAGAGCCCCGCAACTTGCGAGCCAACACACAATTGATACGTGCCTCCAACGCATATGCAACGAACCTATCCCAGTCTTTCAGGAGATGAACAAGCGGTTCTTTATGATCAAGATCAGCATTGGCAGTTAATCAGACTTTCTCGAAACCCCTATCTCCGTAGAGACCGAGATCTCCCGTTGTAGGACTTAAATCGCCTCTGTTCATTCCAGTGAACGGGATTACACTGTACATCGGTCTGAATCCGTCTGGGAGAACGCCCCCATCACACGGTCACAACCACTATGTCAGAAGCCCTCTCAGACACCAAGCTCACCATTCTGCACCCTGCCGGGCTCTTCAAGGGCCCAGAGTTCTCCCAAGTCGGTCTCACGCCGCCGGGTGTGCGGATGATCTACTGCTCTGGACAAGGTGGCCGCTCAGAGCCTCGAGACCCAAACAAGGCTGGTATTCCAGAATGTGAAGACGTATCTGGCGGCGGCCGGGGCGTCGCTGCGGGATGTTATCAAGCTGACTTTTTACCTGGTCAATTGGAGTAAGGATAAGGCCATGGCATTTGGGAGGCCACTGTGAATTCCTGACCGACAAGGAGGGCTTGTATAAGTCGCCGAGCACGCTAATCTCGGTTAAATGGCTGGAAGATCCGAGATAATTGGTCGAGATTGACTGTGTGGCCGTAATCAAAGTGACAGAATCCGTTTCAGTTATGATGAGGATGTTACAGTTAAAGCGGACAGTGGAATCAACCCAGACCAGTCTTTGGGTGGGCAAGAAGGCCGCTGTGGGCAGCTCTTCGCTCTCTCTCTCTCTCTCATATCCATCTGAATGGAAGTCGAGGTGGGCCTATCTGAAAAGGAGGATCAGAGACGCTTGTTGAACTTGTGCTATCTGTGGTTTTGTGGCAGGCCTTGCAGTGGCAGAGAAACTGTTACATATGACACCTTAGCGGAGGGCACTAAATAGGAGAGCATTTTACTCGAGACGGATATGATCTAGATCGAATCAAGAGATATCGCTGTGGCGAGAGACAAAGGAAGCGGAAAAGCTTTCTCTGCGAGAACGGTTGGTAGGCAAGCGCAGATCGTTGGCTGTAGCAAGCTGGTCTTTCCCGGCTTAATCTAGCATTTGCAACACATCCGCAGTAAGGCTGTCAACGCTGGTATCACCTTAGATAAGACCTATCATAGCCCCGATACAGCTAGGAAGAGGCTCAATGCCTAGTCGCTAGACTTGAATTAAGATCAAGGTTGTCTACCCTTGGAGCTTATCCTTCAACTTTCCTCGACGTCCCTTTAATTTTACTGTACACAATCTGGTAGTTGTTCCTCCAGAGCTATGAGAAACGCAAAACCTTGCCCGCTGACGTACACTGTGCTGCAAGTCTCCAGAGACATCGAGACCTATAACTCATCCTTGTCCGCAGCCTCCGTCTGTTCGTCGCGAGGATTTTAGAAGTATGCACATGGTCAACCTGGGTACTACTCAGCATTGCTAGAAATCCCTCAAAACTGGAAAGGACAGCCAGACTTGGGTCCTCTACCTCAGGTGATGAAGCATGCTAATAGCCTATGATTATAAGTTCTCCCTCTTCCTCATAGGCTCGGGCTCCACTATCAAGTACAGGTATGACGAACACAATCGTCTCCAACTTTTCCCCATTGATTTCGCCGAATCGGGTGACGGCCGGTGGAATTCGCTGGACTGTACTCGGTACTGAGACGTGTCGTAGTCTCAGGCGCCCATGGCCCATTGGGGAAATTCAGGAAATGCATCGATTGTCGAATTGGGTTACAGACAGCAGCACAAAATGGTAAGTAGTTGAGTCTGAAATATCGCCGGATTTAGGACCTTGACGATGGACTGCAATCTGCACTTTTTTAATCAGTGCCCCTAACATAAGATTCAATAGCAAATAAATCCTCCTTCATAGTTCAACATGGCCGGAGGAACGAGATACAATTTCCTGGCGGTATTTTTCGTCGCCCTGGGCAGTTTCACTTATGGCTTCAATTCGGCGTCCGTCTCCAGCCCATTCCGGATTGTTTGCTGCGGTGTCACTGACAAACTCATAGTATCATGGGCCTTGTGATTGGCCTCCCTGCATTCTTCCAATACTTCCATATCAGCCTCAATGACACTAATGGCAATCAGATTACTGGAGCGACAAACGGTCTATACTCTGGAGGAGGCATAATAGGATGCGCTTTGGTTCCATGGTTACTCGATCGTCTTGGTCGAACCCGCATCATGCTCATTGGACTGGTAAGCATGCTGTCTACTTTCCTGTGTCTCTCTAAGTCAAGCATCTGATGGTCGACAGATTGGCTGTGCATGTTCTTTGATATGTTTCACAGCCATGGTGGCCACCTTTGGTGGCACAGACAATCGCGTCGGCAATGGTATGGGTGTATTCTTCCTGTTTCTCTTCGTGTTCTTCTACGGAGGCTGTATGGGTGCCACTTCATATGTTTACTGCACTGAGTTGTTCCCCACGAACTTGAGAGCACAAGGAGCTGGTTTCAGCGTGGGTGGGCTTTTCACAGCGACTCTCATCTACACACAGACAGCACCAGTGGCGTTTGCCGATGTCGGTTGGAAATTCTACATTTTGTTCATCATACTTCCCCTGATCGGTGCAGGGTTAATGTGGCACTTTTTCCCCGAGACAAAATTGCTCTCGTTGGAAGAGATTGGTCGTCTCTTCGGCGATTATGTTGCCATGGACATAAGACAACTCACTCCAAGGGGAAGGGAAGCGTTGGATAGAGAATTAGCCGTGGTCGGCTTTCCTGCTGATGAAATAGCTAGGGAAGTCAACGGTGCATCAACTTCGCCTCCGGGGGACAAAGGGATCATCTCTGAATCTCACCTCGAGAAGGTTTGATTTCTAGATATGCTGCTTGAACGGGAAGTCGCGCAGTGTCATATTGGATCGCAGCCTCATAGTATCTGAACAGCGATCAGGAGTAGGGGTCAAAAGGTTTCCACCTTTCGGAAGGTGTACTGATCCTTCAGACGTAGGAAGAAGCTGTCTAACTAGTATGAGGTACATACGATGATGTTGAGTTGCAAAATGAAACAGCGCCAGGAATATCAGCTTTTATCGATACTTAATAAGCCCCACCCTTGTTGCAGCTGCTTCATTACCCACTGTCGTTGTCAGACTAAGATGTTTCATGCCCAGTCCCTCACAACTTGATTCCGAATCATCCTCAGGTTTCTGTCTCTCTCACAGGACATGCACCTTAGGCGTGTGGTAATATGAAACACTCTCACTATATGCCCTTGTTGGTCCCTGTCTGGGCAATTGTTCTTGTATGTTTTCTTGTGGCCGCAGCGGTACGTTTTGGTCTCCTGTGTACACATCTCTCGCCAGGCTTGACGAAAGCTTCGGCATTCTCTAGTAGTTATTATGAACTTGGTGTGTATTTATAGGAAAGTATGAAATCTGCTTTGGAGGGTGGTAAATTCGTTTCTCGAGACAGGTCTGTGAACGGGTTGGTGCTCTCTGGCTTTGTGGATCCAATGAATATTAGCAGTAAGACAGATATTTTGTTTTCATATCGTGGTCGGAGAAAGACTTTTCAATCATCTCCTGATCTTGCAAACCCAAGGAGGATGTCCCGTGAGTGGGTGACTGAGCCATTCTCACTTTGGAGGCACATTTATGTCCAGCCAGTCAAAAGAGCATGGAGCAAAAGAGGGCCTTCTTCACCCAGCCAGAATACTTTGACAGTCGATGCCACTGCTTTTGGCTGTTTGGAAACCTCTCCACGCGGAATGATACGTACAGCCTACACTCTGAAGTCACACCACACTGAAGTCTCACAAATGCATGCTGTTGATGGCATTAAGATCGTTCTAGAAGTGTCAATGACTATAGCTTCGAGCGCAGTAGCCTTGCGTCACTTTTATCGTCACGCTTTCTGCCCACGACAAATTTGGTGATATGTGCACTGAAAACCCCATGCCTTTGTGAATCCTCCCTAATCTGAGTCACTAATTTTCTTGCTTCGATCCCTGCCGTGACATCTTTTGCCTCAAGGACAGGCAGCAGCTGTGCAATTAAGGCATACCAATGTTCGTGAAAAGCTCTGAATACCGAAGGTGGCGGTCTGATCTTGTGGTCCTGCACTTCTTCAAGGCCAGCTTCAGTGAAATACGTGGAAAGCTTGGCGAAGTGTTCTTGCGGCCAGCCAAAGGTGTCCATGATTAGCTGCCATATTCTTGTAGATGAGTTATGAGTCTCGTGTGGGTTTGGTACATGCTCTGGGTTATCCACTGAATATACATGGCCCTTGTCCGCGTCCGCGTAGTCATATTCGTCCCATTGTAGATAGCCTCCCGGTTCTAGATATGTCAGCAATCAAAGAGTCGTTCCAATGTTGCCTCCAACATACTCAGCATCGAAACGAACTTCTCAAGCACAGGTCTCGGATCTTGGAAACCTGCAAATGGTTGAATGAGGAGACGGATATGAATTAAGTCGAAGGCCCCCAGCCACTTCTCTGGGACCCTATCGAAGAAGCTCCATTTCGCAATCGAAAGATTGGATGGTCGTTCTGATGACGGCGGTACAAGGTTGAGATCAATGTCTGATGCTTCCACTGCGGCTAATGGGAACTCCTGAGCAACCTGCATTGCCCATAAACAGTGACCCGCGGCGAACTCGGCAATACGGAGGCCCTGCCTGTCCTCCAATTTTATGGATGGATGAATATTTCCATTAAATAATTCTCTCCATAGGAAATGCTGATAGCATAGCCTGCTTGCGTCAGGAGCTGTTCTCCAGATAGCGTACTCATCAGTTTCCATGTTGAATAAGTCTGGTAACGCTGTGGAAAAGGCACCAAGGGATTCTCAATGATTTCTGTAGAAGTGGGAAACAGGAAGCGAGAAAGTCGGCATTAACACTGCATTTTATGGGAGATTAGTTGTGGTTCAGCCAGATATCCAGCTTGACGCGACCAGGGGATTTCAACACTCACTCGTTTTTGGGAGTCCAAAGTCACAATGGCCTTCTCCAACTACAAGACGCTGTGAGGAGGCTTCAGCGGCCTGCCCGATCGCCATGAGCTGAACATTCGGGGGTTTGACATAAAATCCTACAACGCCACTTATGGTAGCGTGCATCGTGCACACCTGCAACTGGCTTGGAGTTGGCGGTCTGTCAAGGTTTTGGCTGCGTTATTGACATAAAAATAGCCGTGTCAGCAGTAATCGTGCCCGCACCCAGTGGCTAGCGCTGTGTTAACTTGAAGATGGAGGTTGATCAACTGCCAAGCACTCATGTTACTAATCTGTTAATGAGATCAGTCTCATGTTTGGTTATAATGCCAATTGCTCACAAGATAACGCATTCCCGCGATGCCGGTTTGGCAGATGGTAACTAAATGATTGTAGGCCTGTCATAGTCTTGTATCAACTCTACCAGCCAAGAACAGCACTCCGATTGTATGCGACCCAAGCCACGCCCATGCATACCTAGTCTGCAACTCCCACAACCACATCGACCACTAAACCAATTCATTGAATGTGTTTCCCCCTTGTTGATAACTGCCTCCGTGGGGCAGAGCCATGTTTGGCCTTGGCTTTGGATTTCCTTAGAGATGCACGACCTGGCGAGTATTGGCCTCATCGAACACCAAATAGCCGTCTTCGCTGGTGTCATAGATATCGAAGAGCTTTGTCAACATGTCATGTAACTCGGCATCATCGATGCCAGAAGTGGATAATCCAGGTCTGACAATATCGGGGTTCGCAAGGATTTCAGCCAAAGAGACCTTTCCATCGAGATCAGTGTCTAACTCGTTGATTTTGTCGATCACGCACTGCTTGTCGGTGCGTGTTAAACCACAAACGGAAGTGCCTTCAGAGTCACTAGCGAGGTTTCCGAGATCGTGGCTGACCCAGTCGGTCCAAGATCTCTTAGTTGAGGCTTGACGACAACCACCGTCGCAATTGCAACAGAATATGTTGCAACTGCCATAGGCACAGCAAGACCATATATCACTCTTGGTCCCGTCGAGACATGTTGCCGGGCTTGAGCAACACTCAGCAGCCACAGTTGCTGCGGTGCCTAGAAGAGAGAGAATGATTATTGAGAATGACCGCATGACTGTTGCTCGATCCGGATTCTTTCTAATTGAAGGGGGTAAAATGTATGAGTTTCGATTGCCACAAGTTGAGTACCGTTCTTGTAAGTTAGAGCCTCCATTGCTAGAGTGTACTCATCCTTAAATACTCATCTCTTCTGTCTAAATACCTCGCGAGAGTGGCATGATAAAAAGCGTTCGATTGAGCTGGAGAGTGTTGCTAGTAAGAGATGTCCTTGGCAACTTCTAATAGTTACGCCACGATATGTGCTCGTCAGCTCACTATTTGCTTCGTAACCAAAGATAGGACCGTGAGGGTGCCACAAGAAGCTCATACGATATGTCATACTCTACTGTGTCTTCGCTCACTCGTGTGTCGATACACCTCGCCTGGCGTGGACCATCCATGTGCCGTATTGGTGACAACGACTGGGGCTAGAATCTTTTGAATACGAGAGAAGCTGGCTAAATAATCCACTAGCAGCAGAGTTCTCCTCGGGACTATTTGAAATTGCCAAGGAGAGAAGGTTAAGCTCTCCTATCTGCATAGCAGTTCATGTCTAGCTGGTCGACTACTTGATAGCTGTAACGCAGCCAAATCCGCAGGTCTAGGCGGCGAGTTTCGTCCTTACAGAGAGGCGGCGATTGCTAGAGCCGGGTTTCCCGACGAGCTTGAGTCTGTCAGATCAACAAGGCCATCCTTCGCTTTGTTATGATGAGAACACACAATTGTACGCGACCTAGCAACAGGCGACAAGGTCAAAGCTGGAGAAAAGTAACAAGACGAGATGAACTTGTGGTCCGGGCGTGACTGAGGAAATTATTAACGAAGTCCACGTGCTATATTCCTGCATGTGTCTCATCAATAGAGAGGTGAACTGGTTCGTGAGCTCCTAGCGCCAAACGGTTGTTGTGTAGCCTTCGGGAATGTGATGGAGCTTTGGCTGATTTGGAGCCTATGTTGTGCACGGACCAGGGGCACAAGGCTTAGCCCCCTTGATTTGAACTCAGAACTCGGTTCTGTGGTGTGCACGGTCTTATAGCTTAAATATCTGAGGTCATTATTCATGCCTTTAATTGACTTCAAGTGATAGCTCGAACCCTTAAATGTCACTATTGAACCGTTGACCGCACGTACCCATCAGTACCAATAGTGCCCACACGCTATTCATTTACTCACCAAGCCATGGCCGACCATTGCTTACTCCGATGACCACTTCGATTTCCACACTTAGCCAGCGAGAGGAGGCAATATGCTGTATACCATGACATGCCCCCAAACCGCACAGCATGGCTGCTAGTGCAAACATCTCAAAAACTCCAAGCGAGATTGCCTAACTGAGCAACTTTGCAAACAGGGCTTGAGGGAGCTATCCTCGTTCGCGATTTCAGTTCTAGGGAACTCGCGCAGTTTCGTGATAAGTCTGCCCACAGAAAAAAATGGTTGCTAAACAGTGGTCAACTGCCGCCATTCTTGGGTTCATTGTGCCGAGATTTCTGGCGGCTCCAAATCATCTACCAGTCGTTGACTTGCAATATGCCGTTCATCAAGGTACAATCAATGTAAGTACCACGTTCTAGAAACCAGGTCTTGAAATTGCTACTAAATGTGACGAAAAGGAAGCTGGACAATATTACAACTTCTCCAACATTCGATACGGCGACGTTATTACTGGTGCATCCCGCTTCAAAGGCCCACAACCCCCGAGTACGATTAACCGCACCCTGAATACTGGACAGAGAGCTACGCGTTGCCCTCAAACTCATCCCGCCTGGCTTTATGATGGAACGGCAATTGCCCAGGGCGTGCCAGTGTCGCAACTCCAGCCACCGCGCTTCAACATCTCAGACATTCCAGCCATGAGTCCAGAGGAAACTGAAGACTGTTTATTCTTGGACGTCCTGGTCCCGTCCCGAATCTTCCCGCCCACAGCCTCTACCAAACAGAACTCATGGCACAACGGGAAGCCAGCTCCAACTTCCACTGGCGCGGCAGTCTTGGTTTGGATCGACGGTGGCGGATTTTCGGCTGGCTATAAGCATGAACAGAACGCCACTGGTCTTGTAGCTAGGTCAAGCTCCAACCATGATGAAGGACTTATTTATGTTGCCATGAACTACCGAGTTGGCCTCTTTGTGAGTGGTTCGTTCCTTACCTTTTGTTTTCTCAAGCTAAGTTGCACGATGCCAGGGGTTTTTACCGTCCGGTATTGTCGGACAAGGCGATTCTAATGTTGGGCTACTCGATCAGCGCCTAGCTCTCGAGTGGGTACAAAAATACATCCACCTGTTCGGCGGAGATCCTTCTCGAGTCACAATTATGGGAGAGTCGGCTGGTGGAGGCTCTGTGTTCCACCAAATTACAGCATTTGGGGGTGCATCAGGACCTGCTCCTTTCCAACAGGCAATACTCCAAAGTCCCGGATGGCAACCAAATGCTAATCCTGGGTTCCAAGAATCGCTCATCGAATGCGCCCTGACTAACGCATCTGCGCTGACGGGACGGACCATCAAAACCGTGGACGATCTCCGCGCGCTCTCGTTCGAGGAGATCACACTACTTAATAGCGTCATAGTTGGACGTTCACCCTACGGGATATACACCTTTGGCCCTGTCGTGGATGGTACATTTGTTCCTGAGATGCCGGGCAGACTCATTGCCCAAGGACGGTTCGCCACTTCCCTGAATGCCATCATGATGGGGACCAATTTCAATGAGGGTGTGCTTTTTGATTCTCCTTTTTTGAAGGATGATCGAGACTACCGCGGAAATGTCCGTCTCTTTTTCCCAAACGCGACAGAAGATATGATTGACCATGTTGCCACGGACCTTTACCCAAACGACCTGTCAGGGAAGTTCAACTACACAACACAACCTCTGCGGGCGGCTTTGACGACAGCAGAGGCTTGCTTTTTATGCAACACACGCTATCTTGCGCAGTCGCTGTCAAACATTGTATCCAAGAGTATCTTTAAGTACCTATTCGCGGTGCCACCAGCTATACATGCCGACGATCTTGGCTATACCTTCTACAATGGCAACGGGAGCACGACTTGGGAAGGCTATCCGGTCGACGAAAACGTCGCCCTTACGCTGCAAGATTATATCATAAGTTTCACAACTACAGGATCCCCGAATACTGGCCCAGCTACGAGCCCTCATTCGTGGTTTCCGCCCTATGGGACCAATGCCTCGGTACTAACGCTAAATCAAACCAACTTGGGCACATTAATCGTTGATCCTCAAGCTAATTTGCGGTGCGATTGGTGGCAGAAGAATGTCTAGCGCACCCTGATTTTGGTGGAGAGTATATACCATCGCTGAAGCAATGGGATCGTGGGCAATGCACACGTCATCAACATACAGGCATGAGTCAAAAGGGTGACATACATTCAGTTGGTCATCAACGAACAATGATCAAAGTTAAAGTTGTTCGATCATGATTGGTATAGAATCCGCAATACGCTAGACATCCATGCTGCCCAGTTCAGCGTGCACTGGGCAAGTCATTAACAAGATAGAGCGAGGAGCGCGGCGTAAAGCACCAATAGCGCACCATTTGGTGATTTGTAAGATATCTGGACCAGCAATCTGCTTGGTAAGATTGGTAGTTCGTCAAACAAAGCACCATGTTGCCGACAAGTGTGCTACTCCCCATCTCAATCAGCTAAACTTGGGCTCAACCGTAAACCCGTACAATGTCTCAATAAGCGCCTTTCGATGTCGTGACTTGGCCGTTAGCTGTCCGTTCCATGTGCTCGCCCCTTGTCCGGGGATTGAAGGGCCAGTTGCAACCATACTTCGCCGCGACCGCAAACGAGGAACATGACTCCTATCTGTATTTTTCGGCGTTGGTGATAAGGTTGCACTTTCGCTGCTATTTGAGTTGTGTGGCGTAAACATTGCTGTCCGGTGGTTATAGTACCCGAAAATCGAAGTTGGATGTAAACACGTGGTGTGTTGGGGAGTGATTGTATGTATGAGATTGCCTGACCCGAGACACACAAGCCGTCTTGAAACATCGGTCAACCGGAGTTATTCTTTACATCCTCCGGCTCCTGGAACCTTCAGAGGCCCTGTCGAGCTGCCTCATCTCGCAGGCATTGCAATAATCCCGTTGGTTTGTTGCCCGATTTTCTGCTGAGTTGCATGTTCCCTTCTCCCTTCGCTTTGAACACATTTGGAATACCACTGAGAGGTGTTGACACAACTGGTGAGTCACGGCCTTGTTTAGACACATGGCGTATGGCGACCTCGAACTGAAATACCGAATGCCGTGATATCAAGTCTCTGGTTCGCGTTTGGAGGCGGTTTAAAGGTTCAAATGGTCGGATATTCTTTGGTCCTTGATCTGGATCGCGGGAAGGGGGGATTTCAGGTTTATGAAGATTGGTGCTGGAAAATTACATAGAGACTGACGCGGCTTTTAGGTTTATATAGAGGTGGGTTTGAGATGAGTTCGGTGAGGATAGCAAACAGAGCATTCAGTGTGGTGAAATGCGAAGCTCGACATTTTTACTGCTGCGCTGATGGATCTTTTCAAGCCTTTCAAGTTCTGTGTCCCGCTGCAACTTGGCCCCAGCCTTCTTTGCATCAACTTTGCATCAGTCACAAGTCTTTCGGTGTCTCGAGTGAGTGACAAGGCCTTTATAGCTCTAAGGCTTACCTTTGGCATGAAATGATTTTCTGTATGAAGAGATGGGTTGGTGATTGCATGTGTTTTGTGCACACAGTGCAGTATAAGTGTATAAATGGAGCAACACCAGAGTGTAGCTGGGTTTTACCAACTTAGAGCTATGGGTGATGTCGAGAGTCTTAAGATTATTTGATGACTGGTCGATCAGTCGAAGAATAAGACAGTGGGAGTTGTGGGGAACGGCGAGCGCTTCAACGAACAGAGCCCATCACGAGCTCGAATAGTGACATTTTACCTACCGTTTGATGGTAGGAAAACAAAAATATCCAGGCCATCTGGGTAGTCACAAATAATGCCGAGTCCCATTCTGCTGTGATGGGAGCTAGTTCGTCAAAGGGCCAGAAAATTGAGTCATCGACAAGTAGTATTCGGTGTTTCGCAGCGCCGTCGGGCGGGCGACCACTGCTGATATCATAGATCATTCAGCAGGGAGTGTAAAGCAAACAAGGGATGAGGGCATCCAAAATTCGTTGTCTCAAGATATCAGAAGGAGAGATGGGGTCAGGGAGCTATTTCCCTGAATACCGATCACCTGAATCTCAGAGAGTCGGAAGATTTTGCTTGGATTAGTTTCTTGAAAGTTGATACGAGACTCATAACAGAAGACATGCAAGGTTCGTAATATCTTTCATTGTTGTTGGATGCAGTGTGCAATTATGGGAGGGTAAGGGCGGCGACTTCCGCCCAGTTTCGAGGCTGTTAGCGCCGTCACTAATCTACTAGCCTCTCAGCATTAGTGGGATAAATTATCGCCGACAAGTACCTACTAGCGTTTCATGGAGTATCAGAACAACGACTCAAGAGTAGAAACTGATTTTCAAAAAAACCAGATTCCAACATACCAGACCAGAACATACCAGAAGAACGAAATCTAGAGCTAGAAATAAAAGGCATCACCCAATCTATTCACGATAAAGCAGACAGGAACAAACACCACGTCGTGTTTCATCCCCAGTCTCTTCACGGGATAGAAGGAAAACAATCTCCATTTCATCTGAGCGACACAAATCAGTGTTCAAAGTCCGGTCAAGACTGAAATCTCAGAAACTATGGACATCGACATTTCCGACATCCTCGCCTCGGTCACACGCAGCGTCCCAGGCGACCCGTCATCATCGTCGGTCTATCTGGACACCGACACCTCAACAGACCACCAGCTTCTTACCCGCTCATGGATCTCGGAGCGGTGCGCGCCAGACCTGCTCTTCTACCCAACAGAACTGATGCAACGCGTAATGACGCGCGTACAGCACCAAATCAACACGATCGAAGACCTCGCCAGCGGCATGGGTGACGGCTACAGCGCACAAAACAACAAAGGCGTCAACTCACGGCAGAACGCGAATCTCACACTCTCAATCCTGCAAACAGACCTCAGCCGCACGCAATTTCTGATCCGGAGTTTCCTGCGCCAGAGGCTTGCGAAGTTGACGAAATTCGCGGTCTTTTATTTGTCGAGTCTGGACACCGATGAAAAGAACGTGTATCTCAGTGCTGCGGAGACGGCATTTCTGAAGAATCATCAGGCGCTGCTATCGCGGTTCTATGACGCAAGTTTTCTGCAGGCGTTTCCGGCGGGGTTGAGGCGCTTGGATGATTCGAGTGGTGGTGTGCCGATGGTAGAGGGGCCCGATGGCGCGACGGCTGTTGTGGTTAGATGTTTGCTCCCCGAGGGGTGGAGAAATGGGAGCGAGGTGGATGAAAGGAAGGAAGGGGGTGCGAGTGTTGAGTTGAGGATGAGTCGGGGCGAGGTATGGGTGGTCAGATGGCGCGATGTTAGGAAGGGGGTCGAGAGAGGTGATTTGGAGCTGTTATGAGGCTGCTTGATGACATATATGATCGTTACGGCTTCTATGTATTTATGAAAAATCGTTGAGTGATGACTCGACTTACTGAAACCAAGACTTGTCGCTAGCTTGAGATCCTTCCCAATAAAATTCCCGATATCATTTCCCTGCGGCTTGAGCTCTCCTAGCATCCTCCAGCCTCGCCTGCTCCTCCGGTTTCAACAACCACTTCAATTCCTCCTGCTGCTCTTGGTCCAGATAATCTACAAATTCCTCGGCCCTCAAAAAGTCATGGTCCGCATACTCAAACCCGGGGATCACCGTCTCACTAATCAGTAATCCATCCACACTCTCTGGCCCATCATCCTCATCCGGGATGAGGAACGTCGCCTTGAACTTACCCCCGGTGATGACCCATTGCAGATCCTCACCATTGAAAATATCCTGCCCGACCATGAAAGTGTCGACGTGGACACGGCCTTTTGCATCCCGTGGGCGATCGACGTGTAAGATAACGTAGATGCCGCGGCCCTTGTGCAGGTTATGCACCGTGAGGCCACGGTTGCGGTGGAAATGGCCGATAGGGGACTTCGGCGTCACTAAGTAGTGGATGCTAGTGCTAGCCATGCGGGTTTCAGTGGTATCGACTTTATCCGTGGCGTTACTGAGGAGTGGGAGGTCTTTGAACGGGTTGGGAACAACGCGTTGATCGCGGTGCGTTTCGCAGAAGTAGCCCCCCTCGATGTGTGATTGAAGCTTCAGAATGTCGATGATCCATTGGATTCTTTCCGTTTCTGATGATGGTGGGGATGCGACCAGGCCTCGGGCGTAGCTTGAGTCAAATTTGATGCAGGACATGGCTATGTCGTTCGGAGATATGCCTTGGACTCTAATCACTGTTACCTAAACGTTGGAACGGATATATGATGAATATTCTTAGGAGGATGCCCTAAGCCCTGGCCTGATCTTAAGAACGTAGGGTATCTGCATCGTGCCGGCGATGAGTCACCTGGGTGGTCAGCCCAAGAGTGGAACGCCTAAGAAGCCAGGCTACTTAGAATTAAGAAAAGTTCTCGGTACCTAGGTAGTACATAGCAAGTCAGGATCAGTAACTAAGTTAGTATACGAGAAATCGACCCCCACGTTGGTGGGATTCGTTAACATCACCAAGGATCGAGTCCCCGTTTCTCATTGAGTTAGAGATGCCACGCAATCCGTCCCATAATCTCGAGGCTGGCTTCCCGACGTTGGATTGGGTAGTAGAATGTAGAAAAGCATTGATACGGTTGCGGGAGGAAATGGATTGTCCACACATACCCGGTATTACTTGCTTGCAGGAGACTACGAGTACACCCACAAATTACCTATGAATCCATTGTTGTATACACTGGATCATTACTCTACCCACCAGGATTGGCCGACCTTCGCCAAATCACCACCGCAGCTGCTCCAGCACAGACTACGGCCCCAGCGACTAAGCCGTATCTCATCAATTGACCATCATCATCTTCCTGTAAAGGTCGAGGAAATGCCGTTACTGGTTCGAGGGCAGATTCAGCTATAGAAACGAATAGTTCTTGAATCGATGGCCATGTGACACTGGTAGATATAGGAGGGCCTTGAGGCATTCTCTGAATCTGACCCACATACTCCTCCGGCTGGTGTTCTGATCTCTGGGTATTGCGGTCCAAATCAGCCTTCAGGGCAACGTAGAGTGAAGGCAGATCTTCAAGATGGGGATAAGATTTGCGGATATTCGGGATGTATGCAAAAGAGTCTGGGTCAGACGAGTCATAGGTGTAGACCACGACATCGCATTGGTCGAGAAGTTTGTTTTTATTGTCCAGAACAGCCGCCTCAGATTCGCCGAGTTCCTTGAGGATCAAATAACACTGGCGGCCCCCAGGCAGCTCGACAGTGTTGACTGCTACCCTCGGCTGAATTGTGGGCAAGTATAGGTTGTTGAAAGGCCGAGCAAGAAATGTGTCAAGCAACCTTGATTTTCCTGACTGTGATGCTCCCAACACATGGGCCAATATGACATTTCGACCAATTCTGCCTGGTTTCCTCCTACGTTTTCGAGGCTTGGTCAATTTGAGGGCGGGGGTGGTAGTCGTGTTGGAACGATCAGGAGATTCGAATCCCAGATATGCTAGGTATTCGAGAGTTGTTTTGGGAGAAGTAAAGGTCGTCATGGACCATTGTGCGAGCCAACCTTGCAAGGTTACATGACCTGCATCATTTCGGACAGTGCAAGCCGGGAAATTGTTGTCCACCCATGAATGCGGTAGACCGGGGGTCGGAGCGAATAAGGAGGAGAGCTCTTCATCCCTCAACCCTCCATCGTTATCACGATCCGAAGTCAAGAAAAGATCAACGAAGAAACGATATCCTGCAGGAGACAGTTCTGCCGAAGCGAATTCGGGTACATCGAATTTCGGGTGGAGGAAAGATTCTTGTAATGAGAGACTGTCGGTATATTGGAAAGTTCTCAGAATGACCCAGATTGTCTCATGGCGGCCCTTCTCCGCATAGAGCTTGTTCAGCAGAAGGAAGGCTTGTGAGTTGATGCCGCGAACTGAGACCGTTCCAGGAAGGTGATGATTAATAGTATCCTTGATATGTTGTAAATCCTCCGGGCTGAGACCTTTATCAAAGCATTTGATCTGGAAGTCTTCCATCTCCTTGTCGTTCAGGTAGCCATCCTTATCCTTGTCACAGAGGTAGAAAATGCGCAGAAGAGCAGCAATCGCAGCAGGCTTGAGAGCCGACTCCTTGGCATCAAAAAGGGGCGCAACGGGGTGTGTCACAGCTTTTTGGCACAGAAAGAAAGCTTCATTCACATTGTAGTGTTCACGAGCGCTCGTGCGTATGCAGGAGTCAATCTCCTTGAATTCTGCCATGACCGGTAGCATCTCTTCTTCTACCACTTGAGCAGAGGTGGTGGTTGTGACCAAGTCGGATTTGTTTGCACATAGAATGACTGGCAGGTTGACTCCTAGAGATCGAAAGTAGGGCAGCCAAAATAGTGCAACTCTTTCATAGCTGTAGTGATCGGAATAAACAAGGAGAATCACATTGGACTTGCGGAGTTCATTCGCTAGGGTGGCACGTTCTTGAGGTAAAGCAGAGGTATCGACTATGGTAGTGGTGACATTTTCAGGGGTTCCTAAGGTTGGAGGAATGGTGATTTGAGGGAGAACGGCTTGAATTTTGTTGCTGACAAAGGTATCTTTAACAAGAGAAGTGATAAGACTAGACTTACCACACCCCTCGTCACCGCAGACGCATATTCTGACGGTGGGCATCGCAATAGTGTGCAACTATGAGGAGGATCTATTGTTGGTGCTTGAGGATTGATATCACGCTTCGAAGTCCATGTCTAAGGCGCGGCCTTGGTTTGCTAAGAGCAAGTGGTAGATAGCGTCGTAGAATACAAAAGAGCAGTTTCTCAGGTTCTCAGGGCTCCCTGTAGACGATATCAGGAAGTGTAGGACTGGAACAGGTATGAACATGGGAGTCGTGGTGTTTTGGAGAACGCGTTTCCCCACATCACGTGAAGCCACTTGGCACTGTAGACACGTGATCCAAGCCAACTGTCTTGCTTCGGAGGGAACATCACCCAGCGTCTCAACGACTCTACAGCAGTATCTACTCGTAGGTAGGTAGTTATTACGATTTCATATATGACTTCCTACGCTTCGAATTGCCAAAAATGTAGCGAACCTCATACAGTTTCAACTCGAGGATTGACGTCGCTCGCGAGGCAAGTTGTAACGAGTCAAGCACTCAGACATTCTGAAGCGCCTCGCGTAAGTCTTCCCGCGTCGAGCATATTCGAGGCAATGATCTGTTCGCGTTAGTACATAGGATGCCTTTGAACACTTGTAATCTGGCCTGGAACCTATGGATAGGTCAAGATCGACGAAGAGGCAAAAAAATGCAAAAACAATCAACAATCCGGATTCCCAAATGGTCACCCACTTTAGTACTAACGAATCGGCATGCAGCTTAAGTACGGCTGAGCGAACGGGAAGCCCTGTTTTCCGCATCCTATGGTCGATTGCGAAAGAACAATGTGAATGTTTATGTTATTATCTACAATCAGTGGAGAGAACAGGACTCCTCTTGAATCCTCCTACGAGCTAGAGGCAGTGCCATGCACAACCTGAGCCAACTGAAGAAAATGTCTCACACGGGCACCACGACGCGCAACTTGGTTAGGGAGCCGACGATCTACAAATGCCGATTCCTACCCCAACTCGCAGAAGACCTAGCAGGTTACTGATGTGGATGTGGACTCGTCGTGTGCTCCCCGTGGGAACGGAGACTCTCGCTAAACCTCGTATTCAGCCTTACAATGCGGCACAGATTGACCCAAATTGACCATCCTATTGGCCGCGGTGCTGACGGATGCCTACACCACCTCATCCAGACTGCAAGTTGCAGGGGTCACTATCAATGACTTCATCCGTCTTGCTCGAGGCTTGGTGATCTTTGGCAAGGACCATATCAACAGCCACAGTAAAACAAAAGTGTTGTGCAATCAAGCACTCCATAGGCAGAGCCAATCCCCTACAAGCTTTTGGCCGAGGTCCAACAGGACGTAATACGAGGTAAACTGGGAATAAAAGTACCGGAATAGTTAGAAAATTGATGCTAGCTCTGACTGGATGGTGTTGGTGGGAATCTGTCGGCAAAATGAACTACAGTTTTCAAGCTTTCTTCCTCTTTTCCCCTGCATTCGTCACCCTCGAGAGCATGCAATATCTATTCCACTTACCCCCTAGGAGCTCGTATCCTAAGCGACCTTCAAGCATGTATCACACTGATGTCTTGGGATTGTCCTACGACTGCAGCAGCTCAGAACGTCCAGGATGGCTGCCAATGTCCAATTGGGCTCTGTCTTCTTGACGTGGACCCCTATGAATCAGTCTGAAGAATTGAAGAAAGCACAGGTATATCGTCGGCATCGGCACGCTGCCATTGTCTATCACCAGCGCAAAAAAGCAAGAACAATACCAATACGAACTGCCAACACTGATGAAAATAGAGTTATTCAATCATCTGCAACAGTCTCAAGGAGCCATGAGGGGAAGGAGGGCAACCCAGATATGATTCGAACGTTGCTTCGCTTCATGCGATCACCAAGCCAAGCTCAACTTGATCCATTTGATTCGCTCTGCGTGTCCACTCTCTCTCAACCTGCTCAGGAGATGCTTAAATTTGGTAGGCTATTTTTGCTAACCAGGAAAATCCGACCAAGGCTGACCTTCGAGGACAGCCATGTTCGATCAGTGGCCACATTTTGCTCTGTCTAGCCGGGTAAATGAGGTGGAAGAATGGCGATCGGCCCTTATGAAGCATGCCGTTGAATCCCCTGCTTTGCTACAGGGCCTAATTTATTCAGCGTCGTCGCACTTCTCCTTCTTTGGCACCAGGGATGCGTCGTTGGAAATTGTTCGGATACAGGCGTACCACGACACAATCAGATACATCCAGAAAATGATTCGAAACGCAGGCCCTTATTCCGAGACACTCCTTCTCGCAATAGCCATTATTGCTATGTTCGGCCCGCCGGACGTTTCTCAGGGCAAAAAGATCCATTACCACGGCCACAAACTCGCACAGGATAATGAGTTTTATTCTCGAGAGAATGTAGAGACTAGCCATCTCCACGCATTGGTAACATTGACAAAGCAGAGTGGAGGTCTCCTGACCATCTCGCTTGCAAACCTGGCGGGCTTAATATATTTGTAAGTTCGGCATCTTCCTTCTTAGAGTTGCACCATCTGAAAGATCGACAGGCTGGATGTCTTAGATTCCTTCTCCAATCTTCGGAGGCCATCGTTCCCCGATTTTATGTCTTTTGAACCATATATGGATCACCTGAAGTTTGGAAAAGAACTAAGACGACAGCAAGGGTTTGGATTGGACGGAGTGGAGGATGGATTTGCAATTTTGAATGACCACAAACCTGCTCAGACTTTGTTGGAAATCGTGCCCCTTGCGCGCGCCTTAATGGACAGTTATGACGCATACCTAGAGAATGCGCGTTGTGGAGTTGATTTTATCAAACTCATCATCGCACGGCGCAACCTCCAGCACCAAGCGTTGTCCACCAGGTCGAAAGGAACGTTGATCTATCGACTTTGTCGCCTGGGACTCTTGATGGTTCTCTGTGAGAGTATTGAGCCATTTCCACAGATTCGCGCCTACCATGCCTTCAGCTCTCGTCAAATGATGCTGCTGATGGACGAATGCGACAAACTTGGCTACTGGAGCTCTCACCCGGACCTGCTCCTGTGGGTGACCATACTGGGTGGATACACTGCCCGAAAGAACTCTCTGCAATGGTGGTTCGCTGAGCAGCTCCAATCCAGCAGAGTACCTGTCGCGAAGGATCGATGGCAAGATGCGCGCAGAGTTTGTGAGCGATTCGTGGCTGTGACACACAGACAAGAACAAGGTTGTCATGAATTCTGGGACGTTGCTTGTAGCTGGCTTTCGAGGAAATGAAAAGAGCGACCAACCTTAGTCTGGCGTCGCAGAGATTCTCTAAAGGTTATAAGATATCTAAGATTTATGAGGTATAGGTTCTTTTCAAAAACTTGTAGAGATCTCTATACTTCATCAGCTATAAAGCTATTATACGACACTGAATCGCTATAAAGCGTAGAAACCCTACCCCCTAAAGTACCCAGTTCCAGTACCCGTGGTTCAAGTGTGCATTAGTCATATTAGCAACCTCGTCTTCGGTACCGGAACAAATTATGTACGCCTCGGTCCTTATTGGCACTGCAATTAGGTCTCGAATCGCATCCACAAAGACCAGGCACGATAGATGGTCTTTGTTGGAAGGCATAGTAGTACCAGGAACACTCTTGAGAGTCGATCGTCGGCCTGCGAGAACACTCTCCCTCCACCTTTCGACCCTGAAGCCGCGTGGAACAAACTACCTAGGGAGGTAAGATGATGAAAGGGCGATGGGAAAAGGTGCTGAGCCACAAAGAGGGACGAGTCGAGGGTGGTCGCCAAGCCTGGGTATGCATGGTGACGGCGGAAGTTGCAGGCGGTTCATGGCAATTGGGGAAGGAGCGGCTCGGCTGTAACTATCTTTGAGGCTTGCCATTGCCCTCCAAGTAGCGACTTTAGGTGCCCTTCGGCCTAGGGAGCCTTTACAGGTGCAACTGCAGCCGCAGGCGCAGCCGCTCATGAGTGCGTACCTGTCTTCCACGAGTCGCACCTACCCAAATACCTTCACCCGAGTCCTGGTCGCCTTTACCTCAACGTCTTGCTTTTTCGATTCTGCCTGTTTGCCCGCCTGCGATGGCTTGAATCTGTTACTCCAGACACTTCCAGTTGCTCGAACCCAATACTGCTTCAGTTATTCATAAATATTGGTTGCTCCTCATCTCAGCCACTTCTCCGCTATCCCCGCCCTCCTTCAACTATTTCCCACCATCGTCATCGGCGCCCGTGGATTTCCGAATCCCTCCTCGCAGCTGCGCTCACCAACCCTCCCTCCATTCCTGCCTGAAAAGAGTACGAACGACGCAGAGAATAAATCTCACCATATCTTCCAACCATGCCTTGGGGTATCAATAATCCTTTACCCGCTTCTATGAGAAGTATGACTCCCCACTACCACACTGATTGAGCCCCGCTCTGACACAAAGACAGGCGAGTGTAAGAAGGCTGGCAAAATATTAGCTTCTTTCGTCGACCCGAGACAGAGCTTTGGTCCTGACAAGATCATCCCTCCTCACATTCTAGCAAATGCAAAAGTCAGTTCGAAAGAGTCCTCTCGTCTATCATTCCATGTCATCTAATTCAAGACTAGGGCTTGGCCGTCATCACCGTTCTTAAAGCAGGCTTTGTCGGCTCTGGTCGAGTCGGTTCCGGCATCATTGTCGCTCGCCTGGCAGATGGCTCATGGTCTGCTCCCTCGGCCATTGCACTCGCAGGAGGTGGCTTTGGCGGTCAGATAGGTTTCGAGTTGACTGATTTTGTTTTCATCCTCAACGATGCTGCCGCAGTTCGAACATTTTCCCAAGCCGCCTCCCTCACACTCGGTGGCAATGTCAGTATAGCTGCTGGTCCCGTCGGAAGAAATGCAGAGGCTGCCGGTGCCGCGAGTCTAAAGGGTGTCGCAGGAATCTTCTCATACAGTAAAACAAAAGGCTTGTTTGCTGGAGTCAGTCTGGAAGGCAGCGCTTTAATCGAGCGGAGGGATGCCAATGAAAAGCTGTACAGTGGAAGAGTTACGGCACGTCAATTACTCGAGGGCGCCGTCCGGCCTCCTCCAGCTGCAGACCCATTGATGAGGGTCCTCAATACTCGCATCTTCTCGGGTGCAGCAGCTGCTGGTGACGGAATGTACAATGATGTGCCAATTTATGATGATCAACATGACAACGTGGTCTGGGAAGGAAGAACCGGCGATGCCTACGGAGCAAATACTCGAAATAATCGATCTTCCACTTTCGGTTCGCAAAATGACAACTACGAATATCGTGACAACCCTCGTCGAGCCAACACTTGGGCCGATGATGTTTATGACCGCTCACCAGGCGCCGGGACACGCGCCAATCCTAACGAAACCTTTGAGAGCATGACTGCCAATCGGAGTCGAGCCAGTACCTTGCAAAATGACTTTACAGGTTATTCTGATAGCAAACCAAACAGACCAACAGCACCGAAACCTGTTTTCAGGCAGAAAACCGGAACGGCTGGTCTACGTTCAGATCAAGCAGTGGCCCTTTTTACTTTCGATGCCGATCAAGATGGCGACCTTGGTTTCAAGAAAGGAGATGTTATCACCATCACCAAACGCACCGACAATAAGACTGATTGGTGGACTGGTCGAACAGAGGATGGTCGTGTTGGTGTGTTTCCTTCGAATTATGTTGAAACGGCGTCATAAAGAACAATGGACTCCAGCACCCAAAAATCTTCAAGATCATTCCATCATGCCTATGACCATGATTATACCCTTCATTATGTCTTGCAAGCGGATCACTTCCATTTAGCGCCGGAGTTAGTTTTCTGTTCACTCGTTTCTGCAAAGAGAACATCTTCACAGATCTTTTGGCATGGTGAACTGGAAGGAGCGTGAAAACTACCTTGGTCGGCATCGTTGTTTGCAAGAAAAGGGACATGAGCAAGATAAACAATCAATTACATTTCAAGCATTTTGTATTTGCCGCAACCTCGTTCGTGTGTATGCTCCTGATTAAGTGTCATGAAGCGTGGAATCTTTAGCGGCCGCTGAACGCTGCCACACGAGATTTGAAATTAGGTGCTGAACTGTGAATGGTAGCACTGACCTGTTTTCTATCTATGCGAACTGCAGAAACATGCCCACCTTATCTTTTTATGTCTAGTAGTGGAGAGAGAAGAAAAGCCGCTTAACATACAAAATCCCAGAACGAGGAACCATGCGAACAATCCCATCAATCATCCAACTTGCTGGCATTGCCTCAGCGCTCACAACATGTCCCCTCCTCCACGTCCGATGTCGCCCTGGCGCTCCCTTTCCAGCTCCCTATTCTTCTCCTTCTGCTCCCCACCCACACCCACATTTCCAAGCCCTCCTCGCCCACGACTCGTCTTCTTCAGCATCTGCCCAATCATGAAATGATTGACGTCCTCGTCGGCCCAGTAGCTCAGGTGGCTGGCAATGCTCGCCAGCAGACTCACGTCGAACATGCCCTCCTGGATATGGTAGTCGACGCGCCCATTGCTGTTCAGCGCGCGCACTTTTGCTTCTTCGCGCTTCAGCTTGCGGGCCCGGTCTTGGCTGACTGTATATTCGGCGGGGTCTGTTTCGGAGCTTGCTTGTGGAGGGGTTGTTGACGAGGCGTCGGGGTCGTTGGCCGTGGTGTCGTCTGTCGTTGTGCCTGTCGTGTTGGGTGTGAGTGACGAGGGCGTTTGGGATCTTCGGCGTTTTTGGAAGCCGGAATACAGGGTTTCGATTTCCGAGTCGATTAGCGTCGGAGGTTGTTCGCTGGTTGGTGAGGAGCGGGCGGCTTCCGCCAGTGCCTGCTGACGAGACTTGTCGGCGGTTGGCATGGTGATCTGTGGGATGTTGGGTCCGCCCGTCAGAGTATTGCCAGGACCTGCTGCCTGAGAGGATTTTCCTTTGTCCTGTGGCAGCGCTTGCTCTTCGCCTGTAATGCCGAGGCTTCGGTTGATGAGTGTGGATGCAACCCCAGAGGTTAGGTTGTACCAAGATGACATTACTTGTTGACCGACGCGGGCGGAGATGTTGGCAATTCCGGGTGCTGCAAAGAGCCCTTTCTTCGTGTATGGCAAGGGTTGAGATTTCAGTTGAGCCATTGCTGGGGAGATAAGTGGCTCGATGCGGTAAGCGATTGGGTCTGTTGGATGGAAGATGTTGAAGAGTTCGCCGCATTTAGGGGATGATGTCGTGATAGGTATCAATTCCTTGACGGAGCTCATGGGGGGATTTCTGGTGGAAGCAATGTCAAAAGGATCGTTGCTCATTGGATCCGGGTCAAAGGGCGATGTTGGCATTGGCCCGCCATAGCTATAGCTAGACGAGGAATTTCGACCACTGACCGTGCGGCCTTTGAGCATTTGAAAAAGAGCGATTGGTGAACCAAGACAAAAGAAGTTCTGGACATCAAAGTCAAGTTTGAGGTTTGTCTGGTCCATACTGGGTTCTCGTGCTGTCTTGCTTGATACTCGACGGGGTCGAGTCTGGATTAAATCTTCCTGCCGGCAGAGGATGTCGAATAGGACAGCACTTCCTAAAGAATGACCACAAAGGCTGACCTGACCAGAGAACCCGGTGCGCTGCTTGAAGAGTTTGTAGACTCGATTGCATTCTTGTTGCACGATTTGAGCAATATGTTCTCTGTAGGCACTTTGGTAGAGAAGGACGTCCATTGCAAGGTCTGTGATGAGATTGCGTACTGCAGGAACGCCTTCAACGGTAATGTCTTGAAGGGAAGGATAGATGTCATCGAAATCGTCATCAGCATCGCCTAAATCGAATTCTTTGCGATTCTGCTTGAGACTCTGTTTGGGAAAATCGAGCAAATGACGCCAGGCAATCGGCAGGACCTGTACTCGACAATTTTTGGGATCACCACTCAAAGCCTGTAGATCTGGAGCAGAACCATACACAGCCTTCATGGACTTGCGTAGAGTATTCACATCGTGGACGAAGTTAATACTGTCCAGTCTTAACCCAAGACGTTGACCAATACCATGGGTCACGAGGACAAGATGGTCAATCTGTCTTGCTTGATCATCCCCGTCCTTTTCTCTGGCGTCTTCCATTTCCTTTTCTTCTTGTTCTCGGGCCTCTTCCTCAGCTGAGATGTCTCCTTCTTGAGATCCAGGGATTCCTGCCAAGGACGAAAGTTGTCTTTCGAGGGCAGACCGACGGGGTTTGGACTCAGGTTCCTGCTCCTCGGGCTGTGAATCAGCTTTGGTAGATTCTACTGGCTGGCTGGTTTCGCTGGTATTCTTGGCTGATTTTCGCTTCTCCTTTGAGCTAATCGGCTCAGCAGGTTTTGGTTCCACGAGTCTCGTAGATTCCGACCACCCTCTCACTACCTTTGTGCCACCATACCCGACAAATCTACCATAGGTGATGCTACTCATACGAGAGTAGAAATCATCTGATGACAGGAAAGCAGTGACAGCATCTTGGTAGGTCACCGTCGTGTTCATGTGATTGCCAAAAAGTCGATAAGTGTTAGAACCTGCGGTTTGGGCATCATCTTGAGACGGGTTGGCCTTGTTCGGGAGAAGGGTTGATGCACTATCCAATATCATTGAAGCCGGACGACTTCTCGGCTGAGAGGTTGAACGAGGAGATGAGATGCCTAATCTCCTCCATGGGGCTATTTTCAAGTAGCCTTCCTCGAGCTGATTCGCGAGGTTCTCGTCGCAGGGTTTTAGGAAGGAGCCTTCCACATAGAACCAGCTACCACGGTGAACCTCGTAAACAGGTCCTAGCCAGTACGCAGGTTCGAGCTCCCGCTTCTCGATATGGACATCGAACAGGAAGTCCTCATTGACAGGAACCCTTGTGGAAGTGGGAGATGAAGTGTCCGACTGTGATTTGTCGCCTCTATCGAGTGATTGGTATGCCTTTTCAATGGCTTGAGAGTCAGTGGATGAGAAACCCACGAACTTCTTGGGACCAGTTGTCGCTTTTGCAGGTTCTTCTGGTCCTGGTTCAGTTGCAAAAGGTTTCCGTTTTGCTACGTCCACAGCATAATACCATTTGGTGATGAGAGGAGGACAGTCCCTGGGATATCGACGTAAACTTGGCGATGGACGTAGACTAATAGTATGGTCAATGCCAGTAGACTGTCTTAGTTGATGAGGGTCATCCTTGGGACCCTGTCGAGGGGACTTGGGCGGAGGAGTATTACTCCTGCTCCAGGGACTGATTGAGCTTAGGAAAGATGAAGATGGCTTTGTTGCTTCGGCCATGCCCTTCCGGACGGCCCGAAGCAAGGCTGGGAAACGATCCAATCTGAGGTCATATAATGGTCAAGGCTTAAGGAATAGATAGACAGGGTGGCCAAGTTGGCCGGCTCTTGTGACAGTTGAGTAGATCTCAGAAAGGGTTAGAAACTGGAATCTAGTAGATACTGCGTGCGGGTTACACCGGCAGATGGGATCCAGGATTTACTGCTAATCTTTTGTTAGTATACCTACGTAGACAACAAAGAAGAGAGTTGGAATATGGTGGATGAAAGAAGCCGGAAATGAGTTGGATAGGTACAAAACGACGTAACAGCCTGGAGGATGCCAAACAGCACCAGCCACAGCATTCACTGAATTTGGCCTAGCTCCCACCAGCCACAGAGCCTCTTAGCCTCGTCTTGGCAATAGTAATCTCATTGCCTGCCCGTGACTCAGCCTCACACATTTCGTCATAGTTCTTGACGGCGAGAACGGGTTTACTGGCGGCAACCGCAGGCTTAGGCTCCATCCAAGTGCAAGTTACGTTGATCCGGCGTCTCATTCTTGATGGAGGCCCAATCATCCACATACCAATTCCTACAAATACTTCAGTTCTCTTGCAATTGTAACGCCTAGACAGGCACCACAATATCAGGGCAGGTCTATATTCAAGTCATCGTCTGCATTGCTGGAATTCCTTTCTTCTCCAGCACCACTTCCTCTTTTCCTCTCTATTTACCTGGGCAACCTGCCCCGCGCCCCTCCCTTCCTGCCAAAATGGCCGCAATTCTCAAACTCACCCGCAAATACCCTCAATTTCAACAACAAGAAATCTTTGGTTTGCAGGATGCATTTCGCAAACTAGATGTCGATGACAAAGGCTACTTAGATGAAGCCACCGTCATTAAGGCTACACAGCAATCCGAAAGACAATCTTACGATGTGGTCAGGCAAGCCTTGAAAGAGGTGGAACTCGACAGCTCGAGGCGTGTTGAACTCGAAGACTATGTCGACCTGATCGCAAAAGTTCGAGACTCCTCACCCCTTCAGCAGCGAGCTGCTTCGGGTCCGCAAAGATCCGCCGCAGGCAATGGCCTTCCATCCTCTCCCAAGCACGGCTCGAAGCCTAGTCTGGGAGGTGGTCCAGCTGGGAAGATTCAGGTCCAAGGCTCATCTGCCAACGTTACCCATACCATCAATGAAGAAGAGCGTACTGCTTTCACCACTCATATCAATGCTGTCCTTGCCGGCGACCCCGACATTGGCCATTTGCTTCCTTTCCCTACCGATACCTTCGAAATGTTCGATCACTGCAAGGACGGCTTGGTTCTTTCCAAGCTCATCAATGACAGTGTTCCCGATACCATTGATGAACGTGTGTTGAACAAGACAGGCAAGAAAATCAAATCCCTAAACGCATTCCACATGACTGAAAACAACAATATCGTCATCGAATCCGCCAAAGGTATTGGTTGCTCAGTTGTCAACATTGGAAGTGGAGATATTATCGAAGTACGAGAGCATCTTATTTTGGGCCTCATTTGGCAGATCATTCGAAGGGGTCTGCTGGGCAAGATTGATATCAAACTCCACCCCGAATTGTACCGTCTTCTCGAGGACGATGAAACTCTGGACCAATTCCTGCGTCTTCCTCCTGAGAAAATTCTCTTGAGATGGTTCAACTATCACCTCAAGAATGCCGGGTGGCAAAGAAGAGTCACCAACTTCTCTGGAGATGTCAAAGACAGCGAAAACTATACCGTTCTTCTCAACCAGCTGAAACCCGAAATCTGTTCCAGGGCACCACTACAAACCCGAGACCTACTGGAACGTGCAGAACAGGTTCTGCAAAATGCCGAAAAAATTGACTGCCGCAAATTCCTGACTCCCACTGCGCTCGTTGCTGGTAACCCTAAGCTCAACTTAGCTTTCGTTGCCAATCTCTTCAATACTCACCCAGGCCTCGACCCACTGGAGGAAGGAGAAAAACCTGAAATTGAGGACTTTGACGCTGAAGGTGAACGTGAAGCTCGTGTATTTACACTTTGGCTCAACAGTCTGGACGTTCAACCCACGGTCAACTCTTTCTGGGATGATCTACGTGATGGCAACGTCCTTCTCCAGGCTTATGACAAAGTCATCCCTGGGACTGTAAACTGGCGACATGTGAACAAGCCCCCGGCTCACGGTGGTGAGGTTTCTCGGTTCAAGGCCGTTGAGAACACCAACTATGCTGTTGAGTTGGGAAAACAAAATCGGTTCTCCCTTGTGGGCATTCAGGGTGCAGACATCACTGATGGACAACGAACCTTGACTCTCGGTCTTGTCTGGCAGCTAATGCGACGTGATATTATAAGTACACTGTCTGGTCTTGCCCAACGAATGGGTAAGCGTGAACTATCAGATGCAGATATCATCAAGTGGGCCAACCAGACCGCCCAGAAGGGAGGAAAGAATTCCACGATTCGCACTCTCAAGGATCCAGCCGTCACGAGCGGTGTCTTCCTTCTTGATGTTTTGAACGGAATCAAGGCCAACTACGTCGACTATGACCTCGTCACTCCCGGTAAAACTGACGAAGATGCTTACGCCAACGCGAAACTGTCAATCAGTATCGCCAGAAAACTGGGTAAGTAGACATCTTCTCTATAACTCGAATTCTCCGAGAGAAAGTGAGCTGATAAATATGACACAGGCTCTACCATCTACCTTCTCCCAGACGATATCGTTCAAGGACGAGCCAGACTTGTCCTCACTTTCGTCGGTACGTATCAAGTTCCCCACATTGTTTATGCAACCTACTCTAACAATATCATGCAGGCGCTCTCATGCGAACCGCCGAGAAAGCGGGATTGTAGATACCTTCTCGTTCCGCCCCAGGCCACTCTATATTTTATGGTATTACCTGGCCGGGTTCTTGATCCCCGAATTTCCGAGCGGCACAGTCCCGCCCCGCCACGTGTTCTCGTGCTCGCGACGAAAGTGATGCCCAACGAATCGACGACTTCAAGATGCGACGAGACGCCATACCATGCGAAGTGACGAGAAGAAATGAGACGATACAAAGCGTGCTTGGGATGTTTGAGTCGACTAGAGACACAAGGTATCGCCTGTGCCCCCAGGATCCTAAATGTCTTGTAATGCCTCGTCGCTTCTTCTTTATAGTCTCTTGCTATGCCTAGCCAGCTGATACTCCTTTCTCTTGGCTGTGGTCCTGTAGCTTCGTTTGAGACAAATCCAAAAAGAAATTATTGCTTTTTCTCTGGGCCTCCTTCGGCTGACTTGGTCTTTCGTCCTATATCTTTCTACGTTTGGACCGGTATGAATGGATTTATTCACTTTTCTTAAGCAGTGCAGCCATCTTTAATTTGAGTCTTGCTACAAGTATCTAGTTGTGACACGAGCACTCTCAGTCTTCCCCTGATTTTCCTCTCTCAAAGCCTTGCTTTATCCGCCACTGCCGGTCTAGAGGTGGTAGAACAATATCGTCAGGTGCTGGTCAAGCCAATATTTCCAACGCAATCCCCATTTGCAAGCTCTCACTCACAGACAAGGCCCTCAAGGTCAGTCACCAACACTTACTGCAAGTGTTCATCAAACCACTGCAACGCCTGGATGAAGGCGGTCTCCTTTGCGTATTTTGTGACGGGGTTGCTCAAGTCGGCGCGGACGGCGAAGCCGTGTTCGACGCCCGAGTATAGGTTGATCTGGTATGGCTGGCCGGTCTCTTTGAGGAGGACTTCGCTCTCGTGACGCTTCTCGGTCGGGAAGATGGAGTCGGTCTCTGCGGCGGCGATGGAGAGGGGGCCCTTGATCGCCTTGAGCTCGTCCGCGTCCACGAACGATGGGTGCGCAGTGAAGCCGGCGTCGATCTTGCCGGCCTCGGGCCGTAGGTGGCGCACCACGTACTTGCCGCCGAAGCAGTAGCCTACCGCACCGATTTTCTGTTTAGGAGACGCGTGTGTCAGGATATGTCCTCTCTTCCTGGTGCGCACTGGTTCCCGTGTAAGTTACTTACCTTTGCATTGTACTTAGTTCGTAGCTCCACCAGGCATGCATCGATGATTGGGTCGACGGTGGGAGGCAGATGTGCAGTCTTCTTGGGGTGGTATGCGCCTTGGAGCCATTGCATGATGTCGAAGTTGTCATCACGGTTCAAAGGAATGGGATCCTTGTCGAACAGATCAGGACTCAGTACAAAGTAGCCGTTGGCGGCGAACTGGTCGGCGATCAATTGAGCGTTGATGAAACGATGGCCGATGACGTCCGTAATGCTGTTATGGTGCATTGAGAGGTCAGGCTCTGGCTAGCTCGACGGTACGATGGCTAGGTGTGTACATACAGGAGAATCGCCTTTTCGGTGGACTTGTTCTCCGGATAGGCAACATATGTCTCGAAATCACCAATCTGAATGAATTCACCCTTGGCCTCACCTTCGTGAGTGACGCCTTTGTAGCAACATGCACCGGGAGGATTGGAAGCCATATTGATTTATGTGGCGGAGAATTGTCTAGAACGCAACGTGAAAGGGAGTGTGAGAAGACAGGCAGACAGGAACTACGGAAGATTTTTAAATTGCTAATGAGCTTTCGCAAACCAGGGCAGGCACGATCCTCGTCGTCAGCACTGCAATTCAAAGGATGGGTATGGATAGATCGGGGCCGGCAGAAGGTGGGGTAATTACAAAGAACTGTATGCTTCATGCTGCAGCTGCGAGTGGAGGGGAAACAAATCGGTGATGAATCCGCATCCGATGCAGGGAGCTACAGGCTGCAGTTGAGCAGTTGAGCAGATACCCTAATATGCCGAGCAGTGCATTGAATCTTTCCCAAAACCACAAGGAGGGGCAGATCTGCGCCCGAGATAAAAGCTAAGAATGAGGCAATCGCGCCCATCACATGCATGTGATTTTCGAACATGCCCTGTGGGTGCCCCGCCGGCGTTTAATGGTGGAGATAACATGAGATAACATTTGACATGACGTTGATGGCGGTGATGTGCCGCGGCGTTCCTGACAAAGCGTCCGGAGGTTGACCATAAATTGCCCAATGGGGCAAGCTATGGGAGACTTCTTTCCAGGAGATTCATTAGGGAGAGATGGTAAAGATCAAGATGGAAACTCTATCATACTGAGAGCGGGTAGATTCGCTCAATGAAGGGTGAAACTATTTCCAGGGGAAATGTCGGCAAGATACGGCTAAAAGATTCGGATTCGCACTCATTCTGAAGAGCGGAAGAGATGAAAAGATTCCGAGGATGTGAGTTTAGCCTTGTACGGTAGTTCGGTATGTACCTGAATCTCTTGCTTTGCACAGACATCATGCGGCTAATGCACCAAGACTCCCCTACTGGATAGTCCTACAGAATGTACCTGAAAGTACTTCCGTAATTCTCTTCACCCACAGGCGCTTCAATGACACCTTTTTCAGTTCCAGTGTGTGTTGTGGATTGCTGGCCCTTCTTTCCATACTTCTCGTCGAGCTTTTTGTTCTCCCAAACAAGCAGAGTTCGGAGACTCAAAGCAAGAATGGCATTGAAGAACATGAACCCTGCACAGATACTTTGACCTGAAACGTAGCGTGGCTTGTCACTCGTAGGGAACACTCTTGTGCCAAGTAGTGGCCCACACTGGCCAACGACGTTGAGCAGGACGATACTGTTTTCGAGTCAGCTTGGTTAATACCATGTCAAGATATTGATTTGACTCACCCCATTCCACGTCGAGAGTCCGATCCTTGATTGTTGACAACCCAAGGTAGAATATTGGCAATCACGGGAAAAACACAAGCGGCCAAGAATGTTCCGAAATATCTCGGAGCAACCGCTGTGCATGTCGCGAGCAGTATATATCCAACGCCAGCGAGACAACTCAGAGAAATGATCACTAAACCACGTTGTTGTATGCGGTCTGCAAACCAACAACTCGATACCGTCACCACGGTAGAAACGAGATAAGGCGGTGCAGATAGTCCCTGGGCCTTGACTGATGAAAACCCCATTTCGTTAAGAATGGTCGGTAGGAAGACTGGCAATGAAGAGTATGAGACATTGCAAGAAAAGTACATGAGCTATACAATTGTTAGTACTGATCAATTTCACGAGAAGATGTTGCTCACAGCTGTCAGCCAGGCTTTCAAGTCGCACAAAGTTTGAAGTATCTCTCTGAAATTGATTCTGCTGTTTTCATCAACATGACCATGTTGCCTAATGACTCGAGCCCGAGCGACTTCTTTCTCTTCTTCCGTCAAGAATCGAGCTTTGGTTGGACTATCTGGTAGAAAGTACCAGGCCAATGGCGCGGCGAGGATAGTCGGTATACCCTCGACAAGAAAAAGAAGTCTCCAGTTTGCGAGCTTGGAATGACCGCTGGTGACTGCATATGCAAGAGCTCCAGCAAAAGTGTTTGCCAAAGGGGCGGCCGCAAGGAATATGCCACTGCGAAACCCAAGCTCATTTCTGAGATAGAAGAATGACAGGAGATATGGGACACTCGGGCCGAAGCCTGCTTCTGCTGCACCAAGGAGGAATCTTAGAGCCATGGCACCCCCCCATGACTGAACAGCAGACTGGCAAGTAGCCACAATACCCCTGGGTTGCGCGTGAGTGGTGTGTCAGGAAAATAGAAAGGGGAACTCTCCAGATACATACCATGCCAAAGTGATAATGCACGCCCATTTATGAGGCTTGCTGTGGTAGTGTCAGGACTCATAGATTCCGGGTCTTCAAAGCGATGATACCCACATAATCTTCCACATGAATGCTTGGACCTGAAATATGATATATGATATATAGAATATAGTCAGAAGCCAGTCATACTTGTCGCCATCAAGATCGAGGTCTTTCGCCATGCCTGCAATACGAGCATTGCCAATATTCGAGCGATCAAGAAATGAAAGGAGAACTGGTTGGGTTAGCCGCGTTATCTTCGCTCGTTGCCAGACCACATACATAGGAACGTGACAAGTGGAGGTACGTGCATATCGATTTTGCGTAGCACTCTCTTCTCCAGCTCCGGATTGCTTGCCACGACTTGTGTGTCGCGCTGTTCCACTGCGATCTTCCCATCTCGTTCGAGATCAACTGGATGTAATTGATCCTCATGGTGAACAGGACTCGTGTCTTCCGCAGATGGTGCCATTTGGCCCTTGGTCAATGGGGACATGCTCAGTGTCCAAAAGTGATGTAAGTCAGTCGACACAAAACAAAGTTTGGCTTCAGACAAGGAGAGTTGGATCTCAGGTCCAGCAGAGATAACTATATAGCAAGAAAGACGACGAGAAAGCCGAGTGTGGCATTTCCCTCGTCAATTTTTGGGCGCGTTCTAAGTTGCCAACGTTGTGGGCGGAGGGTAGTAATTCGCCATTCTATCTGGAGACATAAAGGTATGATCTATGGAGGTGGGTTTGGAAGTGGAGAATACCTCGTATACCTCGTCGATCTTTAGACTAATGATAGAAAACGGTGACGAAGCAAGTTGCCGCGCGTGCCGAGCTTTGTGGTGCTTGAAGCTTCGCAAGTCACGATGTAGTATTCGATGGCGATGTCATTGTACAGCTCTAGGGGAGGAACTTAGTTGCTCGTCGAACAGTTTGTCCCTCGTCCTTCATGCTGGTAGATTGATCCTTTAAATGAGTGATTATCTTTAAGCCAGGGAGATCTCACTTCTTGCTGTGGCTGAATCGCCACAAATACGAGTTGAAGAGGCACTTGTACCTGGTACGAAGTACTCAGTACTGTACGAATTTAGGTACTTGAGCTGAATGTGATGCGAGTGCGATGCGAGCGAAGCTCTGGTCTAGTGAAAGCTTGTTGGCGAGTCAAAAATCCACCACGCATACTTCGGCTAAATTTCCCTTCTCATCCTGAGAGACACACGTGATGAATGACTTTACTCGGAGGTGATTTTTGACTTGGAACCCAACATCCAACTGTATTCCCCTGTTGAACCAAGCGACCGTCCCAGCATGTCCACGAACTTGGATACAGCATGATCTGAATCATGCACCTGAAAGACGGAGAAATGCTCTACACTTCGTTATGTTACCCGTCAATCTCTACGTCACGTGAATCGGCGGCATCATGCAAGATTCAGCCGGAGGCAGACTGCGCTCTTCCTCAGCCTGATGTCGACTTCAAGTTGTGCAGTGAACTTTCTGCCTTGATCATATGTCTTTGATTAAATGCTACTGCTTCTGTGTGAAGTTAAATCTTCCCGGACATTGCGCGGCGTCGAATTCACCGTCCTTCGTCTGCTAACTTCTGCATGGTTTCGTGCGCTTCTGATGAATCCTTCGCAACCCGATATCTCAATCCCACTCCGACTATACCGTTGCATGCATCTGCCCCATGGGGGTAGAGCTAGCCCCTGTCACCGCCCTCCTTGACAAGACTCATCCTACCCTGGCCAGACCGCGGGATCTGAACAATTATACCTTGGGAGAAATAGCCGGACATAACATTGTGATTGCTGCTCTACCAGAGATTGGGAGGAACGCGGCGGCGGTAGTGACCACCCAACTGCTGAACGACTTTCCCTCAATTCGATTTGGACTACTGGTGGGTATCGGTGGGGCTGTGCCTGACATCGAGAACGACATCGATATTCGTCTGGGAGATGTTGTTGTAAGCAAGCCAACTAAGAGCACGGGAGGAGTAGTGCAATATGACATGGGTAAAGAAGTACCTCAAGGATTTGAGCGAATTGGAATGCTAGATAAACCACCACGAATCTTACGGACCGCTGTACAGCAGCTAGTGGCGCGTCATGAGCTTGAGGATAGCCTCATTTGTCAATTCCTGGGACAGATTGGGAACAAGTATCCCAAGATGGTCAACAAGTACTGTACTGCACCGGAGGAACAAGATCAACTGTTTGAGACGTCCTATGATCATCGAGGTAGTAAGACATGTTCGCATTGCGACAATTCGAAGACTGTATACCGACCGCCTCGATCAACATTGGGGCCCTTGGTCCATTACGGTACAATAGGATCGGCGAATCGCGTGCTCAAGAATGCAATTGAGCGAGAAAAGCTGAAGTCTGGTGATTTGGATATTATATGCGTCGAGATGGAGGCAGCTGGACTGATGGACTCGTTCCCCTGTCTAGTCATTCGAGGGATATGTGATTATGCCGACTCCCACAAGAACAAAAGATGGCAGCCCTACGCTGCCGCTGTGGCCGCCGCGTATATGAAGGAGCTGCTTTCGAACATTCGATCAAAGGAGGTTGTCAAAGTGTCCCCTGCTGCCGACGCGGTCAGCATCCGAGGTGAGCTCACTCATTCCGTTAGTATTAGTCGGTCACCCCATACTGAAGTGTGCTATAACCCTTGAACTTGGCTGATTAATCTTCAAACCAGATGTTCCTAGGCACAGTCCTTCTAGGGACTTTCTTGATAACATAGCTGCAGAAGCCGTGCTTGCACCAGAAGAAGTGCGGGCCCAGTCAGGGAGCCGGTTTGATGACCGACTTAGGCTGTCATCCTCTGCACCCAAATCTGAGCCACCAGCCTCCTCGACCCGCACCGCTATTGGAGAAGCTTCGAACAGCGCGAGCAATCCACGATCCTTGGCAGAGCTCACGTACAGGTCCGTAGGGCCGGAACTATCTTCGCACGGTTGGTGGCAGAGGACAGTGTTGTATTCGTGGGTCCCGGGGGGGGAGGAGAAGGCGAAGCATCAACAATTGCTCGAAAACGCCAACATGGAAGGAAGTCCACAGTGGTGGGTCAAAATACTTGATCCCAATCGCTACCCCTCGGAAACAGATCTCAGAAACTTGGACATCAGTCTACGGCGAACACCACCTCATTTTCTGGTCAAGTTTGTCCAATTATCGGGTGTAGATCGACTATCAGATCTCATCAACGACTTCATTTCATATTGGACTTCATCCACCTCATTTTTCTCAACCTTTCCAATCTCCGACCGTGGGCGTGATGTTTTTGAATGTCTCGACGCTTTGATAAGCCACAAGACTGGCTTGGATGCTGCTCTGAAGGATACAACGTTGGCTCGACGACTATTTACTTGCTTGATTCCAAGGTACGATGCCAGAATGATTAAGAAAATCCCCTTCATCCCAAGCCCAGCTACGAAACTGCTAGCTACCGAGTTGTTAATATCACTTTGTGCTGGAGAGATCGAGGCTGGCTATAGTGTAGTATTGAAAGCTATGGGTCTCGTTGGAAGTGTTACTGTGCGCAACCTAGGTCTTGTTGCGTGGCTGAAAACCGTCCGACACGAAGTTCATTGGAAGGCCCAGATGAGTCTCGATTCCCATACTCTCGAATACGCAGCTGCAACAGTTCGATTGATCAATGCGCTGGTTGCCTGTCCAGGAACGGATCTGCATTCAAGATGTCTCATTCGTGGTCACTTTCAAGCCAGTGGTCTCAACGAAATTTTGACGAAACTAGATGAATTCATCCATAACGAATTGTGGCAAGAAATTAGGAAGTTCCGTGAAAGCGAGAAACGCGATGCAGAGGAGCTTCTGCGCCGCCAATCACAAGAAGACTTGCCTGCTTAGGTGCTCTGCTTGTTGCGTGGGATTCGTTCTAATATGGATCAATTCCAACGACTTGCTCATGCCACATAGATGGAGAATCGTATGAGGCCATCTTGTTGTACAAATTCACGAGTGAAGGCACTTATCTGCTACTTGAAGCAACAGAACACGAGGGAAAGTTCGGTTTGGTGGGTTTGGTTGATACAACACGTCCTACGCTAAACACTACTGTGTGCGACATTCGAATCCAGCCATTGTCATGGTATCCCTAGCTCGCTGAACGCAGCAGTATCTGGCCAGGAATCCGATAATGGGTCAGTGGCAGTGCTGCCAGGAGAGTAGTCTCCGTAGTCCGAATCCTGAATCCTTAGTACTAAACCCGCTGAATCGAGTCATCACGAGTCCTGTTCGAAACCTAATGCCCACACACTAAAAATCGGGCATATATATATATATGTCGGCTTGAGCTAGGTATTGAAGCGTGCTATTTCCGAATACCGTGTGCAACCGTAGCCTTAGAACTATCAAGATTTCTTGCTGCCACCGACTGCTCGACGACTCTCAAGACTCACATCCTAGTCCCCTTGTAGTGAGCAGATCTATTTTGATTTCTAGAACACGTATCTCCCTTTTGATTTAAATGAATACCTGAACATCGCTGCCATTGGAAGTAAGGAGAACGGCATCAAAGCAGCGTCCTGTCACCACGTGGGTCAGCCTGCCACCCCCAATTGGCATATTGGATATATTGCAAGACTTCACAACTGCGGGTCAAGCGAAGCAAGAAACATCAGAAGACATGGAGAAATCTCCATGTACATCTGTCCTAGGGATGCCTAGCCGACTGCCAAGCTCGCGAATCTGTTGTTTATTTGTACCCCGTCAACAGATCTGCGGGCTCTTACCTTTCGCATGACCACAACCATCAAACTTGCAGTTCCAAACGGCTAGTCTTTCATCGTTCTTGTAACCAGAGTTACAATTGAATTCAATATTGCTTATGAAGTCTAAAGGGAAGCTTTAAGTGCGGCGTACGCTACGACCCAGGGTCCAGACCCAGTCGCTTTCTCGTCAAAGGATGTTCGCCAGAAAGTATACTGCTTATGCAAACTCTAAGGATATCTATCGCTGCGTAAGCTTCTCTCTGGAATATCGTTCTTGAGGTCGAGCATAGGAAGGGGAAAGGGGTCCAGACCCTCTTCCTTATGATTAATCGCATGACGACAGCTGATTGTGCACTGGCATTATAACGACATGTTTGACGGCACCCAGTCAACTGTCACAATCTCTTGGATGTTCCAACCAACAAACAACCCAAGGCCCCTATGATGCCAGTGCACGATGAGAGTTCTTTCTACCTTCCCTTTCCGATACTCATAGTATTGCCCTTCAAATCAATCTCATTCCCCCTTCGCTCCCACCTCACAGCGCTGTCAAGCTTCGTTCATTGCCCGTACCCCGAAATTGGTGCACTGAACCATGGATCTGTGATTCAGGATAAGCGAGGAAACTTGATCTTGATCGGAACTTCAACCCGACCCTCTGTTCGGGCTCGCCCTTAGCTGGAGCAGTTATATACAGAAAGCAGTGCCCCAGACTTTTGACTTCCAGTTCTCTTCTCCACTCTTGGACCCTCTGGACTTCAAACTTGGTCAGCGAGTCAGCGAGTCTGAGCTAGGTAGGCCAGGCACATCAACCAGCTCGACCATTCACCCTCAAAGTGATCGAGACTCGAAGATACCATCGCCACGATGATCACAAGTCGACTTCAGGTCTCACTGCTTGTTCTACTCCTCTCCGTCACCTCGACGCTATCACTCGTCGTCCCTCCAATCGACAGCAACTCAGGAATAACACGTTCATCTTCATCGTCGTCATCATCCTCGCCCAACGACCTCACCAGACTCCACCAACTCAACAAACAGGCATCAAGTCTAGTATGCCACGAAACCAACCAACGCATGTCGTGCTACGGCAGCGTCCCCGTGGGTGGGGCAACCTGCAACAGCATATGTACGTGCGAGAACGGCCGGATCTCATGTCCCGCGTATAAATACTGCGACGACTCGACCATGGACATTTTCTGCGGAGGGCTGTGCGCGTGCAATGCGAATACGTCGGCCAAGCTACGGTCCAGCAGCGACGAACGCGTCGGGGGTCAGGTCATGATCAGCGGTCACCGATACCAAGCACCATCCGCGCCGCGGCGGCACTACGAGGAAGACGACGAGGAAGACGACGAGGAAGACGACGAAGCTAGAGCAAAGCGTCGTGCGAAGCGCGCCTTTGGGATCTCAACTTCTGGCGCTGGTGACCTGGTTTGAACAGAGTGCAGACGGCTTATGCTGTCTGTCTCTTTTGCTTCTTTTCTGTTCATCTCCTAGCCTCGTGATGTGGGTTGGTCTTGGGTCGGTTTGAATGTTCGGCGATATATACCTATGGGAGGGTTGGGTGGTGACTTTTGGGGTTTCAATGATAATGTATGATAAAATGTAGAACCTCACACAAATATCGATATAAAATTCAATCATAATCGCTCTCACGCTGCATCGCCTGAGCAGAAATGTTTGGAGCGCTGGCTACCGAGAACTGAGCGCTTGACACAACCCATTTAATTCGTTGCCAGTCCACAGCATTCGGTGGCATTCTGGCTGGCACTCCTTGCCACAATCGAACTGTTCCACCCCGAAAAGCATCGTTAAATTAAGTAGTCAATAATGTCAGTCAAGCACCCTCAAGATATCGACTTCAACGGGAACCCCGTATCCATGGTCTCGCCCACCGACACGGTTCTTCTTCTTCCCCACGGCCTCCACCTCCTTGACACAATCATTCATTGCCGCCGGGGTCGTCATCGCCTCCTCCTTCCTACACTTGACCGTTAACCTCACGCCGTCCTGCAGCCCTTTCTTCCCCAAACCCTTAGCCCAGCTTGCGCTGAACACCAATCGCGGCTTTGCAGTGTCCACGACGCGGCCGGCCGGATAAACATTCCCGATCAGCAGTGCCAGCGCGCCGAGATAGTTTGCCCAGAAGACTTCCTGGGGCGACAATATCGCGCGGAGGCGCTGCTGTGCGCTGTGGTTCGGAGGCGCAAGGTCGACGTTCCAGCGGCGTGCGAGGACCAGCGCCAGGAGTGCACGGTCAGAGTGGCTGATGCCGTGTGCGGAGGCGAGTGCGCCGGTTAGCGGGGCTTGGAGGGCGCAGAGAGAGCGCGATTCCTTCGGGAGCGGGCTGTGTAGATACATCATGTCTGCGACGGCGCGAAGGAACGGTGGTGTGAATGTTGTGGGAATAAAGCGGTCCAGGTCATTCTCGCCGGGCAGGCTGGCAAGAAGGAGTGTCGCGATATGTGGTGCCGAGCTGGTGCCGTATTGTGCTGTGGCGGCCTGTAAGGGATCGAGGGCCTTTGTGGCGGGGTCTAAAGTGTCGAAAAGGAAGCCTTCACGGACGCCGCCCTGGCAGAAGCGGACTCGTTGGATCATCGGGAGGGCTTCGACTAGGACGTTAACCAGGAATGCCACGGCCGGGACCTGTGCAGCGCGGCGCTTCGAGATGCGGAAGACGGATTCTTCGGCGGCGACGGTGCTGATTTCGGCGGTCTGTTGAAAGTCGCGTTTTTGCACGTGGAAGCCATTGATGATGGGGATGGGATAAGGGGACACCTTGTGCTGTGACATGAGAAGATATCCCCAGCCCCGGAAACCACCGCCGGAGAGATAGAGGGTGAGTCCACCATGTTTGGCCTGTTGCTGTAGAGAGTCTGGCAGCTCGAGGTCCTTGTACGCTTGTTGGAATTGCTGCTTCATTTTCTCCTTCAGTTCCGTCTGGACCATCCCCGAATGTGCTTGAGCGTCAATCTCAGCCAACTGACGAGACATGGCGGCTGCGCCATAGGGAAAGCTAAAGGATCCCTTGTGGCTGGTCTGTACTTTGCCATCTTTGGCGATCATCCAGGTGATTTGAGTGCTTCCACCTTTGGGATATCTACATCAGCGTGCAAACTCCCTGGACGGGGTCGGATGAAATCAAGAAGACAACATACCTCCCAAATCCATGACCAGTCCATCAACACTAGCAAAACTGCTCGCCACGCCCAACGCACCAACTCTTCCTTCAATTTCCTTGGGCAAGAGGTCGATCTCCCATCCCGTCGCGTCCTTAATCTGTCTTCGATAGTCTTCTGAATTTTCGGCCGTCCTCGTCGCCTCGGTAGCTAAGACACGAATGTTCGTCGGCGGCACTCCGAAATCAGTACATGCGACCTTGAATTTCAGGAGCGAAACCACGACGGCATCGATGGTGTCTTGCGGAATGGGACCCTTGACACCAGTCGAGTATTGGGCATCGTACAATGAAATACCCTCGCGATCTTGAAAGACTGTTGGTAGAGATCGTGCTGTTGCTGGGGACAAGTCGCTTATGGAAAAGCGAATACCATTGCTGCCATTCGATGAATTCAGATGTCAGGGCAACAAAGAAAAGCGAGATATCGGAAGGAAAAGACTTCGTAGTGGGTAAGAGAAGTTTCGCTAAATAACTCACCTTCCCATATCGACCAAGCCATAGAGGCTGCTTGCTGGCGGCCCGCGCAGCGACATCTCGAGAATTCCTTAACAAGTTTCTGACGAGCGGATAGAATTGCCGCAGAACGTTAGAAGTCAGAGCCCATGGAGAATGATATCCAAAAGAATCTTCAACATCAAAGTCTGGCAGTGCGAGAGAAGAAGAAGTGAGTGGACCCCCACAAAGAGGCGACGACAACCCACGTGCAGGCCTCGCAGCCTCGTTATGGGTGGGTTGAGGCAGGTTATTGGGCTTCAGGTTTTGAAAAATAGGGGCCCCAACCCCGCTGGAGGGGCACCTTTTCACTAAGAAGGCCTTCAAACTCCTTTACAAGTGATATGCAGACTCTTGACCTTGCGAGGATAGACGACAGAGGTATTCTCTGACTACTCTTCTGGGCAAAAGTGATCACAAACTTCTTCTTACTTCTGACAGCTTGCATTATAATTTTGTATTAAAGCAACAAACCCCTAAGGCTGCAATATCTTGTAGTAACAAAAAGTACCTTACACTCGTTAGTCTAGGCTAAATGATTCAGCCAATTCCATGTCAACTACATCTTCCAACTAAGAAATGTCTCCCTCCTCTTCGTCATCCTGAGCATGAAAGGCGTCACCGAATGCCGAGTCCTCCATACCATCGAGGTTCAGGTCGTCCTCATCATTGCCATAGCTTGCTAGGGCGTCTCCAGCCGTATCGACATCAACATTATCAAAGTCTTCTCCCATATCAAAATCAGGGGTATCAAGTGGCGTGGCATGGCCAGCCTGATGTGCCGGCGGTTGAGCGACGATTGCCGATTGTTCGTTGCCGTCCGTGTTCTGCTGCAGATTGAGCTGGTCGTTGGATGGTTGTTCATCGCCTGGTAGATCGGTAAGACCGAGGTCCTCCGCATGATTTCCACCATCCCCATCAATCATGACCCATTCATTGCTTTCGGCATTCGCTGTCTCACCAGGCCCACTGTCATCATCAATGCCATCCATGTTCACGTCCATTCCAATATCATCAAGCTGAGGTAGATCTTCTTCCTCCTGAGCCTCATCTGCATTCGATTGTTGGTTGGAATCTGATGATGGTGCAGCTTGGGGTACAGAGGGGGTTGGTTGCTCATCTGAGCTAGAGGTGGAGGTAGTCTTCTGCTCAGTGGTCTCCGACGCAACAGTTTCTTCAGGTTTCTGTTTGTTTTCTACATCGGCAACCCCCTCCTTCTTCTGGGGATGCACTTCTGTTGTTGTCGAAGTTGTTGTGGCATTTGGTAGAGCAGCTGGAGTCGCCGACTTTTCTGGTGAGGCGGCAAGGACAGGCCCGGGTGCAATGGCTGATGGTGTGCTAGCAATCCTGTCCTCAAGTCCTCCCTTTTGTACCAAAGTCACAACTGCTGTTCGCTCGATTTTCTTATGGAGGGCAGATTCAACTGCATCAGTGATCTCGTCAATGGCATCCTTGTGAGCATCACCGCTATCATCAACTGCCATGGCATTGGATGAAAGACGGCGTTCAGTCGTGTTTGGTGCAGTCCGGAGTTTCTTTTCCGCGTCATGCAGAACCTTGTGTCTTTTAGCCTTGCCCATTCGCTTCTCGTGAATCTCCTTCATCTTGTCAAGTTCGGCTTGTAGTTGAGCCAATTTTTCATCGGCTCTCTTTTGGAATTTGTCAAATTCACCGGGCTCAAGTCGTCCAACTCGTGGGGGCCCTGCATTGGTGGGTTCACGGAGGACCGAGGTAGGAGCATCGAAGAAGTCCTTTGTCAAATCTTCCAACGGTCCTTTCCGTCCAAAGCCCAGGTCACTTGGAACAATTGAACTGATGGGATATGGAGATTCAATGATTTCTTCCATCCACTCATGATGCTGTTCATAGCGCATGCGACTGATGTCTCTTGGGGTCATAAAATCGATCAAGTCACCTCGAGAGACATCTTCCTCCTCCTCCAAGGTACTATCCTGTTGAGGGATGCTAGGGCCTCTTCTATGGGCGGCCCCTTGATGGGGGGCCGGGCCCCCTGCTGGAGTTCCACGCGCCATGTTGGGTGGTGGATGAATGACGGGCCAGTTTGCGCGATCATGTAACATGAAGTCTTTGCGAGGGAGTGGCCCTGATTGAGTTTGGATCATGCGTCGCTGCTGGAGAATAGCTTGGACATGTGGAAGAGGTTGGATGGAAGCCGAAGGGATGTGATCACGAGGTGAGGCTTTGGAGTAATGGATCAACCATAGACTTGGGTCGGGTGGTTGTTGGCCCCTATTTGGATTACCGGATAATAGACGATATCGTTTCCGGCTGTGTGATGCAACGGGCTCACCTTGAGCACGGCAACCTGATCGTTGGAGAAACATTTCGAGCGTCTAGAAGCCACATGTCAGAAAAACCACCTAGCAAATCTGAACATCATTCATACATATCCTCGAACTTCCTGCTTGAAAGAAACCTCGACATCTGCCCAGATGTAGCCATCGCTTGCGAAGTTCGTGTTCAGATACTCGAGTGGTTGCCAGGTGAGCATCAAAGTTCCATCTTGAGGTGGATCTAGGAATTGCCATTGCATGGGTTGCAGGTCGCGAACAATCTGTGGGGCTTCGAGTAGGTAGCCAACTATTGTCTCAAGAGAAGGATTTGTTGTGACAGGATAGCGATGCTTGGATATGAGATGCAGGTGCGGCAACTACTTTGGGTCAGTCGGGTGAAGGACTATGAAAGTGGACGGAGTGACTGACCAGAGCCGGAGGCACACCTGCCGCAGGATCTTTCAACATCGCGTGACTCATGGCGCTGAGCGCTCAAATAGGTGAGATTGATGCAGTAATATAACACTAGGGATGGGGCTCTTCAAAGGGTTGAAGGTACTTCGTGGATTCTATGTAGGCTGATGATCGATAACAGCCTTGATGAAGCGAGGAATCGCGCAACAAAATGAACTGCGACTCCGAGAACACGCTAAAGCGTGGCTGCATCTTGGCAGGTACCGATTATCCTAACCAAATTAGGATCTTTATACTGCGGATTATATCTTGTTTAGTGCTAGGCTTTGGAGACTAATATCATGTTTAACCCTCCTAACTTCAGTATCATTATTTTCTTTTATACGAATCTTAATTTCCACTAAATTATCTATCCTTATAGAAGAAAGAAAAGTTGAAGTGATTATTTCTACGGACTCAACCTATCAAAGAAAAGGAAAAGATTCATACTGCACCAGGAAAACAAAAACACTTATCTATGATATCCAAGATATCTCAGACCACAAGTGAAAGCTCTGCATCAGGATCAACTCCTTTTTGAGAATTGAACCCGGGTCTTTTTTTGGGAACAAATCCATCCACGGATGAGCGCCCATTAACTATGAAATCTGGTATCAGCAGACCAAGAAGCGGATGTCTCATAACACGGCTCACTCTCATCTATGGAGACTCTTTTATGAGCCCAGGAAGCAGCTGGTGACCTCGCGGTACTAGGGTTGTTGACCACAAATCGTGGAATTCAAATATATGTGCATTCGAGGCTGGCATGCGACTTCCAGACTGGTTAGGGCTCCTTGGGCCTAGAGTGGAAGGTGTGGCAGTCACCTCGGTGGCGACCTTGCTTCACTGCCTCACTGCCTCACTGCTCGTCTCGATCGTATAGGTAAGCCTACGAGTGCGCAGCCAGTTTCTACGCTTTGTGTAGGCTTAGAAGATCGGATTTTCGACTGTGGAAACTTGATCAGGTCCTCTTATCTACTCGCTCGAGTGCCGCCACACTTGAGCACCTAGATGTTGCGGCAATGAGCTGCTCAAGGCCCGCGCTGGTGTTGCTATATATGAAGAGCCATGGATACCGCGATGTGCTCGAGTAGGAGACTCGCTACGTCCCTGGGCGAGCTGGAGCTGCTCTCCCTGAGTAACGTATCGCGTTATGAGGTGTCCTTGGTCAACTAAGCAATGTTACTTCCCTCTATTGGGTGCAGCTATCGATCCAGTCGCCCAAAACGGGCTAAGTGAGGAGTTCAAACGGACATCAGCAATGCATTTGCATATATCTATGCGACAACTTCACTGCTTGCAAGGTCATGATGGACTTGTGTTCTCCACCACGCCGTTCGCACCGGGTATTGACTCTAGGGTGGTCATGGTGACCGACATCGACCGAATCATCTCCACGGGGCGTAGTACTAGGTGTGTAGTATGTAGTCAATGAAGATAAACTCAATGTTACGTGGAAGTACCTGGGCGGATTGTAGTACACTAACTATGCACCAGTTTCTGATAATTCCTGTCATGCATTTTTGCCGAGGTCCCTTTGCTCCGCCGAGATACATTCATCGGGAAAGCCCATGATGATCTCTGGATTGTGATAACAACGAACACATATATATGGAGATGTAATTCGTATGTTCTGTTCTACCTGTTCCTATCGCTCCTGAAGATAGAGTCTCTGCAGCATCTCAGAAGGAATCTAGCACAGCATTACAAAATATAGATTTTGACAATACGCTCCAATGCGACTCAGCATGAGTGAACCATAACAACAAGTACCGGTCTAATATAGGACCACAGTCACCAATTCCAGATTAAATCCTTCACACACAATCCGATATACAGCAGCAAAGATGGCACACCCAGCCCACGCAACACCAAGCATAGAAACCAGCCTCGCGCACTTCCGCACGATCCCTTGGATCGCCAATCCACATCTCTCAGACCCAACATTCCACGTCGTCACCACGAACGCATCAAGAACACTAGTACAGCCTGGCAACGGCCACACCCTGACCGGCGAGACATGGAACACCGAGAAAACCATCACACACCTCATCACCACATACCGGCCCGGACCACCTTCACCTTCAGGATTACCACCACCAACAACAACAACCGAGGAAGCCGACGCTGATGCTGGCCAAGCCGAGCTCCGTCGCTTCTACACCTTCGGGACGGGACTCAACGCGCATCCGAATCTGCTGCATGGGGGTGTGATAGCGACGATCTTGGATAGTGCGATGGGAAACGCCATCTGGCAGGCTATCCAGCCGAGACCCAAGGGGCCGACTTTCACGGTCAATCTGAACATTACGTATAAGAAGCCCGTGAGCACGCCGGGGAGTGTGATGGTCAGGGCGACCGTGGTGAGGGTCGAGGGCCGGAAGATCTGGGTTAGTGGGAGGGTCGAAGGGGAAGGGGGTGTGGTTCATGCTAGTGCAGAGGGGATGTGGTTGTCCGCGAAGTCCAAAATATGAAAGCGAAAGAATATAGTGAGGTACCGATCGCAATCAGATTTGCTTGCTATCTTAGGGTTTGATGATACACTGCAAGTAGAAGACCCTCTAGCACATTCTTGTGCAGGATATGGTACACTGCTGTAGTCCCCGTCTCAAATAAAACGCCTGTGAGCGAATTGCTCATGCACTGTCACCAGTCCTTCTTCACGATAAATCACTGGTCACGTTGGAGAACTCGCCCTTTTCAAGTTTGGTGTTCCAGAAGATGGGGTTGGTATCAAAGAAACCGTGTTTCACCCAACCGTCTTCCTTGACGTGGTACAGATTGATGTAACCTCCGGAGTAAGCGTCTCGGTGAGTGGCTGCCAGAATACTTCTTCGTCCCAATTCCAATGCTTCATCGTCCTCCAAATCGTATTTGTACTGTGCATCGAGCACACCATAGGCAAATGTCTGACCAGAGCCGACACAGAAGAGGTTTCCTGATAGACGTGTTCCGTCGGAATCGATGTAGTAAAGTGCAGGTCCTTCGGATGGCGTAACACCCGTGATCATGGTACCCATCGACAAGCCCATTCCCTTGTACGAATAAACCAAGTTGGCTAGAATTTTGGAGGCAGCTGCAACAGAAATTCGTTGTTTTTGTCGGAGTTCGTGAAGGCGGCATTGGACACCGAGATAAGCCAACCAGTACTGACAGTCCTGTATGTTCTTTAGTATTGTTGTCACCCCTCCGGACTTGCATTCAACTTACTGCGGCACCTCCGGCCATAGTCCCGAGCAACATAGGGTTGATCTCAATGACCTTCTTGACTGTCTGAGATGCGATCCAGTTTCCGGCTGTGGCTCTGGAATCGGTTGCGACAATGATGCCTCCCTTGAATCTGAATGCCAGAGTTGTAGTACCGTGTGCTAGCTTGATGGGACAATTGGGGTTTGAATAGTCATCTGTTGCTGCGCGAAGGAAGGCAGAGGGTCGAGATACGGGTGGAAGGGCGAACTTCAGCGATAGCGGAGGCAGAGATGAGGAGTAGTCATCTTGCTCTTCGGAGGTGTAGCCTTCATTCGCGAAGGGTGACTGTGTGTATTGGGCGACAAGAGTGTCCATGATTAGAAGGTTGACTGAAGGAAGAATCTGTGGTAGTGTTGGAGTTGGTCAGGCAGTGTTGAAATACAAAGGCGGAAGAAGAGTAGTGGTACAGCAAGAAAGAAGAAGAAAGCTGACAAGCGAGGTAAATTACAGGTGCTTGAAGTGAAGGTGGTGATGATGGAATTGAGGCAACAGCTTGCTTGGATCATGTAGCAGCCTCAGGCGTGTTGGAGATGCGATGCTGAATGCGTGTTCTTGGGCGCCTGCCCGTTTCTCGCTGTCACGTGAAGAAGCCAATCGTACAATTGCGCTGTCTAGTTAATGCTCAGGCGTAGCATACTTCGGTGGATGCTAAGCTCTCCAAGACGCCATTTCCAGTTCTTCAAATTTGGCGCCCATCGCATTGTTTGAGCAACCGCCGACAAGGTCTACCAGCCTATCTTCAGACCCATATCTGCAGTATCTTCAGAATGATTTGTCTATTTTGGCCTTTTTCTTCGCTACTGCATATCACAGGGTTATGTGTAAAACAAGGGGAAAGGCAAAAGAACTCTGCTTTGACCGCCTTATCTAAACCGGAGCTTCAACACTTGGATACTGGCTAGCCTTCCATGAAGCAGGTCGTGAACTCGTATCACCGGGAGTATGACCACAATACTGGTAAGTCGGTAAATCAAAATGCTTAGGCGTTAGGCGCCGGGCCTGCTAGAAGGTCGCCGTCTTGTGAGCTTGACGTATGCAGCCCTTTCACATTGATAAGTATTATTTCTGATAATGGGCCTCTACTCAATACCACTTGGTACCAACGCAAAATCCTCAAGAGCAATAAGATGGTCTTTCGCTCAGGCATATGGCAGTCTCGAACTCGAATCCGCTCAAGCAACTGCAAGGAACTTCTTCAACAAGGTCGTGGAAAACTACAGAGCGGTTTGAAAGGCCATCAACGGAAAACTAACGTAAAGCGGATTCTTCACAGGGTTCATCGACAAGACCTCATAGATGACGCCGGGCGAGGCTGGCGCTCTCCATGGCTCCGGCAGGCTTCACTGATAGCGATAACTGGAATCCTGGGTAGTATTATTTTGGGACTCGCCCTCTTGTTTTACTTCTCCAAAAGCACAGAGGGCTTACCTCTGAAGATCAAGAACCATTTCGCGTGGACCTATGGACCGACAGCGATCCTCACAATAGTAGTGGCTTATTGGCGTCAAATTGACACAGCCTCCAAAGCTCTGACGCCATGGGACGAGCTTCGGCGTGGCAATGCTGAGCCCTCAAAGAGTATTTTGTTGGACTATATGTCTCCATTGCAAGCCATAAGCTTATACGAAGCCATCCGGGCAAAGCATGGTGCGATTGTAGTGACAATAACAGGCTTCGTTATCCTCAAGCTTCTTACCCTAGCATCCACGGGTTTATTATTCTCGACTCCAACAGCTTTATCTTCTGTGAACCGGAACATTATCAGAAATACTCAATTAGATGGTGCCTTGTATGAGCCCACGTCTTTCCCTGGCCTTTTCGATCCGTCAATGGCGTACACTGCGTATGCCGTCATGGCGAACGGGTTACGACACCCTGAGGGAACGACAACAGAATTGGTATACGAGCAGATTCAACCGTTGTTAAGGAACAGGGTTGAGAACACTACATTGAAAACTCGGGTGAACGCATTGATACCCATGTTTTCTTGCGAAAGCGCACCAGTCGACATCTACCTCCAGCCAGCCAACGTGACAGATGTACATCCTGAAGATACTATCAAATTGCTCTTCCCCGAATGCACCTTACGCAACGATGGTAAGGGCACTTCAGTATATGCTCTGAATCCACGGAATCTTGTCTGCCCCAAACGGCAGCTGAGCCCTCTTCTTCAACAAATCGACTGCATAGATCAGACCGCATCAGATGCAGATCAACATTGGCAGCTCCTGACACTAGCAGACTACCGATATCAGCAGTCTTTTGCAAACACCACTGGTCTGAGTTTAGGAGATTCGAACGTTGTGGCATCATCGTCTTCAAGGCAAGTTGAAAAAGTCATTGGTGTTGCATGTCGGTCAGATTTCTTGATGGAAGAAGTCGAAGTGATTTATGACTATTCTCAAGACCCGCCATTCATCCTCGTAATACGCGTGCCACAGTCGCGGTCCATCAAACTGGACAACTTCACAGGCGCCGATCTTGGACTTCTCACCACCTCTGCACTGACCGCTGGTGCTGGCATGTTTGGAAATTTTGTTGACAACCAAGCTGTCCTGGAGTACCCCAATACCCTGTTCAAGATGATGGCCCAAACTAGTAATGGGTCTTACGAAACCCTTCTGGACGAAGGTGTCATGATCAATGCGGCCGAAAAGGTCCTAAATCAGGTTGCTATCCAGTCAGTGTCAAAATATCTGGTTAGGGCCGCCATTTCTACGATATCAGGAACCGTTTCCGAAGTCGAGGAAAGGTTGCAAGTCAACGAGGCAGCATTCATAGTGATGCTGTGTGCTTCCGGACTACTAGTGGTACTAACCTTCACCCTGTTCTTCATCTGTCCACAGCGAGCATGCTCAAATGACCCTATGCCGATAAGTAATACAGCACTTGTACTGAGTCTGAGTAATGAGATGAAGCCGTTGCTAGACAAAAATATGCATGTTGGTGGTGAGACACGTGCAGACCTTCACGACCGCATGAAAGATTGTACCTTCAGCTTGGTGCCTCGAAAAAGCCATGATCAAATACTTGTCTCATTTCAGCCAACCATCACATCTTCCATTCAAGATACTACCCCAAAATCCAGTCCTGTGGAAACTCAGCAGTGGTGGACCCCGTTGACTCTACAACGTTGGGTCCTTGCGCCAGCGTTGGGCCTCCCTCTTGCTGCCTTGATAGTCTTGGAAGTATTGCAGCAACTCTGTGATCGGTACACTGGTATCGCCACGCTACCAGCACAGGCGAGCGATGTTTCAATTATTATTTACACAAGATTTCTACCTGCCCTCTTTATGCTGCTCGTCGCAACATTGATCAACGCACTTGATTTCAATGTTCTCCTTCTCGCACCTTTTAACGCCCTTCGAGCAGAAAGCGATGTTCCACCAGCACAAAGTGTGCTTGTTTCTTTTCTTGGATTACCAGTACCAGTCACCATTTGGAAATCTCTTCGTCTACGGCACTGCGGTGTCTTATTGTCAACCATCGCTGCCTTAATTGCTAGCATATTGACTATCATTGTATCAGGCCTATTCACCATTGAGAACATCGCAAGCTCGCAAGCCGTCTTCCTGGTTCGTATGGACCAGTTCAACAGCACATGGATAAACAGTGCGAAGAACGACAGCTCGGCAGCTGTACTTTCGAGCTTGACTGAGAGCCTTGGACTGGACTATCCAGCATTCACGTTCGCAGAGTATGCTTTCCCTACGCTACGGACTAGCATCGGAACAGACGGTCCAAATGCCAGTGACCCCAAAGTTCGGATTCAACTCCCAGCTCTACGAAGCGATCTAGGATGTGTTCAGCTCTCCAAGGAGATGATGAATGTCTCGGCCACATTCAACACCCGAATCAATGCAGCGAGTGCATCGGTGTTCGCACGAGTGCCACTGCCACCAGAATGCCAGCTTGGCGGCTCCGATGGCAATCTGACCGAACTCGAGTTCGACAACTCGTTCTCGATGCGTGGCAATACAAGCTTTGTTGGAAAAATCTTAGATCTGCACGTTGGTCCATTCGATTCGATTAGCGCGTCTAGTTCAGGTGAACTATCTCCAAACACGCAGCGAGATAACCCGCCTGATTGCCCGTCACTGGCGTTTATATTCGGATACGCCAACGTTGACGTCCCGGCCGAGACCACAATAACAGCGTTGATGTGCTATCAATACATCGACGAACTAGAGGCAAACGTCACAATGACATGGCCATCTCTAACCATCCTCCCTTCCCAACCCCCCGTTCCAGACGAAATCACCAGGAGACGACTTCCCAGTGGCCCAAACGGGGAAACCGCATTCCAGTTCCGCTTACAGGTGCACATGGACGACGAGTTCTCCTCCTTCAACCAATCCACAGACAATACAACGACCACCTCCGGCAGCGCCCCGCCTCTTGACAACTTCTTCCAAGGGGCGATATTTGGCAAGTCAGCCCTCGACCCTGCACTTCTGCGCAGCAAAGATGACAAGGCGGTTGGTCAGGTCTATGACGCAATCCGGGGCCTCTACCGACGCTACATGGCACAAGCTATCTCAGCAAATATGCGTGTCCCAGCAACGGCAACAGCAACGGCAACAGCAACAGGGCCCACCACCAAGCAACCCACCTTGACCGGCACGCTAGAGAGAGCGCACGTCTCACGCCGCGTCATGCAGAATCGCACCGCGAAACTCATCCTGCAGTGTCAGCTGGGCGCAATCTTCGTCCTATCGTCGCTGGCAATGTACCTCACGCAGCTGCGGAATATCCTACCGTATAATCCATGCTGCATCGCCGGTGTGGCGGCTTTGTTTGCGCAGAGCAGGATGTGTGATTTGGATGATTGGGTGGGAAGGAGGGTTCTGGAGGATGGCGGCAAGGGTTTTAGAGATGGGTGTTGGACCTTTCGGCTGGGTTGGTGGGACCTGAATGGGCCGGTGTCGGAAGGGGGCCCGGGGAGGTGGTATGGTGTCGATGCTTTGGAGGTTGGAGGAGGCGCATCTGCTGAGGAAGCCCCGGTCGAGCCTGTCGGTGTTGATGAGCGGTATCCTGCGTGGGTGTAGTCCACAACTTCATATTCCTTTTGAAAGGCTGAGCACCGTGGTTTCGACCTATCAGTAACGATTTATATAAATAAATACCTCATGAGTAGAATTTACATATACAAGGAGTTTCAAGGAGAACTTCAATGCACACTGTTGATGTGCTTCATATTTTTTTTCATGATCGACTGGGATCAACATGCTATGAAACTATGCCACAAAAGCGCTATCGTCATATGGCCGTAAGATTTCGTGGTGTATCAAAAAACATGTACAGGAGTCTTCTGTGGACGTTGCATTTGGAACAAATGCAAGAACAAGCTCGTTTTTGAAACTGATTTCATTCCTCTTTTCGTTTGTCTAAACCACACACCCAATTCTCAAAATCACAAATCAACTCTTTTTCTGAGTTCCGGGTCGTCATAATCCAAAAAGGGATTGTTTCCATAGAATAGCCAGTAGACATTCCGTGGAGGTAAATTGGTCCTGCTACCAGCAAGGCAGAGGCAAGAAATTTGGTCAAGTGACCGTCATCAGGTGCGTCTCAGTACATGGAAGCAATACAAATTTAGCTTGTGTATGCGGTACCGAGAGAAGAAAGGCTGTTGCCGTTGGTCAGGATTCCATTTTGAACCATGAAGTAGGCATAGCGTTCGACAGCGGGTGTAGAGTCGAGGAATGCAGTGGACTGTTTGATGAAGCTGGCAACATCTGAGTCAGAGCCAGTGGCTCCGTATTCAGTGAGCCAAACTTTGCTAACACCGTTGGCTGCCGCAAGTGAGATGACATCTTGGACGTGCTTCTGGAAATAGGCAAAGTTGCTCGCCGAGTCATACCAGTGGAAGGTGACAAAGTCGACCTTGCATTGGCCGCCACAGGCATCAAAGAAATTCTGGAGCCAGGCAATTCCCATTGGTGCTGCTCCGTTGGTCACAGCCGGTGACCCGATGGAAACCTGGCCGGCAAGAGGATTCATGTTCGCAATATGTACTTTGGCCGCCGTCTGGGGATCCAAGTTTGCTTGTTCCGTGTGGTCGGGTTCGTTCAACGACAGAGCGTGCTTTGCGCCGGCAGCGATAGCCGACGCAGCTGCACCAGCCCATGCGCTGACTGACTTCTCGCCCCACAGCATGGGCACGAATTCTACGCCAGGGAGAATGCTGCCACCTGGACCAGCAGCCCAGTTGTAGGCCCAGCTGATGCCTTTGCCTGCGAATGCGTTGGTCAGGGAGGCATCGTTGTAGGATAGACCCTTCTTGCCACCACTGGATGAGCCGCCGCCACCACCGCCAGTGCTGGGAGGAACAGAGCTGGAGACTGGAGCAGCAGATGAAGCACCAGCGGGAGGCGCTGAGCTTACAGCAGTCGCGAATGTGGTTGGCACAGCGGGGGCCGCAGATGAGGGAACACCACCTCCGTTATTCCAGGTGTTATCACCGCCACCATAGGTAGGTCTGTTGTAGAAAGCACCAGCAGTAACGGAAGCAGCTTCGAGGCTGACCGAAGTCTCGGGAGCCAGTTGAGCGAGGTTGTTGCTGACAACCGATGAGACTGTCTGTTGTGGAGCAAGCCCTGCAGTGACGGTAACGAGTTCAACGGTGGTGGCAGTAAGAGTCGATGTGATACATGTTGATGAATCTTGTTCGACAGGGCCAACAGCAGCCGGAGCTTTGATGCTCGACAAGCCCGGAGCATCAGCTGATGCAACAGGGATGGGTTGGACGGTGACAGTTCTGACATCCGTTACCGAGGGGGATTCAGCTGGACTGCCGGCGAAGTTGCTGCCATTGTTCTGACCATTTCCAGCAACTGGAGCATCTGTGGGACTGCCAGCCGCAGCAGCTGAGAGTCTATCAGTTCCCCAGTGCTGCCATGGTCTATGACGCTGAGGGTGTGCTACAACAGCAGAGGCGAGAGCCAAGACAGTGATGATGTTGGAAACCATATTGAGTTTCTGAACCGAATACGGAATATGCAGGTAAGCCTGAAGATCTGAGTGTTTTGGGAAAAGATGGTGTGATGGTGCAAGAAACCCTCCTGGGGACTTTGTATACTGATTCAGTCGATGAATGAGCTGGTTGGCGAATGAGTGACCACGAGCTTAGCTCTAGTGAGATGGAATAGATTCCTGAGGCTAGCCTTGCAGGAGTTTGAAAGAAAGACGGGTGCAATGTGTCGCACAAAACGTGTCAAGTCCACGAAAGAGGTAATGAATGAGTGGAAAAAGAAGAGAGAAGGGGAAGCAATGAAACAGATACTTGCAGAGAGATATAGCTTTCCATGCTGAGAGAACCCAGAGGAGTGGTGGAGAGTTTATGGACGAGAACAGGAGATGGGGTTGGCACGTTTCAAGGTGAAAGGTAGCGCGCCCGGGGTGGCCTGGTAGCGAGTATGCCTGAAATACCTCCCGAAGACGTAATGCAAGCGTCTTTTCAGTCATGCAGACAATAAGTAAAGCGGGTATCTGGTGGTTTCATTGCTGTAATTTGTCCTGTACCAAGTCGACGTGGCTGGTAAGGGATGTCCACCGATCCTGTCGGGCATGCTTCTTGACCAGGACAGCCTCATGGCAGAAAAGGGGAATGCGCTGGGCATATTCGGCTAGTTGTTGCACCATCCCAGAACCCAGAGGCACGGCAGCCAGTGATTTGCAGGGAAACACACTCTGAAACCAGCAACCATGGAGCGGCAATGCAGGGGAGAAGCCAGATCGAGTTTAGGGGCCAGCCTTTATCAAAGTTTGTGGCGATAGGCGGCCCACGTCTGGAGCGCTAATGCCAGGAACCCGAACCTTGTAGAGACCCTCTTGGGCCTCCTCCTTAGACTCCGGCCAGTCTGGAAGGCGACGATCTGAACCTTGGACCTTACGGAAATGAATTCAGTGGACACAGGATCTGGTCTGAAGCCGACTTGGCCGGCTGTGTTTCCTTCGCTTGATAAAAACAGCCACAAGATTGATAAAGGAAGATAAACGGATTGGGTAGCGAGATGGAAATGTTTGATTTTCAAGATGGCCGTGTAAACACGGTTCGGTCAGAGTGTGATGCCAGAACTTGGCAACTTGGCAGTGCTGCTGCTGGACTTGAATGTTCAACAGGCAGAGTTGAGAAGTGGTGGTCCTGGTGCTGTGAAACATGACTCGGTGGCTGCCATTGACCACGTCAGCAGCCACAGTCAAGCTGAATGTCACAGCGGACTTTCATACAGCAGCCCTGCTCCTTTGTACGCGTCGGCCAGCTAACTACGCGTAAGAAGTAGTTGTTATTAGGGATGGACGTGAATCGGAGTCCACAAAGCCCTCAAGCGGAGCGACGCCTAGGCACAACTTTCCCCACTGATTCACCTGCATAGCCACCCCGGGGCCTGGAAGTCGGTTGTCTTGAAAACTCGCCTGCTCCATCAAATCCAAGCTCCCTTTAGGAGATGACTTTCATCATGAAGAAAATTTGCACAACAGATGGCATTTCTATTTCTGTGTCTCGTAGTCCTTGAACAAGTGGTGTAACTTGCAGAGAGGAAGCCCGGCCAGTTGAGACAAGGTGAGGCATTTCAGACATGTCAAGAATCTATATGCAAGGCACATGGAGGCTTCAGCTGAAGGAGTCTCTAAATACCTCCAATTCAGGGATTTGTATACACCTATTCCAAGGGATCATGCTTTCTTTGCTCGACCCTCGAGAACGCTCATCACATCATTGACATTATCCTTATCACCCTTGCGTTTCTTCCCTCCTCGCTTCCTGGCCGTCTTCTTTCCCTCGCCCTCCTCCCCATCCCAGATTTCCCCGTCTTCATCATCGTCATCTCCAAACCGACTTTCGCCAAACCCAAGATCCATGTCTGCAGCATCGACACGATCTTGTTCCTTCAGTCGTGCCAAAAACTGTTTGTGTTTGGCTTCTCGGTCTAGGTCTGAATCGCCTACTCCTCCATCCTTTTCGTCCTTGCCCGATTCCTCATCTCGGCGTAACATAGCCGCTCGTTTGAGGGCGGCCTGTAGAGTGGCATCTTTCGTAATGGGATTCGACCGATCCTGAACCTCATCGCTGTTCTTTGGCCCTCCAAAGTAGTTCCTTGGCTTCTGATCCTGAATTGCTTGTTGAGGCTTTGCTTGGCTATCAGGCTTGGTTGGGCCGCGCATTTCGCCGCCAGACTCTTCTTCCTCACTGTTGAGTCCTGCCAATGGGTCATAAGCGGCGACGCCTCCAAAAATGTCATCGTCCTCGTCCTCTTCGGCAGCCTGCTTTTCTAATAGGGCCTTTTGTTTCTCCAGGAACTCTGCTGGCACTTCCATGCCGAGTGGCTCACTTTGCTTGGGGGCAGCATCTTCTTCCTTGTCGAGCCACCGAGTCTTTCTTTTCGTTGATCCATCCTTGTTTGTGATGAGGAGAACCTCTCTTCGGCGTCCGTTGACCGTCTCCACGAACTTCTTTTTGTTCGTTTTGCTATCTGATCCAACCTTCTTAAATTTCCCCCCAAGTGATGGCTCTGCAACCTGACTCGACGCCACATTGCCTGCACGGCTCTCTTTCAATTGCCGAAGGATTTCGTCTCTCGTAGTGACCTGTGGTGCAATTCCCTCCTCGGATTGTTCATCTATTGATTCTTTGCGCGATGCTGCAGAGTTTGCCGTCACATCTATCTCCAGTGCGCGGTCGAGTTCGTCATCGAGATCGCCCTTGTTATCCTCGACGTCCTCTTCTTTTTCTGGCTGAGGAACCGCATTCACGTCCTCGCCACGACGAACCCTCTCCAATAACCTCCAGTCGAGCCCCTTGACCAGATGTGTAGTACCCAAACTTCCACCGATACCGATCTCGCGTTTGAGACTCTCGAACGTAGCTTCGTCGATCTGTTGTAACTTGTACATCTCCTCCAGAGCCTTGAGCCTTTTCTCCTTGTCATCTTGCGTCTCCTCTTTGTCTGCTCCGACTCTCCGTGCATTTGTCCTATCGGAGTATCCGGCAGCAAGTTTGGTACCTTTTGGAGCTGCGCTCGATTTGAATTTCTTTGTCGGAGGCTGGCCGTCTGATTTACTTTCGTGCTCGGCCACCTGCCTCGCAAAATCACGAGTGGAGTTGTACCCTACAACTGATCTGGGGGTCATGGGCACGGAGGATCGCATTCGTGAGCCCAAGGTGGGCTTTTTAAAGCCTGAGGCTGAGGTGTCATTTTTGGTACCCGGCGCTTTGCTGTCGTTATGCAGAAAGGCACGGAACTGTGAATTGTCCATTGTTGATTCGTTCTAAGGTTTAACGCAGGCAGGTTCAAGTGTAAGGGACCGAACGTGGCTAAAAGTTGCAGGAACGTTTTATCTCAACTGCGGGGAAAGCGAGCCAGGCTTCAGGCTTCTCCAACTCCTGGACTAAATTGTCGCTGTCATCTGGAGCCTTTTTCATTTCACTTTTACAGCCGTACCGAATTAAGGTCATTAAATTCTTCGAGTCAACGTTATTATTGTTTTGTAAATATGGCGAGAAAGCGCAAGAGTCAGATATTTGAGCGTGAGGAAGAGCAACAACCACCACCCAAAAAGGCCCGGCCTACAGAGACATCTCTCCCCGAAGGTGTGCATCATTACGAGGCTTTAGAAGAAGTCCCGTGGGATCTCCAAAAGTACAGTTCGATTCAGGTTTTGAGGACGAACAAAGTTGAAATTAACCCGTGATTAGATACTGGCAACAAGGCTATTCCATATTTTCGAAATATGATGATGGTATCTGGATGACCGATGACGCTTGGTATGGTGTTACCCACGAATCTGTGGCCAAGTATGTTTTGGAGGGGATTTCTCTCTATCGCTAAAGAGCTGATTTGATAAGCAAAATCGCCCAACATGTGGCCGAGACAGTTTCAAACTCCAAGTCAATCATCATAGATGCATTCTGTGGTGTTGGCGGTAATACCATCGCATTTGCCCTGTCTGGGAAATGGAAGCGTGTCTATGCCATCGAGAAAGACGCTGCCACTTTGGCATGTGCGAAACACAATGCTGAAATCTATGGTGTATCCGACAGAATCACCTGGTTTCATGGAGATTGTTTTGAGATTCTGGGTGTAGTCCAGAAGGAAAAGGTGACCGTGGACGCTCTCAAGGCCATTGTGGGACAATTCGGGGTGATATTTGCGAGTCCGCCGTGGGGAGGTAGATTGATAATTTTCCATGGTTATCGGACTTCAAGGCTGACGATTTATACAGGTCCTGGATACCGAGACGCCGAGGTATTCAATCTCGAATCGATGGAGCCTTATAGCTTCAGCCATCTCTACAAGTCTTTCAAGGCAGTCACTTCGGACATCATATTATATCTCCCGCGAACCAGTGATCTACGGCAGATAGCCAAGATCGTTGAGGGTAGCAAGGACGCAGGATCGAAGACGGAGGTGGTACATTATTGTACGAATGGCACCAGCAGGGCTCTATGTGTGTATATTGGGAACTGGTCCCGGTTGACTTTATCAGATGTGTGAGTCCGAAAGAGGGGTTGTCTGTGTTTGAGAATGGTAATTAGTAGCGCGAAATGATACCCCAGCAAGAAAAAGTCTTAATTCCTAGCTTGAGCATCCGTTGTCACTTGTGATTCTGAGAAGAGACTCTTCACCATGATTGAGTTGCCTTGACACGCCTTTACCGGTCACAGCCTTGTCAGCCTTGTCACTCGCGTGCTCAAAACGCGTCGAGTCATGGATCTTGTGCCAAGCATCAGCACGAGTCATGAGGAGACCGTGTTTGGAGAATCTCCAAACTTGAATGCGAATGTCATCAGTTCCTCCTCACATGCTACTGCCTGCGATACGTCTTCACTCGATAAACTACTGTTGAAGTCCCCCTCGCCTCGTTGCTGGCGTCGTTTCTCATTCTGCGAACGACCACTCCGACATGTCACCTGCCATGAGTCTTACCTGATTGTCCAAGTCGCCGTGCGCACTTCGGCATCACCACTCACCACTCAAGACTCAGGTTTACTGGAACTCACCCTCAATTTCATCCTGGACATTCGCTTCCACTTCCACAAAAATCGATCACCATGTCCTCAGATCCGTACCAACAGGCTAATGGCCTCGAAGACCTTTTTGATGACGTTGACGACATGCTGGATTCCGCTGTGGCCACTCCTTTCGAGCAGAGTTTCAACGTGCCCGATGATGGTGACAATGAGTTGAGCATGTTGATGAATGAGGGTGGTGGTGACGAAGCTTTTGATCTCAACGAACTGAATGCGAGAGAGCTAGATGTTGGCGAAAAGGCGGACAACGCCATCGATTACGAAGACATTGGCGATGACGATTCTCTTCCCGACGAAGAGTTCAACCAAGAAACCGCCCCTCAGGTGCATTCCGACCTGCTGCCAGGCATCGAAGATAGCGCTCTTGATGGCTTGGATGGCTTGGACGACGACGATCTCTTCGGACCCTCAAGCCCAATTCTCACTTCTCACGAGCCTCAGCCTGTCGTCGCGCCGTCGAAACCTGTTGACAAGGCGCTCCCAGACGCAGATCAAGACTCGGATCTTGCCTCGGATCATGCAGAAGATGACAATCAAGATATTTCCATGTTACAATCGGACGTTGACGACATTGAAGATGCACAGTATCGGATTCAGCTGGCACTCTTTGCACAATCCGGCAGTGGGTACGCTCCAACCACCGAGCAGGAAAACATCGAGGAGTGGCTCAAGCTCGAATTTCCAAGTTTCAAGCGTGATGAGAACCCTTACTTCAACAAACTCTTTCCTCCAAGACTGCAAAATTGGTCGGCTAAAACCCCGGTGAAGCCTCCCAAACCGATTCGCCCTGCTAAGGTCAATCTCGAGATCGAACAGGACCAAAAGACAGCTTTCAATTCCTCCCTTCCAGTCACGGCAGCCGTTTCTTCATCAGATGTCGTCAAGACCAAGGAACCTGTGGTCCATGAGGTACAAGAGTCTTCGGACGAATCCGACGATGATGAGCCTCTGCCAAATGGAATGTCTATGCGCGATCTTGAGTTCATCTGTACCAATTTCGACACCCTTTCCCAGCTTGCCCTCTCCGACGAGGAGATTGTGGAAGAGCCTCGAATTGTTGATAGCGACGACGAGATGTTTGGGTTCGATGATTTCGGCGATATCGAGCGCCCGCACAAAAAGCGTCGTCTTGGTTTGGATCCACATGCCATCGTCTCTATCCATGAGATCGATGTTCGGTCTTTCGATGATCCTGAAAGATATACTGCCAAACTGGCCGCAAAGGTCGTGCTCGATCTCAACGACCCCCAACTGCTTGTGGAGGAGGTTGATGCGGAGGCTCTCAAAGCCAAAGCTCGTCCTGGAGAGAAAGTACCCGCTGTCAAGACGCTTAAAGATCGTCTACGACACCGGTTCAAAACTTCGAACGACGCCGAATATGACCTCCTCAAACAGAACCACCAATCCAAGGTGCGGAATCAATTGTCCAGCATAAATATAGAACATTCTGTGCCCGCAAAACGCCTCCAATACCCATATTACCAAGTTCGACTGTCCATACAAGACTTGCGCAATTACCATCGGAGGCGGATGCATTTCAAGCACAATATCTCTTTCAGTCCAGTCAACAAGATCAAAAGAAAACATCAGAAAGGCAAGACCGTGGAGCAATTGTATGCAACAACAAAGCATCTCTCCATGGGAGACAACTCTTCTACACTCCTGCTTGAGTACTCAGAGGAACACCCTTTGATGCTCTCACAGCCGGGGATGAGTAGTAAGGTCATTAACTACTACAGAAAGCGTGCTGCAGATGATTCCTTTCGTCCCAACAAGCACGACATCGGTGAAGCAACTGTACTGCTACCTGAGGACAAGTCACCCTTCCATGTTTTTGGACATATAGAGCCTGGCGAGACCATCAGTGCCCTTTACAATTCCATGTATCGGGCCCCGATCTTCAAACAGGACCCCGCGTCACATGATTTCATGGTTCTGCGAGAGTCTACAGGCCAAGATGGACAGAGACATTACCTGCGCAATCTAGACAATGTTTGTGTTGTTGGTCAAGAGCTTCCTTCAACCACGATTCCCGGCACTCATTCTCGCATGGTCACCACTGCCTCGAAAAACCGACTGAAGGCTATTTCTTACCGAATGGCTCGCCGCAAGAAAACTCAAAGAATTCGGGTGGAAGAAGTCACCAAGCATTTCCCGGACACAACCGATATGCAGAATCGACAGAAGATGAAGGAATTCATGGTCTTCAGCAAGGAACACAAAGAATGGGAAATGAAACCAGGCGAGACCATACCGGATGAGAAGACCATTCAAACCATGATTCGGCCTGAAGATATTTGTCTACTCGAGTCAATGCAGGTCGGAGCTCAATACCTGCAAGATGCTGGCTATGCTGATAACGATGATGATGATGACAAGGATAAAGATAATGACAACGATAGTATTGAACAGCAGCTCGCACCATGGCGAACGACCAAGAATTTCATGCAAGCCACTCAAGGCAAAGCTATGCTGAAATTGTTTGGGGAAGGTGATCCCTCTGGACGTGGAGAAGCATTCTCCTTTATCAAAACAAGCATGAAGGGTGGATTCCGACCCATCGGAGGTTCTGCGCAAGATGCAATCACTCTGAAGAAAGAACTCGGTGGCCACAGCTACAACGTGGCTCGCCAGCAAAGGTCTTATGAAGAGTCGATTCGTGGTATATGGGACAAACAGAAAGCCAGTCTTGGCTCGAAGATAGAACCTTCAGACCTCGATATGGACGGTGATGTTGATAATCAAGAAGACAGATACAATGAACGGTCAAGTATGCGTGCGAACTCAGTCTCTGGAACCCATACCCCCGCCCCCGGTCGGCGCAGAGATGATGAGACCGGAACATCTTTCAGCAAACGCAGTCTTGCGAGCCAAGGGCAAAGCACCAAGTGTTTGCAAATATTTCGCACTGTGGTCCGTGATGGCAAGGAGGTTGATGAAATTCAATATGAGAATGATCCTGCCGTTATCAAACAGTATATGAGGATCAAAGAAATGGAAGAAGCGCAGGCCACCAGGTTTGTGTCCAGAACAGCCCGCCACGAGTTAAGCTTACATGTGTCTAGTCTCCAAGACATCCAACCCACCGGCAATGCTGACCACGATGCTCGGAACAAGAAACGGCAAGAATATCCCTTTTCCACAAACGCCCACGTTTCTTTTCTTGTACTAACGATGTTTAGACTCGAGGAAGCTCTCGCCAAACTCGAAAAGAATGCTGCTCGTCGAAAGCAACGAACGAAAGGAAAGGGCGCGGCAGATGCGACCTCACCCGGAGGCACTGCAATGTCGCCAGATGCCGATGGTGGTGCCCCAGGAGGAAAGAACACCCAGCCAACGCAACGCAAGTGCGCGAACTGTGGACAAGTCGGTCACATCAAGACCAACAAAAAGTCAGTCATGTGCAACAATTGCAACCTTCCCTTTGATCGCAAGTTGGGACTGCTGGGCCTAGCACCAATATTTGAAGAAGTTGAGGCTTTCTAAGCGTCAACTCTCTGTACTAGCAGGCCCAAGCTCTGTCCTTCTCGCTTGTCCACTCTCCCCTTCGAACATCATGATGTGTTTCTGTCTACGCAAATGAATGGCTCTTCCCATGCGAGATCAAGCATCAATATCTCGAGTTGAGGAATGGAAACCCCAGGATTTGCGCCAGCTCTTGCAATGAAACCCCAGGCCACATGACCAAGTTCACGTCGTGGGAGTTGTTTTCCTTTACTCGCTATTGCTCAGCGTTTGCCCCCAACTTTTTCCTTTCAACTCTCAGATGGAACTACATGCTGACAATTATCGTGCCTCTTCAAAGATTATGTCCCCTCCTCAATGGTACCATCAAGCAGGAAGACGGATACAACAATGCTGCTTTTATGGGAGCCCCACCAACGATGTCTTAGAGGGGCCCCTTCGGTAACCTGCAGGCGACGAATCGATGTTGTTAGGTTTCTTGGGATGCAGATTTCGATAAGTGGGACTTTGCTATGTGCTGGCTTAAGGGCCGATCGCTAGGGAGACAACAGACAAGAAGCTGGGACATTCGGTTATCCGTGTATCTTTACCTCGAGTTTGGGAGAAATTATTGCCTAGTCGGTTAGTCTTGCAAGTATCAAAGAGTACATACACAAAGTGGTAGATGCATCAATTCAGCTTCTCAGCTTTCAGATGACCCGCACAGTTCGAATCAATGCATAGGGTCCATGACCGTCTTGTACCTTGTGACCATCATTGACGTTGATGCGACAGCATCGCGCCCGTCGATATTACACCTTGAGAAACTTGAATTCGATCGAGCCAACGCCGCACATGGGATGATCGCAGAAAGATAGCCACGGCACGACGCACGGGCTTTTTAAAGGAAGGGGAAAGAATCAGAAACGGGAAAGGAAGGAAGAGGGAGAGGCAGAAACTGATCTTCTTTTTTATCCCATTCTACATGACGACGGGGGGGTGTTCCCTTGCCTATCCACGGGGACACCACCGTTTTTTTGTGTGAAAGCCCATTGCGATAAGTAATTAGTACTCTAAACCGGCAGTGCGGTATGCCTGCTCGAAACGCCATTTTTGGTCGGTCCCTGGATGCTCTGGTCTGATTTAGACAGAGCAGCCATGGGCGGAATTTCACAATAGACTCGTACATATATGCCATTTGTGACATGGTTGTGGGAGAGGTGGATCTGCCTTCAGCAGCTTATCAACATCTTCTCCCATCAACATGATCTCCTCAGAAACACACTCATTTGATACCCAGACACTTGATGTCGAAGATCAGCTTACTGTTCTTGGGGATGCCGGGCAGAGCTTTCGATCCGTAGGCGAGGTGGGCAGGGATGGTGAGGCGTCGTTCACCGCCGACCTGGATGCCGGCGACGCCGATGTCCCAGCCCTTGATGACCTCGCCGGCGCCGAGCTTGAAGCCGAACGGTTTGCCGGACTTGTTGCTGTCAAACACTTTTCCGGACTCGAGCTTGCCGATGTACCGCATCTCGACGCGCGAGCCTTTCTTCGCCGCAGGCCCGCTGCCGAGCTTGCGGTCGTCGACGCTCACGCCTTGGACTTCTTTGGTACCGAGGGATGTGGAGCTGGAGTTGCCTGTGGGTTTGTCTTTGGCCTTCTCCTTTTCGGGTTTGGAGGCTGGTGTAGGTGTGCTGCCTGAGGGGGTTGGGCCTTGTTCGAGGTTCTTGGCGAATTGGACCTTCTTCTCCGAGCCGTTAGCTGAGGAAGCGGGTTCTTTCTTGACGGGAGCGGCTGCGGCTTCGCCGTCGTTGTTCTTGAGTTTCTTGAGTTTCTTCTTCTCGGCTTTGGACAGTTTCTTGCTCTCACCGTTGGTGGTGGCCGGTGCAGCAGCGTCGTCGGACTTCTTGAGTGATTTGGCCATGATGGCATCGAGGTCGTCCTCGTCTCCCTCTTCGTCGGCGCTCTCTTCAGCAGGTCGCTTGTTCTTGCCCTTGCCTTTGGCGGCCTTGACGAGCTTGGGCGCGGCCTCCTCGTCGCTTTCGACTTCGGTGATGCGGGGGTCGGCAAGGTCATCGAGATCGTCGGATTCTTCGGCGAGTGCATCTAGAATGTCATGGTCTAGTTCGTCGTCCTCGTCTTCCTCGTAGGGAGAGAGGTCATAATCCTCCTCCTCTTCGTCATCTGAGTAGTCATCCTCGTCGTAGTTTGGGCCGGCGCCGTCATCTTGAGGGATGACATAGTTGCCAGTGAGGTGGACTGTGTGGGTACCAGAGACCTTGAAAAAGACCTTTTCACCTTCAGCGACGACAAAGTCAAGAGGTTGCTGGTAATGCTGGGCAGGGAATGTTAGTCTGACACAAAGTAGAGATGCAGGGGCAGTTCAAATACCTGTGCTGGATCAAGAGTGCAGACAACAACCTCATCCATTTCAATTGCTTCCTCATCAGAGGCTTCGTCGTCGTCAGAGAGTTCCTCACCGTCAACGGCTTTGCCCTTGCCCTTGGAGCTCTTCAATAATTTCTCCAATGTCGCAATGGCCTCGGCATCGTCTTTATCATCATCCTCGTCGTCGTCTGCCATATCCTCGTCGTCCTGTTCATCCTGAGCAAGGGCTTCGAGGAGAGCTTGCTTCTTTGACTTTCTCGTGCTTGGACCACCATTGACTTCTTCGTCATCTTCTGAATCTTCTGAGTCGTCCTCAGAATCGTCACTGAAGTCGTCATCTTCCGAGTCGTCATCTGAGTCGAACAAGTGATCAGGGATGCGGATGACTTTGAGAGTGGATCGAGCAGGTTGCTTGTCGTCGGCGCTCTCCAATTCAGGCTCGGCAGAAGGGTCAATAGCGGCCATGGTCAAGCGGAACTGCGTGAGAAGGTAAGTAAGCGACGGGAAGATTGAGGTCAGGCTTCACACACCATCGCAGCAAATTCTGGCACTGCTGGAACCATAATGTCACCCGGAGGAACCTTCATGGCGTAGAACGCCACAGGTTGGATGCCGGACATTGTGATGGAAGTATGGGATTTCAAGTTCCTCTCGTAGGTGAAAAGGGTACTTTGCAACAGAGAAGATGCAATTGTAGTGCTGAATATGGAAGACCAAGAGTGATCTACCCAGTCAAGAAGGTTGGAATGAACTTTTTTCTGAGATCGAGGCTGCAAAGTTGCTGGCACGGCGACGCAACTCTTAGCGGGCTCGAAATCTTGGCAGAATCGAATTTTATTTCTCACGCCTCCAAGTCGCCTTATCGATAAGGATATGTCTTGGTCCCTCGTCCGTCATTGCTCCTCATTGCTCCTCCCGCTGATGCCTGACGCGTGCCGTAAGTTTGTGCACGTGCGCGTGTCACCTTTCAAGTTTCGCGTTTGCCTCCCATCATGCCTTACTCTCTTAATCAGATTCACCTCATCTGATGGCTGACTCCCAGGCATATTTTGTGATGCTATGACCAGAGCTATTAGCCCAACATGGGCTCCAGGCTAGAAAACAATTCAACTGCTGTCCGAAAGCGCATCGAAAGCCATGCTTTTGAAGACGAGCGAGGTGAGGAGTACGAGGGATCCAAATTCGGTGGTTTCTCCGACTACATGCGAAGGAAGAAGATCAAATTACAGAACCTTGATGCTGATATAAGATCCAATTCCACCGACAAGCCCAAAATCTTTCGCGGCGTGGTAGCCCATGTCAACGGCTACACCCAACCGTCACTCAGTGACCTTCACTCTCTCATAGTCAGTCATGGCGGCGGCTTTCTCCAGTACTTGGACGGCAAGACGGCTGTCACTCATGTAATTGCAAGCCATCTCACTCCTAAGAAGACTGTTGAATTTGCAAGATACCGTATTGTGAAGCCCGCATGGGTTGTGGACAGTGTCAAGGCCGGCAAGCTCTTACCGTGGCACTCGTATCGCGTCGTTGATGAAGGCGTCACCCAAAAAGTCCTTGGGTTCGACAATGGTAAGGTGGTCAGCCAGGCTAGCACTCAGCGTCTCGGATACCGCGACCAAACCGATACAAGTTGGTATACCTCTCAGATGCTGCGGCAGACGGCGCAGCAAGAGCCAAAATCGGAACTCGACTCAACAGACACGATTCGGGATAACTCCGTGCCGTCACCTGTTGTAGGCTCAGCCTCGCCCGAGAAGACCCTGGATGTTCTGGATCAGGATGGGGCTTTTCTGCATGAATCGGTCATCGACAACCCCAAGTTTGATGCACAAGGCAGGAGTACGGACTCGAAATTGCAGACTAGCATAAAGAATTTCGCGCCTGGTCAGATTCAACCGGAGGAAAAGCGAACGCTCACTGCCGAAGAACATAATGCTATTCTTCTCTCGAACCCCCATATGGCAAAGTCTAGCACCGCAAACCCTGATTTCATCAATCAATACTACCGCGAATCCAGGTTGCATCACCTTTCTGCTTGGAAGGCAGATCTCAAGGCGCAGCTGCAAGCACGTGCCCAAGAAAAGAGCTTGCAAAAGACCAAACAGAAACGAGCACCAGGTTCTCGACGATATATCATGCATGTCGATTTTGACAGCTTCTTTGCTGCTGTTTCTTTGCGAAAACACCCCCAACTCCGTGACAAACCGGTCGTGATTGCACACGGCAGCGGGCCTGGATCTGAGATCGCGAGTTGCAATTATCCGGCTCGAAAATACGGCGTCAAAAATGGTATGTGGATGAAGACTGCACTACAGCTCTGTCCTGAACTCAAAGCACTACCTTACGATTACGCTGAATATGAAGAAGCCAGCCGACACTTTTATGATGCAATCTTGGCGGTCGAGGGAATTGTTCAGAGCATCAGCATTGATGAAGCTCTGATTGATGTTAGTGATCAATGCATTGCAGCTGGTGGTTCAGATGGCAAGGCCATTTCAGAAGGCTCCATCTATCGGGAGCAAGAGGCAGCTCAGGCGCTGGCACAATCCTTGAGATCCTTGGTCAAGGAGAAGACGGGTTGTGACGTGTCCGTTGGCATTGGAGGCAACATATTGCTCGCGAAAGTTGCTCTTCGAAAAGCTAAACCGGCAGGGCAGCACCTTATCAGACCTGAAGACGTCTTGAGTTTCTTGGGTGAGCTCGTGGTGACGGATTTGCCTGGTGTTGCCTGGAGCATTGGCAACAAGCTAGAAGAAATTGGCATCAAGTATGTCAAGGACATCAGAGCTTGCTCAAAAGAACGACTGGTGAATACACTTGGCCCAAAGACAGGCGAAAAGATTTGGGACTACTCAAGGGGTATCGACAAACAAGAAGTCGGTGATCAAGTCGTTCGCAAATCTGTTTCTGCCGAGATCAATTGGGGTATTCGATTCGTCAATCAGCAACAGGCTGACGATTTTGTCCACAACCTCTGCGAGGAGTTATCAAAAAGGCTTCTGGAGCAACTGGTCAAGGGGAAACAACTGACAATGAAGATCATGAGGAAAGCCGCAGACGCTGGGATGGATCCTCCCAAAAATCTTGGGCACGGGAAGTGCGATACGTATGCCAAAAGTGTCGTTTTAGGTGTTGCTACAAATGATGGAACAACGATCGGGAAAGAAGCGGTTTCCATTCTCCGGAGCTACGGATTTCCTCCGGGTGAACTCCGTGGACTAGGGGTACAGATGCAGAAGCTTGAACCCCTCAAAGCATCGGGCTCGAAGAGCGCAGCATTGGATAGCAGTCAGCGTCGGTTGCAATTTAAGAAGCCAACAGCACCTGTGTCACCTACGCATGCAGCGTCCACGCGAGCGTTGACGCCTCCGCCTGTTGCAAAGAGATTGTCAAAAATGGGTTCGGTGGATCAGATTGAAGATATCCCGACCCCGGAAAAGCCAACAACGCATAGCACGATTCCAAGTGCGCTGGACACAAAATTGACTTCGAATATATCTGAATCTGAACCAACGCCTTTGAACATAAGCGGTACTCAATTCATCCTTCCCTCCCAGATCGACCCTGCTGTCCTGGCCGAACTTCCGGCAGATATCCGTAACAAGCTTGCGCCGAGACAGAAATCAATCTTGGACAGTCTGTCTCGCGCTCGTAGCCCAGGAGGCAGTGATAGATCACGCTCAGCTTCGCCATGTCCCACAGAAGTCGAGCCAGCACTGCCAAATCAGAGCCAGCTAGACCCAGAGGCTCTCGCAGCGCTTCCGGAAGATATGAGGGAGGAGATTCTTGCTCAGTATAGGACCTCTGAAAATGGAATAGGAGTAATGCATAGTGAGCGTGGTCTGGGCTCTCCGCATCGTCGGAGAACCCTAGGCTTTACCAAACGGGCGCAAACCACACCAACGAAGAAGACAAAACTATCAATGGTGATGACTAAAGGGCGCACGAGACGTACGATCCAAGGGTCTTCATCGACACTAACACAATCCAACTTCATCAATGCCGCCAAAAAGTCTGGGGGTCATGAAATCCAACCGGAGTATGCCTCTGAAGACATCTCGGAATCTTTCCTGAATGAACTACCTCCAGATATTCGAGCTGAGGTTCTAGCTGAGCAAAAGAGAAACAGAATGAAGTCTCGTTCGGGATTAAATGTGGAGAACAACCGAAAGAAGCAGAAAAATATCGCAACAGAAAGTATCCTTTCACGTGGGCAACAGAAATTAAAGCTCTGCAAGCCACCAGAGAGGCCTACATTCACTTCACAGAAGCTCAGTTCTCTGCCTGAGCTGAGAGACGCAACCTCGGCATGGGTGCGCGAATTCTCCGTTGACGGGGAGGGCCCTGATGTTGATGATCTTGCTGCTTTGTCAGAATACCTAGTGAAAGTCGTCTCGATCGAGCGAGATATGGCCAAGGCAGTCGGCGTTGTGAATTGGCTAGCAATGGTTGTCGACTACGAAAAATTCAAGAGCCCGGAGGTCCGACGACTCTGGGAAAGTGCCATACTGCGTCTGAAACAGGACATGCAAAAAGCAATTGCCAGTAGAGGTTTGCCTCCCGTCCATTTTGAAAATTGAGCCCTGCCTACTTCGGCAGGCACATTCGCATGGAATGAATTATTTCAGTAAGAACATCATTGGGAGTCACGTTCTTCGAGTTGACATTTTCAATTTCCTCGACCCTCGTTCCTTCCTAGTTCTGTGCCAACTTCCCCGAAGGCAGGCATTCACCATTCTGAGTACTCGATAGGCAGGCTCGATGGCGAGTTTGATTTTAACAAACAATCCATCAACTTAACCGCCGGACCCTTCAACGGAACCATATCGTACAGAACTCTCATTTCTCATCACTGACCCACAATTCGTAGAGCATTGCTCAGTCTCTCATACCCACATTCATACCTCATATCGAGTTCAACCAATATCATCACAGCTCCACTTCGCTCCTTCATCATGTCGACTACCAATACTCTTGAATCCACCAGTACAAATCGTTCAACGGCGAGTATCAGAAGTCAAATCAAGAGAAGGGTTTCGACAATCAAATCAATCTTGAGACGGGGCAACTCCTGGAGGTTGTCAAACACCACTATGAGCAGTGACATCAGTATCCAAGCCTCCTCCGAGCCCGTTTCAGGTTCTCCTCGGAAAATACGCTTACACCGGGTGCGCTCATGGAGGCTAAACGATGCCACAGTCGTTGTCAGGCGTCAACAGACCCTAGGCGGCCGTCATCTCCTGACACCTATAACACAGAGCGATACAATGGCATCGTGTTCCATTAAGACTGTTGAGACTGTAGCTACCGCCCGGGCCTTCCTTGAGAGCCATTACAATTCCATATTCAATCAGCTCCCAGTCATCATCCAGAGACGGGGTGCGAGAGGCGTGACGCCGAATGGATTCGAATTTGTGAGGGTACTAGGAAAGGGGAGTTTTGGTGTCGTCCGTCTCGTCAAGACCAAGACTCCGCAGACTCCACTTGAAGGGAGCTTGCCAGTCCTGTCCAACTCTCCACCTCAGGCATACGCAATGAAAGTCATTCACAAGTCTACCATGATCCGCAGCAGCCAGCAATGTCACCTGCTCGCTGAGCGGGATCTACTAGTTGCAGCAGAAGGCTCTGAATGGATTATACCTCTGATAGCAGCATTTCAAGACCCTCAACATCTGTACCTTGTCATGGACTTCTGCATCGGTGGCGATTTCCTTGGCCTGCTCATCCGCAAGAATACGCTGCCGGAACACGAAACCAAATTTTACATGGCAGAAATGATTCTCTGCCTAGAGGAGGTCCACAGAATGGGTTGGATTCATCGAGATGTGAAGCCAGATAACTTTCTCATTTCCGCCAGTGGCCATCTCAAGATCTCCGATTTCGGTCTAGCTTTTGACGGCGAATGGTCGCATGATCAGAAACAGTATCATGAAACTCGCCAAATGTTGATGGACCAACTAGGACTTTCTCTTGATGGGGATGATCAAGATCAACAGGAAAAAAGCGTAGCAGAATCGAGATCTTGCGCAGAGCGTGGCTACGGTTTCTCTGATCGAAACATCAACCACACCCGTCCACCTGCTATAGGAGTACCTCGGAAAGGGGAACCCATCATTGACTGGCGAAATCGATGCCAGCGTCGACGTCTTGCTCGCTCAGTGGTAGGTACGTCGCAGTACATGGCGCCCGAAGTCGTGCGTGGCGAGATGTATGATGGACGTTGCGACTAGTGGAGCATTGGCATCATCATGTACGAGTGCGTTTATGGCTTTACCCCCTTCGCCTGCGACGATCGCCAGGAGACGAAAATGAACATCAAAAATCACAAAAAGACACTGCGATTTCCCAAATGCCCGGGTTCAGGACCAAGCCCGCTGGCATTGGACCTCATGATGCAGATCCTTGTGGAGAAGGAAAGGCGTTTGTGCAGCATACGATATCAGGCGAACGACTATGTGAGGAAATTCAACGGTGATAAACTTCTGCAATGTCGTCTGAATAAAGCGCATCCGGACTATCCCGGCACATTTGTCTTATCAAACGACGCAGACGATATCAAGAGCCACCCATTCTTCATGGGAGTGGACTTCAAGCGCATGCACGCCTACACAGCCCCACATGTGCCGCGCGTTAAGCATTCCCTTGACACCACGTGGTTTGACTTTGAGGGACCCGTGTCTGACCTTGAGCCTGATTCAAGTTCCGATGAGGAGGATGCTCACAAAGTCCGAGGTCTGCACAAGCAGGAAACTCAGAATATCACATCATCCTGCCTCATGGACTTAGATTCGACACAAGCTCGAGAGGCTGTTCTCCCAAGTAATGTGCCATGCCATTGGCCACCATCCCAAAATTCGCTTGTACCCACAGTTGTGGATTCAACTCTCCAATTTGATGGACAACTTGAGAGAATGATGCCGGTGGCTCCCAAGGAGAAAAAGGAGAAAAAGCGACCTAGAGACATCATCCTTAGAGATCCAACTACTTCAAAGCAAGCCATGAGGATTCGCAAAGCAACTGCTTTCCTTGGGTATGAGTACCGAAACCCCGTCGACATCAATCAAGTTGTGAAGGACGCAGTCAATAATTATGAGGTTGGAAAGGGGATAGAAAGACAAAATGGTGACTCCACATGTCCCATTCGAGTCAGCGCGAGCACGAGCACACCACACAAATTAATTGGCCATGCCCATCCAAACATCCAGATCCGCTCGTGACTTCTAGGATGGCAATCAGAACTGGGCCTCACTATCGTTAGATTTATGATTTCTGTGGCTTTCAGTTATCGGTATTCTGTAGTTTGAATGGCAAAATTCTATCATTCGATCTACTCTGTCTCTCCTCTCGCCTATATGTCTAAGATAGCTTTGAAGCTTTCTTCACTCGCTCAAACTCCTTGCTAAAAGGCTGATCGATATATCCCGTCTCGGATTTGGGTGCGTAGAATGTGCTTCGATCGTAGGGATTGAAGCTGATGCCATGTTTGAGGCGGAACACGATGTCAGGTGTTGCGAGGAAAGGTCTCCCAAACGCAATGACCACGTCTTTACCCGAGAAGTCCTCATTCACCGCTCTGGCGGCGGAAGCTGCCTTGAAATTCCCTGCGATGACCACGGGGCTAGTATTGTCCCAGGCATCGACCACGAAATCGACCTTCTCAGCCGGCTCGGGCTGGTCCCTGTCGTCGGGCACGGTCTGTACCACGTGGATATAAGCGAGGTTCAGCGGTTTCAGGGCCTTGACCAGATGCGTGAACTGCGGGATGGGATCGTCCATCTTCATGCCCTGGAAGTCACTGAAAGGACTCAATCGGATGCCGACGCGATCTGCGCCGACAGCATCGACGATTGCGCTGGCGACTTCAATGGCGAACCGTGATCGCTTCTCGATACTCCCGCCGTAGCCGTCGGTTCGCTGGTTGACTTTGTCCTGGATAAACTGGTCCACGAGATAACCGTTGGCGCCGTGGATCTCCACGCCGTCAAACCCGGCGGCAATGGCGTTGCGCGCCGCCTGTGCGTAGTCCTCTGTGAATCCTTTAATCTCGTCGAGCGTCATCTCCCTAGGAACTGCGGCTTTAGGAGACATGGGCACCGCGCTCGATGAGGTGAGGTCGAACCCGTCGGCTTTCAGCTTATCCACGCCCGCGGTGCGTCCGAGCGCCCATAGCTGCAGGAAGATGAAGCTGCCCTGGGCGTGCACTGAGTCTGTGACGGTCCGCCACGCCGCGATCTGCTCGTCGTTGTAGATCCCTGGCACGTTTGCGTAGCCTCCTGCGCGCGGCGAGATGAATGTTCCTTCCGTGATCAAGAGCGTTCCTGGCTCGGATGCTCGCTGTGTGTAGTATGTCGACACCATGGGCAGGAGTGGCACGTGGCTGTCGCTGGCTCGAAACCGCGTCATCGGTGCCAGTGCGACGCGGTTGTGCAGCGTTTGTCGTCCCAGCTTGAGGGGCTGGAAGAGCTTCGATTGGACCTCCTCGTTCGCCATTTTGGCTGTTGAGATGACTGTTTGTTGGGGGAATTGCTGGGTTTTGGTGGGGAACAAAATGGCAAATCGGGCGTTGCGGTTGTCACTTTTTCAATTCTATCTTGTTTAATATCAAAGATAAGAATGGCCGACGTTGGTCAAGGGGCAATAGGTTGTTTTGTATATCACCCAGAAGTTGCTGACGGTGGTGTATATTAATCATTCATCTGATAGTGTAATGGCGCTCGGAGACATATCGCGACAGTTACGTGCTCAAGCACCACGAGGTGGATTTCTACTCCCTTCAAACCGATGTCCCATTATTCAGCACATCGGAAAGCAATCTGCGTTATTAGTCATGATTGGTTGGTTGTTCAATTGTTTGTGGGACGGAATCCCGTCCTCGGCTCTCGGAATGACCCATTTCTGAAACGCCATTTTGTCAGATTTAGGACACGCACAAGTTTGTCAAAAACAGGATTCACAGGGGGCCCTGCAAGCTCCAAGGCTGAACATGATGTGATACTTCGGAGCAATAAATCCTTCTGGGTTGCCTGAAGTATTGTCAAGAGTCTCTGTCGATTTGGTAACTATCCGGGCTGCGTGCAAGCCTTAAGATCGACGGCTTGCGGGCAGAAAATCAGCTGCAGATGGTAGGTGGGATGCTGATCTCATGCAAGGCTGTGGCGCGGATCCGGGGTGTTCATACGGGTGCATACCGGTGTTCGAACTTGATTGATCGTCCAGCAGACTCCCGATTTTGGGGAACCTTGTTCTTTCTTCATGCCCTGAAACGTCTTCTTCATGCATGTGGCTGGAAGACTCGTCTGCAAACATGGTGCAACCGAGCATTGCAACTTTACTCAAAGACAGGAATCGTTTATTGTCAGTCCGAAGACTGGCACCATCGACTTAAATGTCGCCCAAGATCTTGGCTGAGTGACTGGGGCAAGTAAAGGCGCTTATCATGACAGCTTTACAACTCTTCTCCGAATCCCTCTCTCAATGGAAGGGTCAACACTGTTCAGCCACAGAAGCTTCAGATACCAACGTTTGGGGCCTGTCAGGTGTGGTGCATGAGACGTAGCACATGCATGAACGCTACTTGTTCTACCAGTATTGCGCACCTGATCTGCAGTGGATGCTCCGGATCCAACGCATGGGAGCATGAACACCGACGTTCTCTATCTAAGCTCCTAGGGTAGTCAACTTCAATTCGTCAATCTTCGATCCAACCTCCGCACTTGGCTTTCAGTGCTTGTCTTTGTCAAATCGACGCCAGTAGTACTCATGAAGTACCGGAACAACTTTGCTGGATCCTTTCGCACCCTGGTCTTGGTTGGCGAATCAATGATCGAATCCAGAGTCACATCATCTTCCACCAGCATGGAAACACACCACCACACGACTATCTTGCATGGCAGTCCACAAGGTGGCGCGTTGAACTTCCTTCGCATCTCACAATAGTCTGTCCAGGCGTGAAAATGCATCCGACCAATTTCCCTATCACCATAACAATACTCACCAAGCGCCAAGAAGAGGAATGCCACCACGTCAAAATCAGTCGAGTCACATCGACTAGTCAAGGCCGAGATTCTTGACCTTGTCTGTGCGAGTATTACATTTTGTCGAGCTGCAAGGTAGTGGTTTTCCGAGTCGAACGTGTCATCTTCGCCTGGGTGCACATGCTTGTGATGATGATAGGCACTTCCCAATAGCACTATTGTTTCAAAACACCATTGGCTTGAAGAGGCGAACGGGAAAATGAAGTTATACACTGGATCGAACTTTTCCTCGATCTCTGGAAATCTATCCAAGCCGAGAAAAGAGCCAGCATTCACGGCGAAGTAGCGGACTAGGTTGCGATCTGAGGGCAGGAGATGGATCGGAATTCTTTCCACCGAGTTCTCCAGCCCAGCCAGCAATTTGCTTGCACGCATGGTCCGAGCCTTGATCACTTCTGAAGATGCTGTTTCCAGGGAGCCCCACTCCGGTGGTGGCGTAGTCACATTGTGCGACCCCTCCAACGACAGAAGTCCGAATTCAGACTCGATTCTCGAACCATCTTGTCGACTTTTCGAATCGGCGAGCAGCTGACCGTCCAGGGCATTGGTACGCCTTTCATGCAGTATATTCCTGCCATTATCTGGTCTGGTAGGAAGATCTGTTCTAGTGGACCCGAGACGAGTGCTGACAACCCCGGCAATTCCCTTACCTGTGCCGAAGAGCGATTCTGTGGCCGGCACGCGCTCGTGGTAGTCTAGGCTTTGTGACTTGCCTGTATACGGTCCATCGTCTAACTCTGATGCTTTAAGTTTGCCCGGGTCCGGGGACCTTGTCGAAAGGTCAGGGTTGTTCACAAAACCAGGCGCTGGGGATAAATGAGAAGTCGAATTCCTTGGATGTCCCAGTGATTCGTTGGATTGAGTTCGACGTATTGTTGATTTGTCTTCAGTAGGCATGTCCAAATTCTCCCCTTTCGGACGCATCCATCGCAACGGCGAGATTCGATTTCGCTGCATCCATTCAGACTTCGCTTCTCTTTTTGACCGTACTCTATTTTTCATCAGGTGGGCTCTCGCAGTTTGGGTGACCCCGCGTCTATTGATGTCATAGTCTACGAACGTAAACGTTTGGTCATCTTGTTTCGAGTTTGAGGTCGACATTGTGTTCGCGACCACGAGGGTATATTCTGGTCACTGATATCCAGCCATCCTTCCTCACAGGGCGTTCTTATTCTTTGTGTATATAGATTACAAATTGCACTGGCACAAGTAATAGTCCATAGGTACTCGGCTACTCGCTCGACGAGGATCCCAATACCTTGTCTCGCCCAGGGGTTCGAGGAACTGGGAGTTGTTCCTTTTGTGCACCACTTGTTCCTGAGAATCCACGCTCTTACGGACCACTCGACCTAAGGCGTACCGAACCCACCAGGATTGGAGCCCTCACCAATCGGCATGCGTTGTGGCTGGTCGGGAATATGCTATACCCTTTTTTGAGAAGCTATGGTTGCGTTTGATTGGCGAAGGAATCGAGTTGATCCATTTCATCGTGGCTTCGACGCTCGCGAAAAGCGCTTTGGTACATTCATGTGCTCGCACAAAGGTTTTTTGGGTGGTACGTTGTGAACTGGCTATGAGTTTCCGACGGATGTTGGCGAGACACGAGCCAAACCCGTCTAAACCAATATGAGGACGAATGAACGGTCAGTTTGCCCGGGCGCGCGAGAATCAAAGTTAGTTTCTCCAGCAAGCTACTTGTCGCGTTGACTCCCAGACTGGGCAAATATTGGCATGGGCTAGAGTATCCGTTTCGGCCCTATGATTTTCCAAATTTCAACGGCCCTTCTTGGTCAGCAGCATGAAAGCTAGGATACCTGAGTCATGCTTCAAGTTTATTGGATCGCAAGACTTGGGTAAATGTGGCTGAGATACGAGGAAGGCCACGATCTTAATTTGGTGATTCTGACCCTTTCTGGCAGTCACTCCCCTGCCAGCCAAGATCCGGGGTTTACGTTAGCCAGCTGGCAGACAGGGGATCTTTCCACAAATCCCAGCAATCAAGTCCTCAATAAACTCCCGGTCATCACGCCATGTGTTCACCTCAACTCAAAGCTATCCATGGTTCTGTCTCTATTCGCTGATAACTGGTCTGAAACCGAACGCCTTTTGTCGATCCTTGGCTTGCATCAACTGTGTAGGTCGCTTCTGTACTTTTTCGTCCGTCTGTTGCGGATCCGGATCACGAAGAATAGGCGACCTCTCTGTAAGCCTTTTAGCGTGTCAGTAAGCCAGTGACTACGCCCAGTACCTATGTTGAGCGCATACGAGGCTGCCCTTGCGCAACACAACCCCCGTGTCCATTTTCTGAGAATTTGGGGGTTGATGGATTCAAACTCTCACCCCCTGCTGCCGTCCGTTACCCGTTGCATGGTGCAGCATGACCAGGGTCTTGGGAAACCGGGGTCCTTTTTGACGCGCCTGAATTCACGAGGTCTTGCTCGGCAGAACCCTGGCACTTCCCCAACGGGGCCATTCCTATACTTTTTAGGGATGTACATTTATACGTCAACGCCCCCTCTCGACCTCGCCAGGTGTTGCGACATTTTGCAAGTTTGATGAGTCCTACGTTGAGAAGGATGTTGTTGCGCAACAAAAGACAGCTGACTTTGTAAGTGATCATCTTAGTCACTTTACAACAAAGTTAGTGGTGGAACAAGGTCAGCAGCTTCAAGGATCTTCTATTATGACTAGCGGCAAGGTCAAATGGGAATGGAGTACGAATTGTAGTTGGGGATTTCCTGCATTGGTCATTCCGACACGAACTTGGATTTCTAGCGACTGGAAAGTTTGAGGCCAACTTCATTATTCGCCGCATCCAACGAGACCGAGCTGTGACAGTCCGCATGGTTCGCATGCACTCTGCTAGTTCGGCAGGTAGAACATTCGCGTGCAGTACTTACAACCGAGAAGAGCAGTGTTTATCATCCCCATTAGCGTTCAAGGATCGATCCGCGCATACTGTTACGCACCGATCGTCTCAGCCGCACAAGGCGAGACTTCCTCAGAAGCGGCAGAAATGTCATGGGTAGCATGGGTCAAGAGAGGGAGTGAAGAACGATATTGGCTACCCGGCTGACCAGTTTCGCTGCTGGTCCGAGTTCAAGCTCGTGGGGGCCCAAGTTTGAGACCGCTACCAAAGACAAGAGATCTGGTAACCGGAGGCTAGTCTGAAAATCGTCAAAGGACGATTGTCTTTCACTGGCCAACCTTTTCCAGAGCACACAAGATTTTCTGATCTCCAGTCAAATTTACGATATGATTTCTAAACGCACGTCTGATGGAACCCTTCGAGTCAAGTTGCACTGACTCGAGTCAGTCAACCTCCACGCGGCGAACGTGGAGTTCCTCTGCACACGAGGTTTATAAAACAGTTCCAATTGAGTCGTTGCAAAGGATGACGAGATGGGCTAAAAGACCGGCGTACTTGAAAGAGGGTCGGATCCAAGCTCAGATCATCCTTGTGATGAAGAGGTTACGGGGCCCCCTCCGTTGAGTCACGTCTCAAAAGTTCCTTGGAAGTCCTCAGTGGGGGTGGATCTATCGTATCCCACATTACTGGTTATCTGGCGCATGAAACTGGAGTAGTTGACTACTGCATACGGATCATATGGTATTACCCAAATCAACAAACGCTTCTGGGCACTGCCGTCCCAAGGTGTAGCGGGCGCAGTCCGAAACCGACATTCTGCCCGACCCGGAAGCTCAGGCCTAGCCCTTTGGTCTAGGCGACGGCCTGCGCATCCATATATTTGACCCATAACTTGTCCAGCTACCTGACGAACTCTCGGAATCCTGTCCAGCACGACACTGGCAAGCATGTTTCTATCATCGACACCATATTCCTGCGATATGCCCTCCAAAGCATGCATCATGCGACCAGACTGACCTCTGCGAAAGTTGTTTTGACACTATGAATGTACAATCGCCGTCACGAACTAAGCTTAGCGGCAGAAGTTACACCTTGCGAATGGTATATGGATCAGTCTGCTATCTTACAAAGCAGGAGCAGGGAAGCTTCTAGCTATCGGTCCCCATTATCTGTGGCTTTAGCCAACAATGAGCGGGAATGGTGGTTTGATCAGAGCACCCTCCTCCCGCTCTCAAAGAAAAAGTCGACACCAAACTACCATCTTCCGCGGCAGCCAATCGGCGCCATTCCACGGGCTTCTCAAGCAAGAATAGAGGATGAATGACATCTTCGCGGTATATCGAGAGGACAGCATGTCGCCTCTCCCGAAATCTAGTGTGGCAATCTAGTGACGTACTTGGAAGGTTCACTGCTTGAGCTCACACGCACAAACCCATTCCTGGGCCGTGGAAAAGTCATGTGAACGGAATAGTCGTGCTGGAAATTCAAACCGCGCGGGAACTCCGTTATCCCCACTAACTGCCCCTTTGAGGTCCAGCCTTACTCAGACCGCCCCCCAGGGCATCATAGAATTTTGGGTTCTGCAGGTCCACTCCTGTTTGTGATAACATCGTTATGTTTAGCGAGGTTTATCATGGAATACAGGCCATGTCTTTTAAGGCCGTTCGGAATCGACGTGCAACAGAAACTTCAAATGCTGCAGACCCCCAGACTTTATCGAATATGGATGTAAGAACTGTACGGACAGAAAGCCACTGTTTGGGCCATACTTGGACTTATGTTGTTGCGGCTGTTTGGTCTGAGTATGCCCTTGTCCTAGTTTTGACGAGGACCAACAATCGGTGAACGGAGCAGTATGAGGTCGAACTGTAAACACCCCCAGTTACATAGTATTTAAGTTCCATCGAAATACAAATTAAAAACATTGCTCAGCTGAGAATGACCATCTTAGTAACGGTGGACAACTGCCGCATCTGCATTACATACCTGAGCACCAGGTTCTATCTTGCCTTGAGAAAGTGCCGTTCTGAGGGGGCGGCTTTATTGAATCTGCCAATGAGAATTGCGGCAGCGAGGCTGAACCCTCTAAATATGAGTCTGCAATTACTAAATGTATAATCTGTATAGGGATTTCTGCATGAAAGGCTTAACAACTTATGTACGAATCACTTTTCTCAAAGAAGGGTAGATTGGAAGGAAAGAAGAGAAAAAGGGAGTGGTTGAATGGGCTGTGCCAGTCTGTAGGATAGTTGTCAGCTAGAGTATGAGGCTAACTCTGGCTTCGAATCTAATTGACCACGCAGTACGGCCTATTTTAACACATTATTGAAGCTTCCTATGCGTTGTCGACTTGAGAGATACGTGGGAAAGATCCTGAAAATGATCTCGATGACCGATCGAGCCTCTTCTGCTCAATTTCTGTGATACAAATTTTCCTTTGAGTCTGGGGCCGAATGGGGCCATTGAACAAGCCGATAGGCAGCCAGAACAGTTTCAAAGGCTCAAGGTAGGTGGTTCTGGAAGGGCATTTCTAGGTTGTTTCGATTTCACTTCTCGACTCTCAAGGTCACAGCGGTACGCTGAGGAGGACAAGGTCTCCAGACTAGTATATGGCGATTATAATGTTAGTTGATCTGCAAGCGATTAATACCTGGGCGAGACGAGGCTGAAGGACTAAAATCAGAGTTCGATAATACATATTCGTTGACGATGAGAGCCTGCGAGTGCTGTGAATTGGAAAGACGAAATCGCTAAAGGCTTTAAATATCATAGTGGGAGCCTGATACCTCATCCTCTCAATGAGTATAATGGGTGGCATCATAAATCCCCAGATAGGGAGGTGGGACCCGTACAATTGAGTGAGGTTCGCTCCCTGACATTCGGTATCTCGCCATAGAATTCCATGTACAAAGCCTAAAGCACTTAGCAGCTTGGAAGCGCATATGTGGGGTAAAGGATGGGTAAATACCCAATATTAACCGGTTACGATTTCTTGGGCCTGGAAAATAAAACCAACCACGTCAAAGAAGGAAGCACGTCGTAGAGCGACTTCACAACTATCTTGGAAATCGAAAATACGCTCGGTGAGTCGATAGGGACCCTTGTCAAATAAGGAAGGCAATTCTACACGAAAGCCATCAACCTACCACTTCGCCCGCAATGACTCCGAGCCTTGTAAATCCAATCATACCAGGCTTTGCGCCTGATCCCTCTGTTGTACTCATTGGGGACACATTTTTCTTGGTCAATTCGACATTCCATGTATTCCCGGGTCTGCCCATCTACGCTTCCAAAGATCTCGTGAACTGGAAGCAAATTGGTTAGTTTCAAAGAACTCTACCTTGAGGACGATTGCTGACGAAATGGGCAGGAAATGCAATCAACCGGCGGGCCCAACTAAGTTTGCGCCAATCCGTTACAAAGATAAATCCGCCCTTCAAAAATGGCGAAGTCATGCTCTCAACCGGTGGGTTATACGCTCCAACTATCCGGGAACATCAAGGCACCGTGTATGTGGTTTGCACGAATATCATTCATGCAGTGGAAGGAGGTCCTGATATCAGCGAGAATTTCTTCGTTACAACGCAAGACATTTGGTCTGATGAGTGGAGCGACCCGATTCCGTTTGAGTTCAGAGGAATTGATACTAGCTTGTACTGGGACGAAGATGGCCGTGCCTACATGCATGGTTCTGCTGGACCTGGGCCGATGACGAAGATTCATCTTTTCGAAATTGACCTCAAGACGGGCGAGAAATTATCGGAAGAAAAAAAGATTTGGGATGGCACTGGGGGCATCTACCCTGAAGGACCTCACATCTACAAGAGAGATGGGTGGTACTATCTCTTGATCTCTGAAGGAGGCACTCATGAAAATCACATGATTACCGTCGCTAGAGCTACAGAGATTTTCGGCCCTTATGAAGCATTTTCAAACAACCCGATACTCACAGCGAGAGACACCGATGAGTACATCCGTTATACCGGCCACTGCGATATGTTCCAGGACCAGAAGGGTGATTGGTGGGGTGTCTGCTTGGGAGTCCGTAAGGACTCAGGAGGTAGATATTTCATGGGCCGAGAGACATTCATCACGCCTGGAACATGGACTGAGGGCAATTGGCCAACTTTGGAGCTAGTGAAGTCGACTCCCAAAGGTCTCGCCGTGCAAGATCCAGCCTCTCGAATTACTGCGAAACCGAATATTGATTTCGTCTACATACGAGATGCAGAGTTGAACAGGTACAAGATCTCGGAAGATGGCAAAGATGTCACTCTCAAGGCATGTGGTGTCGATTTATCGCATCCAACGGATTCGCCCTCGTTCATTGGGAAACGTCAACGGGTACTGGAGGGCGCTTCGATAGTGACGCTTGAGCTGCCCAACGAGCCCAGTGGTGCCCGAGCCGGACTCGCATGCTACAAAGATGAACATCGTTATGTGAGGATCTTTTATGACACCAAGGCAAGTGCAGTCGTGTTTGAGATCCTCAACAAGGCACAGAATATTCACAGAACGACAAAACATGAGATAAAGGTCGGCGATAGTTTGGGACTGAAATTGGAATACACCGAACAAGAGTATCGGATACTGTACCGGGACTCTGCCGAAGGAAGTGCCGAATGGAAATCCCTGGCGACGGTTGACACGCTCGAACTGACAAACCCAGACTTTGTTGGTCCGGTCATCGGAGTCTTCGCATTGGTGGATGAGCAGTCGGCTGAAGTTCGCTTCAAAGATCTTAAGATAGAATAGGTACTACTTGAACATGTCCTAGAGTCAACACCATGTACCACTGAATTCGCCTTTTTAGCGAATTGGACAATAGCCTAGCTCCGACCACAGGGAGTCCACGTTATCAGTTCTCGCTCGTGCTATGTTGATATGAAGTCAGCATTTGCCCGAAATGGTTGTGTGGATGCAGGTAAATGAACTCTGGCTAAATGAGGACATTGAAAGACTATGCTTATTTGCCGTCAGAACCCCATGGGGGCTGTCACGATAACATGGAGAGTGGTTCCACCATCACAATCAAGGGAGTTTCAATAGGGCTAGCCTGGACCTCCTACCCAGCGTTCATGATTATCGTGAGCCTTCAATTTTGCCTAAACGATTGACAAGGCTTAAGATCACGTGTGTGATCCTTCTATCAGATGATTTGGATCGCTTTCGAAAGGCTAAATAAGACGTTTGGTAGACGATGAGCGTCTGGGAATCACCGAGTGGTGATACCATCTTGAAAAGGAAGTGATGCGGTGGTCAATGGGCTAGAGGGCTTGGTATGATCCTTCGACCTGAGTTTACCCGCTAGAACCACGCCGTTCATTGCCCGTAAAGGGCTTTCTTTACATATGCCGCATTTCTAGAACGGTAGGTGCCAAGTAAAGAAAACCATCATATCTGACCAGCATCTCTGTGCAGGGAGATCCGAATCACTCAACCTGATAGGCAAAATTACCCCACAGCCACAATTCAGGCAGATATCGCGATCTGGGGGCACGGGTGGAGACATCCCGGTTCTCCGCTTGCTTCTATACAGCAATTGATCAGCGCTTCACAATATCAATCAAATAGGACGAGATCCTTCCCAAGTTCAGCTTATTTGTCTTGTTATCAACAAGCTCACAGTCCGTTTTCTCGTTTCCGCATTGGCACCAGGTTGACCATAGCCAACATGACTCCCCGCCCACCAACACTCCGACATTCCCAGGCCTTGAAGCCTGTCAAGCCTCCCAAAGGCCATTTCTATTTCGCAGGAAGAACGTTCCCCCGTCTGCCATGGTGGAAACGCAAGCATATGAGAACACTCTACATCTATATTGTGGTTCTCATTGCTACCAACACGGCGAATGGTTTCGACGGCTCCATGATGAACGGTCTGCAGAGCTTGAGCTACTGGCAAGAATACTTTGACCATCCCAAAGGCTCAATCCTCGGTCTCTTCAATGCGTCCATGAGCTTGGGGTCATTGATGGGCCTGTTCTTCAACCCGTATATCATTGATTACTTTGGTCGCAAGTCTGGTATTGTTCTCGGTTGCGTGATCATGTTGATTGCCGTGGGCCTGCAAGCTGGGGCCCAGAATTTCGGGATGTTTGTCGCTGCTCGTCTCACTCTCGGCTTTGGGGATACTATCGTCCTTGGCTCCGCACCATTATTGATTGCGGAAATCTCGCATCCCCAAGATCGAGCTGTCCTTGTCACTCTCAGTGGCGCTTCTTATCATTCTGGTGCTTTCATCGCTTCATGGGTGACATATGGCACTCTCAAGATCCAGGTGAGTAACGACTCTTTGACATGATGATAGTGATGCTGATGTGTTTTGCGTTCATTAGAGCGACTGGTCGTGGCGACTACCAAGTTTACTGCAAGCCATTTGCACTGTTGTTATTGTTGGAATGATTTGGTTCATGCCTGAAAGCCCTCGTTGGCTCATGATGAAAGACAAGCACGATAAAGCTCTCCATGTCCTCGCCAAATACCATGCCGAGGGCGACATCGATGACGAGTTCATCCAGCTAGAATACGCAGAAATCCGTGCTGCTATCGATGCTGATCGAGAAAGTGGACAGACTCAATGGGTTGATTTCCTAAAGACCAAGGGTAACCGCAAGAGGATCGGTATTATCACTGCGATCGGTTTCTTCTCACAATGGTCTGGCAATGGTTTGATCTCGTATTATTTGAAGCAAGTCATGGACAATGTTGGCATCACAAACGCACAGACCCAGCTTGGCATCAATGCTGGTATGAAATCACAGGCTCTGATCGAAAACATTGCCCTCTCGTTCTACATTGACAAGTTCGGACGACGCCCCATCTACCTCATCTCCACAATTGGTACTTTGGTCACCTTCACCATTTGGACCATCATCTCTGCCAGATACGAAATTGCCCCTGCTAAAGGACTTGGCTATGGTTTTGTCTTTATGATATTCTGCTATGGCTTGTGCTACGATTTCAAGTATGTTCTTCCCCATCAAAATCCATTAGTTGCCCGCCTAACAAAGTGCTTCCAGATCTGGTCTCATGGCAAATTACACTACCGAGATCTTGCCATACGGCCTTCGAGCAAAGGGCTTCACCTGGCTGAACTTCTGTGTCTGCGCTGCTCTCTTCTTCAATCAGTACATCAATGCCATCGCCTTGGACGCACTCCATTGGAAATATTACCTTTGCTACTGTGTGTTCCTTGTATTTGAGGTTGCAGTTGTCTACTTCCTTATTGTCGAGACGCGCTATACGCCTATGGAAGAAATTGCAAAATACTTTGATGGTGATGCTGTTGACGTGGCTGATATCGCCAATGCTGAGATGAAGGAGAAGGGTATTTTGACTCATGTCGAGGTCAAAGAGAAGAGTGCTGTAAGCCAGGTCGAGGATGCTTGAGATCCACGAGCTTCTTTCAGCCGCTGCAAGACTATGGGCTTAGCGAAATGGCTAATACTGAGTGTCTGGGGCCTACTTTCACTCATGGCGATTTACATAGTGACCGTAGTTGAAGTTGAAGAGTGCTCGAACAATCAAATCAACTACAACTCTGACCTTTGTGTCATTCTGACACCCGAATCACATTATGGCTTGAACTTTCATCACTAGTTTCTAATGAAAAAAAAGTGTAATCATATATTTCAAGACAACAAATAAGTGTTCCTCAGAGTTTCAGCCAGGCTCTGAAGCTTACAAGACGCGACTCAAGTGATTGGCGCCAAAGAATAGACATTTGCTTGTTGTCAATCCCCTTATTCGCCCCACAAAGAAGCCGATGAATAGCCCCTATTGACCAAGTTGATATTCTTTATCTTCCAGAAACAAATGGACAACTAAACCAGTTTTATGTCTCAGGCATCTCACAACTTGTATGTGACACCAGCATACTGCTGAAACCACCTTGTTCTATCTCACCCAAACCCAAAGAAAGGCCACAATGGGACGAAAGAATGACGGCAGCGGAGCACTCAGAAATCAGATGATGGTATATATGATCCAACAATTCCAAGATTTTTCCAAAGAACTCCTGATAATCATCCTGAAATATCCAATATCGAACATTCATACGCCAATCGACAACTGCCCATTGAAGTATTCGATCAAAAGCATAGATCAAGCTCAACATGTCGTTTCGTCAAGATCCATTTCATTCTCTCCAACGAAGACGTTTCTCACCACTTCAATCTTTTAGCCTTCCAATCAATCCGTATTTGTCTCCCACCGAAGAAGCACGCCTGCTGAATACCATCTCCACAGTCGATTTCTACTGTCAAAATGTAGCGAAGCTCGATGCAGCGGTTCATGCCCTAGTATACGATTCAAAGACTGTTCGGGACATGGGAAGAATCCTAGGCACGTCGATTGTGGTGTTGAACGAGCAGCTTGGGTGGTTTGCTTTGAACTGCTTTCGTTTGCTTCGATATCTACAGTACCGACCATCCGAAATCTTCTCATACATCGTCGACGAATTCCAGTCTTTTAATCCTCGAGGATCCCACAGCATTGTGCGACAACAAGTCACGCAGACTCATGGCGTCCTGGCACAGCTTGCCAAAGGGCATCCGCTGTCAGATATCATCTACTCAGGAGTATTGGGACCCGATATCACATTTTCTGCAGTAAATCTCAGAATGGCGTTGTATTGTACGCGTGTGGTTGAATGCATTCAGGAACGGGGCGTCGCAAGGGCAACATTCTACCACGTCATGGCGAACGCGAAGATGGGTATAGCGTTCAGGCAAAGTTTCCTCCAACTTGGATTATCTGAGCCGTTCTATTTGACCGAGCGTTCCATCGAGAATATGAAGCACAATGCATTTGTCCCTTATGGTCGGTGGACTCCTGGATTTAGCTGTGGCTCTAGCACCTGCTCTCCTGGCTTTCATTTAAACGATGTTTCTATCGATAACAGCGAGTATAGCTCTAAACACACTTCAAATGGAATTTTAGAGCGCAGTCAGTCCGAGAGTAAGGAACAGTATCTTTGCCAATACCAGGATCAAGTTCTGGCCATTCCGGCGATCAAGGTTCAGCGCAAAGGCGCCATGGTCGATGCCTTTGATGACCCAACAAGAGATTCATACGAATGGAAATTCCTCTATGAAGCACAACAGTCCTTTTACGACCAGGCTAGGGTTTTGCAAGAAAATGGTTTGCTTAGACTTTGACCCGAGAGTCTGCCAAGAGAGTAGGAGTGGATGAATCTTGGGTGTTGGGAACGGGGCTGCCCATATTCCATGCATTGAATGTGGTTGAATCTGTTAGACATCTACAACGCTTGAAGGTCAAGCACTGAAGATCACCCGGCAAGAGCCATCGAAAGCGAGGTGATCTATTTGTCCCGGACGTGATCTGAGAGAGCATCAGTGCGAGATTGAGAGACAGCGGGGTGCAAATGATGCGTGCAGAAATCGCGGATTGTAATCGTTTGCTGTTCTATCATCGCATATTCTGGACGCTCTGTGGAGCCTAGCCTAACTGTATGAATTGGAATGTCAGAGTCGGAATTGAGGAGAGTTGATGTCAGCATAGGAGGCGAGCCTTGTCGCTGGTTAGTAAGGTTTCTCCAGAAATATCGTGCGAATCGCTAGCTAGCTTGCCCGTGCGACACCCCTTAGCCTTGCAGCCTCCACAGAGTTATCCAGGTCGATTCTTGATCGGGCGCGCTGAGAAATCCATTATTGGATACTGAGTGTTGTCAGTAAAATATCCTGATTCGAATGCAAATAGCTTATGCACTCATAGTTAGTTAATTCCTTCTTGGTGAGCATCTGTACTTCGGGACGATGTTATTGTACCTTCCAAGGCACGGTTATAGGCGCCCCGGGCCACCACGGGACAGGGCGGGGCGTGTTAAAAAGTGCTTCAACTAGTTAAGTACCTAGTTAGTTAAGTATTTAATGTGGCTCCAGCCAAGCCTTTCTGCCTAGACGCTTGGGTTTCAAGGCACCCCAATGAGGACGTCTTCGCTGTTTATTGCTTCTAGGTCCTCTACCAACTAGGGGCGGATGATTCGATTGAACCACAACACGATTCCCCTGGGAGTCTTGGTGCCAAACACGGCCAAGTCGACAATACCTTGATTATGTACTATAACTTAGGATAGCGCCGGCTCAACTGCTTCAGATGACCGTCGGCAGGTGCTGGAATGGATATCACTGTCCGAAGCAATCTGTCTGATATTCAAATGATTCCGAACACGCAAGACTGAGAGTGCAAGCGAGGATAACCGGTACGAGGATGCCCGGGGTTCGTGCAGTCCAGCCCTGGCCTCGACTTTGTGGATGTGCCAGTAATTATAGCAGCGTTCCCACCACACGGGTTCATTGTAGGAGCCGCAAGGCAACCAACCCCTTTTTAGCCCCCAACCTTTGAGACACTTGCTAAAAGTGCTGCTTGATCGCCACTTTCTTGTTCTGCATAACTGAACTGACATCCCAGATATTGATCTCTTTGCTTGATGACTTTTAATGGCTTGTTCGTGGGAGTCGCCCAAAGATTAGGAGTGTCGCCGATCAGATCATATTGCACTTGGCGGAGTATTCGACTGTTGGGTAGTGATCAGCAGCAGTCGCGACTACCTGGATGACCAGTTGCGATACCCGCATCATTTCAACCTGCAATCGTGTGAGAGAGTAACAGTGTAAGGCAACCGCAATCCATCTGTTCCCTAGGTGCTTCTACGTCCCAACTGTTGCACCTTTTACCCAGCATGCCGACACACCACTGGACGGCTATCAAATTATCCAACAAGAACAAGAAAGATGTTCAAAACCAGGGAGAAAACCAGGAAGATATTGTCGCCGATAAGCCCGGTCTGTGGTTACCTCCTTCACTTACTCGATTGAGCTTGTCGATCTTCGGTGTCCTCTTGCTAGGTCTCCTGGTGGCGCTGGTTGTGCTCAAATATCGGACGGACCAAGATCATGGACTCACAATCATCACATCGAATCACTACACATGGACATATGGACCGACCGCGATCTTGGTGCTAGTAACAGCCTATTGGCGCTTGGTCGATTACAATTGTAAGGCTCTTACGCCTTGGGCCGAGCTTGCAAAAGGTCCTATTGACGCACGTCGAAGCTTGTTGCTGGACTACGTATCTCCCTTCCTGGGCTTTACCGTCATCACGTCGGCCACACGTGGTCACTGGGCAGTTTCTCTGACGGGTGCAGGATTTTTGCTATCAAAGCTTGTCACAATTGCATCCACAGGCTTGTTCTTCCCCTCTTTGGTCCCATCCGTCCCCACCAACATCCGGTTCTCTCAAATCACCAGGTTCGACAATGTCACGGGCTTCCAGGACCCGGGGCCCTGGCCTTTCTACACGGCGTACGCCACCCTCGAGAAAGCCTATCCACTGTCCGAGGGTGCGGATAGAAGCCTTGTTTACGAATCGTACCGCCCACTGAACGACAGCTCAGCCTCGAACGGGACATATCAACTGACAGCATCAGCACTGGTGCCTCATGTTACATGTGAGAGTGTCGAGGTGGACAGAATGTTGGACAACACTTCGTTGGCCTCGACGCCGGAGTGGAAATTGGAAGTGAGGAACAATTCGGGCTGGCGGTGCCCTCATAACGACGTTCCTAATTATGAACTTTTGATCCGTGCGTTGGGGGCGGATGATGCTTACTGTCCTCCAAGACAACTTTACCCTAATGCCCAGCAGCTGAAATGCACTCATGAGAATTCGGAAAACGACACCTACCTCTGGCCATACTTTGTAGGCCTCTCTGACGTGCGTTATACGCAGAAGTTCAATGTTTCTCTGGACGGACACGTATATGGCGACAGCCTTGTGCCTGAAAGCTGGGACGTCGAAATCTTGAAGACGACGGCGATACTGTGTACTATTTCTCACACTGATCAGCTTGCGCTTCTCACATATAATATGTCTCGCTCACAGAATCCGGTGCAGGATGTCGAATTGCTACCCGAGATCGGTAATTTCTCAAGATTGAACCTTCCCGCGGAATACCTAACAAACACGTTGGACCAGGCGCCCAAGATGTTTGGTGAAACGGACGTGTACTCGGCCTATACCGAGCAACCCCTCAATACCGTGCTAACGATGGTGGCAGAGCACGCACAGAGCGACTATGGCTCTTTGCTGGACAGTCCGGATAAAATGACTGACAGCGTTCAAGATGTGCTACATCAGACGATCATCCAAATCCTGAAATCTGCGCTGCTTCTCCCTACGAACGACACCTTTCAAGGTAGCGAAATCATCGGCCAGAAGCTTTCATCGGAGGAGAGATTACAAGTACAAAAGTTGTCACTGATAGTTATGTTGGTTGGCGTCTCATGCATGGCCATCTCGATTATTCTCGTCATGTTCTGTAGACCCACAATGACACACAAGATCAACCCTCTCACATTGGTAGCACTTGCCCATACTCTACAGAACAGTCCGCCTGTACAGAGACAACTGTCTGGTTTGATATTTGGTCTCCGACAACGATCGGAAGCCATCATTCGACAATCACAGTGGTTTGGGTTAGGATCTCTCCCAAAGATGGTCCTCCGAAGTACATCCAAAGTCGAGGAAAGCCGGGACCCAAGTGAGCTAGCTATCCAATCGTCAATGGGCTACTCCAGGCCGTTCACACTAAGTAAAACGTTTCTGTGGCTGACATTCCTGTTGCCTGTTTTTTTGATTGGCATTCTGGAATATCTACAGCATCTGTCTGATACGGACACCGATCCAGGCATCGCCTATCTCTCGGCCGATTCACTCGCCCAAAGTGTGGTCTCAAGATACATCCCGGCTGTAGTTGCACTGCTGGTAGCCACCATGTTCAACTGCCTTGACGCCAACATCGCTATTTTATTACCCTTCAGCACAATGGTCGATCGCGAAGTCTCCAACGACGATCTATCACATACGTGGCTGGATAGATCTCCACCAATGTTGATCTACCATGCAGTGATGCGACGACAATGGGCGTACGGCCTGACTACTGTAGCCTCTGTGGTCGGTAGTATACTCACAATCGTTACCTCTGGTTTATACACCGTGGAAGACGTTCCAAGATCGGCGTTGGTCAATTTCGTTGCCCAAGATTCATGGAATATGTCCTTTCATCAGGCCTTGTCAACTGACAACGGAGCGGCGCTCGTGTCAAGCCTCATCGAGACCGCCAATCTCTCATACCCAGCATTCACCTTTGACGAACTTGTGTTCCCAACGTTGGCTCTCGATAGCTCAAATGATGCGCTTCGAAACATCAACCTTGGCCTTGTAGATGCCAATGTCCCTGCACTCCGGGCGGAGCTCCAATGTACCGAGATACCCCTGGACCTCTTCAACTACTCCCTGACATGGAACTCTCATTATGGTTTTGCTGACATCTTTTTCGGCGGCCAAGTCCCTCTCCCCGATCACTGTCACTTGGGCTCTGTGTACGGGAACGAATCGTCGGTGTCGACCTCTGTCAACGGTGACGGTTGGTGGACCGGTGATGGTTATAATGTGACCTATGTGGCGCAGGCCATGGACGTACATCTCGGGGCATGGCCCGGAGATGAGAACGACATATTTTATACGGAGATCGGAAATCTGGCGATGGCCAATCAGCCAGATAATCCGCCAGGTTGTCCATCGATGCTAATCTTTTATGGGTTTCTTGATGGTCTCGATCTCAATAATAGTGTGTTCAGATCCATGTTGTGTGACCAAAAGATTCAAAAACTCTCTGCAGGCATCACGCTGAGCCTACCGGAGCTGAAAATTTCGACTGACAAGACGCCAGTCGTTGACGAGTCGACGGCGGAATACCTGCCAAGCGGACCCAACGGAGAGACGTCGTTCTGGTGGCGAACGGAACCTGGCTTGAAGTCAAGCTTCCGGATCCTGAACGAGACCGCGGTGGAGTCGCTTGTTGTGGAAAACGATGATGGTTCATCTTCTTTCAGTGTCATTTCGAGCTTTTTCCGCGGAGCGATGTATGGACTGACCCCATTCCCACTCGAAACGCTGCAGAAGGACGACAAGGAGACCAGGGACAAGATTTTCGACCACGTCCAGAAATTCTACCGCCGTTACATGGCGCAGTACATCTCGGCCAACATGAGGACGACACCGCCAACTGCTTCCCAAAAACGAGATGGTGGCACCGTTGACACGCAATCCATGGCTGGAGTCTACACACCCGCCAGTGGTAAACTGCGACTGATGCAAGCTAAAACCCCCAAGATTGTCATACAGGCGATGCTGGGGTTCATGGTGGTCTGCGCCAGTCTGGCGCTCTGCATTGGGAGGTACCACGACCTCGTCCCGTGGAACCCGTGCACGATCGCCGGTCTCTTGATCCTCTTTGTCGACAGCAAGATGTGTGCGCCTCTAGGCATGCCACACGACTCCTCAAACCAACTGACCCAACTCGAAACCGCCTACAAGTCCGACGGCGGAGCGGCCAAACACACCAGAAAAGGAACCCAGAACACCACCTCCACCTTCGAACTCACCGACTTTCCCAACAAGCTGGGCTCTCCGGGCATGAAAAATCAATACGGCACAGAAACTATTCATCCACTCGTCGAGCACCCGACCAGCAGCAGCGGTCAGAGCGACGTGTCTATGTCGACGAGCGCACAGTGGGAGAGGCCCAACGCCCGCTTCCGCCTCGGCTGGTGGAACAAAGGCAAATACGTGGGCCCACGGCATCCCTCTCAGCCGAATCCTTCGCTGTTCGGGAGGAAGCGGTATGATCGTGTGTTGCTGGGCGAGTATACTGACGAGGATATGAGTAATTTGAGGTACGGCATTGATGTACTGAGATAGATGAAATGCTGTGTACATAGTTTTTAATGATTTCGACATGATTTATTCCATTTGATAATAGTGAGTTCTGTACGACCATTTGCGGACGGCCCCACGACTGTGTGTGACGTCCCCAGCCAGCTTCAAACGACCAAGCAGACCCACAAGTACCGAGCCTCCATTACGGAGGACATGACACGCCGCTCTCGAACCCGAACTACACCTTGTATCGGAAATGAATATTCTGCAGATCGGTCAAGTCCTCAAAGCCCTCGAGCAGCTCCTCCTCGGCGCGCTCGACATGCAAGCCCTTGCGATCCCTTTTCTTGTTGTCGGAAAACACCCAAGCGGAATAGACCACCTGCAGCGCAATCAGCGCGCAGTACGTGCCCAACAGGCCCCAGATGGCCGAGAAGTACCGCGGCGCTTCCCTGGGCAGGAAAAGATGCGGGCCTGCGATGTTGCCGCCGGCGTAGACGATAAAGAAGAGCCCGATGACGGTCGCGCGTTTGGTGTGGCCCGCGGTGTTCACGCCAGGGAGCGTCCACCCGAGGACCAGTGGACTGCCGAGCACGTTTTGTAGCCAGCAGCAGGCTACGAGCGCGTAGCGGTGGTCGATGGAGATGGTCAGGAGCCCGATGAGACCGGCGATGCCGGGTAGGGAGGAGACTGTGATTTGGGCAGGGTCAGCGAGCTGTTTTTGAGATGTGGTGAATATTCACTGGATGAAGTCACGTACCGATGATGGAAATTCCCAGCATGTTCTTCTTGGTCGATAGCCAACCAAAGGCCACGCACCCGATGACTTCGAACGCGCCACCAGGCGTCTGTAGCAAGCTGGTCCTTAACGGGTTGAAGCCGAAGCCCTTGATCAGGCTGGAGATGAAGTTTGCGACACCGCCATTCAGGATGCCCGTACATGCTCCCATTGCGAGGAGGAGATATGTGCGTCCATCAAGGAAGGCTTCTTTCATCTGTGCCCGATTGAATTTGTGCTCTTTGATGCCCATTTGATTCTTCGACACCCGCCACACAGCGACCATTCGTTCATACTCGGTGAGCATTTTGGCGTTGTGAGGACCATCAGGGAGGTAGAGGATGATGACAAACCCCCAAATGAACGTCATCGCTCCCACAATCTGAGTGATTCAGTGAGACTATGTACCTCATCGTGTGCTGGGTGCTTACCAAGTAAATGAGTTTCCAGTTCGACACCGCGAGGTTCTCAGCATGCCCTGCTCCATAGGCTAGGAGCGCCCCGAGGATGCTGGACACCCCATTCGTAGATAGCCATAGAGAGGTCCTGAAGGACTGTTCTTCACGCGTCCAAAGCATCGAGGTCAAAAGTACAAATGCTGGGGAGATCACCCCTTCGAGCCAGCCCAGAAAGAAACGCACGGTGAAGAAAGAACCAAAATTGAACACTGCAGCTTGCAGCATGCAGACACTACCCCATACGAACAGCATCCCACCGATCAGTTTGCCGATAGGGTATCGCTGCAGGATGATGTTCCAGGGATATGCTCCGAACAGCCATCCAAAGTACAAGGCTGAAGCCACCCAGGAGTAGTCATCTCCCGTCATGTGGGTGTCGGCTTGGAGACCATATGCGTTGGAGTAGTTCAGACTGCGTGGATAAAGGTTAGCGTTGGCTAGCGTCGGTGAATGCCACTGGATTTTGCGTACGTCTGTTTGTCCAAAAAGCTCAACATGTAGGTGGTCATCATCTATGCATGAATTGTGAGTATTGAGTAGGAAGTAATGCAGTACAACAAATGCATACCATGGGTATCACAATAAAGTCCAGCTTCCGACGAACCTTGATCGAATCGCGCTCAAGTTGTTCCGTATCAAACTCCAAGGCCTTTTGCAAGAGTTCTTTGCCGAGGATGTTGGGGTCATTCTTCTCCTCACTAAGAAATGCTAGCAACCTTTGGGTCTTGGACGTGGCGGTCGTAGTTCCGAGTTCGACTGCCGGCTCGCTGGCCTGGACAGGCTCTTTCTCGATATCTGCCATGCTTTGAATCTGAGGCCGATGGGTGTGCTCCCAAATAAGAGGTTGGATCTGGTGATGGGAGCGGCTTTTATAAGGATTCGATCACCATAGCATCCTGGACAACCCCGATAATCCTATCATACGACGTCGGTTTCAGTATTTCCTATTGGTGAAGACTGTTCGTCCAAGATTAACAAGATACCGAGCGGTCCAACGCCACCCGCAGGGCTTGAACGAGATAAGAGAAATCCAAGAGGAGCAAAGATCGTCCATCCTTGCCGTCATTGCTGCATGATTGAGGTCAAATCCGTTCATGGAATATAAGATACCGGGCTAGTGGCCGTGTTGCTCCGCGAGTGGTGCGGTTGTGCTTATGAAGCATGAGAAGACCATGATTGGAGCATGTTGTCTAATGTGCAAAGCCTAAGATAGTGCTTGGCTTTCAGTGTCCCAGATGGACCATACAGCTTCAATTGCGCTCGACAGGCCTTGGAGAATCGAACATTCCGGGGAGGCTGGATAGGTGGTATTGTGTTTGTTGACCAACGATAGTGAAGCCAAGCAAACATGGGGAATCAACCAGAGGGTCAAAAAGTGTATCATGCTGGATGGCTATGGCATGCAAGACTCGTGAGCACGAGGATTGGCATCGTCTTCACTGGGCATGCATTCGAGCTCGTCTTTGCACAATAGTCATAGTGTAGACAGGTAATTCTTTGCTCACTGAATAAACGCAGTCCTCTGATAGTGGCCAGAAACTCTGTCAAGCAAAACGGGGACGGATTTGATCCGCTCGACGGCGGAGATCTGCGACAAACCGGCGGGAGTTGAAGTCTATGTTCTATGGTGGATCAGGCCACGACTCAAGATATTGATGAACCAGAAGACAAAGCTTCGGTATCGTGACTCGCGGTTGACCACGAGGCCTTGTCCCTCCCGATATTGCGGAATAATCTCGAGTGGGGTAGCGATTACGAGCTTGTTTGATAGCAACTGATAGCGTGTGAGGCGATCGCATTTACACCCGATATGGACAGCTCTCCCAACCCAGTCAACCACCAAAAATGCTAGATGGTTCTTCGCCAACGGCAATGGAATTATCGTGATACGCTATCACTGATCCGCTTTCCTTTTTCCAGAAGCCACGACTGGATCATGGTCGCTCACGCTGGTGCAGCTCGCTATTGGTGCGAGAGTTGTTGGTAGTCGGTTCACGAGAATGTCCTTTGAACAGGAAAGGCTTATGGTGGTGCAATTCTTCAACGTTCCTATGGTTATGACTATGAACCCAATCGAGTAATATCAGTTTCGTTGGCTGATGCTCTGAGCGATATAATTGAAGAGTAAGAACCGGTAGGCCAATATTCATCGGGCGGGCAATAAAATGATCGCGAAAGATCCTAGTTCATTTGAGCCAAAGCAATGGGAGAAAATTCATGCAGCGAAAATTGCTGAGCAAACAGGTAGAATCCCCAAAAACTGGACGCTACAGGAGGACAAATTCCCTGCCGATTCAGTGGCGGATATTCGCCCAGTCGCAGCAACCTGTGGTATTCTTTCGGATCGAGAACTGAAAATCAGCGGCGCGGAATACGACGCGACAGCCCTAGCCGCCGCCATTGCTGCCGGAGAATACTCTGCCGTTGAGGTTGCGACCGCATTTGCCAAGCGTGCGGCGATCGGACATCAGATTTGCAACAATCTGACTGAGATACGCTTCTCGGACGCGATCGAAGATGCCAAAAAGCTGGACGCCATTTTCAAGGAGACTGGCAAGACGGTGGGACCACTCCACGGGTTACCCATGACGTTCAAGGTGAGGAGAGCTGGTCTCAGGTTGGGCAGGCTGTTGATGATCGTTCAGGAATGCTTCCATCTCAAAGGTTACGATGCAAGCAATGGGTACATATCTCGCACTTTTGACGCGTCGACTTTCGACACACCTCTGATCGCGCTGGTGAAATCTCAGGGCGCCATCGTTCTAGGTAAAACCAACACTCCACAAACGATGTTGGTCGCTGAGAGCCACAACAACGTCTTTGGTCAAACCAAGAACCCAGTGGTGCGACACCTGACCTGCGGAGGTAGTAGCGGAGGTGAGGGTTCAAACATGGCCTTCAGGGGTTCCGTTCTGGGCATCGGCACCGATGTGGGAGGGTCGATTCGGTGAGTCCCGAGATTCTTCTGAGTCTGTCAATCTGACCGGTATAAGTATCCCGGCAGCGGCAAACGGCGTGTATGGCTACAAACCTTCCTTTGGGATTCTGCCTATGATCGGATACGCCGCTTCTGGCTGGGTAGGCGCCAACACGGGCGTTCCGGCCGTCTGTGGTCCTCTCGCAAACTCGGTGAGAGACCTTCGACTGCTTACCCGTGTGGTCCGAGATGCAAAGCCGTGGCTTTTTGACCCTGCTGTCATTCCTCAGATCATGGAACGAGGAACAGAATCGAGAAAGCCGGTCGTCGGCGTGATCCGGAAGAGCGGCTTGACACCCCACCCTCCCGTCTGCAGGGCCATCAACGAAGCCACACAGCAGCTCACGGCGGCAGGATTCATCGTTAAGGAGTTTGTTCCCCCCGATTTCAACGAGATCAGAATGATCACTAAAGAGCTCTTCACGTTGGATGGGTTGTCGTACCCCCGAGGCCAAATTGAGAAGGCAGAAGAACCAGTCGTCCCATCTGTAGAGGCGATTGGCTTCTGGAGTATTCCAAGGAAATCCCACGAAGAGGCCTGGGCGTTGAACGCCAAAAAGTTGGCAATCCAGAAACGAATGCTCGACAGTTGGCAAGAGGCGGGCATCGATATCGTCCTCGCTCCTGCCGGACCTCACACCGCTGTGCTGCCAGGAGATTGGACCAACGACATGTACACGGTCGCCTGGAATGCCGTCGACGTGAGTGACGGCCCACAAATGACTGGAACATGACTAACGTGATGCTTGACGTCCAGTATCCTGCTGTCGTGATTCCATTCACCACAGCGAACCCAGAGCTTGACCCCATCGATGAAGCATTCATCCCGATGCATGAACTTGACAAGAAGGTCCAGGAATTGTGTAAGTGTCCACGGTATGGCGACGTGGATATGACACTGACGTGTTGACTTGAATTTAGATGATCCAAAATTGATGGCGGGCGCTCCGGTGGCCCTCCAACTTGTGGGTCGCCGACTTTGTGACGAGCAACTGTTACAAGATGTTGAGGAGATCGACGGCGTCTTGAACAAGTAGCTCCTGGAGCATGTGGCTGCATAGCGGGGTTGGGACGGCCTCTGTGGATGGCAAAGTGAAACAGGAACCAGGATTCAGATAGGGAGCAGATCATTGGGGTATTGCTCACTCAGTGTCATCCAATTCCAATCAACGGCGCTATCCCTGGCGTGCCAAACTCGATTGATGACAAAAGCGCGTGTTCGAGTTGACGTGACCGTTTTGCGCGCACGGCAAATCGCCCCGAGCATGTAGCTGGCCGTTATTCGATCTGACTCATTGCAAACCTCACAAGCAGCGATGAACACGGGCCAGAGGGACATCTTTAGGTCCTCGTCTTCACCACTGGTATGGACCATGACCTCGTAAGCCATGATTAGTGCAGCCTGATCCGCCTCCACCGAGCTTCCTGCCGGGTTGATCAGTCTGTGGAGATAGAGTAGGGCCGCACCACGATAGGCATTTGCATGCATGAGGAATTTTCGTGAAGAGTGAAAGGAAAGGGTTGGATCTACAGTCGGGTGCCACAGCTCGAGTTGCGACTGCAGCTGTGCAGCTCTTTCCACCAGAAGGAGCGGGTCGTGGAGAGGGATTGAGAATGCCATGTCTTCGGAATCTGCACTCAGCAGATTATCGGGCAACGGGGCTCTTATGTCCTCCGCAAGACCGCAAAGTTCGCCCAAGATAGGCATCAAAGTTCCAGTGTAGCCCATGAACCGATCAGCATGTTGTTTCGCGTGATCATCGAGCCAGTAAGCCGTCGGTATGCGCGGGCGTTGGAATCTGACCAACGAAATCATCATGTCTTGCCTTGCTAAAGCACGCACGAAATATTTAGACAACTGCGTCAGCTCGAACCCTCGATTGATGTGATGATCTAGCATCATGGAAAGATTGTCCAGCAGTGATGGGAGGGCCGACATTTTGTCGGGCTTCTCATTTGTGTCGATCAACTAGAGACTATCAACTAGCAGTCCCGCGAAGGACGAAGGATGTACTCACCTCGACTGCACACAGTCCTAGCATGACTGTCAGCAAAAGCTCCAGGCTGACCCCCAGAGTATCCAAGTTGCGGAGCCTGGCCAGTATTCTGGCTCTCCGGTTGGGAACGGGTACCACGGCTTGTGATTTGTGGTCTTTGAGATATGCTTCCCCAATCGCGGACAAAGAGTCACCCACGGCCATGGGACTGTTCTGGAAGACCTTGAGTACACATGAATTCATTTCATTGACGAATTCGCTGCCAAAAACCAATTCCGTTGGGTGTCGGGTGAAATAGACCTCAATGAATGGCTCATCCGAGGGGTGTACAGTGCCGGGAGGGATATTTGCCATGGTCTTGAAGAGCTGTGGCACGGAAGTAGGTGCGATTTCTGTCGAGAGGGCCAAAAAAGGGGTCATGGCCATAGCATCCGTGGTCATCGGGCTCGCAACCACAGGAGAACCCGCAACGGTGAGGTTGCCAAGTCCATCCACGCGGGCTTCCGAGATGTGTGCAGCCGGGCTTGCAGCACTGATGGAAGGAGTCTGCCCGCCTACAGAGGTGCGGGCTTTGTGGGTTTTCGTGACTTGAGTGTAGCCCGTGCATTGACGGCCACGCCGCTTGCAAGTACCACAGGAAGGATGAATCTCATCACACTTGACCTTGGCACGCTTACAGTCGATGCAGCCATGCCGTGAACGAGTAGCCATGGTGGGCGCTCAAAGAAGAAGATCTAGATGAGTCATTGGTAGGTGCTGATTGTTTCAATGTGCACAGAGATGTATCACATCCTGGCCGAGGCAAGTCATGGACAGTAAACTCGCCCAAAATAGTGGATTGTGATATCAGTCAAACGACGTCAAAGGGTTATGGACGGGGAAGAAAGAGCTAGAATATGGATAGTACACAGACCTGTGAGGTTATTGTCAGCAGTCCGGGGTACTTGATCAAATGTTGAAGTCGTGGGTAGTAACGTCGAGAAGACTCGGTTCAGTTATCTGGGCGTCCACCTCCGTTGCATTTTAGCCTCGAGGTTGAGGAGAAACGACGCGCACTCGGGGCACGAGGCAAGGCGAGACGGGAATGAGGATATTAAGGAAGGTGCACACGAGAATCACGTGACAAGGATTGAAAGTCTTGGCATGCCGGTCATTAATCTGCCTTAGCGTGGCTTCTCCCCAGGAAGCTTCTGATTGAGATATCGTGACCAGTCCTCATTCGTTGACCTGTGACGTGAGTGCCGGGGGTGTTGCTACTCGGTATAACACGTTGCATCATACCGTCCTCACCAACCCCGTCTTTCCCTGTGGCCTCGTTTCAACTACCTTCAGCTGGATAAACACCACTGTCGACACGTTCCAAGAAATCGAAGATTATCGAGAGACTCTCAGGGGCCTAACGGATGAATTGTAGCAACATACCCCGGTGACAGTATTGACCAACATGGCGGGAGTGTTTACCTGGTTATGGGACTGGCTTCTGTGGATGTTCTGGGCCACCGAAATGGACGTGACGGTGATCGGACTTCAAGCGGCGGGCAAGACGAGTCTCGTGCGAGTCCTTGCGGTATGTGTGTCGATCTGGGTTGATGGTGGAGCATTACTAAAGTGTCATCCAGGGAAATGACTTTGCCAGCGACTCACTACCGACGGTCGCATTCAACAAGAAAGAAGTGAAGAAGGGGCACGTTTCGATCAAGTGCTGGGATCTCGGTGGTCAGCCACGGTTCAGAACCATGTGGGAACGATATTGCCGGGGAGTCAACGCCATTGTGTTTGTGGTAGATGCGGCTGATCGAGACGCTATCCCAGTCGCCAAAGAGGAATTACACGATCTTTTATCCAAGCCCTCGCTCGAGGGCATTCCACTGCTCGTGCTTGGGAACAAGTCAGACTTGTCGTCGAAACTTTCCGTGGATGACCTGATAGACCAACTGGACCTCAAAACGATTGTGCATCGCGAAATCAGTTGTTATGGAATCAGTGCCAAGGAAGAGACCAATCTGGAAGCTGTGCTACAGTGGTTGGTCGCCAGGTCGGGCAAGTGAAGCATGATGTTCATTTCTTCTATTCTTGTTTGCTGTGTTTTCTACAATGCTTCTGGAAGACTCCCTTGTGGGTCGGTCGAGAATGATAGCTGGATCCACTGTACCAACAGGCTCGGTCGCCAGCACGAGTCAAGGAGGAGCAGGGAGTCCAGAGTACGCATACGCACACGGATAGCGAATACGCAAATCTCCAGGCTCACGAGAAGGCTGTGGATAATGCCGCCACATCCGCATACAACGAACGGTCAGCTGATCAGGTGATCATGATGTTGAAGCGAGGCCACTTGACGGATGGCGAATGAAGGAAGAATGACGCGTAGCCAAGGATCATTGCCATCTCCTGCAACGCGACTTAAAGTGAGGAGTCAAACGCCAAGGCTTGGAGTTGGCTGATTTCCGTTCAGGCGAATTAGGATCATGAATCATGATGTGTTTGTATATTGACCGTGAGATATTTCCGTAAAGGAATGCAAATGTGCGTCGGCTATCACTCAGACGTCAAATGTTTGATATCAAATACGAGTGCTCGTTTGGATGTTCAGCTGCGATTGAAGGCAACTAAAGCTCCGACACTGCCCACGATTGAACTCTCTTCCAAATGCCCAGGCTGTAGCGAGCAGTAGTAAATGGCTTTCCAATCGGAAGCTTCGCACTCCGCCACTAATGACGAAATGTGGATCAGACCAGTCTTTTCGTCTGTTAGAGAAGTTGCCCCTAAGCAGTTACCCGGCAATGGTCGTGCTTTCCATCCGAGCTGGTAGTTGGGCAGCCTAGCAGCCTGGCATTCACCTGCCCCGGGTGGTGAGCGGGCGCCCTGCTGCGCCTCATCCTCCGTCTCCCACCTAGAAGGCAGTTGTTCTCTGAGCTCTTTAATTGTACCAACAGCGCATTCTTTATTCCTCATCTGCCCACATAAAATCTTCATCCGATCATCGAGGGTTTGATATCAAAAACATTCACAGCCTCATACCCAAGACATTATTTGGCACTCACTACCACTACGTACTCGCACTCGCACTCGCACTCTTGCCACGTCCACTCCAAGTCGATCCACAACCCTTGGCGTCTTCTTCGTCCTCAACTTGGTTTCTTGGACCGCTCTGTCCTTGCGTGTTGACATCACCAATCCACAAGATGACTCTCCAGACTCTTGTCGCACGGCAGTATTACGACACGTAAGTAATGTTTTATATATTCCTCCCATCCTTTGCTTGCACCTCTTGGTCTCTCTTGGAAAAAGCTCCGCCAGCAAAACACTACGTCACAGACACCTTGACTTCACCAGCTACGTCAACCTCACTCACTAATCTCTATCATCATGAATAGATGCTACAACTCCCTCGGACAACCCTACCGGTGTCGTAGCTCATGGAACAATTGGGGTAGATGGGTCGCCCTAGGCGTCATCGTCTTCGGCGCATTCCTCCTCTTTTTCCTGTGCAGGTAAGCTCCAAGTTTCCCCATCGCAGGTCCAAATCCATACTGACAGCGTCTTCGCAGTTGCTTCAGCGCTAGAAAGAGACGTCGCGCCGGTCGCCAACCATTTTACGGTACGGGTTGGGCGGGTAATACACCTTTTGGGCATGGGCAGGCGCAATACAATCCCAATTATCAGACACAGCAGGCCCAACCACCTCCTACCTACAATCAGACCCAAAATCCCGGTGGCTACTATGGTGGCGGTGGTGCAAATCAAAGTTATTTTGGCGGACAACCGAACGACGTTGAGATGAATGCGCCCCAGAACACCTACAATCGTGGAGGAGACTCTGGCTTTGCACCACCACCAGGCCCACCCCCGAACAAGGTCTAAGCAAGGTCAGATGCGCGATGCGTACAAGCTTCATCTCCGGGTCAATCATGAGGGATTTATAATCTGGGTGGTCAACTTGAGCATGTTGTATTGTTGTGGGAGTTGAAGGAAGAGTATATGTATTTATGTATCATCATGACGACTCTAGGTGCTAATTGTACCTGGCTTCGAGGATATGTGGTTAGGGAACGAGGGCGCAATCGCAAGTCTGTCTTTCAATGTCATCACTGATGAACCTATACCATTTTCTGCTTTGGCTCTGTGACCTGTCTTTTGTGGAGTCGACGATGAGGCGAATTGAGTGAGAATAGCATCAGGTAATGGCATTTGATCAACACCATGGCTCAAAGTTTGGTAGTAACAATAGTTGCTAGCTACTTCGTACGAGCACTGTAGGGAGTACATGACACTTACATAATACCCTGAAAGGTCTCAAACCCCATGGCTCTTTCCCTGGTCGGAATCGGTGTTTCAGCCTGGACTCAAATCTCTGGGCAAGGGGGGATCTGCCACGGCGGATTCTTTAGGCTGTTTCGGGCTCCCATCATTGGCTCTTGGCTCGTCAAGGTCCCTAGCACGGGCTTGCCTTGCCTGGATTTAGAGGTGCCAAACGACCCTTCCATGCCCATTCATCCCCCCTGTCCCCCGTAACTTGGTAAGTAGTTCGTACTGTTTGCCCCAGGCCTGGCCTATATCCGTCCTACACAGCAGGTGTGCTCCGCCTCCTTGACTCGACGGGAGTGCGACACAAACTCTTACCACTTCTGCCACTATCACCACCGCCCTTGATGTGCTTTTCATAGCTCATTGTCCGTTCTCTTCATTCTCTCGTCGTTTTTCTTATTATTCATACCATTTACTCGTCATCAGGGCACTTCTTCGCCTGCCCCAGCCTTTTCTCTTCTGTCGTCAATCGTTGTGCACTGTCCGCCGGTCGGTCCTTCACTTCTCACACCCTGCGGCTGCACTGCACCCAACCACCTGCGCCCACCCGCGCTCACTTCTGAAGATCACGGTCTCAGTAATCAAATAATACACGCTAATCGGCCTTCATCACTACTCGAGAACATTTAAGTCAGACTTTGGCACGAATCCCGTTCGAGAATTACCAAAAACTCGCCCAACATGACCGACATCATCAACGAAGTCAAAAGTGCCCCAGACACATTCACCAGCTGGGACAAATGTATGGAAAAGGCTTATTGCAAGTATGTTGATAACTCTGGTGCCTGAAATCTCGGAACTGAACAAATCCTAGGTGGCCTGCCATTGTCGGAATCGTCATCGGCTCTCTCATCCTTCTTTCTTTCCTCTGGTGCGTGGTCCAGTGTATCTGCTGTGGTGCCACATTATGCTCCTGTTGTTGTGGCGGGTGTCGCGGCTGTGGGTCAAAGGGTAGTGGTCGAGACCGGCGTTCGAAACATCAAGATGACTATACTCGAATGCCTCCCACTCCTTACGGTGGCTATCAACCGGCCCCTGCTCCAATGGCATACGGCATGCCCCAGTATAACGCCGCACCTCGATTCGCCACCTTTGAGGATCCGAGCAGGAAGATTCATGAGGATAGCCTGCCACATATGCCCAGTTGGGACACCGCTGCGAAGAGAAGGGTCGAGGACACCAGTTATCACCCGAATGATGATCTGGAGATGAATCAACTTGACCCCCATGCACAAGCAGTGCGTGGTGGTGGCTACAACAGTGTTCCCCATGGGCCACTATCACCTCAGCCTCAGCCTGACGTTTACGGACACAACACCGGTATCAACCAGCCCTACAACTCTGACCTCGGAGCTCAAAGAGTGGCTCCGCATGAGAACGATTATAATTCGTTCCAGGCCGTACCGTTGAGCCCTCCCCCAACATATCGTTCTAATTCAGTGGCTCCGTCAACCGCCGATAAGTTCATGCCTGGCACCGCTAGCCCGAGTCCAGGCGAATACAATCGCCAACAAACATACCAGCATCAGCAGCCATCCTCGTATGGCCCCAGCATGACGAGTACGAGATATGAGCCTCCACAGCCCAATCATGCGGCGTACGGTGGCCAGCAGACGTATCAACAGCCTCCCAGCTTTTTGCAACCGGGTCATGGAAGTTACCGAGAAGTCTAGGTGTGCTCTTGAGGTCTGACGAGTGCTGTCAGGCATGGATATTATGATCTGCCACAGGGCATGCTTAGACTCCGGGACAATTATGGAGGGTGTCTCCCCCCTGCCACCTCAGTACCATCCACTATCCAAAGCCGTGGCGCCGACGTGAGGGGTTTATGCGAGCTCCCTCCGGTCTTTGAACACGAGTTCCGTCCGGTCTGAGAAAGGACGACGGGAAATCTTGTTCCGATGCCAACGCCCCTTCTGTGTCCAAGACTGACAATCCGCGCGCTGTTTTGGCCGTCCGACATACTCGGCGCAGCAAGGGTTGTTGACATGAAGGTTTCAAAACCAGGCCAAAGCATATTCGAGTGGTGGAGACGATCTGGCCATCATCATGTGGATTGATAACACGGCGACATCTCTACGAGACATGCTGAGAGAGTCCTTGAGATACAGTCTCGAGGGAGACGATTGGTCGTGTCTTTGATGAGTGGCTTGAGCGGATAGGACAACGTCCTATGATCTACCTGTATTTTTACCTGCCAAGGTCGACCTCCTTCACCACCAATGTAATGATTTTGTACTTATCATTACAAGACTGCCATAACAGAGAGAGCACAGCACGTGGAGGCATCTGGGAATTTGCCAACCAAGGCATGGACATTGTACCATCTTCAAAGCCTACAAAATGCGATGAATATCCAGAATATGGATACCTATTCAATAAATTTGCAAAGCTTTACCACATTTCGCTCTGTCTCATTTGGTGTTCAGGTGTAGGGTGCGCTGTAGCCGCGACACGGTTTCTTTCTAAAAGAGCTTAGCCCGCTCGTTTTCAGATTGTTCATCTTCACTAACAGACATATTTCTTCGTGGATAAGCCAGAGAAATGAGGATGTTACGAGGTCCAGGGTTGAGACTCTGTACATCTGATTCGACCCCGATCTGACTCCGAATCCTGGACTAAACGTGTCCAGAGCCAAAACAGGTCTTGTGAGCTCCTCGAGTACGATGACCAAATGTCAGAGGCTGAGATATCACCCCACGATGTCCACATCCGATCGAGCTGCACCGGTAACCTCTCCCGCGTCCAACAGACCAAACCGTCAATCTACAACTCATCCCGAACGACCCGCTCCGCCGCACCAGCACCAGCACCAGCGGCATCGGAAACCACGACATCCCTGGCCAGCAGCGGCACGCCGGCGACGGCGCCTTGGCCGGCAAAGTCCTTTGCGAGCGCGAGGGCCCTGGCCTGCCTGAGGAAGGTGACACCGAGGAAGACCTCGGGCTCCCACTTGCCGCGCAAGTCGTCGACGGGCAAGTCAAAGACGTTGAAGCGCACGTCGGGATACGTCTTGAGGGCGTCGGTCGGGCCCGCGAGCAGCGTGAGGGCGAGGCTCGCGTACGGGGTCACGAGGAAGGCGTCGACGCCGAGGGCGACGGGCTGTTGTTGGGCCTGCTCGCCTGTCGCGGGTAGCGGCGTCGTCGCGGACGACAGGTTCAGCGCCGCGACGAAGAAGCTCGACATGTAGTTCTCGCTCAGCGCCAGGTCGATGTCGGCGAGCAGCGTCACCGGCTCTTTGGCCTGCGTCTCCACCACGATCGGCAGCACGTCTTGGTTCTGCCCCGCGAGCTCGCTCGTGTGGAAGTACGCCGTCAGTTCGAAGTCGAGCTGTTGACTGCCGCTGGCGGAGTCGGCTTCTTTGACGACGGGGGCGGAGCCTTGCGTGGTCGCTGTGGAAGGTGCTTTGCCCGTGATGGTCGTGGTTGTCGTCGCGGTCAGTGATGCCCGGTCGACGGTGATGGACGTCGCGATGATTCGCGCACATACGCAGGGACACGCGATGCCGCATTCGCGGCCGCAGCCACCGTGGCACGACGATTCGGGTCGTCCGGGGAACAGTGGTCCAGGGAGGCCTGGGCGGCCAGGCCGTCCTGGGAAGCCACCCTGCACGCCGCCCGGGTGGTATACCGGCACGGCGTCGTGTTGTCGACAGTGGCCGTCGGGGCACGAGCGCGAGCAACACGCCGTCGCCGTCGGTGCGAGGTCGAGTCGGACCTGGGTGCCCTCGTTGAATGCTGCGAGGGTGGGATTGCTGTTCGCGACTCGTCCGTTGCAGAGCCCGATGGCACACCCTTCGCCGCAGCACGCGGTCACGGCCTCGGGTTTGATGCGTGCGTTGCCGCTGGGATGTGTTGTTTCGAATGAACTGAAAATTGATTTGATGCTCGCTGTGGACTTGGGATCGAGATTGCCTCCGCCTCCCTTTGCTGCGGCTTGATCTGCCGCTCGCGCATGCAATGCTGCCGCGAGGATTAACGTGATTGTCGAGATCAAGACCATGGTGCTTGATTGAGATCGTGTACTCAGGAAGTCGTTTTCCAAACAGAATAATTCTGGTGGTGGTGGTGGGAATCAGTCTCCGAGGTATATAACTGTGGTCACTGAAGAGATACCACCGTATGTCGCCAAAACTACCAGTATTCAGTAATATCGTGTGCGGCCAACCCTAAGAACAGAGGAAGTGTACCTTGGTGGGTAACTGTTGTCATCATAGAACAGCTCGACGGGCACCCCTGATATGAATGCAGTATTCACCGACCCTGAGTGGGGCGGAACAATAGATACCAAAGTTCTACCCTGTGGAGCCAGTCCTACTTAATCGACCCTGGGCATCAACCGCATGCCACCTTAGGGCTGAAGCAAACCTAGGCTGTCTTTGGCTTTAGATTCCCAAGTTCATGCAAATCCCAGTCGTGACTTCCACGGGAGGTGAACGAGCTTCAAATCGGAGCGACAGGAACGCAGTGCTATCTCTGAGCATCCATTGGATTGGAGCGTAGGACGAATCCGCCTTGCACAGACGGGAGAGGCCACTCGATCCCCTGACGAACTCTCACGCGAAAGCTTTCGACATGCTGCAGGAGGTGATGCTGGTATGACTACGTAAGCCTCGAAGGTTTGGAGTCAGGCATCGGAGTGACACGATTTGGATCCACCAACCGCGGCTGTGCGGACTCGTACCTTCCACAGATCCCAAGTTCGACAGCGACGGGGCCTGAGGCTGAAGAGGATCCTCCATGATACGCATCTTGTCGAGCTGAGAAGGGTAGATGATGGACCCAGAAATTGACGATGAATCCATCGTTCACTGTAGGTTGCGCCTGCGATTGGGTTTTGGCGTTGATCCTAGGGACCCACATTCTCGGCCCAGATGGCGGGCCTGATTTCTAAACTTCAAAAGTTACAGGGACTCCTCCCGCGTTGAGTCGAACAAGCCGCGGCATGGAGTTTGGACTTTTGTCGAGCCAATCCCCGTGTTGAAGAGCTCTTACAGTGTATCGCCACATGCTTCGAGTTCTCAAGTTTGATATCTGGTGCATATCGTAGTGCTCAGATTCCCTTTCGAGGGGCCATTGTTCATTGGGATCTTGTGGCCCGGCGGTTCAAGTTTTGACACCTTTGTCAAGCAGCTCTGGACCAATAGGAGATTTGAAGTGCTTGATTTAACCACGTCTATTTTCTATCTGGTAGATACAGGGTCCTGGTTCCCCGAGATTCAATCCAAAATGGCGTCATATCGTAGAGATAATCACGAGCAAGTGGCAGTGAGTACCTGCCTCACACCACCACTCGAAACTCGAACCCCCGCGTTGCGTTCCCGTCCACCAGGACTCTCCTTGTGTCCTGTTTCGACAGCTGAACGACATTCTCTCTCGAGAGGCGCACACTCCTCGCAGGGGAGCCTGCTTCGGTCTGGTCTTCAAATGCTGCCTGGGACAAACCACGTAAGCTCAGCTTGGCAACAATCTCCTTGATGTTGTGCTGAGCGGCCCAATACGCCTGAAGGGCGAGGACTAAACCCAAGATTGGGTAGGCAAAGCTCCAAGCGATGAGTAGAGAGAGTGGAACAACAGGGACCTTGGACAGCAACATGTGCTCCCGATGTTGCTGCTGCAAAGCCATCCGATTGGTACTATAGCCTCCAATCTTTGCGAGCACCTTGGACGAGTACAAGGAGCCAAACTTGCCTAAAAACGATTCCTTGGTCGATCCTGACATGGAAGATTGGTCCACAAAATCTTGGAGATCAAAACTCCCGCCACTGACGGTTGAGTATAATTGAGAACCGTGAAAGATCTCGAGGACGCTACCGTTTGTTGTCGGTATCGCAGAGATATTGTAGAGAGACTGGTTGAACCAAGTGTAGCTGACATCATAGGAAGTGACGGCACAATTGACGATGAAATCAACGATGGAGTTGTATTGGTCCCGCTTGGTGTCATTTGTTATCAGCATTTCACTGTCTGATTCGAAGGATGAATACTCTGTCCGGCCAGCCAGCGCCAGGTAAAAGGGATTCACTAGCTGTGAGTCGTTGAGAGGAAAAATGTTGAGGTCAAAGAGCCCAGAGTCATTGTAGCCGACGGTATTGTACACCGTCTTCATCGAAGAATCGTTGAAGAAGGTGTACATGATGTTTTGAGCCGGCTTGTACATCAAGAACGACCGGTAGGCATCGGGGATCCGAACCGAGCTCACGTCGCTCACATTGGGAGGCATGCCGATCGTCCCATGAAACATGTCTGAGCAAGTGAAGTTGGTGTAAACGTCGGTCGGACCCCAACTCGCCATGCTGCAGCTAGAAGCTGGGACAAGTTCACACATCGTCGAGATTCCAACAGTTGTCGCATGAAAGTCGGTCCCTGTGGCGATGGCTTGGTCTGATGGAGTCAGGTATGCAATGTCTGATCCTGGCTGGTCGTGCAAGTTGGCGAATCGAATGGTTGAGGTTTGGGAGGTGTTGTGCACCAACCTGCTCGCTTCCGTCTGCTCAAAATTCTTGTTGGGATCCACGAAATCGAACTCGACAGAACACGGCAGTCCCACCTTTTCGCGGTCGAAATCGAGGCAGAACTCCGAAACCCCTCGACCAAACTGTCGATCTGGTACAGCTCGCACAAATACCTGGTCAAATTCAATCGTGGACGTCATGTAATGTAAGACCGCATCGCTGATGGATACGGCACCCGCCAAAGCGATGGTCAAAGTCATCATCCAGGCTGAGCGATGGAGAACTCGAGGGATGCCGGCCCTTTCTGTCCGATGCAACAGGTAGCCAAAATAAGTCCGCAGCTGCTCGGTGGCTGCCACGAGGATACCGATCAAGAGACTCATCTGGTAAGGTGTCGGCAGCTTGAGATACTCGGAATTTCTGGAAGCGACCTCGAGATCCCTTGACACAGGCAATGCTATCAGAGCCATAATGTAGGATCCGAGCAACGGTGCCACCGTGGATAAGAAGCTCGCCACAAATACCAAGCGTGCTGCGGGTTGATTAGATTCGCTCTTTCGGTCTGAGGCCGGCTGACTCACTGGCAGAGAAGTTAACAAGCATACAGTTTTGACCACTCGGATCCGTTGATGGAGCAAAGATACCGGGCTTCGGGTTTACCCTGAAGATGAGCACCAAAGCGAGCAGGGCACCGGCGAGAAGCACAATGGGCACGCATATGATCACGGTGGGTGTCAAAATTGACTGGACGTGATCTTTGGCCGCAACGGCTTGCATGTCGTCATCTCCCACGTGGTTGTCGTCGACATTGGGTCTGATCAACGAGATCCGATGCGCCTTCTCAGGATGTGAAAAGTCGTTTTGAAAAGCCGGTATCGTGTAGATACCACTGTCCCGTACATCTTCATTTGAGGGAAATTGTAGATTGACGTTGTCGTATGTCCTGGCGGCCATTCGATGATAGAACGGAAGCTTCGACCGCCGGTGATCGCGATACTGTTCCATGACTCCAGCCTGACTCGGAGTAGCAGATGTTCGATGGAACAACTGACATCTGTGCACCAGGTGGAGGCAAGAGGCTTTTGAAGTCTCTCATTGTGTCTGAGTTATGCCGGCAGAATTCATCTCCAAAACATAAGATTTCTGGAGCTATCCCTTCTGTATCAAAGAATAGGCGACAAGCTCTCCTGTCATACTGTAATCAATCATCATATTGATCGTCGCAGTCTCTAAACGACATTGGCTGGTGAACAGGGGTTCACAGCCTCACCGGCTGCCGTTCCCAGGGGTGTCTTTTGGAGGGGCCAAAATCTCGCCTTCCGGGATTGATTGGCGGGAGCGGCTCATTAGATGAACGCCAAAAGTTTTGCCCATGCCAGATCCCACCTTCGGTGGAGGATGGCTCTTCTGGGTGGTGCTCCACGGCTCTGCCGATACGAACAGGCAAATGTCAGCCCTAGAAGCAACGATGGATGTTCTAGCTTTCCCTTCCTTTCGCACCATCAATGTCATCGATGTTTCCATCGATCTGTTCTGCACGGTCACCCAATAAGAGGGTGTAAGTCACTTTGTTACCGGCTGTGAGATTCTTGTGTGCTTCTCAACGTTTGCTATCATGTGCAATCATCGTGAGCCTGGCTCTGGCCGGCCGGCTTCTTTGTCAGCCTGTCAAGCTCGTTTTTGAACCACTTGGCTTCTTTGTGGGCTCGTGTCGGTTTGGATCCGTACTGTGTCGCATTCGGCTTTGATGACCTGCTCAACTGAATCATCAGTCACACATTCAAGAAACATGATGCTTGACCTGGTGAGTAGAATAGACGGACGCGCTTCAGGCGATGAAGTCCCTGGTGCCAGAAGGTTCTAAACATGTTTTCATGGGAGAATATAATGGGATTGATGTCTCTGTCCGCAGCTTGAGCACAGCGCCGAGACACAGTGTGGGATTATGCTCCTAGTCGTGGCTTCCCTGCTGCACCGCGAGCCCATCGATATCACCATTGTGCACTCAGAGACCTTCATCTTCTTACTTAAGAACGCCTTGTCGCATCGAAAGATGAACACTTTTCATATTCATTCTTCAGCCAACACTTGAAGATCTGGGCGATTCAATCACACTCTACTTTGATCCAAGAACCTTGACCTCAACCCGGTTTATAGAAACAACTCCTCTCAAATGCAGAATGCGCAGACCTCAGAACCAACGATGGCGGTGGACAGTGTGCTGGTCTCCGGAGGAAACTTTGTGATAAACAGCCATAACTACGGTGTGTAGGCTCATCCTCACAGATTGAGCGAAACACTAATGAGGAGCAGATGTCACCGAGAATGAATGCCTCATTTGTCATGAGGTCCTCGTGCATGAGCCGAGTTCCCAGAAGATTGATAACGAGGAGCCTGGCAGAATGGCATTTGAACCGTCCGAAGAGTGCTCGTCATGTAAGAGACGCACACACACCTACTGTCTAGCCGTCTGGTTCAACAAAGCCTACACCCAAAAGTGTCCCCATTGTCGAGTCGAGGTGGCCGAAAGCTATGCTCTCCAAATCATCGAGGCCGGACTAGGAGAGTGGGAAGCTAAGAACTGGAAGAACTGGAAGGATGCAGACGTTTATTGGCAACATTACTATGATTCCGGCTACGATGATCAATCTGACTCTGGTTACAACTACGAGGCTACGTCTGAGTCTGAGTCTGCCTCTGATGGTGGGGTGGATGCAGCAAATCACGAAGAAGGCACATCTCGTGTCAATGAGGAGTAATCTGAGGGTGGGAGCGAATCGACCGAAGAGTCAGCCGCATAGGGACGAGGTGCAAAATGACAACAACGACCCTCGTGGTTTCATTTGTGACTGGACTGCCTGTTGGCGTGAAGTGTAAACCGTTTCACGGTTCAGCACTTCCAAATAACGATCTCGACGTCAACAACGTGAGAATCACCCTTGATAAGGCTTCTTGAACAACTCCTCATAAATTGCCTTGCCGATGCCAACAGCACTGGCCGGGTTTTGTCCCGTGATGAAAGCCCGACCTTCCGAGTCTTTGGAGACCACCACATGTCCACTGAACGGCTCGGCAGCTTTTTCATACTTGCCTCCCGCTTTGCTCAAGTCACTCTCCACGCTGAATGGCTCTTCAATGCCGGACGCTAGCATGTCAACCTCCTTGTTACTGATGCCGGTCACTCGATGCCCCTCAAGAATGCTCTTGTCGGTACCTGGGATTGTTCGATGAGCGAGAACAGCAGCTCCGTGGCAGATACCAGAAATGATTTTCTTGGAGTGGTAGAATTGTTCGACGAAGGCGACGGTCGCCTCCGAGTCGGTGACATCAAAGGTTGCTGGACCACAGTCAGTAGACACGCTTCATCGACGGCCGAGTCGCTAAGGCTTACGTCCGTATCCACCAACATAGAAAAGGACATCGAATTCTTTGGCTCTTGGAACCAGATCCTCCAATTTTTCCGTATTCTTCCAGACCTTTTGGTTCTCTCTGACGAATCGAGCACAGATCTCGTCGTTCTTGAACGCCTCGACCGATTTCTCGTCCAACGGGGCTTCTCCTCCCAGATGAGAGGCCATGGTGATGTCGGTGTGTGGAGCAAGAATCTCATACGGATGGGCGAGCTCAGGCTGCGCGTTGATCAGTCAATCAGTCGAGTCAAGGCACGTAGGTGACAACATACCAGATACCATCCATGCTTGCTCGAGGTGAGCACGATGAGCACCTTTGGCTTTCCTGTAGTCATTTTCGAAAGTGGTAGAAGGTATTTCGTTTGCTTTGTTGTCTTTTGTTACAAGATGATGCGAATTCTGTCACGACCTTCCATCCTCGACCTCACCCAGCGACTTTATGCTCGATTGAAGTCTCCGGGACGGAGCTACCACTCGATATGTCCGCATCTAAAAGCTCTGGATTCCATAAACAGTATGCATTATCTCCAGTCGCCATGGTCAAAATCCGCATCCCAGGCTATATGACCATCGATGATGTTACTCACGGTATGTACTTTCGGTCGTCTAGATGGTGCGTTCCGAAGTGGTCTGCCATTTTGGGATTAAGTCGATGCGGAATAGACTCTATTCCGGCTGGGCGACGGGCAGAGGAGGATCGATGTGGGGAGGAGCTTACACCTTGCAGCACGTTTGGTGACTAAGTCACAAGCTGGGAGCGTAAAGATCGGGTTTATCATTGATCAAAGACGGCCAGTAGTCGATTAGGCCGTCAGCAGCATCAATAGACCAATACCTACCTAGATAGGTAAGCGTGATGGGCTCCTGGCGAAACTGGTATCGAGACGTTATGTCACGAAACTCGACGATCCCGTGCTACATCATTAATTTTCTTCGATCTGCCCACATTGAATCAATCAGTGGCGCCATGAAGCAATAAACAACACTATCTTCTCTCACAACAGAAGACAGCTTGGAAACGAGCCCGCGGTAAGGCTGGCAGAGGCCCAAGAAGCGATGCCAAGAACGTTCAAGTGCGAGCCAGAACTCAAAACTCTAGAACTCGAACTCCATCTTCACAAAGTGACTTGCAGCGTTGCCAAAGAGAGACCAAGTCCTGCACAACCCAGTCCGATTTGCCTCGCTCCTAAAAACACTCAATTTGAGACAGGAACTCGTGATCTACATGGTGCCAGAGTTCAAGAGCTCTTGAGTTCCAACCTTCTCAGCTATCCGTAACTCGTAACAAGAACACGGATCTTGCTGTCCAGGTTGAACTCCGCCCCCATCAATCATCGACCCGACCAGTCATATTGGAAAGCCATCAATGTCTTGGCGTGTATCACATTGGAATGTGCAGAGTGGTGGCTTCTCCTCACTCCTGAGGAACCCTGGACTCGCCGGTCGATGACATTCAGCCTCACGTATTTCCGTGATCTGTCTGTTTTCGAATGTGCTCATCTCTTTTGTCGCACAAGCACCGGGGTGATGCCTGGATGCCAAGGTGAGTGGCCTTGTTATTCCCTTTCTTGCCTTCACCATGTCTTACCTTCCTGTCGCCTGCCTTTGAGTTCCATATGGCTTGCTCCATGAGGATGGAAGATGAAAACTCCAAGTGTTGAGGACCCGTAGCCTGTTTGCGGTCCAAGCTCCCACAGATCTCCTGAGCATGGCTTCCAAGGCAGACTCTCGTGATACAATTAGGGGCGGAAGTGAGTCGCGACAAGGCTGTCAGCCTACCTCGTAGCTGGTCGACCATCACAATCCCGTGTCTGCACTCCTATACGAACTTGACACCCTGCATCCATTCAGCTGTGGCTTTCAATATCGACTGGCTGTGTTGAAACAAGATCATGCGTCCAGAGCCTTTCCCCCTGATCTCTCTCTCTGTGTGCATTTATCAACCCATCACTTCCCCTTTGCATGCCTCGTTGCCCTCCGTTTCTTTACATTTCCACCAACGAGTTGAATTGCAACTTTTACACGGCGTCTTAACACCCTCCAAAGAAATCCCACAGCCACCTCACATCATATCATAATGTCTTACCAACCCAATCAGTATCAACCCAACGCAGGCGAACCAGCCCGAGCATCCCATCGACCCCTGAACAAGTGGTGGCCCATCGGCTTCGCCATTGCATCGGTGCTCCTGTACGCCATCGGAGGAGGCCTCTACGGCTCATCGTGCTCCACGGATGGCTATTACTACTACTGCAGCTACGGTCAATGGAGTGGTGGCATCGCGCTGCTCTCCCTCGGAGGCATCACCTCGACCGTGGCCGTCATCCTCCTCATCATCTATCTCATCCGCCGCCGCAACCCAGCTCCGTACAACTCCGGAACCCGTATGCTCGATCAGAGTCAGTTTGCTCAACCACCACCAGTGGCGGCCAACGTCCAGGCTCCTGCTGCAACCTATCCGCAATACGCAGCTTCGAAGCCTGAGGCAGATATCCGCGAATTACCCGTGAATGGAGGAAAGTTCTGTGGTCGTTGTGGTACTGCGGTTCTGTCTGCCTTTTGTCCCAAGTGTGGTGCTCAGGCCTAGATTGATATCGAATCCTGTGGTGTGTGCTAGGACAACCGGGCACTCTTCCCAGGGACGTGGAAGGAAACAGAGGGTGCGGGAAATGACTGTGGAAATGGCATTTAGTGTGCCTCAATGGTCACGAATTGAATCATGGCTTGCGATGTTTTCTGGAAGGCCAGACAACTCAAAAAGAATACACGAAATTGAATGTTTTTGTTTTCCAGGAGATCTTGTTCTGCACGCTCTGTTTGTTTTGGATTTGTTCAGACCAATAATTCATTCACTATTCTCTCATGCTGCTTCATGATTCCACCATGCAATGTCATCTGTACTAAAGGGAAGTGCAACACTCAGCCTTGTCATATCCGATGAACTGCTCACACGCTCCGAATTGGATCGAACACGAAGTGGCTGAAAACATCCGAAACAATCAAAAACCAATCGTCTTCGTAGAGATCACGGGCAATTAATGTCCCACACGGGAACCCGCTTGTATGCTTGTTAATTTCCCTCAAAGCGAATAGCAGCGGCAGGAACACGGGGATGTCCCAATAAAACGCCAACAAACGCTTTCGTTGGCGAAAGTCGGAGGACTTTCTGTAGCAGCTTTAAGATGCCAACCTGGTCCACCATCGCGACTTCTTATATTGCTGTCAAGCATCTCTTTATAATCTGTACGTAGTAGCCGGGAATTCTGAAAAATATAAGGTCTCGAATATATGCTTCCGACGGGAGGGTTAGGACAACTCCAACATTAGTGGGAGTTGATGCATAGTAACTACCTTTCGCATCAAAATCCTGCTGCCTTACTCATATTTGAAGAACAGCTTCTCGTTCGAGTTCGACTCTTCCAAGTTCCAGTGCTTTCTAAGTCGTAACGATGGTGTCTAGTTCGCTGTTGGTTAGAGCATGTCCAATGCCATACATGTGTTGCGAATGCCCACAGCCTTCTGCGAGATAGGCTAACACGATGTTGGTCTTGAATAAAGTCATCGATGGAAATAATGGCACAAGCATATACATGATAGACAGCAGCTCGCACATTGAGGTTCGCAAAGTTTTGAAGAAAAAAATCGTACATCAATCTCACTTTTGGCAGATCGTAGTGCACTATATTAGATTTCCAAGTAATGTGGACTCTTTGAGTAGCCGTGGAGAGATGAACTTGATGAGAGTAGTAAGTATATGTCATAGAGTTAATCTAGTTCTGTTGATTAAAAAAACCCAGGAAACAAATTCCTCCAAACTGCTTGGAAGGTTTGGAAAAAAAGAATGACTGAATTTGAATCAGCAGGGTTTCGAACCCCAGACCTTCTGCGAGCGAGCTTAAGCGAACTTATGCTGTTAAGCAGACGTGATAACCAACTACACCACCGATCCGAATCTTGAGAGGATGAAATCCTGATTCGATTGTTGAGGAGAATTGTAAAACTCAAAATTATATCGGAATCCCTTTGCCGGCTTGGTATTGCTCCTAGTGGCAGGGTTAGCGCTGCCCTGCCGGTCAGTCGGAGAGTGCGTCCGGAGCACTCCCACACACGAATACTTTTTGGGCCCTGGCGAGGACTTGATGAATACTATCTGGTATGGTGTGACCCTTTAGCTTCTCATGCTTCTAGGCTCTCGCGATGACGGGCTTTATTTCCAGCTATGCACACTCAAGGTCCCGCATAAATACAAGGACAGGCATTTTGGTCCGTAACTTTTCGACCTAGATACCTAGGTATCCAGCCGCTTGTTACTAGACTATCCGCCTGATCTGTCTAAGTTGCTAACCTTTGATTCACTAGGAAGCTGGTGAAGTATAGAGTGACATACGCTGAATCGCCATGGCCACAGCGGTATGCTAATGGCTCATCATTTGTCTTAACCGCCTCTTATCTATGAATGAGCTGACCTCCCCAGTCACAAATTCGCCAGCCAGCCCAGATCAACAAATTATAGTGGCGGGGTGATATTCAATATCCAGAATCTTAATACAAAGGCTTGAGAGCATCAGCCCTGTCATTCAAGTGCCTTTTCCCATGAGGCACTCCAAACTGCTGAAGGGTTTCGCGAGTGATAGCTCTTCCTTGCTCGAGAGAATTTGAGTATTAAGGCTTAATGCGAGTGCCGAGCGTAATCGCTGTGAGCGGATGTTTCCTCTATGACATGAATGGCCCTGAGAGGTGGCCGAACAAATCCGACCACAGGGAATACGCAACCACTGGATCAGTCTTATCGGCCTTTGCAAAGTTTTGCGCCAATACATGGAAACTACTATTGGTTCATTAATTCTGAAGGATGAGTGCTCACCACTGCGATCTGCCTAGGCCGAGAGCTACAGGGATTTCCCGTGGTCTCTTGGGCACACTCGGTAGTGCAGGAGTAATGTGTTCTATGGGTAGCACACAGTAGTCTGGAATTTATTGTGTGCCGAACAAACTCGCGCCCGCAGAAGTCTATTTTCTCGACGCAACATAGCGTTTGAAACCATTATGGCGCGTGTAGCGCAACTGTACTCCAGAACTTGCTGGATACAGCACAGTGGCTGAATTTCTATCGGAACGCGATAGGACGAGTGCAAGGCTGAGAGGCTACAAAAGCGGCGGACCGGGAATAACCGAAGAGTCTCCCAATAAAGGACATTGCAAGGCCGCCATAACGAGATCGTCACCCTAGCCGCAATTTACATTAGCTGCCAAGAAGCTACTAACAGTTCCTCCGCATATCTGGTCTCTCCAAACGCGTTGGGGTGTGCCCCGAGTACTGTAGAGCACCTAGAATTCAGTATCTATTTCTCAAGGTCGAACCATGTTCGGAGCACTGAACCGTTTCATCTCGCGGCTCGATGCCGAACCTGCTCCCCGCCAGGCCGATGCAGGACCTCAAGACTCGTCGTATGGCTTTCAAGTGCTCCGAAATGTAAACAAGGAACTCGCTTTGGAGCCGTGGTTCGATTTCATTATCGGAATCAACGGACATTACCTCGTCAGTCACTACAAGCAAGCACCTCGAGGCATCCCACTGACTCTGTAGGACTCTCCGGATCCCAACCTATTCGCCACCGAAATCCGCAACTGCGCAGGTGGATTCTGCTCGCTGGACATCTGGAGTGCGAAGGTGGGTACAGAGAAACCCTGGGAGGTTCAAAACACGACTGACACGATCGCATAGGGTCAAAGAACGCACTCACTCACGGTCAACGTTCCTGCCTCCTCCGATGCACTTGGGCTGAGCCTCCAGCTCGCACCATTGAACTCCACCCAGAACATCTGGCATGTGCTCAACATTCCCTCCTCACTCTCCCCCGCCCACCAGGCCGGCCTACTACCACACAGTGACTACGTTCTGGGCTCACCCAGTGGGACGCTAAAGGGGGAAGGGGCTTTGGGTGAGCTCGTGGAAGATCATCTCAATCGAAGTCTGGTGCTGTGGGTCTACAACTCTGAATTCGATGTGGTCAGAGAGGTCGAACTGGTTCCTAGAAGAGGGTGGGGAGGTGAGGGCGCACTGGGTGCAGTACTGGGGTTTGGTGCTCTACATCGACTACCTGTGGGATTGGGAGAGGAGGTCCAGGCTCCGGGGGAGAACATGTTCGATGCGGACCGAAAAAGTCTCGAAAACGGGGCTCAGCCAGACTACTCAGGGAATACTTTCCAGCCAGCTCCCGCACCCATCTTGACACCACCGCCGATGATCAACCCCAATGTTGCGCCTCCACCATTGATGAACCCCAATGCACCGCCACCAGGTACATCCAACCCAGCACGAGGAAGAAAAGGCAAACACCACGCTGCCTTGGGCGCCAATCTCGGCTTCGACGACATGTTTGCCGAGGGTGCGAAGAAGAGCGCCGAGCGAGATCATGCACCGTCAAGGAAGGGCACTCCGCTAGCACCGCCACCCCGAGCGGGATCTGCGACCGCAACGTCCCATTCTCTGACGCACGAAGACCAGAATCCTTTGGATCAGGATGTCGACGACCTCGGTGAGCCTGGAGAGGCAGAAGAAAGTTGAAAAGCGACTGCTCAGCTTGATTGACGATCAATTAGGAGTTGAGATCGGAAGACCAAGAACGCGACTCGGGCGGAGATGTGTCACGCCACCTTGGCTTCTGACACTGATTTCGACGGTCGTTTTCCAAGATCAATTTCTTTCACTGGTTAGCAGCATCAACTTCCTCGTGCCACCACGACATGAACTCCCGAATTCGAGCGGACCTCTCCTCGGCCATGGCCATCCCCGTCTCAGTCTTCATCATGGCCTCGAGTTTAAGCAATTTGTCCTCGAAGTGGTCGATGGCATCTTGAAGACTCTTGAACCCTTTTGCACCAGTGAAGGTGAAACACCGCCCGATCCCTATGGCTCCGATCGCGTCGAGACGATCGGCATCCTGGACAATCGCAAGTTCTGGAATGGCTTCGATCAGCTCGATGACGCGTCGCGGATCCTTGACTTCGGATGAATAGGAAACGCCCTCGACCAGCTGCTGCATGTGTGTCGCATAGTCTTCAGACAGTCCGGCTTCAATGACGGCGCGCTTTGTCGGAGATCCAGTTTCGTCACCGGTCAGGTACTTCTTGTCTTCGACATCGTGTAGCAAGGCTCCCAGGATGACGTTGAGGGGATTCAGTGCTGGCAAGAGTTTATGGTTCCGGAGCTCTTCTTCCTTCTCGAGGATGATCAGGGCATTGGACACGACGCGTTTGACGTGGTTAAAGTCGTGGGACGCGTCAAACCTCGGGTTCTTGAAGTATTCCTCGGTGAAGGCGTAAATCTTGTTTACTACGGCGATTTCCTGATCGGATAAGCTGCTATACGAGGCGGGATGACTAGATTTCGCCTTGGGCATGGTGACGGAGGTGCTGTGTCAGGTGGGGGTCGGTAGTCAGGTCTCCTCAAAAAATGTGAACCTGAACTTCGTAGCCGAGAACTTCAAGACCTCCGCGTCTTTGGTCTTTTCCTGATGAATACAACGCTCGAATCCTCGAGGTTCCACGCCCAGGCATCTGTCAAGGGTACTCAGGTACATGTCGAAGGGGAAAAAAAGATCAACGGGTTCAGGCACCGGTGGGTGTGGGGTTTCTCAATCATGCCGAGAACTCTGATGAGGGGCTAATACCACTGCAGACTGGCGCCGGGATTTTCCGTTACCAACGGACGCTGTTCTCAAAGTGTTCGTGAGTGTTCAAACCAGAAGTATCCGATCCATCATCCTTGCGCGGACCTATCGAAGTCAAGGACAGAGCAAGGAAACTAGAAAAGGACGTGATAAAGGACAGTGGAAAGAAGCGGAAGGCCTAGGAAGACAAATAATGTAGGAGAAAAGGAAGGCATTAGGGGAGGAACATGAAGACCTCTTGACGAGCATACTTCGCCTCCGCGTCGAGGCATATTTTGCCAAGCTTCGGGGTCTACATCCCTCGAAGTTACGTTTATCTAGCTAGAAGATACCATCGCGCCTTTATTTGCTCAATGACTTCCGCATTCTCAGGCCATTTGACCTTCACCTACGCATGGTATTCGGTGAAGGTACGCGCCGCGCTTTCATGACATGCCTTGACCGCCTTTGCCATTCCGACCTGATGTGCAAAATCAAGAAAAATGCCGCCATATACCGCGCGCTCTGGATCGAGTCTGATGAAAGTCGACTTTCGAGCAGTGTTATTTCCACTGGCAGACTTTTTGGCAACCTGGCTGTTTCCTCCCGGCCAATAAGGGTCTCCGTTCTCGTCTGAACACTCTCTCGTCTCAGCCTTGATGAATAATTTTGCCAAATAATCGCCGAATCCAGTCTCGAGGATGCTCTTGTCGTCAAGAACCTCGGACTTGTACTTACGAAGGCAGAGGCACGTTCAGTGAATGCATCAAAGCTTCGACGAACGCAGCCAGTGGAACAGTGTCTTTTTCGAGATTATGCGACGCGTCACCATCCCTGATGGTTTCCCCAACAAGAAACCTGAGGTACTCTTGCTCAACTCTTTTTCGTCCGGCAGGCTTCTGAAGCGCAAATTGGAACGCATGTGCGAGCTCGTGCGGGATTATTTCTGCCCTCCTCCCGAACCCGAAAAGACGAGTGTGTGCATTGTAAGGGCGCGGCCTGCGGATTATTCTTCAATAATTCCTTGTCAGCCTTGTCGGATTGACCTTGATCCTTGAGATGTACTGGTGGACAACCGGTGGTCAGACCCTTTGGCTCGACAAATGGGGCTGTCTAATCCAAGTTGTCGAGGTAGACGATATCGATGCGGTCATCCGTCTCGTGTCTCGTCAAGTGTTGCATTTCTACCAAATGGAAAATCGGTGTGACTGAGGGCCGAGAAGAGCTCGAAATGATGGTGCATTTATTCATAGCTATCCATGGCTATTTCTAGAACACGAAAGCGCCCAAAATGCTCCGCAGATGTGTCGATGTTGATTAAAGTGCCATTTCTTCCCTGCAGTTCTTTTGCGCACCCTCTCCTCAAGCCAGTACCTAAAATTGGAAACACTCGGTGGAATCATTTCTGTGTCTCAATGACCGGCTCTTGGGTTTTGCTTCTGGGTCCTGGCTCCCCTTCCCTTCCAACTCCCTCCGCGACTTTTCCGCCCACGGAGTACCAAATAATGTTCAACCCCGGCCCTGGCCTCCTGGCTACCAAACCCTCCTCCCCAGACAATTCCTCCAGCCGCTGTCTCTCCTGCTTCCACTACCACCTATCCACGATCTTCGAGGGCTCGACCCTTCTTTTCCGGCCGTAATACGTGAGTAAGGCTGCGTAGTGATATACAATTATGACTATCGACCACGGGCATACAAGAGGTGTGGAATGTATCATAGGTGACATGGAAGGAAACGCTCCCGTACGGATCGCGGAATCCCCGGATTTAGTGTCGACAGCAAGGCTGTCTTCATCGTGCACTTATACTACGACTCCGCCTGGATCAAGTCGTAATCTGTTCTCTCTTCTCTAGCTGAGTCTCCTAGTATAAATGCTGACTACAAGAAAAATTCACCCTTGCGTTTTGTACGAGCCGTGACATTAGTCCTAATTGGGATTAGCAACCCTTGTTTCCTTCGCTGGATGTGTCTATGCTTCACGAGATTGAGATTGCCCACATCTCACCGAGCATCCCATGGCGTCGCCCAACATTATTAGGTGCTGAACTTGTCGGGGGTTCAATGGATTGTACTCCTGTATGCGCTTGGGTCATTGGGGGCTGGCCTTCTCCGTGGCCAAGCAAATTGCGGACTACCGAACATCCGCGGGCCCAAGCCAAACGATTACCAAACGTCCATTCCCCCCGGAGCCAAACGACTACCAAACATCGCCCAATAACCCTAACCAAATGATTACGAAACTTCCCTCCCCGGGGCCAACTGACCACCAAACGTCGCCCGATAACCCGAGCTACCAAACGCCTCAAGCCACCAAACATCTTCCGGCGCTAAACGTCTTCGGGGTACCAAGTAGTAAGAAGATTCAAGGAATTTCAAGGCGCTCCGCCGGCCGATATCCGGGGCGCCAGTTCAACACTCTATGCAAAATATCAGGGAGGTGGAACGTTTCGGTACGCATTAATGTCTACTAACTTTTGAGTTAGGTGTCCGACGGGCTGGCGGCGAAGAGGGGGGGGGGGGAAGGGGGGGGGGCGCAACGATCTTCCGGCCAAAACGAGTCCGACATAGAAATCTCGGGTCAGCTGGTCGCTAGCGTTCGCTGTCAGTGCAGCCGACTCCACGAATTCCGGTGCACGGAGCCGGTAACGGAAAACCCGTTGAAACAAACACAAATGCATATAAATTGGGCCACTTGTGTCACTCCTGCGGGCACTCCCTCTCTGCTTGTCGATGCTGCCCGCTTCCCGCGACCTTCTACTATAGGCTGCTTCAGCCAAAGTCGAAATGGTGGAAATCCCAGCTCCGGAGAAGCCAATGTCCAGGAAGGAAGTGCCGGGACGGCGTCCACTCTCGGCCGGAGCGACGGGCCGCAACACTCTGAGGCCGGTGGTATAAATGAAATGGAATTGAGTTGCGCTGAGGTGCTATCTCAAATCTGTGGACCTTTTCTTCTCGCTTCTCCCGCCAACATAGTTGAAATGAGTGAATCTCTGCTCCCTTCTCCCGCGACCATATTTGAAACGAGTGGATCATTCACCAGTGTCAACTCCAACTCTTACGCATTCCCACTCCGGACCATCACGCCAACTTATGATGCCTCTTGGACGCCGCCAGACCTTGCCGCGAGATCGCTCGGCGGCAGTACCCGGTGGTTTCCGTTCCATCTCTTCGTCGTGAGGCGCAGCACAAGCGGAGGTACTGTCACACTTGATTCGAACCATCGGCATTCAGAGGCGGCAGGTTGCTTGACAGTTCTGTGGCTTCGGTCAGCAACATGGTGGTTACGGGGGGGTGCACGGGGCCAAACGAAAAGGGTATGGACAACGCCGCTGCACCCCGCGGGTTTGGTGAAGCCCATATATGCCGATAAAGAACATCGCCACGACTAAGATGATCGTTGTCACCAGCTCCGTGGCCGTCATGTTAGTATCGGGTGGTATTGGTGCCGGCGGCGGGTTCCTAGTCGGGGTAACCGAAGAAGTCAGCACACTTGCATAATTCTCATTTTGCACCGACGCAGAGGGAAGAGCTGCACGGCGATGGAAAGGCTCCATGCGGACTCGGAAACACCTACGGCTTGTAGTAGGGTATTGTGTGTCGAATCGGGTGGGAGTAGAATCAGGGCTGGTGTGCTCTTAGCAAAGTATTTGAGGAAGCAAGTGGGCTGGCTAGGGAAGATTTTTCAGGTAGTAGGAGAAAAGGTCGTGGAAGTGCAGATGATGAGGGTGACAGGGAAAAGAGCACCCACAGAGCGCCCTCGCGTGTTGACCTAAACTGCTGTTTCAACGTTCCGACCAGGATCGAAATGTAGTCCCCTTTCTGCAGCGAATCAAAAGCTTGCGAAACCTTGGGGTCAAGTCCCATTGGTTGACGTGGGTCGTTGGCTACCTGTATACCTTTCCAACGTTTGCCCGAACTTCTCTGCAGGTCAGGTCGAGACCACAGAAAAGCCGCTTTCATAGATCATTTTAGAGAGGGGTCTCGACCTCGGTCGGGATGCCTGTTGAAGCGGCCGGTGAACGCGAGAATATATCATTAATGGGCATGAAAAGCATACTATCTGGAACTATTCGCGGTGCAACATACAGTCGCCCTGAACGTCGCGGCTGACAAAGGGATGCCCCGCGAGGGCTACCACGAGGTTTAGCTGTTTACCATTGCTTCATCACTTGTGTTTTTAGGTCCAGCTGCCCCCGCGGGCGATGTTTACCCACATGCCGGATAGCCAGGTAGAAAACCCTGAATAATACGGTTCCGGACTTTCGTTACCACTGCATGATTTAAAGTCCATCTACGGATATGAAACGAGACGATACCCGTATAACGCCCCGAAGAAATTGCATCTTCCATGACAGAGCTCCATGCTTCATGAAACTATGTTGCTCTCCATCAGTCAGCCCCGCTCTCCACGGTTCACTTCAGCCGGCTCTGGCTCCGGGACCGCGCGAGCATTTTCTAGCTCCGGGAATCCTTGTGTCTCACTCGGGCCTCCCTTGTTGTGCCTCAGGAGCCTCATGAGCCCTTTGAGACTGACTCTGTGCGTCGTGAAGGAGTGTTAGCTGCCAATCTCGCTGCTCCGCCTCCTCAAGGTAAATGGATTTTAAGGTTGGCACCTTTCTAGAGAGAAATATAATCCCTTCAGAATCCGTTTTGATCGGTGAGACTCCGAACAGCTCCATCGGACGTTTGCCGAACTTGATCAGTGTGGTGAATTCCACCTTCGGCTGCTTTCGTGTAGCATACATCGTGTGTACCATTGCATGCATCTGCTCCCAGACTTTCGCGACATGCTGCTCGGTCATTCTGGTACAGTCCGCGAGAGAGTTACTTTCGTCTTGGGAACACTTCTCTATAGCGTTATAAGCCTTTCGAATCTCTCCATACATCAACCGACATTGGTGATCCAAGTCGTTCAAGATCGAAAACAAGTCCCCCGGTGTCCTCTCCGGATCGCTTAGACTTTTAGCCGTTTTGTTTGGCGCGGTAAGATCCCATATGTTGCCCAGCCAAGGGTGTGCTCGGAAGTCCTCTCCGTTCTTATATGGACTATTTTTATCCGATTTGGCATTTTTGTGGGTCTCATCCGTGAGGAAGGTGTAAAGGCTCTCGGCTGTCCGTGTAGCACGAGCCTGAACCAGATATTCCATCCACAAAATGTTGCGATTAGCGTCCTCCCAATCCCAGGAAAACTGAGTATCAGAAGGGTAGCACACTCCGTAGTCATTCCCGCATTTCATTTTCTGTCCCTTGACCGTCCAGTTCCGGACATAGTAATGAACTTTCCCCAGACCAGTAGAGGCCACAACGATCCGTTTTGGTATGGGGTCAAGTTTTAGTTGGCCCACTGGGATCTCATTCTCAGCTATATCATTCACTTGAAAATCCGGAGCCTCAAGGTCTGGTTCTTGTTGCAGCCATTTACCAAATTCCAGCGTCAGTCTGCTTGCTGGAGGTAGATGTATCGCCTTTACCTTGGTCGGTACTTCATCGTTGTTGTTAGAGGTCAGCTTAGGGTCTTCTCTCATTCGCTTATGGCCGAGCACCCTAGCCTGAGACGCTCTCTCAGAAATTTCGAAGATCTCAACATCGGAGCCGTTATCAGAGCGTTCACAATTGCAATCATACCGGCTTTCTGAAGTATGTGTTCGGTATGTTGTCGCCAATCCTGAATGCACTGAGCCTACCGGTATCTGGACATCCGGTTCGGGAACCTGGCGCACCTGCATTGTGAATTCGTCGCAATTGATTTTCTCACAAAGGTCGTCAAGCTTTCCTTGTTGCTTGAGGAACTGTATGTCGATTTCATTCCAGTTCTTGTCTGCCTGTACTGCATGTCTGACACGACGGGCGGCCAGCTCCTCTGTCATTTTTCCGGTTGGTGGCATTGCAGCTCGGTTTAGTTCACCGTTCCTGGCCACAGTCGTGATCTCAATGTTCGTTCCTCAGATACTCATGTGGCACAACCCTGGCAAGATCTGGCAGGTAACGTGAGCACCAATAAGTACTCTAGAAAAGACGAAGAGGTTTGAAGAAAACTTGAAGGATAAGGCTGAAAATCGAAAAGTAAAGAGTGCGAATTTACAGTACACCCCAGCTGAGGGATTGGGATTTATATAGCCAGGAGCCAAGCATCAGCAGTCACGTGAATCCCTCGTGACCTCCGTCCAATCAGAATCCCGATATATCTTCCCGCTCGGTCAGACCATGAATAGAGAATAACATACGACTCCGACTGTAACTTGGATGCCGCGACATTGACGAGGGCGGCCGGAGAGTCTAGGAGTGGTTTAGATGTAGATACAAGAGAGGCGCCCCCGCACCACGGAGTAATGGCAACGCCGAGACCGAAGGGAAGCAATTTTATAGTTGCAAGTCTGCAGGTAGGTGCTCTAAACACTGCTGGCTACCCATTACTCGCTCGCTACAATATCTATGCAAAATACAAAGACCCCGCCGCGATGCTGCTCAAATTATAGCACCCGATGGCCAATGGAGTGAGGCGGGGTGAGAAGGACCGACGTAAGTTCTGAGGGCATCGGAATTGACGGCCGGGTGACAGGATGAAGCAAAAGAATCTTATCCCCCTCGCCTGCACTTCCGCCCCCGGGGGCGCTGTTAAATCCCCCCCGCCAATCCCCCCGCCCCCGGGGCAGCTGTTAGATCATCCCCACCCCTATTCCCCCGCCCTCCTGAGCAGCTGTTAAACCCCCCCGTCTATCCCCCTCCCACCACCGCCCTCCAGACCCCGGGGCCGCTGCTATAACTCAATTTCCACTTGGCGGCGGCACCGCACCATACTCTACCGGCCCGCATCTATGGCGGCCACTAGCGGTGTTGCAAACTTGTCCCGTCCAAACGTATTTGGGTCGGCTCCGTGTTGCAGCAGAATACGCGGGAGGACACGCCTGTGGCTCGCAGCCATCTGCAGAGCCGACTCGTTTCTCCCATAGGCTGCTCCATGTTCACATACGCCCTCCTGACAATCAGGAGATGGATGATGGCCTCGGAGTGGGCGATTTTGTTCTCCGACGCCAGGTGCGCTGCTTATAGTGGTTTTCCGTATATGTTGCCCGCATGGTTGCCGTTGGCGCCCTGGTCGACGAGAGGCTCGCTGAAGAGCGGTGGCTTGATCGTTGACTAAACAGCAATCTTCTTCGCCCTTGATGTCAACTCCAGGGGAAAGGAGACGTTCCATCATTGTGGCTTGGCCGACTGTGCTATTGTATAGATAGACTGCAGTAAGGACGGATCTATCCTTTATCGATGAGTAGATGTGGACACTGCGGTTTAGAGGATCATGCGTGATACTGTCCTTCTCCTTGAACACAGAGGCCTGGATGTCTTTCTCAAGGGACCCGTAAGGTTCTGGTGGCTCGACGATCGCACCATGAGTAAGATGATACCGGTGTCCGCTCTCCGCCCTGAATAATCCCATTGACGAAGGAAGTGCCCGCGGTCCTAGCTCCTAAATTGATATCCGCGCCCCTCGCAAGCACCTTTGCAACGGACTCTAAATTTCGAGGTTAAATTGCCTCATTTAGCGTTGACCCACTAAACCCGGCTAATTATACGACGTCTGGATCTGCGCCAGCTTCGAGGAGGAGATTTATGCAGTCTAAAAGAACAAGCTTGATGCTCGTCCCCAAAATCGAGTAGCGTTGACCGCCAGTGCCATCTCGGACCCTAACTTCCGGTTTAAAGAGAAGCTTAAGCTTCTCGAGCAGGTCTTCGAAGGGCCACTCGGGTGTGGTCGATTCCGCCACAACTATCACCTTCCTACCAAACCTTACCTGGATCCCCGCCTAATAAATCAGGGAAGAAATTATCACAGGCCGGGTGCGCATAGGATCAAAAGGACATAGCTTAACTTTCCTATTTTCTGACCCCCGCTCCTTTATCAATCAGACACAAGTATTTGATGTTAAAGCCTTTAACAGCTCGAACCACGGCCGTGACATAATTTCTCCGTCGTCGCTCAGGTCGAAGCCGTTATTAATCAAAAGCTGAACTGTGTCAACTTCATTAGACGCGACTGTAGCTTCATGCGCCGAGGCGAAAACATACTCCCTTGTTATAAAGAGTGATTTGACTTTGAAGACTGAATTTCGTGGTAGCCTCCGAATACGTCCTTGATCTAAGCACCATTTTCCAAAAGACCCCTAGCTATCTCAACATGTCAATGAGCTAGGGCCGCCTGCAAAGATTTTCGATACCTGCCACTATCCGCCTAGACGTAAGCGCTCTTATTAATAAATAACCGAAGGACTGAGTCAAGCCCTTTGCTTACTGCTACTTGAAGCGGTGGAGTATACCTTTTGCCCGCCCTGCTCAACGAAACTCCATGTTCTAGAAGAACACGAAGAATCAGGTCGGTTTATACCTGATCGCTGCACAGAGCGGATCACCGCAGTTATCGCAGATACGTCCTGGGTTGACCGGAGTACCGTATCTGAGACGAAGGTGGACCAATTCCTCGTCGTTGGCGTTTTGCAGCAGCTCGGAATGGAGTGCCGAACGGCCAGTTCGGCACACCACTGGGATCTGACCAAGCTTCTAAAAGCCGTTAGGGATGACCGCCTTCAAGAAAAATTGAATCCTTGAGCAATTGTGTTGCGTCTATTCCTGGGACAATGTGATGCTCTTTGAAGATCTGACAACCCAAGTGGGTAGCCGACGCCCGATGTTTGTCCCGCAAGATGGCGTAGAATGATATAAGTCAACACAACTTTTTTGTTCGAGGGAGGTGAAAGGTGTCTGTGGTGGACAGAGGATAGTGGTATGTGTAAGTGATGGAGTCTCATTTTAATTGGCGAGAGGTGCCTGCTGGTCACATCGTCGGTGTTGAAAGCGAAGTTCCACCCGCGATGACTACTACCAAAGCCCAGCTTCTTCGGCGGGTTCTCTGGCAAGTCAGAACATCCAAATCAACCAGTGGCACCACTATCTTTGACTGAATATCACCAGCTTGATCAATCTTGCTCCTCCCCAACCAAAGACACTTTCCATATATTTCGGTCTTGTTTGATCGTCGGCCTGACTCGTTCGTGCCAGCTGGTCTTGACATACCTCTATGTTACCTATCTAGCTACACAAACGGAGATGTCTATCCGTGTCCATTGCCCCCAACGAGTCGTCTGGCACCCGTGGCGCTAGCACTAGCTTTCTCATGCCAGTAATCGTATCCCGAGCAGCTGCAGCCGTGTTCTTGCCTGGGGCCAACAAAAAGCGTCCCAAGACAAAAATGAAGAAAGAGATGGGGAAGGAAACAAGAGAAAGGAACGAAACTCACAGTCATATACCGATCCCGCAAAGCCCTTCCTCTTCCCCACCACCCTCCAATCCAACACAGTCCCAGCGGAACGGAGACATCAGGTACAGCTCCTCTTCGTTCCCTGTCCTCCCACGTTCTGCTTCTGCATCCGAATAGAACGGAGGAAGCAAAGGGGGCCCTCCCCCAATAAAATTTACGTTGTGCTCCCGTCCTCCATGGTGCAGTTGAGCTGGTACGTGGCGCGCAGCGTGCAGGCTTCGCGGATCTGCATGACGCGCGGCAGACCAGGCCGGAAATGTACAATACATTCAATCTCCTCGTCGTGGTCGGCGACAGAGTTGGAGGAAGGCAGATGGAAGGAGCCTATGCCAGGGGACGTGGAAGCCGTGTTGCGCAGGATCTCGCACCCCGCGACGACGGAAACAAAGGCCTCTGGGTGGCGCGCCTAACGCGGGAGGCCGGCCCATGCCTAAGTACGTGTGAGGCATGGTGAGGGGCCCGGCGGGTTGATAGGCGCTGTGTGGATGATGTGAGTTTTCGTAATGGTTAGAAACGGCGACACACTACCCTTGCGCATAGGATTTTCCAGAGGGAGATAACGTGGTTGATTAGGCGGGTGAGGTGTTGGACAGGCTGTCGGGCCTAACCCTGCCGAGCAGAGTTCCCAACCTTTGGCGAGCAGACTTACGAGGCTATCTTGATTGTTCTGGCGTGCAGTGGCAGATTAATATAGTCAAGAAAGATAAGCAGACGCTTCCGAGGTCCATCCATCTAGGGCACTAGATGTACCCCGTCCGACTGCTTTGTGGTTCTGCGCCCTTTGATTGATGCTGGGTAATCGTCGTTGCGTTCAGATGCGGTCGGACCAAATTTTGGCCATGCTCACTGCCGCAGCTCGTGCTCACGTTCAGGTAACCATCCTCCGGCTATTTCTCTCAACCAAAGGACCGGTCTTTGGCAACTGATTGAAGTCCTTCTAGTGGCGGCGATTGGTGATCGTTGAGAGCATCGAGTCAGTAATTACCCAGCACCTTCGTTATCTTGTTATTTCGGGTAGCATATATTTGACATCCAAAACTTTACTCGCTTTCTATATTGTACATTTGTAGTCGTAGCCGGATGAGATCTCCGAGGATAGCGACCTATGTTAATACTAAGTACTGTACTAAAGTATTTTGCTACCAATGTGTTGACTAGATAGTATAAACAAGTTTCCGACCTCTCACATCACCAGCTCTGACCATCTTCAACCCCTCGAGGACGCCCTCTAGGCCACTACCACCCTCATTTATTGCAAGTTGATGTACCTTGATGTCACCATCCGCTAAAAGCTTCTCACTGATGGACCAGAATTTCTTTGCGAACTCGAAGTGGGACGGAATCGCTGGTATCTGCTGAGGTCCGAATTGAATCGCCTCCCCAATCGCAGTATATGCCAAGGTGGACTTGTTCTCGACTTTGTCGTTGATCGCCGACACCTTGTCTCCAGGGACTGGCAATAAAGTGGTGTAGATCCCTCCTTTGTCGCTCATGGACTCGATGCAAATTTGGGTGCTGTTGCCCTTGGAGATACAATCAAAGGCAAGAGTCAATTCACCCTTTGTATACTTTTTGATGTCACTGGCACACGTCGATGAAGTATAGTCAAACACTTCGTCAGCACCAAGTCTCTTGACAAGATCGAAATTGCGTGCAGAGGCGGTGGCGATGACTGTCTTTCCAGACAGCTTTGCGTATTGAATTGCAAGGGAGCCGGTCGCTGTGGAGCCACCATAGATCAAAATTGGAGACAAATCCTTCTGGCCTTCTCCTGGCAATGAAAGTCCCAGACTCTGGTAGAGGGCTTGACCGACAGTGGTGATCCCGATCCCGAGTGTTGCAGCCTCCTCGAAACCGAGGTTCTCAGGGATATGGATCTGGAGGTCTCCTTTGACGGTGATGATTCCTGAGAAAGTGCCGTCCTCATGATGAACAGCATTCGAACCATGGGCGACGCCAGCAACACGATCTCCTTTCTTGAAGGATTTTGTCACGTTCGCTCCTACTTCTTCAACGACTCCCGCATAGTCGCATCCGACGCGAGCCCCCACAGGTGCAAGCAGGTCGATGTGGAGGATATCCGTAGGGTTCAGAGCCACCGCTTTGACCTTGACGAGGAGGTAGTCTTCCCGAAGCGTAGGGACCGATGCCTCGACCAACTCTGCTTTTCCGGCACTCTTGATAACGATTGCGTGGTTCGCCATCATGGTCAAAGGCTAGTAACACGATAAGCCGGAGAAGGACTTCGCCCACAAAAGTCCACACAGCTCAACGACATCCCTTCAGATATACGTCCCGCTGGCACATCCAATGCCACCCGTTCCAATTTGCAACATCGAAATCGATGAAGTCACGTCAAACCATTTCTCGGTCGATCCGACGGCAGACGCGTGACATCGACGATATTTGCCGAGGCATTTCCATGATATGCTTTGTTGAGCTCTCATAAGTAGAAAGACACACTGCCGTAGAGGGAAGACAGTTTGAGCTTTGAGAGAACTAAAATTGGGATGAGAACAAGCCTTGAGGACATGCAGGTGAGGTCGACTGAGCACTTCTTCGCTAAGATGAGGCTAACTTGATACAGTAGTGTATGCTGCCTCATCGGGCTAGTGCATCCCGACAACTTCGGAAGCCGCGATTCAGGGTTCTTCAAGAAGCGGCTCATTCCGTTGGCTTTCTTTTGACTGCTGCTCTCTTTTCTCTCCTGGTCGACACTCTCCTAGCCTCTTCGAAGAGTGTTCAAGGGCCTTCCAAAGTCTATTAATCAGCTCGTTGGTGATCCCCCACATCGCAGACGCCTCTAGATGCGCGGCGTTTCGCAGCTGGCTCTTGACTAGCTCGATATGGCGGATGCCCCAGCCGACGCCGTGCCTATTGGTCGAGGCCTGTGATCAATTGATATTCTGGGTAGCAGCCACCAGTTTGTCCTCGCATCTTGCTCCGCAAAAGACTTTCTCTGTGCACTCAGCCTAGCACCGGAGACTCTCCTTGATTTGAAGTCCAAGTGTAGGTATATCACCGACGAAGGATCAAAGTCGGCCATGAATGCCCCCAAGGTATTGTTCGTCAATAAAAGCGCCACGTCGGAATCTCTTTCCCACAGTGGTAGCAAAGACGGGACCAAGATTTATAGCCATGTTCAGAGGACCCGGAGATGGAAGAACTCAGATCATGGAATTATCCAGGCAAAGCGTTTGACCAAGGCTGAGACCCGAGGTCGCCACGCATCTTGGTCCGGTGATGATGACTCGGAGAAAGGCACCACCAACATTGACCAAGGGCCTCTTTCAAACCAAATCGCAAATGGCAATGGCTCGGCACCGACAAAGCCATCTCAATCTGTAACGAGTAACGATTTCGCAAGTCTATACAAAATGCCGCAATCCACGGAAGATATCGTCGATCCTTTCAACACGACATGTATCGTGGTGGACAAAACAGTCCACACGCTCTTGCAGTACTACCTTCACATTGTGCACCCAAGCGTCTGGCACATCCTCACCGCCGGCCGAAATGGAAACGCCGACATCTTCAAGGAGAAGGCGATGACGATTTTAAAAGGCTGTTTGAGCGAGCAGTACGATATGTACTGCCTTCTGGCGTCTATGAATGTTCACATGAGGTACTTGGACGGTTATGAGTCTGGTAAAGACAACGACTACTTCATGGTCAAGGCGGTCAAGGCTTCACAGGACTATATGCAACGGGTCAAACAGATATCTGAGCAAATGATCTTCAACGTCTTCCAATTGAGCTTTGCGGAATGGTACCGTAACAATGAACATGCCACGTTGGTTCATTTTCGTGCTGCGGCGAACATGGCCCGATCGATGGGTGGTCTCAGGGCATTGGCTAAGCCGATCGCCGACGTGCTCGTCTTGGGCGACGGATACATCGCTGGTGAACTCGGGACTACCCCTATCTTCTCACACACCGACTTTGCCATGGAAGATGACCCAGTCATGTCACCCTACACCGATCATATTTTATCCCAACTGCTGTCCGGCTCGGTATCAGTGGCCGCGGGACTGCTCGAGCACGGCCAGAATGAAATCGTGCCGACCGAACTCAATCTTATCATCACGGATCTCGCGGTCGCGATGCTGATCACAAACGCCGCTGATGCCGGGGCGACGCCGTCCACTGTCGCCGAACGATCGACAGGATGGATCTACCACCGCGTCCTCGTCGTGCGGCACCGCCTCCTCGAGCAGAAATTCGACGACCCCAGATCCGAGTCCATCAAACTCGCCCTCTTGATCTGGATCCTCCAATGCTTCACACGCGCAGGTCGACTCCGCTCCGCCAAGCTCATCGCGCCGAAACTGCGCAAGTGCCTCCAAAAAATGTCCGAGGACTCATGGAAGTATCACGATGAAATCCGGCTGTGGGTAATGATAGTCGGTGCAGCCGCAGCGCGTAATGGCAGCGGTGACCACGCATGGTTCGTGCAGCGGATCTTGCCTTCTGTGGCGTCGGGCTTTGACGAATTGGCGGTGAGGGATGATCTCGCTGGCGTTTGCTGCAGGTTCTTCTACCGTGACTTTTCGGAGGGTGACTTGATTGGACTGCTCGCGAGGGACATTGTGAAGATGAAACGAAAGGGAACGTCGGTGTCAGCGCCCGTCGGGTATGGAGCTGCTACACTTCGCGACTGACTGCCTGTGCGGCCGGTGATATGCTGGGTTCTGCGCACTATGACTAATATTTCCATCTTGTCCCGTAGTTTATGGAGCATTTTATGGCGTTTCCCGAAAATTCAACCGTGTATATACCATGTGGCGCCCAAAGGTTGCTGCTGTGGCGTTTCTCAATTACCCCTTGGCGGGACCTCGCTCAACCAGTGCCTTCGCAAACTGGGCTTCCACGGTTGCACCGAATCTTAGCTCTGACTAATCGGCTAGGGGCCACTGCATATGATAGGAGTTTGAGAAGGGACACAGATGGCCGAAGCCTCGCTTAACAGTTATCTAGAGCCCGATGCGGTACGGATCCCCACTCCTATTCAAAAAACTCTAATCAAGCGAGGCCTATATCTCCCGATCGGGAAAGAGGTGTATACTCCAGCTCCACCCGTGGTCACGCCTGTAGTCATCGGTTAGTCAGGATAGCCAATGTGGTGGGCCGACTATTCCATCATATAATCGTTAGAAGGGAAGCTGAGCAAGGCAGATCCAGAGGAAGACGAAGAGTAATCACACCGATCCTTGGCCTCCAAGCTCGATCCGCCTGCCCAACATGCAGCTCAAATTCATCATTGACGATCGGGAGCCTCGAACCACCAAAGATCGTGAGCTTCGAGACGCCGAGGTTCGAGCTCATGCAGCACGCGTGTCGCACCAACGAAAGAACGCCAGGTGCAAAGGCCCACAGGTGGTTGCGTTGCGTGGGAACAGAGCGGCGCTAAGAGATGGGGCCGAGGAGAGCGACGACGTGGATGGTGATGAGAGCCTGCTGGATGAGAATATGTTCTTGACAAACAACTTCAGAAGGATTCTGGGGGGAGGGCGAGTAGACCCTTTTGATTCTTCGCCGATTCAAAAACTACCTTCTTATGTATTGAATATTCTTGATCATGCGTGGATGGACGTCTGGTCGGCGCTCCGCCCTCATCCACGGACCGGCGTGATTCATCCAGACATCTACGGATGGAGAAACGCCGGGTTGAGCTGCGAAGCGTTGTTCCATGCGTACGTGGCAGGAGCTGCAGGGATAGCGTTGGCTTCAGGAGTCGGTGCCGACTCGAAAGAACAGATCGGACGAACACAGATTTATCACACTGTCAAAGCCATCAACTGCGTGAGTCAGGAGCTGAGTCGAAATGATGGTCCACCTTCGGATGCACTCCTAATGGCTGTCATGACGTTGAGCGGGCACGGTGAGGTGGCTGACGAAGCGCACGGTGAACCCTACGCTCGATCGCCGTTAGTGCAGGCTCATCGAGTGAATGTCTTTGCTCGACTAGCAATCACACCTGCCCACTCTCGAGCCATCGGAACGCTAATCATGAAAAAAGGGGGGTTGGAGGGCGTTGTCCTCCCTGGGTTCCGAAGCTTGCTCTGCTTGACGGATGTATTGCAAGGCTCGATCGCGAGCTCTCGACCCATGCTGCCGTTTGTCGGTCGCTCCGAGTCATTAGTCTCATCGGGGGTGCACATATTGGACGAAAAGGCACGGGAACGAGCATCCGTTCTCGGAACAGGCTTCTGGGTGGAGGGATTTCCAGCGATAGACGAAGGCTTTCAGGCTGTGTTATCGGCGGCGTGCGAGCTCACGACAGCTGTAGACCATCTGCAGCGCAAGGAGAATGATCCCCCAGCCCTGTATGATATTGTGGAGTTTCGGACGTTCGTGCAGCATTGCTTGTTATCCTTGCAACCTCGGATCTCAGTGCCTCTGGACACGCCAGACTATACGTACGAGGCTTGCCGACTGTCCACCTTGATTTATTCTGACATCAATATCTGGCCGTTGCCAAAATCGTCAAATATAAGACCCCGACTTTCCCAGCATCTGAAGCTGGTCTTGTCAGAGCGAGCAGGTGCCGAAGCTGGCGCCATCTCCAAGGACTTTTTGTTGTGGATCAGCATGATGGGTGCCATCGCGGCACGTCATACCGAGCACGAACAATATTTTCTGGAACTGCTTGCACGGGATGCCCGAACCCTCACTTGGGATGACTTCAGAAAGACCATGTTGGAGTTTTTGTGGTGTGATTTCGTGGTTGCGCCGCTAGCACGTCCATTGTGGAACCAGGCGTGTGCGTTGAAGGCATTTCATCGTCTTCCGATTCGTACCGTTGCCTTGGCCACAGCTGAAATGACTACACTGAGCAAACCAAAACAGCAAGAATCATTGACGACCATAGCTTCAAGAGACACACAAAGTCTTTCTCTGGTCGATTCAGGGGTCAAGGTATTGGTATAAGTAGGAAGTCTTGTCTTTGATCAGAGGCACTTAGTCCTCGGAAGGAAGAAATGGACTGTGGCCATGGAGACAGCTGCAAGCCATATACTTACATTGGCGACCACTTCACGCCGCCGTTCCCTCCTTGATCTCACCTTCCCCCGCACAATCCTGGCATGCAATACACCCCCCTAAGAGCAGTACTATCCTCCAACATTATTTCAGTTAGACCTGTTTTTCTCCGCTGTTGCAATCAAAAACATGAAGTTCTTTACTGCCAGATGCGTCCTTCCGGGCATGATTTCCACCAACCTGTTCATTTCAGTCGTCACACCCTTCCCATCAGGCTCCAACTGCCGCCTCCCTGGTCGTCAATGTACGAAGGATGATGATTGTTGTCCCATACCGTTCTTTGGCAAGGTGGGTTCTGGGATTTGCTTGTCATCTGCTTGTCAAGTGGATATCATACGGAGGAAGCTCAAATCAGAAGTTCAAGCACCGAATAACTCTGGTCATCGGATTTTGTTCAGTTGTGGATTGCTTTGCCACACATGATCAGCCATTGTGATAGAGTCGAGTGTCGTCACAATCCGGTTCAAACTTGAACTTGGTTGAAGCTGTCGTGAGTCTCGTTCTGATGTAATCTTACTAAACATCGCGAGTGTTTCTCTCGAGTGCCCAGTCAGATGCGTACATCTGTGGTACGCCGAGGCAGGCAACGGAACACGAGGCTTGAGCAGTCAAGGAAAACACTTACATGAAATCTCCAAGACCGGAGAGAGATGTACAGCACTTATTGAACATCTAAGGCTTTGTCTGGAACTGACAGGGACACGAGGGCTTGACCTTGGAACAGTTCTCTGGAAAGCGTACGGCTAGAAGTCTTGGCGAAATCCGGCGCGTCCAAAGTAGATCGCTTGGTCCACCGTATCTTGAGGAGGAACTTCATGGGATAATTTGAAATTTCAGAGCGGTTTGATGCTCTTCGAGCACACATCTCCCTTCACACCGTTTTCTGGCATACTATCTCCTGGCCCTCAGCTATAGCACAACACTCAGCCATGAGGTCAACTCGGGCTTGTACTCCCGCCGGACGCAAAATCCGTCGATCGTCCCGGGTCGCCCACAGGTGACATCAATGAGCATGCGGAAGACTATGACGTTGTCCGATTAAAAAATGTTGAACGTGATGCCTATAATAAACACTGACTCTGGACTGACCCGTTCTGTTCAATTGAGATAGGTATCCTTCATACTAACACTGAACTTACACCCCACGTACGTGACGATGGAAACAGCAAAGAACGCAATCAAGCATGCCACAAGCTCCGAGTCCCCATTCGCGCCGGGCTTCAAGGTTCCGATAACGCACCAAGATACTCCAGGGAAACAAGGAGATCTCCCCATTGAACCGATCAATACCCAAGTCCCAACCGAAGATGGTGGACTGCAAGCCTACAAGGCTGCAGGCAAGCTGCAAGACAAGAAAGCCCTCATCACCGGTGGTGATAGCGGTATCGGGAGAGCCATTGCCCTTCTATATGCCATGGAGGGAGCAGACAGCTTCATTGTATATCTACCGGAAGAGGAGGAGGATGCCCAAGAGACCAAGCGTCAGGTGGAAAAGATTGGCCGCACATGCCACCTGCTCAGTACAGATCTGAGACAGTTTGACAACTGCAAAAAGGTTGCCGACGCGGCGTTGGAAAAGTTCGGTCGAGTGAACATCCTGGTATGCAAGCAACGTCAAGAAAGCCCACCGATCAACTGTTGACAAGGTGACCTAGGTCAATAATGCCGCGTTCCAAATGATGCAACAGGACATCACCGACATTCCCAATGAGCAGTGGATCAAGACGTTCGACACCAACATCCACCCATTTTTCTTTCTCTCCAAGCTTCTGGTCCCTCATATGAAGAGAGGAGACACCGTCATCAATTGTGCATCTATCAATGCATATATCGGTCGCCCTGATCTGCTGGATTATACTTCAACCAAGGGAGGTAAGTTTTTCCCCTGCCCGTCGACCTTCTCAGGCTCACCTTGAACAACAGCAATTGTATCATTCACCCGCGGACTTGCCAATCAACAGATGAAAAAAGGCATTCGCGTCAATGCGGTTTGCCCCGGCCCGGTATGGACACCCTTGATCCCCAGTACCATGGATGATTCTGCGCAAGATCAATTCACATCTCCTATGGGTCGCCCGGCCCAGCCAAGTGAGATCGCAACCTGCTTTGTGTTTCTTGCGAGCACAGACAGCAGTATGATCTCGGGACAGAGTCTTCATCCCAACGGTGGTGTTATTGTGAATGGCTGAGTGGAGCTATCAACCGAGCAATTATGGTTATCCAGACGACCGTTACCACAGATTAGGCTAGCCTCACATAGCAAATGAGTTGGCTATGTTAGATAGATCTATACATATCTAAACGATTCATCACAACGATTGAGCTCAGCAAATCTCTCGAGTCTTCTTGACTATGGCTATCCGTGGTATTGACAATGATCGGCCTGGTGTTATACCCCTCCAGTTCTCATATATAGGCGGCAAGTTGCAACGGAAGATGAATACGAATACGAGGGCTATCACATTAAGCCTTGCCAAGACAAGTTGGTGTCAACGCTACCATCTCGCTACTCTCCTCGCTGGTGCCTGACAACAATTCCAGCGAAGCTGGAGCGAGCCATCTTTTGATAAACACCTATGACGCGCTCTTAGTTTCCATCTTTCCTCGCAGATTTATATTCAAGCCATCTCGGAAAAGGCGATTGCGCTGTTACCAAGGCCATTTCTTTGCTCGAAAGCCCCGTAATTGCGCAAGCCGAGCCTTCAGGCGTCCAGCTTCGTCGAACAACTCGCGTAATAAGTGATTTTACAGCATGTCAGAGGGATCTCATGCCCTAACCTGATGACAAGCCTACCAGAAAGGCCTGCAAAGGCCTTTTCTTGCATTCGCTGTTTTGAGCGCAAGGTCAAATGCGACAAAGAGAACCCGTGCTCAAATTGTGTCAAGTCACGAGTCGAATGTATATTTCGAACTCCTCCAGCCCCACGTCGCCGGAAGAAGCGACCACAAGAAGAAATTCTGCTTGCGCGACTAAAGCAATGTGAAGATTTATTGAGAAGCAAGGGTATCGAGGTTGATACTCCGGAAGCATCTACTCAGAGTGGTGTGCCAAGTGGCCCGGCCAGCTATGATGCGACTGTCCCCAGTCCCGACACAGGCATGACGGGGCAACGACCACCGACCGAAGTCATCTTTTTCCCTGGAGCGAATGCGAAGACTGGTCAGTTGATCGTCGATCAAGGCAAATCACGCTTCATCGAGAATAACTTGTGGACCAGCGTTTCGGAAGAGGTAAGCTTTTCATGGATTGAGTGCCCTGTTTTGTTCTTCAACCACCCCTTGCATAAGATGGACAACGCTGTTAACACACGTTTATAGTTCAAACCCAAAGAGGCCATTGAATACTCCGATGAGGACGAGGATGCCGCCTCTGTCGTCGAAGAGTCGACAGATTTCTTGCTGGGCAATACGCCTTCGAGCAATGCTGCTTCAATCTCCAAATTGCACCCCCCACCAGAAATCATCATGAAACTCTGGCAGATCTTCCTCGACAACATCAACCCTATGACGAAATTAATCCACCAACCGACTCTACAGCAGACCATCGTCCAATACACATCGCAGCTCGATAATCTTCCACGAGGTTTAGAAGCCCTGCTATTTGCCATATACACAACGGCTGTATTCTCGCTAGACGATGAAGAGGCCGATTTCCGTTTGGGTGAGCCTAGAAAGGTGATGCTTCTGCGTTATCGACACGCGACCAGGAGTGCGCTGGCCAGAGCAAAGTTCATGTCTTCTTCTGAGCTTCCAGTCTTGCAGGCATTCATGCTCTATCTCATCAGCATGCGCAACGTGTACGACTCTCGTACGCTGTGGACCCTGGCTGGAGTCGCCAGCCGGATCGCCCAGGGGATGGGCCTTCATCGCGACGGATCGGATCTTGGAGTTTCGCCGTTCGAGACCGAACTCCGTCGACGACTGTGGTGGCAGATTTCTATCTTGGACTTCCGATCGGCCGAATTGAGTGGCTCTGGGAGATTTGGTGATTTCGGACTATCCAACACCAAAACACCCACCAATGCCAACGATGAAGACCTATGGCCAGAGATGATTACAGCGCCGGTTCAGCAAACGCGGCCTACCGAGATGATCACTTGCCTCTTGCGCTGTGAGTTCGGCTCGTTTTGGAAGGAGAAGCTCCAGGAACGAAAGTCCGTCATCACTTTTGAGGACGTCAAACTGGCGTCTCCGTGGAAATCCTCACTGGAAGAACGAGACGCCCACATCAATGAGCTCGAGCAGAGGCTTGAAGAGAAGTTCCTGAGATACTGTGACCCCTCGATCCCCATCCAATTCCTCGCAACCATCATCGCCCGCGCCGCGGTCAACAGCATGAGGTTGATGGCGCATCATCCCCGCAAATACGGCAACGTCGACGACCTTCCACAGTCCGAGCGGGACTACCTTTGGAAGGTGTCTCTCAAACTCATCGAATCAGACAATCTCGCTCACTCGTCGCGAGGACTCAAAAAATTCATGTGGCACACGAACGAATATTTCCAATGGCAAGCATTCGTCCACCTCCTGAACGAGCTCAGGTCTCGAACCCTGGGCGAAGAGGTCGACCTGGTCTGGCAGCAGGTCCAGGAAGTCTTCGACAACCATCCACACTTCCTCACCGAGCAGAAGAAACCCCTGCACGCCGCGGTCGGCAGCCTGTGTCTCAAGGCGTTTTTCGCGCGCGAGAAATCTCTCCGCGAGACCACCAACGGCGTCTACCCCAAGACCGTCCCAGAATACATTCGAACGCTGCGCGACCAGCGCATCGCCGCCGCGGCGCGCACCACGAAACCAGAGACCGCATCCGGCAGCTTCACCTCCCCCATCACCACGAACTTCAACACCTTCACCATCAACCCGCCCAACCCGTTCGAGCCCCTCCAATCCCCGCTCAGCGCGACCGCCTCCCAACAACCACACGTGACCACCAACACCGACAGCGGCGGCGCCTTCGACTACTCGCGCTTCGCGTACCCGATGAACCCACCGCAGCCTCAGACACAACTGCCCCTCCCCATGTACCAGCCATTCCCATTCCAGGCGCCGTCCCTGGACGGCAGCAACCTGATGTTCTCGTCGGACCCGGCGCTGGCACAGGAACTCGCCATGTCGGACATGCCCATGGACTGGGCGCAGTGGGACATGCTCATGAAGGATCTGGAGCTCCCGAAATGAGAATGTGTACGATGTTCTACGATAGGGGTTGGGACGAATAATTTAAGTATATGTATATGGCCGTCGTGGTATCATGACGAGAAATCCTCGCAACTCACCTTTCTAGCTAGTGACATATCTTAGTTTTAAGTTGGTTCTTGTTCGACAATGTTCGAATAGTAAAACGATTCAAACGTTCGAAAACAAATGGATTATTGTGTAACTTACGCTTCCTTCAATTAATGGTTCGGCTACTGAATCAAGGGCTTGCTGGGATAAATTCGCAGGACAGACGGTCCATTCATTGCAGGTCTACCATTTGGATCTTGTCTAGAATCAGGATTGCACTAGTCTGATATGGACATTTTCATTGCCTACAAGCCCGTCACCACAACTAAACACCCAGTATCTACTGTACAGAATGAGACCAAAAAGCGGTCAAAATTTATCAAATATTTCGCCATACGCCCCGCTGATCGCTCATGTCAAAAGTTCGCGACAATGGTCAAGGAGGCGAACACCCACCCAAGCATTCAAAATGAGTCGGACGAAAATCACCCTTCCAGCGGCTTCGGGTCGTCCGTCCGATACCACTCGCCATTAAAGGCGTTGATGATCCAAGTACTCAGTTTATCGTACACAATATGATTCGCGTTGTGAAAGTAGATCGAGTGGTCACTGTCGGGGAAGAAATGGACATCGTAGTTCTCGATACCTTGGAGGTCGAACTTGTCCAACAGCGTCAGTGTATTTTGCATGTGAACGTTGTCGTCAGCGACGCCGTGCATGATGAGGAATCGCACATTCTGGGAGATGGCCGTCACGTTGGAGATGGCCGTACGGTCGTAGCCATCCGGATTATGTTGCGGGGTACGCATGTAGCGCTCTGTGTAGATGGAATCATAAAAGCGCCAATCCGTCACGGGAGCGACCGACATGCCGTACTTGAAGGTCTGTCCTGCATCGACCTCGAGAACCTTGAGCGTCATGAATCCTCCATACGACCAGCCCCAGATCGCCAATCGGGAGGCATCGACATACTTTTTCGCGGCCCAGATCTTGGCGGCTGCAACTTGATCATGGGCTTCATACTTTCCGAGCTCGTTGCGGACGATGGTGCGGGCTTTTCGTCCAATGAATCCCGTACCTCGCCCGTCAACCGTCACGACGATGTAGCCAAGAGAGCTCGCGATATAAGATTGAAAATCAATTTGAAATCTGCGAGTCACCATCTGGGAGCCGGGTCCACCATAGAGGTAAAAGAGTACGGGGTATTGTTTTTTCTCGTCGAAATGGGGCGGTCTTCTTTCCACAACTTGGAGTGTGTAACCATCAACGGTGATATTCTGGTAGACCAGATGAGGAAGTTCGTGGCTTGCAGCCATCTTGGCAAGCCCCTTGTTATCTTCGACCATTTGCTCGATCTTTTCGGTGTTTGCAGGAGTCGAGATGACCTTTTGGTATGGGATGCCCGGCCCACTGTATTGCAGGTTGATGTACCCACCACCCGAGGAGAAAGAGGCTCCCCAGTAGGCAGCGTCCTCGGTGGGCACGAGTGAGCTGAAAGCGCTCCCATCCAACTTGACACTGTAGAGGTGGCGCTGCGTGGGCGCCTCCTTGGCAGCGATGAAATAGACGAGGTTATTCTTGAGATCGATCGCGGAAGCACCTCCATCAACTTCCCAGGCGCCCTTGGTGAGTGTGACTGGTATGGAGCTGTTGAGGGGTGAAAAGTATGCCAGATGATTACCATTGTCGGATACAATGATGTCCACATAGCCATCGTCCGGTCGTCCGTTTTTTGGATCGGCCGGGATGTACTGTGTGTACTGTGTCGGGTCAACCCATCCACCATCGACTTCTTTCAAATCGATGGTCCGAACCGTCTGTCCAGTTTGTGTGGTGACGTCGACGAGGACGACTCTCGCACGATCGCTCTCACGATTTGACTCGGAAACCAGGACCTTGCCGTTGTCCGCCCACACGGTGTTGTAAATGATACGATCTTCGTCGGGAAACCCACCTTTGATATTGACCTCAAATACTTGCTCTTTGTCGATGTCGTAAAAGAGCATGTCGACAACCGGGTTGGGTGCACCCGCCTTTGGATATTTGATTTGTCTCACGTCAGGGTAGTTTTCGAGACCTTCGGGAGGTGTCTTGCCACTAGGTCTCGAGAGAAAATACTGTACGGGGTATTCGGGAACAGCGGTCTCGTTTGTGCGAAGAAAGGCGAGGTACTTCCCATCCCTGGCCCACCAGGTGGCAGAGTTGGTGCCGAAGACTTCTTCCTCATACGCCCAATCTGGAATTCCATAGAAATATTCGGGACCGCCATCTGTCGTTATTTGCGTGACCTTGGAAGACGAGAGTTCTCGAAGATAGAGGTTGTTGTCTCGCGTGAAGACAATCGATTTGCTGGTGGGAGACCACGTTGCGAGTTGCACCTTTGAGTCCGCAAAGGCCGGGTCGAGTGGCTGAACATCCTGAGTTTCGACACTCAAGATATAATATTTGCCGATAGCGGAATGACGAAACACCTTTTCCCTGGCGACCAAGATCAAGACATGCTTGTGATCTGGACTGACCCAAAAGTCCTCGGACCACTTTTGCTGGCCGTTCACGTCAATATAACCACTTTTCATAAGTGTCTTGCTCTGGGAGGCATTCAAGGATGCGTTCCGACTTCGGATGTCTTCCACAACAAGAAAATCTTTCCCTGGTTGGTTGTATTCCAACAACCGCCCGTCCTCTCCCGCAGGGCCTTTGATCCATTGTATTGAGGCATGCCTGACACTCCACTGGCCCGATTGTACCTGTTCAAGGGTGACCTTCTTCCCCGAACTCTTGCCCGGTGTCTCATGGTTGTAATCCAGTTTCGAGGAATGCTTGTAGCGTCCGCCCGAGATGAAGACCACCAATGCAAAGGCCCAGCCGATGATGGCAACCACTGAGACTATCCAGATAGCCCGGCGGAAATTTTTGGACATGCGTTGACCGACCATAGCCTGGCTTTGATCTTTGAACCTGGGGAGTTCAGGGTCGCTGTCATTGTCGCGATATTCAAAGGGTTGTCGCCCCTCTTTTGAAGCGTAGACCGAGTTGAGGTTCTCGAGGACAAGTGAAGTGGTGGATGCTGTCGAAACGCTATCCTCGGATTGCCTGGAATGTGGAGCGCCAAGGGAAGATTCACCATTGTCGATCAACTTTTCCCTCTCTTCATCTTCAGCCTCGTTGATGCGACCCATGGTTGATGTGAGGCGGTGGTGTCGCGTGCCTGCACCGAAGATGTTGTAGTCAAATGCGAGGGACGTGGAACGGGACTGTGAGGTGGATGTCTGGATACTATCTCGACATCCTGGCCGGATAGTAAAAGGGGAGACCCCACTCTCAATGTCGTCTCTCGGAGCCACAGACACTCGTCTTCGTGGTGATGGAGCAGGTCGTTCCTTTGGCCGTAGGTTCGTAATGATTTGGAGACGCTGCGGATGGCGACTTGCGTATGAGGACCTTGGAGGGGATTCGGCCATGCTGCCGAATTGGGTCAGGGGCTGCTAGAGGGACGCTAGAAGGACGCTAAAGCTGCTAGTTCGCCGCTAGCATGTCATTCCCTGCCTGGCAAATTTGTGAAGAATACACAACTCGATGGCAACGACAACGTCCATCTGGGTAATATGCAACTTGTTAGAACCTCTCTCGGTTTGAATTATCCTTTTCCATTTGCACGTCGTACGTATCTCATGTCTGGCCTGGCTTCTGTTTGCAGCCTTGTGCCCGTTTGCTCTGCTTCCGTCGGTCCCGCCTGTCCGGATGCGGGAGACACACTTTCTGATACCATCGCAGTGAATAACATGGAAAGGCATGAAACGTTACAGCTACGTCGATGTTAGGAACTACCTGGTAAGTGGATTTTCAAATCCGCGAAATGTTGCAAGATTGTCATTGCAAGCTATAACAATTGCTCATCATCACTTTTCGATACACCGTGCACCTACCAGGTTTGCTCATTGTTCGGGAGTGTCACTCTGCCCGTCGTTTCTAGGAAGATCTTCGACCCTTTATATGATGGGATACAACCTGACAGCCACTGTTACGCTGAGACTACCCAAGAATGCAATAATGGTAAATACACAAAGGACAACCAGCAGTATGGCTGTCTCCAGTCCCGTCGCCGATTGTCCTGGGGGTAAAATGATGACTTGCGTGGCAAGACTCCACACGACAATTTCATATATGACAGCCATTGCGACCACCGGAATGGACATTAGCTTCAAACATTGCTGCTTCGTCTTATCGGCACCCCCTTGGACATTAAACATTGCGAGTTGTTCGCTCTTTGCAAACACAGTTGCGATCAGCGGTGGGCTGGTCAGGATCACGACCAATGCCATGGCGACAAAGAAGAGCGCGGCTGTTGCTGATTCGCGAGCTCTTTCCAGCGCTTCCTCGCACTGCGGGCAGCACGGGCCGAGTGGATGTGCGGCCTTGGTGGACTGTCGTTCCATATCTCTTCCGAGTAATGCAGTGGCATCTCCTTGCACTTGATCTTTCGTATTTTGACTTGACGAAGATGCCACAACTTTGATTTCATCCGATGATGAATTCCTTAAAGGCGATGTCGCTTCTAGGACAGCCATAGTTTCCAAAACAAATTCCGTCCGCTTGCATTCGTCTTCGATTTGTTCGCAATGCTTGTCAACAGCAGTCAAAACCTCGGAGAGTTTCGGGTTGCCCTCCAGCGAACCGACCTTTGAACTGGCCTCAATCGAAACAATGGTTGTTTGTGAGCTGGGGCTTCTCTTGAGCGGCCATGGTCCTACCTTGGCGAGAACTTGTTGGAACTTTGCACTCGAAGGTGCTGAGGATTGGTCCTGGTTTCCAGTGCCGGGAATAGTTTCAGTCATCTCCAAGGAAAATATGGAGGAGTAATGTGTGCGGAACGCCATCGTCTTTTGTTCAAGTTGTTGAGTAACCACAACAGCCGTCATGCTGATTACAAGCTTCCTGACGCTGCTCGGTTGCGAACTATTCGCAAATGATGACTTCGCAGCGAAGGTTCAAGAGCAAATCTGGGAATTGTGTTGTGACTACGTGGTCCATCCAGGAAAACCGAAAGCCACAGGACCGAAGACTATCTCTTATACATGCTCGTATCCTGTGGAGAAAGCCCGTCCGCAAATGGTGTCCCTATAAAAAAGCCGGGGAGGGCAGCAAAAGAAGAAAAATCTTTGAGGGCCGATTGCCTTGCCAAAGCTTATTCAGGGAGGTTGTTTTGAACCTCTCAAAAATAAATGGACAGAATAACCCGACGGGGAAGCCAAGCTAACTCAGTGCTCCACGCTGCACCGTCCACTGCATCTCTTGAGCAATCTTACGTGCCCTCGACGGGCGATGGTGAACCTTAATACGAGCATGATATGGAAGGCCAACAAGGACTCCCACCCTGGCAGTTCTACGGGTGATGTCGAAGACCGTAAAAGACGAAAGCCTTACGTGCGGGCAGCCACCCTCGTCTCTGGCGCAAAGAGTGTTTGACTATCAAAATCGGGAGTGGAAGCCCCTCCATTCCGGCAACTACCTTCACTGAAAATGGACTTGAGGATTTCGCACTCCCCACTCCGTCTCCACACCTATACCATATCCTCGGGACCGTCTGAACGTGGTGGTCTACGTTAATTGGTGAAACGCAGCCACCAAAACCAAAACTGGCATGTTTTGACGCATTCCACACCTCGAGAGAATCTTTATTGGTGACGAACTTCCGCCCAAGGATGTCTACACAGCAGCTTTTGACGAGACTAGCGACTGGAGAAGGGCGGATATGGCTTTCCCCCTGCAAGTCTATGCATACGAAGGTTCGCGCTGATGGACTGATGGACTGATGGACTGATGGCCTCGATCTTCTATGCCTGTGACTCTGCCATTCGTCGCGCCGCAGAACAATCTCCTTGGGTGTATGGAACGGTGGACCTGAGATGCACGTTGACATGATTTTCATGCAGGTACGTGCCATGTCGATGCAGGTGCTACTGCACTCAGTCGAACCCAGACACTATGTGAGTCGGGCGCGACAATTTTTCATGCCACTTGCGCAATTTTTCCACTCCGACGCAGTTTCATTCCCCTTTTTTGGAACTCCCATCGCAACAAGACCCGTCTTGGATCAGGGGACATCTGTCCTGAAGCTCTGAGCTTTGCGGGGCACCGCACTATGCAAATTCAAGGCGCATGGAAGGGTATGGAAACCTGCAAGGTGTCTAGCGAGACATGTATCCCAGCAATTCACGGTGCGCGAGGCCCCTTGCCCTCGCAGATTGCCATGAACGCCATACTGGATTCTTGACAAATACCACGGCCTACCAGATTGAGAGTAGGGTCCGAACCCGAATTGGTATCTCTACCAGTTTCTCGCCATTCGCAAGATGTGAGTTGTGAGGAGAGTTGTCATTGAGAGACTGCCCTGGTAATGCTGGTGAGATACCAGGGCAACCCCTGACATCACAAAGGTAAGGATTTAGTCATTGCTAGAAAACCAACCCACATCGAAGTCGTAGTGTCGGATTATTCTATTCTTTATACCTCCCTCTGGGCTGGGAAGAATTCATGACTGAGAAGATTCGTCCTACATGTTTGGAGACATACCTATGGCTTCGAGGCGGGTGCTTAAACCAAGCGGACCATCATGACTACGAATGATTAAAAAGCGATTTGATGTACTTGTCTCTGTAGATTTCCTCTGAAGTGAGAGGGGGTAGATTCGCATGAGAAGGCTAGGTGGTTAAACACGGATGAGACAGTCATAAGTTGGTGTTAGTAATGGCCCAGTACGTATTGTACCAGGCATTGCTACCTAGGTATCTATCTAGCCACTCAGAGTAGTGTCAAGTAGAAGAGACTCAATCAGCACGTAAGGTGCCATTCTGGACGCTTCAAGAAGATCGCCATGCTATCCAACTCCACGCTTGTTTCCAAGAACCTGCTCTTTTCCGCAACACTGCTGTCGCTTGCCAATTCTGAGTCAATCACCCACTGATGCACACCTTAACTCGCTCCGAGGCACGCTGTTGTGTGCGAAAACCAACTCCAACCACCCTCAGGGTATTTCTAAAATTACAGCACGCATGGCCTGATCTCATCGTGAGCGGATTGCTCGTTTGATAGAAGGCTCATGCATAGGTACCCCCAAACGCCTTGCCAAAAAGAGTAAAAAGATTCGTTTTGTGCCAGTCATCGATCATCAACCCTTGAGAATTTTGAACGCCCGAACGGAACATATGCGCAGCTAAGCCTCTACGGCAACTTGCTGTGAGGCGTTTTGCGATGTCGGGTCGTCACCAGGGCTGGTCTCGGCCCATGAACCCCAAAGCCCTCTCTTGGCTCGGATCCTCAAGGGCAGACCGATCGACTTGTCGCCTTGCTCTACCTTGATAGCATCCTTGGTGGCCAGGACCAACACTTCGAAGAACATCTTGGTGGCATCCTCTTTGCTGGTCCGTTGTTCTGGTACAAGTTCTTGAAGGAGAACAGATTTCTTAGCAGGAGATGATGGATTTTCTCCACCTGCGTCTCCCAATCGGTCTCTGAGCAGGTGAACGGCATGCTTCGTACCCAGAGACACGGGACCACTATCTGCTGGGTGCACAAGTGGCATGGTGGTCTCATCAAAGACGTCGTCACCACCAAAGATGCCTTCGTCATCTTCCCCAAGGACCATGTCCTCCAAAGCAGGACCAAGTTCGCTATCAATTGGTTGATGTTCATCTTGTGTAATGAGTTGGCCAGGAGACATTTGGGCATCATCGAGTTGTACAGCCTCATCGAAATCTGGGCGTTCTAGTCGAGGAGATTTCTCGCTATGTTCATCCTCACTGAGGCCTCCAATACCACTGTCCCGCTTTCGTTTGCGATCGCCCGATCTGGTGAGGGTGTCAAACGAGAGGAGACCCTGAAGCTCAGGGGCCCAGTTCTTGGAGCGGCCATCGTTCATGGCGTTCAGCACGAAATCACCATTCTTCTGCATGCTCATCAGAGTCAGAAGGAGAGGATCTCTGGGTAGGAAAGAGGGAGCACGGAGAATTTTGGATCGATCTTCGGCTTGGGTCCTGATTTGACTATTGTGGAGCACGGTCTCGGTGTCGGGTGCCAACGGTTTCTGTTTCCGGCTTCGCTGGGGTTGGCGGGCGACGACTTCCTCGATCTCTTCACCTTCGGCTTGTGCTTGGAAAGTCCGATCCAAGTCTCGGAGTAACTCTGAGCCCGCTTCTGACAGAGGTGACTCCGTGTCTCTAACACGATCTGCAGCCTGTCTCAATTGTAGAGTTTCATCATCACCAAATGCCAAAGGCTCATCGTCTCCAATTGGAGGGAGTCCTCCGTCCTCCAATCCAAGTTGAGGATCGTCCATCATGGGAACATCGTCGCCTCCGTAGTTAAGGCTGATGGCGTCATCGTCATAAATGAGTGGCTCCTCATCAGCAAGAATATCTTCGTGATCGGGTTTGGGAGTGGGAGCATTTCTGCCGACGTTGATGCTGACGGATATGTCGTTGTGTTCCCCAAAGTCCAACGTAAAATCATCTTCGTTGTACAGCGCGTCTTCCTCGCCTGGAATCAGCATGGATTGAGTGCTACTCTGTTGAGGATTAAGGGAAGAAGTCCAATCGTCTTCTAAATCTTGGGTCTGGTCCACCGTGATCTGGGGTTGCTGGGTCATGGGATAGGCAAAATCCATGGGCGAGAATAGATCGTCAATTGTGAGTAGTTCGGGCAAGTTGAGATCAACGGTGGTGGTAGCATGTGCAGGCAAATCATGATTGTTAGTCGATTTGAATGTCTGGAAGTGATGTTAGAGACGAAAGACGGGTCTGGAATTGACGACTGATACTGACCATGCGAATTTTGATGAGGGCTTCGTTGCAGTCATCAAGCAGATAGCGAGCCTTCCTTCCGTAGATGCGCACGACACCCAACATCAATTGACCACTCAAGCGCAAAGCCATCGGAGCATGACCTTGGTCCACGATCGCGCCGACGCTGCTTTGGATGTCCGACTGGAGAATCTGGGTCTTTGAGAGCTTGCGCTCGACGTTGGAGGCAAGCCAGACGCGAGCCAGAGGCCCGGTCTTTGCCAGGAGTTGTTCAGAATAAAACATGTTGTGAAAGAATGGAGACGCGCATCCAAGTGGAGCAGAATTTCGAGGGTAGCACGACGCGTCGAGGGTGCAGCTGCGTTGTATCGGGAATGAAAGCGCGTTGGAGACGATTCCACTCAAGTCGAGTAAGAAAAAGGTGTGTGATTACGGTGAGCTGGAGGAGAACAGACGATGGAAGAGATTGTTGAAGAGAGGTGATGGTGAGGATATAGGGAGGGCGAATGAAGAATGAGGGCCGTTGGCTGGTGGTGTTGGCCAGAGGTCCGAAAAGAGGTGGTTGGTGCAGTTGGCAGTTGCTGTTGTGACCAAAGTGGGCAGTCAGTGTCAATTCAGTCACGTGATGACTTCGGGAATAACATAATCCTTACCCGTGTTCGGAGATTCGGACAAACTGAGACGACCGGATTGGGGATCGACTTTTCTGGCAAGCGCAGGTCACGGTTGCACTTTGCGACCGTAATTGCTGTTCAGGTCGTGTCGGTGTCGCTGCAAGTTTAATATAATCATTCAACATTCAGGCCAGGGGTTCACCAGCAGCTGGCTTCTGCAAGTTCCGAGTTGTATCCTTCTCTCAGCATTACTTTCACCTCATCTCACTTTCCGCCACTGCCTGCAACGATCCGGCTCGACAACCTGGCCGCTTCTCCTTGATCTTACCCAGAGTAAGTGTGGCTCGTGACTTTGGACCGACGACGATGGCCCTGCGATCAACATAACGCCATGCAATTATGTCAACCCTATCAGTCCCTACTCTTCCGCAATTCGAGCCCGCTTCACCTACAAGCCGTCCACAGAGTCCTGCCCGATTCGCCGGCTCCTCTTCCAAGATAACATCGTCTTACTCCCTGCTCTCTCCCGAAGAGAGCGCAGATGAACTACAAACTTCCATCACTCATGGTCTCTTCCAGAGCGAGGCGCACGCCAGACTTGTCAAAGATGGCCCCAACGAATTGCCACACGAAGAGGAGGAGCCGCTGTGGTTAAGGTTCCTCAAACAGTTCAAGGAAACTCTCATCCTTCTACTCTTGGGCTCTGCTGCCATCTCCCTCTTCATTGGCAACCGAGACGATGCGGTCAGTATAGCTCTCGCAGTCACGATTGTTGTCTCCGTCGGCTTTGTGCAGGAATATAGATCCGAAAAATCTCTCGAAGCTCTAAATCGTCTCGTGCCGCACTACGCTCACGTGCGCCGAACTGCTACTCCCCCACGGCATCATGCGAGAAGCCATGGCGCTACCACCGATTCCATCGAAATGGAGCCTCTTGCCAATGGCTCTGCAGTTACCCCTGAAGAGAAATTATCCTCTACAATTCCCGCATCCCAACTCGTGGCGGGGGATCTCGTCATCTTTGCAACCGGCGACCGTGTCCCGGCAGATATCCGCATCACTCGATCAACGGAACTCACCATTGACGAGTCGAATCTGACCGGAGAGAACGAGCCGGTCGAGAAACATGCGGCCGCCCTCGACAGAGCTCCAAAGAAGTTGGAGCATCGCCACGGAACTCCAGAGCCGTATAATGCAGCCGGCACAGTGGGTGCAGATGTCCGTCTCAACGAACAACACAACATCGCCTTTATGGGCACTTTGGTCCGCTCGGGGCATGGAGAGGGAATCGTCATTGCAACAGGTGGGAATACGGAATTTGGCACCATCTCTCTATCACTCCAGGAAATCGAGGCACCGAGGACACCGCTACAGCACTCGATGGATCTACTCGGAAAGCAGTTGAGCTATATGTCTTTCGTAGTCATCGGGATCATCATGATTATTGGCCTGATTCAGGGCAAGAAACCTCTAGATCTCTTCACCATTGGTGTGTCTCTCGCTGTTGCCGCTATTCCGGAAGGCCTGCCGATCATTGTCACTGTGACCTTGGCCTTGGGTGTATTGCGCATGGCCAAAAGAGGCGCCATTGTTCGAAAACTGCCCAGTGTGGAAACTTTGGGATCCGTCAACGTGGTCTGTAGTGACAAAACGGGAACCTTGACCATGAATCACATGACAGTTACCAAGGTCTGGCATTTCGATGTTGATCAACCGTTCAATATTGACACCTCGGCGCAGCCGACCACTGCCATGAGGGCGGTCTTTCGCATTGGCAACATTGCTAACAATGGACGTCTCGCCCAATCAAGCTTGGGCACCACTGCTACCGCAGCCTCTGCCGCTGTACTTTCCTCTACCAGAGATCTGTCCGCGACGAGTACCAAAAGCAGGTGGTTGGGGCAGCCCACCGACATCGCAATGCTTGATCTTTTGGATGCATTTGGGGAAGATGATCTACGAGAGCAAGTCGGACACAGGACGAGTGAGACTCCATTCAGCTCGGAACGGAAATGGATGGGTGTCGTGCTTGCTAGTGCCCTGGGAGAGATGACCAACAATCAAGGCCTGGGTTCGGAATCTGCCTACATCAAGGGCGCGTTGGAACAAATCTTGAGTCGTTGTGATACCTACCTCACCAAAGACGGCCAAGAGTTCATTATTGATGAGAAGAGGCGCCAGGAAGCCCATGCGGCTGCAAAATCCATGGCCGAAGAAGGCCTTCGAGTGATTGGATTTGCCAGTGGCACTGTCAGAAACAAACAACGTCAAAACAGCCGCAGTTCGACTCCATTGGGGGAGAAGAAATCCAACGAGGTCGATCCTTATACTGGGTTGTGCTTTGCTGGACTGGTGGGGATGAATGACCCTCCAAGAAAAGATGTTCACAGGTCGATCAAAAGACTGATGAATGGGGGTGTCAAAGTCATCATGATCACTGGCGACGCAGAGACCACGGCTATGGCCATTGCGAAGAAACTCGGTATGCCAGTCAACCCTGCATCCTCGGCATCTCGTTCGGTTTTTCGTGGTGACGAACTGGATCGCATGTCTGAGCATGAGTTATCCGAAGCCATTGTCAGAACCAATATCTTTGCCCGGACCAGCCCCGACCACAAGATGAAGATCATCCGTGCACTACAAGCACGTGGGGACGTGGTCGCAATGACGGGAGACGGTGTCAATGATGCTCCTGCTCTCAAAAAGGCCGATATAGGCATCGCTATGGGATTACTGGGGACCGACGTCGCCAAAGAAGCCGCTGACATGATCCTCACCGACGATGACTTCTCCACCATCCTTCGAGCCATCGAGCAGGGCAAAGGGATATTTTACAATATCCAGAACTTCATCACGTTTCAATTGAGTACGAGTGTTGCAGCATTGACGTTGGTCTTGTTGAGTACCATGTTTGGGTTCAAGAATCCGCTTAACGCCATGCAGATTCTTTGGATTAGTAAGTTTGAGACCTACTCTACGATCGTTCGACATGCTAACATGACCAAGATATCTTGATGGATGGTCCACCCGCACAATCTCTCGGGGTTGAACCTGTTGATCCCCGAGTCATGAATCAACCACCAAGACCAAGAAATGCAAATGTACTCACCAGACGCCTGATCCGTCGCGTCTTGACCTCGGCTCTGATTATCATGATGGGTACTCTGACCATCTACATTAGGGAGATGGTTGACGAGGATGACCCATCTTCGCCGGCGACTCCAGACAACATTCCACTGCGAAGGCGAGTTGTCACCAAACGGGATACGACCATGACGTTCACCACCTTTGTCCTTTTCGATATGTTCAATGCTTTAACCTGCCGCTCAGAAGCTAAATCAGTCTTGTTTGGTGAGATCAAGCTCTTTGGAAACAAAATGTTCAACTATGCGGTAGCAGGGAGTTTGGCGGGTCAATTGTGTGTCATTTATCTCCCATTTTTACAAAGGGTTTTCCAGACCGAGGCCGTGGGGTTTTGGGATCTAGTAGGTCTCGTGTGCATAACCAGTACCGTCTTCTGGGTCGATGAAATTAGGAAATGGGTCGAGAAGAGACGTGCTTCTGGCCACTTACCGAGTGTTGGGTATTCGGCGAGTGTGTAGACTATATTTATATATAACGAGGGAGGCTTGGTGAGAGGGTATGCAGGGTAGATGACCTTGAGTGTATTATACAAATCAGAAAGGTCGATCTTTTCGAGGACGACATTTTTAGACCAATTCATAGGTGTTGGAGATTATCCAAGTCCGAGATATTCATGATTACATACCCACCTATATATCAATGCAATCTTAAAGTTGCGATTCTTAATGAGGCACAAGGCTCGGACTCGGAAAGCTCCGCCCTGGTTCCGTCAATCCGATTGGCGTAGAATCCGATCGAATGAATTATGATTCATTGCGAAACGACCAAACTCCGATACTGATATATTTGACTACAATGTCGTGCTAGGTACCTGACCTCGTTTTACAAAACTTGAGATCTCATCGTATACGAGCAACAGCAATACTACCTGATCACTGTCCGACTTTAATTTCTGCTCACATTCAACGACAATCACTCAAGCTGACAAATTCGGTGGGGACTCGTTATCTATTTATCTACTGTACATTATCGAAAAATAAAACATAAAGTGTTGGGGGAGGACTCGCCATCATCACTCACTCCGAGTCCCGGCGCCGCGACCACATCAAGCGGTCTCATTCGACGATCGAAATCCCCAGCACAGGAGGAATAAATCCTCGCTGGGTGTTCTAATCTGTCTTCCCATCCTCGACAAAAAAAACCCTTTGTTTCCCCCCAGAAAGAAAGAATATGGCCTCCAGCGCAACCGCACCGGAAACGACAGACTCGCAACCGCCCGCCAATGTCAGCGTCAAGGACGGCGGCGACCGTGAGCGCGATCAATTTGCGGGCCCGGAGAGTGGTCCGGAAGCGCCGTTTCCTATCAAACTGCAGGGTCCGGTGATCAAGGGATTTGGGCGGGGGAGTAAAGAGGTGAGTGAGTTGTTGTCTTTGAGTCCTGTTTTGCGGTTTCTTGTTGCGTTGCTCCGGTGTGTGCTTTGTCTTTTGGTTGGAAGAGGGCTCGGAGGCTTTGGATTTCTTCGTCGCACCACCATCGTGTGCTGCTGTGGCTTGCTGGATTTTTCCTGCCAGCCTTGCATATAGCACGTTTGGGCCTGTTGAGATTACTTCTGCTGAGGTGTTCAAAGAGGGAAAGTCTGGGTACACTGAGTCTGCGAGGCAAGATGATGCAGCCATTCTGTGATTGGTAACAACCACCATGACAGTGTCTGTGTCGAAGCTCGTTGGCGTTCTTTCCTCACTCTCTAAATCATGTTTTGCTCGTTGATAGCCTAGATGACTTTCAACTCTTCATACTCAACCCAATGGCAAAGACTGACCAGGGTACTCTCACTCTCTCTCACACAGTTAGGAATACCCACCGCCAACATCCCACCTGAAGGCCTATCAGCATACCCAGACTTACAATCAGGCGTCTACTACGGATTCGTGGGGCTGTCCCGGCCACCCATCAACAACGACACAACAGGTAGCACCTCAGATTCCACGGCATCAACGCGCAGCTCGAGCGTCGAGATCTACCCGTCGGTGCTCAGCATCGGATACAACCCGTACTACAAGAACACGGTGCGGAGCGTGGAGATCCACATCCTGCACGACTTCACGCGCGACTTCTACGGCGCGGCGCTGAACCTGTTGATCCTGGGGTTCATACGGCCCGAGTACGACTACGTGAGTCTCGAGGCGTTGGTCAAGGACATCAAGATCGACTGTGAGGTTGCGGCGCGGAGTCTAAAGCGGGATGCATACAAGGTGTTTGCGGACGAGGTGACGACGGATGCTGCTGGTGGGAACGGGGAGGGGAAGGGCAGCTGGTTGGCGGAGTTTGCGTGGGTGGATGGTGTGGATGCTGCTGAGGTGGAGAGGAAGGTGTTGGCGAAATAGACGGAGAGGAACTTGACTGTGGTTGCTGTGGGTGACTGCCGGCGAGTCCCCTCATGGGGGCTCTCTTTTTCATCGTAATCATCAACTCTTAGCCAGAAGGCAGAGGGGTTACGGCCTGTCAGTGGTCATACAGTGAGCGCTAGGCAGGTGCTTTTTCTTTTGAACATGCTGCCCAGAAACATAGACATGGGTGTGTCCCCAGCAACATGCGGAGGGTATCTACCTGGTACCTTTGACCCCGGCATCAGCGCTGGAGACAGTCCAGGAAGGGGGCGGAGACGAAGCTCAGCTGAACCGACACGGAAAGAGCGACCATCTACTCCTTCGGGAGACCGAGAGTCTGGAAGTTGCTATCCATAGATAGATATCTGAATAGAGTCGATATATTATTGAATCCCCTGGCTATCTGACGGAGAAGGATCCAATCAAACACCCCTACACCAAGCCCTCTGTCAAAAGTAGTCTGCAGAATATAGCTCAGGATAGGAGCTAGGTATGTACAGGAGTAAGTCGATTTGACTAGGTGAGGGCACGAGCCGCAAGACCCATCAACTGAACGATATATCCGGCGCTCCGCCTGATTGACTCTGTATCAATCCGGGGTTATGCAGATTTGCAGATCGGGGTAATATGCGCAACCCCGGACGTGACCTCACACGAAGCAGGGAAGCACGCTTACAAGGGTCGTAGCTGACGAGCATGAGAACACCTACCAGGAGAGGTGAATGGTTGAGATGGGCAGTAACTACCATGTTGAACGTCGAAAGGGAGGGGGATTGAGATCTAATGTCACACTGGTCGCTAGAATGATGAACCGGTGACGAGGGTGCCTCGTCAGACGTCACCCCTGTATATCTGAATAGGTCCTTCCCCGGTCGTAGACGACAGACGAACGGGACGGAAGAAAGAGGTATCAAGGCATTTCAAGTTCAAATTGGCACAAGACAATCATCATTCTTCTTGGTACTTTCGACCTGGGGAGCTCAACCCTTCTCCACCCAGCCCTGGGCGTCGGAGAAGAGGAGCTCGTTACCCAGCGTGAATGGCTAGCACTCCATACATATGATATGTGTCTCAATGTACTCAGCCAAGGACGGAAATGACATGTCAAGTTCCCTGCCGCAGGTTACAACTTTCCTGTCATGCATAAGCCTCGCTTCGCGTCTGTGCTGGCTCAAAGGTGCTCTCCCACAGTGTCCCGCACAGCGGCAGGACAGGGGCGCGAAAGAAATCAAAACAAAGACGACCGCCGTGACCAACCAAACATCTCACTGTTATTATCCCATGCCCACGGCGTCATCATAAAGCATAAAACTTTTCCTTCAACCCGGTGCCTATATACAAGGCAAAAACTATTACCGTGTTAGCAATCATGTCACAAGTTTGGGGCCAGTAAACCCAGGTGTACTCACATTCATCACAATAAGCATGGGTATGTCGAAAACATCCCGCTTTACCGTCCAGCAGTATGTGCAGTCCACCTTCCCATCTGCAGAACCTAATTTCTGCATTCCCTTTTCGCCGGAAATGCCATCTCTTTTAATGTCATTCTGTTTTCGAGCAACTCCAGCGCTGTCTCGCCGGCGAGGGTCTGTGTTGTTTTGCAAACCCTCTTCTTTGCGCATCTCAGCCTCGGCATTGAGATTTAGCGAAATCTCATCATCTTTGGTCCGATATTTGAGAAGCTTCCCCCTTCCGTGCACGCTACCACGACTGTCTCCGAATGCCAAACGTGCAAAATCTTCGTAAAACTGTACCACTGAATCGTCATCCAGTAATTCGGCCAGAAAAACTGGCAGGAGACGTTTTTCACCGTTCTCATCCTCCTGACCACCTCGCGTTGGTGTATTGAATCCGGTTGCTCTTGCAGTATTCGTGCCAGACCCAGTGCCGGGCGTCTGTCCTGTATGTCCCCTGTTGACGTTCAAGTTTGGAGTGCGACCAAGTAGTACATTTTTCGTCCAACCAGTAAGAATTTGGAATTCCTTACCGACCGCAGCCACCTCTCCAGTTCTCCTTGCAACAATGGTTGGGGTTCCAACGCCTTCGATAAATCCCTCGTATTCCCACAAGGTTCTTTGAAAACATTTTTCCATGAATATCAGATCCTCCCTGTTCAGAGTCTTAGTCGTTGCAATGAAAGAGGGCCTGAAAGAAGCCAGTGATTTGGCGATGGTGAGCGTCTTGGAAGGGTGGTTGGAAAAGCGTTTTTGAAGGTAGGCGATAAGGGCATGGAAACCAGCCGTGTAAGGGTGAGGACTCGTGACCGTGGTGTAGATCGACGATGGATCTTTGGGTCTTTTCAGGGACTTGACTGGTAGCTGTGACTTTGCTTTCAATTGAGGAGTTGACAACCCTGGAGGCTGTTGATTGCGATTGCCATCCGGCCCAGATGTCGGGTTGAACTGAGTGTTTGGCATGGGAGGAACATGGAGTAAACCATTGCTCGTCATCAGCGGAGAGTCGTCGAACTTGACCACATTTGTCGGCGTGCCATTGGTATCTGGGGAGGTCCAATGAGCGGCGCCCGTTTCTATCGCAAAGGCATTTGGTGCCATATGATGACCTTGGTGGCCAGGATAGGTGTCGGATCCATTGGGCCAATCCGTCATCATCGGATCATTATACTGGAATTGGGCTGTCGGGCTCTCACTGAAGCTTCCTAATGGCATACGATACTGCTGCACCATAGAGCCTCGATGAGTCGTAGTATCACTAGGAGGAGTTTCGCCAGCATTTGTCGCCATGTGGCCCAGCATGCCGAATTCCAATGCACCATAATGATTGCCAAAGTTCATACTCGCAATGTCAAAGTTGAACATGGCCGGATCGTCAAAGATTGCACCGGACCACGCGGCCGAATTCATGTTGTTTGCACCATTTTGATCGGGGCCCACGACAGGACTCTGGAGGGGCACTTGCGACCCGACACTGGTGAAATTGGTACTAATCGGCGATTGTTGGGCGTAGCTCGTCGAACTGACACTGCGCTCGTGAAGCATGGGCGGAGGCATCTGGGATGATTGTTGAAAATTGTTGAACTGTTGCTGTGGTTGAAAGAATTGCTGTTGTTGTGGGGTAGTCGACGTGTCGCTCGTGGTTGAGGTTATGGTCGAAGACCGTTTTCCGGCGGAAGAATTAAAGAGATTACCACCAACGACGGGGATGAGAGCCTCATTGGGAGCGTCATGGAGATATTTGGCCTTCTTCCGCACACCATCCTGACAGGCGTCCTGCAATCCACGCTTGATGCACCTCTGGCAGGGCCTCTCATCGCCTTTGGAGAAGGTCAGTAGATTAACACGAAACCACCCATTAGGAGAATTACATACCACAGGTCAGATGGGCACGTTGACAGGCATAGCAAGCTCTACGAGCCTTCTTTCGTCGAGGGCGCGAAGGATCTTTGGCATTGGAACCATTGGCTTGTTTTGGCTTTTGAGGTTTGACTTGCTGGTCGGCCATTGTTTCGGTCCCACTATCATCGGGGGAGGGCGAACGAGAGTGGCCATCCTCGACATCTGAGGCCGTCATATTGTTATAAGCAGACCATCAAGAGAATTGTCCAACGATGCAGGGTGCAAGGTGGCTTGCACACGAACGCCAGTAGTGACACCCGATTCAAGAGGTTCTTGAGGCGACTGAGATGGCGACCAGGATAGAAAGTAGGCTCATCCAAGTCGAATGACAGCTGAAGTCTCCCTGGTCGTGCAGAGTCACGTCAAACACCCTGAGGGGTAGAGACGCAGGCTGAGGGTAGTCTGTGACGAGACCTCGCACTCGCACTGCGCAAGCAGGAAAGGTCGAGGGGTATTGTGGCAGATGGAAGCCGAGTGGAGAGTAAGTGTCCCCGAAGGTAGAGTAGGACGGCGGCGCAAGATTGGATGTGGAAATATAGATGGGTCCTGGACCAAACAAGCTGCACAGTCAAATAAGAGGGAGGATGTTGTGCGACATATGCTGGTGTGACAGAGGTGGAGCGGCTTTTGCAGAGAGAATGCTTCTATCAAGACTCAAGGATCGCAGAAACTGGCTCGTTCGAGTTGATTGGATTCGCGAATGGCTTGCAGGTCACCAAGGTGGGAGGGATCAACGGAGATGTGTTGGAGTGGAGATTTTCGACGCGGACCAGAGGGTCAAATAGTAATCGAGTGGCAGAAAGTGAGCTTTTGCGATGCTCACAAAAGCTGCGAGGGACGTGAGGTAGGTACGCGTTGTCGACAAAGCATATCCCAGGTTGGTGAAAGAATAAACGTGAGTGGTGTTGGGTGTTGGTGTTGGTGATTGCAAATGCGGGCAGCTGCAAGGCCGGCCAGGCTCTTGGGATGCGGAGTCGAGGTGGGAAGGGAACTTGAAGGTCAAGTTGACGATGATGGGGAAGGAGCCGAGCAGTGGAAGTCACAAGTGGAAGTGGCGTTCAGGCTGGTCGTGTCATGTCACGGGTTCCAAACTGGAGCCGAGGACAGAGCCGGTCATGCTCGGCGGATTACTGAATCAGTGGGGGATCCTTCTGCCACGAGAGAGTACAAAAGAGAGTTGGGAAAACAGGAAAACAAAAGATGGAAATCAAGTGAGTAATAATTGCAAATTTAGTCGAGGAAGGTGCGATGCAAACTACTCAGTCAAAGGCAGGCACAGTTGCAGGTCGAAGCGCAACACAGGGTTGGGCATTATTGGGTGATGAGGATGGGGATGGCAGGGACCACCTTGAGCTCTAGTTTGCGATGTCGTAAGAGGGAGAGCAGTAGCGACTACCGTCGAGACAAAGAGGGCTACAGGGACTTACGATTCTAGCTGTCAATTGTTCTACTTCGTAGTTAGCAAGGAGCCAAAGGGGTCAGCCTAACCAGTCCCTGTTAGCGCCCATAAGCTAAGTAGCTCGTGCTGTTGCGACCGCCCGCCGCCTGCTGCCCGCTCGGTGGCTCGGCCACTGCATCTTCGATCGAGGGACGAACTCCGCCTGGACCGCGGCACATCTGACCCCACAATCTCTTGATCCAAGCCCGGATGGAGGGGCACTTGTCTCCAAAGCGGTTGCTGGGCGCCAACCACACTTATGCACTCGGGCTGTTGATGCTTTAACTACCTAGGTAGCAAGCGCCCCTAAATTGGGAAATTCAACTTGTGAGCATCTCTGCACACCTACCTGGGTACCCGTGGCTGACGTGGTAGCCTGGTAGCCTCTAGACAGGCCGAGCAAAGTTGGCCAACAAGTCAGGAACAGCCGCCCGAGGAAGTCGTATTCTGCACCCCATAACTCAGATTTTCCGGCGGGGATGTGGTTTCATTTTCATCGACAACTGTCATATTATGAGCACTTTGACCCCTTACTCCGTCCTGGGCCGTCGTGTCCCACTCGCTCGCAGATCCGGACCATGCCTGTCTCTGGAGATCAAGCTCGTCACTGGCAGCACAACCAGCTAATTCAACCTCCAAACTTCCTTCTTCGCTTCCACTACACCGCTCTAAGCTGAATTTCGTTGGCTTTAGGCAGCAAATCACTCAATTCTGCACTGCCGAGGCTCCATTCTCCACGTCCACGGGCACCCTCCCGAATGAGGCTGCCCGCAATCTTCCGAGATGACCGGAATTCACCGGCAAAGGCTGTCAGCTTGTAAGTGCTATTCAAAACCTTCTCATTGGTACGTCGTGCACATACAGATGTATGCCATCTAAAACGCACAACCCACCGAACAGCTAAGTCAAGAACAGCGGTCTAGTACCACTGACCACTGACCGGCGTCTGCTAACGCATGTCAAAACATCTCGAGCCAGAAACGAGATGCACTGCTGTTCGGCAGTTGTCATGGGTAATTTGTCCCTCGTCCAAGGGATTCAACAGTACTGTACAGGATTCGGGTGCAACAATAATAACAAGATCCGGGTCATACTCTGCCACTGAATCCATTGACTGTCAAATCTATATTGCAATCTTGCCCGGGCCGGTGACTGCTTCACCGTATGCCAATACAAGAAATCACAATACTCCTACTGCTGGGACCAACCGGGCAAAGGAGGCTGTTTCATTTAAAATAGCACCACGTGCTCCCCTGTCGGATGCCGTAAGCCCTTCATGCGAAGTAGGACAGGAAACATCAAGCCAAGTACTTTTCCTTTGCCTTCTCACTTGACATTTTAGTTCCCAAAGACGGTTCCCCTGTCCAAACTTTCAGCCTCGGTGGTGCGCCTCCAAGCAATGCCTCATGACTGGTGATCTTGAGGATCTTCGACTCCTTTGGCATGCATGTCCCATATCCATGACGTGATGGTTCCCGAGGCATAAGATCCTGACATTGCCCCCCACGCCTGACCAGTAGATCTCCTCCTTCCGATCTGCCTGCATCATGGAGACTCAAAGGTACATAGGGACAACTTGGCTAGAACCGGCCAGTTTCCAAACCCCCTTATATGCTTTCACCCTTTGGCAGTGCTGAACCGACTCCTGGCCCTCAATCGCTTGCCATAAATGAAGAATATATACGGGAAAGGCGCCATCACGAGACACAAAAAGGCCAAAAGCGTGGTGGCCCAGTGGAAGTCCAATTTCCGATACATCTGAACCCCAAAAAGAGGGAAAGCTCCCGCGAAACTGGACCGCGCAAACGAGTTGGCTGACAATGCACTCGCTGCATACAATGGGTACGCCTCCACCAGAAATGTAAACACTCCGGAAAAGACGAGGATGAGTCCAAACCCAAATAGCCCAATGGCGATCTCAGGTACAATCCAATGTACCGAGGGATAGATCGTCCAGGCAAATAAGAAGAGGCCCACGACGCAAAACGGAGCTCCCACGACGGCGGGCGCAAGTCGGAACTCGGGCTCAGACTTGAGTTCTCCAGTCTTGATTTCGTTGTTCCGGACCAGTCGAAGATAATTTCGCTGCCATAGTGGGTCGGAGCTGATCCCCAGTATCATCCCGATAAGGAGTCCAACAAACGATAGACCAACTTGATGTAAATCGAAACCATAAATCTCTGTGAAGACAAGGTTAAAGGCCCCGAAAAACAGGTAAAGTATGCCGAGTAGGATCGAGGAAAACAAACACAAGTTGAAACACATCGGGTCCAGGAATAGCAACAAAAATGGCCGGTAAAGAGATCTGAGCACAGTCATCGTGACCGACCGTTCACGGATTTCCATGGGTGCTTTCCATCTGGGTTCACCCGTTTCTTTCCTCATCAGCCTTGCCTTGTTCCTCAACACCACAGGCATGTATGTCTCGGGGATCAGGAAGATCATGCACAACAGCATTACGCCCGACCAGATGAGGAGGACATAATATGACCAACGCCAGGAGGCATATTGGTTGATAAAGCCACCTATGATCGGTCCGATGCTGATGACCAGTTAGAACCAGATATCTTGTCATTCGAAGGGATTTCCACAACTCACCTCGGACCTAGAAACGGAGCCGCAGAGTATATCATCATCGGCGCCTGAAGTTGATCATGATTAAACATGTCACCGACGGTCCCTCCGGCGACTGACAAGAACGCACTGCCCGCGAGACCATCGAAAAATCGAGCAACCAACATGGTCGCGAGATTCTTTGCGACGGCACACGGAATGAGCCAGGTGGTGAAGAAGACGTACGCAACGATGTAGATGGGCCGTCGACCATAAAACTCGGACAGAGGGCCCAACAACATCGGGCCGATCCCAAGGCCAAAGACGAATGTCGCCAGCCCAATCGTCGCCTGGAACCGTGTCGTCCCAAATTCAGCGTTCATTTGTCCTGTTGACGCAGCACCGTCAGTACGTGCACTCGATAGATTCCCCATTGCTCCTCACTCACCATAAGTAATGGTATACAACGACGATGTGCACGTGACACACAGTGCGCCAAAAGCCAGGACAATTACAATCATCCACTTCCTCCCCGGCTTGAGATTCTTGGGGTTCATGGGATCGTCGGCGCCATCCCAGGCGACTTCGAATCCTTTCTCCCGAAGTTCGACGTCCTGCTGTTCGACATCCTGCGGTCCATCCGTGCCATCTTCGCCTTCTGCGTCCGGCTCGCTGAAATAGCCGTGTCCATCAGTGTATGACCTCGTGGGGCGGAGGCTTGAAAGGCCACTGTGTTGCTGAGTGCGGTTCGTGACCATCGGCGTCAAGGTATTTGATGATGATGCATCTAGAGGACTTTGTTTCTCACCACTGTCTTCCACTGTGCGTGGTTGTGATCTCGTAGTCGGCTGAAGATGTGGGAGTTGCGCCCCCACTTCCTTCTCCAATTCGGGTCGAAACGCCATCATGATCAAAAAAACCCTTCCTCGTACTCGTATACAAATCGTCACCCAGGCGATCACGTCACGACTCTACCCTGTGTAGAAGTATTGAACGATATTCTAGCAGCCATGGCATCCAAGGATCAAATGAACATATAAAGGATCCAAGGGATGCAAACAGACTAATGAACTGTAGATAAGTGGTTGGGCAGCTTCGTACATACTATCCACCTGCCGTCACCGATGTAGGCTCGTACAAAAAGAGCCCCTGCCTGCAGGCAAGGCAAAAAATACAATTGATAATCGGGGCAAGGGTTTTCGGCAATTGACTTCCATCGAAGAACCCGTCTCCACAATCTGTGGTCTTCAGATGCTTATCATTTATCATCATTTCCAGCTCTCGGGGGCATCGGGGTGAACGTCACAATTTATTACTTCATTGTACATAGTGGGCGACCTGGAGTGCGGAACACTACCTAACGTAAGGAGATTGCTGAAGTAGTTAGTGTTCGAGCACGTATGGAAGGATATGAACAAGCCTTCGATGGCATTATTGACGTTTACAGGGACTGATTTGGGTCGACGAGTACGGTGTCGGCGAGCTTGGAAATTTCCCCCGGTTTCGCAGACCTCTTCGCCTCACCGTCCGAATTCGATACCTGAGTGTCTGACCACTTACGTAGCGTGACGTCCTTCACGAGTGTCTTCGTCAGTAGAATAGTAATGATGCTCCAGGCCTGTACGCTCTTTTATAGATCTTAGATGGCTTAATTAGAAGGCTTGTCTTCGAAAAGTACAGCATTGCGGACGCTGTTGCGTTATGTGCTGGAACAATTGTCCGACATGAGGCGTTTTAAGGCAATTATAGACGTGGAAATGGATGCAGAAACAGCTTGACATTTCCGCTTCCACCACTACTGCTCTCTACGAGCTCTTGGAATACTGGATCCACGTCTACGGACCGCTTGAAGTAGCTTCCTAGCCGATCTCAGCACCGAATTGGAAGTCTCAAACTAGAAAAAACATATAGACCTCTTCAGAGTCCCAACGCAAAAAGAGATTGCCTCCAACAAGAATTGAACTTGTGATCTTCGCATTTTAAGCATTGAGAAAAGTATGTCTTTTCTAGTGGTACAAGTGCGACGCGTTACCACTGCGCCATAGAGGCATTTAGACCGTCTCAAACGGTCCTGCATGGACATTTCGGGAAAATTTTGAGTGGTTCAATTAATATACTGAAAAAAAAATGACGTATTTGGGACTTTACAACTAGGGCTATTTAGGCTAGATCTAGAGTTTCTTTCACTAATCTAAAGTAAATACGAGTAAATGGTATCGTATCAAGTCTAGGTAGCTTTAAAGGGTAGTCTTATTGGTGCCTTTTCTCGTGGATTTTCCTTACCCTCGCCTGACTCCTTTCCCTATTAGCTTTCTAACCTGTACTGGTGTCTTTTCCTATGTTGGTTGCTTTCCTTCCTGCCCCTTGTCCAGTTCTGCTGCGAGACCTTCTGCCTGCTCGATGTCTTGAACCATTTTCTCGGAGCTCTCGCGACTATCTTTGACCTTGAGCATGAGGTGGCGGATATTGATTTCAGCCCTTCTTGCTCCCAGCTCTTCTTCACAGTCCTCTTCAAGTGCTGACTACCGCAGTTCATTAGCCGCAACACCTTACCAAGCTCAGGCTCGTATGAGGTTAGCCCTAAGAAGTTTATCACTGTAGATCGACCCTTAACGATCAGACCTAGTAAAGTTGCACACCCCAGGTAAACAGCGAGCAAAGTCTTGTATCACCGTCCAACAATACAGATTCGGTGGCAGGATTGATCCTACCGACTCTCCAGCTTGTTCAATCAAGACTTTATGCATTTCCAGTCGAAAAATGGAGTCGAGTGTTCTACCAGTAGACAGTCAGGCTATAGACCGGCTTCAATCAGATACATGTACAATTGCCTTTGAGGTCTTAGCGTTTGATAGGAGTTTATTTTCTGCCGAGCCTCTTCGCGTCCGTCTCTATTTAACACCTGAGCACCGTCAATGTCTCAACCAAGTAGTAGCGTGGAGCGGTTGGGGAAACCCCTCAGGTGGTTGTGGAAGGAATACATAGCGTCCATCGTAGTGTTCACGAAATATGTGGTCCGTCATCGTCGTGCGTAGATTGGAGTGGTTGCGAGACAGGAGGTATTTCCGCCGGGTGCTCTTCTGGAAGTGGGCTTGAAAGTGGTCGGCTACTATGCGATTGTTCTGCTCCCTCACTTCCTTCATCATAAATGTTATCATTCTCGTCACCGTCGCTGCTGAGGTCTCCGGCACCGTTGATGGCCCAACAATCTGGATCTTCGGCGCCCGTTAAGAGTGTACGCGTATAGTCTAGGTGACTTTGGGACCGGATTTCACCATGTTGCCTTGTTTCCGCGTAATTCCAGGTCGACAACGATAGCATGCTTGTCGCGGAGATGGCGAATCAGGGCAGCCTTTCCGCCTCGGATTTCTATTTTAGCGCCTCGGATCCATGATCGACAGTCGGAGAAGTTGCAAGATGTCGGTCACGGGGCAGTTTCAACAACCGCTGCATGCCCTGTCGTGAGAAGCAGACTTGGCCAATCTCTGAGGAGCTGGATTAGGCTCCGGTTGTAGCTCAGGTAGAGGCTCGGTCAAAGCGCAGGTTAAAGCAGCCTTCGCTCAGCCTCTAGGATCAAACTGTACAAGGCAATCAGGGGCTTCGTCCTCGAGTAATCTAGGTAGCTCATTATTAATTCCCCCTTCCCAGCTACTTCGTCTCTCTTGCATGGCGACGATCTACCTCTATTTTGGTAGTCAGCATAGATGTGTCGTCAGGCCTTCAGGCTCAGCCAAGAGGGATTCGTACAAGGCTTCGTACAACCTCTCAGGCTTGCGGGTGTGAGTTGCTTGATGATCCCAGTATAGCCGCACGCTCCGGCGAACAAGATGCATGCGTTGTACGATTGCGGTGATCTGGAGGTGCTTACATATGTGTATATGCGCGTTGATTGCAACGTTCCGCTTCGGTCATCTGGCTAAAGGTCCAGGCGGATTAAATGGACTATGCCTGGGGAGGACAAAGATAGGTACAATTCCGATGAATGACTACCTAGGAAGTCTGTCGTATGCAACTCAATTAAACACTTGAACTTCAGGCATTTGACCAAGACCACCACCTTTGCTGTTGGGGCTCTTGTTCGCATCACCGAGCACGCCTCCAGCACTACGGTCCTTTACATGCTGTCGCAACATCTTCAAAATCTCACTGTCCTTCCATCGTTGTGGCACGGGTCGATATGCAGGTTTAAATGCGCCAACGGTCTGTGCCCATTCTCCACTTCGTGGCGCCCCTTGTCTCCAGGCATCGGTTTCTTGGGTCTGTCCGGGATTCGCAGGTGATGTGTAGGCAGTGTCCTTGGTTTTCTTGTCGGTAACAGCCCCCTCGGCATATTCGAGTGATGTCGGCGTGGGAGTTTGAGTGGCCCAGTAGTATATATCCCAGTCGTTTTCGTCGAGGAAGCTATCGTATATTTGGAGCTGCTCCTTAGTCATGGACGAGAGATTGGTGGCCGCAAACGTGGAGAGCAGAAGATCCGACTCTAATGTCCCTCGCTTCCTGCTTTGGTCTGTCAATGTCTAGTGTCAGCTATATGTTCAAACTTCAATTCAACGTGCAGCGTATCTTGGTGCATTAGGGTGTGCGTCACGGACATAATAATCTCGCTCTCATGGTGGTTGTATCTTCTCCGGTTCTTTTCAAGGGTTCCACTCTGAAAGATATGCCTTCCATTTCACCAACGTCATATTCGGACGAGCTTACTTTGTCGGGCTTACTCTCCTGTGTTCCGCCTGTCAACTTTTCCGTTTTTTCTGGAATGTTGTCCTTGGGTGTATAGTTTGGGTCGACCGAGCTGATTAGGTCCGGTGGTGCCTTGTCCACGCCAACAGTGGGAATTTCGTTGCTGATTGTCGAGGCAGTATTTGTCAAATGAGGGTTGTTAGGCTTTTCTTTCTGGTATTTGCGATGCTCGTCTGCCGTGGAGTGAACTCGTTCGTTGGTTGACGAGGAAGCACAGCGACGCGACAGAGGGGCTGTAACACTTCTGTTGAGCAGCGATCGGGAAAAGACTCTGATAGGATTCATAGTGGGCTTTGACAATCTGCAGAGTGTATTGAAAAGAAGACGGAGACGAGATCCTAGTCAATTGATGGAGAGGAAGTAGCTGCACTTTTTATTGACATCATCGAAGTTGCACCGAGGAGGGAGCCAGAACCCATCCGAGTCACGTGACATACACCCATTCCTCCCCCTTTCCAAGCTCGCTTAAGTGGGTAAGGAAATTCATTCCTTCGTCGTACTGCTGTTCAAGCCTCCCTTGATCGGGTTTGAGGTGAGTATGGATGGAACCACATATGGAAGCGTGACAATCGACATGGAAAGGGGCTGAGGGAAACTGACTCCAACATATTGACAGTCAGGAAATTTGTAACTGGCGTACTCGGGATTCAAGCTTTGCTTCTAGCATCTAGTCTGAAGAGGAACAACTTTTCCTCAACTAGGAATAAATCCTGAAAGAGATTTTTTATCTTTCCAATTGAAACTTTTGGAGGGATGTACAAATCAACCACCCATTCAGTTCACCAGAATTGAGAGTTCTACAACCTCCGGTAGGGAACCGTAGGCTTATTACCCAGCAACTCATCAATCTCAGCCATGACCTTCTCATCCAACAAAGGCAGCAGATCCAACGCTTTCACTGACTTTGCGATCTGCTCAACTTTCGAAGCACCGGTAATGGCCGAACTGACTCTTGGATTCTTGATCACCCAAGCCAACGCCAACGTCGCACGATCCGTGCCCAACCTTTCCGCCAGCGGTTTCAACTTCTTGACCTGAGCGAGATTCTGCTGCCACTGCTCATTCCCATAACTCTCACGCTGGCTGGTCGTGAACCCCTCAGTCGCAGTAGCGATCCGACTATCTTCAGGAATGCCCTCGTCATATTTCCCTGTTAGGATGCCCGTCTTCAGCGGACTGAAAATCGTGAGGCCCAAACCATAATTCTCATACAGCAGCGCAAACTGTCGCTCGACTTTATCCCTCTCGAGCATATTGTACTGCGGCTGCTCCATGACGGGGCCAATGAGATTCAACCTCTCCGCGCACGCCCACGCCATGGCGATCTCCTCGGCGTTCCACTCACTCGTGCCCCAATACAATGCCTTGCCCGAGTTGATCAGATAGTTGAAGGCACGCACCGTCTCCTCGATGGGCGTGTTCCGGTCCGGTCTGTGGGCGTACAGCAAGTCGACATAGTCGAGCTGTAGTCGTTTCAACGACGCCTCGGTGCCCTCGATGACGTGTTTCCGCGACAAGCCGCCGTTGTTCACGGGATTGTCGCCGAACGCATTGCCCCAGTAGATCTTGGTCGAGATCACCAGGTCGTTGCGCTTCCACCCGTATTTCTTGATCGCCTGGCCCATGGATATCTCCGACTTGCCTTCAGCATACCCCTCCGCGCAGTCGAAGAAGTTGATTCCGGCGTCGTACGCCGCTTTCATGCATTCATGTGCGATCTCTGGTATCACAGGTGCTTGTCAATATCTTGGACTAGCCCCCTGTTTGTACGTGTGAAATCCATGTGTGATAAGTCACACTTACCGTCGCCGACAGAGCCGCCGTATGTAACCCTGGAGTCGTTGTTAGCATTTGCGCTTGGCAGTCATCTCGCAAAATGTGGAATTGTTCTGCTCACCATCCTCCTAACGATATGACAGACACCTGCAGACCGCTGCGGCCCAGAAATCTGTACTGCATTTTGGGGAGCTTGTCACCAGAAGTTGCCATGTTTGCCCTCTTTGGTCGGTGGTGTTTCAACAGAGCTTGTGTTCAGAATCTGAGAAGTAAAGACCTCGCTTTAGGAAATGACAAATTGAGAATTTATATCGCACACTCAATCAATCACTGACGCTATGACGCTCGTTCGATCAGTGAGGCTTGCAGTAGTCAGTTGGTCCGCTTGTGCCTGGTTAATAGCCGCAATGCAAGGTCCAACCCCGCCGCCGCTATTTAGCCGACTTTCCACCAGTGATGTTCCAGCGTCCTCTTTATCATTCTCGAGGACTATGACTCTTATTTCATCTTCTCGTGTCTCATTAGTCATATTTGGTCGACTGCTACCAGAAAAGTGCTCTTGGTTCTAAGGTTTAGGCCAGGAGTGAAGACATGAACACATGAAGATAACAGGGCTCGCTGGAATGATCGCTCGAAGTCGATATGATCGACATGTACAACGAGATTCGTCTCTGCTTAGCTCCGACCATTTTCCTGTTTCCCGACGTTGGGATTGCGACTCCTCTATGATTCTGAAGGGGTGGATACGGAGGTTACCCCTTAGATTTCGGAGTGAGGGTATGCTCGAGTTCGCATAATGATATCTAATATTTACTATATACTTGAAAATGGTTTGATGGTTATCCCAGATGCAAAGAGGTCATGCCCACGTCGATTTTGAGTGATGTGTAAGCACCGCCTGTGTAGAACGCCATCCAGTAGCCTTGCTTCGATAATGTAAAGTCTGAATTTGGTGATGGTGGTCGAAAGTGTTGGTTTTCGTGCTGTCAGTTGATCGCAGGGCTCGAGGAGCTTGTTGACGTCCCATATTGATGCTAGTTGTTGCTGTCATTTTCAGGGTTTAGGAATACTGTCGGTAGTAAAATTGTGATTCTTTCCTCGTGTGTCTAGCCATGATCTTCACGGCTGTCGTTGCAACGTGGTGGGAACTGTGGTCATAAGGGGAAGATGCGAGACTTCTGGTAGCCGTAGCTCTGATCCAGCGAACTGGTCCTCATGAGCCGGCCATTGCTTTCAACTTCTTACACCAGACGTCGAGAAACTCTGCAGACTTAGGCAAGACTGGAATGACCCAGAAAAAATGGGGCCAGCCGACCCACTCCACCAGGTCGGTGTCTACGCCTTGCTTCTGGCATTCTTCCGAGAAGAAGACACTTTCTTGATGAGTTGGATCTTTCGTGCATGCTGCAATGTAAGTCTTCGGTAGGAGCTTGATATCCGGGTGCAATAACGGCGAGTATAAAGGGTCTTCAGGTTGTGGAACTTTTAGCCATTCTGATTTCCTCTGGGTCAGCATCGCCTTTCTCCAACTGCGAGTTTCTTACCTCTGGCTTGTTGCATGATAGAGTTCCCAATCATCGGCGCATCAGAGTAGCGTTCGGGAGTATACCTGCTCTTGTAGTCCGATGGGAGCGCGAGAGGATCACACGACGCCATGCATGCAGAAACTAGTCCTGTCGGTTTGAGCTCCTCATTCGAAGAATACTTTAGTGCAACGCACGCGGCCAGGTTTCCACCAGCAGACCCGCCCATGACGAGTTTTCTCTTCTGATCTCCTCCATACTCTGCGGCTTTCGCGTTCATGAATTCATAGGCTGCGCAAACGTCATTCAGGCCGGCTGGATATGGGTTTTCTGGCGCAAGTCGATAATCTGGAGAAAACAGAATCACCCTCGATTTCTCGGCAATCGTTCTACACAAATGGTCTTCGCCTTCGACGCTGCCCGTGAACCAACCTCCAGAGTGGATGTAAAGTCCGACCGGCAAAGGTTTAGTCTCCCCAGCAGGTGTATAGATCCTCACTCTTTGAGTTGGAGTGAGTTGCACATCCTCAGAACGCACGGCATCGGTGGGTGGCGGTATGAATGGTGCTAGACCAGCAAAGATGCCAACGAATTTTTCACGTGTTTTCTCAATCGAGTCGGCCTCGATAACCACGCGCCCGCCCATCATTTGTTCGGCCTGTGACATTTAGATAAGGCAATTGACCAAGTAGTATGCTCGATATCATACCGCGAGCCATTGTGGGTCGAAAGGAGGAAGCCCCTCAGCCATTATAATGGAGGCAGTGTAACTCGACAAGGCTGTATACAAGACTGATAGTGGAAGAGGGAGGGGTAGCCAGATGATTGGTACCTAGGTAGACAGGGTTCTTTTGTCGTAAACGTGGACAATACAGTTGCAACATGAGTGTCTTGGTACAACCTCGTGGCGGGGTAATTTGGCGGGATACTAGAGTGGTGGGGTTTATCAACCGGCGACTCGGAGAGGAAGATATGTAGCAACTAAGGATCTCCCTACGATTAGAGTCTCACGAGTACGATCGTGCTGTTGATTTTGATCAAGGCTCCTGCATCATCCCTAACTCCATTGTTTGTCAACATGCTATATTACATACATAAGACAACAGAGAAATTAGAAGGTGGACAGAAGTAGTCAAGCATGAGTAGCTGCGTTAAAAATGGGACATTGAAGGTGCTTGATTAGACTGGCTTGCTCTGGTAGTGGGGGATATATCATACATTCATTCCGTCGTAGATGAGTTCTGTAAGTTTTTGAGTCATCACTCTGTGACTCTGGGCATAATGCCTTTCCAAGTCGTGAGATCCATCCTCCAGGCTGTGGCATTTAGTACGTACACGCCCTCAAAGCAGTAGGCTCAGAGGCTCATGTGACTCAGGAGCACACCCTGTTGGTTATCTTAGTGCCCAGCGACAAGGGAGGAGGGGTATCAGCCGAATGCCAGACACTGTAGTCATAAGCCAAATGGAAAATTAAGGCCGCTGACCGTAGACCACGTAGCTGATTCAAAAAGTTAGTACACCCATCGTCGAACTAAAGAAGCTCAAGACAACTCACAAGTCATACTGGCCATGGATTTTTCGATTGGTAAAGTCTTGTCGGATTCCGGCAAGGAAGATTTGAATTTCTTCATAGCTCCACGGTTGTGGTGCGTGCGGTAATGTACCCAAGCAAATAGCTTCTACTGCTTCCAGCATCTGCAATAAATTGAGAGCCCCGATTTCTTTCAGACGTCGGTCCTTTGGCCAGGTCCCTAGTGGTAGGTAGAGTTTGTGGGCCCGCACGTTCTGGAATCCGACTTCGTTCATCCAGCGCTCAAGTGAACCTCCCGGCTTCATGTCGAAGCCCTGTGCCTCTCTGGCGCCGCCACACATGGCGTGGAACTTAGCCATGTCGGACTCAGGAGGGATCGTGTTGTCACGCGAGTAGATGAATGTGTTCCAATCCTGAAGTTCGACCCAGCCACCACGCTTCGTGCAATTGAAAGCTTGTTGCACGAGCCGTGGCCAATCCCGAACCGCACCAGCGAGAAATCGAGCATGTACATAATCAAATGGTTGTGTTTCATAGTTCCAATCTTCTTCAATGTCGTCCACGATGAATTTGAGGTTCGGAGGAACCATGGTAGTTTGTGTTGGACTCAGATCGTTACCAATGACCTCTGAAAGTGGATGCTGGTCACTGAATTGGATCGGCCATATCCCAGTACCAGTGGCAATGTCAATGACCCTCTGTGGGTTGTCATTTATGGGCGCGAAGTAGAGGCGCTCGCCCATAGCTCTATAAATCAGTGCGTGATGGATGTCCAACCGTTCATTCTCTTTCTCATCGTTGGGAAGGGAGTACCTTCCCATCCTATACGCATGATACGTGCGACCATGGGCTTCCGGGAAGTCTGTTACTGATGAAGTCATCGAAGCAGTATATGCTGATATTTCATCGCCATAAGCCGAGTCGGTGTCAATCGAGTCGACTTCGAGGGTTGGAGTGGTTGAGAGTTGGTCAATGTTGGAAGGATGAGGGTCAACCGTGGGGTTCATGGATGATCGTGATGGTTCCGCGACCGAATACGGAGTATTATTGTTTGCTTCCTGCATGGCAATTCATTTATGCTGAATAGCAGTCTAAGCATAGTTCAAATTTTTGATTGTGGAAGAAGACATATGTCGCGTGGAAGGGTTTCCCAAGAGTTCCTCCATGACTGAACGTGTCGGGTGGGAGGAGGGTGTGATGATATCGCACAGATGATGTGCACCCGAGCTTTAAGCATGTAGGAAGCACAGGCCAAGCCAAGCCTGGAGGAATCGGACCACGTGGAATCTCCCCAATCGGATAAGACGTTCCCTGTACTCGGTACTTGCTCGATCCACAGTGCGATTACCGAAAAAAGGGTGGGTTTTCAAAGCTGAACACACCGATGAAGGATGTTGTCGAGACATTGACCTATGTAGCATGCCGTTTTGTTCCCGAGGAGATATGCACAAAGGTTGTGTTGCCTGGTATATCTGGGCAAATCAATCGCATCCATCCTTTCTCGGCGACTAACTTAGTGGCGTAGGTGGTGTACTGCCCACAAGGCGTTTTATGGGTCTCCATTGCACTAATGATCAACATCACCAGTGCGAGTACGAATAGGATGCATGTGTACACTTTATACCAGACAGAATTGATACATGGAATTATTGTCGTCGTACTTTTCCCCTTAACAATATATGCCGTGATGACGACAAGAGTGGCGGTTAGCAAGAAGAAGTAGAAGATGTTGACTGATAAATTGGTAGCCGTCCAGATCAGGTCGTTACTTGGGCGGAAATACAACAGATCAAGGACCCATAATCCGAGCATGGGAACGAGGAAAAAGACACGAACTGCAAGTCCTTGACGACCACTTGTGGGATGGAAGAGATCGTGAGAAGACGAACTCTCGTCTTCGGAAAGTTGTAACGAATACAAACTTCGAGTTGAGACAGTATGCACCTGAGTATCTGATTCCCCGGATGCGATCGCCGTTGTTGTAGTTGCTGCGGATTGTTGAATTTCAGACGAGTCGCTTGCCCGTGCTGCGGGAGCGATGAATCTGTCGTGATCCGTTAGTATCGCATCAGTGGCTGGGCCACTGGGCCAGTCACCGCAACTATATCCATGGGCATCCGACAGCCACAGGGCTGCAGGCAACCGAAGCAAGCCGAGAATGGCAAGAGGAAAGAAGATAGTATGTACCCCCGATGTCAATCCGAAAAGTCCCCCTTTCAGGCCTGCCAAGAGCGCATAACAAGCCTGAGCTCCTTGAAAAGCGATTACCACGGTCTTTGCTGTCGAGGTGGATGCCAGCTGGACTCGATTAGACTTTGAAAATCGAATACACTTTGTTCTAGTTTTGGTAATCATTGACTCTGACCCATCCCAATGAGACCCAGTCCAAAATTCAGCGTTGCTCGCAGCCATGTCGAGGGCAGTCCATGCTTTAGCACGGGCTCGACGATCAAAGATGACGAGGTATCTCCAAAGGATTGAAGTCGGATTATAATGGCACATCTGTGCCTGCCAATCTGGAGCCGGATTTTGGAGTATGACTGGTTCGGGAACACCAGCGATAATGTGAGCAACCAATGGAGCAAGACAGAGTGTCAGTAACGAGATCCATTCGGAAAAGTTGATCGACTGTGATTGATAGGTAAATTCGATACTTGACCGAGGTTGTACGGTCCGATCAACTGAGATTCGTCAACTTCAGCTGATCAGGTTGGAGTGAGTCCAGGTCATCTCACCACTAACCTGTGAAGGGGTTTCCCATGTCGAATGCATGGTGCGATGAGAGCAAGAGAAAGCACAGGGCTAGGCGGACATGAGCAGAAACATGGCTTGAACCGAGTACCACAAGAGCATATGATACCTTCAATGATGAAGAGCTCGGGACAAGAATAGGGAGAGCCATTTATCAGTGAAAAGTATAAGTGAGCTCCTTGGTACTCTAATTCTCGTATTCGTCTTACCCCACTGCAGGCTAAGCAGGAAGCAGCGGATTTCATAAAACTTTGATAGTGGGACATGAGACTCGCCCCTGGTTGACCGTGTGTATCATAGTTGCGTGTAGGTTTGCTGGAATATGATGCACAGCAGACGCACAAGTGACTGGCCGTGGGATTTATCAAAGTGGATGCGGAATAAACAAGGAATGATCTACCTCATCGACACATACCTGGACGGGCAATTTTAAGCAGATTTCCTCTCGCTTACCTCTGATCGCAGGAGGGAGTGGCTTTCCTAAGGCCAAAGCGCGTCTGAATAACCCACGACGTGTGACTTGCTGCTTCATGTAGATTGCGTTGGTGTTTAAAGGACAGGACAACTCCGAGAGAAGAATATCTTGCAGTGGTGGTTCACTGCGGCAAGCATTTTGTCGGATAGTAGCGAGCGTTGATATGAGTTGGACTAAACTCCATTGCAACGAGGGCCAGTCCAAAACTCAAGAGCATCTACCTAGGTAGGTAGATATAACGAGATAAATCTTGACATTGGTAGGCATGCAAAAGGCTCCTTTGGGGGCAGAATTCACCTAATCGCGTTTGTTGCTAAGTACTCTACCCTCGACAGTGGGAGCCTTGCCGAGCCTTGCCACGCCTTGTCAGGGATTACGGCGGGCTGCATGCCCATGAGAGGCAACACCTAATCTAAATCTTGGCGTTCTGAATTTCCTGCCCACAGATAATCCGGACTGGCGAACTGCGAAAGTTGAAGGCACGTCGAGTCAAACCACCACTCAACTTCAACCCTCACATATCCCGCATCTTCAAGCAACCATGACTGAACAACTTATTCAACGTGGTACCCTTGAAGGCCACAGCGGTTGGGTCACCAGTCTCGCGACCAGCTTGGAGAAGTTAGTGCATTGAACCCGAAAATCCAGTCCCAATCTTCATCGCAACCTCCGCTAACTGAATTGCGCTTTTTAGCCCTAATATGCTGTTGTCGGGTTCCCGAGACAAGAGTTTGATCATCTGGAACTTGACCCGCGACGAAGCTGCCTACGGATACCCTAAGAGATCTCTCCATGGCCATTCTCACATCGTTTCCGACTGTGTCATCTCCTCCGACGGTGCCTATGCTCTCTCTTCTTCGTGGGACAAGACTCTTCGATTGTGGGAACTGTCAACTGGCAACACCACCCGTACCTTCGTCGGCCATACCAACGATGTTCTTTCCGTTTCCTTCTCCGCAGATAACAGACAGATTGTTTCTGGCTCCCGTGACCGAACGATCAAGCTGTGGAACACCCTCGGAGACTGCAAATTCACCATCACCGACAAGGGCCACACCGACTGGGTTTCGTGCGTGCGATTCTCTCCCAACCCTCAGAACCCCGTGATCGTCAGCGCTGGATGGGACAAATTGGTCAAGGTAAGAAACCTTGCTCTCTAAATACACGCTGCCCAAGATGCTATTCACTTTTTGTATTTGCTACTTCAGAGCCCCTCGGGCTATGAGACAATCATTCACCAATGAACTGAGGCACAGTCATTGAAATTCCCACGAGAACACTCATTGCTTGGTAGTCACACCTTGAGTACTAACTTGCTGTTCTACAGGTCTGGGAACTTGCCTCTTGCCGTATTCAAACCGATCACATCGGCCACACTGGCTACATCAACACCGTCACCATCTCTCCCGATGGATCGCTCTGTGCCTCTGGTGGCAAGGACGGTACCACCATGCTCTGGGATCTCAACGAGTCCAAGCACCTCTACTCTCTGCAAGCCGGAGATGAGATCCACGCTCTTGTTTTCTCCCCCAACCGATACTGGCTTTGCGCTGCTACCACCTCCTCCATCACTATCTTTGATCTCGAAAAGAAGAGCAAGGTTGACGAGCTCAAGCCTGACTACGTCGAGAAGGGCAAGAAATCTCAAGAGCCTTATGCCGTCAGCTTGGTCTGGAGTGCTGATGGGCAGACTCTGTTCTCTGGTTATACCGACAACAAGATCCGTGCTTGGGGTGTTATGTCAAGAGCATAGATGACTAGAATGATGGTGGGACGGGAGAAATGAGATGACGTGGTGAAAATGGCGGTTGGCAAAAGTGAAAATGGAGAGTTGATACTGGGAAACCTCAAAGAAGGAAAACCAGTCGCTAATTCCACCAAACACCAGCGGGAACCTGTTTATTAGCCATAACCATCATCCACGATGGCCGGAGCCGGCGCATTTGAGAAGGTGTGCATTGTGCTAAAAATTCCACAAACATGGCACGAGGAAATGATCAATACCAATCAAAAAAATGTAAAGCCTTTTCGCCCTAAGAACCAGAGACTTTCTCGCCCATTGCTCGTGATAACTTAGTGTCTAGTCTTCAACAACCATAGGTACTTCCTCCTATGAAGCACTCTCCTTGACCATACTCCTAGCCCTAACCCGCTCCTCGGGCTTCAACTTGTCAGCGACCTCGCCACCGGACTCGAGCGTCTCCTCCCACTCATCATCATCCATGTTCATAATCATGCAGATCTGGGTGCAGCGCAAGAAGGCCTCGCGGAACGAATATTTCTGGCCCTTCACCACGACCTTGACAATCTCATTGACATCATGCTCGAGCCGCGACGCACCCACCTCATTGACCCGTCCATGGTACGTCCACAGGCGGCTCTCGATCAACTTGGCGAGCCGCGCGATCACAAGCCCTAGGAGCGTGTCGAACGTGCGCTCCGTCATGATGCGCCCGATCGGCTTCGTCAGCGCGTCCCAGCCCAGTTGGAACCGCATGCGCACCTCGTCAGAGAAATAGCTGTCGTTGTCCCCGTGGGTGGCTACGCCGTCCGAGGTTTCCAGACCTTGTTGCACCAGGTCCGAGAGCTGCTCTTTGCTCAGGTTGTAGTCTGTGTCGCGGAACGCGTCCATCAGGATCGGTCGCAGCCGCGGCCGCATCACGTTCGTGTTGATCACGTCGATGGCGTCGGTGATCACAGCTGAGGATTTCTCCGCGAACGAGCTGGTCATCGCGGTCAGGGTGAGGGAGACGGTGGCAGCTTCGCCAGGCGCCGGGTAGAGGTCTTCGAGTAGTTGGTGTGATGAGTTGGTGGTTGGTTGTGTCCGGGCCCGCACGATCTGGTCGACGTAGTCTTTTGCGACGTCGAGGTTGTTGATCAGTACCAGGAAGGAAACGATGGTTGCTTCTGGCGGGAGTTGTCCTGGGATCGCGGATTTCGGATAGCTCTCGTCCCGCATCTTGCGCTGCTCCATGCCGATGAAGTCCGAGTTGAGGATACGGTCGAGAGTGGGGATGACGTTGGCGACGACGGCTTTTTGAGAGGTTGCCAGCGACTGCTGGAGGATCTTATTGACAATGTACATGATGTCTTCGATTGCGGAGGTCACGTGTGGTGGGTTCGAGTTGAGTGGTCGATGAGGGTTGAGGGAGAGATCCGGTGGTGATTCGTCGAGCTGGAAGGCTTTCTCCACGGAGCGACGGAAAAAGAAAGTCGTCATGGTGTTGAAAGGTGTGAGGACCTTGTCTTGGATCTTCTTCATCAGGCTCGAGTTGATGAGGAATGGTGGGACTTCCGGTGTTTCGTCCTCGCCACCTTTGGATGGGTTGTGGCATTTGTTGGCCACGAAGCGGGTGTACAGCGACCATTTTCCGAGCATCAGTGCCATCTCATTCAAGAGAGCGTCGACTTGTTTCATGTCGACCGACTCATCTTCGCTGGCTCGTCCTGGCGCAGGGGAGTTTGACCGTGGAGTGCCCGCTGCGCCTCGTTGAGCGGGCATGAAACTCTGGACGAGGAACATGAACGCGTATGATCTGATGTCGGTGAGCTGCCGGTCGATTCTTCGCTCGTCGGCCCAGGTGTCGAGAATAATGCCTCCTTGCATATCAGCCTCGACCTGTAGACGCTCGATGACTCTTGTCATCTTTCCAGGACCGTAGTGGTGTTCAACAAGACTACCGTGACCGTCAATGATTTGGGCAATATGCTCGAACAACTTGGTCAATGCGTTGGCATAAAAAAAGCCGTCTTTGCTCTGATTTCCTCCAGTGCCAGCGTTGAGATTGGTCCTGGCACGACTGGCCACACCTTGGCAGACATAACGACCGTACACGTCAAGCCCGACATCTGATCGGCTAATGAGAGGGAACAACTTGAAAAAACGAGTGATTCTAGCACCGTCATTGTCCTTGACTGCCTTTTCGAACTCTCTCAAGAACAGATTGCAAAGAGATTCTGAGGCAGCTTCAAGTGTAACGGCAGGTGAATCTGGTACTTCTGCCGTTGGGACAACTCTGGCGGCGAACGGTCCGTCAATGACCTCCCGGGGGATTTTCGAGGCTCGACTCAGATAGCTTGCAGCCGTTTCCCAGTCTTGAGCCGCACCCATGGAGCCTGAGACACCGAGCACGCATGCTTTCAATTCTCCTACTTGCTCAACGACCGTCAAAGTGGCTTTGACGCGTTCCTGCTCGAGATCAAGCCGCTTGACAGAGTTTGAAATTCGTTTCGCATTGGCAGCGGCGTCTGATAACATGCCATTGCTTATTGCCCGGGCTTTAGATGCCTGAGTGGTGGCATTGGCACGAAAAAGATCAAGACGTCCAAGTTCTCGTTGGAGGTCTTTCTGTCCATTGATCAGGGCGTCTAACTGAGTGGTCACCGTGGCCTCCTTGTGATGTAGCTCGGCTAGGGCCGCACGGATCTCAGAAACGGATTTTGCATTGTAGATGCTGATTGTTTCTGAGTCTGGCTCTGGTGAAGTATGGCCATTTATAGCCATGGTTGGTTCCAATTGTCATCAGACATCAAGGGACTATGCTCAAAGACACTCTGATCCAAACAAAACCTCCTGGCCCCTGAGTTGGGTCTATCTGGTCACACGTTTTGACATTTCCCCATCTTGATGTGGTGTCAACTTTCGCGAAATAGAGACGTCATCTAGAGGGTAAATATACCACCGTATCATTTCGGTGGAGTATTGACCCACAGCCACATTTCTTCCAACTAGATGAGAATAGAAGTGGCGTATCTCTGTGGCGCGGGGTAGCGAAATCAATATCAAAAACTCCCCTCACTGTTGTTGCAGCGTTATTTGTCTGATTGTGCGATTGAGTCATTGTCGAGTCTCGAGTTACATATTCACGTTCTTACCTACATTCAATATATCATATTCGAGCAACTCTAGCGCGTTATAGAGCATCATCTGCTTGCAATTGTGCCCTGTTATTGTGCAATATTTTCCAGTAACGAAGCGCAATCATAGGCCGCCGCCGACGAGATCGCCATCCGAACCCACGCGCAGGTCGCTGGAAGATGGGCAATGAATCATCCACTCCTGTAGATGACGCTGTGCCTCCGACAACACTGCACGGTCGAACGATAGAAGCTGTTGCCAGATACATTGAGGAGAAGGATGTTCATAATATTGTGGTCATGGTAAGATCCGTTCTCCACAAGGCTAGGCCAACTCATTAACAAATGCTAGACGGGGGCCGGTATCAGCACTTCTGCCGGCATTCCCGACTTCCGATCCCCAGAGACAGGCCTGTATGCAAATCTGGCACGTCTGAATCTCCCATATGCAGAAGCAGTTTTCGACATATCATACTTTCGAACCAATCCACTCCCGTTCTATGCACTTGCTCATGAACTGTTTCCTGGGAAATATCGACCGACAGTAACACATGCCTTCATCAGCCTGCTCCATAAGAAGGGAAAGCTGCTTCAGCTTTTCACACAGAACATAGATTGTTTGGAAAGAGAAGCAGGGGTGCCAGGGGAGAAGATTGTCGAAGCACACGGCTCATTTGCCACGCAACGATGCATTGAGTGCCACACGGAATATCCGGATGATAAGATGAAGGAGATGGTTATGAATAAGGAAGTTCCACACTGCGTGAGGAAATCATGCGATGGGCTGGTAAAGCCTGACATTGTGTTCTTCGGCGAGGCATTGCCAGAGGCGTTTCATCAGAAACGAGGCTTGCCGGCTCGTGCAGATCTAGCGATTGTCATGGGAACAAGTTTGACAGTCCAGCCATTCGCGAGTCTGCCTTCTTTCGTCAGAGAGGAAACACCTCGAGTCCTCATCAACTTAGAGAGAGTCGGTTCATTTGGCAGCCGACCAGACGACGTCCTTTTATTGGGTGACTGTGACGAAGGAGTGCGTAAGTTTGCCGATGCTTTAGGCTGGCGAGATGAACTCGAAGAACTCTGGGACTCCACCAACCCCAACAAGGACACAAAGAAGAAGCAGCAAGAACCACCAAAGACTCGGCAAGAAGCATTGGATGACGAGGTTGAGAAATTGACCAGAGACATTGATGCTTCACTGAAATTGTCAAGTCAGGCGAATGAAAGAATAAGAAGTGAATTGGAAAAGCCTAGCTCTACAGTCACTTCAGATTCACAGTCGCCTCCCAATTCAGTCACCCGCGACGAAGTCACCTCAGATAAAGTGACCACACAGGCAGCCACCGATCTCGTTCACGTCTTTCCACATTTAAAAGAAGATCGATCGGACAAACCTTCTCTTTGATTTCTTTCCAAACACCCTTCCTCTTCTCATCGATGGGGAAGTGATCTTGTGTTCCATGCCTCTCCAGGAGCACTCTCCCCGACTCCTCAACTATTTCAACAAGCTCTCATTGCTCCATTGTCTATCGTGACAAGTGGATTGCGTTGTCCTTACGACCACGGGTTTCCCCTTCGACGGTAAGTGATCTTCTCATTGAGTCACGGAACCTCTCTTGATGTGGTGACTCTAACTATCCAGCAGAATATTGACCCAAGTCCTCTATCTTTGCACGTCAGACACCTTCTAAAACTCTCACCATCCGCCTGTCAAGTCTGTTACCATGTCTTCAATTCCCTCTCCATCTCCACGAGGAAAGGCCAATGGTGGCATCTTCAGCCAGAAGACTCTACTGATTGTCGTTGGTCCTAAACGAGTACCATTCCACATTCATCCGATCCAACTCTCCAGCACGGCCTTCTTTGAGGTACATGGCGATCCAAAGACAACTGTGATGACACGAGACGGGGGAAGTTCTGAGGCCACACTCTCACGACATGCCACTCCAGCATCGGAGGTCAAAGAGGAGCCAGGCTCACGCTCTCCAACACTTGGACCTCGATCAGAAAATGACACTGAACCTCATTACCACCTCATCGGTCAAGCCTACACGGCAGAAGCCTTTGAAATGATTGTCAAGTGGCTCTATAATCAACCACCTAGTGTCCCACAAACAAGAGAAGAATGCAAGATTGCGCTTCGGGCCTACCTTCTCGCACTACGTTACCAGATCTGCGGTCTTCAGGACCACATGATCGACAACTTTCGCAAATATCACCAGCAATACAATGTCATGTTCAAAGACCTTCAGTGGTTAATCAATCGCCTGGGAAACTCTGTCAATTGCTACAACGTGCCCTTGATTCGATACCTTGCACATCAAATTGCCTACGAGATCAACGCCGATGGTTATGCCAGATTCCTTGACAGCAACGACGATTTTTTTGTCTTCCTCACCAACGGTGATCAACCAATTCGAGCTCTGGTCTTTGAGTCTATTGCTGAAATTGGTCGCGATATCCCGCTGGATCCTGCCTCTGGACCAAACAGATGGACTGTCGCGGCGTGTTCTGGGGCAGCCCAGCAACCACCACAGCAGAGGGAAACGATCGCACTTGATTGAATCCAAAGCTCATGAAAGACGAGCCTGTGGACATCAGATCCGTCTTGAGATTGGCAAGGCATGTGGTAGTGGGAGGGCACACTGGCTTGGAGCAAGGATGAGGGTCTTTTGCAGTGCAGTGGGTGAAAGCACCGGAGTTAATTCGTGGAATGGGAGAATGCAATGACAGGAAACAATCAGAATGGAGCCCTCCTGAGTCAGCGATGGTAGCTTTTGTCACAGCCAGCACTGGAATAGCACGAAATCAATCAAAGTGCCGGTCACGAGCACAAGATAAATCCTTTGGAGGCAAAAGAAACAAGTGCTGGGATTGGCCATGGGAAGTAGAGTCCTCACAGCATTGGGTCCATAGTTCAACTCCAAGCATTCGAAAACCCATCCTCGTTTCTTTTTTGGTTCCTTTGGAGAGTGCTTCATGACCAAAGATATGACGTACGACACTGACTAAGTGACAGCGGTTGATCCACCCGGTCAGCTTCGGCCTCCAGAAACAAATTGCTAGGGATCTCTTAGGGGCTCCTGAGGGGTGTTTAGTGGTTCTGAATGCTTGATGCTTTAACTAATCGCAACTGTTAGGTCAGCCAGGCGTTGGGCAAGCCAGGCACGGGATACCCCTCCTGTTTCCCTTCTGGTCTTCTTGTCCCTGCGTTTCCTAATATCCATTGCCCCGCCAAACTCCGCCAGCCAGAACGTCCAGAGGTATCAACAATTTACAAAATCCCCCGTATCTCGCCGTATTTCCTGGCTTGAACTTGTTTACTTCTGCTCCTTTCAACTGCTGTTCTTACTGTCCCGGCTAAAGGTTCAGAAGCTTGAAAATCTTCCTGAAGCCTCTCTTATTGTCATTTCAGGAGCAGATCATTCCTCAGCCCATTTCAACAACCATCAAAAACACCACCCAACGCTTCCCTACCATATCAGCCGTCCAGACCATACAGAGCTTTGCCCGACAAGATGGTGGGCTTGGGACCAAAACGCAAGCCTTCCCGCAAGGGTAAGTCACCTCTACTGAAAAGCTATCAGCAGAAGCAACCATGAGAAACGACGGACCTGACAATACCCAGGGTCTATGGCCGATGTGCCAAAGAACTTGCTGGAAGAGATTGCCAACCTCGAGAACATCTTCACTGTTGACGCTGCTAAGCTCAAGCAGATCACCGACCACTTTGTGTCCGAGTTGACAGCCGGTCTGGAGAAAGATGGGCAAAATATCCCTATGAACCCTACCTGGGTCATGAGCTTCCCAGATGGAGATGAGCAGGGAACTTTCCTCGCCTTGGACATGGGTGGTACAAATTTACGAGTGTGTGAGATCACCCTCACCGAAGAGAAGGGAGAGTTCGACATCATTCAGAGCAAGTACCGTCTTCCAGAGGAACTCAAAACTGGTACCGCAGATGAGCTGTGGGAATATATTGCAGACTGTCTGCAGCAGTTTATCGAATACCACCACGAGGATGAAGATCTTACCGACATCCCACTTGGTTTTACCTTCTCTTATCCCGCCACACAAGATGCCATCGATCATGGCGTTCTACAGAGATGGACCAAGGGCTTTGATATCTCTGGTGTAGAAGGAGAGGATGTCGTTCCTCAATTCCAAGCCGCCCTCGAAGCACGAGTATGCCCCTATATATTCCCTAAATCTCGCCCGGAATTTGACTAAAATGTTCCTAGAAACTCCCCATCAAGCTCGCCGCCCTCATCAACGACACCACTGGCACCCTGATTGCTTCGGCATACACTGATCAATCCATGCGGATCGGATGCATCTTCGGCACAGGCTGCAACGCCGCCTACATGGAGAACTGTGGCTCCATACCCAAACTCAAGCACTTGAACCTCCCTGACGACACCCCCATGGCGATAAACTGCGAATACGGGGCCTTTGACAACGAACACAAAGTCCTCCCCATCACCAAATACGACACCATCATTGACGAAGACTCCCCGCGCCCAGGCCAACAAGCGTTCGAAAAGATGATCGCAGGCCTGTACCTAGGAGAGATCTTCCGCCTGGTGATTGTCGACCTACACGAGAACAAGAACATCCTATTCGAAGGCCAGGACATCTCCGCTCTCAAGAAACCCTACACACTAGACGCATCCTTCCTGTCCTTCATCGAAGAAGACCCCTTCGAGAATTTACAAGAGACACACGACATGCTCGAGGAAAAGCTGAAGCTCGCCGCCACAAAACCCGAGCTGGAACTCCTCCGCCGTCTCGCAGAACTCATCGGCACGCGCGCCGCCCGCCTCTCAGCCTGCGGTGTCGCCGCCATCGTCAAGAAGAAGAATATCGACACCTGCCACGTCGGCGCGGACGGCAGTGTATTCAACAAATACCCGCATTTCAAACAGCGTGGTGCGCAAGCCCTGCGAGAGATTCTGGACTGGCCCCGTGGTAAGAAAGATCCCGTCGTGCTCCTGGGTGCTGAGGATGGAAGCGGCGTGGGAGCGGCGCTGATTGCAGCGCTGACGATCAAGCGTATCAAGGAGGGCAATACCATTGGTGTCAAGGGCCATGAGCATTTGAAGAAATGTTGAGAACCTTTGAAATATACGGCTTGGGGCTATCCTGTAGTCTGTGATCTATAGTGGTGGTGGAGGTATCCGTCGCCATTAAATGGTTGATATCAAGATTGAAAAAATAATCAACGATCAAGACATCTGCATATTCAAACTATTGTTGCTCATTTATTTGGTCAGCGGTGTAATTCTGTAGCCTTTGTTCAACCAGGAACACTCGATGGAACATAAGAAATTGACACCGCTGCATGCATTGCGCCGGTTGAATAGCTCGGTCAGACTTCTGGGCTGCTCTTTAGTGAGCGACCACAGCACAATCTCCAGAGAAAAGGTCAATTATTTCAATTATTTGATCATCTCACCGACCAGGTAGATGTATATACGTACTCATATCCCATCTCATGACCGCCAAAATGCAATTCCACCTCTCGTAGTATAGCACATCCAGGATGGAACACAGAGCACATTCTCTGCACCAACTAATCCCTAATCTCCCACAGTCTGATCTTTCCCGCCTCATTCGCAACCGCGAGATATCCACCGTCGGGCGATAGCGCCAGCGACGAGATCCGGCCCAGCGAAGTCTTCTCCGTCGGCCAGTTGCGGTAGACGGTTGCGGATGGCAGGTGGATCAGCCTCAGTGCGTCCTTCTTCCACCGCGATGCCATCACCAGCATCTGGCCGTCGGACGAGAATGTCAGGTGCGACGTCGGCGTCGTCAGCTGTGTGAACGAGCGGAGCGGTGTGGGGCGGTGGTCGACTGTCGTTGACGGCTTCAGGCCCGCATTGGTGGTGCTGGTGGGTTTGGTCTTCTCGGTCTCCAGCCAGCTGCGCCGGTCGTAGAGGTTCACGATGCCGCTGCTGGACCCGAGAGCCACCCAGCGACTGCCGCCGACGAAATCCTCGTGAGCGCTGCCGATGTGACCTCCCAGCGCGATGATGGTTGTGCCAACAGCGCCGTCGTCGAGCCAGCGGCGCACCACGCTCTTCGTCGGGATGTCGTACTCGCACACCTCGCCGTTCTTGCCCACGGCCGCAAAGCCATTGCCGTCTCGCCACCACGCGAAGTCCGCAACACCGCCGCGTGAATCCACCCGGCATGAACACTGCCATTGCATGGTCGAGGTGGAGAGCACGTTGATGGCGCCCCCGCCTTTCTTGGCCGACGACACCAGGCCCATCCATCGTCCGCAAGGCGAGAGTTTGAACTGCTCCATTGTCCGTTGAGAGTGGCGTGCTGCGCCGTACATGGCGCGGGTTATCTTTTGGACTTGGCCGGTTGAGAGAGACCAGGTGTGGAAGTAGCGGCGGCGGGAGGCGAAGAAGATCCGTGTTTGGTCGGTGGGATCTTGTTCATTGTTGTTGTCGCTTGAAGTTTCCGTTGTAGGTGGCGGTTGGCAGAATTGTGCGGTATGGATGGGTGTGCCTCTGACATGGAGTGAGGTGACTATCGGATTGGGGTTGGGCGGATGTGGTGAGATGTGGTAAAGGGTGATGGTAGAACTGGGTCCAGCTGAGAGCAGTAGAGGATAGTGAGGATGGAATTGCAGAGTGTCGATAGAGGATGGACCACCACCAGCGACTTCCTTGGTACGTTGAATGTCGATGACTTCGGGTCTTAGTTTTCGCTTCCCCTTGGCAGATGTGGTTTTGACATCGATTCGACTCAGAGAACCAGCTGTGCGGAGCAGATCGGCAAGGGGTTTCGCGGAAATCAGAGCCTCGCCAGCATCATCGTCTCCCGTTGAGATGTCTGAATCCGAGTCGAGTTCTGCATCCTGGGACAACCTACGTCGCTTCCTTGCGTACGTAACCCATTCTGGTGTAGGATGTAGTCTCTCGTATTGCCTTTGCAAACGTTCGATATATTCTCGCCCGTTGACTATGTCATCGTCCGCTGTATCTCGTAGTTTGCGCAGACGAGGGTTTGAAGCCAGAGATACCGTAAGGCGGTCATCGTCGCTGTCGTACCAAGCTTGTTGCCGTTGGGCATCAATTTCTGACGGGGCGCTCTGCTCGAGTTCTCGGGTGACAGCAGCAGGAAGGGCACCTGTACCTGCGTCGAGAAAGAAAAGCTGGGGGCCATCGTTAGCAAAATAGGTACGGTCTGATATGGGAATGCCGGACGTACGTCTTCATCGGCCACATCGCTCAATCTCCCATCATCATCGTCTTCCCCAGCACCTGAATCTTCGCTCTCATCGTCTCTGAAGCGGACGAGACTTCTCTGCCCTGCGTCGTCTTGTCGTTTCAGCGAGTCGAGAAATCCAGCATCGTCTCCAAACAGTGCTTTCTCCAGTCGCAACTCTACATCGTCTTTTTCCAAATTGTCGGTACCTTTGGCCTTCTTTTCCGGCTGCTTTCTCATCCGCGTAGGTGCCTCCATCGCATGAGGACTTGTGACTGTGGTGGGCAATGTGGTGTCTCGAAATCGGCGAATCAACCTTGGGTCTTGATGCTGAAGGACAAAATTATTTTCCTGCATGGAATTGATGCGGAGCATGCCACTTCAGTTTCTCCAAATCCTGAGCCCTGGGAATGCTGCTGCTTTATTCCAGATCTTGGCTGATTCTGCACCGGTAAAAGCGGCATGGAGAGATCAACCTGAGGCTCGTGGTAATGTACACATACTTTCATAACGGGCTGAAACAATAAAAAGGAGATGGGAACTAAGATTAAAGGTGAATGAATCAACGGAAAACTGAAAGTTCATGACCAAGGTTTAATCAGATAAGTACCTAAGTAAGTATTCATGTATCTCGTGATTTAGCAGCCACCGAGTTGAACTAGAAGTCGAGAAGATGAGATACACCAGTTTGTGGAACGCTAATTGTTTTGCATGTCTACATCTCGAAGAAGCCGATAGTAAGGTACAGGTCTGACATCTGCCCAAGAGTCCATAGTACTCAATTCGAAGTCGACAACACGACAACACAGCTTAGTCCTCACAAACATCAGGGGTTCAACTCGGCTGTCGGGTGTTAAAAAAACTCTCACCAGCGAGTTTTCTACCACTCCTACCAAATCTATGCATCCTAGGATCTCCTAAGAGCAAGCGCGTATGGGTAAGGAATGGCAGGTTTTTGTTCTTTCTCTTGATGAAATGGAGACTCAAAATCCCGATGGTTCGTGGGCAGTAAAACTCATTGCGAGTGCCACACGGGTGTCGGTAGTGAAGATAGATACCGGCAGACTCAATTTGGAGTTCATAGACTTTCGAAACATGACTCAAGGTCTTTTTACCTGCTTGAGAATGAACAGGTACGAAGTCTAGCTACCTGGCCCTGTGACGTATCACAAGATACTTGGGATATTCTTGCGCCATTGCTTCTCGTTAAATGTACAGTGCCTGAGAAGGGCGTCGTGTGTTGGTGTTACATTCCTGCGTCCTGAGCATGAAACCACGGAGCTCTGATGCTTGTGATTGTATGGTCTAGCTTGTTTCCACAACTGGTAGCAAGTGTGCTGGATCGGTCACCCTTCTTCAAGCCCCTGCGCTGAACAGTGGCCCTGCATCAACACAATTTCGTCACCTGAGATCGAGACCCCAAATTTGCCGATGTTTGTGCAGACGACAGCGTCAATCGAAGGCGGCTTGCGCATTAACAAGCCTCTTGAAGGGCACTATAGCCTCTTCCATACTATCACAAGATTTTGGATGTCATTTTGCAACTCAGGCCGGTCTTCTCAAGGGATGTGCCTCAGTGTTGAGGACATATTCGTCAAGGCTGATCAAATCTGGTTCACTGTAGAGGAGGTAGAAATATTTCAGAGTTTCCGCCAACCAAAAACTCTCCATCCTATCTTGCTTTGGTGGTAGACCTTTTTCAAGTCCATCGCCGTCGTAGCTGATTCCGGTGATATCGGAAACGGCCGCGTTGCCATACTGGGTCTCTGTAATTGCTTGAATGGCGTTGAACATTTCCCATGCATCTTCAAGGTATGCGCGATCTCCAGTAATGCGATACAAGATAAAAACGCTCTCGATGGCTTCCGGTCGCAAGATGTATCGCCGATCATCGATGTCTGCGAATCCTTTTGGAAGTTTCCTGTCCGAGATGATCTCGTCAGCCTTTCTATTACCACCTTGATCTGTTCCTTGTCTTGCAACCACGGCGGCTTCCCATTTCTCTTGGCTCCAGTCACACTTGTCAAGCGAGGGACAAGGTACGAAATGTGCGATCTCCGGCATCACACCACGAGGGCCATTATGGTAAGCCCAGACACAGGCTTTGGTGATCTTTTGTCCCAATTGAACATGCTCCTCGTTCGAAAACAGGCGGCCACCCAGAGCCAACATTCCACCACTGAAACACGTCAAATGCTGATTCCTGGGTTCCAGTGAGATGGATCCATCATCGCCCACTTTGACATCACCCGCCATAAGGATATCCGCATTCTGAGGCGTCATTGGGCGGAACAGCATGTGCTGAGTGATAGAAGCGGCAGAATCAGTGTAGAGCTTTTGATATACCGGGTCTAAACCGCCGAGCAACGTAAACTCCTTTGGAAAGTACTCATAAAGAGAGTCGGACATGCCTCCGAGGGTGAAGGTGGTGTCGAAAGTCAAATCTTTGTCCTTTGGATTGACGACTACGGGCCACATTCCGGGTAATTTAGTTTTATGTTGCTGCTCGTCAAACAAGTCGGTAATTCTTTTAATGGCATCGTACCACCTCAGATCGCCCGTCAATTGGCTAAGCCGCGTAAATTCAAGGGACAAGGAGCCCAGCTCAGAGACGAGCATCCAGTTTGGAGTTTCTTGCGCATTTTGGAAGTTGGTGGCCTTCTCCCAACTCCACCGAGTGATGGGGAAATGATTTGGAGTGTCGAAGGCAACAAGCAGCATCTCACCCACTTCGATCGCCTTGTCGAGTAAAGTGCGCTCTCCGCTCAGGTCATAGGCTGCGAGAAACCCACCCAAGTAGCGAATGGTAGTCTCGAAAATATTGACTATATCGTCTGTGGATTTCGAAAAGTCGATCTGTCGGGCTGACTCGACTGCTTCGTTAAACTCGTACTTCATGTCCATGATCCATAATGTATCTAATGCATCGACCATGCTAGCAGCCCAACCACCAAATGTATCCCGTCCCCTGCCACTGATGGGAGACAACTCATCATGCATCCAGGCGCGACTCCGATAAGAGGCCCAGCATTTTTTGAAGGCATCCTTGATCTTCTCACGACGAGCCAGACGAACGGTTTTTTGTTCGGCGGACTCCTTAGGAAATAAGTACTGGATTCGGGGCAACTGTTTCGACTTGCCCTTGGGTAGGGAAGTGAGCTGGCTCAAAGGATAACGGGCAGGGCGATCGGCCCAATGGAAGCGACCGTCATTGTTCTTGGGAGGAGGACTGTAAATTGATGGACCGAGAGAGGGAGTATGGGAACGTAGAAACAAGAGGAAGATCAGGGAGACAAATGCAACGAACACGAAGAGCCAGCGACGGGGAAGTGCTCTTACCGCGTCCAACATTGCGACAGTCGATGCAAAGAAATCAAGTCTAGAGAAAGCATGAGCACTGGATGTCACGACTGACTAGGGACTGGAGTTGTAGTCGTCCTCGTCGTGGACACCTCTCTGCTTTCAGGGCGCACAGGGTGCAGCTTGATGGCGCGGTCATCAATCAGGCTTTGGGGTCTGGCTTCATTGAATTGGGGGCCGCAAGCGTCGAGGCTCGAGAATGAGGTCAAGTTGAGGAACGAGCTAGTGTGTACTAATTCATGATTGACAAGCTAGACGAGTCGCTAGCGCCTTGGTAGTAGTTAGTGTCATTCACTAGTCCCAATTAGACGTTCCCCGCTAAAAAAGAAATATTTCCTGTGCCGATTCTCCAAACCGACCGACAAGTTTCTCGGACTTTGATTGTTGACCAGATCTTCTCCCACAACTCTTACAGCGCAATTCTAGATCCACGACCATACCATCCTCATCATGAAGCGAAAGTTGGACGAGAACGATGTTCCGTCGCCAGAGCCCGCTGCAAATAACAGCACCACCCAGTCATCCTTCGAATCTTTCGGCCTCGACCCTCGCCTTGTGCAGGCCATAGCAAAGTCCCAATTCTCCACCCCTACTCCTGTCCAAGCCAGAACCATCCCATTAGCGCTCGAAGGAAAAGACATATTGGCAAAGTCCAAGACTGGCTCCGGCAAGACTGCAGCCTACGTTCTTCCTACCCTCCAGGCGATACTGAGAAGAAAGGCTACAGCGCCCAAACAGAAGATCACAAGCACGTTGGTCCTGGTCCCTACTCGAGAACTAGCAGACCAGGTTTACAGAGCTTATACTTCGTTCGCGGCGTTTTGCTCCAAAGAAGTCCAGATCCTCAATCTCACCCAAAGGGTGTCGGATGCAGTATTGAATGCAGTGCTACAGGACTCGCCGGACATCATTGTATCTACCCCCGCACGGGTCAGTCAGTATCTAAACTCTGCTCGACTTTCTCTGGACGCCATCAGCCATCTGGTGATTGACGAGGCTGATATTGTACTGTCCTATGGGTACGAAGATGACATCAATGCAATAGCCAAAGTCATTCCTCGTGGAGTCCAGACATTCTTGATTAGTGCAACATTGACTCCAGAGGTTGATGAACTCAAAGCACTCTTTTGCCGTGAGGCAGAGATCGTCAAGATCGACGACCAGGAAGAAAAGGGCGAAGGTGTGACGCAGTATGTCGTGCGTTGTGGAGAAGACGACAAATTCCTGCTCATCTTTGTCGTGTTCAAGCTCCAACTCGTCAAGGGCAAATCTTTGATCTTCATCGATGGTGTCGACAGAAGTTATCGACTCAAATTATATCTCGAGCAGTTTGGTATCAAATCGTGCGTTTTGAACGCAGAACTACCTGTCAACTCGAGACTTCACGTGGTTCAAGAATTCAACAAAGGCCTCTACGACATTCTCATCGCTGCTGATGATCAAGAAGTTCTCGGAGGGGTGTTAAAACGAAGGAGCTCCAAGGCTGTACAGGATGAGGAGCACCAGATTAGTGACGAAGACGATGAAGACAACCAGAAACCGTCTAGAAAGAAAAAAGTGGCGAATCGAGACAAGGATTATGGTGTGTCGCGAGGCATCGACTTCCAAAATGTCGCTTGCGTGATCAACTTCGATCTCCCGCACACTTCGAAATCATATACTCACCGCATTGGACGAACAGCGAGAGCTGGAAAGGCCGGTATGGCCCTCTCCTTTGTCATTCCAAAAGAATTATACGGCAAGAATCGACATACAACCATCTCATCCTCCAAGCATGACGAACGAGTACTGGAGAAAATTATTGCTCGACAAGCGAAAAAGGGTAATGAAGTCAAGCCTTACCATTTTGACATGACTCAGGTCGATGCCTTCCGATATCGAATGAATGACGCATTGCGAGCAGTCACAAAAGTGGCCGTCCACGAAGCACGAGCAAGAGAAATCAAACAAGAATTGATCAAAAGTGAAAAACTGCGGAAGCATTTCGAAGACAATCCAGACGATCTCCGACACTTGAGACATGATGGGGAACATGGTGGGCTGATCCGCCATCAGGCTCATCTCAAGCATGTGCCGGATTATTTAATGCCAGCACAGGGCAGGAAGGGATTGAGTGCGGACGAAGTGGGCTTCGTGGGTTTCAAGAAGGTAGATGGCAAGGACAAACGGAAGGATCACAAGCGACGAGGAAAGACGGCAAGAAAAGGGCGAGGAATGGGCAAACCAAAGGGAAGGATCGATCCGCTCAAGTCATTCAGTGCAAAGAAGAAACATTAGGAAACTGAAAAGAGAACAGCGAACTTGAGCAAGCATATGTTTTTTATCCGTTGATACATTGTTCACCACGTGAAAGTCTGGACAGCTCTTTTTGACGGGTATCGAAATGGGTTATTGTTGCACAATATTCGTCTAGTCTTTTCCAGCCGTTACTAGCAAATCTACAGATGATAACATTTTTTTTGGATTTCTCTTTCCCAAGTTCCTCAGAGCCTCGGCCTCCAGAGCGTTATCATATACCTTTCCCCAGAGCTCTATGCCCTGGTCACTGTTGGTCGCTACTCCCGCGGTGAGGGTTGGTGCCGTGCCGTTGAGTTTGTTGACATGGCGGACATGGTGTCCAAGCTCCTGCGGGTTTGTGTGGACAAGTGTTGTCTGATTGGTCTCCCCACCAGAGTAGGCTCTCGCCTCCTTGAGCGTGTGTTTCCGTGATGTTTTGCCCATCTTGTTTCTCAGTTATGTGGGTGAATATGGAAGAAGAAAAAGGGGATAGTGTTCAAGTTGAGCAAAGGGGTAGTACGAGCCACTGCCGCAGCTTTTGCTTCGCGATTTCCACACAGCATTTGCTAACGATACATAACCAGAAACCAGGAATGTTTGGCATTGTGGAAATACAATGCCAATGGAGGACCGCCACAGAACCAAGCATGTCTGACATTGTGGAAAGACATGCTAGCAGATATACATCAGCTGCAGGCACTTCTGGCCATTTTCGAAGGCTCTTCTTGTAAACAGGACTGTGCTGGTAGTCTTTCCCAACTTGATCCAGTGTCTTCGTCATTCCAGTCAACTGTCTGTACCTTGGGTCCTTCATAAGTTCATCAGGCATATCCTGGATAATGTCAACGTGTTTGATCCGCCTCTTGACCTCTGTTGCATACCCTTGTGCCTCCGAGTTCAGTCTTCGTTTGTGAGACATTACGGTTCTCAGTCCCTGGTTCCGCCTCAAGAGCTTCTCGAAGACTTTTTTTCAATTATCGCATTTGGTTGATGTTCATACTTAAGTATTGTCACGCTGGCTTATCCAACTCAGCGTCGATTGCAGAATCAATGGCGCGGATCCTCTCAATCGCTCTTGTATCGCCGTGATTGACGTCACAATCAAGGCCAGCGAGCCGATAGAGGTCATTGGGCTGCATATTCATGATAGTCTCCATGTCCATGAACTGTTTCAAGGCGTTGATTACAGCCTTGGAGACGTTGACATCGCTTAGGAGAATGTCACTGAAGCTTGTAATATCTCTAAGCGGCTGTGGTGGCGTCGGGCGATCAACAACTTCCTCGATGTATTCGTCCTTGACGAGCTATTTTGTCGATGTACACGCTCGTTATAGAAAGCTCCTTGTAATGAAGTCCACCATCTCTAACTGAAAGCGATTGAGCTTGCTATCGTAACGAAAATTGGCTGCTCCGAGAACGCCGTGCAATGGTGACCGCAGTTCGTGAGATATTGAAGCAACGAAAGACGTCTTGGCTTCATCTGCATCCAGAGTATCGAGAACTCTTCATACTGATTGAAAAACCACACTTCGTAGAACGGAGGTAATGGAACTCCTTCATTGTCGCAAACGGAGTCCAACTCGAGCCATTGTTGAATCTTATTTGAAGACAGAAAGACTCATCTCTACTGGAGGTTTTGTCACCGTCTGGCCTGTGGGGAAAGGACATGGAATGGTTGTGACTTGAGAAGGAGAGGAAAGTGGAATACAGGTAAATATTCGCAAGGATATTCCGGATCTTTTCTGTCCTCCGTCCTTTGAAAGATAAACCCATAGGAACTCATTTTGAATATGAATGGTAGTCGGATCTCCTCTTGTATGATCCTAATAAGAATGCTCGAGACAAGACAAAACCGAAAATGGTTGGCATTGTGGAAAGACTATGCCAATGAAAAAGCAGTCACAAAACCAAGCATGTTTGGCATTGTAGATAGGCATGCCAGTCGACCACCACGGCCACGGCCACGGCCACTTTAGTACTTCTCGTGTCCCTGCTTGGCCAGGGGGTAGAATTGAGGTTGACCAAGATTCTTGGTTTGGAGTTGATGATGCAGCATAAGCCGGGAATGTTTGGCACAGCGAGGAAACATGTCAGTAATTCGAACCCAGGAATCACAAATGATTGGGAATGCCGAAAGCATTCGGTCCAAGGGATTTCAGGGCAATGTAGATTTTCCCAAGTCGCCAGTCTCATAATCCAACGACCAGGAGCAACGTCCTTGGCATCACCAAAGGTGAGTAAGGATCCCCCAATCTCCATGACGGAAGTGCCAACTTTGCGGGTTGAGTGACCACCGCTGATGAAATCAATGTCAAAAGCGTAGAAAATCGCATCCTCTAGAAGAGGCTTGGACAAAATGCCTTGTCGGTGATCTTTTTCCAGTATTTGTGCCACTCTTCATACCAACTGCCGATCAAGCTTGGTGGTACCACAATCAACGTGGGACGTACATCGAATTTCTTTCCTTCTTTCGCGAAACGAACACATTTGGCCGCCATCATCGCAATAAGGTCAAAAGTTGTAAATGTCTTTCCCAATCCACAGTCATTTCCAAGTATGCCTCCTTTGACGGGTCCAGCCTCCATGGTTTCCATCCATGCGGCTGACATCCCTTGATAAGGCTTGAGCTTCAATATCGAAATATTCTGCTCCGCTCTGGGCCCCTTGACACAATTTCCTCAGCTTAGCTTCTCCCAAGACCTTTTCAAGGTGACCATCCATTCGGTTCCGAATGAAATTTGCTGCCCAGTCTCTTTCTTGTGAATTCCTTGAGAAATCCAAAAATCTTTGATATTTTGCGAGGTTTCCCTCACAATCATCTCAGCAGTCCAAAAGTACTGAATGAAGGCCTCGAGGTTCTGTCACTCGAGGTGGTTGGGATATTTGGTCAAGATGTCCTTACAACTTGTGTTGGATGGCAATGGCTCATTTGCTCGTGGAAAGTCTATCAGTTGTCGATAGCGTGCTGTGCTGTGGTTGCTACCGCCACAGAGAAGAAGTGTTCCCCTGGGGATTTTTCGACCTTGGTCCTCTGGATAGTAGGTAACGCTTTGTCTGAAACGAAGAAGATATGACAGGACAACCCTCTCATCATATGCTTGCAACATTCTACGTCAAGTCGTTTGTAGAATTCTTCGACTGAGTTAAGGAGAAGTCCCAATGGTACCGTGGCAAAATTGGCACCAAGTCCAGGTCTCATCTTGGCCGCGGGCAAGCGGTCAACGCATGGGCAACAGATGTCGTACTTGTACTCCTTCGCCGAGGGACAAGTCGCATCCTCTGCCTGTGGGTGGTCGCGAGTACTTCTCGTTCCTCTTCCAATCTCCATCGGTGAGCAAGAAAAACTCCTTGGCCAGTGATTCCCATCCGACGATTCTCCGGGCCCATCCATCCCGATATCTTTCAGACGCGAGGATGACAGGTCTGGCGCCACGTTCCCATTGTGCGGAAGTGGGTCAGCGTCTGGTATCTCTTCGTGCTGATCCTTTGGTCCAGTATTGTCAATGGATGGCAGTTGAGTGCTCCGTCGAAGAAAATGTACGATCAACCAATGGACCGAGAGCAAACGGGTTGTCGCCGGCCAGTTCATGTTGTGAGCCGTTGGGATCTGCCGTGAACTTGGCAGCAATCTTCTCCCACGGCTCCTCAAGGTTCAGGATGACGCAACTGGTGTAGAGTGTGCTCAGCAAAGCCTGGTTATGTCACCATGAAAACACCAGACGCTATGTTCTTCCAGGTACGCCACAGTCCAGTGGCTTGTTGAGGGCTTTGACGGACCAAACTGGTATTGACGAGGGATGTCATCAAAATCACCTTCTACAGCCTCATCGTTTTTCGACTATGTGGAGAAAGAAACACCTCAATCAATGTTTCTTTGTATATATATATGGAGGAAGAAGCAGCTCCCAGAACCAGTGGGGGAAGAAGACTTATTTATAAGTTGGCGAAGGAAGAGGAAGCCGTTTGAGGCCCCTCCCTCTATCACTGCTCTCGTCAGTCAGTAAAGCACTATTCACGATACCCTTCGATCTAGAAGCAATTGATGACGGGTGACAGTGACGTTTTGAGACCAACTAGCGAGCGATGATCGATCAGCCTGTTGGAAATTAACCCTCTCAAAGAGGCGAAAATATCAACCCTTAATGCTCGTTGGATTAGAAAGGTAATGATGTTCATGTTTGTCGGTTTTGAACTATTTGGGGACAGGCAAGTATCCTCTTTCAAACAACCAATCTGGTGAAGACGGAGGTCTTAAACATCTGCCATCAAGCAGGCCATGACTCACATCTTCGGTTTGACTTGATGAATATCCGTGAGTGCGCATGCCGGAACCCGTGAATTTCTGCCAGTCACAATTTGGTGTCGCCAAGTAATGTTTGTCTACCGATGATGGCAAAGTAGGCAGCGTTGGAGGGGGAAGTAAGATGTCGAGTTGGAGAGCTGCAATGTGGGCGTTGGAAATTTCAGGTTGTAACGCCAGCCCCTGAGACACGGAGCCTCGTCAAAGTCGCTTGGGCACACGAGCGTCAGATTATTCACGGGGCCACTTCATCGGCAGTTAATTCTTCAAAGCATTCACGAAAACCGAAATGACTGATAATTTGCGCGTAGAAGACTAGTAACTCGTCAGATTCTTGGTAGCCTGCAACCCTAGCAATCATGAACTGCACCTATCCTTTCGCCTAGATGTTTTCCCCATACTTGCTCAACCACATCACTTCCTATTCAACCCCAATCTACGATGCTCAAAATCCTTCGCAGGGATATCACTCACATTCTCCGTCTTCCGAATAGTGAGGCCACCACCCGCTCTCTCCTCCCACCCACGAATACACTCCGTATGGTCCGCTACAGCTGCTCTCTCCGGCCCAATGACATCCAACGAATGGCTGAGATATTTCCTCAACAGGCCTGGCAACTTGGTCTCAAATGCACTATTCTCCATGAACTTCTGCGTGATACCGAGATCCTTCACCAACAGCGCCAGTCCAAATCCCGAATTGAAGTTTCTCGTCAACGCATCTCGCCGAAAGGTGTCGAGGGTGGGGAAATTGACGCCGGTGCCGACGTTCAACACGTCGATCATCTTCTGCGGGTCAAGGCCGAATTTCTGGCCCGTCACCAATGAGTCTGAGAGTGCACAGATTGACGAGGCCATGATGTAGTTGTTGAGTGTTTTCATGGCGTGGCCGGAGCCCAGTGGGCCCATGTGGAAGATATAGCTGGCCATGCATTCAAGGATAGGCTTGACGGTTTCGAAGTGTTGCTCTTCATCGCAACCGACCATCAACGTCGACTGTCCCGCATCTGTGGCGTGCATGTAAGTCTGCGTAATAGGACTGTCAATGAGATGTATTCCACTTTGATCTAAATCCTTTCCGAGAGCTTGTGTCTCAAAGGGAGAAGAGGAGGACGTGTCGACAACGATAGTCCCTTTTCTGAGAGCCGATGCAAGCCCTGGTCCGGACTCTGCGCCCTGTGGGATGAGTACATCACGAACGATGCCGCCGTGTGGAAGCATTGTGATGATCACGTCGCAGTCCTGGAAGGCTCGCCCCTTTAGAGTTCCTGAGGAGGATGCGCCGGATGAGGTGTTCTTCCATTCTCGTACTGCCCTTTCTACTTTCTTCTGGTCCTGGTCGTAGACAACGAGACTGTATCCGTTCTTGGGCAGGTTGCTGGCCATCGAAAAGCCTGCATTGCCGAGGCCAATGTAGCCGATAGTCTTGACATCACGCTTCGCCATGACTTCTCCCTTTTTGCGAAACCGTCGAAGATTGATTCAGTGGTTTGTTGATAATTGGTTTAATCCTCGATCTCACTTCGGCTTCGGACACAAGCAGAATTTCTTAGAACTACAAAATGCCGGCCGTAAACCATGTCTACATTTCTAGATTTCTAGTCTCCCTCCCATCCATTGACTTTATTATGATATCATCCACATATCAAGGGTCTTCTCTCGGTAAAGGATTAAAGTTGCGGGGGTTTGAAATGCTTCGCGGAGAGGCGCACTAGATGTGCGGAGAACCCTGAGCTAGATGGGGAGGTGAACTCGACTCCGAACGAAGGTCAAGCGACAGCCACTGATCGACGACCTGCAAGGCTCTGATGCAAGGCTGGGGCGCGGTGGATGCACAGCCTCAGCTCTGACTCATGAAGGCCATCTACCGGAGTACTTATCATGACTTTCGTGGTGATCATTGAACGACTGTTGTTCAGTGGCAATTGAAGCTCGATCGCGAAAGCTTCGAGATCACCACAAGCAATCCACGGGGTCCAGTTCTGCCATCCCGGAAGGCTACAAACTAAAATCTCAAGTCCGACAGGCCAAGATCCCCCATAAGCCAGAAAATGCAATCACCACCATACATAACCAGACCTGCCCAAGCAACAGATCTCTCAGCACTTCCAGCTGTCGAAGACTCAGCTGGGACTTTGTTTCGCACGATTGAAGGGCTGGAGACTCTCGCCGACGACGAACCACTCTCGGTCCCGAGACTCCAAGAAATCTTGGACGTCGGGAAGATATGGGTTGCTGTCCGGGTTGAGGAAGAAGGAACAGGCACGTACGAGAAAGAGAGCACAGAAACCATCGTAGGATTTCTTGCTGCGTTCCCACTCCTGCACCATCTGTCTCCTCCTTCCCTTCCACCTCAATTGCCGTCCACAACGACCTCACAGATACAAAGCCAATCGCGATTTCTTCATGTAGCCGAACTCTCCATCCATGCAGCACACCACCGACGCGGCCTGGGACGACGGCTCATGGGCGACTTGATACGCTATGCAGAGCAGGTCAACAACGTGACAGGACCACCGTCATCAATCCCACAAGCGAGGGTCGACGCGCTGACGCTGACGACATATCGAGATGTGCCGTTCAATGGACTGTTTTATGCGAAGATGGGGTTTCGCATCTCGGCCGCAGATAAGATACTGTCTGTTTTTGGCGATGGGGCGAAACATATTTGGGATGAGGAACAGATGTCTATACCTAGACGGGAGGAGAGGGTGTGGATGGCTCGTTGGATGGGTGGAAGAAAAGGACTGAGCGGGGAACGATTGGGGGAGAAATGAACGGCTGATATCGAGTCACTCAGAATGAATATTCTGATTCACTCACATAGTGAAATGGAACTCGGGAGTCCTAAGATATATTCGCCATTGGCCATTTAGGGTACTTTAGGGTTTGTACAGGCATGCGCCTCTAACACCTCCAGGGTTGTGCTTAACATACATTTTCCAAACACCATGCTCTCTACTTTCAACACCTCAATGCACCCAGGTTCTCGACGCCAAGCTTGTGTAAGACTTGCTCATACAAGAGCGAAGAAATAGATTAAGGATAGGTCGCGATCATTCAACATGTAACCATCAGACCAGGTTCGTTATTCATCTGCATATCGTCCTGCCGGGTTCATAAATCTCGTCGATGAAGAGACCACCAAGAACGACAATTTATTCATCATAAGGCTTGTCAAATTCAAAGGCAGATGATTCCTGGTTTGGGGTTGTGTCGACGTCATAAAAATCCGGCTGCTTGGACTTTGGCAGGAACCAACCGCCCAGTTCCCAATGCCCAGGTTCGTAAAGGCAGGAGTTCCGGGACTCCTCGTTGACAATACTGTCAAGTATAAGACCAACTCTTTTGAAGTCAACTGGCTTTAGTATCCAACCATCAAAGCCACTATCAATGTATTCTTGGCGCTTTGCCTCCACAAGTGAAGCTGAAACCGCAAATATTGGTATTCGGCCATTTAGCTGGGCGCGGCTCGATAAGCAGGACTTCGGATGAGTTTTCTCAAAGGAACGAATCATTTTGGTAGAAGTGAAACCATCCACGATTGGCATTTGCAGGTCCATCAAGACTGCATCAAAGTGTGTGGGCTGCTCCCCGTGCGCAGAAGCGCATTCTTCGCCATTCACAGTCATATAAGTCGAGTGCCCCAATTTTTCTAAACGTTTCTTCATGATTCGACTATTGATAGGATCGTCTTCTGCAACCAAAACAGAATAGCCGTCAGGTGGGAGGATGGACTCCCCATCGGTGGTGTCAGACGGCGCACTGATACTGTCCGGCTCTTCAGAAAAAGCAACCTTAGGTCTGGACGAAGCTGTGGGAGTGTCTATGTCGTCCTCGGCCACCCGGACAGGCCTGAGCGGCATGCCCGAATCAGTCACTTTTTTCGATCCTTGCGAATGAAGGGATGATTTGAGATCTCGAGGGGAGGGATAACTCAAAGCTTTGCTCGAAGAGGAGGACTTTCGTGAAGGCGACAATGCAGTCGTGCCGAGATCGAATGATGCACGTTTTGCATGTCCAGGGGTATCCGTGCTCGGAGATGCCTCACCGAACAATCGAAGAGGTTCTTGAATTGCGTCGATGAGCCTATCCGCATCACTCTTTTGACTGATGTCGCTTTGCAAACTGGTACCACTTTTGCCGCTCCTCCCACTCTTGAGGCTTGTGATACTGTCTCCACTATGTCTCCGAGAAATGGATGGTGGTGCGGAAGAGCGGGCCTGTGGTGCTCGGTAGACCAAAGTGACCTCGTTCTCTATAGATTTTGGTGTTGTTGGTTTTGCAGTAGCGGTCAGGGGAGGCTGTCTTTCCACCACTGTGGTCCCATGACTCGTTATGCCAAAGCTCAGGACGATGGTAAAACATGAGCCCTTGGATTCTTCGGTCCGGAGCCTTAACTGACCGTTCATATGACGAACTGTACGAGCGACGAGTGCAAGTCCTAAGCCAAGCATCTGCTCTGCATTGTTTTGTTCCGTGAAGGGGTCCTGGGCAACCAGGGGTTGTTGACCCGGGAGATCTTCTTCGTAGGACACTTCCTCGAGCTCGCGAAAGAGAGCATCTACTTTGACAGGTGTCATACCTTTCCCTGTATCCTCAACAACAATTTCGACTTCGACTTTCCCGGGCGGGGTCGCAGCCACTGCTGCTCCGACTGAAACCTTTCCTTCCGAAGTATGCTGAACTGCATTTGCAATCAGATTAGACACCACCTGCCTAACTCGGCGGTGATCACCAATAACTTTGGCAGGCAAGTCCTCCGCAAGCGTAACATCATACTGCAAGTTTTTACGCTTCGATTCTCCAACGAAAGGATCGGTCGCCTCTTTCAACGCTTGGACTAGATCAAAGGGCTCGTCTTTGACCAGGGACTGCCCACCCTCAGCCTTGGTAAGATCAAGTAAGTCGTTGATCACGTACACCAAGGACTTTGAAGCCGAGTGAGATTTCGCCAGGTTTTCGCGCGTCTCGGTGTCTAGAGTTCCTTCCATAGCGATCTCCAGGTAGTTGATGATAGCGTTTAGTGGGGTTCGAACCTCGTGAGCAGAGTTGGCGAGCAAAAGACGCGTCAGTTGACTGGTTTGAAGAGCCGCCTCTTTTTGACGCCAAACGTCGATGAACTTGCCGTAGACTAGACAGAGAACAGCCGCCGTTTCCATTTCATCGTCGGTCCAATCACGGCATCTACCGACAACGGTTTCGCTCCAAGATTTGAAGCTCTTTCGGGGCTCTAGGTAGCCTTCGGTTCCCTGTTTGACAAACTTTTCATAGGGATTCCCAGCCCACTTGACTTCCTGCAACACGCCTTGGCGGAAAAACACGATGAAATCGCTACCTCCACTTGAGAGAGGCACGAATAATAATCCAGCCAGATGCTTCAGACCAGGATCGTATTGTAGGTCCGGGAGATCTGTACGGATATCCTGGGAAGAAAACACGGAGGTGACCTTTCTCATTCGGAGGAACTCCACCATGGCGAGAACCTCCTGCAGATGGCCTCTGGGATTTCCTAATACCTTTGTCTCATCACGAATTGAGAGGGCTCCGAGATCCGCATTGAAAAGTTTCAAGAGATCGTCAGAAGACGCGATGATATAGCCTGAAGGATTGTTGCTCGATGAAGTAGTGTTAATTAGCTTACGAGCCTGCAGGCGTGAGGCGTAGGAAAGTCTTTCAATATTGCGAGATGCAGTGTCGCCGACCAAGCGACACATTTTTCGAATGGGAAAGGAGACTCTCATCCCTCTCTCGCCGTAGGAGTGGCAGGCAATCAAGCCCCAAAGTTCGTTGAAGGCATTTATTGAAATGGACATGGACGAACGCACAGCCATATTGGCTAAATATTTCAGGTGAATTGGAGACATGGCGCGCAAGTTTGCGTGGGTCAGGTCAACGGGAGTCTCAAGGTCATCAATGGTGCGGCACACCAGTCGAGCCGTTTCCTGGTCGCGGTCATACAGCAAGCGTACTTTGTTGATTCTGTACAGATCTCTCGCTTGCTTTGGAATATCCGAGGCTGGGAAGTTGAGCCCCTTGTACAAATCCTTGGTGGCGCGTGGGTCTACGAGCTCAGCGACAACACGACCATTCCAAGCTTGATCGAATTGGTATATCATGACACGATGGAAGCCTGTCAGCTCCTTGACAATACCAATGAGAACTTTTAGGAAAACGGTCAGGGTTGTTGCACTGGAAAGCTGCTCCTGTACCTGAGACATGATGTTGAAGACTTCCATTGCGGCAGCTTCTGATCTCTTCTTGCGGGCACCTCTCAAGACTCGAAGAGGCCTACTGATATTAACAGTGCTGTCATTGTATTCTTCCCGGGTTGGAGCACTGTCGAGTGTATTCTCCGGGACGTCTGGAGTATCGGGGTCGCTTGCAGGAATCAAGGGATTGGTGGCGTCATCTTCAATCTCAAATTCACAGATGATCTGATTTCGGTCACTTTCCGACAGGTGCATGGCACACCACAGCTTGCGTGTCCGATGGCCAGGCGGGCGTACGTTCAATATAAAGACCTCGGGGCCGTTGGCCTCGATGTCATCGGCATTTTCATCGCGGATGAAATCGAGATGATCCATGAGATTGTCAGCCTGTTCTTCGGTAAAGATGTCCAGGAAGCTATCTAGCTTGAAAAGTTGTTGAGGCGTATAACCAATGATTTGACGAGAATTTTCGCTAACAACCCGAACGACCAGTTTGTCGCCATCTTCCTTGAGCACAACAAGCAGGCCAAAGCTCTGAACGGCGCCCGGGATATGAATGGGTTCATCCTCGCAGCGTTGAAGGGTTTCTCCACCGCGACCAGTGATGATAGCATGGCCTCCATCGGTAACCACGTGTTTGAAACGAGCAGTGACCAGTGGAGTTTCTGGTAGGGATCGAATAGAGGCCGCAGCGGATGCGATTGAGACGTTTTCTGACTTCTGCGAGGCATCGTCTGCTGTGATAGCGGCAAGGGAGTTCAGAGTATCTGCCATATTAGGCCGTTCCGAGTCAGTCAAGATGGGATCCGAATTTGACATACGAGATCGCGAGCGTGGCTCACTAGTGGTATCAGTGGGCCGACCCTCGGGATCTCCAAAACCGCCAGTGCGTGATGAAGTGGAGCCACCTGCTCTACTAGAGCGTCGCTGCGAGGCAGTGTCGAAGCCAGGATATCCAGTAGATGACTCCTGGAAGACTATGGGAGTGGCGGTAGGATCGATGGATACCGCGGAGCGGATGGGGAAGACGCGGTTGATGGAACCAGGACTCATGGTAGCACCATCGTCGGATCGCGTAGATTTGAGTGATGAGCTACGGGCCCCTGGTGGATCGGTCTTGCCAGTGAAGATGCTGATGGTTGTCTGGCTAGGGCCAAGAGGGATCCATGTTGGACGAACAGAGGGACGGGGATTCCACTGTTCCACATCTTGACCTTGTGATTCTTGGGCAGGACTGGCAGCGGACGAGGGGGAAGCCTGAGCATTGATGGGAGAGGCCGAAGCGCGACGAGACGGTGGTCTCGACATGTCGTTCAAGATGGCTGTAGTGGTAGAGAACTACCGGAGAGCGGTCGACAAGCTGAGCTTCAGGTTGCCAGTGGCGGAAGAAGATTTCATGAGCGCTGGTGGTTCAACAGGAGCAAGCCTGCAAAGGATGGCCCATTATCCCTGTCCTTTGGATCGCTTTGGTATGTCTTCTGCCTTTGAATTCCTTGTATTCTCAGAGATGGTCTCTGTCATGCAGTGGTATTGTGTTCAATCGTGGGGGGAGACGATTAGCATCGGACAAATGGTAGGGACAGGATGTCAGTTTGAATGCTCGGAGAGGGGTAAGCGAGAGATGGTAGTTGGTCAGTGTGGTCTCCTTGCCAGCAATAGGAAAGAGGAACGAGATAGACGAGTATACAAATGCGTGTGTAGTGATAGATTGAACGTGAAGTGGACGTGTCGTGAGAATTGTGGCGGACTCGACTCGGAGCGCGGCACAGGCAACGTGGAGTGGAACAGTTTGGAAGGTGGAAAACGAAGGTGCAGGTGAAGTGCAGGTGCAGGTGCAGGTGCAGATGGCAGCCTCAGGGAACTAGTGGGTAGAGGGAAGGAGCGCCCACGAGGAAGGCAATCACGGATGGCAGTCACAAGTCCCTTCGGCATACGGATAACTGGACGTTTCGCCTACGGTGTGTTGGTGAGGGGCACTTACCGTCCCTAAGCTAAGAACCTTCCGGGTGCCAGATCGCCGGAATGCCCCTTGGCCCATCCCCGAGCCCCAGTGGGATCTTTCAATTCCCAAGGTACCTACCAACTCTTGAACTCGGTATGTACCTGCGAACAAATAATCAGACATTTATGATTGAAGGTCATATCCCATCTAACCACCGACTCGGTAGATATCTACCTAGGTAGCTTCAATTCCAAGTGTCCGTGTAGCCGTCGTTGCTTCTGCAAATTCGTGAAATATACACCAGATCGACCGATCGACCGAAGATCGACTTGAGAAAACAAGGAATTAGACCCACTTCCCACTTCTTCCAGTCTGGTGGTGCGCAAACCCTTTTGTTCCTTTTCAAACTTGTTTGTCCAGCAGAAGCATCTCATGGTCGACTATAGCGTAGCTCGATTTGTTCCAATGCATGTTTGAAACATTTACTAGTCTTCAGCCTTGCGACCGAGAGCCTTTCAGCAACAAGACGGACATGTTTTCCATCACTTCTCTCAGGCCAAAGCCACAGCCTGCAAGGCGGCACTAGTTATCAATTATGGCGACATTTCGCTAATCTTCGCCCGAGGCAAGCCACTCCGGGCCCAAAATCCCATTGGTAGAGACATGCAATTTCGTTGTTGTCACCGACTTTGCCATACATGATGAAATCATTGATATATTGCCTAGGCACCCGACCCCGGCCTGTGTAGCCAACCTGAACTCCAGCATTCTCCATCATGATGGTTAAAGCCAATAACCACATCTCGAATCACTACGTACCCAGGTAGGTACTTAGTAATTGCTCTAGCTACTTGATCTGTTCCGACGTTGAGCTTGTTCATTCTGAGGTTTAACTGTAGCCAAGTCCTCAGTCCTCTTAGGTAGATAACCAGCTAGGGTCTGATCCCTGCTGAGTGCCACGTCAATCCTCCCGTGCCAGAAATAAAGCCACCCAACTGTATGTTCCATATCAATGACGGCATATCTCCAGGGACTATTAAACAAGTGTCCCAGGCGCAGTTGATATTCGCAGCCAATTAATGCAACTAGACGATATGCTACCAAGCCCAATTTTCACTATACAAAGATCCCTCAACACAGTGGAAATGACATCCAATGTCGGTGCCGTGCAAAGCGTTTGACAGAGGAGATGTCATATGGCAGTTGAAAAAGTGTCGATTTCGAGACCAAGTTCAACCATGAATGTCAATGTCGACAGAATAGAACAATATCGACGACGGGTACTCTATGCATTATCTCTTACCATCATTTGCTATTGACATATCCCCCACTTGAATTATCAGATTATATGGGCGTGCCTATTATTTGGTGACCGACAGATACTACCTAATCATTTCCGACAACGCCGCTAAAATCCTTCAAGGAGCTACTAATCATCAGGCCCGATGGTTATCAAGCGAGCGAGCGACGATTCTTATCTACCAACCTTTAGGAATCCTCGCAACAAACTGACACACACCAGCTTCCGCATAGTCGAGGTATCAACATCATTTCAAGTTGACTATCATGAGTGAGGCCGAAGCCCATTCTGGTTTTGGTCATGCCTTCCGTTCCCACTTCCTCTTCAGCGATGACTATCTCCCATTAAACCATGGTATGGACACAATCAATCCCTTGACTCCCGTTCATATTTTTCATGTATTTGCAGAGAATGACTGGCAATGCGACAACTGTGTCACTACAAAAACAGGTTCACAGCATTGCCAATCGGCCGTCCATCATAGGATGATATTGCTGTGATAGCAAATGGAGCTGCGCCATGATGGAATGCCCTCCTTTCACATCTTCTCATCCCTGCTATGGATGGAAATTCCTCAATGATGTCTGCCACGAGAACTGATATTCATACGATAATTAGGTTCCTTTGGCGCATTCCCACGCTTCGTTCAAGAAGCACAACGTAGCTACCAACACGCGACCGAAAGCCAGCCAGACCGGTTCATTCGCTATGACGCATTAAATCACATTTCCAATTCTCGCCTAGGCATAGCTAAGCTGCTCAAAACCTCGTCGGACGAATGTGTCTTCGTGCAAAATGCGACCGTAGGGCTCAATACAATATTGCGGAATCTCCTCCCTACATTCGCTTCTCAAGCTACGACGCTCGAGCTGACAAAGCGGGAACAGTCCTGCGTGGTTTACTTCGATACGATTTATGGCGCCATTGAGAAGACACTGTTCTCGATCCGCGAAATCGATCCATCCATAGAATTGCGCAAGGTAACGAACTACACGCTCCCGTGCTCTCACGAGGCTATCGTCACCGCTTTGGTTGAGGTCCTCGATAAGGCCAGCCAAGACGGCGTGAGGGTGAGAGCATGCGTGTTCGAGACCATCACCTCCGTCCCTGCCGCCAGGTTTCCTTTCCAAGCAATTACAACTCTTTGCCGTGAGAGGGGTATCTACAGTGTGATCGATGGTGCCCATGGCGTAGGTCAGATAGCCCTCAGTCTGGGAGATTTGAGTCCAGATTTCTTCGTGAGCAATTGCCATAAGTAAGTGATGCGACTCTTTCACAGGATCTTGTCAATTGCCATGTATGCTACCAAGAAATGTAGTGACTGTGTGCGAATTGAGAAGGCAAAGAACCTCTAACATTAACATGCATAATAGGTGGTTGTACACCCCACGAGGTTGTGCCGTCCTGTATGTACCGAGACGTAATCAGCACTTGATACGCACGACTGTACCTACATCATGGGGCTTCGAAGCCCTTCCATTTCCACCCGAACACACAGATATGTCATCAAACTCCAGGAACAAAACTACTCCAGATGAACAGCAGCTCAAACCACAAGAAATCGGACCCTCTTACTTCACAGGTCTCTTCGACTACATGGGCACGGTCGAGAACTCCGCCTTCTTCTGCGTAAACGCAGCTTTAAATTTCAGGCAGACAGTCTGTGGGGGCGACGAAGCAATATGGGGTTATATACAATATATTGCACAGGCAGGAGCCGACCTTATTGCAGAGAGACTTGGCACTGAAGTCATGGATGTCATCGAACCTGAGGAGTCCACCAGCCCTAATACAACGCCACTAGCAAATATACGGCAGTGCGCCATGGCCAATATTCGGCTTCCATTCGCCATTACAGGCTCGGAAAATACACCGGCTACAACAAGTCTTTCCAAGACCCCTACCCCTCAATCCATTGCGCCAGCATCGACAGATTCAGGCTTCACCGCTGTTCCGATCCGCTTGGACGAGCTAGTGTCCCATACTTCTTGGCTTCAATCGACGTTGATTAAAGAATACCGTATAGGTATCACGGTCTATCCATATGCGTCGCGTGCCTGGTTACGTGTGTCTGGGCAAATCTATCTGGAGCTTTCAGATTTCGAGAAACTCGCTGAAGTTGTCAAGGTTGTTTTGGAGAGAATTAGGAACGGTGAGAGCGGCATCCAGCGTTGATAGAAATTGTCGCTAGTGCAATAGACGAAAGCTTGCTCAGAATCGCCCGAGAAATCACGTTGTCCATACCTGCGTCTCCCCAGCCTTGTTCAGCCTTGCGAGCTATTTTGACGAGTTCTCTCATGTAGCCAACCACATCGATCTAAGAGCTCGCTCCTTGGCATTTTCACGGCCCCGTTGCTCGCCCTGGCCCCGAGGACATGATCCTCTCCTTTCCACTTGACCATCCAAGGGCTTCGGACAATGAATGCCCTTGCACATACAACGAATACACGGCGCATATTCATGAGGTTTCGCGTCCGAACTCAATAGGTTCGCGTCGGGGCGCCAGGCGATGATCGACGGATTGCGGACGTTTGAAGGTCTAAGTTGCATATCTCTTTGATGTTGATCTCCTTATTTAACAAGTGCTTCCCCTGTTCTTGAAATGTTGCCTTACTATCACAGGTGAAGGATCTATAAACACTAATCCGCAATAACATCACGTTTTTACTTTGATTTCTCATAAAATGGCAGACAGGCTGGAACAATCAAGCGATGCTCACAGTATGCATTCAACCGAACAGCAGGAGAAGAAAGATGATCTTGCAACTTCTGCTCCCTCAGAAGATGTAGAATATCCACCCTTCAAGAGAGTCCTCGCCATCGTGCTCGGCATGATGTCTGTGTCTCTCCTTGTTGCTTTGGTGAGTATCATTGTCCCCCTCCCCATATCCCTTTCTAGTAGCCTCAGTCTGACTATTCCAACAGGACCGAACCATCATCGCAACAGCGATCCCCGCCATCACAGATCATTTCAACTCGCTTGATGATGTAGGCTGGTATGCGTCGTCTTATCTCCTGACGATGTCTGCATTTCAACTCCTCATCGGCCGCATCTATACTTTCTACAGCACCAAATGGGTATATATCACCTCCATCGGCATTTTCGAACTCGGTTCTTTGGTCTGTGGAGCAGCTCCATCTTCTGTCGCCTTCATCATTGGGAGATCAATCGCAGGAATTGGCAGCGCAGGTATCTTCGCGGGAGCCATCGTTGTGATTGTGGACCTCGTTCCGCTCGAGAAACGACCCGCGTGGACTGGAGCTTTCGGAGCAGTGTTTGCTATCGCATCGGTGGCCGGCCCACTGCTCGGCGGAGTATTCACAACGAATGTATCATGGAGGTCAGTTCTCATCTCGCCCCCTTAACTACAAGCCAAACAATAAAATGCTAACAGTCATTCCAGATGGTGCTTCTACATCAACCTACCAATCGGGGGCGCGGCGATGGCAATCCTAGCCTTCATCCTCAAAGTCCCGGCGAGAACAACCAAAAGAGCGACCCTGAAGGAACAAATCCACCAACTAGACCCGATCGGCACGGCAATCTTCATCCCCTCGATAACGTGCCTCCTGCTGGCCCTGCAATGGGGCGGCATCGACTACGCATGGTCAGACGGACGAATCATTGCGCTCCTGGTCCTCGCCGGCGTGCTATTCATCGCCTTCATCGGTGTGCAGATGTGGCGGCAAGAACTCGCGACCGTGCCGCCTCGCATCATCAAGATGCGCGCCGTCGCCGCAGGGATGACGTACTCGTTCTTCAGCGGCGCGGGGATGATCACGATCGTGTACTTCCTGCCCATCTGGTTCCAGGCCATCAAGGGCGCCACCGCCGTCCACTCGGGCATCATGAACCTGCCGGCCGTGCTGGGCATCACGCTAGCGTCCATCGTCGCGGGCATCGGCACCCGCAAGCTCGGATACTTCACGCACTGGATGGTCGTCTCGTCCGTCATGACCTCCGTCGGCGTCGGCCTGATGTGCACGTTCACGCTCACCACGGGCCACAGCAAATGGATCGGGTACCAGGCCCTCTGGGGCATCGGGCTCGGGCTGGGGATGCAGCAGCCCTCGGTCGCGGCGCAGACGGTGCTCGCCAGGAAAGACGTCCCCACCGGCGCCACCATCATGTTCTTCGCCCAGGGCCTCGGCGGCTCCGTCTGCGTCAGCATCGCCAACAACATCTTCCTGAACAAACTATCCACGGGCCTGACCTCCATCCCGGGCATCAACGGCGATCTCGTCACCCATGTCGGCGCCACAGATCTCCGGAACGTCGTCCCCGCGGCCAGTTTGGACGCTGTGCTGGCGGTCTATAATCTGGCGTTGAGGAATGCCTTCTACGTCGGCGTCGCCGTCAGTACCGCCACCATCATTGGTACTCTGCTGATGCCTTGGATCAACATCAAGAAAGTCGCTGCTGACCAGAAGGCTGCGGCTGCGCTTGCATCGACACCCAAGACAGCAGGTAGCGCTGAACAGCAGCAGGAGACGGAGGCCAAGAGGGTTGAAGAGGTGTAACCATCAAGCCTGATTGTGACGCCGATTAATGTAATCTGATTGTCTGGCCAGTTGCGCTTCGCTACTTTTTTCTTTCGTTGTACAAAAAATATACTCCCTTCTACGTAAGATTAGAATATAGAGCAAAATAACATAATCAAAAAACAATGCAAAGGTATTGGTCTCCAAGTTTTATTCGATCCCAATTGCTTTAGCTACCTATGACTCGCAATAAATGCGCCCCTGGAGACCAACAAACCCAAGTCCGTAGGTAATGAGGAAAGTAGAGGCTTAAGCACCCGCCCCAGCACTGAGGATATACCCACCATCGACCGCCACCGTCTGGCCATTCAGATACTGATTGGTAGCGGCGAAGAGAATCGCATTCGCCATATCACGATCCTCGCCCGGCCTGGTCGCCGTCGTTTTGTCCTCATACTTCTCGCGCGGGATGTGAGACTTCTGCTTCTCATCGCTCTCGCCCGCCGTCATCTCGCTGGGAAAAACTCCCGGCGCGATGCTGTTGACGCGAATGCGCAAGCCGTTCAGACTGCCGATCTCATTGGCGAGCATTGTCGTCAGATGGATGGCCGCGGCTTTGGACGCGTTGTACGCGAAATGGTGCTGCGACGTCTTCACGATGCCGCTGATCGAGCTGATGTTGATGACCGCCCCGGAGAAATTGTCGTTGTGCTTATGTGCGGCCTGAAGGAGCGGGAGGAAGGCTGTCGTCATGAAGTAGAGTTGCGGCACGTTGGTCCGGTACGTGTCGGTCCACATCTCGAAGGTTTCGTTCGGGTCCGAGAAAAGGTTCTTGGATAGTTCCTCCGCCGACGAGGCTTCTGTCTGTTGCGTGTTGAGCGCGATGCCGGCGTTGTTGATCAAGATGCATAGACATTTCTCCTTGGAAGAGATCGTGTCGACGAGTTTCTTGATCTCGTCTTTCTTGGATACGTCGGCCGTGATGGGAATGATGGAACCCGAAATGTCTTTGCCGTAGGTCTCGGCCACTTTCTCGAGTTTCTCCTCTGTGCGTCCTACGATGTAGACCTTGGCTCCGTTGGTGGCTAGGGCTTGAGTCGCCATGAGTCCAATCCCACTGCCGCCACCGGTGATCAGGGCGACTTTGTTCTTGACGGAGAACAGGTTTTCGAGTTTGAATGACTCATTGTGATCGTTGGTAGACATGTCGGCGGTGCTATAAAACTGCTTGGTAAGACTTGCTAGGCGAGGCTGTGCCAGGTTGAGTCGGACGGTTTTCTGCTTCAATAGGCAAGTAGTAGTCAAGGGGAGGATACTAGACCGAGATTGTAGGAGTGATGGTGCTTTCAACAAACGGACTGAGAGGCGAGATGACATTGGAATAGTGTTGAAAGCCCTTGTTGAGATTCAAAAAGATATAGTCCTACATCATACAGACTCACCTCTGACCTACGCGCAGATTGTATGTGAAATCAACAGATGACGCTGAGATGATGAAATACCTCCATCTGATGTCCGGATCACTTCTCCGCCAGCCAATTCTCCCCTATCATCATACAACATACGTCTTAGGTTGAGAGACAGGTTTCGGGGGTTAAAACCCGGCTCCATACTCCGACCGCTCTATGTACCGACTGGAATATTAAAAGTACCATTGTTATTGGAAAGTGTTGATGTTGAGCACAAGAGTCAAAAGCGAAATTGACGTCCCAAAGCCAGAGAAACTGTGCGGAAGGAAGATAAGCCGGAGTTCTGCCGGATGACACAACTTTCCGCCGTCATGCTCGCGCTGAGCCCTGGCTTCTTCAACAGTCCTGCCATCGACAAACGCCCCAAATCCACATCAACCGACGGGTGTAGGACAACAACGCCGCCGCATGCCTACACCCGCGCTCTGCATCATGGAAAACATCTAACGCAACATCCTCTCCGCACCGACCGATAAACCAGACAAACAATGACCAGCTACGACTCGGGCGTCCCCTTCTCCTACTCGACGCCCGACTGGCCGGCACTCTACTACCCGGTGCGCGCCGACCCCGGGGAAGCGCAGTATCTGTACTACGTGAGCGACATCTACCGCTATGTGGTGTTCTGGACGCTCATCTGCGTGGGCGCGGCGCACATCTTCGTCGCCACGTGGGCGGTGCTCATGCAGTTTCACTCGGCCAAGCTGCGCAGGAGATATCTGAACACGCCCGTGGGGAGGAAGCTCACGGCCAAGAACCGCAAGCTGCTGGGTGAGAACCCGATCGGCGAGACGATGACTTGGGTCTGGTTGGTTCCTGTTGTCTATATCGTGCTGGGCGGTCTCGAGGCTACCTTTGCTGGGAGTATTGTTGGTTTGATTCTGGGGGCCGTCTACAATGCTGGCTATTTCAGGATGAGCACTTGGACGCCTTTGCTTTGGGGGGTCATCAATATGCTGGTGCTAGTCGTGAGCAGTTTTAGAATACAAGGTGGTCTATAATGCCCTTATTATGGACTTGTGGTGTGAGTCTCGAAAGATCTAGAAGATTTCTGGGATGCGTTTACCTATATGGAAGAAGGATGATTCACCCTGATACTGCGCCGTTATTACAGGTCGCACGCGGGTCGAGACACTTGCTGTCCCAAATTTGCACTTCCATTCCATGTCTGTGGAATCTGGACATTCCCGGTGAATCTACCACGACATCGTTCCAGTAGAGTGCTCCAAAGGAGTACCACTGGGTGAGGATGCGGTGAATTATGACCTGCTTTTGCGACTGGACGAACCTACCTTGGTACCCTAGAGACCGAAAGTCGAGCATCAAGCCTCTCTCAGGATATCCGACCATCAATCACCGATCATGAGGGTTCGAGCGCGTAAGCAGAGTGATTACTGTGCAAGGCAAGTAAATAATGTCACATGAGAACGAACAATGAATGGGTTAAGAGATTCGAGACTCCCAAAAAGGAGACCAACCCCACAACCCGATATGGAGAGCTCCTCCATGGACCTCTTGTCCAGATATCTGGGAATGAACACAGGTTCGTCAGATGGAAATTCAGTCAAATTTCAGGAAAATACTTGTCTTGAAAAAGCATGGATTTTGGAGCTTGCACTTCCAGAAGATCCCTTCTGCTGAATGAATCTGTAAATTGCAAGTCGGGTCAGCACTTGACTGGCATAAGTCGTGAATCGCTCAAAATGACAAATAAGTGTGTAGAATGAAAGCAAATGATCTCCGAACGAGGCTCTAATCATCTGCTCCTCCTTGATTGTAAACATGCCTCGAGCGAGAGGGATCTTTCCGCATTTCATGTCCGCTACCTGTGAAACCCACTACCTCAAGTTAGCATCAAGCGCATATAAACAGAACAACACGAATCTTACCTCGAGCGTTGACGCCATCTCCTGTCCTGAACATACTGTCCTTCTTCTGCATTTTACCAATCTTGGACTTGGCAGCGAAGTCTTGCCACTTGTTCTTGCCAGCCTCTAATTCTTTGTTGGCTTTGACTTTTCGAGGGATTTTGGCCGGTCGGATTGGTCCATCGCTAACCTTGCTAGGTTCGCGTCGGGCTTGTTGAGCCAGGGTGGGATCGACGCTTGCCGCCGCAGAGATGATATTGGGGTTGGCCGGGGTGGAAGTCGGGGTGGAAGTGCCTGATATGTTATCAGCCTTACGTTTCCTTGGATCAGTTGCCAGCGGTTTGATGTCTTTTGCTCGCAATGTTTCATTGTTTCCATAATTTTTGAATGTCACAATGTAGACGGGATCGCTGGCAGAACCAGTGATGGATGTGATCCTTGCTGTGTAGTATGCACCATCGCCCGACTTCCATCTCGCAGATACAGTGTCATTGACCGAAAACGTGGTGGTTGTGGTGGGCTCCTCGGGTTCGGCCTCGGGTTTGCGATATCCAGCCTGATAGGCTGGATGATTCTGCTTTGACCATTTCTCCTTTACTTGTGACTGTGGTGGGCTGGGGGCTCGGGCTGAGACTGAGGCAGGCTTTAGTTCTGCAATGGCAGATTCGGTGAGGGAAATGACTTCTTCAAGTTCTGCCTGGAGACTCTCCAATTCAGCGTTCTCCGGATCATTTTGTAGACTCAATTGGACGGTTTCGAGTTGTAGTTTGTATTCTTTGACCTCATTCTCAAGGGCTTGCACCTCCGAGGAACTCATGTTTTTGCAGTTGAGCTTGGGAGTGATGTCGTCAAAGAATTGCAACGAGCGTTATGAGAGAAGAATGATCACGAACCAAAATGTCGTCTTGGCGAGAGTATTCACAATTGATTATAGAGTGACCTCTACCTTTCCTTGATGTTGAGTACTACTCGTAGGGAGTTAGAGAGAGAACCAAGAAGGGTAACGATAAAGAGAACTGGGAGGATCGTTGTCACTGCAGGGACCGAGTACAGCCGTGCTTGCAGGATGAACTGCCAAGCTTTTACTCGATCCCCACCTGCCTCGGAACGGAAGAACTTTGGGAAGTCATGCGGAAAGCTGTTCCGACTTCTTGAAGCGACCACCATCAAACTGGAACGAGAGATCATTAGGTATTTAGGTAGTCTTCACTCCCGAATACGAAATATTGTGCCTCAGGCCGGGATTCTAAGAGCAGTCCTGCAAGATACTGCAAAAGCGGAGTACTGTATGGAATAGACCTACACTTATCTGCACCACGAACTTGTATTCTCTACGGAGTAGATGTCTCTCAGCAGTCGTCATCGCTTTTCCGTGAAGGCTCGAGACATACACAGAGGTATGCTATCAAGCAGGAGGATATCTGTCAGTTTCAGACTACAACCCCCTTGACCTCCTTGCTCCGGATGCTCAGGTGATACTGTGAAAAACGACCTGGTCTACAATCGTCCTGCAGTGAAGCAAGCGAGCTAATTGTTGTTCAGAGGGCTGCCCGTTCACCGATGACGTCTTTCGCAAGAGTCTCAAAGGCGAAAGGCCGAAGGTGCTTCATGCTCACACAGTGCACTCGTATCACCAACACTCAAGGCCCAGAAATGGATCGATATAAGTGGCTGGTTGTTTCATAGTCTGAGATGACGGGCGGGAGGGATGCCTGATTTTCATTGAGCAGGAAAAGAGGGATTGCTGAATTAGTATTGGTATGGACCTTGAGAGATGAGCATGGACCAGTCGCGACTCCAGCCCGCTTAGAAATCAACCTCGATAGCTACGACTTTGGTGGACATGGTCCCCTCCCTCTCGGTTTGCCACTGCTCACCCTGGTCTGCGAGCGGTTTTCCTCCACTGACAGCCAGGCACTCTGTGATTTTCGCTTCAAGATCACCAGGCTGAGTCTGCATCCTCGTTCTTAAACTGGAGTCCAAGCTGGTCAGTCGGATTTCGTCAGGAGGAGGCAAATGGCCGCGAAGAGAAAGCAGATCCGGCTATGTCGCCGTAGCATGCTAGTATATCTCAGTACAACATAGGCACGGCTAGGCTATAATTGACGACCCAGGTACCTGTTTGGTGCCCCCTCGGGGTCCTCACAGTTAAAGCCAGTGGGGCATAGGGCGCAGAAAGGAAGAACCCTTAGGCAGGTGCTTGGCAGGGTCTCATCAATCTTGCTGGCTCCCGAGCACCTCGTAGGTTTCCAGGGCCAATGTCTAGCTGGCTCTTGGGGTCCCGGGCTTTAGGCTCTGGACTTTGGACTTGGGTAGGCTTGTTCGGCGGTGCAACCTCCTCCCGTGCCATGCCCTGCAGCGTCCGAGTCTGACTCTTCAATTGGGAATTGACAATTGATCTCATCATTTCTTTCCTCTCCTCTCCTCCTCAAGTCTTTTGCCCACTGGTACTGATTCTATCTTTTCTTCTCGCCCCTCTCAATGTGAGTTAGTTTGGTCCAATAAAACAAGACCCCGGCCAACTCCATTCAAGTGCATCACGGTGGTGTGTCGATTGGCGTCCCTCCACCGGCTGTACCTCTGCTCTGCCATTTCTACCCCCACCCGCCTCGACTTCCATACTGTTCCAACCACACTTCAACACCCTTTCCCTCCAGACAATTCTTTCCCCCAAGATTGTTGATTTCAGGAGATTGACCTTACAAAGCCTCTTGATACTGCCTCAGCGGTAGAGGGAGGCGTTTCGTATTCACCTACATTTCCCACGGATTCCGTCGCTCCCCGCGCATTTGCTTCCGACCTGTTCTTATCCATCTCCGCCATTGACATCATTCTTTTTGGTCACCATCCGAGCATAATCCACCGCTTTGATGTCACGAAACGCTGTTAGCGATCTCTATCTATCTTCTGATCAACAGGAATTGTTGCTGGCCGCATTGAATTCTAACCAACAATCCGACGCATTATCCGGATCCAGTACTCAAAAAACCACTCCACAAGCAGCCTCATTCACTCCAAACATGTCCAGTGCTCCGGGATCGGGTCATCTTGACTTCTCTGATGAGAGTCCATATCTTGACTTTGACCCCGATGGCGACTTTGACGACTCTTTCGGCTACGATGAAGAGGCAGGGCGGATGATTGGCGATTTACCCGGCGATCTGCACGATAAGCGCAAAAGTATCGATGGACAAGACGACGACGACGAAGGTGGCGGCAAGAGACGTGAGGGTGAAGATAAGACGGCAAAGAAACCCGGTAGAAAGCCGTTGACTGTCGAGCCCACATCTGTAAGTGTCGAGATTTCCCTACCTTCCATATGCTGGTCTAACAGAAGCAGAAACGCAAGGCCCAAAATCGCGCTGCCCAACGAGCGTTCCGTGAGAGGAAAGAAAAGCATTTGAAAGATTTGGAAACAAAGGTGGAGGATCTGGAAAAATCTTCGGAATCTGCCACCCACGAAAATGGTCTTCTTAGAGCTCAAGTTGAACGCCTGCAGGTTGAACTCAAGGAGTACCGCAAACGGCTGTCCTGGATTAGCAGCAATGGTTTGAACCGATCATCGCAACCCGTGGGTCAAAATCAAGCCCGAAAATCGTCTGCCAACAACCAGAACGACTTCCAATTTGAATTTCCCAAGTTTGGAGATCTCCCTCCAATGCCTGCGACGAATCTCTTCAACACAACTGGCTCGCAGAACAAGCAAGCTACTGCTGCGAAAAGATCTGCAAGCAATGGAACATCAAATTCACCCGCGATGGGTCAGACTAATGGGGCCAGACGCTCTAATTCTTCAATATCGCAACAGAACCAGCCTGCCAGATTCGGCTCCTTGAGCCAATCTCCGATGAGTAGTACTTACACTGCTTCGCCTCAACCTCAGCCTCAGCAAAAGGATAATTTAGGTAGTGTGGACAGTCTTTCGGGTCTGTTCAGCCCATCGATATTGGAAGCGAGCCGGCATAGTTCTCTCGGAGGTTATTTCCCCCAAACTGCACTCAATGGCAACGCACAAACTGGCCGTCGCAGTCTCGACAACGGAGCGTTGGCCAACGTTCCAGGAGTCTATTCTAACTCCAGCATCTCAACATCGGATTCTCCTGCTTCCTCAGCCGAGTCACAGAATGCCATTTCGTCGATTGGCACTTCCCCTGAGCCAAGCTTGAATTCGCCGGCCAATAAATTGACCGAGTTCAACCTCAATCCTATCACGGAGGAAAATCAACTTGCATTTGGAGGTAAGGACTACCTTTGCAAACAAATTTCCCAGGCCTGCGGCTGCATTGATGACCCAATTCCTCCAATCTTGAACATGTCTAACGATAAAACGTTAGGCTACACTGGCGAGGCTGGCTTCGAAATGAATGGAATCAACTGGCTTGCCCAACAGAACAACAACGGTTTTGACCCGGTACTGTTCGGCGACTACCGTGAGACTCAAGATAATGTTCTCTCACAAGACTTTGGATCCTTCTTCAATGATGCTTATCCTCTACCGGATCTCGGCAGCCCTCTGCATAACTACACCGATCTGACAGTGGAGCCACCCGCAAAGAATGACCTCATGAGGCAGGTCAACATGGCAAAGGACGGCGAAGAAGTTGTACCTAATAACGATAAACCGATGACATGCAACAAAATTTGGTGAGTGATGATAATTCCGTGTAAACATGTCCCATACTAACAGGGTGCAGGGATCGTCTTCAATCTATGGAAAAGTTCCGCAATGGAGAGATTGACATTGACAACTTGTGTAGCGAGCTTCGAGCCAAAGCCAAATGTTCCGAGGGTGGTGCAGTGGTGGACAAGAAGGATGTGGACAAAATCTTGGGATCCGCCAGGTGATCTTAGCCGAGGCATGGATGGCATTTGCCATGGGATGGAATCAACGACATGGGATGATATGGTTCAGATGAGCCATGGGGAGTTTTTCAGGTCGAGTCCGGAAGGGCATATGATACCATTAAAATGGAATGAGAGTTATCTGCAGCCCCAGGTGGCATGCTCAAGCTACGAGGCGCTCAAGATGCTAAATCTGGGTTGAACTTGACGAAGATTGGAGGTCTTTTTTTTTCACTCCTGTACCAATTCATGGACACTTGCACACATCACTGGCCAGGTATTACCCTGGCTAGGATATCTGGAAGTGGAAAAATCTATACATATATTCTATCTTTTAAGCATAGGTGGGCACTTCAAATGGCTGATAATATCTGAGCAAAATTCACATTGTTTCTGATGTACAGTGCACCTTGATAAAGACGACATTCAACCATCTCCACATAGTCATGAGAACCAGTGATGCTCGACCGTGTGAACAACCATACACCTTTTTCTCTATGATTCAATGAATATGCAGAGCGAATGCACTGCGTGCTCTGGCAGAGCACTTAGTGATAGACTAGACCAGCACGTGATCGTCGAATCCACGCTAATTATGAGTGATACCACTTCGGGCAAGGTTAGCGTTCAATGCCAAGGATACTCCAGACGTGATCAGCTTCTGGGAGTTCAAGTTCAGATGGTGAGGTCTGATCTGAGTCTGGGAAAAGAACAGCCCGTTCACCTTTTTGTTTTATTCAACGTCTTTAACCATCACATCTTCCTCGGAATCCTCATTTCCTCACTACAACCATTACCGCGTTTTTATCTTGTCTCTCGTATCATCGAAACAAGTGGTCTCTGCGCGCGCTGTGTTCTGCATCACACTTGTCTCTAATACTAATTGTCTTGCTTCTGCCGCACCCTCCTCAAGCAGCCTCATTCACTTCGACTTGTCACCCACGGCTGAGCACTGCTTCAAGTTGCGCGCCCTCTGTACCTCTCCTTCACAAATGGCTTCAGTGAGTCTCTTCCTCACTTCGACTCTTTCCTTCATCGCCCTCCCCTTCCAATCCCACCATTCCCATGAACATCAATCATCATGGCCACTAGAGATATTACCCCCGTGGCGGTTCCGCTAATCATTCTTCGCCGACAGGACCGATCTCAGTACCAAAATCAATATCTACCTAATGGAAACGCTTCTGGCCCTGTTCCCGGTGCCCAGGCTCTCCTCCCCAACAATGGCCGGATTATCCAGTCTGGTCCAATTCGAGTTCTCTGTATTGCAGATGTGAGAGGTCGGTTGATCCTACAAAAGCCTTACTTCATAGTTTTAATCGCTGATGTCTTACTCTTAGGCTATCTCAGATCCCTCAACGACCTCGCAAAGACGGCAAAGGCAGACTACATCCTGCACACCGGCGACTTTGGCTTCTACGACAATACTTCGCTGGAGAGAATAGCAGAAAAGTACGATATCATACACCCCAGTTGTGCGGATTCCCCTCTAACATACCGCTCAGGACATTGAAACATGTTGCCCAATATTCCCCACTCCTCACTGAAAATGTCAAGCGCCAAATTGCACAACCTAACCCTCCTCGGCCCATCAAGCAAATGTTTTCGCCTGATCAGCTTCCTCTCTCAGAGTTGCCACTCCTGCTGAACAAACAAATCACACTAGATGTCCCTGTGTACACCGTATGGGGTGCTTGTGAAGATGTCAGAGTCTTGGAACGTTTCAGATCCGGCGAATACAAGGTCGACAATCTGCACATTATTGACGAAGTGAACTCGAGACTGCTTGACATTGGTGGAGTGAAGTTACGTCTGTTGGGTCTCGGTGGCGCGGTTGTCATCCACAAGCTATTCGATAATGGTGAAGGCAAGACCTACATAGCAGGTGGTCAAGGCACGATGTGGACAACCCTTCTTCAGATCGGAGCCCTGATTGACACGGCCAATCGTGTCTACGATCCTTCCGAAACTCGCATCTTCTTAACCCATGCTTCTCCGGCAAGAGATGGAATTCTCAATCAACTCTCGGTAACCCTCAAAGCCGACTTTTCCATCTCCGCAGGTTTGCATTTCCGTTATGGCAGCTCCTACAACGAGTTCTCCGTCAACCCTTCTCTGGATCACTACCGTGGTAAACTTGCAGCCTCCAAGGCTTCATTCCAAGATGTCTGGGAGACGGTCAAGATGGATGTCGAGCAAGCCATAGAGTCGAATGCCAGCCACAAAACCCTTCTACACAGTGCATTGGAGATTGTCGAGAAGATGCCGAGCACGGCCAACGGAGGCAATCCCTTTGGTGGACCCGTAGGAGGAGGTGGTGCAGCAGGTCAAGTGGACGAGAGTGCATTTAAAAATATGTGGAATTTCAATCTCGCAGATGCGGCCTTTGGCTATCTGGTTCTCGAGATCGACGGAGGTCGAATAGGTACGGAGATGCGTGCGCAAGGATTCAATTTTGCCCATCGCGGGAAACCTACTGCAGGAGGTCAACTCCCTCAGCAGCCCTCTACGTCGACAGCTCCCGTTGCACCGGTTCCTGGCCCAGCTGCTGCACCCACGGGCCCGGCACAAAACCGTGCTCCGCACTTCCAAGCACCACAGCAGCCCTTCCCTCAACAACAGAAACCACAACCTCAACAGCAGCAACCAAGACCCGCTCCAACTGGATCGACTCCTGGTCCCAAGTCTGCAACACCACCTTCGGCTGCATCACCAGCACCACCGGTTACTCAGGCTAAGCCTCTTACGCCTCAACCTTCATCGACCTCCGTCCCGACCACGTCTGTACCGGTGAATAAGCCCGCTACTCCGGCCACCAACGGTGCGAGCGGTGACAAGGGCGCGGAGAGTGATGCAGCAAAGGCCAAGGTCGGAACCTCTCCCGTCGACCGTAAAGCCCCTACGGCTCTCTATGTGGCCAATGCGGAAAGTGAGCAAGGAGCTAGGGAATTGATTGCCGAGGAAGATCGCGACAAGATCAAGTCCATCGTCCGGTTGGGTAGCAAGTTCTTTAACTGGAAAGTTCAGTTCGACAACCATGACATTGCTCAAGGGGCTTTGCTTCGCGCACAAGGAGAGATTTCGAAACACAAGGGTGCGGGAGGTCGAATGCCCAAGATTGTGTTCTTTGAAGAGAAGCAGTCAACATTCCACCAACGCGACAACCATAGCCAAGGAGGAGCGGGCACGTGGCAGGGAAGCAACCGTGGAGCATCAAGCGCGGCCAACACCCCTACGACTCGCGCTGGGTATCAAAGTGGCGGCGCAAGTGATAGTGAAGGTGGACGAGGTCGTGGTGGATTTCGCGGTCGTGGCCGAGGTGGCCGGGGCGATGAGCGAGGTGGACGAGGCGGTCGTGGTGGAGGCCGTGGCGGATTCCAGGGCAAACCCGGCGACGGACCCTCTGAAGGAAGAGGTTCGGACGTCAAGGGATCCGACAACAAGCCAGCGGCGGTCTCTGGGGAGAGTTGAAGCAGAGACGCATTCGTAGAGAGATATGAAAAAGCATCGATCGCAGATTCCAGCGATTGTGGGGATTGTGCAATCATTCATGGGAGGCGCCATACGAGAGACCAGGATCTGGGCTTGACAAGGACGGAGATGATTCAACCGGAGTTGGGCAGGACAGAGGAAGGGCCTTACGAAGGCTGGTCTTCTAGTCATATCGAGTCAGGTCAGGTTAAGGTCAAGTCAGATCAAGGTATGACACCCAAAGTTGGAGCTTTCATTTTTCCTTAGTGACAGATGGTGAGCGAATTCCTTTTCGACCACATGTATTTTACACACCCTGCTAGAAAAGAGACAAAAGCCTGAACAAATTCATTTTGGTGGTGAAAACTTGATTCTGGATGATCTCTAAGACTTTGGCTGCCCAGGTGGCTGCTTAGATGCAGACCGTTTGCAAAGGCGCCTAAGGGAATCATACATGTGATGGGCTCTGTACCTCGTACTTGGTACCTGACAAGCCACACGTAGTAGAAGGCTAACTTGGAGCCCCAGTGGCGGCCGATCAAATCGAGGATCATCAATTCTCCGATTTGGATGGGATTTGAAAAGACATGGAGGAAGGCGCCAGCCGATAGTCAATATGGCAGTGACGTCCCAGTTTCTCGGAAGGGAAGTGGAAACACTTTCTCCGACTCCGAGGTTCAGTCATTGACCCGTCATTTGCCAACAGACAGCAGCTGCCCTCACTTCTGCGTTCTTCCTGCCTACAACTGCCCGTTTGCCTGCTTCAGTCCTCTGATCATAAATAATCTACTCCCAACATACACAACCTTGCCTTCGACCGACAGTCCCGGGACCTGCTAGACTCCCATCACCTCTCAAGCCTCCGCCCTCCTCTTCCTCTTTCATGATGCAATCATAACCACAACTCTACCATCAACAAACAACTAGTCGAAGAAGGGCACCGCTTCACTTGCACCAAGCTGATCCGCCTCGATGTGGCTCCCTTCCTCTTTTTTCACAGCGCTGGCTGCTGTTTCCTCCATACCTCTAGTAGCTGCGTCATTAGCTACTCCTCTGCACGAACCTGGGCGTTGCGCCATCCGAGGTCACTGTGGAAAGCAGGGCTTTTTCGGCTCTGATCTGCCCTGCCCAGACAATGGAAAGGCCGCGCCACCATCCGATGAAGTGCGCCAAAAGATAGTGGACCTGTGCGGACCGCAGTGGAAAGATTCCGACGTTTGTTGCAAGGAAGAGCAAGTCGATGCCCTGTCAAAGAATCTCAAGCTTGCCGAGAAGATCATCGCCTCGTGTCCTGCTTGCAAGGAGAATTTCTTCAATTTATTCTGCACATTCACCTGTTCTCCCGATCAGTCTACTTTCGTCAATGTTACCGAGACGGGCAAGTCCTCCGCTGGGAATGATGTGGTGACGGAACTGGACAACATTTGGTCAAAGGAGTACCAGAGTAGCTTTTACGACAGCTGCAAAGAGGTCAAGAACGGCGCCAGTGGTGGGAAAGCCATGGCATTCATCGGCGGAGGCGCTCAGAACTATTCTGAATTTCTCAAGTTCTTGGGCGACAAGAAGTTTCTCGGCAGTCCGTTTCAGATCAATTTTCTGGAGAAATCGCGCTACAATGATTCGGATGGCTTGGAACCGAGCAATCCAAAGTCATACGCCTGTAATGACACCGATCCCAATTATCGTTGCAGCTGTGTCGATTGTCCGGCGGTATGTCCTACACTCGACCCTGTTCACTCGGCGGAATACTGCCACGTGGGGAAGCTTCCTTGCCTCTCTTTCGCCGTCATCATTATCTATACCATCTCGCTACTTCTCCTGGTTACAGCGATTTCTGGACACATCGCCTATAGGAGACACAAGCGAAGAAAGACCGAGCGACTGCAGCTTCTGCAGGACGCCTCTCCTAGTGATGATGAGGACGAGGGTGACTTGGTCCACAATGCTGGAATGCTAGAAAGACCGCTGCGCAACTACTACCTCAACCAGCTATTTGATCGTGCCTTCAGCAGGCTTGGTGGATTTTGCGCTCGATATCCTGCCCTCACAATATCCACAAATATCTTGTTCATCGGCTTCCTCAGTCTTGGTTGGTTAAAGTTCGAAGTTGAGAGAGACCCTGTTCGTTTGTGGGTTAGCCCAACATCTGACGCTGCCCAAGAGAAGGCATTTTTTGACGCAAATTTTGGGCCTTTCTACCGCACGGAGCAAGCGTTTCTGGTCAACGACAGAGACTCAGGTGCTGTAAACGCCAGTGTTCTATCCTATGAAAATCTAGAATGGTGGTTCGATGTCGAGGCACGCATTTCTCGCATGATGACCAATGACAACAAAATCACACTTTCTGATATCTGCTTCAAACCCACAGGTTCAGCCTGTGTGGTGCAATCGGTCAGTGGCTGGTTCGGTGCCGGACTTATGCAAGACTGGAAGGAACAGATCGAACTATGTGCTGCCCACCCAGGAGATCAGCGCTGCTTACCCGAATTCATGGATCCTCTACAACCAGGCCGTGTTCTCGGTGGTTATAGCAGTATTGATGAAATTGCGCAAGCAAAGGCACTGATAACCACTTGGGTGGTCAATAATGATCAACCAGGCACCAAAGCTGAAGCTAGAGCTGAAGAGTGGGAGAGTGCTCTCAAGCATGAACTGCTCATTGCTCAGGATCAGGCTGCTAATCGTGGCTTGAGACTCTCCTTCAATACGGAGAGGAGTTTGGAAGAAGAACTCAACAAGTCCACAAACACGGATGCCAAGATCGTTGCCATCAGTTATGTGGTGATGTTCATCTATGCATCTCTCGCCCTAGGATCTGCAAGTCTCTCCCTCAAATCACTTGTCAACAACCCTTCCAATGCCTTTGTGCAATCAAAATTCACCTTGGGCGTAGTCGGAATCATCATTGTACTGATGTCAGTGTCCGGCTCGGTCGGGTTGTTCTCTGCACTTGGAGTCAAAGTGACCTTGATAATTGCAGAAGTTATCCCATTTCTGGTCCTCGCAGTTGGCGTTGACAATATTTTCCTCATCGTACACGAGTTCGAAAGGGTCAATGTCAGTCACCCAGATGAAGAGATTGACGAGAGAGTAGCCAAAGCCATGGGTCGGATGGGTCCAAGCATTTTACTATCTGCATCTACTGAAACCATTGCCTTTGCTATGGGAGCATTTGTTGGGATGCCAGCTGTCAAGAACTTCGCTGCCTACGCTGCAGGTGCGGTCTTTATCAATGCGGTATTGCAGGTGACCATGTTCGTTTCGGTTCTGGCCTTGAATCAACGACGTGTGGAAAGTCTAAGGGCGGATTGCTTTCCCTGTGTTACGGTAAGGCGTGCAAATGCTGCAAATCTTCCTGGCCATTTCTTCGGTAGTGATGAAGAAGGTTGGTTGCAACGCTTTATCCGGAAAACCTACGCGCCAGTTATCTTGGACAACAAGGTCAAGACTTTCATCCTGACCGCATTCGTCACTCTCTTTGCTGCAGCAATTGCGCTCCTTCCCGAGGTTGAACTTGGACTGGATCAACGTATCGCAATTCCGTCGGACTCTTACATGATTCCTTACTTCAACGATCTATATGCCTACTTTGGCTCCGGGCCCCCGGTTTATTTCGTTACACGCAATTTGAATACAACCTCAAGAACTCATCAACAACAGGTTTGCGGTAGATTCACTACTTGTGACGAATACTCCTTGTCTTATATTCTCGAGCAGGAGTCGAAACGACCAGAAGTCAGCTATATCAATTCAGCTACTGCGAGTTGGATCGATGATTTCTTCTACTGGTTGAATCCGATTTCCGATTGCTGTAAGGATGACAACGGGGACACCTGCTTCGCAGAAGATGACTGGAATATCACTCTATCAGGCATGCCTGAAGGCGAGGAATTCATTCACTATGCCACTAAATGGCTCCATGCACCTACCGATGAGGAATGTCCGAATGGTGGACAGGCAGCATACTCTAATGCTGTTGTGATCGACAAAAAGCACACCGATATACCTGCAAGCCACTTCCGAACCTTTCATACACCACTTCAAGGGCAAAGCGATTTCATTAATTCTTTTGCTGCTGCACGAAGAATTTCGAGCGACATCTCAAAACGTCACAACATTGATGTCTTCCCATACAGCAAACACTACATTTTCTTCGATCAGTATAGCAATATTGTCCGTCTCACTGCTACTCTACTATTGGTGGCGGTTGCAATCATTTTCATTCTAACTTCATCTCTACTCGGCTCGTTGTTGACAGGAGCAGTTGTGGCTTTCACTGTCATCATGATTGTTGTCGACATTATCGGCGTTATGGCAGTGGCAGGTGTTTCACTGAATGCTGTGTCACTTGTTAACTTGGTCATATGCGTTGGCATCGGCGTCGAATTCTGTGCACATATTGCCAGAGCATTCATGTTCCCAAGCAAATCAGTCATGGAACGTGCAAGACATAAGTTCCGGGGCAAAGATCTACGTGCCTGGACAGCTCTCGTGAATGTTGGAGGCAGTGTCTTCAGTGGCATTACAATCACAAAATTCCTGGGAGTTACAGTTCTGGCATTCACAAGGAGCAAGATATTCGAGATCTATTATTTCCGCATCTGGCTGGCTCTGGTCATCCTCGCCAGTTCGCACGCTTTGTTATTCTTGCCAGTGGCGTTGAGTTTCTTTGGTGGTGATGGTAAGTCTACATCGCCTTGATGATTTTCGTTGACATCTGACTGACACACCCTTTTTAGGATATGTCGACCCCGAAAGTGAGGGCGGCTTAGAGGAAGATCTCGCTAGTCGTCGGTACCGGAGCCTGCTGCCGGATGATGACTATGACTCTGACGATTGAGATGTTTTGACTCCATCAAATGTATTCTGCTTGAGGTAGTTTTATGATATATAGATAATATTACGAACTCAACCTCAAATGGTTCCACTACTGCTCTCCGGCAATCAGCTGTTCTAGGGAACCTTCTGTGATTGAGTATTGAAGACCGGCAATCGGAATATCCTCGAAAGCACAGTACCGAACACCACTGGTGTCTTGACCCTCCGCACCAGATCGCGTCCGAGTTCATGGCGAAGCAGCGGGGAGCGCGCGCGAAGTCAGGCAAGAAACCGAAGCCCGATGTGTCGACTCGAGCTCAGGTACAAAAATCTAGCGCCACGAGGGGACCCTTCGCCCATGGCACTAGCTCCAGAGTCAAGACTCGGTTTGTGTTGAGGAGCTGCCAACGACAAATATCGCCATGAGGGCCTTATGCTTAGGTAGGCCTTCGTTATTTCAAAACCTGCTTTTCAATCACGAAGAGAGTCGCTCCCGTCCACATAGCTACCGCAGTGAAGATTTCATGGTTGTGGGATTTCGTCCGAAAAAACTAGATTGACGGCAGAATGTGACGAAAGCACAGGAACTGACAGGCACGACGAAGATAATCTGTGAGAGAAGATAGGTTGAGTCCTTATGGATTCTCTTAAACTTTCCGTATCGTGGTGGTCTTCATTGACTAAGCCTTGTTGGAAAAACATGGCCTCCATTCCCTGTAGATGAGTCCCCGAAAAGCAAGCAGGTAGTCAGAGGAAATCTTGGACTACATGGGTCAACTGTCTTCTTCTACCACGTTCCGTTTACCGCTTGTCCCTGACCAGCTGGACTGGTCAAGTCATGAAATGATATAAAATCATTCACTCCATACATCGCTGTGATCCATCTGCCGGACTCGCCTGATAAATTGAATTCCCATGCATTCACACGTCGAATCGATCTGTGTCAAGCTCCAGCGCCCCGACTGATGGCACATTCCGAGCCTTCCACGGTATGATAGTACCAGCCACCATCCAGAAGAACCTGCTCCATCTTGGCCCATTTCTCTACTTTCCCTCCCTCGGTCGATTTCAGATCGAGATCCGCGAACTTCACGTCACTGATTTCGAGGGCTTGGCCGTCGGGATCGTCCGTCCGTTTTAGCGCCAGAAACACACTACAGTCCCGCAGCGCCATGGCGACGCCGAACTGATTGGCGTCTGGGTTCTTGAAGTCTTGCACGCCGACGTCGTTGAATTTCTGCTGCAGCGTGAGCAGATGTCGTAGCGCGGGTTGGACCTTTTTCTGGAACGCAGTGACGAACTTGTCGATGCCGTCTTCCACAGGCCAGATGCGCGCCAAAGCTTTCTGCAGGACGGTGTCGTCGTCGTCCTTTGAGAGGAGATCCATCGGGCAGAACCCCGAGTCTCCGCGCCCTTGCGCTTTCCCTGCTTTGCGCCTCATCGCGTTCAGCGCGCAAGTGCGACAGTTTCGTGCGTCAGCTGGGGCGCTGGGGCTCTGCAGCAGCCATTTCGGCTTGAACTCGACGAGCCAGTCGATGCCGGGGCCTTGCAGGTTTTGCATCAGAATGCCGTGCTGCTCGGCCTCAAAGGCCGGGAGGTACACGTGGCGGCGGTGGTGGTGCCGGATACTCTTGCCCTGTGCGAGGACGCCGCTGGCGGTCAGGGCCGAGAGGTCGACGTTGTCCATCTCGTGAAGATCTTCGTTGAGTTTTGCGACGAGGTCTGGCGTCAGATCGTACAGCGAATGCTCGAGCAGTAAGCTCGGGTCGTGTCTGAATAGTGGAGAGATTGAGTTTTTGAAATCGGCGATCACCTCCTCGCTCGGCTTCGTGAACGAGAGGTCTTTGCGCAGTCGCAACACACAGCAGTTGGAGTGTTCGATCAACGATGCGGGTGTGGTGACTGCAACGCTATAGATGATGTTGGCGGCGCCCTCGGCGAGATAGTCTAGGCTTAGCGACGCCTTGGTCAGTGACGCTGGACATGTCGACGAGGTCCTGTGCTGGGCCACAAGAGGCATCTTGGCGGCTCAGCTGAACGTCGGAAAGTCTGGATAGGACTTGCTGATGGTATTCGGATACTTTGTCTTGCTGTCAGTGAATCGAGTCAAAGTTAGACATCAGTATGTCGAGGTGATATGCAAGGTCGATTTCCCGTATATAAAAGTAGAGGAGCGGCGTCGAGAGGAAGAATGTCTAGACTGTTCGGCTCTTTGGAGTGATATGGCCCCCTCTGCACGGGCAATCACAAACAATGTCTACAACCGACAAGCTTCAGCTGATCAAGGCTTGAGCTGACTTGTCTTGGTCGTTCCCATGCGCTGACCAGGTGCATTCCGAGCACTTGGCAGGGTGTTTAAGTCAGCCCAGCTGCCTGGGAAGTGCCCAATGCACGGCGTGCTACAGGCGCAGTGTGGGCTCCGTGGGTGTAGTATGCAGCTAACAGAAGATCAATGCAGGCGCCATTGGCTCCGTGGCCCCGGCCTCGTTTGGGGGGAGTTCAGATCTCGACTGCCTCTGATTTTGTCGGCCAATCGAGCGCTGGTCCTGCAAAAGGCCCCCAATAGCCGTTTATCGTTTCAGTAATTAAGCATACCTCAGTTGAACGAGCAAGGTTGAGAAGTATCTTAATGCACGTTCTTGTTACACTGCTCTCAGTATGATCTAGCATTCTGTTGGGTGTCAGAAGCCTGTGAATTTATCGGATCTGCCCCACCAAGTAACGAAAGCACCCCGCACCTGTTTTTGGTCCCTTGGCCTTCTGGGGCTCCCAAGTTCAGGGGCTTCCAGCCTCGTTCAACCCCAGGATAGCAAAATGCCCGGGGTACCCGTTGAGCATGTCACAAGCTTCGCTCACTCCTGGCGCTCCCGAGAGCCATATTACCAAGTAAATAGTTGCAGGAGAAGTCACAAATTGGAAAAGATCTACAAAATGATGGCCCTGGTCAGAGAAAGCCGCATCCTCAGCCCTCAGTTGACATTAGTCATCCTGCCTTGGCAGGGCCCCCTGCCTGAGTCCAACCTTGATGTTGATGAGTGCTTCACTTTCGAATCATCAAGAAGTCGAATATTTGAGCATAGACGGCTAGAGCTATGCCGTCCACTCTTCGTCAGAAAGCTTGTCTTGCGTGTGCAAGTTCCAAGCGTCGTTGCGATAAACAGCTTCCAGAATGCCAGCGCTGTTTGGATCGTGATGTGGACTGTGCCTATCCGCAGAGGAAAAGACGACTTAGAAGCACGATTACGGACGAAGGAACGATGACACCGAGTTATGTGGAACCGAACCATAATGAGGTGCAGGAGGAGGTCGGCTCGGACGTGCAAGTGTATGGAGATGCTCTTGACTTCACGACATGGGACGAGTTAGTCTCGGCCAACCTGGGAGTGACTCTGCCTGACGAATGGGTCGCGGATGTCTTGGGGTCACAAGCAGATAGCAGCAATCTGGCACTCGAACCCTACCATAATGAGACCGACCCTGGTCCAAAATCTGTGCTCCCTTGGTTTCTCCAAGAATCAACCTGGACTATGCAGCGAACACCTCACGAACCAGAGGGTCCTGTTGATATTGATTTGCATCTATTTATCCGTACTGTGGAAGACATGCTTACGGCTTGGGCGACCAATGGCCACAACGGTTTCATCCATCGCCGATTGTATCAATATAACATGCCCACCTGTGTGCAAGATGCCTTCACTACCCTTGTGGCCTATACAAATTGCAACCCAGCAGTCAAAGATACTGTCTTGCAAATTGCTCAGGACCGTTTATCGATGATCGTTCTCCAGGATCCACCAACCACCAGTGATAGACAAGGAATATCAGATCATCTAGCCCGCGTCCAGGCTTTATTTGTCTACGAATTCATTGGACTATTCAATGTCTCTCGTGGCTCTCTGCGACTAAGGATGATTGCAGAGCAGCATCTCCCGACTCTCAGAAATTGGCTGGCGCAGATGTTGGAAGCAGTGAAACTCTACAAAGGTGAAGATCTCTCGCTATACTCTCGCACAATTGGATGGGCTGATAACGACTTCGATCGGGAGTATCACACATCCTCGGAGCTCTGGAAGACTTGGTTGCTGATAGAAAGTGTGCGCCGCATTCAGATCATTATCAATGCTGTCGCAAACTCATATCAAGCCATGACCCTAGGTTGGGCCCAGTGTACGGGAAGCGTTATGCTTACCATCTCGTCTGGATTTTGGGAGGCAGGATCAGCTCTAGAATGGTCCGATCTCGCCTGTAGAAAGTCACCACTACTTGTGGCCCCCCTCAGGCCAGGGCCGTTGATGTCGCAGTATCCAGCGGAAGAGTTGGATGAATTTGTGAGGACGTTCTGGGTGTTGATACTTGGCCCAGAGAAAATGCAGTCATGGCTTAGCAGAAGCAGCAGAAGCAGCCCGCGCAAGTCAGGTGTAACAGTATGAGGGGATTTATAGATGCTTGTAAATAATTTTGCATTCTTTCATTCTTGAGAACTGTACGGTATGATTTGAAATCCGTGTGCCACGCTGCGGAAGGACTGCGGGAAACTTGCGGGATAGTTGCGGCCTGTTGTGGAGACCAACAAACGACTTTCACACACGATAGATTTATGGGTTTGGGTTCATTGATTGATGAGAGGTGATGCACTGACGACATGACGTGGAGCTCGTCAACACTGAATGCATATAAGATACTCAAAGAACGAAATAAATGAATTTACTTTAACAGAAGTGACTTCACAGGTTACAAACTTTTGACGACAGTATGAAGATTAAAAGTCTCCCAGTTGACAACAACATGGCATCTCCCACGCCCGTCAAGATTCTACTCGGAACGCATACTGTAAGTCTGTCCAGAGCGCTACAAGCGACATCGTCAAACTCAAGAACAAGTAGATCGGAGATAATGCTCTACTTCCCGGAATTTGCCATTTCGATAACGAGAATGATGTCAAGACCCTTTTGGATGCCTTCTATGAGCGCGGCTACCGGGATATCGACACTGCAGCAAACTATCTTGGGTCAGAGGCACGCCTCGGAATTGCTGGGGCACCCTCGCGATTCACTATTCATTCCAAGATCAAGTTTGCCCAGCCTGGAGACCACGAGGCTGCGAAAGTCGAAATTAGTATCAAGGAGTCTCTCGATGCTCTCCAAGTTTCTACGATAGAGACGATGTACCTACACATACCAGATCGACAAACACCATTCGAGGAGACACTAAAGGTCTTGAACCAAGGAGTGCAGCGAGGAAAGTTCTCGCGATACGGTATCTCCAACCATACAGCAGCAGAGGTACAGGACATCATTGATATATGCGAGCGAAATGGATATGCCAAACCGGCGGTCTTCCAGGGCCATTACAATGCAATTGTGAGAGGGGGTGAGAAGGAGTTGTTTCCACTTTTGCGCAAACACAACATCCCTTTCTATGCTTATAGGTATGTGTTGCCAGAATGACGATGAGGCGCTGCTCACATTGCTATCAGTCCTGCAGCCGGAGGCATCTTCTCTGGAGGTATCTCGAACCCCAACTCAAAACGATGGAGTGACGATGTAAGTTATGGTAGATGAGAACATTCAAAGTTCCAAGACTGACCACCGTCAAGAACATAGTCGGAAAGTTGTATAATTCCCTCTACGGAGATGCTACTGTAGTGGAATCTGTCCATCTCGTCAAAGACGCAACCAAGAAGTATGATATAAGTGGACATGCGGCGGCTATACGCTGGACAGCCTTCCATAGCGCGTTGGACGGGAAATTTGGTGATGGGTTGATCTTCGCGGTTTCCAAGCTGGACCAGCTCCACGAGACCATTGATGCTTTGGAAGCAGGCCCCCTACCAGTGGATCTTGCTCAAGTCATCAGCGCTGTCTATGCCACTGTTGAAGGTAAGGAGCCGCCGTATCATCTCTAATCTGAAAGCATCTTTGCTATGGCAATCTTGAGGCTTGAGAGATAATTGCTGCCATGAACTATTGAGAAATTGCAGCCGAGTTCTTTGGTACTGAGGCAGGATCAAGGTGTCGCTAGTTTCATGTCTTTGTCCCAAGGTCGACGTCATGCAACCTAAACGGCACATTTCGTCCGACTTTAAAGGCTAGTCTTTAGTCCACTAGGGGCTTTGACTTGTGACCTTGGGTTGCGGACGCTCAACTAGGAGCATCAATTGATAAACAATCCCAACAGCCCCGATAATTGGCAGTAACTGGCCAAACCCAAGAGTCTTTTCTTGACCTTTTACGATAAAAGCGTTGAGATTCCGGTGGCTAAGTAATCCCTGAGTGTTGCGCATTGTAAACAACGCGTACACGACGATGTGTACCAACCTATCGCCATCTGACCACGCCCAGATCGTCACAATCTGAACGAAAAGCCAGAACACAAAGATGAATAGCCTCAAGACGCCCAGCATGATTCCTGTCAGAAAAACTTGCCCAGGTTGCCTGGGGCATCTGCCGATCTGGTCACGAAGGTCACGTTGTCGTATTCGCAGTGAGGTCTGAAGGCTGGTCCTTTTTCTGGCGATGGCTTTCTCAAAAGCCTCGAGCTGTTCGTTGCCTTGTTTGAACATAATCAGAGCATGTGCAAGGGCATAGAATGCCAGACCAACAATCCAGATCCACGTCTCCAAGGGCCAATACCAGCGCTCGATGAAGCGATAGCAATGCTTCCCATCAGAAGGATTCCACCGATCATCTTCGTTCCAGATTAGCCAGGATTGGTGGTAGATGCCCAGAGTAACACTTAAGAGCACGATGGACTTCCTGGTGAATTGATGGACTCTATCGAACCACAAACTTCCGATTTTACCATCTTCATCGCCATTGTCATATTGGAAATCGGCAGCCCACAATGAATCAATCGTCAGCCACCAGTACTGGATTATGAACTCTTGATGGTATAGTGAGACTGAATCTCTTAGGGTAATTCCTATCACAAGCATGGCTGTACCAGCAAATGCTTGGATGTCGCAGAGTGACAGGACAAATTTGTTGCACAACTCCTTAGCCCTGGCATAAGTCGTTAAGTCTTTCGTGCTGGCCGTGGCTCCGATCGTAGCAGCACTGACCGTAGCCTTGTGCCTCGATTCTAGATGACTGAGAATGAGGTTACCGGTTGCCAGCACTACGGTAAGCCATGCTGTGGCAATGTATGACCAGAAGACGCCTGTCCCAGCGATGTCGGAATTTGCGTCAACCAATGCATCACCCTGATAATTCTTGGAGGCGGACATGATGAGCTATCGATCTGCTGGTAGGACTGCTGACAGGAGGATGTGTTCACGTTTCCCGTTGATCACAGCGCCAGTCGAGGCGCCAACGTTAAAGGGCTGGTGAAGATAGAAAAGTAGCTCTAAACAAGCTGAACCTGCAGCCTGACTGCAGCCTGAGGATATTTGGTCTTGGTTTGCCTTAGCAACAACATATTCTGGTGATGCATCAGCCACAATGCAGACACCATATTCTAGAAGCCGAAACGGCACCACTAGTGCAGTAGTCGAAGAGCACTGCTTCCCACGACCAGGGAACTCGTGAAAAGACTCGGTGTAAGAGTCTGTTCGATCAGCCCCAAACAATCACACCAGCCGGAGTTTCGAGGCTTCGAACGTGGACTGCGCCAGCTGTGTTGAACCACGTTGTTGGATTAACTTTTATACCATGGGTTACCATTGAAAGCATCGGACCTTCTACCAAATCAATACCCAAGCCGGGGAGGTCAAACCTTGGTCTATGCAGGAGACAGCGGATGTTTCGCAGCTCATTCCAGAACTGCGGAGATCCAGCCCAGGTGGCCAGGGTCTTCCGCGAGTCAGTGACCACAAGTAGCATGATTCAAGTCGTGCGCGGCATTTGATGTAACTGGTTAGCCTTGCCCCTGCATTGTTTCTCGCCCCTGTCCTGAGGTTTCCCCTGCATCGACCGCGAACCACAAGGTTGACTGCAAGTTGTAACGGCCTCATAACCTCTAGCACCAGGACATGCGCCGAGCAGATGAACATAGTTCAATGTCCAAGATGATGCTATGCTCCATTGAATTTAGCCGCGTTCTGCACAGGCTCCTTCGCTGTGTGCTTCCCCACTGTCGTAAAACAGAACACATGTGCCGGCTGAGGTGCCATCTGTATGAACCATGGAGAGGCCTAGCGTGCATGGACGTCTGATTGCACAGCATGCTCTACCGACCCCCAACTAACTGGGCCCCTCTCAATCAACTCAGGCGAGATGAAGACGCAATCATATGCAGCGCTTCCACGCGGTAGGCACACCGGCCCGGAGGCTACACGAAGACCCGAGTCCAATTGTGCAGCGCTTCCACGCTGCACTACCCAACGTACTTTTGAGGCTTCTGGATCGTATGTCTCTGTCAATGCATACCTTACTTGTCCGCCTAATGAGTCCAAGTTCAATAGTTGTGTTACTTGTGGATTTCCGCACTTTTGAGACACAAAACATTGTTTGAACTCGGCTCCTGCATACCGGAGTTTAATGCTCTGCCAAAAGCTGCATAAATCTCATGTCCACCTGTTTGCACTGAGGAAGCCCTCAGGTATTCTTGAGGCAAATCCACCTCTCACCTTGGCCCCAAGCGCTCAAGGCAAGGAAGTGGTAGGAGTGCCAGAGTAGTATAGCGCGACAATATTGCAGCTCCTGAACTCCGTGGCCCGTGGTTGAGGTCGATATCTCCCCTGCAAAGCATGTGCTAACAGGGTCGTCAGGCTGACTTGAACATGGCCGCGTCGTCTGCGCCACCAGAAACGCCTTTGAATCTCTAAACGCCGTTCGTCGGATACTAGTATGCTATGGCCAGAATTTCTGTTTTATGCTTTATCGCTGACATCCGATAGGGAATGAGTGTATCGCCTAGCTGACGCCGACCTCTATACTATGCTGAGTTGCATTAGGAGCGTTTCGGGATTCCCTTGGGCGTTTGGAGGCTACCAGCATGGCTGGTCAATGACCTGCTCCGAGAACGCGAGAAGGCAATCGAGAAGAATAAATACCTGCCGTTGCCAGCAGATCTCGTTATGCCTTTGCAACAATCAAACATCTTTCATCATGTCTTCTGAAGCTTCTTTTCTCCCAGGCTCTTTCTTCTCAGCCTCTTCTGCACAGAGTCCAAAGACTCCTGAGAAGACTACCACACCCCTGAGTCAACCACAAGTCCATCTACAGACTCAACAACACGATGAGCTCCTTGATCTCATTGACACTTTAAGATCTCAAGGAATTCCTCATTACATTGATCTGCCACAACTTATTGTCTGTGGAGACCAAAGTGCTGGCAAATCAAGTGTGCTTGAGGCGATCTCTGGAGGTCTGCGCTTCCCTACAAAGGATTCACTGTGTACTCGCTTTGCCATCGAGATCATATTGCGCCGAAGTCCGACTTCACTCGTTACGATTGCGATAATTCCAGATGCAAAACGCTCAAGAAAGGAGAAAGAAAGTCTTACCAAGTTCCAACCACCAACAGTCTCGTTGGAGGCATTCCCAGACATTATTGACGCTGCTGCCAAAGCGATGGGTATTGATGGCACTTATAAGTCTTTCAGCAATGATGTCCTCCGGGTTGAGCTATCTGGGCCAACCCAACCACATTTGACCCTGGTCGATCTTCCTGGGCTTTATCATGCCGGCAATGAGCACCAGTCTTGGGAAGAAGCGGAAGCCATTCACACGCTTGTGAAGTCTTATATGAAAAAGGAGCGGAGTATTATTCTAGCCGTTGTCTCAGCCATGAACGATTACAGTAACCAAATTGTCACTGAGTATGCGCGAATGGCTGATCCAAAATTTGATCGAACCTTGGGCATCATTACCAAGCCTGACACCCTCCACAGCGGCTCAAGCGCGTTGGAGGCTTTTCAGTCCTTGATTATTGGACATGGAACGCAGTTTAAGCTTGGGTGGAACGCTCTTCGCAATCGTGATTACAAAACAAGAAATTCATCAACTGAAGAAAGGGACAAGGCAGAGGACTTGTTTTTCCAGGGCGACGACTGGAAGGGAGTTCCGAAGCATCGATTGGGCATCAAAGCGCTCAGAAAGCGTCTGAGCGAAATTCTATTTACTCACATATTGAAAGAGCTCCCTCAACTTGTGCAAGATGTTCACAATGGAATAACGAAATGCGAAGAACGCTTGAAGGGCCTGGGTGCATCAAGGCGTACTCTGGAAGAGCAACGAAAATATCTCGCCCAGATCAGCCAGGCTTTTGCGAGGTTGATGCAAGCCTCCATTGATGGCACGTACAGTGCGGCTTTTTTCGGTAGTTCTGAACCCGTTGAGGGCTACAACAAACGCCTTCGAGCGGTGGTGCAAAATATTCTGGGCGAGTTTGCTCAACGCATGCGCTTGCAAGGACATAGGGTCACACTCGTGGACTATGTACCTAGCCAGGAAGATTTTAAAAGTACGGTGCCCACGCCTACCCACCGGGACGTATTCCTGGAATATGTTAAAGGTCGTCTAAATCGTAATCGAGGGACCGAGTTGCCGGGAACCTTCAATCCAGCCATCATAGGGGACCTCTTCTATGACCAAGCCCAACCATGGAGTGGTATCCTACAGGCTACAAGGGCGAATCTGCTCAAAGCCACCGAGGCAACAATCGACTTAGTTCTTGAACACGTCACCAATCCAGCCACCGCTCGGGCTATTCAGCTCTATGTCATACAGCCAAACATGAAGGTGGTCTCAGATGCACTTGCTGAGAAAGCCAATGAAGTCCTCCGGCCTCATCTCCATGGTCGCCCACTGACGTTCAATCACTACTTCATCGATAATATCCAGAAGAAGCGAAGAGAAGAAACCCGCAAGAACTTGGCTACAAAACTCAACGCGTTTCTAGGTAAAGACCCAGAAGCAAAAGTCGAAGTGGACAGGATTTACGAGGGGAAGTTCAATGTCCGTGCTCTCCTCGACTCGCTCGTACTCAAGACTGAGGTCGACTTCGAGAGATTTGCATGTGTTGAGGCCACGAATGCGATGGAGGCATATTATAAGGTATTTTTGCCTTACGTTTGGCACTCCCTGTGAGATTGCCCTTGCTAATATAACCCAGGTTGCATTGAAAACTGTCATCGATGCTTTTGGCATGTATGCCGTCGAAGGGGCTCTCCTTGGAAATCTGCCAACTGTCTTCAACCCCGATGTGGTCGGTGATTTGGACGAGGAAATGATCACAAAGGTTGCATCAGAATCTTCTGAATCCATTGCTGAACGGGAAGATCTTGAGAAGCAACTCTCAACACTTGAAAAGTCCTTGAAAGCCTTGCAGCAAATTAAGATCCGTCAAATTCCAGGTATGTTGGTATTTTGATCTTGAGACTGGTATCCAAAAGAGACTGACATGCCGCAGATGTGCTACAAAGCAAAGGAGGGGAGCGAGATCAGTCTGCCAATTTGACTGCGGAGGATCCGGCCATTCGTGCAAAAAGATCGAGCAGTACCGCCTCGCGGGATTCAGGTATCGGTATTGGACTGGAATGATATCGAAGTCAGAGAGAATGTGCTGCAGGTTTGGTCGATGACTGATTGGCCCGACGGGAAGTTGATTGGATGGCCAGTATACCACGTTCGATGAGTACCGAATCCATCGACATTGTACAAATATTCTAGGATGATGAAATCAAGTGAACTATTGAGGTTCCGTTCCACGTATCTTTACCTTTCGGAAGGGAGTTGGCGTTCAGTTCCAGACGAAGCTGAAGCCTTACTCGAGTGTCGTCGTCGGCACGCTACGCACTTCCTGAGCTGAACGGCGGATGCGAAGAGCTACTGGTCCTGTTACTTGAACAAGCACCCTTCATTGTGAAGGCAACAGGACTTTGCTTCGTGATGTAGACATATCAGATTATGAGGTTAGCATTGAAACTCTTCTCCATGTCCCGAGCACATGGAGTGGAACAACATTGATAGTGTTAAAAACCCTGTGAACTTATGAAATACATTTCTACTTCGGAGATGCACGAAAAAAACTGGTGTCAGGCTCATCTATGTGCTCTATTTGTCGAACTAAAAAGTTGACAGTGCACGAAAAACAAACAATTTCCACCGCGCCTGATGAGCAGTCTTTATCTGGGTAGCCATAGGCGAAAACTCCACATCGCGAGGTGCCTAAATTGCGATAGCGGGTGGGGACAACGTTGACAAGCGGACCAGGTTTCGGCTAGGCGAGCCTGGCGTGATGTATCTTTGGCTGGTTGAGGCGCCACTGAGCATTATTGTTCCCCTTATTAGCTTCTAGACCATGCCAGGCTCTTTACCGACATGCTTGTTATGTCAACCCAATCTGTGTTGGGAACTTGGGAGAGGCTCCTGGAGCCACCCAACTGGAGGTAACACGTTCAGAATGCTTGGACAGATACTCTCAGGTACCGGTTTCGGCGCCACTCCTTTCCTCCACGCCAGAGCTCGAAATATCCACATGTCTGGAGAAAAAATGAAATTATTCTTCTGAGCTTTGATTGACAAAACCCCCAGCTTGGAGGGGTGACGAACAAAGTGTTTATTTCACGAACGAGGTATCCTAAACGTTGATACTGGTTTCGCTTCCAGGGGCGCGTCGTCTTCAGCATCAAAATGTCAGTATATCCATCGGACGGGTTTGATAAACCAAAGAGGGAGGTCTCCACGATAGCGATTGAGGAAAATCCGGAAGTTGACAGTGATTTCCAAAGTACGACAACGCACGACAAGCCATCAGCCCTCTCTGTTCGTGTGCTGGGCGTCGTGGAGAAGTTCTGGCTCTTCGAATTTTTTGGTTTCGTCCTCGCCCTAGGCTCCCTACTTGCTGTAGTGGCCTTTCTCCGGGTCTATGACGGCAGAGAGTCACCAGAATGGAAACTCCCAGTCGGGGCAGGAAAGTATAAGAAGACTTTTGTGTTGAACATCAACGCCATCATTTCGATCTTTACCACCACCTTCACGTCTGGCCTCCTCATTCCAGTTGCGGCAAGCATGAGTCAGTTGAAGTGGGTGTGGTTTCAACAAGGGCACCCGCTGTCGCACTATCAGGCATTCGAATCCGCTACCAATGGCCCATTGGGCTCAGTCATCCTCTTGTGGACGTTGAAGGGCAGACGACTTGCATGTATCGGGGCAGTCATCATCGTTGCAGCACTAGGCATTGGTTTCTCTATCCAGTCGCTCGTTATCTATCCTTTGCTGCCTGTCGGGGTCGAGAGCGCTAACATTGGGACGACGAATACATATTACGGAACTGGTAACGAGGGGCTCCCTTATGAGATGCCCGCAGATATGCTCGGAGCTACTTTGAGAGGCATTTTCCAGTCCGATGATATATCCAAGATGAAATTCAACTGCCCTTCTGGAAATTGCACATGGCCGGAGTTGACAACCCTTGGTGTCTGCAGCCAATGCTTTAACGTCACCGACTCCCTGGAAGAAAGCTGTGGCAAGACGGATATTGAATACATAGCACCGAATGGCGATGGAAATAGCAACAGCACGGCATCGGTACCCTATTGTAACTACACCCTACCCAATGGCCTTCAACTCCACGGCATCAGCAACGATATGGTCATCGCAATTCAGAATTCAGGGAATTGGAACAATTCGATCCATTTCTCTGATAGCAACAATACTATTGGTGTCTTGTCCTCCATTAAATCAACATGGACATCACTCCCAGCTCAATGGGATTTTCTCAACAGTGGCATGGTTTTTGCGACAGCTCCAGATGCGTGGACAGCAACCGAATGTGCGCTGTCCTATTGTGTCCAGAAGTACAATACATCGGTTGAACGGGGTGCACTGACAGAGAAACTGCTTGATACCTACTTCGACAGCTATATTGATGCGGACAGACCGGATACAATCGTGTTTCACCCGACACCCTCCTGGACGAACACTAGCGAGGAGGGGAATTCAAACATATATGTGGCTGGGGCGATTGCAGGTTTCCGAGAATTCTTCAACAAGCAGTTCACAGGACAGCAGAACAAATCGCAGTACTCCATCACCTCTGGCAATTCAGACTTCGCGATCATTTCGAATGATATGGAGTTCTCCAATTTTACCGATCTATTTGCTTCCATAGCCAAGTCCGTGACAGACAACATGCGAAGTAGCCCTTATGCCGAATCACGTGCGGAGGAGGGGATGACATGGACATCAACTGGTGTGTCCTTCCAAGACCGACCGCATGTGCAGGTTAGGTGGGCGTGGATAGCCTTCCCCAGCACCCTGCTTGGTCTCGCCTTGATCCTATTGCTCGGAACGATCGTGACATCAGCAAGGGAAAAGACGCTACTGTGGAAGGGCAACAGTCTGGCTGCTTTTGCACATCCCCTGGCTGGAAACGTGCGGGACAAGATCAGTGGGATTTCCGGTCCACGGGACATGGCCCTGAAGGCTGAAAAACTGCAGGTGCAGTGGCTGAAGACTGATCGGGGTTTTAGACTTGTACCGAAGCAGGACTGAGATGAATAGTATCACCACCCATATTCAGGTTATGATACTCATCTTGAGCAATGGTGGCTTCATGGAACGAAGTAATGATATTACATATTCAACAATCTAATGCGTACTTATGACTGCTTCCATCTGAGCAAGAACAATACCTCTGAGTGCGTTCTGTCTAGTTACGAGTAGTTCGTCTCTTGGGTCGCCTGAAGAATTTTAGATATGCTCCACCGTGCTGAGGATACGGTGGAGCATAGGATTTCTAATCACAAGGTGATGTCAGTCTCAAGATCCAACGTCGTTGCCTCGACGGTCCAAGCAATTGTCTATCTTCAAGTGTACAGTCTCATTGCTCGTGCTCACAGGTTGCATATATTCTCATAAATCCGACACCTATCGACCCTCTTTTCTTCGTTGGCACCTGGCCTGACAGGCATCGCACAGCCTTGTTGTCATTATCCACGAGCACTACGATTTGACACTCACCCACCCAACCTGGCAACCTTCGCTCTAGCACACGCACTACGTCGCTTGGAGGAAGAGCGAAAAGTTCGATCAGGCGAGATGGGGGACTTAGCATTTGCAAAGCAGTTTCTGAACACCCTGGATGCGAAGCCCACGAAATACCAAGCAGATCATGTCTTTGATCCCAAGACCTTCCAACTACGAGTTCCCGTATTTGTCCAATACCGACGTTGAGAGAGCGAAACAAAGGCTAACGAATCCAGTACACACTCCCTAAATTATCTACCCCTCCGCATCCATCTCCGCCAAAGACATCGCCTGCAACCGCGCCAGCACCAGGCTCTGAAGCCGCAGCACCCTCAGCATCCATAATACTCAAGTCTGCTCGGAACCCCAACATGACGTTGACTTTACCGTCTTTAAACCCCACTACGATCACTATTCAATCTCTGAAAGAACAGGTACAATCATATTTAGGTGGCCCGTCAGTCGTGGGTATTGACAAGATCAAAATCCTGCTCAACAAGAAACCCGTGCCACCGTCGAGGAGAACCGTCGTCGAGGCATTGGATGACAAGCTCGGGACGGCAAAGGAGATTGAATTCGGTGTTATGATTATGGGAGGCGCTCCAGACCCACCTCCGCAACAACCTTCCGCCACGGCAACGAGGCAAGCGGCTGAAATCACGCCTATGGAAGGTGTGGAGGCCACAAAAGTGAGTTCGGAGCCGGTACAGCCTGGTGCTGCGAGCGGTGCTGCCGTGCTTGAAACGCCTGCTTTTTGGGATGATTTGCAAGGATTTCTGGAGCAGAGGATACGTGATCAGAGCGAGGCACAAACATTAAGAGGGGTGTTCGAGAAGGCGTGGCGAAGTTCGACGTCGGCTCCTTGATACTCAAAAACTTGCGGTCATTGATGTACAGACTGTGCTGGCTTCCAAGCGCGTTCAGACTCGAGCGTTCGGTGAGTAAGATACGATGAATAAAGGAGTTAGCATCATGAAAGCCCCATTCCATCTCCTTCTTTTTCGTTATCACATAAGAACACGCGATATCTTACCAAAACCCCACCGCATTCTGAAGGATTTGTCACACCATGGTCAAGGTCACAAAAAGGGGAGATGGTGAGGCTCCTCATCTAACTGTCTAGATTTTCCTTTGGAGTTCTCCAATGCTGGTCACACTTTCCTCCTTATACCAATCAAATGGATATGCTTCGTCGCCTTCCTCTGTGAGTGCAAGAGAGCCCACCAAGCTAGCAAATGCAAGAATCTTGCTTTATCCCTGTAAGCAGCCCACGTCTGTACCTCATCTCGTATAGGCACCTGAGCCATTTTGACATTTGGCTGACCGTCAAGAGACCGTACGTGGACAATATATCCCAAGAATGAATTGAGGTTCATTGTTAGTCGGGAAATAGTTATCAAGCCCTGTCTTGACGGCTTCAACTCTTTACTGCGCTACACTGATGGCGACAGCATTATGTATCCACAGCCACTTGTGACTTGGACGTCAGGGAATCAAAAAGAACATAGAAAACTCACAAAGCAGAACGACAAAAACCTATGCCCAAGAACTCCTGATCCAGGACGTCTTGGGGAGGGTAAATCCCGTGGATAGGGATTTTTTCCGATTCGCAGAGTTGAGAAGGGGGGTTATGGGGCATTTTTGACACTTTAATCCTGTAGAGGATTGGAGACTGGGATTTGAACCCTAGGTCTTTTTGAGAGGAGGAACGGTTTGGTACAAGAGGAGAGCTTAAATCAACGCGCCCGCCAACTGCAACATCTTCGGGGGAAGATGGGTCAATGACTTTGTCCTGAGCTGGTTTATGAACAAATTCTGAGATATTAATCCATATAGCACAGCATGAAGAACTCCTAAGGCGCCTTTACTCTCGTTACTGGCACCCCATGCTGGCGTTATCTAGCTTACATGGTCTTGAGGGGAGTTTCTTGATGGTGGATTCTTCTGTCTAAAGAAAGGGAATGATCTCTAAGGCTTTGTACGCTCCTTGCGAATTTTTCCATCAAACCATGCCTCATCATAAGAGCAATATCTATGCCAAAGCACACCAGTCGCAGGTTGTCCTTGTCTTCGGTACACAATGCCACTGTCTGCCACCAATGATCAGATCAATCTATCGTGTCATCTCTTAAATCAAACACGCCTTTGAGCACCTCAGCAGTCTTGGACCTCACAGCATCATGGTACATGACGTTCGTGACGAAAGTTTTGCAGCCCTGGATGGTTTTGGCTGTGTCAGATGAGAAGCCGAAATCAACGTACATATCATCAACAAAGACCGCAGCATAGACGGGCACATTGTTCTTGGACAACTGATCGACGTTATACAAGGATGGCCAGTCCGTCTTCTGCTCGAGTAACTCAGCCGCATCCCGGAGGTTGTGCAGCTCAATATGGTCATCAAAGACAGATTTGAATACCATCTCTCCTGTGAAATACTGCTTGGCTCCGTCGCGATCTTCAGATTTCTCCAGTCGATGGGCAAAATCGCTGCTGAACTCATGCTCACTGATGACGCGATCAAAAACCCAGTTTGATTTTGTCCCTTGAGCATACAACGGACCATGCACCAAGGCATACAGTACATGGTCGTCGAAATTCGGAAATCCCTCCAGTGCACTCAAAGTCGGCCGTGTCAGAAATCCAAACATGTCCAGATCATTGTTCGCACGCAGTACTGCATTATGAACGGTGTCGAATCCTCCATGAAAGCCAAACATGATACCCAGCTGCAGGAAACGGCTTACAGTCAGGGGTATACCAGACGGTAGGACTGGCTTCTTCTCCTCAATGAATTGAACCAACCTCCTCACGCGGAGCTTGTCCTCGGCATACTTCTCATAATACTTTTCATTTCTTCCAGCGACTCTCCGGAAAAGGCTGCGGATAGCATCATCGGGCATTTTCTGCTTAAGTGGGGGGAGTCCGCCGAATATGAATGATTCCTTGAGTCCTTCCGGGTAGAGGCTCAGGTAGGTGACACTCGCGTAGCCGCCGTAAGACTGACCCATGATAGACCATTTTCTTTTATCCTCCGGGTAGTCGGCGGTCAGACATAGACGGATCGCTTCAAGGTCACGCACTGCGCTGTCCGCGCGGAAGTACTGTAGATAGTCGAGTTGTTTTTGCGGAGAGCCCTTGGCTGTAACTGTCGCTGCTGTCGCCGTGGTGGAAAGACCCATGCCACGATGGTCGAAACTGATGAACTATGAGACCATAACAACATGCTACAGGTTAGCCACCAGAGACTTCGGAAGCTGCTCCATGGTCCGCCATTGACTCTCTCGAGCGTCGTAGATAATGCTCAACCAATACGCTTCAATCGAAAACACCTTCGCCAACCCAATTCCAGAAAAGAAAACCAAATCCGTGAAGATCAGTACGTACCTTATATCCCCGATCCAAGACCTCCTTCGTCACTGGAAAGTCCTGCGGTGGAGGACTGCCGAACCCAGGCCCACCCTGGATATACACAAGAAAAGGCAACTGCTGCTCAGCATCCTTGGGCTTCGCAGATCTGCCACCGACCGGATTTTCGAACTTCTCGGTACAGCGACAGAAGATCCGGAGTGTCTCGGAAGTATCTGGATTCGCGTGGTCCAGCGGCACAGAAAAGAATAGTTCTGTAACGAGGAGCTTCCCGGGCACTTGATGCGTTGTGGAAGAGAGGAGTGTGGCGGGCTTGATGGCAATTTTTGGGGGCGCCATTGTCTCGTTCTTCAGTACTCCAGTACGATGTTATGGCTTTCCTTCGTGGGGAATTTACACTGCAAAATGAGTAGAGAGTTTAATTTTTGAAGTACGAGAGACTAATGTTCGGTGAAGGTCGTAAGAGAAAGAGGTTGTGGAGAGCTGTGTTAGTGCTTGATGCGGGAGGTTGTGGTTGTTAGATATGCGAAGTTTGGTGGACAGGACTTTGAGATGGGTGAAGTTCAAATACTGTTAGGATAGTATCAGGATAGTATGCCATACGTAGTATCGAAAGATCAAAAGTATGAGGATCTGTACACGACTTTCGATACCTACCTACTTACACTTGGGATCATCGCGGTCATCTCCATGCCGCTATGCTGCCGAGTTATGCTGCGAGGTTACTCTAAGATGGTCCAATTAGACACTATCAGAAGATTCGAACTGTAGGATTCTCTGACGGCGGGTGGCCTCAGCACAAAAGCGGAGTCTAGGGTCACCACCTCTTCGCATTTCATGGGCGTGAGCTCGTCGGCCATTCATTCGATCCATTGACAGCTTGACATATATCACCGAGTACGAGATGGTTTGAGCATACGAGATCACGAACATTCGAACCAGGGTCTGAAGCGCTGACAAATATGAACATTTTGGCAAACATCGCAATTGGCGATCATGCAGTTATTCTACTTTTTGGCCCTTTCCTTTTAATCGATCTTTGACTTTTATAAACAGGCCTGAAATTTTCTTGGTCAAGGCGCGAATGCGACCAGCGCCTGCTTCATCCACGCCCACCAGGCGTCTAATGAGGAGGTTGTATATGCTCCCGAATGCTAGAGCCATCACTGTGCTGGTGAGAATGATCACATTGTAGGGCATGCTGAAATCCGGGGTTGGTAGCGGTAACAACAGGCTCGTCGTTCGGATGTACACGGCCTCAGTTGACATGGCCGAATTCTCCTCTTGGAGGAGTCTTATCACTGCCGGTGCAACGTTGAAACCTCTGTTGGCGTCAGGTGGATATTCCGTGTACCTCAGGATAGCCTTTTCAAAGTCGTAGGTGAGCATGACGGTGCTAGATGGAGGAACCGAAATGACCAGTTCGAGTTGTGTACCCCGACGTCGATCGATAGCTGGTCGGTAGTACATGTCAGTGATGATCTGCCAATCCTTGGGAAATCCGGACCCTGTTGGTTGTGCCTTTAGTGTGTGAATATATGGTCGCATGAACCATGGTAGACTTTCGAAATACACAAAAGTAACAGGGTTGGTGAATGATGGGTTCGTGAAGATCGTTCGCATGCTCCCTTGTGCGGCACCGTGGCCGGTGATTGTTCTTTCGGCTCGTAGTAATTCGTGGCCCAAGTCTTGTTGTGAATTTAGTGTTTGCTGAGGAAGTTCGAGATCAAATTCCTCGTCAGATTTTACCTGGTAGCATCTGGACTCTGGAGATCCGGATGGCGATCTGATCTCTCGACCACTCGGCCTGGCCAAAGCCATGCGTTCATGCGGAATGTTGACACAAACCGATTTTGGATGTGAGTGTTCATCACTGGCGAGCGGACATTGTCCTGCCATCGTTCGACCGAACAAATCTTTTAGTGACCACCCCATTTCACCAGTAAGATCTTGAGGATAGCATGTATCATGAGAATGGTATGGTTTGGTCTCATCACAGATCAACTGTTCAGAAGGTCCAGGACGGGGGATTGGATTGTCTCTAGGACGCCTGGACCGCTCGATATCAAGTACCACGTCGATTGTTTGACTGATTGCCATTCGACAAGCACTTGAACTTCCAGCACATTGTGGACTGACATCAATAGACATACTCTGCCAAGATGCATCGAACACCTTATGTCCATCCAGCAGGCTAGAAATACCCGCCTTGCCCTTACAAGGAAGCAGTTTGAGAAAGGGTGTGAGATTCTCCGTGCATACTACTTCTCCTGGAAGTACACCGTGCAGAAGATGGGAGTTCTCGGTATGGCCTTCATGAACCGCCGATGATTTAAATGTCAAGGCTGGTTTCGTTGTTCTTGTCGAGTCCACAAAGTTGAGAGAGGCACAGAACAAGCCAGAGAGTGATTGGGTCAACGTTGTCCATTTCTCGAAAGCCTCCCCTTCAGAAGGAGCATTGATCCATGCCCACAACTCAACACCTGTACCTCCCTCTTTTGTTCCATCCCAGGGCCTTGCGCCCCATGTTTCAGGATCCCACCGCCCCGTGGTGAACCTCAAATGCAATTCTTCGGTATCTGCATGTCTCAGCGCTTGGCCGAGGGAGCGAGGGAAGTACCTGAAGTTCTGTGCTTCATACGCTTCTAGTGTTTCATTGCTGCGGAAGTCGAAGGAGGCGAGGATGGAACCGAGGGGTAAGGGAGTGAGTGCGAGTTGTTCAAAATAGTCGCTTGCAGCCACACTTATGACCAAGATGGCGCAGACCAAAGATTGAAGAGACCGGTACATGCCGGTGTCATTTCTCAAAAGGAACCAGCATGATATACCTGAGGGGGACCCTGCTCTGGCGTCGATACTTGACTTAGACTCGAAGTTGAAGACGACACTTGGGTTTATTTTAAGCGCCAAGCGCCAATACAAGCGCGGCAAAGCAAAGACTATTCTTTAGCCGCGGTGGGCACCCGCCTATTGATCAAGAGGATTTGCGGGATTCTCGTGTCTTCAATCACAGTCGACAAGGAGCCTGCGGACCTGAATCGACCATCACTTACTCGGCGTCGCATAGATATCAACTACCTCCGTCTCCCGTAACTAAATATACTTGGCTCGAGACCACCGCCATCATGGCCGCCGAACAGCGCAAGCTGCTTGAGCAGCTGATGGGAGATCAATACATGGGCGGGTCCAGCTCCAGAAACGCCAACTTGACCCTCACATCGCCTACTGTGTGTCGTTCGTATCTGGTCGGAACTTGTCCACACGATCTCTTCACCAACACCAAACAAGATTTGGGCGCCTGTCCCAAGGCACACCCTGAAATCCTCAAAATCGAATACGACAACCTCACACCAGCCGAGAAGGCCAAATATGGCTTCGACTACGACTACATGCGTGATCTGCAGAAATATATCGATGACTGCAATCGGCGTATCGACCAGGCACAGCGACGATTGGAAAAAACACCCGACGAGATCAGACAGACGAACAACCTGCTTAAGACTATATCAGATCTGACCAAGACGGTCAACACAGGCTTGTTGGAGGTTAATTGCCTCGCAGAGACTGGCTCTGTGAACCTGGCATGCACCGAGTTTTACAAAGTGCGTACGGCCAAGATGGCCAAAGAGCAGGCGGAGCGGGATCTGAAGTCGTTGTCTGATACCAGTGGTCCGTCTGGCCATCAGAAACTCCAAGTGTGTGATGTCTGTGGAGCATATCTGTCGAGGCTGGATAACGACAGACGATTGGCGGATCATTTCTACGGCAAGATGCATCTTGGGTATGCACAGATGCGGAGGACCTATGAAGGATTGCAGAAGGAGTTGAAAGGTCGGGCACCTCCTATGAGATCTGACGACAGTCCTGCTGGACCTAGAGGGTACGATGATGGCGGGTATGGAGATGGCGGTTGGGGTGGGCGTGGAGGTGGAGGAGGATATGGCGGGAGAGGAGGCTATAGGGGAGGGGGTGGGTATAGAGGGAGAGGCCGGGGAAGATGGTGACACGAGAATCGGCATCAAAAAAGTGAATGATACCCTGCATAGCGAAGGAGTTTGGGAAGGGCGGAAACAATGCTGTATTTTATTTCGGATTCTCGCTTATTCCGGATCCTCAGGGACTCGCTATGCACGCTGTGTTCATGGACGTCCAACAGCGATGGCTCTATGCTCGTAATGCTCAATACCAAAACATTTTGCCCGGCACGTGCTCACAACGTACCACCGTGATTCATCCAACACAGGACTCAACCCATATGTACAGCCTCATTATTCATCATACACATCGGAGCATTATAGGAATTTTGGGACGTGGTTTTTCTTCTTATTTTGCAGCCTCGCTCGACTCGACCTGCTCGGCCCAACTGCCGCCTCCAGAGTCTGTTTGGAGATCTGCCGAGTTCCATCTCTTCGGCGACGGCTTCGAGGAACTGGTGTCATTGCGGGACTGTTTCTTCGAGGTCGAATCTGATCCAGGAAGGGCCGGAAAGTCCGCATCAGCCGACCAGGTGGGTTGTTGCTGATTATACGACGCAGCACCATCGTCATTGTTGAATGCACCCCTTCCACCACGGCCACGCCCTCTTCCGCCACGACCTCCTCGTCCTCTTCCGGCCCGCCCTCTTCCTCGATCCTCGTGCCACTCGTACTGCTTCAAGTCGTCATCGTCCTGCGCATATTGCTGCTGTGGTGTCAGTCCGGGCTGATATAGTCTCCGACCGCCTCTCCCATTAGCGCTGGCTTTGAAGTCCTCTTCATTCTTGCCCGCATCCCACTCACGGCCGCCCATAACAGCCATTTTCCTCTGTCGATTCTTTTCCCGTTCATTATCCATAACTTTCCTCTCCACTCGGTCTTTGGCTCGCTTTTGCTCTGCGACTCGTTCTCGTTCCTCAAAACTTGCGGCGTCCGCCTGTGCTCGAGCATGGGCTGCCGCCCGGTTTTGGGAGCGCTCCTTTGCTTCGGCTAGTTTCGCGGAAAGTTCTTCCTCGGTCAGTTTTGGCTTGCGGACACCGCCGGTCGCAGTGCGATCGCCTCGGACGGCAGGTGTGCGAGGAACAGCATTTGCCGGGGCGGTCGTTATTGGGGTTGCGGTATCGTCGTCGACTTCCTCTGTAGCCACTGGTTGTTCGTCATCTGCAGGTTGAGCTTTGATACGTGGTTTAGGTATGGTCTCTTTTGGCGTCAATGTGGGTTGAGAGGGTGCGGTTGGTTTCGAAGCCCATCTCGACTCTGTGAGGCCGCCACCACCACCACCTCCTCCTCCTCCCCTTTTCGGTGTACTGCCTCTAACGGCGGCGTTAGCACCTCTTCCCCGCGGTCTCGTCCTCGAAACCTGGTGTGAATCTTCCCGAGTGGAGGGTGCAGGTGGTATGGAATCATTCACTTCTTGAGGAGGAGCCGAGAGCGCAGGGTCCATCGAGACATGCTGTGATTGTGTCGCGAGTTTCTCTGATGAGGACGGCCCTTCTACGGGAACGATCTCATCATCGAACAAGTCGTCGTCGCCGCGCGACTGAGCAAACTCGTCCATGGTTGACAACGCAACTTATGCGGCGTATGAACGATATGACAGGACCTTATAATTTTCAAGATGCATGTTGCTATTGTTGGTATACTTGTATTGTAGGGGTGGGGTAACCAAATACGAGTGCTGCCCTGCCCGCAGTATTCTCTCGCCACGACTACTTTATGCGGGAAAGTATGCTTGGCATTCATACTGCCAGCCTTAATCACTAGCTCCATACTAAATCTCTCGGTTAGCCACCAGACTCTTCACCGCCTGAGACTTGGTAACTAGAGGTGGTCTCTAGCAAGGAGCTCGTGTTTTCTGCTTCGTGTTCAGATTTCTGATCCTTGCCTGGGCTCCTACAAAGCCAAGAAGTCCTGTATTTTCCAACCCCGCCACTGTTCTATTGTTGGTCAAGATCTCACCGGGTAGCTGATGATACATTCTGAATCCTACCTCGCGTCACAGACGCCTGCCGTGATGGGACTGTCTAGCACACAGTCTTGCTCAAACAGGGAGTGTAAGAAACATATCTAGTACGCTTCATGGTCGAGGACCCTGCATCCCCTCAAGACGGAATGGGATCCAATCTTCAATGCGTACGGATAAGAATGATCGTCTGACCGTTAATATTATTTTTGATCTCCATCCACAGCGTAGGCTGAGATCGCCCAGGTGCTGTTGGCGAAACAAGAAACTCCTCCATCCAGCCGTTGAGCACGGGAGAGAAGTCAGGAATAGGTGAGTATAATTCACGAAAGACATTGAAAAAAGCTCAGTAGACTTTCAACGATCTTCCACGATTCCCACAGGCCGAGAGTCTAATTCAAACACTGTCGATCGCAGCGACAGCATGATACCCACACTCACTTCTAAATCAGGGGCATAGACCAAGCAATCACAACTCGTCTGCCAGTCATACACACAGACCTTGGTATTAGAGCTCGCAGGATTCTAAGCGTCCTCCAGCGCACCGAATTGGTGTGCACTTCCCGCCCCAAGATCTTCCTCCCTAAAAACAGACAGCTGTCCGATCTCAGCGTGACGGACTCTCGACAGCTTGAATCTTCTCCACTTCCCCTCTGTACCGATCTTCAACTATATTCAAGACCCCACCCATCCCAACGACTGTTCTGGCTGGTGCCCGTTACAACTCACACACTCACTCGGGAGCGGTCTTTCGGGTATATGGCTTGCTAGGCGGTGATGTCGGCTACCAGCTTGAAGTTGTTATTGTGACAAGGGGAGCGGCTCCACGCTGCTTGCGACTATAGATGGCAGGCTCTATTGTGTTCAAGGAGACCATCAGACTCAAAACTTCACTTCTACTCCTGCTACAGGTTGTCCTACAGACTTCATTGCCGAGCAGAGTGACGTTATGGCCACTGTCAAAGTGCATGACAGCCCATCTGAAAGTGTGTCTTTGTCTACCAAGCCTTCAATTTTCTCGGATTTGTGACCAAGCTCGTGTCTCTGAGTAGGTGACCTGGCTTTCCGCTATACCATAGTCCACACTACGGCCCACATCAACAAGCCTCCGAGCACTTTGATAGCAAGGTGAGAGCCCTGCTTCGTTCGAAACACTCAAGGAGAGGACCGTTCGAGCAAATTGCCGACGTGTGTGTTCTAAATTATGAGTGAGGCATCAATCCACTTCTTACCGATGCCAACCAATGGAATATCTTACATCGTGTATACCAGGAGAGCTTCACCTGCCCCGTCGAGTTCTGTGCTGGTATTCTCGCTTGACCCACAATGTTTTGCTGCCAGACGGATGGTTATAACAGGGCCTGATTAATGTATATGTTCCAATGCTAGGCGCTAGCAAGAAGTCTCATGGATGATGTCCTCCCAGGATCTGGCGTCTTGACAACTGCAATCCCCCATTGCCTCGAGCTGCACGTCGACCTTTTTTAACTCTGGGAAACAGCCACCCGCCAAGTCAGAGATCTTGACCGGGCAACTGATGAGCAATGCTTCTTTTTGAAAGCCTGCACTCATATTCAGCTGTTTCGTTCCATACGCTTTGGTGTTGCTCTTTGATGACGGCCTCCTTAGCCTCCTTGAATTCCTCTAATACTTGCACAATCGAAGGGAGAGAATGTTCTTGCAGAAACTCTTGTTCAACGCGGTGACTACGAGTATTGTCTCCTCTGTTTGAGAGAAACACTCAAAATGGCTATACTTTTGATTTCGCTTTACCTGTTGGTGCTTGCGATAGCAGAGCCGCTGACCACTTTTCTTCCCTGCCCTGTCGCTACAAGGACATTGCCTCCTATCACCATCACATCTCAATACCAGGTCGTCTCAACATGTGTTCCTACAACAGCATGTTTTCGTGGTGGCTGCAAAACTTCGCTTCGTTTTCACAGCTATCCCTGGGTTTCAACGGAGATTCCATGTGCATTCGACGGAGACTTGCTTTCAACAACCATGGTAACTAGTGTTGATCAGATGGTTCTGTGCGTAGATGAGACCCAGACTCTCACAAGTACAAGCACAATAACCAAGAAGCAACGAGGAAGAGGCAAGCATCATCACAAACCTTCGGTCAAGTACTTCTACCAGACAGTCGCAATTCAGAAGTATGCTCCATATGATCGCATCGGGCCCCTAGCTATTCCGGGTTACAATGGAGGCGGCCTCTGTAAAGAATGCTTGCCACACGCCGATGGTAAACAGATTCAGAAGATGGCCGTGAGAAAATGTCGATCTTCAGATGCAGCACCAGAATGTGTTCAGTATATGGAAACTTGGATTGCCCAACCTGCACCAGCAATAACGAGCGCTCTCACGGTCACGGTCAGTACTCAACAGGTTGTCTCTACAGCGGGTATTTATACCTGGAGATTTCCTCGGCGAGCTGCGCCGCAGACCATTACGCTTCCTGCAAGAACGATCACGATTACCGTCTTTGAAGAAGGGGAGCCTTTGCTAAAGACTTCAACCTTGCCTCCATCCATAGAGACAGCTGCTGCCATACCCTGCTGGTTTCATGTGACCAGATCATGCCGAGGGCCCACCATCTTCGACATTACGGTAACACTGACGACAACATTGACCTACAATCTACCTTGTGAGACAGTACCTGCTACTGAGACGACCATTGTGCCCCCATTTCAAGGGCTACCATGGCCAGGGTACACCTCCTCTGGACCTTCCAACACCAATTACTGGCCCTCTACAAGCTCGACCTCTTCAAATGCTCCAATTTCCGCTACTACTATTTCTATAGAAAGCAGCAGTCTTTCTATAATCCCAATTAGCAGAACCACTTCTGTAAGTAGCTCCGGCAGCAATTTCATTCCTACTTCAACCGCTGCCACGCAGACTTCAACAGTCATTCTTAGCTCCGTGACCACTACGACGTCAGATGGGAGAGGAAACCTTTCCCCAATACTCGGATCAACAAGCTCTTCCAACCTCTCCACTACTTCTATCTCGATAAGTTCATACAGCCAGACCAATGGCCCGATCATCGCGTCCACCAGTACCTCCTCCGGAACTTCAACTACGGCGAGCGCTACTTTAGCGCCAATTGATGCGTCCACTACAACACTAAGGACCTCCGCGATCACTAGTGGTAGTGTTGTCTCTATAGTCTCATCCTCATCAACAGCTAGTGCTACTCTTGGCCCGATTATTGCGTCCACCAGTACCTCCTCCAGAGCTACAACTACAGCGAGCGCTACTTTGGCGCCAATTGATGCGTCCACTACAACATCAAGGGCCTCCACAATCACTAGTAATAGTGTTGTCTCTATATCCTCATCTTCGTCAACAGCTAGTGCTACTCTTGGCCCGATCATTGCATCCACCAGCGCTACCTCGAGAAGCTTATCAAGCAGCACTAGTCTTACTACAACAACTTCTTCAGGTAGTGCTACAGGGGGTCCAATCATTGCATCTACCATCACAAGTTCAAGGATTTCGTCGAGCAGTATCAGTGCCATTATCTCGACCACGACATCCTCAGCTAGTGCGACTAATGGCCCCATTATTGCATCCACTACTGTTTCTTCATCTAGAAGCATCTCAACATCGATCTCAACGGGGACTGCGCCTTTAAGCGTATCGTCGAGCACAGGTGTATCATCGAGCGCAAGCTCGACCGCGACATCAAGCCAGGGTCCCATTTCTCAAACCACGTCTTCGAGCTCGTCAGCATTGGGCATCAGCTCGACGCTTTCGTCAAGTACTACCTCAAGCAATTCCTTGAGCATTCTTCCGGTGACCGCAACGACATCCGTTGCCACTTCCTCATCATCTGTTTCATCTGATCTTACGTCTACGCTATCAACGACGCTGAGCTCTACGTCAACTTCAGGCAGTGTATCTACTTCCACGACCACCTCACCCGCCACGGCATCCACCACGACACCCCTCCAATCTACCTCAACAAATGCGGTCACAAGCTCATCTTCGGATTCCACTCTTCCGACTACATCTACGGATAGCTCGACATCTACAATAGACAGCTCCAGCTCTACAACATCCACCCTAACGACAACTACAGCGGAACTATCCTCTACGACATCCCTCCCGACCTCTTCGACCGCGACAATAACTCTAGGCCCAGTATCACAAACTACAACTAGTGATATAACAACCAGTGATGCCACAACTCAAAGCACAACAAGTTCCGATGCAACATCTCAAACTACTAGTAGTTCCGATACCACGACGTCCACCGTTTCGTTAACGACGACGAGCACTGATATCACGACTAGTACGGATACCACAACTAGTTCCGAGACGACAACGAGCTCCGAGACGACAACGAGCTCCGAGACGACAACGAGCTCCGAGACGACAACGAGCTCCGAGACGACAACGAGCACTGATATCACGACGAGCTCGGATACAACAACGAGCTCCGAGACGACATCTACAAATTCGTTAACGACAAGCACTGATACCACTACAAGCTTGGATACTACAACATCCACTGATAGTGCATCGTCCACAGCGTCTCTAGATCCAGTTTCTCAAACAACATCAACATCGACAACTACGCTACTCTA